CGATGTCACAGTAGATGTAGTCGGCTCCATGGGTGGTAGTCGAAGTCACAGTAGACGTAGTCGGCTCCTGAGTCGTGGTAGACGTAATCGTGGATGTACTCGGCTCCTGGGTGGTAGACGTAAACGTGGATGAACTAGGTTCTTGAGTTGTAGTCGATGTCACAGTAGATGTAGTCGGCTCCATGGTGGTAGTCGATGTCACAGTAGACGTAGTCGGCTCCTGAGTGGTGGTAGACGTAATCGTGGATGTACTCGGCTCCTGGGTGGTAGACGTAAACGTGGATGAACTAGGTTCTTGAGTTGTAGTCGATGTCACAGTAGATGAACTAGGTTCTTGAGTTGTAGTCGATGTCACAGTAGATGTAGTCGGCTCCATGGTGGTAGTCGATGTCACAGTAGACGTAGTCGGCTCCTGAGTCGTGGTAGACGTAATCGTGGATGTACTCGGCTCCTGGGTGGTAGACGTAAATCGTGGATGAACTAGGTTCTTGAGTTGTAGTCGATGTCACAGTAGATGTAGTCGGCTCCATGGTGGTAGTCGATGTCACAGTAGACGTAGTCGGCTCCTGAGTGGTGGTAGACGTAATCGTGGATGTACTCGGCTCCTGGGTGGTAGACGTAAACGTGGATGAACTAGGTTCTTGAGTTGTAGTCGATGTCACAGTAGATGAACTAGGTTCTTGAGTTGTAGTCGATGTCACAGTAGACGTAGTCGGCTCCATGGTGGTAGTCGATGTCACAGTAGACGTAGTCGGCTCCTGAGTGGTGGTAGACGTAATCGTGGATGTACTCGGCTCCTGGGTGGTAGACGTAAACGTGGATGAACTAGGTTCTTGAGTTGTAGTCGATGTCACAGTAGATGAACTAGGTTCTTGAGTTGTAGTCGATGTCACAGTAGATGTAGTCGGCTCCATGGTGGTAGTCGATGTCACAGTAGACGTAGTCGGCTCCTGAGTCGTGGTAGACGTAATCGTGGATGTACTCGGCTCCTGGGTGGTAGACGTAAACGTGGATGAACTAGGTTCTTGAGTTGTAGTCGATGTCACAGTAGATGTAGTCGGCTCCATGGTGGTAGTCGATGTCACAGTAGACGTAGTCGGCTCCTGAGTGGTGGTAGACGTAATCGTGGATGTACTCGGCTCCTGGGTGGTAGACGTAAACGTGGATGAACTAGGTTCTTGAGTTGTAGTCGATGTCACAGTAGATGTAGTCGGCTCCATGGTGGTAGTCGATGTCACAGTAGACGTAGTCGGCTCCTGAGTGGTGGTAGACGTAATCGTGGATGTACTCGGCTCCTGGGTGGTAGACGTAAACGTGGATGAACTAGGTTCTTGAGTTGTAGTCGATGTCACAGTAGATGAACTAGGTTCTTGAGTTGTAGTCGATGTCACAGTAGACGTAGTCGGCTCCATGGTGGTAGTCGATGTCACAGTAGACGTAGTCGGCTCCTGAGTGGTGGTAGACGTAATCGTGGATGTACTCGGCTCCTGGGTGGTAGACGTAAACGTGGATGAACTAGGTTCTTGAGTTGTAGTCGATGTCACAGTAGATGTAGTCGGCTCCATGGTGGTAGTCGATGTCACAGTAGACGTAGTCGGCTCCTGAGTGGTGGTAGACGTAATCGTGGATGTACTCGGCTCCTGGGTGGTAGACGTAAACGTGGATGAACTAGGTTCTTGAGTTGTAGTCGATGTCACAGTAGATGTAGTCGGCTCCATGGTGGTAGTCGATGTCACAGTAGACGTAGTCGGCTCCTGAGTGGTGGTAGACGTAATCGTGGATGTACTCGGCTCCTGGGTGGTAGACGTAAACGTGGATGAACTAGGTTCTTGAGTTGTAGTCGATGTCACAGTAGATGTAGTCGGCTCCATGGTGGTAGTCGAAGTCACAGTAGACGTAGTCGGCTCCTGAGTGGTGGTAGACGTAATCGTGGATGTACTCGGCTCCTGGGTGGTAGACGTAATCGTGGATGAACTAGGTTCTTGAGTTGTAGTCGATGTCACAGTAGACGTAGTCGGCTCCATGCTGGTAGTCGACGTCACAGTAGACGTAGTCGGCTCCTGAGTGGTGGTAGACGTAATCGTGGATGTACTCGGCTCCTGGGTGGTAGACGTAATCGTGGATGAACTAGGTTCTTGAGTTGTAGTCGATGTCACAGTAGATGTAGTCGGCTCCATGGTGGTAGTCGATGTCACAGTAGACGTAGTCGGCTCCTGAGTGGTGGTAGACGTAATCGTGGATGTACTCGGCTCCTGGGTGGTAGACGTAATCGTGGATGAACTAGGTTCTTGAGTTGTAGTCGATGTCACAGTAGATGAACTAGGTTCTTGAGTTGTAGTCGATGTCACAGTAGACGTAGTCGGCTCCATGGTGGTAGTCGAAGTCACAGTAGACGTAGTCGGCTCCTGAGTGGTGGTAGACGTAATCGTGGATGTACTCGGCTCCTGGGTGGTAGACGTAATCGTGGATGAACTAGGTTCTTGAGTTGTAGTCGATGTCACAGTAGACGTAGTCGGCTCCATGGTGGTAGTCGATGTCACAGTAGACGTAGTCGGCTCCTGAGTGGTGGTAGACGTAATCGTGGATGTACTCGGCTCCTGGGTGGTAGACGTAAATCGTGGATGAACTAGGTTCTTGAGTTGTAGTCGATGTCACAGTAGATGTAGTCGGCTCCATGGTGGTAGTCGATGTCACAGTAGACGTAGTCGGCTCCTGAGTGGTGGTAGACGTAATCGTGGATGTACTCGGCTCCTGGGTGGTAGACGTAATCGTGGATGAACTAGGTTCTTGAGTTGTAGTCGATGTCACAGTAGACGTAGTCGGCTCCATGGTGGTAGTCGACGTCACAGTAGACGTAGTCGGCTCCTGAGTGGTGGTAGACGTAATCGTGGATGTACTCGGCTCCTGGGTGGTAGACGTAAACGTGGATGAACTAGGTTCTTGAGTTGTAGTCGATGTCACAGTAGACGTAGTCGGCTCCTGAGTGGTGGTAGACGTAATCGTGGATGTACTCGGCTCCTGGGTGGTAGACGTAATCGTGGATGAACTAGGTTCTTGAGTTGTAGTCGATGTCACAGTAGATGAACTAGGTTCTTGAGTTGTAGTCGATGTCACAGTAGACGTAGTCGGCTCCATGGTGGTAGTCGATGTCACAGTAGACGTAGTCGGCTCCTGAGTGGTGGTAGACGTAATCGTGGATGTACTCGGCTCCTGGGTGGTAGACGTAAATCGTGGATGAACTAGGTTCTTGAGTTGTAGTCGATGTCACAGTAGATGAACTAGGTTCTTGAGTTGTAGTCGATGTCACAGTAGACGTAGTCGGCTCCATGGTGGTAGTCGATGTCACAGTAGACGTAGTCGGCTCCTGAGTGGTGGTAGACGTAATCGTGGATGTACTCGGCTCCTGGGTGGTAGACGTAATCGTGGATGAACTAGGTTCTTGAGTTGTAGTCGATGTCACAGTAGATGAACTAGGTTCTTGAGTTGTAGTCGATGTCACAGTAGACGTAGTCGGCTCCATGGTGGTAGTCGAAGTCACAGTAGACGTAGTCGGCTCCTGAGTGGTGGTAGACGTAATCGTGGATGTACTCGGCTCCTGGGTGGTAGACGTAATCGTGGACGAACTAGGTTCTTGAGTTGTAGTCGATGTCACAGTAGATGAACTAGGTTCTTGAGTTGTAGTCGATGTCACAGTAGACGTAGTCGGCTCCATGGTGGTAGTCGATGTCACAGTAGACGTAGTCGGCTCCTGAGTGGTGGTAGACGTAATCGTGGATGTACTCGGCTCCTGGGTGGTAGACGTAATCGTGGATGAACTAGGTTCTTGAGTTGTAGTCGATGTCACAGTAGATGAACTAGGTTCTTGAGTTGTAGTCGATGTCACAGTAGACGTAGTCGGCTCCTGAGTGGTGGTAGACGTAATCGTGGATGTACTCGGCTCCTGGGTGGTAGACGTAAACGTGGATGAACTAGGTTCTTGAGTTGTAGTCGATGTCACAGTAGATGAACTAGGTTCTTGAGTTGTAGTCGAAGTCACAGTAGACGTAGTCGGCTCCTGAGTGGTGGTAGACGTAATCGTGGATGTACTCGGCTCCTGGGTGGTAGACGTAATCGTGGATGTACTCGGCTCCTGGGTGGTAGTCGACGACACAGTAGATGTACTCGGCTCCTGAGTCGTTGTGGAGGTGACAGTGGATGAACTAGGTTCTTGAGTCGTTGTGGAGGTGACAGTGGATGTACTCGGCTCCTGAGTCGTTGTCGATGCCAGTAGATGTACTAGGTTCCTGGGTGGTAGTCGATGTCACAGTAGACGTAGTCGGCTCCTGAGTGATGGTAGACGTAACTCGTCGGGATGTACTCGGCTCCTGGGTGGTAGACGTAATCGTGGATGTACTCGGCTCCATGGTGGTAGTCGACGTCACAGTAGATGTACTCGGCTCCTGAGTCGTTGTGGAGGTGACAGTGGATGAACTAGGTTCTTGAGTCGTTGTGGAGGTGACAGTGGATGAACTAGGTTCTTGAGTCGTTGTGGAGGTGACAGTGGATGTACTCGGCTCCTGAGTCGTTGTCGAGTTGCCAGTAGATGTACAAGGTTCCTCGGTGGTAGTCGAAGTCACTGTAGACGTAGTCGGCTCCTCAGTGATGGTAGACGTAACTGTCGGTGTACTCGGCGCCTGGGTGGTAGACGTAATCGTGGATGTACTCGGCTCCATGGTGGTAGTCGACGTCACAGTAGATGTACTCGGCTCCTGAGTCGTTGTGGAGGTGACAGTGGATGAACTAGGTTCTTGAGTCGTTGTGGAGGTGACAGTGGATGAACTAGGTTCTTGAGTCGTTGTGGAGGTGACAGTGGATGTACTCGGCTCCTGAGTCGTTGTCGAGTTGCCAGTAGATGTACAAGGTTCCTCGGTGGTAGTCGAAGTCACTGTAGACGTAGTCGGCTCCTCAGTGATGGTAGACGTAACTGTCGGTGTACTCGGCTCCTGGGTGGTAGACGTAATCGTGGATGTACTCGGCTCCATGGTGGTAGTCGACGTCACAGTAGATGTACTCGGCTCCTGAGTCGTTGTGGAGGTGACAGTGGATGAACTAGGTTCTTGAGTCGTTGTGGAGGTGACAGTGGATGTACTCGGCTCCTGAGTCGTTGTCGAGTTGCCAGTAGATGTACAAGGTTCCTCGGTGGTAGTCGAAGTCACTGTAGACGTAGTCGGCTCCTCAGTGATGGTAGACGTAACTGTCGGTGTACTCGGCTCCTGGGTGGTAGACGTAATCGTGGATGTACTCGGCTCCATGGTGGTAGTCGACGTCACAGTAGATGTACTCGGCTCCTGAGTCGTTGTGGAGGTGACAGTGGATGAACTAGGTTCTTGAGTCGTTGTGGAGGTGACAGTGGATGTACTCGGCTCCTGAGTCGTTGTCGAGTTGCCAGTAGATGTACAAGGTTCCTCGGTGGTAGTCGAAGTCACTGTAGACGTAGTCGGCTCCTCAGTGATGGTAGACGTAACTGTCGGTGTACTCGGCTCCTGGGTGGTAGACGTAATCGTGGATGTACTCGGCTCCATGGTGGTAGTCGACGTCACAGTAGATGTACTCGGCTCCTGAGTCGTTGTGGAGGTGACAGTGGATGAACTAGGTTCTTGAGTCGTTGTGGAGGTGACAGTGGATGTACTCGGCTCCTGAGTCGTTGTCGAGTTGCCAGTAGATGTACAAGGTTCCTCGGTGGTAGTCGAAGTCACTGTAGACGTAGTCGGCTCCTCAGTGATGGTAGACGTAACTGTCGGTGTACTCGGCTCCTGGGTGGTAGACGTAATCGTGGATGTACTCGGCTCCATGGTGGTAGTCGACGTCACAGTAGATGTACTCGGCTCCTGAGTCGTTGTGGAGGTGACAGTGGATGAACTAGGTTCTTGAGTCGTTGTGGAGGTGACAGTGGATGTACTCGGCTCCTGAGTCGTTGTCGAGTTGCCAGTAGATGTACAAGGTTCCTCGGTGGTAGTCGAAGTCACTGTAGACGTAGTCGGCTCCTCAGTGATGGTAGACGTAACTGTCGGTGTACTCGGCTCCTGGGTGGTAGACGTAATCGTGGATGTACTCGGCTCCATGGTGGTAGTCGACGTCACAGTAGATGTACTCGGCTCCTGAGTCGTTGTGGAGGTGACAGTGGATGAACTAGGTTCTTGAGTCGTTGTGGAGGTGACAGTGGATGTACTCGGCTCCTGAGTCGTTGTCGAGTTGCCAGTAGATGTACAAGGTTCCTCGGTGGTAGTCGAAGTCACTGTAGACGTAGTCGGCTCCTCAGTGATGGTAGACGTAACTGTCGGTGTACTCGGCTCCTGGGTGGTAGACGTAATCGTGGATGTACTCGGCTCCATGGTGGTAGTCGACGTCACAGTAGATGTACTCGGCTCCTGAGTCGTTGTGGAGGTGACAGTGGATGAACTAGGTTCTTGAGTCGTTGTGGAGGTGACAGTGGATGTACTCGGCTCCTGAGTCGTTGTCGAGTTGCCAGTAGATGTACAAGGTTCCTCGGTGGTAGTCGAAGTCACTGTAGACGTAGTCGGCTCCTCAGTGATGGTAGACGTAACTGTCGGTGTACTCGGCTCCTGGGTGGTAGACGTAATCGTGGATGTACTCGGCTCCATGGTGGTAGTCGACGTCACAGTAGATGTACTCGGCTCCTGAGTCGTTGTGGAGGTGACAGTGGATGAACTAGGTTCTTGAGTCGTTGTGGAGGTGACAGTGGATGAACTAGGTTCTTGAGTCGTTGTGGAGGTGACAGTGGATGTACTCGGCTCCTGAGTCGTTGTCGAGTTGCCAGTAGATGTACAAGGTTCCTCGGTGGTAGTCGAAGTCACTGTAGACGTAGTCGGCTCCTCAGTGATGGTAGACGTAACTGTCGGTGTACTCGGCTCCTGGGTGGTAGACGTAATCGTGGATGTACTCGGCTCCATGGTGGTAGTCGACGTCACAGTAGATGTACTCGGCTCCTGAGTCGTTGTGGAGGTGACAGTGGATGAACTAGGTTCTTGAGTCGTTGTGGAGGTGACAGTGGATGTACTCGGCTCCTGAGTCGTTGTCGAGTTGCCAGTAGATGTACAAGGTTCCTCGGTGGTAGTCGAAGTCACTGTAGACGTAGTCGGCTCCTCAGTGATGGTAGACGTAACTGTCGGTGTACTCGGCTCCTGGGTGGTAGACGTAATCGTGGATGTACTCGGCTCCATGGTGGTAGTCGACGTCACAGTAGATGTACTCGGCTCCTGAGTCGTTGTGGAGGTGACAGTGGATGAACTAGGTTCTTGAGTCGTTGTGGAGGTGACAGTGGATGTACTCGGCTCCTGAGTCGTTGTCGAGTTGCCAGTAGATGTACAAGGTTCCTCGGTGGTAGTCGAAGTCACTGTAGACGTAGTCGGCTCCTCAGTGATGGTAGACGTAACTGTCGGTGTACTCGGCTCCTGGGTGGTAGACGTAATCGTGGATGTACTCGGCTCCATGGTGGTAGTCGACGTCACAGTAGATGTACTCGGCTCCTGAGTCGTTGTGGAGGTGACAGTGGATGAACTAGGTTCTTGAGTCGTTGTGGAGGTGACAGTGGATGTACTCGGCTCCTGAGTCGTTGTCGAGTTGCCAGTAGATGTACAAGGTTCCTCGGTGGTAGTCGAAGTCACTGTAGACGTAGTCGGCTCCTCAGTGATGGTAGACGTAACTGTCGGTGTACTCGGCTCCTGGGTGGTAGACGTAATCGTGGATGTACTCGGCTCCATGGTGGTAGTCGACGTCACAGTAGATGTACTCGGCTCCTGAGTCGTTGTGGAGGTGACAGTGGATGAACTAGGTTCTTGAGTCGTTGTGGAGGTGACAGTGGATGAACTAGGTTCTTGAGTCGTTGTGGAGGTGACAGTGGATGTACTCGGCTCCTGAGTCGTTGTCGAGTTGCCAGTAGATGTACAAGGTTCCTCGGTGGTAGTCGAAGTCACTGTAGACGTAGTCGGCTCCTCAGTGATGGTAGACGTAACTGTCGGTGTACTCGGCTCCTGGGTGGTAGACGTAATCGTGGATGTACTCGGCTCCATGGTGGTAGTCGACGTCACAGTAGATGTACTCGGCTCCTGAGTCGTTGTGGAGGTGACAGTGGATGAACTAGGTTCTTGAGTCGTTGTGGAGGTGACAGTGGATGTACTCGGCTCCTGAGTCGTTGTCGAGTTGCCAGTAGATGTACAAGGTTCCTCGGTGGTAGTCGAAGTCACTGTAGACGTAGTCGGCTCCTCAGTGATGGTAGACGTAACTGTCGGTGTACTCGGCTCCTGGGTGGTAGACGTAATCGTGGATGTACTCGGCTCCATGGTGGTAGTCGACGTCACAGTAGATGTACTCGGCTCCTGAGTCGTTGTGGAGGTGACAGTGGATGAACTAGGTTCTTGAGTCGTTGTGGAGGTGACAGTGGATGTACTCGGCTCCTGAGTCGTTGTCGAGTTGCCAGTAGATGTACAAGGTTCCTCGGTGGTAGTCGAAGTCACTGTAGACGTAGTCGGCTCCTCAGTGATGGTAGACGTAACTGTCGGTGTACTCGGCTCCTGGGTGGTAGACGTAATCGTGGATGTACTCGGCTCCATGGTGGTAGTCGACGTCACAGTAGATGTACTCGGCTCCTGAGTCGTTGTGGAGGTGACAGTGGATGAACTAGGTTCTTGAGTCGTTGTGGAGGTGACAGTGGATGAACTAGGTTCTTGAGTCGTTGTGGAGGTGACAGTGGATGTACTCGGCTCCTGAGTCGTTGTCGAGTTGCCAGTAGATGTACAAGGTTCCTCGGTGGTAGTCGAAGTCACTGTAGACGTAGTCGGCTCCTCAGTGATGGTAGACGTAACTGTCGGTGTACTCGGCTCCTGGGTGGTAGACGTAATCGTGGATGTACTCGGCTCCATGGTGGTAGTCGACGTCACAGTAGATGTACTCGGCTCCTGAGTCGTTGTGGAGGTGACAGTGGATGAACTAGGTTCTTGAGTCGTTGTGGAGGTGACAGTGGATGTACTCGGCTCCTGAGTCGTTGTCGAGTTGCCAGTAGATGTACAAGGTTCCTCGGTGGTAGTCGAAGTCACTGTAGACGTAGTCGGCTCCTCAGTGATGGTAGACGTAACTGTCGGTGTACTCGGCTCCTGGGTGGTAGACGTAATCGTGGATGTACTCGGCTCCATGGTGGTAGTCGACGTCACAGTAGATGTACTCGGCTCCTGAGTCGTTGTGGAGGTGACAGTGGATGAACTAGGTTCTTGAGTCGTTGTGGAGGTGACAGTGGATGAACTAGGTTCTTGAGTCGTTGTGGAGGTGACAGTGGATGTACTCGGCTCCTGAGTCGTTGTCGAGTTGCCAGTAGATGTACAAGGTTCCTCGGTGGTAGTCGAAGTCACTGTAGACGTAGTCGGCTCCTCAGTGATGGTAGACGTAACTGTCGGTGTACTCGGCTCCTGGGTGGTAGACGTAATCGTGGATGTACTCGGCTCCATGGTGGTAGTCGACGTCACAGTAGATGTACTCGGCTCCTGAGTCGTTGTGGAGGTGACAGTGGATGAACTAGGTTCTTGAGTCGTTGTGGAGGTGACAGTGGATGTACTCGGCTCCTGAGTCGTTGTCGAGTTGCCAGTAGATGTACAAGGTTCCTCGGTGGTAGTCGAAGTCACTGTAGACGTAGTCGGCTCCTCAGTGATGGTAGACGTAACTGTCGGTGTACTCGGCTCCTGGGTGGTAGACGTAATCGTGGATGTACTCGGCTCCATGGTGGTAGTCGACGTCACAGTAGATGTACTCGGCTCCTGAGTCGTTGTGGAGGTGACAGTGGATGAACTAGGTTCTTGAGTCGTTGTGGAGGTGACAGTGGATGTACTCGGCTCCTGAGTCGTTGTCGAGTTGCCAGTAGATGTACAAGGTTCCTCGGTGGTAGTCGAAGTCACTGTAGACGTAGTCGGCTCCTCAGTGATGGTAGACGTAACTGTCGGTGTACTCGGCTCCTGGGTGGTAGACGTAATCGTGGATGTACTCGGCTCCATGGTGGTAGTCGACGTCACAGTAGATGTACTCGGCTCCTGAGTCGTTGTGGAGGTGACAGTGGATGAACTAGGTTCTTGAGTCGTTGTGGAGGTGACAGTGGATGTACTCGGCTCCTGAGTCGTTGTCGAGTTGCCAGTAGATGTACAAGGTTCCTCGGTGGTAGTCGAAGTCACTGTAGACGTAGTCGGCTCCTCAGTGATGGTAGACGTAACTGTCGGTGTACTCGGCGCCTGGGTGGTAGACGTAATCGTGGATGTACTCGGCTCCATGGTGGTAGTCGACGTCACAGTAGATGTACTCGGCTCCTGAGTCGTTGTGGAGGTGACAGTGGATGAACTAGGTTCTTGAGTCGTTGTGGAGGTGACAGTGGATGTACTCGGCTCCTGAGTCGTTGTCGAGTTGCCAGTAGATGTACAAGGTTCCTCGGTGGTAGTCGAAGTCACTGTAGACGTAGTCGGCTCCTCAGTGATGGTAGACGTAACTGTCGGTGTACTCGGCGCCTGGGTGGTAGACGTAATCGTGGATGTACTCGGCTCCATGGTGGTAGTCGACGTCACAGTAGATGTACTCGGCTCCTGAGTCGTTGTGGAGGTGACAGTGGATGAACTAGGTTCTTGAGTCGTTGTGGAGGTGACAGTGGATGAACTAGGTTCTTGAGTCGTTGTGGAGGTGACAGTGGATGTACTCGGCTCCTGAGTCGTTGTCGAGTTGCCAGTAGATGTACAAGGTTCCTCGGTGGTAGTCGAAGTCACTGTAGACGTAGTCGGCTCCTCAGTGATGGTAGACGTAACTGTCGGTGTACTCGGCGCCTGGGTGGTAGACGTAATCGTGGATGTACTCGGCTCCATGGTGGTAGTCGACGTCACAGTAGATGTACTCGGCTCCTGAGTCGTTGTGGAGGTGACAGTGGATGAACTAGGTTCTTGAGTCGTTGTGGAGGTGACAGTGGATGTACTCGGCTCCTGAGTCGTTGTCGAGTTGCCAGTAGATGTACAAGGTTCCTCGGTGGTAGTCGAAGTCACTGTAGGCGTAGTCGGCTCCTCAGTGATGGTAGACGTAACTGTCGGTGTACTCGGCGCCTGGGTGGTAGACGTAATCGTGGATGTACTCGGCTCCATGGTGGTAGTCGACGTCACAGTAGATGTACTCGGCTCCTGAGTCGTTGTGGAGGTGACAGTGGATGAACTAGGTTCTTGAGTCGTTGTGGAGGTGACAGTGGATGAACTAGGTTCTTGAGTCGTTGTGGAGGTGACAGTGGATGTACTCGGCTCCTGAGTCGTTGTCGAGTTGCCAGTAGATGTACAAGGTTCCTCGGTGGTAGTCGAAGTCACTGTAGACGTAGTCGGCTCCTCAGTGATGGTAGACGTAACTGTCGGTGTACTCGGCGCCTGGGTGGTAGACGTAATCGTGGATGTACTCGGCTCCATGGTGGTAGTCGACGTCACAGTAGATGTACTCGGCTCCTGAGTCGTTGTGGAGGTGACAGTGGATGAACTAGGTTCTTGAGTCGTTGTGGAGGTGACAGTGGATGTACTCGGCTCCTGAGTCGTTGTCGAGTTGCCAGTAGATGTACAAGGTTCCTCGGTGGTAGTCGAAGTCACTGTAGACGTAGTCGGCTCCTCAGTGATGGTAGACGTAACTGTCGGTGTACTCGGCGCCTGGGTGGTAGACGTAATCGTGGATGTACTCGGCTCCATGGTGGTAGTCGACGTCACAGTAGATGTACTCGGCTCCTGAGTCGTTGTGGAGGTGACAGTGGATGAACTAGGTTCTTGAGTCGTTGTGGAGGTGACAGTGGATGTACTCGGCTCCTGAGTCGTTGTCGAGTTGCCAGTAGATGTACAAGGTTCCTCGGTGGTAGTCGAAGTCACTGTAGACGTAGTCGGCTCCTCAGTGATGGTAGACGTAACTGTCGGTGTACTCGGCGCCTGGGTGGTAGACGTAATCGTGGATGTACTCGGCTCCATGGTGGTAGTCGACGTCACAGTAGATGTACTCGGCTCCTGAGTCGTTGTGGAGGTGACAGTGGATGAACTAGGTTCTTGAGTCGTTGTGGAGGTGACAGTGGATGTACTCGGCTCCTGAGTCGTTGTCGAGTTGCCAGTAGATGTACAAGGTTCCTCGGTGGTAGTCGAAGTCACTGTAGACGTAGTCGGCTCCTCAGTGATGGTAGACGTAACTGTCGGTGTACTCGGCGCCTGGGTGGTAGACGTAATCGTGGATGTACTCGGCTCCATGGTGGTAGTCGACGTCACAGTAGATGTACTCGGCTCCTGAGTCGTTGTGGAGGTGACAGTGGATGAACTAGGTTCTTGAGTCGTTGTGGAGGTGACAGTGGATGTACTCGGCTCCTGAGTCGTTGTCGAGTTGCCAGTAGATGTACAAGGTTCCTCGGTGGTAGTCGAAGTCACTGTAGACGTAGTCGGCTCCTCAGTGATGGTAGACGTAACTGTCGGTGTACTCGGCGCCTGGGTGGTAGACGTAATCGTGGATGTACTCGGCTCCATGGTGGTAGTCGACGTCACAGTAGATGTACTCGGCTCCTGAGTCGTTGTGGAGGTGACAGTGGATGAACTAGGTTCTTGAGTCGTTGTGGAGGTGACAGTGGATGTACTCGGCTCCTGAGTCGTTGTCGAGTTGCCAGTAGATGTACAAGGTTCCTCGGTGGTAGTCGAAGTCACTGTAGACGTAGTCGGCTCCTCAGTGATGGTAGACGTAACTGTCGGTGTACTCGGCTCCTGGGTGGTAGACGTAATCGTGGATGTACTCGGCTCCATGGTGGTAGTCGACGTCACAGTAGATGTACTCGGCTCCTGAGTCGTTGTGGAGGTGACAGTGGATGAACTAGGTTCTTGAGTCGTTGTGGAGGTGACAGTGGATGAACTAGGTTCTTGAGTCGTTGTAGAGATGACAGTGGATGTACTCGGCTCCTGAGTCGTTGTCGAGTTGCCAGTAGATGTACAAGGTTCCTCGGTGGTAGTCGAAGTCACTGTAGGCGTAGTCGGCTCCTCAGTGATGGTAGACGTAACTGTCGGTGTACTCGGCGCCTGGGTGGTAGACGTAATCGTGGATGTACTCGGCTCCATGGTGGTAGTCGACGTCACAGTAGATGTACTCGGCTCCTGAGTCGTTGTGGAGGTGACAGTGGATGAACTAGGTTCTTGAGTCGTTGTGGAGGTGACAGTGGATGAACTAGGTTCTTGAGTCGTTGTGGAGGTGACAGTGGATGAACTAGGTTCTTGAGTCGTTGTGGAGGTGACAGTGGATGTACTCGGCTCCTGAGTCGTTGTCGAGTTGCCAGTAGATGTACAAGGTTCCTCGGTGGTAGTCGAAGTCACTGTAGACGTAGTCGGCTCCTCAGTGATGGTAGACGTAACTGTCGGTGTACTCGGCTCCTGGGTGGTAGACGTAATCGTGGATGTACTCGGCTCCATGGTGGTAGTCGACGTCACAGTAGATGTACTCGGCTCCTGAGTCGTTGTGGAGGTGACAGTGGATGAACTAGGTTCTTGAGTCGTTGTGGAGGTGACAGTGGATGTACTCGGCTCCTGAGTCGTTGTCGAGTTGCCAGTAGATGTACAAGGTTCCTGGGTGGTAGTCGAAGTCACTGTAGGCGTAGTCGGCTCCTCAGTGATGGTAGACGTAACTGTCGGTGTACTCGGCTCCTGGGTGGTAGACGTAATCGTGGATGTACTCGGCTCCATGGTGGTAGTCGACGTCACAGTAGATGTACTCGGCTCCTGAGTCGTTGTGGAGGTGACAGTGGATGAACTAGGTTCTTGAGTCGTTGTGGAGGTGACAGTGGATGAACTAGGTTCTTGAGTCGTTGTAGAGATGACAGTGGATGTACTCGGCTCCTGAGTCGTTGTCGAGTTGCCAGTAGATGTACAAGGTTCCTGGGTGGTAGTCGAAGTCACTGTAGGCGTAGTCGGCTCCTCAGTGATGGTAGACGTAACTGTCGGTGTACTCGGCTCCTGGGTGGCAGACGTAATCGTGGATGTACTCGGCTCCATGGTGGTAGTCGACGTCACAGTAGATGTACTCGGCTCCTGAGTCGTTGTGGAGGTGACAGTGGATGAACTAGGTTCTTGAGTCGTTGTGGAGATGACAGTGGATGAACTAGGTTCTTGAGTCGTTGTGGAGGTGACAGTGGATGAACTAGGTTCTTGAGTCGTTGTAGAGATGACAGTGGATGTACTCGGCTCCTGAGTCGTTGTCGAGTTGCCAGTAGATGTACAAGGTTCCTGGGTGGTAGTCGAAGTCACTGTAGGCGTAGTCGGCTCCTCAGTGATGGTAGACGTAACTGTCGGTGTACTCGGCTCCTGGGTGGTAGACGTAATCGTGGATGTACTCGGCTCCATGGTGGTAGTCGACGTCACAGTAGATGTACTCGGCTCCTGAGTCGTTGTGGAGGTGACAGTGGATGAACTAGGTTCTTGAGTCGTTGTGGAGGTGACAGTGGATGTACTCGGCTCCTGAGTCGTTGTCGAGTTGCCAGTAGATGTACAAGGTTCCTCGGTGGTAGTCGAAGTCACTGTAGGCGTAGTCGGCTCCTCAGTGATGGTAGACGTAACTGTCGGTGTACTCGGCGCCTGGGTGGTAGACGTAATCGTGGATGTACTCGGCTCCATGGTGGTAGTCGACGTCACAGTAGATGTACTCGGCTCCTGAGTCGTTGTGGAGGTGACAGTGGATGAACTAGGTTCTTGAGTCGTTGTGGAGATGACAGTGGATGTACTCGGCTCCTGAGTCGTTGTCGAGTTGCCAGTAGATGTACAAGGTTCCTCGGTGGTAGTCGAAGTCACTGTAGACGTAGTCGGCTCCTCAGTGATGGTAGACGTAACTGTCGGTGTACTCGGCGCCTGGGTGGTAGACGTAATCGTGGATGTACTCGGCTCCATGGTGGTAGTCGACGTCACAGTAGATGTACTCGGCTCCTGAGTCGTTGTGGAGGTGACAGTGGATGAACTAGGTTCTTGAGTCGTTGTGGAGATGACAGTGGATGAACTAGGTTCTTGAGTCGTAGTCGAGTTGCCAGTAGATATACAAGGTTCCTCGGTGGTAGTCGAAGTCACAGTAGACGTAGTCGGCTCCTGAGTGGTGGTAGACGTAACTGTCGAGGTGTTTGGTTGTTGAGTCGTGGTTATAGTAGAAGTGAATGTGCTGGTTAGAAGAGAAGTCGTTGATGAACTTGTTTCCGTCGCTGGCTACAACAAACAGTTAACATTGTTTCTCTTAATAGACTTACTGTCAATATGGGAACAGGACACCGTGCAGTTTGGCCGTGAGCAGCGAGCGCGACAATCAAGCATATTTCCAGAATGACCATCGCTGCGTGTCGAACTTCTATGATTCTGAGAACTTTATATTGTTCCGCACACATTTGCAATTCAGCACAAGAAACAATTATGCATATTTTGAGTGTCGCGTTGGAACATTCCGCCCCTGCTTTCACCATTAGCTTTTGTCGATAATAATGCAACTACACTCCAGTCTCTTTCTCCTCGCCCTTGTGCTTTCTTGTGTCGATGCGATCGGAAGTCCTGAAATATGCAAGTGCCCGGTGCTGAAGCAAGTTGACGCGAAGCTGTACGCACAAATAAGAGGAACGCCGAACATGCCTTCTAGCGAGATTCCGGACTTTTCTCCATTGGACGTGGACTACGGAGACAACTGCACGACGGTCACCATCACCTGCATCTATCCCAGATTCACGAGACATCGTTCGTCGTGTAATTTGAGAGCACAGTTCAGTTTTGCAGCAACATTAAAATTCGCATTTTGAATTGTGTTAATTTGACGGGAAAAGAAAAAAAAAGTGGTGGAAGTTTGAACGATAACTAGAGAGAAGTTGAAATGTGTCAGGAAGGTCCATGCTACTTCAGATGTTCGATCATAAAGTTTAAAGAAACATTTATTCAATACAATCAGTCATAACCAATGACAAACTTGAAAACGCCAAAATTAGTATTGAGCACAGTGATGATTGTCTTCCACAACAGTGAAACTTCTTCCCAAACACTAGTGACCAGCCTGTTGATGAGCATCGGTCGGTACGCACATTGGATGTAGCTGATTTCAGAGTTCTCTTCCGAAAGCCACACTCCGGTCATCTGATTGCATCTGATACTGTACTCGTCGGCCAAATCGAAGCGACGCACTGTTGAGAAGTTCTGCAAGGAATGGCGTAGAAAAGAGAAGATATGATTTTCGAAATAGATACCGCTCCATTAGCATAGTAGACCGACGAACGATGTCTCGTGAATCTGGGATAGATGCAGGTGATGGTGACCGTCGTGCAGTTGTCTCCGTAGTCCACGTCCAATGGAGAAAAGTCAGGAATCTCGCTCGAAGGCATGTTCGGCGTTCCTCTTATTTGTGCGTACAGCTCCGCGTCAACTTGCTTCAGCACCGGGCACTTGCATATTTCAGGACTTCCGATCGCATCGACACAAGAAAGCACAAGGGCGAGGAGAAAGAGACTGGAGTGTAGTTGCATTATTATCGACAAAAGCTAATGGTGAAAGCAGGGGCGGAATGTTCCAACGCGACACTCAAAATATGCATAATTGTTTCTTGTGCTGAATTGCAAATGTGTGCGGAACAATATAAAGTTCTCAGAATCATAGAAGTTCGACACGCAGCGATGGTCATTTTGGAAATATGCTTGATTGTCGCGCTCGCTGCTCACGGCCAAACTGCACGGTGTCCTGCTCCCATATCGACAGTAAGTCTATTAAAAGAAACAATGTTGACTGTTTGTTATAGCCAGCGACGGAAACAAGTTCATCAACGACTTATCTTCTAACCAGCACATTCACTTCTACTATAACCACGACTCAACAACCAAACACCTCGACAGTTACGTCTACCACCACTCAGGAGCCGACTACGTCCACTGTGACTTCGACTACAACTCAAGAACCTAGTTCATCGACAGTCCCCTCGACGACGACTCAGGAGCCGGCTTCGTCTACTGTGATGTCGACTACCACCCAGGAGCCGAGTACACTGACAGTTACGTCTACCACCACTCAAGAACCTAGTTCATTGACGATTACGTCTACCACCACTCAGGAGCCGACTACGTCTACTGTGACTTCGACTACCACCATGGAGCCGAGTACATCCACTGTCACCTCCACAACGACCCAGGAGCCGAGTACACCGACAGTTACGTCTACCACCACTCAGGAGCCGACTACGTCTTCTGTGACTTCGACTACAACCCAGGAGCCGACGACTTCAGATCCATATCCAGAAAGATGTAACTCGCTTCATGCACGTTCCTGTATTCATTCTGATTTACAGCTAACTGCACTTGCGCAGCCGATATTCCTGTTATTCAGCTTACCAGCAGCGATGGCATGTACAATGACACATTTTGGAGCGAACAGAGTGCAGTGATTGCTGCTAATTGGGATTCCTCGTATACCACTGTCGTTAAAATTGTCAACCAGTTGTCCAACACGAGCTGCTCAAACCAAATTCAATGCAGTTATCAAAAGGGAAACGGATTCGAATACGTGCAAGGAAACTTGTTCGTTGGATATGAGAATGGAACCGTGAGAGCTGGAAAGTTTAACAAGAAAAACAATTCAATTTACAGTACATTCAATATGTTGACAATCTGGATGGAAACACTACGTGGCCTTCCGTTTATTGTAACGCTGCGAATCATTGGACCTATGAAGGAGCATTAGTGGTCTCCGCCGGATGCATTTCAGTGATCTACTGGCCATGATTTCGGCTTCAATTTTCTCATTCTGTGTTGCAATGAAATTTCTGAACACCTGTATTTTTCAATGAATGCAAAACATCTACTATCAATATGCTAATGGAGCGGTATCTATTTCGAAAATCATCTGACCGATGCTCATCAACAGGCTGGTCACTAGTGTTTTGGAAGAAATTTCACTGTTGTGGAAGACAATCATCACTGTGCTCAAGACTAATTTTGGCGTTTTCAAGTTTGTCATTGGTTATGACTGATTGTATTGAATAAATGTTTCTTTAAACTTTATGATCGAACATCTGAAGTAGCATGGACCTTCCTGACACATTTCAACTTCTCTCTAGTTATCGTTCAAACTTCCACCACTTTTTTTTTCTTTTCCCGTCAAATTAACACAATTCAAAATGCGAATTTTAATGTTGCTGCAAAACTGAACTGTGCTCTCAAACTACACAGAATTCAGAGGGGTCGACTGGGACTGGAAAAGTACGAAATTGACAAGGAGGAACGAGTTCAGCCGAATGAAACTCTTTATCTATCACTTCTTACACTAAAGAGAACATAGGCTTCTCTCCCTCTCTCTCTCTCTCTTTCCCTCTTCCTCTTTGTCTTCCTCGGCCTATCCCTCAAGGAATGTGTAATATCTGAGGGATCGTCTGCGTCTCCGTCTCGCACCTGAACACCAGCACGCCCGCAAGAAGCTTCTGCGGGACAAACTTTCCTCGTTTCTCACTATCCAACCCATCCAGTTATTGATAAGTTGATGCGGACTTCGCACCAGTGTTCGCGAAACTACTTGACATTTTAGTGATGATACTGGTATAAAAGCGGACTCATTCTCGATCGGTTCGGTTTCAGGCAGTCTAACTCGATTGAAAGTACGTCACCAGTCACATTTAACCAAACACCACATGTTCCAGACTCTGAATTTCAACACTAAGTCATTAGAACAGCTCTCCCCTCTCGCTTTCTTTCGAAAACATCTGCAATCGCGCTGTGAGCTCCGCTTTCAAGCCCCGTCGCGTTTAATAAACGCGTCTCTCAGTTTCTCTCGAGCGGCCGTCCGGCCCCGTCCATCCATTACTACGTCAAGGTGTCTAACAAGAGGCCTTCCGCCACTCCAACCTTTCAACTCAATCTCTCGACTTTGTGTCTCAGTCAGTTAGTCGGTTAGTTACCGAGCTCATTCCGAGCACTGTTTGCTATCCATGTGTCGTGCCTGATCTGCTCAAAATTTTACATTTTTCTAATGCATTTTTCTGTTCTTGTAATTCACACGCACACATTTTCACCTCAATGATCTGGTTTTTGCGCGGGGAATTTCACTAATGCGAAAAACAACGGAATGCAGTGTTTTTAGAGGCTTTTCACCAAATTTTTAGTGTTCATGGATTGAATTTTTCCATTTGTTGCTCGAAATCGACATTTCTAGAAGCTCCAAAAGTTGAGAGGCCTACCGCACATCGAAACTGTGAAAGAAAGTGAAAAGTTCCCGAATTACCCTATTTACATTCGCTGGACAATGATCAGAACTCAAGTGGAAGGGCAAAGTTGGCGCTTTTCGGAAGGGCGAAGGATTCCGCCCTCTTTCCTTATTTCCCGCTACAAAACTCTCGCTTTTCTCCACTTCCTCTCTCTTTCTCTCTCTCTTCCAATTACATATGCCATTCTTTCCTTTCCAAGATGACTTCTCTTCCCCCTAATTGTCCACAAGTACTAATACCCGTTAGACAGAATGTAAACCGACCCTTTCTGATCGATTCGCTCGAGTGTACGTACTGGAAGATTACTATTTGAATTTCAAATTTTTGGAGTAACTGTTTTTGTCAACTTGCCAAGCACTACATCATAAAAACACTGGATTCTCCTACTGAAACACTACCGAATATTGCCAATCTGCACTTTTGATCTCTTCCCGTTTCTCCTCTATTTCTTCTTTTAATTCAGAACAATTCACGCATGTGTAAATCACATTGAAATAATGAGAAGAACGCAAATATCTCGGGCCTCGACACTCGCAGAAACACACTTTCTTTCTGGCGGGAGGATATAAATATTGACGTGGCAGAAACGGTATTTACTCTTTCTCTCGCTCGCAACTCTGTTATAATCGGAAGCAAAGTTATTTTTTGTCCTTCTCCCTTGAGGCGATCAATAAAAGTGACGAGGGGTCAGTTCAGGGAATCCGCGGTCAGTCACCTGTTCCACCCGGAGCAGGTTGAGGATTTCGATTTCGCAACGCTCTTCTTTCTTCTTCTTCTTCTTCTTTTTCTTTGCTCTTTCTCTTTCTCTCTCTCACTCTTTCTTTTCATCAACGATTCCGAATTGCAGATGGAGGAGGAACTCCAGCAATTGCGCACAAATGCGTCTTCAGATCTGATGACGGATGAGGTGAGCTTAGGAGATTTGAGAACAAAATCTGCTGTGAGCAACAAGCTTTTCAGGATTTCATCGCCACCATTGAATCGATGGGAGTGGAGGCTCAGGAACGAGAGATCAACGACTTGTTGAGTGAGTTGTCAAAGGACTCAGCAACCAGGGATATAGTTGGAATGAGGTACCGTGAAAAGTGTAAAAGAAGGCATCCTCAATACTGTTCATTCAAGACGATATGTCTCAACTTTTGAGTACTGGGGTGCCCTTCTATTGCAGTTTTCACGGTATCTTCAAACCCCAAAACCCCAAAACTACCGAACCGTTGAGCAGAAAGCAGAGAGACCCAAGAAAACACCTTCTGTTTACCAATTGGATTACCGTTTTGAACGGTCTCGCCCGCCCGTTCTCCCCTCCCCTCGCCCATTCTTTTGCCCCCACAAAAAAGATTTCTGTTACCCGGACTCTGCAAAGTACACACTGCTCGTTTCCCCTTTTCCCAGAACTTTCTCTCCCTCTTTTTCAAAAGTAAACCATTCCAGAAGCGATGCACGAGAACCGAATCGTTTCCTGGGACGAAGCAGAGCGTATCTTGATGGAAACCGATCAGACACCCGTGAGTTCAACTTTAATTTATATAGTCAATGCTCTTTTTCGCTCTTGTTCAGATCAAATGCAGTTTGCCAGAGCAGACGCGACCCACAGAGCCTGACAATGAGGTGGACGTGGACCAATGTATCAGAAAACTGCTGGACAATGATCCGTCGCTCAAAGAGATCAATCTGAACAACATGAAAGTGAGTGCCACGTCATCTAGAGCCAAACATTATGTCCACCGTCTGCAGAGAACCCCAGTGCCAGCAATCAAACGACTTCTGGAAGCACTCGCGTACAATGAGCACTGCGAAAGAATCTCATTGGCCAACATGGGATTGTACGATCATGACATCAATGTGAGCTATCGAGCAAATGCAATCGAAAAAGAACATTACTTTCAGGTCCTTGTTCCAGTCATCGAGATGAATCAGGCAATCAAAAAAGTGAACTTGGAGACGAATTACTTGAGTGGTTGGCCGAAAACATTGGAAAGAATAGAAGAGAAACAGGCAGATTTCAGGAGATTTCTTTGCAAAACTGTTCAAAGCGGCTTTGGTGAACGAGTCAGTCGAGGAGATCAAAGCGGTGAATCAGGGAGTTTCGTTCTCGACTCAATCCGAAAAAGAGATCATCGACGCGATTGTGAAGAACCACGGACTCACCAAGATCTCCATCAATTTCCGATTACCCGAGGGCCGACACAAAGTGGAGAATGCCACGTTACGCAACGGAGAACTTAGTGAGTAGCTGACAAATGGTCTAAAAGCACACCGCACGTTTCAGAGCGGATAAAACGACGAGAAGCCGCTCAGAAAGCTCGCCTTGAAGCGGAAGAGCTGGCCAAGAATCCAGTGGTAACCGTGATGCTTACAGGCGGACATTTGAACTGTGAACTTAAATTTCAGCCGAAGCTGGCGCCGGAACCAAAAAAAGAGCCGGAGCCGAAGAAGATTGCTCCGAAGGTTCGTTTGACTGTCTTCTGATGAGCATGGCGTGCCGATGTAAATACTGAATAACACACTCTTTCGATAATATAATGATTTCTCCCGGTTTGATGTGATTCCTTCGATTATACAATACATTGTCTCTTTTTGTCTTTGTCTGTTTTTTCAGGTTCCTGTCAGTTGTCTATTGTCAACTCAATGTTGATTGCAGTCGTTCATGTTCCATTTCTAGTACTTTTCTATTCAATTTCTTCTTCTAGATCCCTCCAGCAATGCCAAAATCGCTTGTTTCGCCCGAACCCAAACCTTCGCTCAACTCACTCCCCAAGACTCCTCCTGTCGTCGCCACGGCCCCTCCAAAGTCTACTATCCTAATGAAGCAGCTCTCGTTCCAAAGAGCAAGCAGAGAATCGGAAGAGGACACGGAGCTGGTGGCCCCTCCGCCGGTCCCCGAGCCCCCGAAGAAGCTCGCGATTCCGACGACTTTTATGAAGAAGGAAGAGGTTCCGACGCTTCAGAAAGTTGCGAAAAGGCCGACAAAGCAATGGGAGCCGAAGAAACAAGAGTCCGAGGAGAAAGAGGAAGTGAAGGAAGAGCCGACTCCGACAAAAGTGGAGAGGAAGCACTGGGAGCCGAAAGTTGCTCCGGCGGTCGATCAGGGATACGCTCCAATGCTCGACGTTTCTGGAAATGCGGTGCCCGTTGCGCCGAAGCCAAAGCTTGACGGAGCAGCGTTGAAAGTGCGGAGACCTCCGGTGACTGCGAAAAACATTTGGGAGCAGAGGATTGCGAAGATCGAGAGGAAAGAGGAAAAGAAGAAGGAGAAGCCGTTGATGTCGATCCAGAAGATTCGAGAGTTGGAGAAGAAGGAAGAGATGAAGAAGGAAGAAGACGACCGACTCGAGCAGTTGCTCAAGAAGGAAAAAGAGCCAAAGAGGTTGAATCTGGAGCACAAGAAGCTGTTCGAGGGCTCAGGAACAGAAGAGAAACCGGTCAGACATCACGTTCAGAAACTTGTTGCCAAGAAGCCAAACTCCATTCTGACGTCATCAGAAGCCACCAAACTGGGAGGAGAAAGAAAGGAAGAGACACGACCAAGTACAGTAATCCGACGGACTGTCATGAGGAAGAAGGAGACGGAGCCGAAGGAGAACGAGCACGATCAGCCGAAAAGGAGACTGGTTCGAAAGAAGAAGGTGGTCGAAGAGACGGCCGAAGAGCCGAATGGGAACGGAAACGGACATCCTCGTCACCTGGCAACTGCGCCTCCACAGGCGGTTCATTGACAATTCTGTAATTATTTTGTGAATTTTTGAAGCCGCTATTGTGCGGTTCTTGTGATACAAACTTGTATTTATATATTATACTTCCTTCAAAATTTCCCGTCTAACCCTTTCTTCACGACTTCTGCTGCCACACTTCTCATACCCCAATAACTTATTGCCCGAATGAAACCATCTGAGAAACCAAAAAACAATAGAATAATGTTTAAGATCGGAGAGGATACGCCGTCGTCGCCGATGCAGGTGTACAAATTGAATCGAGCACTTTCGAGGGACGTCCAGTGAAACAAGCGAAACCTTTTCGATAAAACTTTCTCTCGTTAAGTTCGGTGACTTCCCTCGGGCATTTCAATGTCAATAAATCAGTGATAAAATGGGAAAGTGCAGTATCACACAGAAAAGGTTATGAGAAAGACGGACGGTCTTAGTCATTCCCATAACCTTCCTTTTGGCTCATTCGACACGAGCCCCCGGACTTCAATTTGTGTGCAATTTTTGAGAAAAAGCGCGCGCGTGCCAAAATTGACATCTTCACCGGGGTCGCCCTCCTTCTCCATTATTCATACCCAATTTCGAGAAAAAAGAAGAAGAAGAAGAAGAAGATGTCCCCATATGGATCCTTTTTTGATGAACAGCTTCTTCTCTCTCTCTCTCTCTTTCATTTGCATCCAGATCGTCGAGGATAATAAGGTTTCAGCTGAAGAAAAGAATTCGGAATGAATTACTGACACGACCGCCCTTCTTATCGGAGCCGCCTTCTCTCTTTTTCTTCTTTTCGTCGTCGTCGCCTCTATCTTTTTGTTCAAACCGATCTAATCGGTTTAGAATACTATCAGTTGGAGCACTTTTGACGCTCGAACAACAAAAATGATCTGAAATGGCTGAAATACAAGTTACTCTTGTTAAGCCGATCATTTTCTGAACAAAGAACGGTCGCGTTGACTCGAAATGTTTGAATTTCCCACCATTGGGTCGTGCGATATTTTTAAGTTTGCGACTTGGCAGTCATTTCCGATGAGGATGAGCAGGAGGACCTTCAAAGATGATAATCCGGGTACGTCTTCTTCCGGCTTCCGGTCGGATATGCCAGACGCATTAGTGATAAGCGGCTGCTGCAATGATTATCATGTCGTCCCGCCCGACCATTTTTCGAGAGGCTTCCTCCGATAATCCCTTCATTCTTTACTGATTCATGCCTAAGATTCACTGTGATTTCGCCGAGTTGCCACGTCATCCGGGCAAAGTGCGCCGCCGTGAAAGAAGCACGACAACACTTTCGGCCAATTATCTCATCGACGGCCAATCGAGTTAGCAGTCACAGTTGCTCTTTTCCCTTTTTTCACTCGTGTCGCGATCGTCTCCGAGAGAGTACTTTTTCAATTTCCTTCCCAACTTCCGTTCTCTGTGGCAGAAGTATAAAAGAATGCCGCGATCAGCGAAACCAATAATTCAAACTCTCTCGTCGAGGCGCTCAAATTATAGGTTGTCCTAGTTCGTCTCGTCGAGTCCTTCTTTACTTTCTTCCGTTTTTGTTTTAAGAAAATCTCAGGAGATCGTGCGCGAAGATTCTTCTTCTTCTTCTTCGTCTTCGTCCCGCTTCATTAGGCTCCGGGCGGCCCATTTGCTCTTTTAGTGCTCCGTTGACTTTTATGCTCCTCCATTCGTCGTCTTCTTCTTTCTCCTCCCTCCCTCCCATTTTCGGCCCGTTTTCTAATAAATAAAATGTCCCGCGGTTTTGAACGAACCGCCATCAAACCGCCCAATTTCTTTTCTTCTTCTTCTTTTTCTTCTCCTTCGCCGTCTTCGACTATTAGTAGCGGACGGGCCGGTTTTATGAGCTCTCGCACAACATGTTCCCAGCCACCCCCAACTCATGATTCATCCGAGTAACCATTATTCCGTCGGTCTATTACAACCCGATGACGATGACGACGTGATAATCGAGATGCTCAGAGAATGCTGTGAGTTACCGATGGCTCTCTCCGACATCTTCCCGATCTTCATCGTCGCCGGCGCACTCTGGATCCTGGTCTACTGTATTCTGATGACGCAGAAGATCTTATGGACACACAGTACCAGGAGATTCAGCCGAAGCAGCACGGCGAGGAGGAAGAGGGCGACGAGCATCAGCCGGTCCACGACACGCATCCACACGTGGAGAATGAAAAGTAGGTGGGATGTCTAGACGCCGGTGTGCCCAGTGTCTAACAGTTTTGTTATTTTCACAGTGAGTGAGCGACGAAAGTTCGATTCCCGAGTTGTTTGTTTCTCTTTTGTTTTGTGTTTTTTTTGTGTTTTCCAGATAGATGAGTAAATAGTTGAATACACGTGTTTGCCGACACACTAGTCGCCCAGAAGACCTTCTAATTGAGTTGTGCACCCGCACTCTCACTCTAAAATCCTTCTTTTTTCCGATTCTTGACGCTTAAGGGCAATTTGTGGGCAAATTAACCAACTGTTGTAAATTCACCAAACCCCCCAAACACAATCACTTTCGCTTTCGGCCTCACTCAAAAAAAAAAACAGAAGAGAGAGAGAGAGAGGGAGAGAGAGAGAAAACGCAAACAATGATCCGGTTCAACATTAATCCGTTTGTCTCGATTTCAGTCGCAAACACGATCACACCGAACGGACCTTCTTCGCCTATTACCTCTGATTTGGGCGCCATCGACTCCAATATGCAGCACTCTAACTCAACACATTCTCATTTCTCACACGGGTTTATTTTCCTCGTTTCGCACTGTTGTACCACTGGCGGGAGCGGAAATGAGTGCGACCAATCATTGTATTCCGACAATTGTCCAGTTTCATTTTTTGTGTGTGTCTCGCCCAATATTATTATTTCTAACCCTCATCATTTTTTTCAACATACCCACACCGATATAAAACGTTCGAAATATGACGCATTGCCAGTTGTTTTTCATCGGCTCACCTCGATTTAATAAGTACCACCCACTCACTCACCGATGTGCCTTATCGAAAAACGTTTGTATTTTGATGAATTTAACAAAACGCTGTCGATAAGACACACTAGAGCAACATAACGAAACCAGCGGAGCAAATCGTACTCGTACTCGCCGTTATCTAGTTTCAATTGTTCTCTTTTGTTCTACATTTACAACCGATTTCAGCGTGCGCTCTCATTCCATTTCATCGGTTCGGAATGTTCGGAGTGTCACAGGCAACTTGGAATATTTGCCAGCTAGGATCTATTTTCTTCTTCAACTTTTTCTCTTTTTTCACACTTTGTAAGTCCCCCCATTCCTCCGGCCGCCACTCGTTATCGGGAGCGCGCCACCCGTCCGCATCGGTAGCTCATGTGGGAGAGCACAGGTGAAACTTCAGATGTGTGCCGCCGGAGGAATACTAACTCATTTCACTCTTTTGCAATGCATTTTTTCAGCGGCATTGTCACAGACCATTATTGAGAATGTGTCGAAAACGAATGGAATAAATGAGCACGCCGGGTATTATAGGTGAGAGCCGAATGTGTCTTGTTGAAGGAGATGCTCGTTTAGTGCATTTCTAACGTATCTCGTATTCACAATCGGTCATTTTGTGGCCACTCCGATTGTCGAAATAATCACTCCGAAATGGGCAATTGTTATTGGATTAATGGGCTATGCAATGTTTGAAGCAGCGTTTCTATGGATGAACGAATGGTTCCTCTACTTCTCGGCCGCCTGTGCAGGATTCTCCGGTTCTTGTCAGTCATCACACTTGTTCCATCCCAATAGTCCTTAATTTTAAGTGCTGTGGACTGGACAGTTTGACTATCTCGCTCAGAATTGTCAGCCACACACTTTGGATCGAAACACTTCCAATCTGTGGGGTATTTCGCAGATATCGTAAGCAACTTTGGCTCTTAAAATCTTTAAAAAAAATTGTCTTTCAGTCTCATTTTCGGGGGCGGATACCTGCTGCTAATCTACCGTTTCCAAACTGGAAATGACTTTGAAATGCCGCTTGTGAGTGAGAGATTTCTCTTCTTCAAAAACTCAAATGAAAACTTCAGGTGCGTCTGGTCGTCGGCTCGTTTTTGGTTTGCAGTGTCATCGCAACCGTCATCGGAATCCTCCTGCCGAAGCCAGTTTTTAAAGCGGAAAAGTACAACATTCCATACTTGAAACACCTCGGTTCGAGAAACTTCTAATATCCTTCAACTAATTGGGAGTTTCAGTGGAAATTGTGAAAATAAGTTCCGACCGAAATCTCATGTTCCTCTTCTTCACATTCTTATACACCGGCATGGAATTGGCTTTTTTCTCGATCGTCTACCCCACAATGGTCTCTTTTACGAAAGTATTGGGCAACACGAGGGATCTAAACGCAATCACATCCATTTTTGTGGGCCTCGGCAACGTTTCGGGTGAGTGAGAAAAGGGAAACGGCGGGCGATTTCGCTAAACTCCGCCCACCTCGCATACAAAACATAGCGGGCGGCGGAACCCGCGAGGTGTCGGCTGCGCGTGGCAGTCATACCGCGGCTGCTTGCTCTTGCATCACCTTGTTACAATCCAATGATGAGAGTTTGCGACTAGGGCGGTCTTACACAATGATGGTGATTCTAGTCATTCTGATGGTACGTAACAAGAGAAAAAATTTTTGGAAAGAGGTCTCTTTTGGGAATTTGAAGTTTTAACGCTTGCAGGGTGCCTAGTGTTGGGTCTTCTCGGCGCAAGAGTTCGCGCAATTGGGCGGAAGAAAATGGTTCTTCTGGCGGCGATTCTCCACATGACATGTTTCCTGTTGACGTTCTTGACGTTCCCCGATGAGTCGCCACTCCGGCCGACATACGATTCTGGGTATTATCCTCCGAGGCAAGGGAAATTGAGCCCGTCAGAAGTGGACTTTTCGCTTTTTCAGTGTCGTCATCGTTCTCCTCTGCGGATTTCTGTTGGGTGTCGGTGACACATTTTACAATCAACAGTGCTACACCATCTTGAGCGACATTTTCGAGCACGATAGAAGAATTGAGGCGTTCGCAGTGTACAGATTCTTTCAGGTGGACAGAAATGCGTTGAGTTAATGGAACAGGAGACTTTTAGAGTGCTGCCAGTTGCGCAGTCATGTTCTATTCCGCCCACGCACTTCTGAAGACTCACATCATCGTTCTTTCGTTCTTCTGCGTAATAGCGACTGCAACATTTTTCGGAGTTCGGTAGGAACACGATAATATCAGAAACTTTCGAGGGAACATTTATCAGAGAACCCGAAAAGCTGTCGACTGCGCCAAGTGACGTGACGGTCGAAGTGGTGAAATTGAGTGAGCTAAAACCGAAAAAGTATTTTATAGTGCTGTTTTCAGGGGCGATTTCTACGGATTCTTGATTGTACATGACTTTTTTTTCAAATACCTTGTTTCTGTTTTGTCTCTCTTCAAAGACCTGCAGTATTTGTGAATAAACTTCATCAAGGAATCAGTGCGTATTGAACTTTGTAGACGAAAGAAAGACGGAGGATTGCGCCTTTTCTGAAGTGACACGAATCACGTATCAATTCCCACCGGCTGAAGCTCACTAGGGAATGGCCTGCACTTACCTTGGGCTTTTGGAATGGGACCTATATGATTCGAAAGAGAATTTCACGGAGAATCCGAATCTGCTCTCCATTTTTGCTAAAGAGCACTGGCTGGCGAGAAAATCGCATCTGAAATTTCAGTGCTAAATTCATTTTTTAACATGTAATCTGCAGTTTGGTGCAGAGCAGCGCTGCGGAAGCACTGAAACTGGGCGAGTGACAACAACAGTCGCTCGGGCGCCCACACCCTCTGCACCAAACTGCAGATTACATGTTAAAAAATGAATTTAGCAAGTGCAGGCCATTCCCTAGTCAGACGGAATAACTCAATAATATCACTCTTTCGTCAGTTATTATCAATAGAATCAAAGGTACCCTTTGAAAAAGACGACAACAGAGAATGCGCCTACCCGCTTATTTGCTCTGATTCCACTCTACTTCTTCTCTCTCTCTCTCTCTTCTTCGCAATGGAAGATCCGATCTCTGCGCCCCTGATCTACGTGACTTTGATTGTGTCCATTGTCGGACTGTTCGGCAACCTCACCATCGTTTTGGTGACTATTAAAAGTAAATCATTGCACACGAAATGCACTTTTCTCATCGGATTACTCGCATTTTCCGATTTCATCGTCTGCATTCATCTTGTAAGTCTTCAGATGTTTCAATCTGATTCTCATGCCTATTCAGGTACACTTGAGAGTTTTAATGATAATGAAAGTGTACGACATCTCGAACAGAACGTGTTTTTATCAGTCAGTCTACGGAATCTTCGCGATAAATATGCAAAGCGCTCTTGGACTTTTAATCGGAATCGACCGCCTTCTTAATGTTTCTTTTCCGATTAGGTGAGCTAGAAAGTGTTCGATAATAACCTATTATTGTTTTTTCCTCAGATATCCACAAGTTCCGCTCGCTTTTTACTCTGTCGCTTTCTCTCTGTGCATCACATTCTCCTCGGTTGTTATTCTCACAGAATTCCTCTTTCCAGCGGGTAATCGCCGTGATTTCAATTCATTTCCCGAGGAATATTTTCAGAGGCGAGAACAGTTTCAGTCTGCTTGCCGGTGAGTGCTCTCGACGGAATTTCTCTCAAACTTTGGCTTTCCACCAACTTTTTCATCGCAATCTCAGTCGTTGCCGTGTACTTTTGGACTCATAAAAAGTGTCAATTTTTGAAAGGTTTCTTCAACCGGAAGAGAGCAAGTTATTCCACAGAGCTTTCAGCCACAAATCATCACGCTCGGACAATGGAGTTTATCAATCGGATTCTAAAGTCTCTCACGATAATCATTGGCTTGTACGTGTGTACGTGGTTCGCCGCCATCGCCACATTGTTCATGACCGACGTACGAGCACTCAACAGATCCCGCTTAACCTTTCACATTTTCGACATTCCAGATTCTCAACACGAATACCGAAACTACTCTGATCATCCAGAAATGGGCCGGTTCGTTCGTCGTCTGCAACTCGTCTCTTCACGTCTTTGTGTACTTTTGGAGAACTCCCGATTACCGGTTCGACTTTTCCCTTCTCGCAATCCATTTTTCAGTTGATTACAGAAAAGCAATCTGCCAGTTCTACGGATTTTGTCAGAAAACAGAGCACAGTTCGACTACTACTGCCGCTTTTCATATTCACAAGAATCCATCGTTTTATGAACTTTTGTTATCCAGAGCTCTTGATCATCACTATTCGCACCTAAAATCGCTCCTCGATAGGCGCCCATTCGCACCTCAGAGTACCTCGCACCCCGAAGATGATTGGCAAGTACGACTACTGCTATCTGCGAAATTTACGGCCGTTCTGTGCGTATCCTTAAATGCCTTCCCAGCGGCGAAAATCTCTTTTTCGATAATTTCCGGTCGCTTATCACTTTGCTTTTCCTGGTTTTTGTTCGATTCTTTACTTTTTCACAATAAAGTTTCATGTGTATAGGAAACTGGCGTCTGAATCGTCTGAAAAGCATGCTCAACTTAGGGCCTAATACTTTTTTTGATATTCAGAAAGTATTTTGTTCCCGCTTCCAATATCGTCTTTCCGATCAGTTTTTGTAAAAAAAATGCGAAAATGGTAAAGTCAGCAAGCTCGCTCTATCGCACATTTTCAAACTACGGTCGTCTTTGAAAAAATTGCTAGATTTACTTAATATTTTCACAAAAATCCCATTATGCTTTTTCAAATTTCACTATTTAGTTCCCTTTCATCTGTTGAATTTTCTTTCTAAAGTGTTTTTATTTCGCACATTGTAAAAATAATCGGCTGACAGCTCAAATCTTATCTGGTTCAATTCATCTTCCGCCTGCTCTCGATCGTAAATCATTTCTATCAAAAACACGTTTTTATCAGTAAAAGTGATTAAGATTCGAAATGTGTAGTGGTTCAGACGTGCGAATATCTAATCTCACCTTTTCGTTCGTTTTGACCTTCCTCTCCAGTGGCCATGCCCCCTTCTTTCAGAACCGCGAACGCGCGCACTCGCCGCTCCGCCCCCCTCCGCCCCGACCATTCGGCACGAAACATCTGCGATCAGACTCAGTTTCCTCCGATATTATTCTTCGTCTCATCAAGAAAACGATGCACGAACTGATCAAGTGGACGTTGTTTTGTCTTCTTGTCTGCTGTCCCACTACAAATGCCTGGTGGTTAGTTTGTTTTCTCTTTTTTGCCAGTGATCATTAGGATTTCCTCATCTGACATGATTTCGTTCGTTACTCTTGTGCTTTCATTCATTTCCAACAGTTTCTCAGCTTTCCCGTTCCCAGACAAATCCGTCTGTTTGCAAACTGTTGCCCTCATAAAGACGGGGTCGTCGTAGAGCGGTGAGAACTCGGTTCCAAAGGACCTTCTGCCAGCAGTGTATCGTAAAAGTGTGTTGCGCGGAGGGCATCTGAATTGTTTGGCAACACACGCCAGTAATCCTTCTGTCGACCGCCCGTACGGGACCATTTACCCTCTTTTTGATGAAATTGCCGCCGCCGTTGCCGATTTTATGAGCAATAAGCTATAAAATTGGGTGGATGAGAAGGACGAAGGTCCGGCGGAAGCGACAATCTGACTAAACGAGAAGGGGAATCGGAGAAGCGTTGATAAAAACTGAACGACAATTACAGGCTGCTCTCAAAAGCGGACACTTCCTCTCCGAACTCGGCGAACTCGCCGATTCTCTGCAAAAATGTGCCCGGATTGACGCCCCAACAGAAGCGAATGTGCCACGAAAACCCGCACGTCATCAAGTTTCTGGTAAGAACTTCAGAAAGAGCTGAACGAAATCAAATGGTTTTGCAGATATCTGGCCTCCGAAGCGCTCTGCACACTTGCGAGAACACTTTCCAGCGAGAAGCGTGGAATTGCACACTGACAGTGCCCGGAATAGGAACTTCGCCTCTTCAAAGTGCGTTTTCCGTTTATGCATTTCCGTCCAGAACACCTGCATCTTTTGTTCCTACAAATATTTTTTTCAGTCGCCTCCCGTGAATCAGCCTATGTGTACGCGATTTCGGCGGCCGGAGTGTCGCACGCCCTGGCTCGCGCCTGTTCAAAGGTAACCGAATGACTCACTCGTCCCGAGAATGGCGGCATTGATTGCCGTTCCCCTCTCTTTTTCTCTAACCTTTTCCCGTTCTTTTAGGGTCTAATCGACGACTGCGGATGCGGAGAAACACCTCAAGGGGGCGATCAGGAAGCATCCTCCCGCTCTCCGAGTGATTTCGTTTGGGCTGGATGCTCGGACAATGTCAAGTTCGGAAACGCTTTCGGTCGCAAATTTGTCGATCAGTACGACAGACAGCACGCGACGGAGCCCCGTTCCCAGATGAATCTGCACAATAACCGAGTCGGTCGTCGTCTTCTCGTCACTGCCATGAACAGAGAGTGCAAGTGTCACGGAGTCTCTGGCAGTTGTGTGACCAAGACGTGCTGGAAGGTGATGCCGAAGTTCGACGAGTTCGCCGTCCGCCTCTACGACAAGTACCAGCTGGCCAAGCAGGTGACGACGAGCGACAAGAAGCTGTTCGTCAGAAGCACTCCCGTGTCGAACGGAAGAACAGAACGACTTGCAAAGACGATCGATGCCTCTTCTAAGGTAAGTCCGAACCAAGGCCAGAACATTTCTGAAATGCCTGTTCAGCAAATGCGCAACGAACTCGTTTATTTGGATCCATCTCCTAATTACTGCGCGATCGACGTCAAGGACCGTGAATGCGGAGACAACTGCGCGAACATATGCTGCGGCCGAGGCTGGAAAACGAGTCGCGAAATCGTCGACGAGCCGTGCCACTGCCAGTTTGTGTGGTGCTGTGAAGTGAAGTGCAAGACATGCAAGAAGCTGGTCGAACGAAACTTCTGTCTTTGAACCCTCCTTTTACTCTAATCTGCCACATTTTGTCGATGTAAATCCCCCGTAAGTGCACTCTAATTTCTATTCGCATATAACTCTATTGAATCGCCTTCCTGTAGCTCACAGATGCCTTTACTTTCTATATCTCAAAGTTTTATGTTTATACGAATCTCTCCCGACCACCAGTTCTCCAGAAATACCCAGAACTTTTTCTTCCTTTACTTATCGATTCCTGCTGTGTGACAGTTTTGTTATTTAGGAGCATTTTCCCATTTTAGCCCGCTTGTGTATCTAATAAATAGCCAAATTAATATAATTTTTGCTTCTTATGACTCATATTTCATCAATCACACGTATAATTTATACAATTTCCAGCAATGTCTCCTCTCTAGTTTCTCTTCTTTTTGGCAGCCGCCGAGTTGGACCAATACATGAAGAACTGGGCAAAAATGAGGCCGTTGAGAACAGCGGCAGTCGAGTAAGAAACGATGAGAAGCATGTCACCGGTGTCCTGCACCGAAGTGAACACTCGGGCGACTGTTCCGGCGAACTGAAGGAAAACTGAGATCAAGGAGAGCTGTCCGGTTGACTGAGCCTGATAGTTCTGCCAGATTTGGAGCAACTGCAATAAAAATTAAACTTTGTTTTGCCGAGAAAACTCGGACTCTCACCTTCGAAACGACCACAATCGGAATTCCGGCGGTTTGAACGGCGACGAGAGCATTCATCGGAATGGTTTTGCTGATGACTCCGTATGCGACGGCTCCAACGACTCCCAGGAATCCGACGGAAACGACGACTTGTCCGGAGAAGAGGAAGATTTGGAGGAGGATGATGACGAGCTGAACGGCGACGAAAAACGAGTCCCCCCAGCCACTGAACACGAATCCCGACCGGTAACTGTACGAAGCAGTTCCGATCGCTCCGACGAGAGCCAGAAGTTGAGACGACGCGGAGATTCCCTGAAAATGACTCCTTTTTCAGGTTTTTAGAGCGATTTTAATACCTGGGCACTGCGAGCAGCCTGGATTTTCAGAATCTGAGGCACGAAGAGGAGAATCGAGCCGATCGTGATGGCGAAACCAAGACCACGGCTAAGAACTGCTTTCGGGCATGTTGCTGAAAGGTTCTGCTTTGAAATCGAGTTTATCAGGCTCAAAATAAAACTCACGATGGAAGAAATTAAAGTTGATTAGCAGTTCTTCGAAGCAATTGTCCGGAAAGAGACTCTGAATGGCGTCGTGCACAATTTTTGACATTCTAAAAATCGATAATTAAGCATTTCTTAATTTTTTGGTAAAAAATTTAACAAGAAATGAGAAAAATGGTGTGATTTGAGCTGAAAAAGTAATTCAAAAATTCGCGAAAAAAATTGACAACGCGTCAAGCGAATGTTTGCGTGTTTCGCGTGCCTTTGCGTATTTGCCGTGCGGCGGCAGTGCAACGTCGTGCAAGGCAAATCGGGTCGGAACCGGCAAAAGTGACTGTTATCAGCGGAGTATTTATTAGTCGAGAAACTGGGAGAAAAACTCTCAAAGGCACCTCGGGACACTGATAATTGTGCAAAAAGTGGGTAGAAAACGATAAAACAAAGTGTCGTTGCCGTGCGTCATTGGACTCGATGGTTTTTAGGTTTCTCGGTTTCCAAGGGGGCTCAACCAGCCGCATAATTATAGGTTCCGAGCCCTTCTAACACGATTTCTCTTCCTTTTCGTCCTCAGTTCTTCATTCTGCCCTCAACATGAATCATGTAGTCCTACCCGGCTGTTCGGTTCCCGAAGAAGATCTTTTCCGCAAGAACTCGACATTGGAGAAGTTCTTCCGCGAGTTCAACGAGTCCGACTTCGAAGCGATTCTGTCATTCTCAACCGTACAAATTCCAGACTGACCGGTCCGTTCGCCGTGAAATCCATCGTGTTCGTCTCCGCCTCCTACTTTCTTATCAACACCTTCCACCTCATTATTCTGACGAGACCCACGATGAAAAGTCTGAGCGTTTCGAAGGAAATGATATTGATCGCAGTCTCTGGAATCGTTTCCGGATCATTGGGAGTAGTGAAGAACATGGTCGAGATGTTCCGATTCGAGATTTTGTGGTAGGAGCTGATAATGATGTACTTAATTCATGAAAACGAACGAACATTTCAGCGCCAATTCGTTCTCGTATGTTTTGGTAACGGTGAGTTTCTGTCTCTTCACTGAGAAGATGATTATAGCTTTAAGAAAATGAAGTGTGATTTCAGTTTCAGCTCGGACACTTTCTGGTATTTCAAGTTTTCAACCAAGTCATTCTATGGGAAATCGTCTACATCACGTTTCTGAGAGCAACCATCATTCTGGACGTCCGACACGGAATGTACGCATCCGAAGCCATTCAGCCAGCATACAGCTTCGATTTCAGAAAAACGGAACGAGTGAGACGGAACATGAAACGATTCATCTACACAGTTTTCATCGTCTTCCTCCTGAATCACATTGTTCGGATATCATTCCATCGTATTGAGCACGGCTATGACGAGTTGGCGATGGAGGAGTTGGCTGCAAGACAGTGGGATTTCCGGACAAGACTACGCTTCTCATGAAGTGCTTTCAGGTGCAAACTTGATAAAATCTACACGATAAATTCATTCGCCGGAAACTGTCTCCGCAGAATCTTGCTCTCTATCGCTGGAATCACGAGCCTAGTATGCTTCTAGGAGTATTCTCCCAGTTTGTACCTTTGTTTTCAGATTATTCCAATTTTCATCATGTGCGCCCTCTCTGTTTTCTTAGTCTTCGAACTTCGATCGTCTGCTACGTCCTCATCGGCGGCTTCTAACCACAATTCCACTCAATCCGATAACCGGAAAAGCAACGCAGCCTCGGCTCTTCTGCTCTTTCTGTGCTTTTACGTGCTCGCAGAACTGCCCTACGTGGTACTCTTCAGTGTAGGACTGTACAATCCGGCTGATTTTGAGTGAGTAAAAGTGTGTGAGACGTCTTTTTTCAATGAAAATGCTTTGAGGCAACTAGACGAATACATTTACATTCAAGTGGACATGTTTATTTATGTGAACATGTCCTTGGGCATACTGGTGTACTGTCTGATGTCTTCGCAGTACAGGGACACAGTTTTGATCACGTTTTGGCGGAAGAACAAGGCAGTCGTGGGAGATCAGGTGAGAGAATTTTGTGGTATTCGGATGATATTCGGGTTCAGAGTTCTCGAACGACGACTTGAGAAGAGATACGAATTCAATGTATTCTTTTAGTGAATAAATAAAGCTGATGTCAAGCGCCATTCATTCTTCAATCTCCCTCTCTAACTTTTATAATTGTATGAGACTCAACTCAATTTCAGTCGCACTTTTGTCCGTGTTCATTCATTTCACCCAATTTGTGCCATACGTCACACACGCACGCACCACAACGGGCTGATTCTGAACGAGTAGGAGGGGAAAAGTAAGCGGCGTCTCCCTCTCGCGCTCTCGCTCCTTCTCGGGTTGCTATGATACTCTCGGCCGCCGACTTCTGTTATCGGCCGACCCTTTCGGGCCGAAGGAGAAGCTGTCTACACTCGCACCGGCGGCGTCGCTTCGTCTCTCTGTTTCCATCCACGGTATCGTTTCTTTTATTCACAAACAAACAAGATCTAGCGTGCACCGGCTCTTGATGAAGTCCGAAATAGTTTGTGAGTGGATTGAGACTATTCCCAAGCCGGGCGCCGCTCATTACGACTATCACACGCCTCAAAGTCACCACTTTTCCGGCTATGCGCGTGAATCAGCATTGAACTTTATCTCGTAGCTATTCGTTAGAGTGCACTACACTTTCAAAGTAGAAATTCTAATCATTTCTCATCTTTGTCGGCTCCTTCGGCTTCTCCTCCTCAGTCAGCCTCCATTCTTCTCGTTCATCGGAACATGTTCCATAACTGCTCACCACGTGACTCTTTCTCTTTTCGCCCAACTCTCAGACATAATTACGGTGGCGCTTTTCTTTCGGCCAGAACACACGTTGACATCAGCGAAAATGGAAATATGGAAGCAAGAGAGAGGGAGTGAGAGAGATGTCACTTGCACCTAATTAAATATAGACTGAAAGCATTGATGCGCACTTTTTCGCCCCTTCCACACACACACACACACATCAGACAACGTGCTCTCGAAAAAGAAAAGAAAAGGAAAGAGAGTTTGGTGATCTGTTTAGAGTGTTTAGGGGGGCAACCCTTCAATTAGGCTCTTGATATTTCACTCGCTCGCTTCTTCTTTCTATTCTATTCCGTTCTCAAAGTACACATTTTTGTGTCTCTCGATTACACCCAACTCCACTCTCTTGTTATTCTGATAAAGGCAGGGTTAGAAATCAGCTGTTTCCATTTTTGACGACGGCGTGAACCCACAACTGCTCGCTCCACAAATGAGTCACTTTTCATGAAGAAGAAGCTCTCCGCTGCTCAGATTCGTGTCTAGTCTCCCTGTGATCTCGCCGTCTGAGATCAATCTCACTCCCTTCCAGAACGTTCTGATTGTTTCCAAAATCTGAACGACTATCTACCACCTCGCGGGGTAAAGAAGTGTGGCAAAGTTCACAGAACAAATGCCACTCGGGATTTGCCTGTGGACAGGTGAAACTGCGGAAATTGAATGCGCGAGATATTTCCCGCCGCCCGCTCTCGTTTTTAGGTTTTTGGATTTTCGCCTTCCTCTTCCATTTCCTTTTCCTTTTCCTTTTCCTTTTTCTTCTCACATCCCCCCTATCCGAAGGAGTTCCCTGAAATATCGCTCGTCGTCTAGGCGACTAAGGACACATCCGTGGGTAATCGAAGCGGCTCCAAAATGAGTTAGTTGGAAGCGTCGCGGCGCTCGTGAGAAACTCGAGAGAGAGAGAGAGAGAGAGAGAGAGAGAGAGAGAGAGAGAGAGAGAGAGAGTTCTCGACGGTGACATTTCCCGCGGCTATGTTTTGTTGAGTCGGGAGCCAACCCTTTTTCCGAGCAGGAATGTCACATTGGCTCCGCCGTGACACAATGGAACTCCCAAAAGGGCGAGATCAGCGTCAAAAAGTGTGGTAATCTATTGAATTGCACCTGGTTATTAAGCGAGTAAAAGTTTAATATATTCAGTCGTTTCGCGTTTGCTTTTTCGGCTCTCTCTCTCTCTCTCTCTCTCTCTCTTTCTCTCTCCGATCTTCTTCCGCTCCGCCCCCCTCATTAGTGCATTCGAATCAGAACTACCTCTCTCTCTTCCACATGACTCTTTCACAGCGAAAAAGAGTGTGAATGTCCTTTTGGTGGGCACAGAAGCTCTGATTGTTTATCAGCATCCTTCTTCTTCTTCTTCTTCTTCTTCTTCTTCTTCTTCTTCTTCTCGAAAGTGGAATCAGCCGGAAGTGGGCGTGTCTCTCCATTAGTTGCAGTTCAACGTCACACGCGGCGGCCTTAACTCACTTTTAACGTTCTCCCCCAGAAAGTCAGCAAGCAATCGGATACATTCCCTGAGAAAACAATACGTTGTTATTCTGCTCAACTACTTTGTACCTACAATACCACTCGGCTTCTTATTATCACCATTCAGTCATTTCGTATCTCTCTCTCTCTCTCTCTCTCTCTCTTTCTTCCTTTCCTTCTTCTTCTTCTCGACCACTAATTAGTCCATTTTCCCGGCGTATCACGTGAAACCTCCTCAAAGAGCTCGGAAAACAAAGAAGAAGTGGAAGATCAAATTTCTGAGCGCCCGATTCCAATAATGCGCGCCGCTCTCTTCAGAATTCCAATATAAATCGCGTAGAAGAATTCGCCTTCTTGACTCATTCATTTCATCAAACATTGCCCCTCCTTTCTCTCCTTCTCCATCTCATCTCATTCTCATTCTCATTCTCATTTTGCAAAAGCAACAAAGAAAAAGTTGAGAGTAACGGTGGCGTTCACTCAAATATTCTTTTCAAATTTCTCGCTCCGGTCCCGTGGGATCTACGTGCTCGTGCGACTGCGCATAATCTCTCAAAGGCATTCTATGCAATCGCCTTCGCAATGAGAGATATTCATTTCGCTGATTACGTACTACCTTCCCTTTCCCCTTTCAATGTGTTTTGCTTCCAAAAATCAGATTCGGAGACCGGAACTTGAAGAGGTTTCCCACGTTATTCACCAATTTGCTCTTTCCTTCTTTCAAAAACCTTTTTCACACTTTCAACAAGTCTGTGAGAGAAAGAGAAACTTTGCCATTCTTCCTTTTCTCATTCCTTTCTCTTTTCCGTCGACTCACTCACTCCTCCTTTTTGCAGAACAGAATGGGACTGTGCCAGAGCGAGGAAGAGAAGCTCGGATCGCAGAAGAGTCGCGCCATCGACAAGGAGATCCGTCAGACGCAATCGACCGACGAACGCACTGTCAAACTCTTGTTGCTCGGTGAGTGGTTTGCGCGAGTCGGTAGTAGGCGTGGCGGTGTGCGGAAATGCAATCAGCTCTTGTGAATTCGGTTAAAAGAACCGACGGTCAGGGCATCGGCCAAAACAACTTCTCATTCGGTTGGTAGTGTGGGGGCGAGGAGGGTGCGCACCGAGTTCTCAGAGTACTTGTGTCGATCTGATGCACACCCTATTCCGTCGGATCCAGACGTCAGAGAGGCGAGCTCTTTGTCGTCGCCGAAATTAAATCAGATGACGTGGAAGCAGAGCAGAGTCTTTTGCACTTTGTTTGTTTGTTTGTTCGAAACTCTGCCACCCACCAGAAAGTGCAAAATCTCGGTTTAATTAATGCGACAAAGCATGCGTACTATGGCCCCCTAATTGCGCATAATGTTTACTCCGGATTCCATCGAAAATGTTTACCAAATGTGATGAAAGCCTTCTTTTCCAGGCGCCGGAGAATGCGGCAAATCGACAGTCTTGAAGCAGATGCGATTATTGAGTGAGAAGAATTTCACGCCAGACGAACTGGATGCACAGGCGAAGGTACTCGAGAAGAAGGAATGATAGGCAGAAAAATAACTGTACCTTTTCAGTTGGTGTTCACAAATATTGTTGTTGAAATGGATCATTTGATCAAAGCAATGCCCAGCGCTGGCCTAGACTTCTCAAGTCCCTTGAGAGAAGTGAGCGTGCGAAATGGGAACGGGTTCATTCTGTTACTTTCAGCACGACTGCCGTAGCCTCACTCTCTATATCAAAGATATGCACAACAAAGTCTTCCGAATTGATGCCGCGGAGCCTGTCCAGGTTATCGAGAGCCCAAGTAGACCCTCAGCCAATAAAGACACGTTTCAGAACCTTTGGAAAGACCCGAAGGTCAAGAAGTTATACGCCGAACGCCGTCTTCACAACATCCGGGACATCGGAGACAATACTGAATAGTTAGTTGAAGAGCAATTCAGGGATGAACAATAACACACCTTCCTTCAGCTTCTTCGACAATATCGAGCGAATATCGAAGGAAGATTACGTGCCAAGTGCAATGGACACTCTGCTGCTGAGAACGAAAACCACTGGAATTGTGGAAGTTCAGTTCGAGATCAAAAAAGTAAAATTCAGGTGAGCGAATCAAATAAATTATCGGGGGCATAATTGCATAAGTTTAGAGTATTTGACGTTGGCGGTCAACGATCGGAACGAAAGAAATGGATTCACTGCTTCGAAGACGTCAACGCTATCATCTTCATCGCTGCTCTTTCCGAGTACAACGAAGTGCTTTTCGAAGATGAAACCACGGTAGATCTTTACAATTATAGTTTCATTTTACCATCGTTGAGTTCAGAATCGCATGGTCGAGTCGATGCGTCTCTTCGAGTCGATTTGCAACTCCCGATGGTTCCACAACACTAATATCATACTTTTCCTTAACAAAAAGGATTTGTTCGAAGAGAAAATCAAGCACGAGAACATTCAAAAAGCTTTTCCAGAGTACAGAGGTAACTTGCAAGACGGTGAAGACGAAGGCTAACGAATTGCAATTTCAGGCGAGCAAACGTACACAGAAGCCGTTCAGTACATCAAAAACAAGTTCGAAATGCTGTCAAACAACCCGAAAAAGACGATTTACGTGCACGAGACGTGTGCGACCGACACGAACCAAGTGCAGAAGATCCTGGACTCGGTGATCTCGATGATCATCCAGAACAACCTGCACAAGTCCGGCCTCTACTGATTCTCTGCTCATTCCACGTGGTTTCTTGTCTGAACTCTAATACTCTCTCGGGCTTGCGGGTCTCCAAACAAAATCTTCATTATTTTGAATCCACTCTCCTCCTCCTCCCTAGGCATTCATGCTGTGCCCTCTTCCGTTTCTGTTTTCTCATTCTTATCAGTATTCCTTTCCAAATACAACATCGAGCCAGTATTTCTTATCTTATCTTTATTGCGATATTGTGAATTCTGTGTAAATGCATAAAGTGAAAGTGACTAATCTTCCGTGATCGTGGCACATCCTAATTCCGTTAGCTGAATGGAATCTACTCCAAGAAGGCTTTTGAATTTATTCTCCGATTCTCCGTCAAACTTCCATTCCTCGGACGCCGAATCACAGTGCAAATTGAATCGAGTAGCCACGTCGCGGATGTCATTGCCCGAAATCAACTGCAAATATATACATGAGACAAAATAGCTCAGTCCACCTCACATAGTCCTCATTGAAAAACATCAAAGACCGTTGCGACTGCTTCTCTTGCAAAAGAATAGAGGAGACCGGGAAATTGCAGACCATGGAAACTGACTGACAACCCTCTGTGTACACGAATTCAGGGGTTCCGAAGTCGTAATTGGTCTTGGGAAACTGCCACGCAAACCGATAATTGAAGGCGGATTGAGTCATGACGGGCGGGGGCAGCGGGCAGTTGCACGCTGAAATTATTGAAGAAATTTCGGGTTTCAAGGGAGTTCAGAAACTCACTGGCCAGTGCGGAAGTGTTTGAGTTGCGCGGGATGGAGACCGTAGTTTGAGGAACGTTTATAGAGGTGTCTCCGACTGAGACAGTGACTCCAGAAGGCTCGTATTCGATGCAACCGACTTCGGTGAGATGCAAATCGAGTGCGTCAATCGGAAGATCTCCGGACACCTGATACTGCTTCACCAAACTCGTATCCATGTCGAACATCCGGATGTTCGGGTAACAGAACACTGACGGAATGCGAGTGGACAGCTTAAGCATGTACTTCATGTTGAACACGGCGAACGCGGAACTCTGAGAGAAACCGGAACTGGAGGAACACTGCAGAGGCTCTTCCGATTGGCAGTCGTAGTTGGCATTGAATGTTGGCGCGAATACGTTGTAGTAGGAACCGGCAAAAGTGGAGTTTCCGAAACGAAGTCGATATGAGAAAGTGTCCATGAAATCGAGACGAGTGCACAGACAATAGGGAGAAGGATCAACTGCGGGCTCACAGAGATCCAGTTGAGAACGGACGCGAGTTGCTGAGAGAAGAAGAAAGAGATGGAACAACATTGTTGCGAGAACGGTGAATGGATTGGCCGAACACCAGCGGTGGAATGGGGAAGACTCATTTGCAATTCGGATAAGCGTTCAGAACAGACAACTCCCCGTTGTGCTTTCAAAAAGTTTCGCAATTTGTTCTGAATACAAATTTATTTACACAGTAATGACAGTTCGAAAAACGGCCGAAAGTCGCAGCCAACAGTACATTTATGAACGAGATGGAAGATAAATGCCGAGTGACGAGGGAGCAATCGTGTTAAATTTGACTTGTTGGAATAGCTAATCATTTGCGATTATCATTAAATTAAATTCCTCATAGAACGTTTGGGAACGACTGTGAAGTAGCAGACTAGAGTGAAGAAGTACGACAGATGATACCGACGAAAATTTGGAGATGCAACTTCTGGAAGTCAGTTCTTTCGTCAATTCTTTTTGACCACTCTCACATTTTTCCAATTTCGCAGTAACTTCAAAGATTCAGAAGTTAAGAAGTGACACAAAATTCAACAAAAACCATCTGCAAGTTTTATTCAGATACAAATAAAACAATACTCGTGTCGAGTAAGACACTTGGATGACAAAGTTTCTCTAATTGATAATACTCCTCGAAGCTGTTCATAGGATATGGCTCTCGGCTTGAACAGATGTCTCGCAGGGTTCCGTGGTCGATTCAGGAGCGGTCGAGTTCAGGAAAGGCTCCGTTGTGGTCTCGCAGGGTTCCGTGGTCGATTCAGAAGCGGTCGAGTTCAGGAAAGGCTCCGTTGTGGTCTCGCAGGGGTTCCGTGGTCGATTCAGAAGCGGTCGAGTTCAGGAAAGGCTCCGTTGTGGTCTCGCAGGGGTTCCGTGGTCGATTCAGGAGCGGTCGAGTTCAGGAAAGGCTCCGTTGTGGTCTCGCAGGGGTTCCGTGGTCGATTCAGGAGCGGTCGAGTTCAGGAAAGGCTCCGTTGTGGTCTCGCAGGGGTTCCGTGGTCGATTCAGGAGCGGTCGAGTTCAGGAAAGGCTCCGTTGTGGTCTCGCAGGGTTCCGTGGTCGATTCAGGAGCGGTCGAGTTCAGGAAAGGCTCCGTTGTGGTCTCGCAGGGTTCCGTGGTCGATTCAGAAGCGGTCGAGTTCAGGAAAGGCTCCGTTGTGGTCTCGCAGGGTTCCGTGGTCGATTCAGAAGCGGTCGAGTTCAGGAAAGGCTCCGTTGTGGTCTCGCAGGGTTCCGTGGTCGATTCAGAAGCGGTCGAGTTCAGGAAAGGCTCCGTTGTGGTCTCGCAGGGGTTCCGTGGTCGATTCAGGAGCGGTCGAGTTCAGGAAAGGCTCCGTTGTGGTCTCGCAGGGGTTCCGTGGTCGATTCAGGAGCGGTCGAGTTCAGGAAAGGCTCCGTTGTGGTCTCGCAGGGTTCCGTGGTCGATTCAGGAGCGGTCGAGTTCAGGAAAGGCTCCGTTGTGGTCTCGCAGGGGTTCCGTGGTCGATTCAGGAGCGGTCGAGTTCAGGAAAGGCTCCGTTGTGGTCTCGCAGGGGTTCCGTGGTCGATTCAGAAGCGGTCGAGTTCAGGAAAGGCTCCGTTGTGGTCTCGCAGGGGTTCCGTGGTCGATTCAGGAGCGGTCGAGTTCAGGAAAGGCTCCGTTGTGGTCTCGCAGGGGTTCCGTGGTCGATTCAGGAGCGGTCGAGTTCAGGAAAGGCTCCGTTGTGGTCTCGCAGGGGTTCCGTGGTCGATTCAGAAGCGGTCGAGTTCAGGAAAGGCTCCGTTGTGGTCTCGCAGGGGTTCCGTGGTCGATTCAGGAGCGGTCGAGTTCAGGAAAGGCTCCGTTGTGGTCTCGCAGGGGTTCCGTGGTCGATTCAGGAGCGGTCGAGTTCAGGAAAGGCTCCGTTGTGGTCTCGCAGGGTTCCGTGGTCGATTCAGGAGCGGTCGAGTTCAGGAAAGGCTCCGTTGTGGTCTCGCAGGGTTCCGTGGTCGATTCAGGAGCGGTCGAGTTCAGGAAAGGCTCCGTTGTGGTCTCGCAGGGGTTCCGTGGTCGATTCAGGAGCGGTCGAGTTCAGGAAAGGCTCCGTTGTGGTCTCGCAGGGGTTCCGTGGTCGATTCAGGAGCGGTCGAGTTCAGGAAAGGCTCCGTTGTGGTCTCGCAGGGTTCCGTGGTCGATTCAGGAGCGGTCGAGTTCAGGAAAGGCTCCGTTGTGGTCTCGCAGGGGTTCCGTGGTCGATTCAGGAGCGGTCGAGTTCAGGAAAGGCTCCGTTGTGGTCTCGCAGGGTTCCGTGGTCGATTCAGGAGCGGTCGAGTTCAGGAAAGGCTCCGTTGTGGTCTCGCAGGGGTTCCGTGGTCGATTCAGGAGCGGTCGAGTTCAGGAAAGGCTCCGTTGTGGTCTCGCAGGGGTTCCGTGGTCGATTCAGGAGCGGTCGAGTTCAGGAAAGGCTCCGTTGTGGTCTCGCAGGGGTTCCGTGGTCGATTCAGGAGCGGTCGAGTTCAGGAAAGGCTCCGTTGTGGTCTCGCAGGGGTTCCGTGGTCGATTCAGGAGCGGTCGAGTTCAGGAAAGGCTCCGTTGTGGTCTCGCAGGGGTTCCGTGGTCGATTCAGGAGCGGTCGAGTTCAGGAAAGGCTCCGTTGTGGTCTCGCAGGGGTTCCGTGGTCGATTCAGGAGCGGTCGAGTTCAGGAAAGGCTCCGTTGTGGTCTCGCAGGGGTTCCGTGGTCGATTCAGGAGCGGTCGAGTTCAGGAAAGGCTCCGTTGTGGTCTCGCAGGGTTCCGTGGTCGATTCAGGAGCGGTCGAGTTCAGGAAAGGCTCCGTTGTGGTCTCGCAGGGGTTCCGTGGTCGATTCAGGAGCGGTCGAGTTCAGGAAAGGCTCCGTTGTGGTCTCGCAGGGTTCCGTGGTCGATTCAGGAGCGGTCGAGTTCAGGAAAGGCTCCGTTGTGGTCTCGCAGGGGTTCCGTGGTCGATTCAGGAGCGGTCGAGTTCAGGAAAGGCTCCGTTGTGGTCTCGCAGGGGTTCCGTGGTCGATTCAGGAGCGGTCGAGTTCAGGAAAGGCTCCGTTGTGGTCTCGCAGGGGTTCCGTGGTCGATTCAGGAGCGGTCGAGTTCAGGAAAGGCTCCGTTGTGGTCTCGCAGGGGTTCCGTGGTCGATTCAGGAGCGGTCGAGTTCAGGAAAGGCTCCGTTGTGGTCTCGCAGGGGTTCCGTGGTCGATTCAGGAGCGGTCGAGTTCAGGAAAGGCTCCGTTGTGGTCTCGCAGGGGTTCCGTGGTCGATTCAGGAGCGGTCGAGTTCAGGAAAGGCTCCGTTGTGGTCTCGCAGGGGTTCCGTGGTCGATTCAGGAGCGGTCGAGTTCAGGAAAGGCTCCGTTGTGGTCTCGCAGGGGTTCCGTGGTCGATTCAGGAGCGGTCGAGTTCAGGAAAGGCTCCGTTGTGGTCTCGCAGGGGTTCCGTGGTCGATTCAGGAGCGGTCGAGTTCAGGAAAGGCTCCGTTGTGGTCTCGCAGGGGTTCCGTGGTCGATTCAGGAGCGGTCGAGTTCAGGAAAGGCTCCGTTGTGGTCTCGCAGGGGTTCCGTGGTCGATTCAGGAGCGGTCGAGTTCAGGAAAGGCTCCGTTGTGGTCTCGCAGGGTTCCGTGGTCGATTCAGGAGCGGTCGAGTTCAGGAAAGGCTCCGTTGTGGTCTCGCAGGGGTTCCGTGGTCGATTCAGGAGCGGTCGAGTTCAGGAAAGGCTCCGTTGTGGTCTCGCAGGGGTTCCGTGGTCGATTCAGGAGCGGTCGAGTTCAGGAAAGGCTCCGTTGTGGTCTCGCAGGGGTTCCGTGGTCGATTCAGGAGCGGTCGAGTTCAGGAAAGGCTCCGTTGTGGTCTCGCAGGGGTTCCGTGGTCGATTCAGGAGCGGTCGAGTTCAGGAAAGGCTCCGTTGTGGTCTCGCAGGGGTTCCGTGGTCGATTCAGGAGCGGTCGAGTTCAGGAAAGGCTCCGTTGTGGTCTCGCAGGGGTTCCGTGGTCGATTCAGGAGCGGTCGAGTTCAGGAAAGGCTCCGTTGTGGTCTCGCAGGGGTTCCGTGGTCGATTCAGGAGCGGTCGAGTTCAGGAAAGGCTCCGTTGTGGTCTCGCAGGGGTTCCGTGGTCGATTCAGGAGCGGTCGAGTTCAGGAAAGGCTCCGTTGTGGTCTCGCAGGGGTTCCGTGGTCGATTCAGGAGCGGTCGAGTTCAGGAAAGGCTCCGTTGTGGTCTCGCAGGGTTCCGTGGTCGATTCAGGAGCGGTCGAGTTCAGGAAAGGCTCCGTTGTGGTCTCGCAGGGGTTCCGTGGTCGATTCAGGAGCGGTCGAGTTCAGGAAAGGCTCCGTTGTGGTCTCGCAGGGGTTCCGTGGTCGATTCAGGAGCGGTCGAGTTCAGGAAAGGCTCCGTTGTGGTCTCGCAGGGTTCCGTGGTCGATTCAGGAGCGGTCGAGTTCAGGAAAGGCTCCGTTGTGGTCTCGCAGGGGTTCCGTGGTCGATTCAGGAGCGGTCGAGTTCAGGAAAGGCTCCGTTGTGGTCTCGCAGGGGTTCCGTGGTCGATTCAGGAGCGGTCGAGTTCAGGAAAGGCTCCGTTGTGGTCTCGCAGGGGTTCCGTGGTCGATTCAGGAGCGGTCGAGTTCAGGAAAGGCTCCGTTGTGGTCTCGCAGGGGTTCCGTGGTCGATTCAGGAGCGGTCGAGTTCAGGAAAGGCTCCGTTGTGGTCTCGCAGGGGTTCCGTGGTCGATTCAGGAGCGGTCGAGTTCAGGAAAGGCTCCGTTGTGGTCTCGCAGGGTTCCGTGGTCGATTCAGGAGCGGTCGAGTTCAGGAAAGGCTCCGTTGTGGTCTCGCAGGGTTCCGTGGTCGATTCAGGAGCGGTCGAGTTCAGGAAAGGCTCCGTTGTGGTCTCGCAGGGTTCCGTGGTCGATTCAGGAGCGGTCGAGTTCAGGAAAGGCTCCGTTGTGGTCTCGCAGGGTTCCGTGGTCGATTCAGGAGCGGTCGAGTTCAGGAAAGGCTCCGTTGTGGTCTCGCAGGGTTCCGTGGTCGATTCAGGAGCGGTCGAGTTCAGGAAAGGCTCCGTTGTGGTCTCGCAGGGTTCCGTGGTCGATTCAGGAGCGGTCGAGTTCAGGAAAGGCTCCGTTGTGGTCTCGCAGGGTTCCGTGGTCGATTCAGGAGCGGTCGAGTTCAGGAAAGGCTCCGTTGTGGTCTCGCAGGGGTTCCGTGGTCGATTCAGGAGCGGTCGAGTTCAGGAAAGGCTCCGTTGTGGTCTCGCAGGGGTTCCGTGGTCGATTCAGGAGCGGTCGAGTTCAGGAAAGGCTCCGTTGTGGTCTCGCAGGGGTTCCGTGGTCGATTCAGGAGCGGTCGAGTTCAGGAAAGGCTCCGTTGTGGTCTCGCAGGGTTCCGTGGTCGATTCAGGAGCGGTCGAGTTCAGGAAAGGCTCCGTTGTGGTCTCGCAGGGGTTCCGTGGTCGATTCAGGAGCGGTCGAGTTCAGGAAAGGCTCCGTTGTGGTCTCGCAGGGGTTCCGTGGTCGATTCAGGAGCGGTCGAGTTCAGGAAAGGCTCCGTTGTGGTCTCGCAGGGGTTCCGTGGTCGATTCAGGAGCGGTCGAGTTCAGGAAAGGCTCCGTTGTGGTCTCGCAGGGGTTCCGTGGTCGATTCAGGAGCGGTCGAGTTCAGGAAAGGCTCCGTTGTGGTCTCGCAGGGGTTCCGTGGTCGATTCAGGAGCGGTCGAGTTCAGGAAAGGCTCCGTTGTGGTCTCGCAGGGGTTCCGTGGTCGATTCAGGAGCGGTCGAGTTCAGGAAAGGCTCCGTTGTGGTCTCGCAGGGGTTCCGTGGTCGATTCAGGAGCGGTCGAGTTCAGGAAAGGCTCCGTTGTGGTCTCGCAGGGGTTCCGTGGTCGATTCAGGAGCGGTCGAGTTCAGGAAAGGCTCCGTTGTGGTCTCGCAGGGGTTCCGTGGTCGATTCAGGAGCGGTCGAGTTCAGGAAAGGCTCCGTTGTGGTCTCGCAGGGTTCCGTGGTCGATTCAGGAGCGGTCGAGTTCAGGAAAGGCTCCGTTGTGGTCTCGCAGGGGTTCCGTGGTCGATTCAGGAGCGGTCGAGTTCAGGAAAGGCTCCGTTGTGGTCTCGCAGGGGTTCCGTGGTCGATTCAGGAGCGGTCGAGTTCAGGAAAGGCTCCGTTGTGGTCTCGCAGGGGTTCCGTGGTCGATTCAGGAGCGGTCGAGTTCAGGAAAGGCTCCGTTGTGGTCTCGCAGGGGTTCCGTGGTCGATTCAGGAGCGGTCGAGTTCAGGAAAGGCTCCGTTGTGGTCTCGCAGGGGTTCCGTGGTCGATTCAGGAGCGGTCGAGTTCAGGAAAGGCTCCGTTGTGGTCTCGCAGGGGTTCCGTGGTCGATTCAGGAGCGGTCGAGTTCAGGGAAAGGCTCCGTTGTGGTCTCGCAGGGGTTCCGTGGTCGATTCAGGAGCGGTCGAGTTCAGGAAAGGCTCCGTTGTGGTCTCGCAGGGGTTCCGTGGTCGATTCAGGAGCGGTCGAGTTCAGGAAAGGCTCCGTTGTGGTCTCGCAGGGGTTCCGTGGTCGATTCAGGAGCGGTCGAGTTCAGGAAAGGCTCCGTTGTGGTCTCGCAGGGGTTCCGTGGTCGATTCAGGAGCGGTCGAGTTCAGGAAAGGCTCCGTTGTGGTCTCGCAGGGGTTCCGTGGTCGATTCAGGAGCGGTCGAGTTCAGGAAAGGCTCCGTTGTGGTCTCGCAGGGGTTCCGTGGTCGATTCAGGAGCGGTCGAGTTCAGGAAAGGCTCCGTTGTGGTCTCGCAGGGGTTCCGTGGTCGATTCAGGAGCGGTCGAGTTCAGGAAAGGCTCCGTTGTGGTCTCGCAGGGGTTCCGTGGTCGATTCAGGAGCGGTCGAGTTCAGGAAAGGCTCCGTTGTGGTCTCGCAGGGGTTCCGTGGTCGATTCAGGAGCGGTCGAGTTCAGGAAAGGCTCCGTTGTGGTCTCGCAGGGGTTCCGTTGTCGATTCAGGAGCGGTCGAGTTCAGGAAAGGCTCCGTTGTGGTCTCGCAGGGGTTCCGTTGTCGATTCAGGAGCGGTCGAGTTCAGGAAAGGCTCCGTTGTGGTCTCGCAGGGGTTCCGTGGTCGATTCAGGAGCGGTCGAGTTCAGGAAAGGCTCCGTTGTGGTCTCGCAGGGTTCCGTTGTCGATTCAGGAGCGGTCGAGTTCAGGAAAGGCTCCGTTGTGGTCTCGCAGGGTTCCGTTGTCGATTCAGGAGCGGTCGAGTTCAGGAAAGGCTCCGTTGTGGTCTCGCCGAGCTGATGTTCCGGTTTATTTTGTTCGTTCGCATACATTCCATTAACTGAATTTTTTTTTGCCGATCAGAGGACTCTTCTACTCACCTGATTTTCGGTTCTCATTTCTGAATAGTGAGGTGTGCCCACGAGTAATAAAGACTACAAGTATTGAGAGAATTGCTAATAGTCTGAATAGCGTCATGTGCTCAAAACTGCAGCCTTCTACGGTGTGTCCCACTCCGTTCTATTTCGCTTCCAACTATCTCATTTGCAATCAATCAATCGCATCTCATTAGTCATTTTTTCATTTTTTTTTACAAAGTTCATTATTGTTCCTTTTTTCGTGCTGTCACGCGGTGTTTGCGGTTATGTGATTGGAATGTGATTTCTTCCGTCACTCAGCCGGCATACATCTCGGTGGTCATTAAATTAAAAAACAAAAGCAAAGGGGGGATTGGGGACTGGGAATTATGGGAAATTAACGGTCGACAACTCGTCATGGTGCTCGTTGAATCGTCTGCGTCCTCTTCACTTGCAGGCCGTTTCCTGAACATCTAAGAATAATTTCAATACTATCAGCCAGATAATTTGCCTGCTCATTTGTCGTATTTTGTTGATCGGTTCGTTGCCGGCCATTCCATTTCGCATTTGTCCGATCCGATCATCCGATTGCTCTGAAATCAACTGGCTCATTTCGCGGTCTCCCTCTCGCAAGAAACTAACCTTTCTCAACATCTTCCGGGCGTTTTTGCTGCCTTCCGCCGACTCTCGACCCTTGTCGATCTGAATATTTGTTCGTTTCGCTTGAGAGCTTCTTTACGATGACTCACCAGAATCATCAGACCATTAGTCGATGGTCATTAAATTCAAAAACAAAAGCAGAGCCAGTTGTTCCGTAAATTCTTCTCCCGTAGGTAAATGATACTTCTTTTCATGTGCTGGATCTCGATCGACGAGGACAGTACATCCGCCCATGACGCACAGCCCGGTCGTTCTACGAGACTACACACACAAATGGAGGGAGAGGACCGCTTTGATCTACTCGATATGTATTTTCGCGCACAAGGAACGAGTATAAAATGGCCCGTGTGGGAAAGAATTGCCATTCATTTGGTCATACCGACCTGGCGGACTGTCGGATCGTCTAGTTCTGCCCGTGTTTTGGGCGACCGGACTTTCCCGGCCCTATGCTAGTCGATATCGATCCAATATCTTTTCACTTTATCTTTCTTCCTGTTCTCTTTGTGAAAGAGCCGAGGATTGCGCTTAAATCCGCAATGAGAACTGTAGAAGAGCCGGAGCGAGAGATATCTCAGGATGTCTACACGGACTGGCAACAGTGAATGGTACGAGCTTCGCCAGATAGAAAGTGTCAGATGACAATCGTGTGTTCAGAGCACTGAGAGCCCACGGACGAAGTCGGGAATTCGACGGTATAGTTGGAGAATACACTGAGTCATGAGCCATCAATCAGAGAGGAAAAAATGAGTGGCAAATGTTCAGGAGAAGCGGTGATCGTCGGATCCGGCTGCAGAAGGATCACTGAAAGGAGACAATTGGGCTGATGATTCTGGTGAGTCATTTTGTGAAAGTTCTCAGGAAAAACGAACAAGTATTGAGATCGGCAAGGTTCGAGAGTCGGCGGAAGTCAGCGAAAACGCCCGGAAGATCTTGAGAACGGTTAGTTTCTTGCGAGAGAGAACGCGAAATGAGCCAGTTGATTTCAGGATGATTGGCAGGACGGGCACACGGACAATCGAGGACGACGAGGGATGGACGGACGCACAGATCGAATCGAATCGACGAGGGGACGAGGACGGACGGATAGACAGCCGGGAATGCAATTGCAGTGCCAGTGATGAATCAAAAAGACTGTGATTGAAAATAATCGAGCGTTCAGAACGATGAGGAGATTCCGATTGCGTGGAGTGCACAGACGCTTCCGATCAGAACTCGCAGACGAGCTCTGTAGTCCGATGGCATAACATTGGACAGAGAGGAAGGAAATGAGTGGCAAATGTTCAGGAGAAGCTGTGATCGTCAGAGCGGGATTGAGAGATGAAAGACGACGAATGGTCTGATGATTCTGGTGAGTCATCGTAAAGAAGCTCTCTAGCAAGAAGCGAGAGGGATCGGATGATCGGAGCGGACAAAGGCGAAATGGAATGGCCGGCAACGAACCGATGAACAAAATACGACAAAAGAGCAGGCAAATTATCTGGCTGATAGTATTGAAATTATTCGTATATGTTCAGGAAACGGCCTGCAAGTGAAGAGGACGCAGACGATTCAACGAGCACCACGACGAGTTGTCGACCGATAATTTCCCCTAATTTCCAGTCCCCAATCCCCTTTGCTTTTGTTTTTAATTTAATGACCATCTATTAGAACATTATCTCTCCCCCTTTTCATTCAGAAAAACAGGACTGGCTCCATTAAATTGAAGGAACAACCCATTTTCACGGAGCTCTCGGAGCCCTCTGCCTCTCATCTTCTCTTCTTTTCTTCCACACCCACACTACCCCCCCCCCTCTCTTCATTTTTTCGGAGGACAAGAGGAGCCATATTGTTCTTTGCGAAGGAGAGACAGCCTCGTCCCATCTCCAGAAGGTAGTTTGTCCTCTCTCTTTCCCCTTTTCGCGTACTCTTTCTCTTTCTTCTCATATCCCTCTCAAAGTGTTCCTCAGCTTCCTTTCTCTGAGCACAATCAAATCTGCTTCTGACGGGCGGGCCGGCCGAGCAGCATGTGCACATCTCCTCGTCAGTGAAGTTGAAGTTTTCATAAGCGCTTCAAACTCAATTTGCATCCCTCCTCCCTTCGTTTCTCTTTTTCGCCGTTGGACCGAAACTCTCTCTCTCTCTCTTTGCCATCCCTTCGATGTTTTGTTCAGATAAGTCGTCTTTAGTCAACCTTCAAGTCATGTGACTTTCATCCGTCCATCATGAGCGTCCAGAACACTTTCAGTCACATTTACCTGGTTGTCATCGCTCTCTTCCAAATTGGCGGTTGCTACAAAATAGGTGACGAGTACGAGTGGCGAACAACAAAAAGTGAAGTGTGACTTGCAGGTGCGGTGTTCAGAGAGCGAGAAGATGCTCACATTGAAGCCGCCCTCAGATACTCGGTCGAATGGCTTTCCCAACGAGGAATCTACGGAGACATCGACCTGGTCATCGAGTACATTGACGTTCTCGATCATTACGATGCCATCAAAAAAGGTGATTTTGCTTCGTTTCTTCCATAATAGCCTGCTGTTCAGCTTGCAAAATGATTGAGAAGGACCATGTCGCGGCCCTGCTCGGTGGCTCCCACGCTGCTTTAAATGCACAACTGGAACGAATTACTGATGATGTTGGGGGAGAACCAATTGAAATTACGAAAAAGGATAAAATCTTTGTTTACTTTTTCAGTTGGACATTCCGTTTCTCACATCCATTGATGACTTGAGAACCAATCCAGGGAAATCAAAAATTGACTTCTGGCCCCGCCCACAACTGTTCGAAGCTGTAGTCGACCTTTTCACACATTGGAGATGGAATAGGATTGTACTTGTTTATGAAGATGACGAAAGTTTGCTTCTTTTTTCATGATAATGTGAAATAATAGTCACAAAGTTAAGGAATTCGAAGACTTGAGCAACTTCTGGAAAGTGAAGAGTACGCCTCCATCCGGTTCTATCTCATAAAAGTTCAAAACGGAGATTACATGAAAGCGGCTCGTCAGGTCAAGGAACTGGAAGAATGCCGACTGCTGCACCGGAAGGACTGCTCCGAATTCAGTCGTCTTCTGGTTGATATGAACCCCGAGCACACTTACAACTTCTTGCTCGCTTCTCTCCAAATGGGACTCATTGAGCTCAAGCACTGGTTTCTGCTCACCAACATGGAGCTGTCCACAATGGATATGGAGCTGTTCCGCTATAATCACGCTCGTTTTATTTCTCCATATCCAGTGGATTCCACGTTTTTAACCGAAAATCGGGATGCGTTCAACTTTTCGCACTTCAAAGAGCACATCGCTGAGAAATGGGCGACAAAGACGGAGAACAGCCGGAACTTGCGAATGATGGAAGCTGTCTTCACTTTCGACGCGGTCTACTCGTTCGCCAACATCTTCAAGGAGCTGTCAAGCCATATGCAAATGAACGATGTGCCGCAGACGTTGTGTCGGAAGCCGTCGAGGAATTCAAGGAAGTATCAACATGGGAGATCGCTGATAGACAACATTGTGCACAATGATTTGCACGGGCTTTCGGGAGATCTCAGACGGCTGAATGGACATCCGTTGAAGAGTAATTTCTCAATGAGAATCCATCTTCTCGGATACAGTGGCAGACTTGACGATGTGAGTCTTTTTTCCGAAATTTAAAGAACACGCATTTCAGATTGGCTTCTGGGAGCCGGCTACAAATGTGCACGTGAATATGTCCGGTGATTCGAAGGCGCAACTTCAGAGAAATGTGCAAGTGTCGGATGAGCTCAAGCCTCACTTCAGAGTGACAACAATCATGGAACGCCCGTACGTTATGCTCAAAAAGAACCACTACGAACTGGATGCCAACTCAAAATTCGAAGGATTCTGCATTGATTTACTTGCTGAACTTTCAAAAGATTTGGGATTTACTTACACGATTCACGCTGTGAAGGACGGAAAATACGGGAACGACAAGTACGGAAACGGCTCCTGGGACGGCATGATCGGAGAGATTCTGCGTGGCGAAGCGGAGATGGCCGTCGCTCCGTTGACCGTCAACTACAGGAGATCCGAGGCGGTGGACTTTACGAAACCGTTTTTGTCCCTGGGCATCAGCATTCTGTACAAAGTACCCGATGATCAGCAGCCCGATCTTTTCTCCTTCCTAAATCCGCTTTCGTGGCAAATTTGGACGGCAATCGGCACTTCCATTTGTAAGTTTCGCATATTGTTTTGATGATTTGAGCAATTATCGAAAACTTTCAGTGACCGTCACTCTTGGCATGTACTTCGTTGCCAATGTTACTCCTTACGAATGGAATCTTAATTTCTCGTGCTGTTCTGCCCATGAACCTCATCCAGCAGCGGCCTTTGCAACAAGTAATCGAGAGCAATGATGCCCTCCAAACGTTTGTTTTTTTTCAGGTCAAGAAGCTCCGATTGTCATGTCAAACAACTACAGTTTCTGGAACACTGTCTGGTACGTGCTGAGTACAATGCTCAAGGGAGGGTGTGACTTCGGCCCGAGAGCTGTTTCCACGAGACTTCTTGGAGGTTCGTCCATTGTCTTCCTGCAAAATACTCGCCTCACGTTTCAGGCACCTGGTGGGTGTTTTACCTCGTCATTATCTCAGCGTATACTGCAAATCTCGCTGCGGTGCTCACCGTATCCCGACCGTACATTCCAATCAAGAATCTCGATGACCTGGCGAATCAGACCGCCATCTCATACGGAACCATTCGCGGCGGGTCCACAATGCAGTTCTTCCAAGAGTCGAGAATAGCTGCTCATGTCAAAATGTGGGAATACATGAAGGACAAAGATGTTTTTGTGACGAGCAACGGAAAGGGAGTGGAAAGGGCTTTAAGGTGTGTCTGTCTGTCAACTAATTCACTACAAACTATTCGCTTTGCAGCAGCAATTATGCTTTCCTCATGGAGTCGACTTCTCTGGAATACGAGACTCAGCAGAACTGTAATTTGACTCAAATTGGAGGTGTTCTCGGCTCCAAAGGATATGGTATTGCCCTTGCGAAGAGTGAGATTCATTTTTCCTGCTCTTTTCTCATCACTTTTTCGCTTTAGAGTCCGAATGGACCGACCGAGTATCCCGTCAAATTCTGCTCTACGCCAAGCGCGGAATCATTGAGATGAAAAAGACGAAATGGTGGAGGAGCAAGTGTGTTTTGCTTTCATTTCAACTACTCTCTCCCTCATTGATTATGAACATATTCTTCCAGAGGAGCCACGTGTGCGAGCACGGCATCCGCCGTCAAGCATGACCGATTTTCACTCAATATGTACAACGTCGCCGGCCTCTTCATCACTTTGGGGGTCGGAATCATGCTCGCCGTCATTGTGGTCATCTTCGAGCTCATCTACAGATGCCATCACATTTCGAAGAAAGAAGGAAAATCGTTTTTAGATGAGCTTCTCTATGAGCTCAAGTTTGCTCTTAACATGAATTCGGTAAGGTTTAGTTTTGAAAGAGGAAACACTTTAACATTTTCAGCTCTCGGATCATCGATCTCGTCAGAAGATGTCTACTTCTATGAACAACGGAAACGGGAATCCAAATCATTCGAACGAGAATGGAAATCTAAAGAAAACCACGCTTTGAACTCGACTCGTTTATTTTAAACTCATTTGTCCCGGTCCCAAAATTTTACCAATAAAACCATCCGAACATTGAATTTCACTTTGATTCCATCGTCATGCCGTATTACGGCGGCCGCAGAGGGTATTACGGTGGCTATCGTCACGGATACGGATACGGATACGGATACCGTCCAGTTTACTATCACAGACCTGTTTACGTGGGTGCATGGGTGAGTTACAGGAATTATTCGCATGCGGATTCGCCTTTTTTTCAGTATCATCCTTACTACGCCCCGGTCTTTCTCGGAGGAGCGTTCCCTATGGTAGCCCTTTCAGATCTTCCGCTCTGTTATGTAGATGAAGATTTTTCAGTACGGTATCTACATTATCACTTTTCTGATTCTTCTCATCATCATTGTAGTCATTTGTGTATGCGTAGGAGTCTGCGAAAGTAAGAAATTATCTTATTGCACTAAAAAAACAGCGTCTCTCGCAGATTGTTGTCGGTGTTGCCGTAGCGAGCCGGAATACATTGAGCCGGTCCCGTATGATCCTTACGCTCCGTACGTCGTGCCATATCAGCCAGATCCATACTCTCCGTACGCCGCCCCGTATCAGCCTGATCCATACTATCCAGGCTACGGATATGGTCCAGAGTACGGCTATCCGCCTGCACCGACCCCTCAATACCCGCAATACGATCAAGAGCCTGCCCCGGAGCGGCAGGCGTTGCCCGCTCCTGCTCCTGCTCGTGATTCCGGATCTCATGGGGGCAATGAAAAGTCGGCTGAGAATGCGACACCGAAGAAGAAAACCAGGGGCTCGAAGGAGAAATCGAAAGAGACATCCAAGGAATCTTCAAAGCAAACGTCAAAAGAGAAGTCGACTGGGAAAGAGTCTCCTGCCGAATCTTTGTCTACTCCGGCCACCGCGTCCACTCCAACGCCTTCTCAGGAGAAGTCGGAAAAGGTCCCCGTTAAAGTGAAGAAATCGTACAGCGCAAAAGTCGCTGGTGAACTTTGAACTCAATTGAATGAAATCATTTTGCGTGTTGTGTTAGTCTCCGAAAACTCGAACTCATTTCTTCGAAATGCCCTACCGCGGTCGCCCCATTTATCGTCGCCCGGTGCCCGTTTACCATCGCCCCATCGTCTATCACCGTCCCGCAGTTATCTTCCATCCGCGTCCGGTCGTCGTCGTTCCACCACATCCCGTCGTCGTCGCTGCTCCCGTCCACTACTCATGGGTGAGCACAGATCTGTTCCACGGAGTCTCGCATAGCATTTTACTTTCAGTATCATCCGCATTACGCAGTGGGCGGCGGCTCGTTCCCTATGGTAATATCATAATGAACAGTTGTTTCCCATGAAATTGTCTCTTTCCAGTACGGCATCTACATCATCTGCTCCTTCTTTCTCCTCGTCTGCATCATCATAATCATTCTCGTTTGCCTTGGCGCGTGCCGTTGTTGTGGACGTCGGGAAGAGCCTCTGCCGCCCCCGGAACCTGTTGTGATCTATGACGATCCGTACATCGTGGATCCTTACTATCCGGATCCCTATTACTACGACGGATATGCGCACCCGGTGGACTACAACTACGCCGCACCGCCACCCCCGATGCCTGCTCCGCAATACAATCAGGCTCCTCCCCCTCCATCTGCTCCATGTCCTTCTCCAAGAGTACAGGAAGCACCCCGTCCATGCCAGAAGAAGCCAGCCCCTCAGTGCCCCAGAAAGAAGAACACATGTGGAAGATCATAAGCTTTTATGTCTGTGTTTTGTGATTTGACCTGTTATCAATTTTGAAAAATAAACGTATTATCACCGGGGCGACGGTCTTCCACACATCCAGTAGTGCAAGGGAATGGATACTCCGGCGGCGAAGTTCACTCCGAGGCTGTCGCCCATTGAAGCGGCCGACAGACAGTACTCTCGCACGTCCGGTTCTACCTGAATGTTTAGGAGTGAATGAGATTCAGTTTGAAGTAGTCGTACCTTATTATGAATCTTGTGGAATGTGTTCACATAAGAGGAGCCTCCGAAAAGTCCTTCGAAGATAATGAGCGCAAAGATGATGGCAATGTGTGGGACGAACCAGTAAAGAGCGTCGAAGAAGAAGAAAACCATGTTGGAAAGCTTAAAAAGTACAGTAAATTGAAGGACAAAAAAAGAAAAACTCACTTGAAGAATCGGTAATAAGTAGAGTACCCACATGGGCAGTTCGATCAATTTGATAGAAGATCTTGAGAGAAATACTCCTAACTGGTAGAGCACTTGGTACCATCTGTACTGACTGTGAAGGGACAGTTGGAAACCATGGGAACAATCGAACACTATCTGTTGAGTCATTCCCTGGTTGATCATGTACTCTCCCACATAGACAAACGCGAGCGGGATCATGAGATGGAGCATCGGCTGAATCAGATTATCGGCTAGAACTTCGGTAAAGCCTTACAATAATAAGCTGCACTCGTTCCCAAGGTCCAAGTTGTCTCTGAGGAACTCGGTGTTTGCTCACTATGAAGTCATCGTATCCCTTCGGAACGATCCACGTTTTCGGATGAACAGACGGTGAGTAAATCGACTCTGGCTTCTCCAACAAAATGAAATATCTGAATAAGGACTAAGGTCTCAGCCTGATGTCGGGAACTGCTTACGAAATAGCAAAGACAACTGGAATGAAGAGCTGAATTAAAAGCGCCGTTTTCGGTGTCAGATTAGCCATATGCGGTTCCGTGAGGAATGCGTAGGAGAAGGAGCCTAAAAGCCCGGCCATTCCGGTTCCCGAAGACCATCCTGCGATTGCAATCCTGCACAACAATCCACGTTCTTCCTCTCATTTCCGTCATTACCTCTGATAGTGTGCCGACAAGCCCAAAAACGTAATCTCTCCCAATCCGCCACCCAAACTGACGAATACCACACCGGCGAGTGACATTGGAATGGAGACGGAGAAAGCGACGACAAAGTAGGAGGTGGCCTGCAGAAGGCAAACAACTGCCACTCGGAGGCTGTCATAGAAATGCGAAATGGTCAGAAAGAGAGTGGAGGCGAGAGCAACACTCACCCGAATGGAAATCTGTCCATGAAGAAGGGGAAGGTGAGCTTGACAATCAGACTCGGCAGGTTGTCCGAGAGGAGCACTTCCGCTGTCGGCGGTTTGCATTCGCGTACTGTGATCGAGGGCTGAAACTCACAAAGGTTCAGAGGGGTTCAAGTTCATTAGGATTTCGAAGACGTCGCCCGTTCCTAACGTGACTCACCAGACAAGCGTCGACGGTGGTCGTCTTGTTCTTGCCGTGTTGTTGACTCAGAATATCTTCCGCCGCGCTGAGCATAATCACATACCCGTAATTGTTACACAGCCCGAGGAGACTGTAATTATTACTTTGGTTGATGTATGACTCAAACAACTTACAAAAAGGCGACGGCGGCCCTCGTGGTATCCCAATTGATCTTCTTCATCCTGTTAGTCTTCTTCTCCACGTGTTTCGACACGAATTCCTCTGGACTGATAATAGATGAACAACTAAGTACGCAAGAAAGGAAAAGACGTATCAGCACGTGGGCTCGCTCATTTTTATAGGTTGTTGCGGCACATAAAACACGGGGAATCGACTAGAAAGTGGGTGTGAAATGAACAAAAAAATCAACGAAAATTGCAGAGTGAACAGGGTCAGGAGCGGATGGAATACTTTCGAGAAGTGCTTGTGGAAGTGTTCCAACTGTGGTTGAGCTGCTCGAAGTGATCGTCGGTGGTCATGCCGTTCATTTCTTTTCCGTCGATCGTGTACAACGTTTTATCGCCTCTCTGTTGAACTTTTTTCTGACGGAACAATGAGTACCGGTCGCCCAAGTACTTTTTAATCTGAACCGAAACGTTGCAGGTCTCAAAAGAAAAACAGTCTACCTGACTATAAATCTTACGATGACAGAGCATTATCGCCCACGGGTACGTCAGACAGTAAAAGTTGATGAACTGAAATGTCATGTTCTCTTTTGAATTCCACATCGACACCGACCACATTCATAATGTAATAGAACGGCGAATCCAAATCTCCCTCGAACCATCCGGCTAACTTTGTGTACACGTATGTTAGAATGATGACTCGTGCAATGACACTCGCGACGGCACACCGAGAATACGCGTACGACTGCGAGAACTGGAAGAGAACTCAAAGTTGTCAATATGAGTATTAAACACGAACCTCGTATCGAACATTCAATGACGCCTCCTTCTTCGTCTGATACTTGTTCTTCGCCACGTAGTACAAAATGAAGACTGACTGAAAACGACTGGCTTTCTGACACTTTTAGTGCCCGAAATGACTCACCACGCCGTTGAGCACTTCCATCGCCGTCAAACTACCGAAACCGATGGCGAATAACGTTCTGTCAAAGGCGATTCTAACAAAATAAATGTACGCGAAAGAAGCGGCGGTTCCGAGAAGGCATCCGGATGTGAAGAGAGTGGGGAACGAGCTGGACTTGCGGAATTTGTGGGAGTATGTGGTTGTGACACGTTCTGAATTCAAAAAGTTAGAAATATTGTTGTCAAGGAGCTGTTTACCGATAGTGCCCAATAACTCGCAAACCACAAAAAAGTACTCTCCGAATGAGTGAATGTACAATAGATATTTACGGGACTCTGAAAAGGACAGATGTAGCTCGAACGATGCAACACCCTCAAGCAGCTTACCCATTGAACTTATCTCGCAGTCTTCGATAAGTTTCCCATGCGCAAGCGCCATGATAAACGCTCCAGTGGAAGTGAGCAACATCACCAGCATCATGAGAGAAATGAAGCCAAATGTGATTCTAAACATTGAAATTCGCCCTCTTTGTATACTTTGACACACCGACCTAGTGTAGGTACCGAATCTGTGTGGTAGAACAGCCAAATGAATGAAAACGCAATGCGAGAAACAGCCGAGAGTGACTATCAAAAACTGGAGGATCACGACGGAAATCCACCAGAGACTCGCTTTGTAAGGGACGCAAACGTAGTCGCTCGAGTATTCACTCATTTCTGAAAGAAAGACAATATAAGTTTTGATTTGTATTCGGAAGCGAATGAGAAGTGGGAATGATTAGGAGAGCTCGTTAAGCGGTCGATTTGAGCTCAATAGTCAACCAGTAAAGTCACGATGAAAGTGCTCGGTGGAAGTCTGAAAGTGGATCGGGAATAACGGCCCTTTTCGGAGAAGTAAATGTCGGCCATAATTGGAGGTGTGAGCAGACGGGAAGAGAAGCTCTAAAAAGAAGGAAAATAGGAAAATGAATACGGAACGCTGAGTTCTGGGGTTAAGGAGAGCGCACGATCCTATTTCGCGTCTTCTTTCAAAGGATGTCTGTAATGAGGACAGGAAGTAAATGCGCTCCACTAAACTTCTGTGAGTACATTCGAACTCCCAGAGATGTTTCAGTTTATAACAATTTTTGAAGTCTAAAAAAGGGATACGTTTTTTGCGGAACTTCTGTATTAAAATTGTGATTGTGATTATCTTCAAACAAGAAAAATGAAAGTTCCTGCTTCTTCCGTCGTGTGTGGTTAGGAGGTAATGAGGCAGCACAGACTGATATTATTGAAAGTGACGTTATGGGAAATGAAATCAGAAAGCAGAAGAAGCTCATCGTTGACGTCGAAAACAAATGGAGCAGCAGTTCGAGTAGCAAAGTACATTCACAAACTGCCAATTAACTAGACCCATGAGAAACAGAACTATTCAGAAGATATGACGTCTCCTGGTTTTGCAGCATTCATTTTAAGGAGCACCGTTTCACGTAGTCCGGTTCTTACAATCTTGGGAACTTCGAGACCATGTGCTTATTCCAAAAGCACACTCCAACAAGTCAAACCAATTGGCGCTTTCAGATTATTTTCTCGCGTGAGATCAGTTTTCCAACAAAAACAGCCATACTGGAAGGCGTTCAAATAGCAGAGAGGAGAGAAATAAACGGAATTTATCACAACGGGATCATGATATGTGTTTTCATCTGAGGAAAAGCTCGTTTGGACGACGAGCTGGAGTAGATGTGCGAAATGGGCAAAACATGAGAGCAGTGAGCTCTTCATTAGACTTTTGTTTGCGATACACATGTTTACTAGCGTCCCTTTTGAGTTTGACCACGGTTGACGAAAGTTCGCATCGAGATCGAGTGATTTATAGCTTGGGGAGAAAAACGCGAAAAAATATGGATCTCTGCGTGGCCAGACGAGAAAATGGGTTTTCACTGAAACGACAACGTGACTCTATTAACTGCAGCTGCTTCCAAATCGGAGTTGAGAGAACAGAAACGGAAGAATGAATAATTTGGGTAGATGAATGGAAGAAGAAGGGGAGAAGAAGAATACGCGGCAGAAATGTTGGAAGATTCAATGGAAATTTCTGAAAACGGGGTCTGGACGAGCTCCGCCAACAAAACGTTCAACCAGAGTGACTATTTTGAAACTTTGAGTAGTGCGCGTTTGCATTCAGGGATCCGTCACGACCCCGTGAACGCATTTTACTGAGAACTATTCTATTTGGGTTGTCCGGAGCATCGTTTTGCAGCCGCGAAAAGGCTTTCAGTTGGGTTTAGTTGAACTTTTGATGTATCTTTGCAAAATTCATTTCGGAAAGATCGGAAATCAACTTTATTCACCGATGCGTATGCACTTTGAAATAATCAGGTAGTGGTGCAACCTTCACACGTTATGTAAACATCCAATACCATCCAATTCCTCAAGGACCTGAGCCGGTGATGCTGGTTTGAACTGGTTTGGGGCTGATGTTGATGTGGCTTGATGTGATGTTGCCGAGTCTCACATTCACCCACAATTATCTTTTGTTGTGCCCCTTCAAGTGTGCTACTAGTCCAGTCCCACTCAATTCTCCAACGCCTTTTACCGAATAGTTCCCACTTTGCTCCGCCTCACCGATTTCGCTCTTAGCTGCTAGTTTGGCAGAGCCGCAGTCGGTCTTCTGACTTGAATCACTCTTTTCTTGTTCTTCTTTCCCATCTTCTTCTTCTTCTTCTTCTTCTTCTTCTTCTTCTTTTTTTCTTTCTAATCGGCACGTCAACAAAACACAAATATTGTCTTGGAAGTTCAGAGCAAAAATAACAGAAATGGAACTTCTCGAAATTCTTGCGTACGTGGAAATTGTCATAGTCATTCTGGCGATGTGCTCGAACACTGTGTTCACTTTGATAATTCATCAAGCGTCTAGTTTGCACATCAATTGCAGAGGATTGCTTCTTTTGTTTTCCGCCTCGTTGTACTTGCTCTCTCTCTCCCACGGACTTACTGTATTCGAATTTTTGTACCAAAAACAAAGTTACGAGTACATTTATTTTGTGTCTGGTAAGTTTATTATCCTCTTTATAATACCTTTTTCAATTCAATATTGCAGTTCGAGGATTCGTCTGGAGATCCATTCACGAATTCGGTTATGCTCTACAGTCTCTGTCGCTTCTTCTGTTTTCAATCGGTCCGTTTGGATGGACCATGTCATTTGAGTACTTTGAACACCTTCAGAAAGACTGGTTGTAACCACGTGCTCGACGACCTCTAATTCTCTCTCGGTCAAGCTCCTTTTCATATTCTTTTCTGCCATTTCTCTGCTCATTTCCATGGCTTTCGCTCTCATCATTCACGTCGGACGCCAATTGCTCTGGCCGACAGTTCCAATGAATTTTGTCGACATCTCCGGATGCGTGGTACACTTTCAAACGTTTTAATCATCTAAAACTTCTGTGACAGATTCTCTTGATCGCTTGGAAACGTTCATTTCGTCGTTATCAAACGACTGTCGGCGTGTTCTCTTTGGAGCAACGCTTCCAGCTCTCAGAAGTTTACACATGGTCACGTCATCTGATTCCGGCGGTTTTATTAGCGAGCTTTTGTAAACTGTCAGTGATGGTCGTCATCTGGATGCTCATTACCGGGAAGCACGAAGCGGACGAAGCAGCTGTTCTGATGATTATTTACAATAATGTGCTCAATATTTATACAGTCGTTCTTCCATTTGTGATACTTGCTAAACACCGGAAAGTCAGGGAAAAGGTTTAGTTCTCAACGAATTGCACTCAATAATCATAACGCTCAGATGATCCACACTCAAAACAAAGACCGCCTTTGGAAACCAACGACGATCGACGGTCACATCATTCCTTCCAGACATGACTACTTCGAGCATCTCAAGCAGAACTGGAATCGAGTCTGACCGGTGAAGTATACGAAAATAGTAATGAGGAGGGGGTGGACGAGCCCACGTGTGATCTGTGATTCCGATTCGGAGCACGCTTCACTGACTGACCGAGCAGAAGGTTCCAGCAGAACGTTCGGTTCTTTCCGAACATCAATATCATTCAGGCAACAAGCAGGTCGGTGGATTTTTGACAAAACAAATGACATCCCGCTTTAAGGCCGTTTTTCCTGCTCTTCACTGTTGCTCTTCTCCTTCTTTCGCTGTCTCGTGGATTCAGAACGATTGAAGTGATCCTCGGAATCATACCGGAAGAGCAGAGAACCTACTGGTCTTCCCTCCGCCTACACGTCTGGAGCCTGCTTAATCAGTTTGCGTTCGCACTTCACACTCTTTCACTTTTCATGTTCTCACTGACCATGGCCTACGCGCCGCTCATTCTTTTCGGTAAGAATCTTTTGATTTTGCAACTATTGTTCCTCGTTCCTGTTGAATTTGACGTGTATGGGGTCTCTAATCCTACTCTTCCTTCTTACATCCTCCCCATTCTCGAGCCCTGCGCTCCTATCTTCCCTCTTCCTCCCGCATCCAAACTTGCGTTAAAACTAGAAAGCCCTCTCCGATGCTTCTCAAAAATAGCTTTCAACGCTGCAACATCTCGTTCTCCTCTTACCACCACCGCCTAGACATCCTCAACATGAGTTCCATCCGACATCGCCACCTGAAATCGCATAGACCGCTGCTCTACCGTCTAACTTACCGGTACCTCGTACTTTTCCCACCTTAATCATTTCATAGCCCTATCCTCTTCAGCTCGCCGGCCCTTGTTCATCCGTTACCTTAACCCTCTTGTCAAAGATTTCTTCTCTCTCACAGTCCCCATTTGGAACTCAATTGTCACTAACACTTTCTCATTCCTCTCCCCCCACAGCTCGAATTGTTAATCGATTCCTCCATTACCCGCGTCTAATCTTGCCCCCCTTTCCCTTTAATTTTCTCTTGCCATAGGTATATCTCGTGAGGGAGTAATCAAGTTCGAATACACACTTCATTCATTGAACCTCTCAACTTTTCCTTTCTTTTTCAGATATTGGTGTTCTCTTCAATGTATTCCATCGATCATTACCGGAAGACTGCCGGAATGATTCCATTGGAAGCCCGATTTCAGGTCGCTCATTCATCCAATGTTGATTAACAAAAGATTCAGATTTCTGACGTGTACATCTGGACGAAGGCATGGCATTCTTTCTCAAATTCACGCACGTCATCGTCGTCTGGCTGCTGAGTCAAGGAGAACGTCCGCGGGTATCATATCGCTTTCGAGCGGCACCTTCTGAATGTCGTGGAGCTCTTCATCATTTGCATGCCCTTTCTGATCAACGCCAGCCATAAAAGACTCAAGCAGGTAAGTGACTTGAAAAAAGTTCAATTTAAAAATGATTGGTCACCCTCGGTTCAGAAAGGGCGAAATCGGCGCCGTGTGAGCCCGCAGATGAAACGTCAAGACGCTCGACGGACGGGAAATTCACATGAAGGCAACGCTGAATAATCACTTTGATTTTCTGAAAAGTCATTGGACATGAATGATATTCTTTAATTGGCTCCTGCTATCCAAGTTCTTGTCACTTATTGGTTGTTATTCTGTGCACATTCTGATTTTCTCCGTCTCCAAAGACATGTTCTGCTCCCAGATGTGCCCTTCCGTCAATTCTCCCGTTTCCTCATCATTACTGAATAATATCTGTGTCTACGCCCTTTCAAATCATTGTTTGGAACTGAAATAGCAAAAGCAGCTGTGCTCATTATCTCCTAGAGATTTAGAGAACTAGAATTGCAAGGTTGCTTGCTTCATTATTCATACCCCCAGTTTTTTGAGTCTGGCCTCGTAGTCATACCTCAAATTGCATACTTTATCGACGATATTTCACCTTTTGATTATTTCTGTGTGATCATTAATCATGCCTAACAACACTCACATCACATTCATTTTTAGGTGTTCGAAGACATGCAAGTCATCTGGTTACTCATGACCATTTTCGAATCCATTCTGGTCACTCATTCGTTCTTCTGCTCCATCTTCTTTTTGCACTTGATCTCCAGTACCAGCAGTTTGCACCTATATTGCAGGTGAATGAATCACTCGGCAGACTCTCACAGTAGTTTTTCATTTTGGCTCAAGTTCTGATGTTTGAAATATAGATGTTTTTCACGACTAGAATGAGGGAGAATAGGAGAGAGAGAGAGAGAATCAACAAAAGTGTATTCCAGAATGTACCTCCTTCTCGTCGGCTTCTCAATGACTTTATTTGCCACCTACGGTCTGTCGATCTTTGAATATCTGAACGCTGGAAAGTACTACGCCTTGACGGGAGAATCGGTGACAATCCGGAGCAGAGCGTGGGAGGTTATCCACGAGTTCGGAGTGTGTCTCCAGTCTACCGCAATGCTCTTGTTCTCCATCGGTTTGTTGCTAAATGAGAAGTAATTTTATCATAATTGTGCCCAGAACGATTCATGGCCAATCGATACCCCCGTTTCTATCACACCCGCACTTTTCTCTTCCTCATTCACGTCTCCATCGTGCTTTCCATTCTTTTCTCGCTCGGCTTCAGTCTGAGCATTCATGTGTGTGAGTCTGAAATTCGAGAAAGGCGACGGAAACTTTGTTGCAGATGAGCAGCTGATTCCGGCTACGTTTCTGATGTCTCTTTCCGATTATCTCGGCCTTTTCGTAAGTGTTTTAGTGGTTTCCAGTTTTTAATTCTTCTATTTATATCCTACTTTCAGATTCTGGTGTCTGCCTGGCGAAGTAGCAAGACAAATTACCGGTTGTCAGCTGGAATTGCTACCTTGAACCGACGATACCAGGTGAGTGAAATGTGAAACATTTTAAGCGCTCGTAGATGTCTGCATCATTTTTTTTTGAATTCTTCTAAAAATCTGCAAAGGTGGAAAACGTAGATTTTTTTTAAAATTCGACTGAACCAGAATTGGAAGTTTCAGATGTCGGAAGTGTACTCGTGGACGTCGACTCTTCTGCCCGCAGTGGTCGGCGCTTCCCTATTCAAAGTGCTCTCCATGATTCCTATTTGGACGTGGCTCCTTCTGAATCTCACCGATTGGGAATACGGCATTGCCAACTTCCTTTTCAACAACGTACAATCAACCAATAGCACTTTTCCGCTTAACAAAAGATTTATTCAGATTCTGAACGCCTACGTCGCCATTTTTCCATGGATGCTGATCTTTCGAAACAGCAGTCTCAGAAAACAGATTCTCTCAAAGAAAGGAAGAGTTGAGCCGGACAAGAAATCATTGCGAACGGTGAAGACGTTGGAGGGAAAGGAGATTCCGTTGAGACCATCGCAGAACGAGTACTTCGTTGCGCTCCAGGCTTCTTGGAACAATTGATATTAAATTATTACGAAACTGTCTAATTTTGAATGCTCATCGTCGTAACTCTTCTGATGTCCACTTTTGATTGCTTCGGAGTCACTGATATGTCAGTCGGTGTAACTGTTGTCGACGTCTTCTTTCCCAGAATCCTGAATAAAACTGATTTTGTATGAGTTCTATACGGCTCATAGATGAACAATATAGCAAATTTTGAGCTCATTCCATGGAATGTGATGCAAATGGCGGCAGTGTTGGTAAAAGATACAATATCGCTGATGTTGATGGACAATACTCAGACCGCACCTTGATTGTACCAGTAAAATTCGATGACCGATCCGCAGTATAGAATGAGAAGGATGACGACGAACACGGGAATGGCGACCTGAATGCACACACTCCGGACGAACCTCTTCTGCATTTCTCTCGTTTTCTCCGAAAGCGCCGGGTTCTTTGCCGTCAAAAAGAAGACTGTTCTGACGACGAAAAACGCTCCTTCAAGAATGAGAACACAGAAGAACGTGATGAACTGGGCCGGCGAGAGCACCAAATCTTCGTTGCATTCGTCGACTGGCACACGGAGAGAATCTAAAAAATGGAAGGCGGAGAAATAATTGTGTTGTTGGCAATGGCGGAAAAAACTCAGAGGGTCTAGGTTTCCACTTAGGCCACGGCCATTTCTGTCAAAATCCATTTCGAGGCGCTTGCTTCTCATCCAACAGCAAAAATTAGAATTTCCACAAGAGGGAATATTGATCGTCAACATATTTCAAAAGCATTCAACTATTTTCCATTTCAAAATTGAGTCCGGCTTTAAGAAATGGGCTGGAATTGAGTTGAGAAAGAATGGCTGAGGTACAAATACACACACGTTGGCCGGCTTCATCTATAAAGAAGTTTCACCTGCCACACACACATGTTTGTGTTTTCAATTGATCTCTTCTTTTTCATGGAACAGAGAGTATAGTTTCTTGAACATCGCGGACACTTTTTTGAGAGATTCCATTCACAAGTAGGCCACTTTTTTTCTTGTTAATTTGATTAGTTCACTTGACTTTAGTGAGGATTTTTGACCTCTGGTTAACTGAACAAAAAACACTCGGCTTCAGAAACCAAAAATCACGAAGAGAAGAAGAACTGAGTGTGCTAGACACATCTAATAAGATACAAAAACTACTTTGCATCAGAAACTTCCGCTTTTTCTCGACAAATTGACAACTTAACAATCTCACAATTTATTGATTATTTTATAAAAGAAAGAAAGTGTGTCTTGTCAATCTGCATTCTCTGACAAATGGGTAAGGCACTTAACGATGAAGAAGGGGGAAAAATGGGAAAAGCACATGGATAGTGTCATGGGATCCAAGAGTGATTGGGTGGGCGGGGCGGGGCGGGGAAGGATAGGAGTAGGTGGGAAGCCTACGCAACTTCGTCAACGTATTGAGCAAGTAACCGACTCGCTGGGGGAGCACAGTTGTACGCGCATGGGCGGTGCGAGAAAGGAAGGATGTAAAAGTGGGGAAATTTGAGTGAATGGCAAGAAGAACAGAGTTCTAATTCAAATATTCTATGAAGAGAGGGAAGAAGGCAACTATGGTGCAGCGGGATGGACGAAATGTGGAAGTGAACAGAAATTTGGAAAGCTGATCGGGATGTTTACGAGGGAGCGAAGTTGACAGTATAGAAGTTGACAGTATGTATATGTATATCGGTATAGAAGGGCCACCGAATGAATGCTAAAAACGAATTCAGACGGGGAGGGGGATTTCAGACAATTGAGGGTAGTTGATGTAGTAATCGGAAGGAGAGGAGGTATTCAGAGGAGATAGAGGTGTTTGTGAGGGATAATACAGCAAGGTATACATGGAAACGTCTATGTATCTACAAGGCGATACGAGTTGAACACAAAGCGTGTGGTCATGGGTGCGATCAGTCACAAAGTTAGTTTTGGGAAACAAAAAAGCCTACAAATGAAGTGTTTTTCACCGTTTTTGATGGATCGATGGGATACAGCATTGAAAAGATGTACGTTTTTGGTTTGTGTTCTTCCCAAACTCGAAGAGGATGAGAAGAACGAGAGGCGAAAAGTGATATTCATGTGACAAACATGGCTAAACCTACTGTTATTTTCAAGTCAGGGGGAGATTATTACAAGTATTGGATATCGAGAGGAGGGCACAACACCTGGTTGACACCGTACAAAGACAATTGGGGCACTGCGGAGTCGTCGGGACTCGCGGAAGAGGCACGGGGCGAGGTGATAACCGAGGATTCGCTGTCGGAGGACGAGTAGCCGCTTCCGGTCGAATTGGCCTTCTTCGAGGAGGATGAGACCGACTCCGGGAAATTGAAGTCACTCAGCGAAGGCTCCTTTGGCGGCTGGAAAGTTGGTGGTTTAAAGTTTCAAACATTTGTGCGGTTCTTACCTCCTGCTCTGAGAGCATTCGCAAAAAGTTGAAGGAAGGTTGGTTGAAGTCTTCGACAGAGTTGACGATGAACGTCTCCGCGGTGCTCATTATTTTATCGTGCTCCGGATTCAGATACTGAGGAATGTGGATAACCGACGTTGAAGGCTTATCATCTCTCCAGATGTCGTCGACGTTTGCCCAGAAGTCTCCGGAATGCATTTTCAGGATGAATCCCTCGACGATCGCAGCATCGGACGGAGTGGACGGAGCTGTGATCTTGGGAGATCCCGCGGTGGCGATCCATTCCTCGTCCTCCATCGTGGCCGGCCTCTTCTGAATCCGTTGGGCCGGACTGGCAGGCGGGACGTTGAACTCAAGACGAGCCTGATAGTTCGGAGTGTTCATGTCGAGAAGAGCACTGCAAACGGAGAGCGTCGGCTCACCAACCTCGTCGCCACGAGCAATCTTCACTTGGCGATCCTGCAACTCCATTAGACGCTCGCGGTTCACGACTTCAGCGTGATGGCATCCTTCGCACTGAGAGCTGGAGACCATTCCCATCCGATGACGACGGATCTCCTCCGGATTCGCGTAGTTCCTCGCGTTTCTCTTCATCGAGAAGGCACGTCTCTGCTGGTTTGGAGTGAAGCTCTCGTTCTTCATGACACTGTCGAACATGTGGAACATGGTCAGCTGGTACTCATCCTCCAAGTCGATTAATTGCTTCCGCAGCGGAAAGATCATCTGATTCAACATTTCGATGACTCGGAAGATGAGTGCGGGAAGGTTTTCGTCCGAGATCATTTGACTCGGTACATTGAATCCATCGACGATCTCGGCCGACGTCTTCCGATTTCCTCCGTCGAACTTGATGAACGGACTCCAGAGCAATTGTCGGACCGAGCAGATCGCACATCGAATGCATTGAGTGCCATTCCTCAGTTTCTGCTCGAGAATCCTCAAAAGAGCGGGGCGTTCGTGAAGTTTCTCGATGGACTGGGCAATCTTCTTTCGAGCTCCATTCGTCACGTGCATCATTTCGAGATCGTCGTTGTTCAGTGCGAGAAGCTGTCGGTATGTCATGTCCTGGAAGAGCGGAGCATACTTGTGCAGACGGAGTTTCTTCAGCCAGTATCCAAGATCTGCAAAAAAATGTATCATTGTCACTCTTCTGTTTCTCCGCTGCTATCTTGCCCCCCGCGCGACCTTCCTCCGCCCTAACAAATTGCCTTTGTCTTGCCTAAAAGTGCACTTTTCACTCAACTTATTCCACTGGCACCTATCTCGATTCCATCAGTTACCTAACTTGGTGGTCGTGTGGCGGACGCGCGCCAATTCGTAAACATTGCCATTAAAGAGAAAGATGGAGAACGAGGGATGGTCTTCAAGATAAATGACACGTCATTTGAGATGCGAGTACGGTAGAACAAAGAGCCATTAGCGAAAGGCGATCGGAAGAGGAACAGGACTAGTTTGTGCCTTCGTGTACTTTTGCGAAATCAGATGAAGTTTGAAGACTACGGTAGGCGGCTTCAAGTGTTGCGATTCGAACCGTTCCGTCCCTCCCGCGTTAAATTCGCCGCCTTCACCGTCAATTTTTTGTCTCCGGGCAGAACTGAAAAAACCCGTTTTTCCTGCCTCCCGTCCGTCTATATCGATACGTTCTCTTTCCATTTTTCACCGTGCCTAATCTTACGGAAATCTACGCATGTAATCGATCACCCATTCACTACTATTACTCTGTTTTACAGTAGACTCTCAAGTACAAACTGTCCCTATCGAAAAAAAAAGAGAGAGAGGGGGGGGGGGGTGCCCTTTAGGTCATTCTCGTCTCTTTCCCACCATTCTTTCGACCCTGAAAACGAATGGGTGAAAGTGTGTGCGCAGCCGGCCTTCGCAATATTCTCACAACATGAAATGATGCTGGACGTTTTTGTTCGCAACTTGAACCTCCGGACGCAAGCAACACCTGTACGCGTCGCCAATGCGTGGCGGTTTCAATGAATCCCATTAGGCACGGATGGATGCAAATCAGTCTGGATGCGGGTCTCTTTCTCTCTCTCTCTCTCTCTCTCTCTCTGCCAAAAGGGCAACTCGCGTGGCGCCGAACACAAACAAACGCATGCGCCCCAGTTCAAACACAGAGTGTGGCAGAGTGTGTTCCTGGGGGACAGGCAAGTCGGCCGGCAGGCTCCTTCACTTAAGTTCCGCATTCTGATGACGTCAGCGGCGTCCTCGAATTCAGTTCAGACAGTGTGGGTGTGTAATGATGCGCTTTGCAACAATTTCATGGCGATCTATCGAAACGAAGTGCGGGTGATAAATGGGTTCTCCGTTTCTCTTTGTGTGTAAGAGAAAAACGTGCTTCTCCCGTCAGCGTTTTCTGCTTCCACCCATTGAATGAATGATTTAATGAGCTACTTGGTCCGACTCGACGGATGGAGGTTGCACTCGGCGAAGAAGAAAGCAGGCAGCTCTGAGACATGCTCATTTGATCCCTTCGCGAAGGGGACCATCTGACACCTAAAGTGCATGAGCTCTTTTTTTCTTTTTCTCCGGCTCCAAGAAACTTTCATCGAAACGCAAGCGGCTCTTCTTCGAACAGCCGCGTGGTCGTACCTATCACCTCCTCGGCTCCTGGCTCCCCCGTACTCCCTGTCGCCGCCTGGCGCCTCTAAACAATGGACGCTCCCCCGCCCTGGCTAGTTACAGCAACAGACGAGATAAAGGTCAAGAGCCTCTCGAAATCGCAACATTTTGCGCTTCCTTCGCACTGTATGTATACTCGAAAGTGAAGCGAGAGGGAGTGCGCGCTACGCTTTCTTCTTCGCCCGAACGGTTAAACGAGTGGTGTCCGGTTTATAGTCCCAATGGGGTGCGGCGGGGCGGTTGGAGAAGAAGAAAAAGAAGAGGAAGAGGAGGAATAAGAAGAAGCGACAGCAAACTTTTGCAATAAAACCAAGGCGATAAACTATTACCTCTCATTCCGGGTTGATGGTCTTCGCGGCAATGGTTTGTTCTGCACTGATTTGATTGCTGATTCGAACCGTTCGCATTGAAGGCGCGATGGGCACTTGCATTCTGATACTGCTGAGATCCGGAGCCGTTCTGCTGATATCCATTTCCACGGTTATTTCGGAAGTGATTAGGATGGGCTGAAATACGAAAAAGCGTTCATCTTGCCTCTCTTGATAATCTCCCGTTTTTTCGGAGGGCTTTCCTCCACTGTTTGTACACAAAACCGCAACACTTTCGGGCGATCTGTCTCTCTGCGTCTCTCCAGTCTAACGCGCAATCTGCTAATCTCTCTGCAAGCGGAGCTCGAGCTGCGGAGCCCGTGATGCAAAATTGTTGGCGCAAACACACAAAAAGTGCAAATGCCCTCTTAATTTGACGAGATTCTGAAGCCCGGATAAAATGAATCATTCTCACCTTGATTTCGATTGAAAGTCTTCTGCTGCTGTGCACATCCGCTCGACATCTGCTTCCTGAGTCCCGGTGAAGGGATGGGGGACATCGGAGCTGATGAGGTGTCGGAACCCGTGAAACCGTTCGTCGATGCGGTGCCAAAAGAGGACTTTGGTTGCCAAGGGTTTCCGGATGCCATTCCAACTGCGGTAATTCCAAGGCTGGCCAGGCCCATGTCGTTCGCGGAAAAAATGGAAACATTCTGAAGGTTGACGAGCAGTTGATCTTCCAGAGGAGCAGGTCGCCGCGGTGCGGGCCGCGAGATCGGAGGGAAGATGGTCGCCGAAGAGCCGGAAGGCTGCTGCTCCAGTGCTGACAACGATATGCACGACGTGTTATGGGTGAGACGCATCATCGACGTCTGGTCTGAAAGCGAAGAAATGAGTGAGCGTGGAGATGGAGAAGGCGAAAGTATATAAGGATGTAGACTACAGTATATCATAGGTGTGAAGATCGAAAGTTGACAGGCCGCAAAAATCATCGAAACACTTGCGGAAGAGGGATGAGTTACAGATGATCGAACGCATTGAAAGGGGAGCAATGTTGCAAAAAGAGGTGCCCAGATCGCAGCTGATGGCAGCGGCCGTTGCGAGAAATTTAGCGATGGGGAAGGTATTTAGAATCGGAAAAAAGACCAACACAAACGCGAGTTCAAACGAAAAACGACGACGGAGGGGATGTGGGGGGGACGGGCAGTAGGAGCAGCAGGAAAAAAGTTTTGAGGCGCAAAAGAAGAACAAATAAGAAGGGCAACAGCGGATCGCGACAAAAATCGGAAGAGAACTGGGGGACAGGCGAACGATTGGACGGATTTCCGAGGCGGTGAGGCAGAATTTCGAAAAAATTGTTTCTTGCTTTTGCACAATGAGAAAGAGCAACTGGCCGGCCGGCTGGCAGCAACTGAGGACTTTATTTTTGAGAAGAAGAAGAAGAAGTAGACAGGGGGCGAGAGATTGAAATCAGAGAGAGGAAGGTGCGAGGGCCGGGGGTCTCCCGTGGTCTGACGGGAGGTTGGAGGGTTCTCCCTATGCTCCGCCCACTCTTTTTGGTGCACAACAATCTTTAGAAGTACGCCTTTTGTGCGGCGTTACCGGTATGGGGCGGTAGGAATCCAAAAGACCAAGTGAATAGAGCACCATCGAAACAAAAAACGACGATTTCTGTATTGTACTGTCTGCAGGCAGAACTGTTGATGTTGTGATGGAGCATGAGAGCTTGTCACACTTTCAGATCGCGACATTTTACAGCGCAAGAAAACAGAGAAGACGAGGACAAACGTAATTTAGCTGAGTGCTCTCGCCTAACGCAAAGCTGCTCAAATAAAGCAGTCCAAAATGGAATCATCGTCGGCAAAATTGATGAATTTGGGTGACGAGAAGGGACAAAAATACACTGTCTTGGAAGTGTGATTCGGTCGGGTGGCATTATCCGGGATGAGCAAGGAGTCAATCGCATCGGATGAGGGGGTGGAGAAGGATCTTCTAAAGATTGTTCCATGAGAATGCGTCTGTTTTCCATCTCGAAATGCCCTCTTGTCGGTTGCCATTTGGCCGCCCAGTCAGTAAAATCGATCGTCGAATGCGACAGTTAAAAGATTTATTTGTTTTTTTTCTCGTCGTTTTTTTCGTGTGTCCACCCGAGAAGAGGACGGAAAAGAAGGACTTTAACTGGCTTCTCTTTTAGCTGGCTTCCACTCTTCTTCTTCTTCTGGGGTCATTTTACCGCACCATTTGATCGTTGCCCGCGGCGGCGACTTCAATGCGAATGTCTGGCATCGAAGAATCGAAAAGAAACGACGCTACCACCCATGAAGAAAAATGGAAATGCAACATTTGGACGGGGGGAGGGTTCCGAGTGAAACTAATGGGACGGGATAGGAGGTCTTCGAAAGAGACACAGAAAGGCCTATAAATTCACATCTTACCGTAGGCGGTGGCAGTGGAGAGCGGCTGGCCGATCGCGGCGACAAATGATAATTTATGAGGTGTCGGATGGTGGTTAAAAGGAGAGACGGCGTCTGGTACTAAGAACATACGGCCGGATTGGAGGGAGACACCGGGAGATCGGGTTACACAAAATTGGAACCAGAGCACACAAAAATAAAAACAACTGGAAGCTCAGAAGCCCTGAAGACATGAATATAAGAAGGGAACTTTCCTGGAAGAATCAGAGAAGGAGGGAACGGCCGACGAAGAGAAAAAGGGATGTCCCAGTTCGCGCGGCGGCAACAAAAAAGAGAGAAAAGTGTAGGGAATGTTGCAAAAGGGTCCTCTTTTTCTGGCTCCCTCTTCAAATTGGCATTATTTCACCAGACATGTCTGGGGCACGCGCACCCTCCCAGAGCCCGGGGGCTCATTTCTCTTCTCGCTTTTTTCCGCTTCTCAGCTGGTCCTTTTTTCTCTTTCTTTTCCTTTCTTTTCTTGACCGTTGGCCAGAGGATCAGAGAAGCAGAGATGGGGAGCTCCGGGTGGAAACGTTTTTGGCATGATGCCAGCCAGCGGAGCAGGAAACAAACGAGTAAAAGGTTCATCTGGGAGCACGGAGAGATGGTGATGAGCACTCGGAGGGAGACAGACCGCGACGGCCGTATTTTGTCATACATAAACTATGAATTGACCGCGTCGAAAGAGCTGACAGCAAAAGGGGCGGGTGGAGCGCGAAAGAACAGTTGAACTCTTTGGCGACGGCGCGGCGGCGACGGCGGTGTCGGGCCAGGAATATGGCAACATTTGGTCACTTGGCAAAGATGATAACGCGTGCGAATTTGAATTTTAATACCTCCTTTGCCTTCCACTCTCGCCCCGACAACCCAACCAGAGTACGGAACTTGTGAAAGGATCAGACCCGAAAGGGAGCGAAAAATTGAGACAAACGAGAAAGTCTCTTCGGTCTTCTTCATCATCTACTGCCCACCCCCAGAAGAATTCGGCCTTCAAAAAGTGAAGACGTCGACGAAAAGAGAAAAGACGGGCGGCCGCCACGGCGCCCTCCGATACAAAACAGTGGCCTCTCCGTCCCAACGCATCCTGTCGAAGGAGTTGAACATCATTTGGCACTGTGCCAACCGAGATGTCACATGGTCGGGGGCAAGACGCAAAAAAAGCGGGCGGGCTAGAGATGAGAGGTGTCGCGCCAAATCACCCTTTGTGTGGGAGAGTGCGCGAAAACGGGAATGCGAAACGAAGAAGGCGAAACGGGCGGATGAGAGGGGTAATAAAAGATAGGGATCCCATCTGGACGGGGCGAACAGAGACGACGTGGCGAGAGGGTTCACAAGTCAGAAAGAGTTCGAAAAGCCGAGGAGTACGGTAGGTTTTACAGTTAATTGGCACTGCGAGTCACAGTTTGTAGCAAGAAGTGCTCGACGCGTAATAACGCTCCTTACTGTTACACCATCAATGCTACAGCACACATTCTCTAATTCTTTCTCTCTCTCTCTCTCACTCTCACTCTTTCTCCCCACTAATTGATGATAACTTTTATGGTCTTCTGTGTGCAAAGATAAGCGACGAAATGTTGCCAAATTGGCACGAGAGAGCACACTCTCCTTCTCTAGCTCTTTTCCATTGATAACGACCGTGTGCGAAGCTCTCTTCTGACTCCGCCCACTCCCAAATTAGACCGTTGTCGGCAGAAGAGGTGAAACTGACATTGATAAATCTGAATTTGATAGGTGAAACAGAAGGCGACGACTTCATTTCGAGTCTTCAGGTCCTCTTTGTTGCGCCTGTCTACGCGGTTAAACGAGACAGATGTCTATCGGTGTGGATAGGAAGGAAAAGGGAAAGTAGGTATCTTTAGGGAGGACAAACACTGATCCTGGCAAGTTATGGCAACGCACGGTCCCACTGGATGGTCAGAATCACAGGAAGGACGTGTTCGGAACTGGAACAAATGGGCTACTTCATCAGATCAACAGTCACGAGACGGTTATTGTGAAGACCGCGAAAAACAAATGTTATTCTTTAAAGAGAGGGGGCAGAAATTGCAACACGCCGAAAGATTATCTCGATCTGTTGGTGGCCGCGCGTCGTCTGTCAGAGGCCGCGCGGAAGGTGTCTGAACACAGCCAGCCCGGGATGCACCTGATGATCTGATGATGACGATGATATCTCGACACACCGATTAAACCGATGCGTGCGCGGCGACAGGGGCGACGGCGGCGGGCTTTTTGCAGCACTCTGATGATGATGCGACGATGAGAGGTGTGAAATCGTATCGGGAAAGTTTGTGGAAGAAGAACAGAAGAATGGGCATTTGAGTCATGGAATCGGAATGCGAATTCGATTTCGAATTCCATCTGAGGAATAAATAAACAAGTGGAGGTCAAGATTTCTGAACTTGAGAGTATTACCCATTGAGAACAGAGTTATGGGCGGGTCTAATATGTTTGATCTAACTATAATCAATTGGTATCGTCGTGTGTTCCGGGCCCACACGTTTTGTATGTAGTTGCCGATATGGAATGAGCGGATTAGTAGCAGCGGGGAGCCCTCTTTCCCGTAGGTCCTTCACCTACTACTCTCTGTCCCGTTTCATTATTAATCTCGAGGAATGAGTAAAAGAGAGAGAGAGAGAGAGGGGGGGAATGAACCAATGATAGCATGGATAAAAACAACCAAAAGCTAGAAGCTATTGGAAATGAGGGAAAACGAGGGACGTGGGGGGAGGATATTGTTTATTTGCCTGGACCTCGAGTGGCTGGTTCCTAGGTCTTCTTCCAATGATCGGCGCCTGTCTAGGGTCTCTTCATGATCATCCTCATTGAATAAATTAATATCGAAACGAACGAGAAGAGTACGTGACCCTTAGTTAAGCAATTGGTGCATGTGACCCGGGGAGATGTGATAAGAAGAAGGCGGGAAGGGTCCTGAAGGAGATGCACCACCACCACTACTACTAATACTACTAGCCAGGCCATCATCTAAAGTTACAACGTGTCCGGACGCTGCACTCCGCTCACCTGTCCGGCTTCAAAGTGCCAGCGACCAGAGAGCAATGGCCAGTGTGTAAGACGTGGCAGAAGAGGATCCGAACAAGTACGGTAGGTGAGTGATGGAGTGTGCTCCCTCACTGACACAAACATCTCTCTTTTTTTGTCGAGTGTGACTGACTGTTTCCCCCATTCAGCTGACTGGCAGAACGCGATAGACCGAGCGACCGAACGAACGATCGAGGCAAAAAATAAACAAGCAGGAAAAAATTGCCAAAAATTTTCGGAGGGGGCTCTTGGGGTCGTCGAAGGCAAACACGGTGGAAAAAGTAGACGAAGGTCGAAAAAAAAAACGAAGAAGGCAGAAGTGGGGTCAAGTCAGCTGATCCGCCCAAGGACTCTCTCAGCCGGTTCGTTTTTTTTTCCGACGGACGGGCGGACGTCGCACTTCGATGGCGTCGGTGTGAGGAAAGAGGGATCGAAATTGTCATTACAACCACCTGGCTCATATCTCTCTCTCTCTCTCTCTCTCTCTCTCTCTCTCGACCACATGTTGGCACTTTGCCAGCGACGCCAACAATATCAGGGAAAGTTTAGGTGGCAAAGAAGAAGACGAAGAAGAAGAAGAAGAGAAGGAACACGTGCTTCGCAAAAAGGACGGATCTGAAAGTATAATGAGCGATGTTTACTTGGTTTTTGATGTATTGGGAATCAGATGGCAAGTAGAAGCAAATCAACAAAAACAGATTGAAGTAGCAAGAAAACAATGAAGCTGAGAGACTGCTGACTGATAGAATCAAGTGACCAGCGAGGGGAAAGAAATAATTCTGAAAAATAGTGCTCTTAAATAGTGCACACTCCGGAAACCGAAATAATCGTGTTCAGGTCGCAGTGTCACAAGTTTCCAAAACCGTTCTGACCTACTCTCCGCCATATCATCATCGTTGGGCGGGTGTGTACAAATTTCATCACTGTCATACTTACCAATACTCAACCGCAGTGCGAGTACTCCGAACCGGATCAATTTGGAAAACTGGACGCTTTAGGTGTGAATGACACACTGTACTATATAACACCGTTTCGATTTTGAAAAAAAAACAGATGAATTGTTTTTCGGTTTCACTGACGCCACCACACCAAGGGACTTGCTCGTCGTACCCTGTTCAGTTCAGAGTACGGTACGCCAGGCCATTGGCGATGATGTCATCCGTCTACAAAGTGCTCTTCTGAATCACCTAGGACCCGGTGCCGCCGTCCTTTTTTCGAATGCAAATAGTCTAGGTGACAGGTTCTTTCTAGTGGTGGTAGCTGGCGAAAAAATGCAAATGCGCAAAGGTTTATGTATATGACACGGGGCATATTCTAGTAGAAAGGGACGCATTCTTTTTGTATTATATACATACAAGGGATTCGCGGACGAGGGGTTCCCCTGACGAACATCAGCGGAACAAGGACAATCATCGAGGAAACTACACGCGATGATTATCCGGGAGAGAAGGAAGCGAGGACGCATCGCAAATTGCGTCGTTTTTTGCAATTTCTCCTTGATCCAACTGTCTTTGCGCCGATGATCCACAACTACTTTGTGACAATCAATCAGATGATAGGGAGAGGTTGGAAAAGAAAGAGGAAGAGAGAGAGAGAGAGAGAGAGAGAGAGAGAGGACATACTAAACACAAATACATACACAGGTCATGACTATGCTGATGATGAGAACGAACCGAAATATTCTCTCTTTGCCCTTATCGGACCGGCCTATTTGTCTAAATGGGAGCTTGTACAAATATAGACCACAGAAATGATAGACTCTCCTCCCTCTCCACCGCCACTTAATAATAAAGACTCTAGTTTTTGTCGCAACCTTTTATATGGCCCGAAATTGAAAAAGTAGCCGCGATTTTGGGCGAAAAAGTGCACAAAAATGTTGCGATTTTCGATTGTCACTCTCCCGCTGTGATTGGCCATACGGTGAATTGGCTCCGATTTGCACGAAAGACGAGCCAATCGGCGCGTCTGCTTTACGAGTTATGAGGTGGAAATCTGAGAGCTGAGAGTGAGAGCCAAAGGAAATCATTTGAGTGAACATAGTAGAAAGAATGGTACATTTGGGTGGGCGGATTCGATTGAAACAGGTGAACAAACGGACGTTTGTACTGGAACTTTTTGCAGATTGAAACGAGGAAACGAGAAGGGAATGCAAGATAAGGACAAGGAAGCAAGACAAATTGATAGACGACCTTCCGAGTACATGAAACGGAGGATGAAGGGACAGCGGAGGATACAGATGATACATACACACCTATTATTTATTCGACAAATTCTTCTCCCTTTTCTCTTCAAACCAAATAAAGGCATCAATCAATCAGTGATCGTCGCCGGGTCACTTGAGCGGGGGCCATTCGGGCCTCCCTGTTTGTGCAAACCGGGCAAGAAGTGCTGCTCTGCTCCTCCTGATGCTCATGGGCTCCGGCCGAGCACAACAATCTTCAGGTTCATGGAACATTTTCCCCATCGAGAGTGACCACAGTCAACACTCACAAAAGAGTGTGGAGATCGAGGAGACGCAGAAATCGGAAGTTATCCGTTTGCAGGTCGGCTGGGCCGGCCGATCTTCGGACGGAATGAGCCCTGCCGAAACGATTGGTGATCACGTGAAGAGGAACAAGTTGGAAAACGGTCGGAATTTACTATTCAGAGGGAGAAGCAACCAAGTTCACAATGAGCACTACTTATTAGTTTGATTCAGTCTGAAAAGTGCATGATTGGTCTTGTTTGCAGAAGAACCACAATAATATATACAATTCAATGAGGAAGAGAGAAGAGCACGAGGGCGATAGGCAATAGGTGAAAAGTATAAAGTGAAATGGGGAAAAAAGCGAATTCGATTCGATTCATCTTCTTTCTCTTTCTCTTTCCGAATCTAATTCACGTATGTCACGCGGAAGAGCACACTACGACGGACAACTGTTCTCTCCGTGCAATTGAACGTAGGCTTCTACTCGCTGCATATCTTCTCTTTTCTTCGATCCATCACCGAATTCAGGTTGCGAACTGGCGAGCTCGGTGGAGCCAATGGAGCAACAAAAAACTAAACAATGATGTGGGGGAGGCTCGGGGCCGTCGCCGCAGCCGCCGCAATCGTCTGTGTTTACTCCAAAGTGCACCTTTCGGCTCGGCGGTTTGCTCGGCGGTTCGTAGTTTTCAACACTGCTCTCCGCGAAAGTCTGTGTTAGACTCTACAAATTTTGATCCCCCCCTCTCTCTCTCCGCCAAGTTGGGTTTTGTTGGCACACTGCCAGACCGAACGAGAACCCTGGTTTCTGATAAGTGGCGGCGAGATCAAAGTGATCAATTTCACGGCTTATCAACTAGAAAAAAAGCGAGAAACTGGGGGGAGGGGGTTTGCAACATTTCGGTGGGCGGCAAGAGAGAAACAAAGAGTTCGATTAGTTTTTTGATCGCGGAACCTTTCGAGAAATAGTGGCGAGAATTAGTAGATCGCTGCGAAGATCTACGTGACATTTTGCAAAATTATCGGGTCAGACGAAGAAAAAGTACATTTCTGCAACGGTTTGTGATTGATGTGCAAGCGAAACGGCAACGAGCTTTTGATCTGAGAAAGTGTGCTCCAATTTTAAATTTCAATTATAGATCTGCCGCAAAAGTCTGGCAATTTTGCTCTGCCGTTCTTCACCTAAATCGCGGCTCCGGCCGAGTTTTCACGTAGGATTGCGGTAGAACGGTATTGCCAGAATTCTGCGGATCTTGGCCATCCGCACGCATCAAAAACTATTCTTTGTGATTGGAAAGTGCGTTTCAGGGTGTGTAATATCTCATTATCATCTAATAAATCAATCAGTTTCGCCTTCTCTTTCTCTCTCTCTCTCGCTCATTTTCGGGGGTCTCCCCTGATGAAAACAAGAGTACGGTAGGATTGAAACAGAAGAAATAGAGACGGAGAAGATGGAATCGGCTGGATTTTGGCTGGAGGTTGGCATGTTTGCACAACTGATATATATTTGGGAAGGAGGGATTTGTGTTTTGGTGTGTTTGAACAAAATGAGAAGGTCTGGCTCGTGCCCCCCACTGTTTTGATACACAATTTATGGAAGAGGCGAAAGTTTGGCCACGGCCATCAATCTCATTTTTGATCTCTCGCTCGCATTCTCACTCGAATTCCCAGACACCCTCAAGTGCATCAGACAGGATTTTCATCGGGCGCGCACGAAACTGTCACTTTCGGTAATTGATAGCATTGAGATACACTTGTAGCACTGGTAATTTTTCCGAATTCGCAACAAATTTCAAACGGTGGCCTTCTGCGCGAGACAAGACGTCACCTTTCAGAGAGCGGGCACCGCCGCCGCGGCTTTGATAAATGAGGGACCGGACGAGGGGCGCCGCGAAAAGACCCCGGCGAGATTGGGCTGGCAGATAGTCGGGGACTGGAAACGGTGGATTCTCGATTCTCAGCAGAGAAGTGTCTAGACTTGGCTACAGTCGTCTTCTTCTGCCAAAACAGCTGCAAAAGGAGATGGTACTTTCAGTCATCTGGCGAGCATCTGGACTTGTTTTCGACTCGAAAATAAGTTGCACTAGTAAAAAAAAAACGTTAGGGTAAGTAAGCATCGGGTCTGTTTCGCAATAGTGAAAAGTGACGTCGATGTACCCTCCAGAATACTTTGATTTTGCTGATTCTAATGTTCATAATCGCTTTCTGCAGCCTGCACCATCCGTTTCGTGTCATTTAGTGCCCTCTTGCGCTTTTCTCTCTCTCTCTCTCTAGACTGTCAATTTATAGCATTAAAGTCTGTCGCCGAAAGAGCAGCGCCTGCGTCTGTGTGCTCCGATCACTCTCTCCGTCGATTCAGATAAAAGTGCAAGTGTTCGCAGTCACCATCATCATCAACGTCGCCCTTTCTTTGTGCCAATACCAAAGCAAATGGCAACATTTTGGGCTGCTCTTATCATTTGGCCACTTATCACTCTCAAATACCTTCTCCACTCTCTCTCCACTCGCCGTACTATTCTGTCACGTTGACGACTGCCCTGAAACTCTCCAGATAACGACATGATAAGCGATGGCGCCGATGCTCGTCCTTCTGCTGCTTCGCTGCTTTGTGTGCTGTACAGAGGGAGCGGGAGAAGGGAGAAGATTGATTGGAAGGGAGCGAATTGAGAAACGAAGGGAACTCGACTCGAGGCGGAGGTGTGTAAAAGTGTGAAGTGCTCCAGAGAGCTCCCTCGTTATGGATCAGAGGGGATGTGGTTCTGGTGGTGGAGGTGCCTCGTAAATCAGCCACGATTGGGTGATGATGAAGAGGAAAAAGCGGCCATTAGGCAAAACGCCTGGCCGATGGGATCCTCCGGGCCGATGGGAACGAGGTGGCGAGATGATGATGGACGCGTTCCGCACTGATCTTTTCTGCTCTGCCGTCAGAGGACTACAAAAGGGGACTACTGCCATTCCACAAGTGGATTTCAATTTTATGTTGCGTATTAACTATTCCATCGACCTGGGACCCCAGGTGTTCAAGGGCAGCAGCCGGAGTTTCACTTTCCGTCGAAAAGTAACACTGAAAAAGAAGTGCTCTGCAGTGCCTACGATTCGATTTTTAAAAGAAATGCCGTGATTATAATAGTCTTAAAGAAAACGCTGTCGTCTGGGAAGGAGAATGTCTATCAAAAAATGTCTCACGAGTTCATGGAGTGTCTCAAAAGTTCGCGTCAACTCTTCCTTATCAGCTCGATGTCAGAGCAAGTTGGATTCAAGCTTCAGTTTCCACCACCCCGTGAAGTATTCTGTAATTTACTAACCTGAATTAATTCTCCGATTCTCGTCCTGCACCAGCGGATTCTCCTCGTCGCACTTCGGTGTCGGAGCTCTCCAGACACGATTCGGATCCAAGTTGCACCAGAATCTCGTGTCCATTCCACGAGTAGTGCCCATTTTTGCTGTAAACAGAAAACTCATTCTATCTCTCCATTTTTGACATTCACGAGGGGGGAAAAACGAAATGTTTGTTCTGTTTCTACTTCAAGTCTGACCTAACGGGTTACTGTACTCGAAGTGAAAGTTTTGTCATTTCTGCCGCGACGCCCTTTGTTCTTTCTTTTTCGAAACAAAGTTTCTCACGCCAAAGAGAGGGAAACCACACGACGGCGGCGGCGCGCGCTCTTTCAAATATTTATGGCCCTCCTCTTTTTGGATGTCATTAACCATCAGATCAAATCGAAACCGTATTGTGTGGAAGAGTGCAAACCCATTTGTGCCCGGTATGTCCGTCCGTCCGGTACAGTACTTTGGAGAGAGAGAGAGAGAGAGAGAGATGCGAATCTTTCGGAGGGTTGTCATCAAGATAGATTGTCTAGGTGGTCTCTAAACCGTCATCTTCGTCGTCGTTTTCGTGCATTTCATTAGAAAGAACTCATAAAAACGAGGTGGGTGGTCTCCAGACAACGGAATTGTCTATGCAAATCGGAAATGATTTTGAGAAGGAAAGTGGATTAAAAGTGAGGGATTTACACGTTTTATGAGTGGAAAAGTGTTAAGCGACGTGCAATTGTAATTTCTTTGAAATAAGAGTACTGATAAACGGAGAGAAAGGACGTCAGCGACAGGGAGAACTACCTGGCACCATGCTGACCGGAAGAGTACCACTTCGTGCTCTCCGGATTCTGAGAAACGTCTTCTGACTCGTCATCTCTCTGACACGGCTCGTCATCCTGATCAAGTGTGGCTTCTGGTATAATTACCCTCAATAGCTCATGTTTCATCACGATTTCGTACATCTTCCGATTACGGTAGGCACCATCTAACCAGCACGTTTGATCTTCTCCTCTCCCATTTGCACTTTAGATTGACTCCGGACACTCGGTTGCACTTTTCAGTTCTTTCCACTTCACAAGTCCAACTCACTGATATCGACTGATGAAAAACTCTAGTGTGTAGTCTCTTTTCATCGAGAAGAAATGTTGCAAAATGTTGTTCAAACCATGCACTGATAAGGGCATCCGCGACAGGCACAGACTGCGATCGCTACCGCAGAGCGATGGAGCACAAAACGACGGCGGCGGCGGAAAGAGGAATGTGCAATAGTACGTGGAGACAACGGTGATAATGAAGCCTGTTAAAGTGGAGAACAATGGGCGAAATAGAGAGAGAGAGAGAGAGAGAGAGAGAGAGAGAGAGAGAGATGACGTGGGGGAGTTGGAGCGGAAATTGAATGATGACCGAGTTGAGGGACCTGATGAGGGGATTTCCTTTTTCTCAAAGCGATTTGACAGCGGAAATCGTTGGGATTTGACAGATAACTTTGGAAACTTTTGCGAGCAAAGATCACGCACAGATCCAAAAGAGTCGATCTTCATTGAACGTTCGGTAGAGCGCATAAGGAATGACAAATAATGCGTATCGAAAACGAATTATTCGCAATCAAAGAGATATCTTCTAACCTGTCAGCCGACTACTCGATCATTTCTTTCTTTCTTTCTGCCCCCGAACAGCATAGTTAACCGACCGAATGGGTGGTTTCGAATTCCAACGGACGAACCCAACCTCTCCAAGGCCGTACCTGTTCTCGCGATGGTTTCCGGTGTGCTTGCGGGCGACTGATATCCGTTCGATTCAATGTTCGGCGACGACGACGACGACGACGACAATTCTGATTATGGCAATGAAGATTCGGAGCACGTATTACCTGGAATCAGAGCACGATGGATCAAATCAGAAGGCGAACGAAAACACGACAAAGAACGGACTGCCGAGAGTCACCTACTGAAAACGGGGGGCGGAGTTTTGTGGGACGGCGACGGCAAAAACAGCGTCGTTTATCGTGCGAACGAACCCATTCCAATTTGTACTTTGCGGGAAATGGGGGCGGGAGAAAGGAAAAGGAAACAACTGGCTTTTTGTTTCCGAAAAAGGAACAAAAAAGTTTCAACTTACGTCAATACGTCAAAATGGATGAAGGGGGCGCGAACAGTGTGTGAAACATGTTCGAAACAAAAGTACAAATGGATTGCAATCGGTTCATCTCGCTTCAAATACCATAATGATCAGCGAGAGGCGAGGGAGCACGTCGGAGCGAGAGATTCGGAGAAACGAAATGGGAAAAAGCGACCACACACGTTGCGGGAAAGGATTAGAATCCCCCATTTTGTATGCCATTTTCTCCGTCACCGCCGACGTCTTCTGATTCTGATTCAGTGTCTGGCGCGGCTACAAACACGGAGTCCAGCGTAGACCAACGACGCACTCTTAGAAAGTGCAACCTCATCGCGTGTGAGCATATCCGAATCGTATTGTGGACTTTAGTCCGACGGGGCAGAATTCGCACAATCCAGGTATGTTTTGGCCGGAAGATTGCGCGTATCGAGGGGTTGAAAGGGAAGCCGCCGCGTGGCGTGGAATAGCGCAACTTCTCTCTCCGTTTTTGCGCCCCTTCTACCGTCTTCTCCATCCATAAATTTGTTGCGTTGTCGCTCGCTCGCTCGCTCGCCAAGCCTAGCAACTTTGTGTCTTTGTCTCAGAGTTGTGTACGTCTCCCGCTCGTTGCCTTTTGCCTTCGATTTATTGGGTAAAGTGCGCGAAAATATGGAGGAGAGGAAGGAAGGCGAGGGCGAACAAGTTGGGAGAATGCGCGGCACGCGACAGGACAGACGGTGACACGAGTGATAAATGAGTCTGGACACGATAGACGGTGTAGGAGCAGACACAGATTCGGATGGGTCAGAAGGCCAAACAGTGTGCATGCAGTACACAGATAACAAGAACACGAAGGGGACGGCGAACGGGGGGGAATTGCTCCATCCGCCCGCCACAATCCGTTATTTTGTGTGGACACTATCACTTGATCATTCAGTAATCGAACAGATAATGAGCCCAGTCCCGTTAGAAGAGAATGTCGAATTTCGAATGCTGTCCGAAAATTTGAATAACAATCACTATCATCACCACAACGACACGTAGCTCTCAATGTGTGGTCAGTTTTTGAGCGATTCGCCCCATAAACCGTGTCGGCCGAGCGATATTTGGCATGGGGGACACGTCGGAAAAGAGTACAATAACCGATGAGAATGGGATGATGCTCCGTTCTGACTCTCAACAAACAACATGTGAGAATAGTAAAAGGGTCCCATTTCAGACCAAATTCAATTTGGTCTCTTCTCTCCTCCTTGTTTCGTTCCCTTTTCAATTGCACTTTTTAGGGACCACAGGGACCTCAGCTTTTTCTGCAAACAAAAACGCCACTCCACAATTACGAGGGAAATGAGAAGAGAGAAGAAGGAGAGAGAGAGAGAGAAAAAAGTGTCCGTGCACGGAAAAGAGCCAACTCCCGAGGGTACTTTCAAATTGGGAACATGGCTCTGAAACAGAGAAAGAGGCAACATTGGCTGGGTGGCCCCGAGGCGTTTAGCCCGATTGCTCGATTTATGACGGTGTGCACTTTTACACACTCTTGTTTAGACGCTTGAAAGTTGAGAGAAGCGGGGGAAACGAACGAGGAGTGACTAGAAAAAGAAGGTCATTACGAACAGCAACATTTGCTAATGTGCAAGGACAACTCTCAATTTAAATTTTTCTACGATTTCAAGGCTTCCGATTTTCGCACAGATAGCTAGACAAAACATGCAACACATTAATTATACAATTAAGATAAGGATGGCCTTGTAAATTTCTTTAGTTTAGGCCAGGTCTTCAATTCGTCTTTCCTGGAGATCCTACTGCTTCAATGTGAATGACAACAACATAACGGTAAGTTTATTCGCACAAAAAGTTATCTCTCGTTGAGTTGAATGAACACGGGATCCTTTGGCTTCATCACAATTCCATCGCACTCTGTGATCATCTCCGGCTGCTCAGAATCCACGCTCATCTCAAACTTCTCCATCATTCTCACAACCGTCGTTTTGATCTCCATCTCGGCAAATCGCATTCCCACACAGATTCTCGGTCCAACTCCGAACGGAATCCACTTCAGCGAACTCTTTTCGTTCCAGTCGAGAAACCGTTCTGGCACGAACTCATTCGAATTCTTCCAGTTTTCTTCGTTTCTGTGGACGGTGTATGGCATCGTGGTCACGCAAGATCCCTTTGGAATGAATTGATTTCTGATGGTGATATCATTGAGACAGACACGGACGATCGCACTGAAATCTACTGTTTTCGGGGAAGCGGGGAAGATTCTCATACTGATAAACTGGTGGATACAGACGCAAACTCTCCTTGTAAACTGCATCCAGATATTTCATTCCGAAAATTGAATCGTGGTTAATGCCCTGAAATCAATAATATCATGAAGACACTCTGCCAGTCTCATTACACAAGTTTCTTTCACATTCTGAATCTCTTCGAACAGTTTCTCTTGAACATCCGGATGCTTGGATAATAAATAAATGAGGAAGGTCAGAGCAGTGCTCGAAGTGTCGTATCCTCCCAGAAGTACAGCAAAACAGTTGCCCACGATCTCCTCTTCGGAGATTTTCTGAAATAATGAGTTACTGTAGAGACAGAGAAGAAGCTCTTGTTTTACTTGGTCTGCGTTTTGCTTTCTCTTGTTCCTCTGAATCATGAGATTCAGCAGATCTACACTTTCAGACGATTCCCCCCTCATTCGACGTTGATATCTGAACAAAACTGTGGCAATGATATTTTCAGCCGCATTGTCACGAACTCACAAGTCATAGAGCCCTTGAACCAAAGGCTTCTCTGGCTTTGCCATCCCACTGAATCTGTACAAATACTTCCAAACACTTCCAAACTCTTGCAGAAACACTGAATAACGGTATGTTTGAGTCCGTGATCGAGTTAAATATGCTTACGTCCAGATGTTGTTATCCAGCTCTCTCGGTAGTCAATGTTCTTCACAAACTCTTTGGCTTGGACGTAAAACAGATCGGATCGATCTGTTTGACAGCTGCTATCGATTGCGAACGCGCATTTTGCTATAACATCAAGCGTAAGTGCTTGGAAATCTCTGAAACTTGATCAAGTTCTAATCCATTTTCATTTGAAACTTACTCGAGAATGTCGAATCTTTCGCCTCTTTGAGATTTCTCTTTCAAAACATTCAGAAAGACATCCACCTTCAGTTCGACTGTTGCAAACATTGCCTTCATTGATCCGCTAGAAAAGATGGGGGAGATCGCGACCCGAGAGTGTTTCCAACCGGTTGCATATCTCGAGAAGAACAAGGATTTGGACAGGCCTGTAACATTATTGACTAGTTGGGCACAACTGCGGCAACTGACTCGAGCCCTCCATATACTCCGGTTCCTTTCGGTCGGAGAAGTTGGAAAAGTTCTTGACGAGCACTTCTTTAATGTCCTCTTCGTTTGAAATGATAATATCAAGCTGACGTCCAACGAAAAATCTATGAATTCCGAAAATCGAATTCGAAAAGAATTTTGACTAACCCGAATGTCTCTCCATACTTTTCGTGCAACTCGATGAACCAATCGTATGCGTCATCGTGACCAATCTTCGTTTTTCTTCTGAAATGCATGGTTCCAAGTTATCTCAAGCACTAATCTCACTCGATGAATCCATTCAAATTTCCGAGAAGCCAATGAGTTTCAGGTCCTTTCAGTCCGATTTTCTCTCGAATACGATAATGTTTCTTGCGACTAAAGTATAGGAAGACTAGAAAGAAGAGGAAGAATAAGAGACCGACGGAGAATATGGCCATTGAATTGAAATGAACACAGACTGTTTGGAATGGCACTTTTGTAGATAGATATCATGCTGACAGCGGCACTTTCTTTTCATATGCAAAGTTTGTTTGTGCTTCACAAATCGAGACCAAACTTCGCCGTTTCGCTTGGAGATGAATCTAGAATTTCAGGATGAACATCTTCTGAAAAATCAGAGTTCAAGATCTGATGTAGCACTTCTTATCAGTGCCCAAACAATAATGATTTCAGGTACGCACTGATAACTGCACTCATTTTCCAATTTTCTCTTCTCTTCTGCATTTCAATAGATCAACACTTATATTTCAGACATGGGTATCCTCGCCGTTCTCTTCGTTCTCTTCGCCTCCTCGACGGCCGCAGTCCTCGAGCATCCGTTGATTTGGAGAGAGTCGAAAATGATCGAGATGATCAGAAACGGAGAATATCCAGCGTACCTCGAGTACCGGGATCGGATGATTGCCAGCAGAGCGTCCAATCTGGACACGAACGTTCAGAGCGTCACCGATTACGTCTACTACGAATACATGGGAAACGTCACTGTCGGCACTCCGAACCAAGACTTTATTGTGGTTCTGGACACCGGATCCGCCAATCTGCTCATTCCGGGAACCAATTGCACGTTTGTTCCAGATTCGTGAGACTTCAGATGAAGAATGTTTGTAGAACTTACTGCGAGACGAAAAGATTGTTCAACGAGAAGACATCGACCACTTATGAAGCAACTAATCGGCCGTGGCAGATCAAGTACGCGAGTGGAGACGCCTACGGAACACTGGGAATTGATACGGTCAAGGTGAGCATTGAAGGGACGGAAGCATCGACGAACTCGCGTATTTCAGATTGGAGGCAGTGGAGAACCCCAACTGGCCATCCCAAAGTCCTACCTCGGAGTGGCAGACACAGTCGGATCCGACTTCAAGTGGGTCAGTAATCTATCTGTATTCTTAGCTCTTTATCCGTTTATTTCAGAGTCCAAAAGAGGGCATATTTGGACTTGCATTCACAGCGCTCGCAGTCGACAACATCACGCCCCCGCTCATCAACGCCATCAACCAGGGACTCCTCGATCAGCCGATCTTCACCACTTGGTTCGATCGGAGAGGAGCTCCAGGCACTGCTGCGGGCGGAGCATTCACCTACGGAGCACTGGATACCACTCATTGCGGACCAGTTATCGGATACGCGATGCTCACCACGGCGAGACACTTCCAATTCCAGGTAATTCCGTACGTGTTGCCCCGTTTAATGGACCCTTTTAGGCTTCTGGATTCTCTCTGGGTTCCTACGCCTCTACGACAACATACGAAGTGATCACGGACACTGCCACGTCATTCCTTTGTGGGCCACAAGTGGAAATTGACAATTTGGCAAAGGCAGCAGGGGCAACGGTTACTCTTCTTCTCTTATTCATCATTTTTGAAAATGAGCTTTCAGTGGGATCCAGCCAATCAAGTGTACAATATTCCGTGTGGATCTGACGCCGGACCAATCAAACTGAAAATCGGAAACTACAATTATGTGATTAGAGCAAACAATTACATCCTTCAGATTGACGTTAGTCCATTTCATCCTTTCCAGACCGACCCAGCTCCTTTTCAGACCAACTCTTGTCTCTTCGCTGCCATTTCTCAGTCCTACGCCGGATTTGGTCCTTCCTGGATCCTCGGAGGACCGTTCATGAGACAATATTGCAATATTCATGATATTGGAAAGCAAAGAGTCGGATTCGCTCTCTCTCTCACTAGTGCATAGACTATAAAGTGGAGTTTGATCTCATCTCTCTATTCGTTTTGGACCATTGACAGACGTGACTGCTTTAGATCAATAACTGCTTAAATTGTTTTCTTGCCCCTTCGGCGAAAAAGAAAATTTCGCGCGCTTTTTTGCGTGCGGCTCTCAGTGTCGATTTACTGGAAACTGTCGTACTCGTTGTCCGCTCATGCGGGATTAAAGGATTAGCACAGTTTTCCCCCACTTTCCTTGCCAGCCAAAGTTTCGCTCAATTCTTCCCCCAACTCTTCCACCAACTCTTCCCACAATTCTTCGCTCAATTCTTCGCTCAACTCTTCGCTCAATTGTTCGCTCAATTCTTCCCTCAATTCTTCCCTCAATTCTTCCCTCAATTCTTCCCTCAATTCTTCCCTGAATTCTTCCCTGAATTATTCCCGAATGCTTCTCCTCCTTCTCCTCTTCCTTCTTCTCCCATCCGCTTCTTCGTTCCTTTTCCCTTCTTCCGGCGGCTCCAACTGTGGTTGCTCATGCACTCCACGGCCTTCCACGTGTCCCACTCCGACTCCGTGCGCTCCCATCATGACGTGTCAACCGGTGGCCGCAGCAGCTCCTGTCTCAACGTGCTGTAACTCTTGTAACACTTGCAAAACGAGAAGAAAGCATTGCAGGTTCACATGAAATTTGTTATCCTCCATTCCCCCATTGTCGAGCAACAACAGCTCATGTTCTGAATGTTCGCGTTCGCTCAATGTCTATTGCACGAGATGCCAAGCACGACATCTGTGCATTCACGCTACATTGCGAAAAGACATGGCAGGGTGCCAGCCTAAGGAACAACGCTTAAACTCCGTATCGCCGCGACGCTTAATCGCAATCGCTACGCAGCGAATACGGTGCAACCTGCATATCTAATTGCGTCCCCGTGCTATTGCCGATCGACACGACAACTGCGTGCGGCGACATTGCGAAAACGTGCGCGCACTCTGCGTTTCTTGCCCAGCCCATCAGCTGACGTACACCAGTCTCCCTGTTCTCGCCTCGGCCCATTCGCTCTCAGTGTGCGTGTGTGTGTGTGTGTGTGCATCGACTCCATTCCTTCTCATTTGGCATCGACTCCCTTACCCATCTTATCTTTCCTTTTCCATCCCTAGCGTATTTCAGAAATCATGTACACCATTGCTGCTGAACAGAACAATGATTCTATCAACTATATTGGATTCAATCAGGACTCGAAGTGAGATATTTCATAAAGTAAATCAATGCATCGATACACTTCCAATTTCAGGATAATTTGTGTCGGCACAAGGATGGCTACATGTTCTACAAGACGGTAGACATCCTCGACAACGCGACACTCACCTATGAAGGAGAGAATCTGACCCGTAAGTTTTCACAGAAAGATGGTAATTGTTGAACTTCCCGAAATGTTCAGATCTCGGGCTCAATAACTGTCTGCTCGTGGAGCGTCTTTTCTCGTCGGCGCTGATGGTGGTGATCTCGCAGAAGGATCCGAGAGTCCTGCACGTATATCACTTCACCAGCCGCAACATCATCTGTGATCACCGCTTCAACAAGTCCGTCCTCACAGTGAGACTGAACAGAGACGTAAGTACCACCTGGTCTATCAGTAATATAATTGGTCGCCGACAGAGGAGATTAGTAATATTATAATCGGTGGTCCACAGAGAAGATTAGTAATATAATTGGTGATCTGCAGAGGAGATAAGTAATATAATTGGTGGTCTACAGAGAATCGTCGTGTGCCTGGAGGACTGCATCTATATTTACAACCTGAAGGACATGAAAATGATGCACAACATTATGGACACCCCGATGAACAAGCTCGGAGTCCTGGACCTCACGAGCAATGCCGGCAACGCGGTCATCGCGTTTCCGGGAAGCACAGAGACTGGATCTGTGCACCTGTTCGACGCGATCAACCTTTCGTCGGTCAACACGTTCGTGGCTCATGAGGGGACTCTCGCCTGTCTGAAATTCAACCAGGAAGGAACGATGATCGCCACTGCCAGCACGAAGGGAACCGTCATCCGCGTCTACTCGGTGCCCAATGGAAGCCGTCTTTTCGAGTTTCGACGCGGAGTCTCTCGCTGTGTGACCATCTATTCTCTGTGTTTCTCCGCGGACTCCAAGTACCTTTCCTCGTCATCGAACACTGAAACAGTGCATGTTTTCAAGCTCGAAAGGACTGAGAGCGCCGACACAAAACAGTTAGTTTCCATTCATTAGCAGTCTTTTATTTCATTCCCTCTGCAGAGAATCGTCGAGTGAAGGTGGAGGCTGGTTCGACACCATCAACAAGACCTTGTCGGCTTACATGCCGTCGCAAGTCTTGCAAGTGAGTGAGCTGATGACGACAGAGCGAAGCTTCGCCACCGCCAAACTTCCAGGCGCCACGAGAAGCAATCAAGTCTCACTTGTCACGTAAGTACTCACATCCGTATAGCAAACTCTCAAAGCACTCGTTTATTTCAGTCACAAAGACCAGCAATACGTAATGACCGCCACTTCCGACGGCTTCGTGTACGCGTATCGTCTGGATCCAGAAGGCGGAGAGCTCGATCTCATCAAGCAGCACCGCATCGGGGCCAAATCGGGCACTTGCCGTTTCAGCCCGACTTCCACGAGCGGAGAATCAAGCGGAGCGAACAGTGTGGAACCAAAAAGTAGTGACGCTGCGAAAAGTGATAGATCTGTGTGATCAAGTGTCCATTTAGACCAAGTGGTTCCGAACATGGATGACCCGGACGACTTCCCACCGATGAGCCATACGAGCGGCTGAACTCGTGTCTGCCAGTGAAAGATCATAGCCTCGCCAAATATGAGCCGCTCTAAATATGAGCCGCTCTACTGGCTCATTCAATTCTTCTTTGATCTCCTCTCTCGAGAATGTTCTCTTCGTCTTTTCGTTCCTCCTCGTTCCCGTCGGATCCGTTCGTTGTCATCGTTGTGGGCGACAGGAGAACACGTCCAAAACTGACAAAGAAATGATTCGCCGAACTAAATGTCTCTCCGGATTAGCACTACGGTGACTGCAAAGCCAAGGAAGGCGCCGATGTCTGCAGCGACGTATCGTTCTGTTTCAAAAGAGCTAGTGAGTTAGAGACGAGCCTGCTTTTTTCTGGAATGTCGAAAATTCAGAGATTCACAGAATCGGTTCCAACAGTGTGAATGAAATTCGAATGGACGTCATACACCAAGGTAGCACGATCCTTTCCCCCGGCTTACCAAAACTAAAGAAGTTCTCAGAGATGTGCTTCTCGCCGGGAGGACAACAACCAGAATGCAACGAGCGCGTGCCGACTGCTACTGCGACACCGATTTCTGCAACACTTCCCCCTCCCTTCTCTCAATATCGTTTTTGTTCTACTCAGTTTTGTTTGCATTCTTCAACTTGTAGTAGTGCCCGTTCTTTTTTAATAAAGTTTATTCATCAGAAACGTGAAACGTTCTTCTCTCCTTCTTCCTCTTCTTCTTCTTCCACTTCGTCCTCAAACTTCACACGACTTTTGACCGAAATCCTTCCGGACTGCTCAACGTTATCAAACTCCGTAGCCAATTGAACCTGAACCCTTCTCATAGAAGACATAAAAGTTTATGACGGCTCACCACACTATCCAAGCTCAGATCGGACAAATTATTCGTGTTTTTGTACCAGAACTGATGTTCGTCTGCCGGATTACTGTAGGAATCCAGAGCGGCCAGATTGGCAGAAGAGTTAATCCGAGACTCCTCCACTTCTTTCACGGCAACCTCGATGTTCTTCACTTTCCGCTGGAGTGTCAATTCATTTGCACTGAAGAAATCATAAGATCACTGACCTTCTCGGATTCTTTCTTCTCAAACAAATGATGTCTTCTTCGTCTCGATACCATGATCCAAGATATTTTGATTAAGAATAAGAACAGTTCGGTCAATGAAACGACAGACATTCCGAACCACAGTCCATTCAAACCGAAGATACCGCCTCAAAAGAGGTGTTTGGAAAAAGGAACGACACAAATGACTAACTGAGCGTTTTACTAACGGATGTCGCTTTCACTTGAGTGTAGGAAGTGTAGAACAGCTCCAGGAAATGAATGCTGATCACTGCTATGTTCTCTCTGTGCACAATACTGCTTCACAGGCGGTTTTCTGTTCGGCACTCACCTCACATAACTTTCAGAGTTATTCGTCAAGTTGATGAGCCACGTCATCGAGCTGTTATTGAATCCGTCTCCGTAGGAAGTGTACGAGGTGAAACTGTTCTTTTGACAAGCGAGATGACATTCGGAACAAGCGGGAAGATCCAGGACTACGGTATCTGAAAGAAAGAGAATAGTTGCTCATTGTTCCCCGTTCCCATACCATTCTCTTTCTTGGTCATTTTATCCTCCATGCACGACACTTCTTCGTACGGTAAACAGGTTGTCAATTCTACAAGATCCAGTTTACATTCGGACCATTTTCCAGATCACCTACTGTTGTCAATGTTATAGCTGAATGGAGCACAACCGCATAGTTTTTGGAAGTGAGCAGCGATGCATAGAGCTTGACAAACGGAAGAACCATACGGAAGACTGGTCGAGTACCCCGAGGGCCACGTGTGCGTACAGTTCCCCCAGTTGTGACGGTTCAGAAGATCGTGCTGAAAAGCTTGGAAAAACGTAATGAGAGAGGACTTTTACTCGTTACCAGGACCGCTTTGATTGCAGTGTTCACAACTCGGGACGGTGACACTGTGATTCCCTCGGACGCAAGATCTGGGCTCGTGGTGGGAGGGTGGATGAAGTAGCGAAAGCCGTTTTCTTGGAAACTCGAGTAATGGAAGCTCGTGAACTGTTCCTCGTGCTTCGCGTTCGCAATGATTTGCAGTCCCGCCTTGGCTGATATCCGCGGGGAAACTTGTTTTTTCATCCAAATTTCTGATCGATTCTGGAAGTTCATCACCCAGCACCTGCCTAGCGAAGTGATAGTCTGGGACATGAAATCACAGCAATCGAATCGTTTCCCTCCGAAATAACATACTTCGAACAGTTCTGCGCAGTCAAATTGAGCAGCATTCAAGAAATTGAGAATGGAGAAGTCGGGATGTTTGCTCAAATAAATCTGGGAACTTTCGTGAGCTGGAAGGGAATGAGATTTTTTAAACTTGTTTTTCTATGGCAAACCTTGTTTCAAAGCATTTCTGTCCGCATTATTGAACATGAAAATAGAGTTTGTCTTTGTGGCGAGAAGGTAATTGAGCACTTCATCCGATAGTTCGCCGGAGGTGTTCAGGTTATGGATGTAAGAGGTTTTGACCGGATTCAGATTGCAAATGGTGACCGCCGGGAAGTCCATGCTCCCGTCGTTCGCAATGAAAGATATCTGGAATGATATAGAGAAGTAGGAAACAGAAGTATTCTATAGGATCACTGAACCTGAGAGAGTGTAGGCTTCGAAAAGTAATAACGAACGAGCACGGCAATCTGATAAAGGAGGAATGCGAACACGAGAACAACGACGGACATCCAGAAGAACCGAGCGAATCCTTTTCCGTAGAATATTCGTTTTGGACCATTGACAGACGTGACTGCTGTAGATCAATAACTGTTCAAATTGTTTTCTTGTACCCTCGGCGAAAAAAAATTTTTCGCGCGTCTTTTTTTGCGGGCGGCTCTCAGTGTCGATTTACGGGATGAGGTTTTTCAGCGGAAAACGCTGTTTTTTTTTGGGATTATGCACAGTTTTCCTTCAAAACTTTTGCCTCACGTTTGTTCGTATGACCGATAGCTACAAAATGATGACAGAGTGCTCGTGTAAAAGTGAAAATTCGAAACGTTATATCGCTTTCAAAAAATCCAGAAATTTCAGACCTGCTTTTGTTTTCAACGACACTCCGTTTCAACGCGACGATCAATTTAGCATCAGCTATTGGGGGGAGACTGTCGCAACTCACTGCTGAAGTGTTTGGTCTCTCGATAAACCGATCCGACTCCTTCGGTTTCTCTGATCTTTCTCACCGAATACATTGGAAATTTGACAGCTGAGAACGTCGACAACTTCCGTTTGTCTCTCATTTCGGAATGCAGAACCTCTCCGTCCGAGTGCGTCCTTTTATCGGCCCGGCATTCAGTGTTTGAACTGCAAAAGTCTGAAATGATATCAGAAGGGGCAGGTGATTTTCAACGAAAGAACGTCTAGTTTGAGTACAGAAAGAGCAAACATTGGCATGAATGACTATTTCTGTACCGTTAGGAAGACGTTGCAAACACAAAGATTGAAGTGAAAAGCTCAGAGAACTATCGAATTCGTATTGAGGTCACATGGAACTGATCTGTGCTCTTGGGGGCTCCGAATACTCTCCGTTTCTGAAAAGAAGACTTCAGAACTGCAAGCAATCAGAGCCTCACTTCCCTTTTGCAATAAAAGTTCGATTTCCGGGATTTTCCCACTTTTCCGGTCAACTGCCATTTGTCTATTCGGATGAAAGAATGAGTATCATTTTCGAGTCCAACTCTATTCATTTCCCGAATGTTCTTTCTGTGTTGTCTTCTGAAACAAAAGAAGCTGGACCGATTGGAGCCTATTATTATGAGTCAACCTGTCCTGTTTTCCACTCCTCCAAGACCTGGATTCAAAAGAGCGCCGATGCCGCCGAAAGGGAAAGGACCGTCGATTATTTACGAGAATGGTCACACGAGACAAGACATTCCGGCAGGATTCTACATTTCTGATCTTTCTGGTAATAGTTCTTACTATTAGGAATCTTTATAACTCTAATCAAGTTGTCAAGTACTAATAAAGTGGTGTTTTTAATGCAAAACGTCAGAATAAAACCAGTTTGGAAGAAGTTTCTTGATCTCAGGGGGGGATGTTCCGTACTCTTTGTCCGTTCATGCGGGATTAAGGGATTAGCACAGTTTTCCCCCACTTTCCTTGCTAGCCAAAGTTTCGCTCAATTCTTCCCTCAATTCTTCGCTCAATTCTTCCCGAATGCTTCTCCTCCTTCTCCTCTTCCTTCTTCTCCCATCCGCTTCTTCGTTCCTTTTCCCTTCTTCCGGTGGCTCCAACTGTGGTTGCTCATGCACTCCACCGCCTTCCACGTGTCCCACTCCGACTCCATGCGCTCCCATCATGACGTGTCAACCGGTGGCCGCAGCAGCTCCTGTCTCAACGTGCTGTAACTCTTGTAACACTTGCAAAACGAGAAGAAAGCGGAGACATACGGAGGTATTGAGCAATGCCACTTATGTGGCCGATCATGGTAATTGTTCGGGAAGAGCTGAAAACGAAGCCAATTCTTATTATTCAGAGAGCTTGAGACGAGTGAAAAGAGAAGATGATCCGGCTGGCTCACCGAGCAATTGTAATTCAGAAGAACTACGCAAAATCATTGAGACTGTATGTGAGCACTTAACTATAATACACACTTATGTGCATTTTCAGAAGATAGACCGAGTGACGGCAATCGCGAAACGACGCATCCAAGAGGAGGCGGAATCCACGTTGGGCGGCCGATTCAACGTCATTTGTGCACGCGGCGACTTCTCCTACGTGGCAAACACGGAGTTGTTCTGTCAGCATTCGGTCGGAGACGTCACTTGTTTCCTTTTCAAGCAACTGTCAGATGTCGTTCGGAGACGATTGATGTGAAGTGACACTCGAACTTAATATTGATGTGCTTTGTAAAAATACAACTATTCTAACACGTGTTTATTCAGAAATTAAGGCAAATGAACTTTTTTTTTTAAGAATTTTAAGGCAAATGCCCTCATTTTTTCGATATTGCAGGTTCATGTGAAATTTGTTATCCTCCATTTCCCCCTTGTCAAGCATCAACACCTCATGTTCTGAATGTTCGCGTTCGCTCAATGTCTATTGCACGAGATGCCAAGCACGACATCGGTGCATTCGCGCTACATTGCGAAAAGACATGGCAGGGTGCCAGCCTAAGGAACAACGTTTAAACTCCGTATCGCCGCAACTCCCTATGAATCGCTACGCAGCGAATACGGTACAACTTGAATATCTAATTGCGTCCCCCGTGCTATTGTCGATCGACACGACAACTGCGTGCGGCGACATTGCGAAAACGTGCGCGCACTCTGCGTTTCTTGCCCAGCCCATCAGCTGACGTACACCAGTCTCCCTGTTCTCGCCTCGGCCCATTCGCTCTCAGAGTGAGTGTGCGGGTGTGTGCGTGCATCGACTTCATTCCTTCTCATTTGGCATCGACTCCCTTACCATCTTCTTTTTTCTTTTCCATCCTAGCGCATTTCAGAAATAATGAACACCATTGCTGCTGAAGAGAACAATGATTCTATCAACTATATTGGATTCAATCAGGACTCGAAGTGAGATATTTCATAAAATAAATCAACAATTTGATACTGTTACGGACTTGGGTTAACCCAAGCTGATGAATAGACAGAATAAGAGAGAGGGTGGGAATCAGAGTCAGCATAAGACTCTGAGACCTGATTAACTGTACGAGTGCGATACTCTAGCTAACTACTGATGATGAGACTCTGCGTGACACTGAGTGAGGGTTCGTCCTCTAAAGGAGGGCGACAGAAAATGATGAAATATAAGTGATGATAAAACATAACCTAGCGGGTCGATCACAGCTAGATCAAACTGGAATTATCATACATCTAGAACGACGCAACACATACACTTCCAATTTCAGGGTAATTTGTGTCGGACACAAGGATGGCTACATGTTCTACAAGACGGTGGACATCCTCGACAACGCGACACTCACCTATGAAGGAGAGAATCTGACCCGTAAGTTTTCACAGAAAGATGGTAATTGTTGAACTTCCCGAAATGTTCAGATCTCGGGCTCAATAACTGTCTGCTCGTGGAGCGCCTTTTCTCGTCGGCGCTGATGGTGGTGATCTCGCAGAAGGATCCGAGAGTCCTGCACGTTTATCACTTCACCAGCCGCAACATCATCTGTGACCACCGCTTCAACAAATCCGTCCTCACAGTGAGACTGAACAGAGACGTAAGTTCCACCTGGTCAATCAGTAATATAATTGGTCGCCGACAGAGGAGATTAGTAATATAATTGGTGGTCTACAGAGAATCGTCGTGTGCCTGGAAGACTGCATCTATATTTACAACCTGAAGGACATGAAAATGATGCACAACATTATGGACACCCCGATGAACAAGCTCGGAGTCCTGGACCTCACGAGCAATGCCGGCAACGCGGTCATCGCGTTTCCGGGAAGCACAGACACAGGATCTGTGCACCTGTTCGATGCGATCAATCTGTCCTCGGTGAACACGTTCGTGGCTCACGAGGGAACTCTCGCCTGCCTGAAGTTCAACCAGGAAGGAACGATGATCGCCACTGCCAGCACGAAGGGAACCGTCATCCGCGTCTACTCGGTGCCCAATGGAAGCCGTCTTTTCGAGTTTCGACGCGGAGTCTCTCGCTGTGTGACCATCTATTCTCTGTGCTTCTCCGCGGACTCCAAGTACCTTTCCTCGTCATCGAACACTGAAACAGTGCATGTTTTCAAGCTCGAAAAGACTGACAGCGCCGACACAAAACAGTTAGTTTCCATTCATTAGCAGTCTTTTATTTCATTCACTTTGCAGAGAATCCTCGAGTGAAGGTGGAGGCTGGTTCGACACCATCAACAAGACTTTGTCGGCTTACATGCCGTCGCAAGTCCTGCAAGTGAGTGAGCTGATGACGACGGAGCGAAGCTTCGCCACCGCCAAACTTCCAGGCGCCACGAGAAGCAATCAAGTCTCACTTGTCACGTAAGTACTCACATCCGTATAGCGAAGTCTCAAAGCAATCGTTTATTTCAGTCACAAGAACCAGCAATACGTGATGGCCGCCACTTCCGACGGCTTCGTGTACGCGTACCGTCTGGATCCAGAAGGCGGAGAACTCGATCTCATCAAGCAGCACCGCATCGGACCCAAATCGGACACTTGCCGTGTCAGCCCGACTTCCACAAGCGGAGGATCGAGCGGAGCGAACAGTTTGGAACCAAAAAGTAGTGACGACGCGAAAAGTGATAGATTTGTGTGATCAAGTGTCCATTTAGACCAAGTGGTTCCGAACATGGATGACCCGGACGACTTCCCACCGATGAGCCATACGAGCGGCTGAACTCGTGTCTGCCAGTGAAAGATCATCTCGCCTCGCTAGTCTTATTCCTGTATTTTCTTCTCTTTTCGTCTTTGTATTATCATCCAGATGTACATGCCTATCTCTCCTCGCTATCACATGCTTCCCTCCTCGTGTATTCTCCTTCATGTCCCTCTTTTTTCCCTTATCGTTTGTATATAGCTGGCTAGTCCACGAAATTCTCGAATAGTGAGTGTGCACAAGTTATTCACGTTCTTTTTCAATTTCCTTCTCTACCACACATTTTCTCGCCCTCACCTTCTACTGGAATGCCTTCCCCTCGCGCCTTTTGTCAACTTTGTTTCCTCACTCGTTTTCTGTATTATATTTTGCTATTGCATCGAGTAAACTGTTCGACCATCACGCCATCATCCGTCATTTTGATCCGAGAAGAAAAAAGAACAGAAGAGAGTATCTTTAAAAGACGCGAGAGGAGAAGACGATTGGTCACTCGATTCTTGTTCTTCTCCCATCTTTTTGGGCGGTTTCCATTGATTTCTGTCTTCAGATGACGTCGTTCTTCTGGCCACTTTTCTTTTTAGGAGCCATAGTCTCGCTCGAGCAAAAACAGAGCTTCCGCAGCATTTTGATAGAAGTGAGAGCGCGAAATCTAACTGTAATCACATCGTGTTACATTCAGCGAGCGTGCGAAAAGCGACCGGATCTTCAGTTCTGCGGCTCCCTTCCAGAATCCTCGAGCTCCGTGGTTCCCTTGGTGCTCCCGCCACTCACAACTCTCGCTCCTTCCACCACTACTGCCGCCACAACAACAACAACCACTTCAAGCTCTCCGGTGAAACCAACAGGAACCACCGACTCTGTGGACTTTGAAGAGTTGGAAACGGCGGGCAACGAGACGTCTGCAGAGCACGAGAAGCTGGGAAGTCTGGTGAAACTTCCTAAGCCAGAGAAGACGAACGCAGAGGTGAGCGGCAGGAGATTCTCGAGAGACGAGGGGAGAAAAACCAGTTTCTCTCTTGATTTTGTTTTCTTGACGAGACAATAAGACATGCTAAAGTTCTGCAGAAAGTTGTCGACCACGTGATTGAGCAGAGTGGGGTCCAATCCGGAGAATCCAAGAACTCAACGACGCCGGCGATTCAGATTGAGGATGAGAAAGGAGTTTTGGTGTTTGTCAGCGAGTATTGCGTCGTTGAACGAGAACGATTCGTGAGAAGCTGTCATGGGGACGTGGACAAAAAAGAGGTAAATAAGAGTGTGAAGGGACTAGAGTATTCCGTGTTCCAGGAGACGTTCTGCAAGACTTACGTGTCCGCGTGTGCCTCTACGACGGGAGTTCTGCCAGTCATGACGTATTGTGCCCGATACTACACCTACTATCCCACGTACTGCAAGTCTCAGTTGGTCGATCCAAAAGCTCTTCAATTCTGTTTCGCTTTTGAGCAATTCTGCCTTCCACAAAAGACTGCAGCTCAGGTTCGAACGTGTTTTTTTTCCCCGCTGGACGTAAACAAATGCTAATGAGCTCATTTATTGGCACGCATTCGGATTAGACGTTCATTCTTAATTCAGCCCTCTCAAAAGCCAAAATCGTCTCTGCGTAAATGCGAAGACGTTCTCCCGGAAGCTCGAAAAGTGTGCAACCCATTCCCGAACCCGAAGGACACATTCAACTTGCTCCGATGCACACACTTTTTGACCAACTGTAAAAAGTTTGTCGACTGGCTCTAACTTACATGTACATATTTATTATTCGTTTCTTCTCATAATTTAATTAAATGCGAACACAATAATATATATATTTGAATCGTTCACCCGTTTGTTTGTTTGTGAGACAGACCAAACACCGCTAGTTTCGTGTTACTCTCTAATTCGATCAATTTCGTCGAATTAGCAGAGGAAGGAAGAGGGCGAAGAATGAAGAGACGGCCGACGAGTTACAGAGGAAACCCTCGCAAGTGTAAATGATTCCGATCGTCTCCTCGCTGTCTGATGTCTGGGCAAGACGGACGATGTCGCGTCGAGCACGTGGATTCTTGACGGCTCCCGGGAAGACGCGGCTCCAGCAGTCCCTGACTATGGCGCCTCCCGTATCTGCAAACGGGATGGATGATTGACGGACGGACGGGCGAGGTGAGATTAGGAGGAAAATGAGACACGACATGTCAAAAGAGAAACTGAACTGACCGCAGATCGATCTTTCGGCAGGAGGCTCCTTGATCACCGCCTTTATGCACACGCTGTCCTCGCAGTCCACCACTGGCATCAGATCCTTCACCTGAACCGCTGCCGATTCGAATAAATCCAACTTCTGGGATCACTTACGGTCTCGCAGCTCTCATTGGCGAACCAGGGGAACTCTTGCAAGTAGAGAAGGCGGTTCGTGCTCTCGTCTTTCGGCTGAAAATCGTGATTTGGTCGGAGCAAGTGCGGGCTTCCGTTGCATTGAAAACGGATATGCTTTTTGGCTCTCAGTCAGCCACTAATGCACATGATGACGTGGCTCTGAGAGCAGCAAAAAGAGTGAGAAAACGTACCCATTGAAGGTGCAATTGAGGCGACGAGCAGCTGTAGCACTTGACTGAAACGGAGGAAGTATTGGAAGAAAGTCCCTAGGGGAAACGAAGCGCTAATGAAGCCCAATTAAAAGAGGGTCTGTCTGGATTTACTAGTGACGCAATAAAATTATTCTAGAAAAATTGGAGGCTATCTAAGTTTTCGTACGTTTTTGAAAGCAAAAAGTTACCTGAATGTGCAGTCGGCAGCCAAACAGCAGCAAGAATAAAAAGAAATGAGACCCGGAGGATCATGAGATCTGGGGGCAAAGGAAGAAAAGGCAAAAGTAAAAGTTTGATGGTGATGGGGTCGAGCGGAAAAAAACAGCCGGGCACACACAGACACACACTCCACTCAAAATATTCCCCCTTCTTGCCTTTCTTTCTCCTCGCCGTCGTCCGTCTTCTTTCTTCTTCTTCTTTCACAGAATCGGAGAGGGGCGGAGCGCAGAGAGAACTCAAGAGCCGACGAGAAAAAGAGAGAGAGAGAGAGAGAGAGAGAGAGGACCACGGCGAGATCTTATTTATCCATAATATTTCGAGGCAAGTCGCACATGTCTGAGGGTATTCTGGTCGTGGCCATGTTGACTATTATGGCGGCGGAAGGCGATAACGGGGTTGATTGAGTTTGGCCATACTTGCAGAGCATCAGAGAACAGAATAAATACTCCAGAAGTTGACAGATGGGCAAAAGAGAAGAATCTGAAGACCGGTGGACGCTGGAATCCAACTCATCTTGCGTGCTCAAAGCATAATCTCTTTTCTCCTTATTCTTCACGTGGTTTCACCTGCTTCATGGCTTGCACGTCACGCTTCAAAGCGCAAAAATCGCGAGCATCGGCGTGGAAACTCATAAACGGAATGTGGCAACCAAATTGAATTTTCTCGAGATTCACTCGAAAGAGTGAAAGTTTGAAAGTGGCGAATAGATCATTATTAGCGACGACAACTGGAGCATAGAGCCCCCGCTTTGACACTTGCACCTTCGAACTCTGACGTGTCACGTACGTGTCAGCACTTCCAGAACTGTCAAAACGGATCCGAGTGCTCCTGAAAAAAGGTAATCCGGTCGTCGATGAACCTGTCAACTGGGCCTCCCCTACCCTCGTTTATGCATGAAACGTCAGTGTTTGTTTGCGCACCGGCCTAATGATTGCAAAAAGTTGCGATACGGAAAAGAAAGGTGCCGATTGAGCAAGAATGGTATAAAAGCGGCGAACGGCAGCCACTTTCCATCAGCATCCCTTCTTCTATTCATTCACTGAATCAACATGCAATCCGCCATCGGACTTCTTCTGTGAGTCTTTCTTTTATCAGCGACTAATATCTGGAATATACTGGCTGACCACTGGCCATTTTCGTACTACTATTAGTGTACAATTTCCAGATCATTGAGCACTAGAATTCCAAATCCAATAAAAAAACAAACATTTCCAGGGTTATCGCCTCGGTTTCGCAAGCTCAAACACTATCGGTAAGTCTGATCAGGACGCCGAGTCTATCTCATTCCTACTATACGAACTTCTACTTTTTGCAGGTTGCCACCAGCTGTGCCGTCCCACCATGCCCGGTCTATGAACCTCTTCCAGTTGCCTGTGCGGCTCCTCCGTGTCCTGCTCCAGTGGCCCCTGTTCCGGCTCCAGTGCCAGCATACAACCCGTACCCATGTGCCAACCCTCCGTGCATAGTCGTTGAGCCCACTCCGGTCGCTCCGCTTCCAGCACCGATCCCCGCTCCGGCGTACAACCCGTATCCATGTGCTGCTCCTCCATGCCCGGCTCCAATCCTCCCAGAGCCAGTGTACCCGGTGCCAGCTCCTGCTCCGGCCTACCAACCGTACGCCTGCGCGGCTCCGCCATGCCCAGCTCCAGTTGTTCCTGGGCCAGTGTACCCGGTGCCAGCTCCGACTCCAGTCTACGAGCCATACGCCTGCGCCGTGCCACCGTGCCCTGCTCCAATGGCCGCTCCAGTCTACGCTCAGCCAATTCCAGCCCCGGCCCCAAGAGCAATTCCTGTCTACGCTGCTCAAGCCTGTGCTCAGCCACCATGCCCAGCATACAACCCATACGGATACCAATCGGCTCCAGCCTACGCTCCGGCCTACGCCGGACCAGCCTACGCAGGACCAACTTACGCCGCTCCGGCCTACAACCCGTACGCACAAGTGTTCCGTGCTCCATTCGCCGCTGCTCCTGCCTACTACCCATCTCCATTCCGCAGAGCCATGCTCCTTTTGGGATCCAACAAGGGAAAGAAGGTCGCCACAGAGGAGAAGAAGAAGTCCGAGTGATTCGAACGCTGATCGCCGTTTTTGTTTGTACATTTGATTCTGATTTTCCATTCGATGCAAGTAGCTAAGTATTTCGAATAAACCATTTCATTTATACAAAAATGTGCCGAGTGCAGAGAATGAGATAAACACGGAGAAGGGGGATCGTCGTCATCGAATTAAGTGGGAGAATGTACAGAAAGAGGGGGCTCGAACCAGTAGAAGAAGTGAGAAATGAGCCGGTTTATGGCTGCCACGAGAGCGCGTACTGTCCGTTCTTCTCGATCTTGCACGATTTTCCCTCCTTGAAATGGGACTTGTAGGCGAAGTCGTCGAGAGCGACGACAGTCTCGAACTTTCCTCCCAGAGTTCCCTCGGCGCTCTTCTGAATCGAGTCGGCCGATCCGAGCAGGTCACCTCCGCCCATCGCTCCCTTCATGGCCGACTCGAGCTCCTTGTTGCAGCAGGTGAAGCCTGTAATTCAATTCTTTGCATTCCTCTCCCACACTAAATCAATCGGCGCGGATTGCGTATTCCGCGCGGCAACCGCTTGCTAGCGCCATTCCATTTAATGCGATTGGATGTGATAGCAACACAAGCAGCTAATTGTAATTCGCCAGCCCGTCCGATCTCGACGCCACTCACCGCTGTCATTGATATAACAGTTGTCCTGGGCGAAGCAGACGGCGACGGCGACGGCGAAGAGCACGACGAGGGAACGCATTGCTTTGGCTGCAAGTGCGAGGAGGTTAGCGGTAGGCACGGCGCCTTTTAAAAGGAGCGAGATGGGGGAAACCGATAGGAGTTTTGAAGTTACCAAAAGATCGTTATCGGAAGAAGACGGTGCATGCAAAAGATTCGAGATTGGCGTTTTCGATACGAGGCTCAAGGACAGCAGAAAAAGAAAACAGACGAAGTCGTCAAAGATCTATTCGCCGTGAGTGCTGACAACACGGAACATTCGAAATGGAATGGAGGTAGGAATTGAAATCCAGTAGGATTACAGGGACAATTATCTCTGAATGTTTGGGCGGAGGAACCGCTTGTTTTCGAAAACTGCCGAAGACGATGGGTTGCAGCTGGGCCTCCGCCGAGAAGAAGACGGCGACGACGGCGACGCAAGAGATAAACTGGAATCGACTAAGTGCCGAAGCGAAGGAGAAGCTGAAGTGGGCGGAGCCGGAGGGGTGGAGTTCTTCCGCCTCACTGCCGAACGTCCTCTCAGATCTGGCGGTTCAAGTCTCGAGAGCGACCTGAAGAAGCAGAGATGGTGGCAATGATTTGATAGCGGGCAAAGTACCTGTTTGCGGATGAAATCGGCTTACGCCTATGACGGGAAAGGCATTCACTTTTAGAAGTGCTGGAGGGAGGAAAAGAGGTGGAATTGGAAGAAGAAGAAGGAAGCGGGAGAAAAGAAACTTATGGGAAACATTGTGGGTTTGAATAAATCTCGCAACGCACACGGGATGGGAACGGGCGATCCTGATCTTTTGGTGCGTACGCGGCTGCCGGCATGAACATGTGAGTACCATGAGATCCAGTGATGGAATTTGTTAAAACTCTGAATAACCGGTAATCCAATGAGAAAAGGGCGAATTGTTCTTCGAGAAGTGAATAAAAGGGAACACCGAGAGTGTAACTGGCAGTTTTAAGGGCTTACAAGTCTTTACTTCACACACTTTTCCTTCTGCTTGGCAAGTTTTTGCCTCGCGAATTAGGCTTTACACAGTGCCGTTAAATTCGAAGGACGTCTTCGGAACTCGATTTTCTTTCGCACAGATCTTTGCTGATATCATCGCTGCTTCAGATGTTCCGTGTGTTTTGACCTGTGAAGAAAACCGCGAAACGAACACGTACGTGTCGCCGCCATAGCGGTGCGGGTGTAAGATGGCATTGTCTAAAGAAGATCAAAAAAGGGATACACTCACTTTATACTGTAAAATGAAATAAGAACAGGGAAACGAACACAACACGAGCTGACAATGGGGAAAATGAAGTAGAGAGAGACAGAGAGAGAGAGAGAGAGACGGAAAGGGGTGTGCGCTCTAATTTTCAATATTCATATCAACACAGAATAGTTAGAAACACAAAAGGAAAAAAGGAGTGGGGAAGTATTGACTGAACTTGCTTAAAAAGTACAGGAAGAACACATAAAGCGGACTTAGGAAGGAGACATAGCGAGGGGGCGGAGCAGCGGTAACCAAGACCAGCTCGACACTCAAGATCCGCTGAAAGCCTTGCATAGGGAGGTGGAAGCTCTTCTGTTGGGAATGGGAGAATCGTTGGGAAGCAACGGAGATAAAAGGATATACACATATCCGAAATATTATAGAAGGAGAAAGTATGATACAGGCGTAATGAGTTACAATGAAGGAGATTTGTTGGTGGATTGACGGATGAGAAAGGAGAATGAATATTACCCGGATAGGAATGAATAACAATGTTTACTGAGGGGAGCAACTCCAGCACTTCCTTGTCTGGAAATACACGAAGAGCTCATGAGTGGAGAAAAATAAAAATAACGTCATCTGAAGGCACCTATTTATAGTAATGATAAAGAATTAGCCAAACAGGAGGAAATCATTTATGCCTCGGTCGCAGTTGCAGGCGGGACAGTCTCTTCAGTGCGACTTCTCTTCACGTCAGTCGGGTCACTTCCGTCGCTCGTTCGTTTACGGCTTATTTCGACGGTCTGGACAACTCCGTTCTCGATGGCGGCGACGGGTGTTTCGGTCGATTCTTCCTTCTCGTTACTCGTCGATGAGACGCCGTTGTATTCGGGAGAGTCGGCCTTCTTTCCGTCAGTAGACGGAGCCTCTTTGTCGTTCTCGGGACTGCCGGTGGAAGACGAAGGAACGGCATCTGGCGACGGAATTTCCTCATCTGAGTCATCTGATTCGTCGTAATCCACGAGCGACTGAAAAAAAGTTTATTTTCTTCGATTTCGTAAGCTTATGCACTTACCCTCACTGTCGGAGTAGGACTGTTCTCCTTACTGTTGTTCTGCGACGAGGTCACTTCGTCCTCTCGAGAAGGTCCTGGTGAGGAGCAGGCTCGGGGCGACGAAGCAGGAGACGGCGTACGATTCGGAGAACGATCGTTATTAACCTGAAAGACTTATTCTACAAATAACTCGGGAAAATCATTGCATTCTCTACCTTTATGACTATCTTCTTCTCAGTTTGGTTGATGACAGGAGCGGATCCTCCTCCGAAAACTGGCGCCTCATCTTCGTCGAAAGCATTCTTCCGCTTCAATAGTGACGGGAACATTGGCTCCATTCCCGTCTTCCGCTGTCCGACCTCTTCCTTCTTTGGAGAAACCGTCACCGAGTCTTTCTCGATCGATTCTAGCATCGTTCCGACTTCCAGATCGTCGTCGTCGTCGAACCACTGGTCTTCATTGCGATCCTTCCGAAAACTTCGCGGACTGGGTAACGAGTTGTCTTCAGAGCGGACGCTCATAGTCTCTTCGCGATCGCGGTGTTGATCGTACCGAATCTTGATTTCCTTGAACGTCTTCACGTAGTTAACACTTTCAATTACGTCCATGTGATTTTCAACTACGTATTTGATTAACGGGCGAACGTCCTCACTCTTCACGTAATCAAACAAGTGCAAGACGGCAGAGTTTATGACGTTGTAACGGTTTCCGTTCCTTCGGAAGCACTCCATCACTGGATCCAGCACTTTTTCGCGGACGATGTACCGAATGTATTTGTCGTCTTTGACGGTGACGACTCGTTGCAGAAGCTTGAGAGCGGATAGCACGAGAAATGAGTGTTTTGATTTGAGCAGAACGAGTGCCTTGTTCATGAGATCATTCGAAACACACCGTTGACGCATTGAAAATGAGTGGTGCTCGACGCAGAACGTGAGAAGTCGAAGGATGACGGATAAACGATTCGCGATCATGTAGTCGTCTTTCTTGACTATTCCTCCATTGACATTGTCGAGCAGAGGCTTCAGAAGAGTGTCCAGACAACGCTGGTAGAAGAGATGAAGGAAATCACTTCTCTCTGATTTTACTGTCGTCATGTTTTCAGGATCCAGAAGAGTCTTCATAATCTAAAAGTTGACTTATTTTAACTGGAAAACGGACAAATTTCCTTACAATGATGATTTCTGAACCTGAAGTCAGATGAACATCGACATCAGTGAGCATGTGCCTGATCATCCGATTCAACAGCACATCCTCATTGTGCTCTTTCTCTTTGGCCTGCTTCAGCAAGAAATCCCGAATCGTCTGAGCATTGCCTTCGACCATCGACTTGAGCACATCCACCATTACTGCCCTCGTTTCATGATCCGGAGACTTGAAACATGGTTCTAGCGACTCGAGAATGTCACTGTTGAACATGTTTTGTAGCTGTAACTATAAATTTCAGAGATAGAAAAACATTCCTAGTTACACACTACTTTGAAGAAGTTGTCCTTGTTGGCGGCCGGTCCATTCGCAGGTATACTCGTGCTTAGGCTGATCATTTCCTTCAGGAAAAGGGCCAAGTCACGACGACGCAGCACTTCCGTATCATCGCTCTTCAGCTGCCCGAACAATTCGCGCATAGCCTTCTTGTCCTTCTGCAGCAATGTCACAATGTCGACGCGACAGAAAAATATGTGACTGCCGAGGGTCGAGAGAAGGTTCTCTTCGAAAAGGCCGAGGCTCGGAAGGCAGGCGTCTTGAATGTATTGAGCACGATACAGACGGTGAATCTTGTCACGGAGATCATCGCTGGTTATGCTCAACACCTCCCGGTATTTGGCCTTTCTGTAGACGAAATCACGATGCTTTCGAGGATGTTTGTAGGCCGGATCGAATTCGAACATTCCAATCACATCCTTAATGTGACGGTCGTCAAGAAGCATCTCGATGATGACGTTGCGATTCAGCATAAACAGATTTTTGGCAATCGAGTAGAAGGTTCGAAGTCCTTCTGTGTGCTCGATATCCTCGCACATTCGGAAAACATCGCACAATTTGTGAACAACACTGAAAGAATTCCAATAATTACCAAATTTCTGCTTTAATCTCGCTTACTTGTCATTCTCAATTGCGTTCGTCATTTTCTCTCTGCCCGGGTTCGAAGTGAGATGCATGTGGAGGAGCGCGTCAAGTTCGCTCAACCTTCCTATTTCGATAGGCGGAAGAGCAAGACGGCCTGCCGAAGAAGTGAGCTCTCCCACGTCGCTGTCGTCTCCGTCGTCGTACGTTCCATCAGCATCTCCGGGATCTCTTCCTTGAACTTCGCATATCTTCTGCCACAGCTCCTCGCATCCCGATTTTTCTTGGAACGACAATGCCAAATCCATCATTTCAGTTTCCGACCATACAATCAGCGTCTCCTAAATAGAAAGATAAGAAGTGTGACGGTGATTCGAATGGAGCCCAGCGGGTCACGAGTGCGTGCAAGTCGCGCGCAGCGAGCAACCACGTTACAGCTATATGTCCCTCTAGTCTAACCGCCCAGTTTTTTTGTTTGCTACGCGGACGTTTATTTACTTTTTCATCGATACATTTCACTTCTTCTCTAGCGCCCGCTCACAGCACTTGGGAAACTACTAACATTGTTCTCGAACATATTGATATGGCATAAGTTTTCATATGAGAAGGCGGGTAGAATGCTGCTTCCAGGATCGCTGCTACTCGACGAAGGCGAAGGCGTCGATAGAAGATCGTACAGAGAGCTTGACGAAGTAGATTCCGATTCGTAAGAAGAAGACGACGACGCAGGAGATGAGGAGGAGGACGAGGACGAACAACAGGGCTCGGACATTTCACAGCTGTAGACGACAAGTAGAATGAATTGTAGTAGCAGGAAAGGAAAGGATAAAACGCAAAGAAGTGAAAAGGTTTGAATAGATGGGTGCGAAGAGCGAGTGGTTCAAAAACACGTGAGATAGAGATGCTGGGAGGGCAGAATGGAGGAAGAGGCAACAAGAAACGGCATTGGCGGCGGGCCGAGTAAAGAGAGCAAAACGATAAGAGACCGAGAGGAGGTGGCAAGTCGTCTGGAGTAGCCGTCATCACGCTTCAGAGAATGCTCACTGCGACAGAACATTTTTCAATGTCACAAAAGTAGGAGCAGAACGATAAACTTTTAAGCTAGCTCTATCACATGAACATCACTCCGCAGCTTATAAGGAGAAGGAAGCATAGTATAAATCCGTTTCGATTCGAATACGCGTCGGAAAAGTGACAGATTAATTGAAAAGAACGTAGGCAACTGCTGTAGTAACATTTGTGGAAAAAGCGTCTGGGGCGGCAGAGACAGCGACGATGTCTCCTCCGTTTTCTATTGGGGGTGCCCTCTTTGTCGCTTCTCGTATGATCGGCACCCGGATGGGAGGCTGAGGCATGAACACGCTCACATTTACGTACACTCTTCACAAAACACACTCCATGACGGACGACTGCTTCTGGTGGCTGCCGCCGCCGTCCCGGACAAGGAGGATACTGCTTCGAAGGCTGCTGCTGGTGTTGCTTCCTACTCTTCGTCGCTTATTTCGGCATATCTTTCGCGTGCTTGCGCGCGCCCTCACCCTCTTCTTCGACAACACCGCTCACTGACTTTTCAAAACAATTATTTTGACTGAGCGGCGTCGGAGGGCCCGAGAGAAGAGGAGACAAAGACAAGGAGGGCACGCGCTACATCCACCACCAGCTTCTCTTCCAGCCTGACGTCGCTGCTTTTTTCGAAGCGGCGAAAAAAATAATCCGCGTGTGTTTTTCTCTTAGCCACATATTCCGTATTTGGAGAGAAACGGGAGCGAGAGAAGGGTGGAAGTATTTCATTGTCCATCAGTTGAGCTCTATGCTGAGTAGCTTAGAAGCTGAGAGGATTTTCATGAGAACGAAAACAAATATCGAGGAAACGAGGAGAGGGTTGGATTCACTGAACGCACCTAAATGCGTTTTAGAAAAAATGTTCGAAATGAAACAACAACCCAAACGTATAGAATTAGACGAAATATGAATACAGACGGGTGATCTGAGACAGATTAGTAAAGGATGTCATGCAGAGAACAGGAGGTGAGAAGGAGAGAACGAAGGACGGGAAAGTGCGATACCAAGCCGCGGGAAAGGAGGAGACTTGCTGCTTCAATGACTGCAACGCCCGCCGCCATTTTGTGTCGTTTCTCGGGTCGGAAAGGACCGAAAAGACGACGCAGACAAACACAGATAGCCGTGAAGAATGGAAGGACAGAGGACTTTTCCCGAAATATCAACACAACAAATATCTCGAGTCAATGGGTAAGAAGGACCAAGATGTTTTTAAGGGAACAATTGATACTCTTCCTTGCTCTATTTTTCCCAAATTCGCATGCTTACACTGACACTCGGAGCGGCGCGCGTATGACGAATAAGTAATTTGGTTGTTCATCAATATGTAATGGGCGAAAAACCGGGACGCTCGCTTATTATTTTGAGACGAAAGGAAAAGCGCTGAAGCATTTCGTAAGAATTTCCGCAGTGCGGGTTTTGAAATCGATTGAGTCAGTGTTTATCAGACAACGCCTCGCATAGCATTCATTTTCTTATCATAAGGGTAATGATGCTCCTTTTTTCTCACCTGCTGCTTTTGGTAGACGGTATCCAAGAGAATCCGCGACTCGAGCACATTTTTATCTGAACTTCCATCAATTTAAACTAGTTTACTATTCATTCAGCTAGCAACTCACTTTGTCCTTCTAGTCGTACGAGTACAATAGTGTTTCCAGCATTGGAAGGGGCATTGGCAGGGGTGCCATCATCTGGCGTTACTGAGTAGGTGACAACGTGTCCAGTGCCCCTGTCCTCCCATATTCTCTGATCGCAAAGAACGTAAAGTTTTACTCGATTCGACGAATCCTGTAAGAAAGAATGTTTTTAATTCCACGTTTCAATGGCTTACTCTTTTTATCTCAAGATGATCGAGAACGTGCTCTCTGTTAGTGAGTTTCGATCCCGGATTGTTCTCCTTTCCAGCAGACTGCGTTTTTTCCTTCTTTCTGGGACTGAGCTTCTCGTCTCTTTTCTTAAGCTGACCATTGCTCTGATCGGAACTTTCCTTCTTTTTCTCCAATTCTTCTTTGAGATCTTTTTTTGATGGCTCTCCGTCCTCTTTCTTTCCGTTGTCTTCCTTCTGCTCTTCTTTCTTCTGGTCACCATCCTTCACTTTCTTTTCATCTTCTTTCGGGTCTTCTTTCTCGTTTTTCTTCTCGTCTTCCTTTGCTTCTTTCATTTCTTCATCCTTCACTTCTTTTTCAACCTCTTTACTGTCGTCTTTCTTCTGATCTTTCGTGATCTCTTTCTTTTCTTCTCCCTTTTGATCTTCCACTTTCTCTCCGTCTTCCTTCGTTTCAAGATTCTGATCCTCCCGTATAGGCACATCTTTCTCCTCTTCTTCGTCAATCTTCGCAGTGATTTGCGCTTCAACGTCTTCGTCTTTTATCTGCGTCTTCGCGACTTCGTTAGTCGGCAACGGCTCCTCGTCAATCTCCATATGTTCGTCACTTTTCTGAAATATAAAGTTTCTACCGTTCGAGATCTAAGACACTTGATTCGTGCGCAAAAAAGGCAATCACTCGAGGAAAAACCTCTTTGTGGCCTCACCTGTACACACAGCAATCGCATTGGCCTTTACGTAAAATCCAAATACACAAGAGAAAACGGGAAAAGTCAACAAAAACAACCTTCTCACCTTGTCATTTTCCTCTTTGGTGTAATCAGTCGAGCTCGTTCCGTTATCCATTGGCTCATCAGTAACTTCATTCGTATCCGACATTACTATAAAACGGGAATTTAAATTCAGCTACTACAAAACTGTGATATACGAATTTGAGAAAACAGAGAACAGGAAATAGATTGACAGAAACATGGCATTTCAGGGGGTTGAGCTCATTAATAGGAATTGATAAAGCGAGACAAAAACAAGCCTGCATCGTTCCCCCGAGATTGTTTGAAATCAGAACGCCAATGCGGCCTGGTTTCTTTGTCATTCGGTCGTTCATAACAGATTTCAAGGGCGCCGGAAATCAGAAAAGTGTGACAAAAGTTTGAGTGCGAGGAATCGCAGGTAAGAAAAGAAAGATATGTGAATAGAAAAAGGTTATCTATTCAGACTGCAACAAAAATAAGTCCCTGGATTTGAATTGAATGTAAGCCCTGGATTTGCATTTAATGCATAAACAGAGCGGATTCGAAACAATATGACTATTCAGGCAAAAATAGTAGCTGTTTTTCAGTAGAAACCTTTAACTTAAACTAGGTTTCCAAGCCATCAAGTTTTGTCCGTTAGCTCTTCTTTGACCAACTATAAAAGTTACGAAATGGAACCAATAGAAAGGGTATCAATGCGCTTGGCATTGTATAATCGTGTGAAAACAGAAGTGATGAGAAGGAGGGTAGAGGAAGAGAGACATGGTCAATGAGGTTTCAAATTTTACGCGCGCGAAGGTTAATGTCCAGGTTCATCATGCACAGTCCAGAAATATGTCAATGTGTCTGATAAGGAATTTGAACAGAAAAGGAGAGATGAAATGAAAACAATTTGGATGTCAGCCCAAAATCGATTACGTCACTCGTCGAATGCGAGGCAAGGAGGCTCGTCTTTTGATAAAAAAAAATTGGGGAGAGAGGTGAGAGAAAAAGGAGAAAAAAAAGAGAAAAGGGGGCGAAAAGGATGGGCCGCACGCGTGCCGCGACGCGGCCGACAGCACTCGTCTCGCGGTCTCACCACGATCGTGACGTCATTGCAACGAGAGAGAGAAGAGACGCAGACACATTTCCGCTGACTCATTCGTGTTTTCCGTTCATTTCTTCTCGCTCCGTCACCCCTCATTTTCACAGATTTTTTAATTTTTCGTGAGAAATATAACTTTTGAGTTTTTTAGCCATTGATTAATTTTATTTTATTTTCACTGTTTTGCTTCGAAAGTCGTAGAAAAGTACAATTTGCTATCACATTTTCTTGATTTCGCAATGTTTATCACCTTTGTCGTATAAAATCACTCACACATGTGTTCTATTTTCTCTATTTTTCCAATTTTCAGAATGCAGCGCATTTTTGGTACAGCTAAAAAGGAGCCGGCACCGGATCTTAACAATGCCATCGCCAATGTCGAGTCGAGAAGTGACAGCATTGACAAGAAGATTCAGAAGCTCGATGGAGATCTTATGAAGCTTCGAGACCAAATGTCGAAAATGCGTGAGGGTCCGAGCAAGAATCTTATCAAGCAGAAAGCCTTACGGTAAAATTTCCCTCTTTTGACTTCACAATCCTGATGTATTCCAGAATCCTCAAGCAGAAGAGAATGTATGAAAACCAGAAGGGTCAACTTGATCAGCAAGCATTCAATATGGATCAAAGCAATTTTGCAATTCAAGGAATGAAAGACAACCAGGTTACGGTTGCTGCAATGAAGGACGGACTAAAGACGATGCAAAAGGAATACAAGAAGATGAACATCGATAAGATTGAGGACCTTCAAGACCAAATGGAAGACATGCTGGATCTGAACAACGAAATTCAGGAGGCTATGAGCAGACAGTATGACACACCTGATGTGAGTAATTTCAATTCCCTTGTGTTTTTGAAAATGATTTCTACAGATTGATGAGGCTGATTTGGAGGCCGAGTTGGCTATGTTAGGAGACGAATTGGATATTGGAGAGAGCGACACGAATTACTTGGATGAAGCCCTCGCTGCGCCGACGGTTCCGAACGATTTCCAGAAACCAAAGGCGAAAGTGGCAGAAGGGCTTGAAGTGGACGAGTTCGGACTGCCGAAACTTCCCGCCTAGCTCAACTTTTTGTTCATTTCAATATTCCCCATCACTTTTTGATTCGTTTCATGTACCAAAAATGTTTATAAGCACTAAAAACACGTCCGGTATATCACTTCTTTACATGATAAATGCTTGCAATTTAGAGTTTCGATGTGTGCACAACAGTATGCTCATCTTTTCGAAGCTCGTCGATCGACCTGAATCCGGACAACTGCATGGCGTGCCGGAACTCGGACTGAAGAATTCCGACAACAGCGGCCACTCCCGAAGAACCCTAAACACGCAAGTTGTTGATTGAACGCTTAGACAGAGCGGAGCCCTCGAAGTAATACCGATGTGGCCAGTCCCCAGAGGACCGGGCGGCCCACAAAAACACCGCGCGCTCCTAGAGCCACTGCTTTCAGAATATCCCGGCCATTGCGGACGCCGCCGTCCAGAAACACGGGGATTCGGTCGCCGACGGCACGCACAACATCTGGAAGGGCTTCAATCTGGAAAATGATTGTTCTTCGATAGTTTTCTTCGTTTTAATTACAGTAGCAATCGAACTGTCCATCTGTCGACCTCCATGATTCGACACGATGATTCCATCGACACCCGCTTCTAGAGCCAGCAATGCGTCATCTCCTCTCATCACTCCTTTCACAATCACTGGCAGCGATGTCTTTCTGAATAATCCATTATCATCTTTTTCAGTCTTTTTCACATACGATCGAATCCATTTAAGAGTGTTCCAATCGAGAGACGGGTCGATTTGGGAACTGACGTACTGCATAAATCCAGATTCTCCTGCAGCTCCTTTTGGCATTTCGGCCTGACAGTTCGACTCGAAGTTCGCAAACTTCAGGTGTTTCGGCAGGGAGAATTTGTTGTGAGTGTCTTTAAGGCGACGCCCGAGCACCGGAGTGTCTACAGTCAGAACGAGTGCTTCAACTCCTGCCGCTTCCGCCCGATTGATCAGAGATTCGGTGACAGCGCGATCCTTGTAGACGTACAACTAAAATGGTTCAGTTGCTCTACTTCCGAAGATGTCCGGCAAGTACCTGAAACCAGAGGGTCGCCCCGACGATCTTCGCTTCCTTCCCAATGTCGTCAATAGACGTTGTGCCCCAAGAACTGCAGATCATAATAGATTTGCTGGCTGCTGCCCCGCGCGCCGTGCTCAGCTCTCCATCCTTTGTCGCCATTTTCTGAAACGCCGTCGGGGCGATTCCGATCGGAAATTCCACTTTCCGCCCGTTGAGCCATTCGATTGAAGTGTCGATTTTCTCGACGGAACGAAGACATCTTGGACGGATCAGAAGGCTGAAAGAGAGGGAGTCGGAAGAGGAACGGGGAAGGAATCGAGTACCGGTCGAAGGCGGATTCGTTGCGGCGGAGAGTGTGCTCTTGCTCGGAGCCGCTCTCGTAATAGTCTCTCGCCAACTTGACGAGATTCCGTTCCGAGTACTTTCGGTAGTCGTCGACAGTCAAAAGAGCCGGAAGAGTCATTTGATAGGTCGGAAAATGGAACGAAAACAAACGAAAGGAGAGGAATGGGCGGGCGGTGAACGTGAATATATAGATGGGGACGGAGGGCAGCAGAGAACAGATACGGGCCCTTATCAACCACAGATTATTGATATTTTGCGGTGTGGACGGCGCACGCGGTCATTTGCGATAAGAAATGGTTCGTTTGGTCGCAGAAAGAGGTAGCAGTGAGAAGCCACGTGGGAAGACCAAGAACTAGACTGCTTGATGTCTAAGTTGGCACGAATATATATATATATCAATCGTTCTCGGTTTGAAGGGGCTATGAAATAGTTGAGACAAACTCGTTCATTTCTACAAATTTCACGTGAACTTGGGCAATGAATCGCGGGGCAAAATGCCCGAAATTAATTCAGTTTTCGGCATGGAATTCTTTCAAAAAGTTCGGTTAAAACTCGGTTGATTTTCTGTTTAATTCAAACTTTCACTGAACGCACTGAATGCGGATACCCACGATGATAGCGCCAAGTTAGACCCAATTGGATAACTCCGAATGTTTTCCTGGTAAGATGTGACAAATTTATTTATTGCAACAATAATAAGTAAGATTAGAGAAACAAAGACACGTTTTCAGAAGATTCACTTGACGAGCGCGGAGGTGGCCAACTCCTGCACTCCGCACACATTCTTTCCGCGGTACAATCGGAAGTATCCGGATTCGCCCCACGTCGGTCCCCACGAGTTCTTCACGATCCAATACGGTTTGCGGCCGTCCTTACCGTATCCGACGATGAGCACTCCGTGGTTGAGCATGAACGGTTCACAGAAGATCTTGAACGGATGGACGACTCCGTGACGATAGAACTGCAGAGTGTTCGCGTTGAGTCCTGCAAAAACAAAAGTGGGAACGGTTCGAACGAATGGTTTCGGCAAACAAAAAGGGGGGTTTTTTGGGATTTGCCTCCTAACTATTCAGGGATGGTTTGTTTGCCACCCGACACATTCCGATCTACCGGTATAAAAGGAGGAGCGGGAGGGTCTGGAGGCAAAAGAGAGAGCCGATCGAAGATGAACCGAACTGTCGGGTGAGTTCTCTTGAGAGAAGATCAAATAACCAGAGGATCGTCGTTAAGGTTTCTGCTGCTGACTGCACTTGCATGCACTGTTATTCCGAAGGCTGAGGCACAGTATTACAGTCTTTATGTGAGTCATTCCCCGCAATCCCCCATTCATTCAGAACTTTATAATATTCCATCTGTCTGTAGGGATATCAAAAAGTAGTCAACAGATGAAACGTACAATGAGTAGCTGACCACTTTGTGATATCTCCACCGGCAGCGGAGAATATTCCTAAAACGGTAGAACAAACTTTCAGTACCCGTACTACACGTATTACCCGTACTCGTACTACTACTACTATCCCTCCTATTACGTGTTGGGCAAGCGATCTGCAGGAGTGGACCACAAACAGGTCGGGAACGCCCGCCCACGCCCATAAAGTCGGAATTTCAGGTGGTGAGTGATCAAGTGATGCGGATGACACGCGGAACTCATCATCGTGCCAAGTGAATCGAATCAGATGTTGCGGAGCTGTTTCTGTCGACCGAATGAATGCTTTTTTGTGCGGCAATCATTTCTCTCTTTTATCTTGCGAATGAAGGATTACATTTCATTTTGTGTCTGTTTCTGACATCCTCCAGAATAGCGTCACTTCCGAGGCGAAGAGGAGACTACATTAGAAGAGAGATTTGGAATTCCCACGCACATTGTTTTCCGCAGAACCTTCTGTGCAAACGAAAAGTTTCCCACGGCTAGTCGTACTTCATGTTTTCTTTCTTCATTTCCACTTCAAATGTTCGTTTACATTTTGTTTTTTTTTCTGTTCCTACTACCGATAGGCGGATCTTTCAAGCACCTAGCCGTTCGTCATTTCATTTCAGGACCCACGAGAAAGTGTTCACTTTCAGCTCCAAACGGATCAGATGCACACGAAGGCGGCGTTCTCGCAGAGGTAAGATTTGCATTATTCTTTTTCGAGGAAGTGGAATGATCTGATCTGATCAGCTATTAGATGCATTACTATGGCATGAGCAAAAGAGGGAGAGAGCGTCAGAGTTCATGTGCAAGCAAAGCGATACGGTCGTCATTTGAAAAGCACACATTCGGATAGATATCACTCTGCGTCTCTCGATCCGCCACACTCTCTCCGATTCAACCTGTGTCTGGCTCAAAACCGATGTCATTTCGGTTTGCTCTCTCTCTCTCTCTCTTTCTTTCTCAGCCGATTTATCATCGATACGGACCGCACGCGCGGGCCAATCTCTTTTGTCACTTCTCTCCAAAATTGTGTCTTTCTTCAGAGATCGCTCCTCGAGAATGCACCATCGGAAACAGAAGAACGGCAACGCCGCAGCGGTCGGAAAGTCGATCGGAAGACGGGAAAGCGGAATGGAGGCGATGGCGCGGTTACGGTAGGTCACTGTACTCTTTGCTCTTCCCTTTCCAAACGTTTTCAAAGTTTTTTAGATACTTGAACAAGAAACCGTTATGTCTACAGTACAACGTTCCCAATTCCGCTTACGCCAGAAGACATTCAGCTCAAGGCACGAAAAGGAAAGAACGTGAGTGGCAGAGAGTGAAGAGTACAAAAAAAAATAGAGTTTCAGAGTCGTTCATAGTAGTGATTCTGTGTGGAATCGCAAAATTAGTTCAATGGGCTGCCGTCGGATTCCAACAGGCAGCAGTGGACTTTCTTGTGAAACCGGCTCATGAGCTGTTCCCGGATGAGTTCCCCAATCAGTAAGTGAGTCAGCCCAAACGTTTTCTGATTATATGGGCTTTCAAAGTGTAACAGTTCCAAAGTCTTCTCTCTTCAGATGTTTCCAAACCAACTTCTACCGCAACCCAATCCAACTGCGAAAGAAACCAGCGAAACGAGCAATCGTCAGGAGAACGGACGTCTCCCGAATGTTACAGTCAATTGATAACAAGTACTTTTGACTCTTCTCCTCTTCAAATTCTCTCTCTCTCTCGTAAGAGAATGACACATTTGCACACAACACGTGCAAATCGAAACTTAATCTATCCAGCCTCATCCAGTCCCTCCCCCTTCCTTCCTTCCATCCATTATTTGTTCTCATTTCCCTCTCATGTTGATCTTACTCGAGTGTTTTTTTTTTGCTGATTGAAATATTGAAATGAAGCAGCGTACCGATTGAAATGGGTCCTTTCGTGACCAGCCATTTCTGCAGCTCCACCTCGTCGTGCGGCAGTTCGACGGATCCGTTGATGTAAACGGAGATGTCCTTGCGGACCAGATGACACGTTTCTCCTTTTCCGTCGTACGGATAGGCGTCTTCTGGTTCCAAACCGCCCATTCGAATGATCTCTCTGAACAGCAAAGGGTTTTCTGGGGGATGCTCCTCCTATCTCAAACTCACTTGTACGCATTGCTCGGAAGCCCTCCGTTGCATCCCTGATCCACACTGTCACAGTCGACGAGCTCTTGCTCCGAGAGCGAAACAAGCTTCTTTTTGGCCAAGAACCACGCTCCTTCCACGTTTCCAGTGGTCGAGAATGCCCAGCAACTTCCGCAACTTCCCTGATTTTTCACCTGAGTCACTGCTCCCTTCTCCCTCCAATCAAATGAATCCGGAAGATCATCTTCCGAGATGGTCACTCCTTCCTTCTTGAAATCGGCTTGATCCATCGGGTACACGGGCTGTTCCCATTGATATGGCAGCATAATCTGCTTGAACTCCATCGTGGTCATATCGGAGAACTTTGTGAATCCATAGACAGCCGTGCCCTGCTCATTCTTCTGCAGCTCTCGGATCACTTTCGCATTCTTTTTGAAGACTCGGAATCTCTTCAGCACTTCCCTCTTGTCGCTGTACTTCTTATCGTGTCTGAAAGATATTCGAAGCATGGAAAGGCCAATCAGATTCCGAATTCACCTGTCGACAAAGTCGAGGAAAGAGTTCCACATGACGTAGTCCCTCGGCTTGATAATCTTAGCCTTTCTGAGTTCCTGCACGGACACCGAGTCATCTTCCGTCAGTTTGATCTTCCGATGACTAAAAGCTCTTGTTTCCCCGGCGTCAAACCCATGATCACTCACTCAAACTTGTCAATGTTCCGTGTGAACTCTTCCTCACAGTTTCTGATGTGAGCCACGTCTTTGAGTCCATACCCATGTCGCTTCACTCGGCGACTGATCTCCACTTGGCACTTCTGTAATCATTCCCCTCTTCCTCATCCCGATCCAGTTCTCACCTTGAGCGTGTCCGTCTTCCGACACTTTTTTCCCTCCTCTTCCTCTCCCTTCTTACAGTCCGTCTTGACCAATGTCACGAAGATCGAGTAGTGGATGCCCCCGGAAAGCCGTCTCTCGACCTCCCACGTCCGGTCCAGTTGCCATTTGTAGGCGTCGTTCGATTGTTGATTGAATTTCTCCACACCTTTTTGCGCAAAGTTCTTCAAAAATAGAAGGTTATTATGATGATGATAGTGACGGATTAGGACAAAAATGATAGTCGAAAACTGGTTCGGGACGGAAAAAAAAGATTGATTACCTCGTACAGAAGTTGGTCTTCTTCATCGATCGGTAGCACTTTGGCGGTGGTTGTTGCCAATGTGGCGAGAAGAATGAGACAAAAGGTGGGAGAACCCATGATGTCTGAAAAGTAGACACAAATATAAAGAAAGAGAAAGAAAGAGAAGGAGAGACGGAACGGGGGGCTTTCACTAAAATAATAGTTGGTGAGATATTTACATCTTTCGACACAGCGGGATTTCACAAACAGCATCCACCTTTCTTTGGTGCTTTGTATCTCTAGAACCAATGAATATTTTTGGGAGCAGTCAACTGAAAAGATGTTTGAAATATTGTGTTAAACAACTTTGCAGTTTACTGCTTTGTCCTAAAACTCTTCATTCTCGAGTTAGTGTGCATTACGGGGAACCAAAAATGTCATGAAATGAGAAATGTGAACAGGACGATGAATATACTTTGAAGCTCCAAATCTTGATGTTTTCAAATACATCAAGATCTCGTTATGATATTAGTAAGATTTTAGTACTTTAGTATAAAAATGTAGATCGCTTTCAGTACTCGACATGAATACCTCACCCACTAACAGTGAATTTTTGTGGTGGGCCCCTTCAGAAATGTTCTAGAATAACGCGGAAGAGTGAGCAAATGAGCAAAAGCACCCGAACTCCTCTGCGAGTGCCGTGAGAGTGAGCGGAATGAAGCGAAGTGTGAGAAGTGTTGATGGGGAACCGCCGGACCGCCGCCAGCGGTCATATGGTAGCCGGACGAACAGCTGCGGCCGAGGAGGTTCTCCCCTGGGTCGAGTGACCGTATGACCGATGGATATGAGAGAGACGCATTGAGAAGACGGACAATAGAGGGAATAGTGGGAGCGGCGAGAGATCGGAGAGACGCAGAGAGGTCGGGTTACACCTCCAAGGAGTTGGAAGACGAGACGACGAAGACGAGGAAGCCGTGGTGGCGGCTCCAATTGAATTTCTGAGTAGACCTCAATTTGTTAGAAGGGAGGCGCGTACATACTCGCAGTCTAATGATATTAGGAGAGTGCGTTGGGCTGCAAAGGTTTGTGAACTTTTGGAATGAAGAAATTCACGAGCTTGTGCCATGACAACTTTTTGAGAGCTAGAAGGGAGACGGATAATATTTAACACTGACACCTTGCAGCTTCTTCCCGTTGCGATTCGATTTGAGATCAAATTTCAAGTCACAAGGAACAGCAAAATACTCTTTTTTCCTCGAGACAGGTGGTCAACATCAAGTTGATAAATTGAGAGACGGAAGACGGCATCATTTGAACGGAAGGCTCAACAAAACTAGCTATAGTTGTTGCTCGGCGCCCGAATCGAGAGAACAAGACGGCAAGTAGTGATTGAATTTGTATCGACGAGCTGGCAGAGAGAAAGAAAGAGAAGTGCAAACGCGGAAGAAGACGGCGTTGTTTCGCGGCGAACCGCTCCCTTGAGAGCACTGGGTGACAGATGATGATGCTCGGATTAGGCGTCCGGATAACCCGAGTACAAAACGGGGAGAAGATCCAAAAGGGAGCGAGAGCGAGAGCAGCAGGGGAAGAAAGGAAAAGTAATTAGTAAAGTGGCTCAAACAGACACTTGAGTGGCAGACTGCCATCCCCGCCGGAGGTGAGTGCCGCTGGATGGACGGCCTTCACGGTTTCGAAGGAGGCATCCACTCATTTCGACGACACCCGATTACCATAAACACCCTCAGAGGTGACTGAGAGAGAGAGATCGGCGGCAGCGAAAATTTGTTCATTCGGAAGGAAATGAAAAAGAGAAAGAGCAAAAAGAGCGAAGAGGGCGAAGAGTATAAATGATTGTGAGAAAAACGGAGGGGAGTGTAAGGAGGCGCCGTAAGATTAACAGAACATGCGTAGAATAACTGCATTGCCGCTCTTGGGTGAGCACGGGGATGTTTCTGCTATCTCTACCTTGTGGGCTTGGACTTTTGGCCCAGTAAAAGTTGCAGCCCCGTTAGGATCAATATAGAGATGTATCGAAATGGGCAGGATTGAACAAACGGATTTCAGAGCTCTTTGGGATTTAAACTTTTAAAACTCATTCTCTTGCAAATCTAATATTCCGACCCAAACGTTGCACTTTTCGGCGCCAAAGCTGATCCAATTGGCCTGAAACGATCACTGTAGATTCTTCAAAGCAAGGCTGATAATCGTGTAAAATTTGGGTGCGACTCCAAGGTGTCTAAAAATCCGGACCCCGAAATGCTCAATAACGCCCTTTGTCCAGAAGAAGAGCTCGCGCGAGAATCCCAACTTCTTCGGTCCCTCTCACTCATCGCGGACAGCAGTTGTCTCGGCTCCTTTGCTCAGTGTTCCGAGTGTTCCATGCACTCGCAAGATGCTCTCTGAGCAAACAGAATGAACAAAAAAGTTAGCTGACGGTTGCAGAATCGAGTTTGCATAGCGGCGGCGACCCGTACTATTCCGAGGAGCAACGGGAGCAACTTTCGCAAACCACTTTCTTTCCGTCTGAAGCGACCGGCTGTCTGAAACGTTTAGAACTGTCTGGTCTGTCGAAGACACAGGATCTCGTCCACTGTAATTAGCAGCGAATGACCGTCTTCCGAAGAACCTACCGGTGCAGTTTCCTTTTGACCCACATTTTTTATTCATAACCGAAAGGGAAAAGTGTGTGTGAGGTGAGAGTGAGTCACGAATAATCCGGCAGGTAGGGTGCGGAGTGTACTTGTCAGAAGTGGCCAGCACTCGGTTCCGATTCAGTTAATTCCACTCTCAATCTCAGAGCAATCACACCTGTCTCGGTGTCCATTGCCATTATTTCATTCCGAAATCATGAATGTCTGGTGACTTCTCACATGACAACTGCTCCGTCGTTTCGTTCCGAACGCTGTGCTAGACCACCCTACAGTAATCCGTCACGAGTTTTGTGTGACCAAAGTTCTGAACGTTCATCCGCTTCCTATTTACTCATTCCATCTTTTGTATCATTCCGCCCCTCATCCATCTCCCTTTCTTCGGCGCCTTCGTTTTAATTAATCCAATTCACTAGATTGTTTTTCCTCCGAACTCGTCTCTCCCTATCCCGGCGCCCTCCCCTCTTCCTCCGGCTCCTCAATCGTGTCAAGTTGTGTGTATTTGTGCCAAAACCTTGGCTCCTTGCTCTTTCGCTCGTCGTTCCAAACCGAGATGCGATAATCCCGGAGAAGAAAAAGGGACGAGTAGAGGCCCCGTGGTGTCCTAAAATAACGCGACGTGTAAACAGCGAGTTCTTGTAATCCTCAAGGTACATTCCCGCCCAGTCCTCTTCCTCCTCCTCCCTCTTGGCCACCTTGGCACTGTGCCCCTTGCCCGTCACACACTCGCGTATCGTTGCCGCTTCTAATCAAATTAGCAGCGATGGTTTACTCCGGTCGGTGATCATCGTTCACTGTTTCAGGAGCGAGACGACGACGCCCGACGTCCCATCTCTTTGGTGCGCGCCAGTAACAACGATATGTGCTATCCAGTGGAACCACCGAGAAAGTGAGTTTGACCATTTGGGCAGAGAAGTTATTGTCCTCTCAATTGCTACTGTAGAGAAAGCGGGAGTTACTGCTGCAGAATGACTTTGTTTTGTTTTGGCCCATACTCATCATAAGTTTGGAATGACATAACAAGGACTGACATTTGGCTAGAGACAGAAACGAACTTGAATGAGGAATGAATGGAATTGTACGCAAGTCTCGTTTTCCCACGGCGCGCTCCTCGACACGCCTAGTCAGAACATTCGTACATTTAGTACGATTAACAAAAATCGAGAGCTAGAAGTTTTGATTGCAGAGAGTCTAGAGGAACGGAGAGAATTTCCATGTGATAAGGGCTGGGCAAGAGGCCAGCTCAGGCTTTTCGAAAGCCTGCCGAGGCCTGAACTTTTCACCTGATCGGACCAAAACTTTGCAGGCTTATAAGTTATACTTTCTGATATGTTTAGTGTTCCACTCGAAATGCTTCTCACCTTAAGTTGGCACTCGGACAGGCGGAATGACATGTGTCAACGGCGCGGCGACCTTGATTTCATTTTTCAAACGTATACCAAATTCAAACTTTCGAATTTCCTCTTGCTGCGTTCCTCTCCCTCCCTTTCTTCCCTCATCTTTGATTATTATCACCAACTGTATCAACCTCCTCCCCCGCTTTCCACGCGCGATACCCCGTCTGTGTCTCTTCCAAACACCGTTTTCGGTTCGGTCTGCGAGTACGTGTACAAACAGACGCAATTATGATAACATTGACATACGAGACTTCTTCCTGAACCGCTGCCTGCTTCCGTCACTTATTGATTTCTGATTATTTCCATCCTTTCCATCTTTTCTCGTCACGCGTATAATTGTAAATCAAGCGAGTAGAGAAGCGGATATCAATCAAAACAGTTGTAAAAATCTTCTCACAGCATCAGCGGCGAAAGTGTTTCTAGTTGTTCTTGGGCGGACCGGTTCGGAGGAGCGCATTAACTTTGAAATCCCATTTCGATTTCTGTTATGATGCCTCTATTTGACACCTCGGCGGCCATTGCCTCGCCTCAAAAGAGCGCATCTCGGATTTCGTCGCTTTCCCCTCCGTGACGTCTTCTTCTTCAGCCTCTTCTTCAGCTCCCACACCTCGGCATTCCTCGTGCATGAGGTGTCAGTTTTCGGTCGCCATTTCAATTGTTTTCCGCCAAAACATACAGAAGCTTTCCGTTTTCCTGGGGCTGAATCATTTCGCGAAAAAATAACAAAAAGATGCAGCGGCAGGAAGGAAGCATATAATATAAAAGTCGCACGATTTGTCATCGTTTTGTTGTGTTTCATTTCGCCTTTCCCGTATCCATCTGCATCTTTTTGCTATTCTATTCATGGTCGGAAGGTACTTTCCTTTCCTCTCTCTCTCTCTCTCTCTCTTCCTCTTTCTTTGCCCGCTTAACGAGCAGTCGTCATGGGGCGGTCGGACACTTTCAATCACCCAGTCATAAGTATGAGCCTCATAAAGAGAGAACATCGTCGGCCATTCCTTCTTCTTCTTCCTTGGTCGTTTCCTCTCCTTTCCCTCTATTCATATCATTTGGTAACCATCCTCCTTCCCCCTGGCCATTCTCTTCCACACACTCCTTCTCGATGGTTCTTCTTTTCAGAGAGATGGGTTTCGACGCGTCGTTGCTCAAAAGTGTGCTCGAGCAGTTCGTCGACGAGATCGGCGAGGAGTCGGTCGACCTGATCGAAGACCGTCCTCGCTTCGCCCACGCAGTCGTCGTCGTCACCGACGCGTCCGGAGAGATGTGTCAGGCGTCGTGCATCCGTCAACTCGACGATGTGATCCTCCACGAGACCAGCGTTGCCAATGTGTTCGTTTTCAGTCACTGGAAGCATTTGGATTTAGAATGACTGATTTCAGAAACTCTGAGTGGATGGACGAAGAGATTCAACGTGCTCTTCGTGAGCTGACCGAGTCCCGCGGCTTGCTGGACACCCCGCGAAACAGCATTTTCGTGGAAGAGAAGCGCGAAAAGCAGAAGACGGTGACGACGACCACGACGAGCACGGAGACCACTCGCAGTGCTACCAGCCGAGTCGAGGTAACCTTGCCATCGAGAATGTGCAATCAAGTATATGGTTTTCAGTTTCCGTCGATGAGCCGTCGCGCCCGTTCCTCCTCGGCCGCCCGTCGTTTCCACTGACCGGCGTCTCCGTCCGTCCGCCGTCCCGCTGCTTCTCCCGCTATCGCTATGCATCGAATTGACTCCGATTCCGAATAACTTTTGTTTATTTCGTTTATTCGGCAACAACATTCATATCCCCCCTATATGAACGAAGTTGCCTTTTTTCAAAGAACCCTTTAACTTTATCCACGTATCCCCCTGCTTTTAACGCGATCTCAATGCTTCAAATAAACGAATGTGCTTCATGCGTATATACAAACAACAGTACTATCGCAACTTCCAAAGAGAAACAGTGGCGTCGGATGACGTGGCAATGACGAGTTCTTCGTCTTCTGGAGGCAGCCAAACGAGCGAAGTGATGGAAGACGAGTGAGTGGACGAGAGGGCGAGAAGAACGGTGAGACGGAGGCACGAGAAGACACGAATGGATCCGTCCCAGAAGCCGGCGAGGATCTGCTTGCAGTTGGGCGAGAAGGTGATTGCGGAGCAGCCGGCAGAGCTGGAAACTTAATTCGGATGGGGGACATTTCTGATCAACTGACTCTGGAGGATAAGCAACTTCTCGCACGTTCTTGTCTTCTCTAGAAACCAGAAAGATCGGTGCTCTCGCACATCCGGCAGCCATCCACTTTGAGCAGCTCGCCACGCAGAACACAGGTTCCCGCCCGAGTTTGAGCATCTCGCTGCACAGTCGGTTCTCTCCTTTACTGATTGCCAACCTGCCGTCCTCCATCCCAATCACCACTTCTCCTTCGCCTTCGCCACGTGTCATGTGCATCGGAGTGTTGTCCGCAGTGTCGCCGATTCGGAAGGATTCCACTCGGAAATCGGAGAGACTCGTCGAGCAGAGCATCGGGAATCTCTCGTTATCGGAAGAGGCGAACAGAAGACTTTGTCCGATGAGCAGAGAATTACAGAATCCGACGTCGTCCACTTCGACAGTACGAACAACACTCCACTCTTTTGATTTTTCCTCGGGTTTTCTGGAAACGAAGAATAAGAAGTATTTAATCAGATGTAAGGGGGCTACGCGGAACCAGAACTGTCCCGAATCAGAACCAATTATCACTGAAAATAGTTCTGATTCGAACAGTTCTGGTTCGGCGTACCCTCGATGTGAGTAGAAAATACTTCAGCTGAATAATTGCATGACCACGTATATGAACAAAGAGATTTTCGTCGGCGAATCCGATTGACTGAACTCTCCTTTCTTTTTCATCGGCTGAAAATTATTTTTTTTCGTTCATTAGATTAATGTATTTAATTTGAGTTTTCAAGTGAGAATAACCGCATTTCGGGCAGCTTTGCTTTCAGCGATTCGGAAACGAAATAGGTACAATTCAGGCGCAGATTCTTTCCGAATTGTCACCTACCATAGACAATTTGCTCCAAAACCTTGCTCTCCAGCCCGAACTTGCTCACTTTTCCCTTCAGACTTCCCACGAACAGCTTCTTCCCGTCCACGTGGCAACACGTGGCACCGCCTTCAACTCCGAAGAACACGAAAAGCGGCTTCGGCGGTTTGCTCATCTGAAACCGATCAGTTCGCAACTGACTGTCGGGTGAAACTCGATATTCTAGGGAAATTGACGCGTTCTAAATGAAATGGGAAATAAGCAAACAGTAAAATTGATTCATCTCCGAAAAAACAATATAAAAAGAACAATAATTTATATAAGGGTAGTCTATGAAAGGCTAACAATTAAGGGATATAACATGAATTCACAGAGTCCGTAACCAGTGGGTTAAGCAGCGGAGTTGATGAGATCGTTGCGAAGTCGGCATACCAAATGAGGATCCCATGCTCTCCTATCGCCGGCTCTGAAAACAATAAACATTATATTGTGCTGCTTCCTTATGTTGTGTACAGTCCGTCCAATCATCTACCGTAGCCAGAGCCATGACGCATTGCTTTATAATCACAAAAGACATGCAAATACGATTGTTCTGCGTCCCTCCATTCTTTCTTTTGTCTTCGTGGCTCCCACACTTTACATACATACAAATATGATTCAACGGGGCGTTGTCGTCGTGCCCGCCGGACGCGGAGTCCGCCCGCCCCGCTGCTCTTCATTCACAATCACTTGCACCGGCGACGGCGGCGGCGGCTGGAGACCTGGCCAGGCATTCCAATTGTGAAGGAAGCAAGACACCCCGACAATTGGTATCCCTGACAAGGCCTCAATCCGTCTGTCGAGCACTCGTTTTACCCTTCGTCCCCGGGCCTAATTGGCGGTTGGACGCTCGTTCGTTCGACGACGTCGTCAATGGGGCGCCTACGATTTATGGGGCTCATGACTATGACGAGCTGCCTGTCGTCGGCTCATTGAACCCGCCCGTATTCGCTGCCACTACTACTACTCACTACTGATATTCTCCCCGCCACGACACGACGGCGGATTCTTGTAATTCTGTGCATTCGCTAGAAGTCAAAGGCGTTGCTAATGCCAGAAGTTGCAAGGATCAGCCCGAGCAGGTCCCCTTCACTCACTCTGTGCTCCTTTTCGGCGTCACGCGCCCGTTCCCGTTCGCGCGTCTTCTCCTTCTCCTTCCGTTCTTCCTTCCGCGATTTACGATCACGCTCCCGGGCCTCTCTCTCCTTATCGTGCAACTCTTCTTTGATTCTTTCGCTGAAAAGTGGAGAACTCGATTGAAGCCTTCGTTTCGATCAAACTCACTCCATGCTGTTCTGCTGAGAAGTGGCCATTGTGAGATAGATAGCCTTGAACTCGGAGAGAACTTCCTTTCCGAGCACTTCCTTCAGCTCTTCGTACTCTTCGAAAGTCACAAACGAGAGCACCGCCGGATACGCCTTCGTCTTGAGCTCTTTGATACAATCGTAGAATGCCTGCTTCCAACGTTCTGACAACCGCCACATCTTCTTTTCAGTCACTTTGTAGAACAAATTGGCAACGAACGACTCAAACGTTTTGAACTGAAAACACGGAAAATTGGGATCGAATTGGCCGAAATTGAATTATTACCTTCCGATACAGAATGGAAAGAGAGTAGAGGAAAAGGGGCGGAACTTCGTCCCACTTGAAAATCGCCTCGATTGCCTGAGATGCTGTGTCCGGTTTTAAAAGAGCTGGTTCCAGAAGAAACTCGAGATCTGAAAAATGATAAATTATGAGAGAAAAGAGAGGATTAAACTGAATTCATCGCTTTTGCCCCTCGATGCTTGCAGACTCAAGCCAAAATTTCCTGAAATTAGGCTTGGGTCTGCAAACACCGAGGGGACAAAAGCGGTAAATTGAGTATACTTACTGTTGATGAGGAAAGTTTTCTCATGGTCGTCCTTCGGCAGTATCCGATGATATTCTTGGATGATTTCGATAGCATCGAACACAAGTTCTCCCGTTTGCTGATTTCGAACTGTGTACAGTTTTCGGAAGAGAACGTTCACTGATTTCTGGTATTCATTACGGAAGATGAACGTCGGAATCAGCCGCATCACTTGCTCCTTTTCGAGTCCTCCTATGATTGGCAACAGAGCGCGGTTGTCCATTTTCCGTTCGTCGTGCAGAGTTTTCATTTTCTGAATGAGTTCCGGCGTCGGTGTAGTTCTCTCGGTGAGCAGCACGACGAGACGGGCGACAAGAGTTTCGGCGCCAGGTGGACAGTCCTCGATGAGAGTGATTACCATACTCTGGCTCAACTGACGGAAGACCGGTTCGAGAATTCGGAGGACAACTCGCTTGAAAGTGTTGTTTCCGGATGAGTAGACGGCGGCAAGTGGCATCAGAAGCATCTGATCAGCGGGCATCAAAGTGGCGTAGACGGCTAGACAGTTTTTGTACATCTCGTCGGTCCAGGTGTCCGACGGCTCATCGGGACTTTGCATGTACTTCGGCGGGATCGGTTCCAGGCATTCGTTTAGAAGCATTCTAGCCTGATCACTGAGAGAGCTCCTTATGAAAGGCAGGTTAGAGAGCTCTTTGACTACTTCAAGGCACGAAGTTCTCAATTCCGGACGATCGAGGAAGCAGAGACCAAAAAGGAACTCAAGAAGCTGCGGCCGCTGTCGGTTCCGTGTCATAATCAACTCGCGGATAATCGCCATTCCGTGTTCATTCTTTTCCGCAACACAAACTATCTTCAGCCGTTCGATTGCATTCGTCGTCAGAAGTGGTGTTTCCAGAATAATTTTGAAGAAAGCGCTTCCTTCTCCATGTTCCGTTCGAGCATCGTATCCAGCATCTTGCACATCGCGTGATCATAACGATCCAGTCTCTGTGCCACCGTCAACCCGTCCTTTTCGGCAATCATTTCTTTTATGCGCAGTGCACAGTTCGAATAACCTTGATATTGCGCGTACAACTCGCACATCCACAAAAGAGCCAGATCGTTTCTACGTTTATGATCTGCGAGAACGAATTCAATTAGTTTATCCTCAAAAAGAGTGCAATCCTCCCAGAAGCGAGTCGTCAGTCTGACCACCAACTGTAGATATTCTTTTTTTGCTCCGCCGGCGGCGGCTCCTCGTTCCGCGCGCAGAACCGAATTGAATGCCAAATCGAACATCTCCGCAGCTTCTTCCGCGTCCAACACTCTCGTTTCCTCGATCATATTGAACGTTTTCTTCGATTTTTGCTGCGATGATGCTTTCTCGGTCTCAGCGGTCGACTGCTTTGCTGCAGAAACTGCGGATCGGCTGGCATTGAGCTCGTGATGTGGCGTCGGGGGAATGGCCAATCCTTCCTTCCTGGCTTTCGTCTTCGCCGCGTGCTCCTTCTTCTTCTGCTCCACCAGCCACTCATAACCAGGTCCGATTTCTTTTTGAGTCATCTGAACGGCCATGAGTTCCGCAAGTTCTTGTCGGTTCGGTTCTGTTCCTGCAGCGGCGATTGGAGTGTAAGAGGAGGCGAAAGCAGCGGGCATTTCATTCGGGAGCGTGAGCAGCGAGATCTGCACTAGATTGAGGACTGTCTCGTGGTCCAGTCGTTCCATAATAAACTGGGCAGTCTTCTCGATGGCTTGCGTCGCCACGTCCTTTACCTTCGAAGTTGAAGGACCCGCCTCATCTTCATCATCGTAATCGTCAAACATCTCGTTTTCAATCTTCTGCCGCTTCGCACTAGGCTCTGCCGAACTTGGCGGAGGTCGTGGCGGAGCAGGCTTCTGGATCAGTTCCGTTGGAATCGATCTCATTACCTCTCCGGAAGATGCTCCCAAGTAGTCAGTCAGCATAGTCTTGATCTTCGCTTGAAGTGGAACAGATGCCGGTAGCTTCAGGAACCGCAGAAGATTATACTTGAACGACTTTCGCAGAAACTTCACTTGTCCTTTGCTGAGCATGGGCGGCACATTTGAATGAAGAGCCTTGATGACGTCAAAGACACGTGGCAATGCATTCACCCAAGTCGGTCGACAACGAGTTATCATGCAGAGGGATTCGATGACCGCGAGAAGGTTCTGCGATGTGATGACGCTGACCGTTGTCTGCTTGAGGAGCGCAGTGAAGTTTTCTTCGGCTTCTATCTGAGTTTTGTGATAGGAGAGGAAGCGGTGACTGCGCGGCACGTCGAGCAACGAGATCTTGCTGAATCGAGTGTTCGCTTCGTGAGTCCACGAGCACTTTGGATCCGCCAGCTCTTTCGGTTTCGGCGATTGGCAGAGAATGAGTGCCTCCAGAAACTTGACGGTCACCGTTCTGATTCCTTCGTGTCCGTCGTCCACAAGCATGCAAATACGGTTCTTCAACAGATTGAACGCATCCCAACAGCTCTCGGCTCTCTCGTTCTTATCGTTGATCGCATATTCTAGGACAATCGGATACAGACTTGTCGACGCCAGAACCACTCGTTTGATGACGTTCGCGTACTTCGGAATTGCGTTGTTCGTCTTCAGAAAGTCACTGTACTTTTCGACTGTCTTGTTGCAGATTGTGAAGTCTTTCGAGCTCGCTTTCAGCAGAAAATCAATCATGAGACATATGACGCGATAGTCTCCAAGTTCTGTGAACTCGAGCATTTCCGTCAAAAAGTTGTCGAGAACGTTATTCGCAAGGCCGGGGGCGGTGAGAAGGTGCATTGCCTGAAATTAGTCGGTTTCAACAGTTATAGAAATGACAAAAAGGAAGTTGTAACTCACTGAAGACAACGAGGTTATCTTCTTGTCCAATGTATTTGCATCTCGTGCTTCTCTGAGAGCTTCTTCGACCCGAATACTGCAAGACTCTGTGCTGTTGCTGAGTTCACTCATCTGAAAAAGAACGATGTGATCTAGGCTGAAAATAATACACGGGCGAATTTAGAAAACGGTTGCGTGGAAGAAAACATTTACTACCTGAATTTCGGACATTTTGGAATTGGAAATTAGGAAGCTCACATGTGAATGAAATAGATTCTGTTAATTACTACGCAAACGTTAATGCTACAAGAAGGCCAATAAAAAAGAGTGAATGTGAATGACTACGGAATTTATATTCCCCTCGCAGCGTAGACGTTACGATAAATGCTAAAATGTCAAGACAACTAAAGTGTGAAAACGCCTAGAATTTGTAAAAACCCGACACAGTATTGTGTCGGGTTTTTGGAATGCAATGCACTCCACGGTTAATACATTTCTCTGCGCTTTTACGTTATATATCGTTCTGCGCGGACATTTCGAAAACAAGAGCAACCTGAAAAAGGAGAAAACGTTGATAAATTACATAGTTCAGTCAATTAAAGACACTTTAAAAAAAAATAAACTAGTTCAATAACCCGCATAATCGAAACGTTTTTTTTTTTCGAAATAGGTAAGTTTTGAATTGCTTTTTTGTCATATAAGCAACGTTCTTCAGAATTTCAATGAATTAACAATGTATTTCAGCCAGCTGAGCAATAATTTTTTGACTGAGCAAAATTGTTATTATAAACCCGAGAAGACAATAATGGGGTTATTCAGGCTGTGAAAAAAATGATTGTTTTCCGATTTTTTCGTTTTTTTACGTCAAAAAATCCAATTCAGCGATGTAAAAAAACGAAAAAAACGGAAAACAAACATACGCTGAATAGCCCCATAAGAAATTGTCGAATTCTCAAGTCGGCAGTGAAGCCGGACTCATGCACTCGCCGCTGTCGGCGACGTTTGGAGTGTCGTAATGTCGCCCGGTTTAGCAGATAGCAGCATTTTCAGAACTCGCCAAAGAATTGGTTGAAGATAGATAAGAAAAGAACAAAAGCAAAAAAGCTTGAAATTACAAGAAGAAGTTAAAGTGACTAGTTTAAAAATTCGAGAATACAGCTTCCTTACAGCAAAATCCCTTTAGTATTCGAAAATGTAGTGAAATTGAGGCTGGAGATGCTACTCTTCCAGCATCCGTGAGACGTCGTGAGATTCTGTTGGGCGAGGTTTCTGAGCAGCCTTGAGAGGCATTAGAATCTTGCTGGAAACAGCAGGAGCGCGTCGCTTGGAGAGACTGGTCTTCGAGCATCCGAGGATGGCGTCGTTTCAGAGCAAAAATATCCAGAAGTCACTTTATGCGCAGAGAAATCGAATTAAGACAAAAAATGTCGAAATTCAAAACTGTGACCGACCAGGCTACACACAACAGGCGGCGGGTTGCCTGTTTAGTCAGTCCATAACAACGCCGAAATCGTGCAGTCACCTCGCCAATATCCGGCGGATAAAATCTGAGAATTTCTTGTGATTCGAACGCAAAAGGTCATCTTCCCATTAACAAATCGTCCGTGAGGGCCGGAAACTCGAAACGCGCAGTTGCGAGCGCTGCTGACGCACCCTGCTTGACGCGTTCTGCGTGCCGTGAATTGGAACTTCTGAAACTGCATTCTGTTTGAATTCTGTGTCAAAATCGCTATTCAGAAATGATTCCTGTACAAAACGCAGAGTTAGTGGATATTAAAGAACAACTAAAGTTTCAAAATCATGTAATCCAAGCCAAGGTGAGTGTTTTGCTGTTTTTCATTGACGGAACAATTTGACACGCCGTTCAGGGGTTCAGTTTGGTTGTCGATCGGATTCTGAAGCGAACAATCAGCGGCAAAAATGAACAGAATCATCTGAAAGTGCTGTTGGATTGTTTTTGTGATTTCGGTGATTATCCATTCGATCTTCTGCTCAAATCTCTTCCGATTCTCGTAAAGTCCGGTAAGTCTGTTTTATGAAATAAAGACAAAGTTAAAAGTATTCTTGAAGATAATAAATGGAAAGATGTGATTCGAGACGAGTTCCTGATGCGGCTGCCGAGGATAAAACACACTCAGAGAGCGTTCAAAAGTCTAATTGATACCTGCGATCTTTCTTGCTCGTAAGTTTTCACTCAACACTGATAAGTCTATTTTTACATTTAGACAGTTTCTCTCATTTGCCACAAAAATCGACAACGAAGTTCTAACAAGAATGTGCTTGAACGCGATTTCCAGCAGAAATACTCTCATTATACGGCAATTCTTCTATTTTCCGAATTACTAACTGATGAGCAGAAGAAGCTTCTGGGCAATGATGGAAAGCTGCAAACTGTGTTTCTGAGACACTTCCCGCATCTTTATTCTTACAAAAATAAGGCTCAACATGACAATGAAAATTTCCTTCGCGGTAGCCCTATTCTGTCAGTCAATCGTCTATTGAATTTTTTTCAGAATGCTCCGAGCAGGAACTACTTCAACATTCTCTTCAGAATCTGAACATATTCCAAACACTGCAGTTGATGCAAGAGAGACCGGCGATCCGTCAGAATCAGAATCTCCGAAGACACTTTCTTTATGTGCCGTATCGATTTCTACTGAGAGAATGCACGCAAATCGTCGATCAAGCACTAAACGAAAAGGAATTAGAGAAGGAGAACCGAGAATTGATGGCACAGCTCACGGAATTCGAGAAGAACAAGAGTAGCATCTTGCCACCAGATTTCGACAAAGAGGAATTCGATTTGGAGAGCCTGTTCCGGCACGTGGTCACCCGGCAGAAATTGGCCACATTCGTCCGATTTTTAGAAAACTACAAAGACGAATTGACACTGTTCCGAAAGGCGCACATTCTTCCGTTCCTCCCTGCTCTTCTCCCGTTCACAACGGACCCGCCACTTCAAAAGAGGATATGTCATTTGATGTGCCACTTCATTAAAAGTGCTCCAGAACAAGCGAACGGATACGTCTCCTACTTCATCACTCTTTTCTACAAACCATTCTTCCCCATTTGCAAATCACTTGTTCTTGATACACTCCAAGGCTTGGCTGTCAATCGGGTGAGTTGAATCATTATATCAGAATAACTTTTAAAGAATCTCTTTCAGTTCGTACTCACTCCGATCGTCGCCTTCCTAACCAAATTCGCTCAAAGTGGAGATCAACAAGTGAAAGCGCTTCGATGTCTTTCCAATATTGTTTCCAAATACCCCTCAACCATCGAGCACATCTCTCAATGCATCGTTTTGAGCCGAAAAGAAGATTCGGAAGAACTTCTGCGTGCTCATTTGAATCTTGCCAAAGAGTGCTGCATTGCAACGTAATTGATGCCCGCCCTTTCCTTTTCAACTTGATTTTTTCAGCGATGACAATGAATCAGTACTCAAGAAAATATCAGATGTACTGAAAGAGAATGGATTTCGATTGGCTGCCGCAGTAGACACTGTTCATGAACTTCTGAAGCATAATGTGCTCGATTTGAAGCCTTCTTTAAAGCAACTCACAAAGAAAGTGCGACTGGCAGGGAATGAGAAGGCTTTGGCAAGTTACTGTAGGATACTTTCGAGAGGAAGCCTCCCTGACCCAGAAGAGAGCGACGAAGACAATCACGAACTGAAGATGGATTGCATCAAAGAACTGCATGAACTGACGAAGAGTTCCGTTCACGAGGTGGCCGCGGAAGCATGGAGAGCAATGGGAGAATATGAAATGGTCGACATCGAGGAGGCAGTCAAACTGCCAGCTTCCTCGTTCGGAACTGCATACTCAAACGTTCCGAAACAACAACAGGACGGATTTGTCGATTTTTTGGATAAATGCATCCAAAAAGAGGTGGAATCATATCAAAGACCGCTGTACAACGTGGGAACGCAGTCAGCCGAAGTGCCCCCAATGCTCTCTAAAGTTGACGTTTTCAAAGATCAGCTGGTGATCAAGAACAAGGAAGAAACGTGGTTCTGGTCGGCAACCCTTCCGCTGACCGGACAGATTCTCCAGTTGGCCGCCCCCAGCAGCAAGGCCCTCAACGCTGTCCGTCTGCTCAAATCGTGCATCATCTCGGTTCCACTCTCGAATTCCCACGACGAAATGATCCGTCTGATGGCCGGATGGAGGATTTGTATCAGAGAGACGTTGAACGCGCTCGCCGAGTCGAAAAGCAACGATCTTCTCTGGGCTCGCGATCAGATTTGCCAGGAGGGTAAAGTCAGTCTGACGCAAAAAGCGAATGTGTCGACAATATTATGATGATTCTCACGGTGCTCGCGGCTGCAATTGAAGAAAAACTGAAGACGATCGACGATCAGAAGCAGATTGACGAGGTTGTGAGGGCGCAGAAACCATGGCTCATATCAGTTTTTGAATTCGTGGCGACTCGTCTCCCGAAAGAAGTGAAGCAGAAAAGAGAGCAGAAGGTAAATCCGATCTACCAAGTGCTCACTCACTCGAACAAGTCTTCCCTGTTCATCGCCATCTTCTGCACTCGACTACTCTACCGTATTCCAAGCATTTTCGAGTATTACGGAGACGGTAGCGAACTAGGACTTGTGGGAGACAATATGTTCGTTGCCTTACTGCAAAACTCCTCAAAAGAGCTCACGAAGGACGAGGTTCCGGATCGGAGAATGCTGTGGGTGACTGCAGAAGCATACGGTGCAGATGGCATGACGGCGAAGGCATTCGAGTCCGTTTATCAGACTGTGATCGATGAAAAAACTGAAAAGGTTCCAGTACCAAGCTTCGAGAAGAATGAAGATGTCGAGAAGTTTTTCACGGCGTTGATTTCATTGCCGAAAGAGGAGGCGATTGATATTCAACAGAAATCCAGAAAGGCGCTGGAGAAGATGTGGAACAACGGAACGGAGGAAGTCAAACGGAAGATCTACGAGGGACTGGCCGAGTTGGCATTGATTTCCGGAAGTGCACGGAAGAAAAAGACGCTTCCAGTTGAAAAGCTGCCGGATTCGAGTGTTTTGAAAGGAGTTCTTCAAATTTTCGATGAAAAACACAACTTGGATTCGAAATCTCTGCAGAACCTCATTCGATCTTTCGTGAACAAGAAACGAAAAGACGGTCGGTTCCTGCCGCCGCTCGATTGGCTGAGGATTCTCGAACGGAGCTCTTGGCAATCGGTCCAATCGGAGTCTCGTCAGCACATTGTCGCATTGGCGTGCGAACAGAGCATCTCTGAAGTCTTATTCGAATTAGCATCAGATCTGAACAGCCAGGAAATACTGGTGATTGCTGACCACTTCCCATCCATCTCGAAGCTGTTGCCGAGGAAAGAATTTGTGAATGTCCTCGAGCAGATGATCGTACGAGCGAGAGACGCAGACGATGATCAGGAATCAGAGAGAATCGCGAAAGCATTCGGAGCCAATCAAAAGAATCCGATCATTCGAATGTTCTTATCGAGACAACTTCCTTCACTTGAGTCTGTCGTTGGGCTGAGTGATCCAATTCTGAAGGCGTTGCCAGAGCCCGCCGAGTTCAGCGGACTCGTCTCGAAATGTTTCGATCTGTGGAAGGAGGTTCGGAACGGCGAGAGGATGAATATGAAACAGAGTTGCGACATAGTCGTTGCCGAGGAGAACTGCAATAAACGAATGTCAATGTACGCATTGATATCTCTGGAAGCTGGACGGATGTCTGTCAAGAAGCGATTCGACAAGATTCTCGACGTCATCACTGCCAGTAAAATCGCCAGAAGCCTGTCCGGAGACATGTCGTCGTTCCTCCCCATCGTTCTTTCGCTCATCGTCTCTCCGTCAGCAGATGTGGATATTCCCGTGTGCTGGTTTGGCAATGAGGAATTCATCGTTCAAATGATGACGGCGGCACGAAGACCATTTATTAAAGTGCTCCTGGAGAGTGAGGAGATGAGGAACAATGTGAAGCACGTAAGAGTTCAGTGTTAGTAAGCATATACTCAGAATTATTTCAGATTGGCTCGTTTCTGCGGATGTATGTGGAAGGAGAAGAGTCGAACTTGTATGAGCAATGGCAGAAAAGCGTGGCTTCAGGTGAGCTGAAACCTGCACGGTGATTCTTTGCGAGGGCGCAGTAAGGAGAGGCTGAAAGTTCGGGCCCCGTCCTGTGAACTGTCGGATGCTTATTTCGCCGGCCGGCGGCGCCCTCTCCAAGCCTTTTTCCGCTAGTCAGAACTTCAGACGCGTGTTTTTTTGCAGAATACTTATTCATTTTTCCTAATTTTTTGGGAATAACTTCATTGTGATGTAAGCTAACAAAGAGACACAAAAAGCACGCTTGGGCATGGCTGCAGCCATTTTTTGAGAAAAAGTTATTTGTTCAGTGGCCTATAGACATTTTTGCGAGTTTCTTGTCGCTCTTTGTTAGTTTTGATAATAATGAACGCATTCACTATGACAATGAATAGGATGAATCAGTATTTCTCGGGCGACGCGCATCTTAAGTTCCTAAAAATGGCGGTCCAACATAATAGAACTGGGCAGAATAGAACTGCGCAGAATAGAACCTCGACACAATAAAATAAATAGAACTGTTTTTGTGTATTTATATGAGCATTTTGTCCGTTCCTTTCAATTAACTTTCGCAAAATTTTTCGTCTCTCGAACAATTAACCAGAAGACCACAGTTTATACCTAGAAAATTGGTTTCCCTTCGTTTTTGATAGTACAATAAAATTATTTTCTGTGGGTTTTCGTTACCTTAGAGAAGAGGGATCACGACGGAAGTGAAATTAATAAATGCTATAAATCGATCACGAGATTCCAAAATTATATTTTCTACGAAACAATTATTCTACAGAAAGGTTTGAAAGGCGCTCCAAACAGTTATATTGTGTCGCGGTTCCATTATGTCGCGGTTCTATTCTGCCCGGTTCTATTCTGCCCAGTTCTATTATGTTGGACCGCCCTAAAAATAGCTCGAGGGGCCTAACTGGCGTGGCCTAGTGTTTCTGGTTCAGCCTCGCAAAGAATCACCGTGACCTGTTTAAAGAGTGCTTTAAAACGTATTTTTTCAGATTTGCTATTATCGATCGTTGCGGTGTTCCCCAGAGAGGCTCTTCCGATCATTCGCGAGGAATCGAACAACTTCTGGAGTGCGATCCTTCCTAATCTTTTCGCTGCATCCCAGATCTCTAATAATTCCCCGTATGGCATGTGAATTTCCTGTGATTTTTAGTTCATATTGCCGTGTTCCTGCTAAATTTTATGAATCGTTTGTAGTTGAATCCGCTCTATTATATTCGCTGTTGCTCGGTTGCTCCTACCGAATTTTATCTGCACTTATTTCTTTTCCGCTCTTTCAACTCAATTGTATTGCAGAATGTCTGTTGAACAGCACGTGCCGAATGATCAGTTCCTGCAGAAACTAACCGCTTTCTACAGAGATTCGAAGATCCGCGGACCACGCAGCGTCTATGTCACAATGAAACCATGTCAGTGACAAGTTTAAAAATGTCCGTTCCTAAACTGACGTTTCTTCAGATGACGGACGTACGAAAGCGACGCCGAAAGGAAGCCAATTCAAGGAGGGCGACGAGATCTCTTGCCTGTTCAGGGCCAAGTGGGGGAACAAGAAGATTGCTACCGAGGTGGGATTTCAGGCAAAGTAAAGATTCTGAAAGATTCATCACAGGTGAAAGCCAAGGAAGTGAACAAGTTCCACACACAGTACTCTGCAATCATCATCGGCCAAATGGTGAATCTGGAGAAGCGGAAGAAGACTGACGAAGAGAAGAAGAAGACGGGCGCCACGAAGTCCTGAGCCACGTGCCCGTGTAGATCCGATTCCAACTGATTGTAGTCGTCTGTTCTGTCCATCTTTCTCTCTGTCATCATTTTTCACGTCTTCCACATAATTTATTCATTTGTGATTGAACTTGTTCCTCCCCCTTCCTATATACATTTTTCTGACGCCTTTTTGTGTCAAAAATAGTTTATTGAATGAATCACAGCGGTCAAAAGTGTTTCTTTTCGAAAGATATAGAAATCAGCGGAGAAGCGGGGACTAGAAACAAGAAAAAGGGGAAGAGACGAAGAAGAAAAAGAAGATGTGTCGGGGATCACAAGTCGAATGGAACGAACGAACAAAATGACTATCGGAAAGCTCGGAAGCGATGAAAAAGCGGAAGAAGTAGAGAAAAGAGAAATCAGGCGACGAGATAGGGCGCCGACCAGAAAATGCCGATCGTGGAGGCGATGATGAAGATGGTGAACACGTACAAACACAGACGATCGACCACCTGCAAAAGGTCTGTAATTGTGAGGAATGCCCCGTGAAGGGACTGACCATCGCGGCGAACTTCCAGTTATTGGACGCCTGTTCCTCCTTGTCGCCCTCGATCATTCTCTTCGTCACGATCTTCAGCTCGTGATAGATTCTGTGGAGGATGAGAAGAGTGGCCTGCTGAGAAACATCTGCCGCCGCCGCGCCGCCGCCGTTCGCCGACGAGATGAGCGTGCTCGGGAGGCTGCCGAGACTCGTCAATCCGTTGCTCACCGACTGCGTCATTATGTACTGGTTGAGGCGACAGTCGGCGTCGAACGAGTTGGCCCGCGAGAGCGAGCACTCGTTGTCCTTGATGTTACGGATCAGCGATTCCGAGTGGCGGTTCGGTTTGGCAGCGAACAGTGACGGAAGGGAAGCGTACGTGAGATTGTGGCCGGGACGCTTCATCCGGAGCATCCACGGAATCCAGTAGAGCAGCAGGTTGCGGGTCTGCAACAAAAACGGTTTTTGGGAATTGAAATGGAGATGCGCCTACCCATGGACCCATATCATGCGTCTCCGGGGTACGGTAGTGCAAGTTGAGCACATAGACGGTGAAGACCGTCGAGGCAGTCACCACGATCATACAACACGTGAAAAAGATACCTGAAGGGAGGCAAGGAGTGCGGGATACAGTAATCATCGCCTATTACCTAGGAGAGGAACAGCTTCAGAAGTGGGCGGAGACATCTCCGAAACAATACTCAAAAAGAAGCAAATGGAGAGGAGAACAGTGATTTCTGAAAGTAGACCATACAGTGAAAAGGGGTTCTGTTCCCTTACGGAGTGTGATTTTTTCGCCGGCGTCTGGCGGAAGAGTGAATCCTAAAAGTGTCATAAGAGTGGTCAGAATACACGGCATTATCAAGTTGAAACCTAAAAGTTTACATTATCGAACTTTGCTTTTCTTTGTTTAAATTACCGTAGTAAAGAGTTCGCCGTCGCATATGGAGGTAGAAATGAACGTCCGGGTAGGGTTCGGGGCAGCAGTCGTAGAATTTCTCGTTCCGTTCGACAGTTGTCACTGAAATCGGGACATGAATGGATAATATCAAAAGCGCTCACGTGGCAGCGCCCATTCTCCGTTCGGAAGATACTCGCTGATATCGAAGCCTCCGGTGGCCGGTTGAAGATCGAGTTTGTAGCCGTCGTACGTCCAAGAGCCAAACTGAAATCGAGGAAATAGAAAGAGATTTTCCAACGACATGTGCGAACCTTGAAAAAACACTTTTGCTCATCAAACGGAAACCACTGAATGTCGATTTTACACGAGATCTTGAAGATTCCAGGCGGTACCCAATGGACCAGACCGCTCGAATACACAATCATATTCGTCTGATAGGTCGAGTCGAAGTTGGTATCCACGCTATTGTAGAGCAGAACATCCGGCTTCCAGATCTTTCCGGCCGGGAAACGGACATCTGTGATGTTACCGTACTCTTGCTCATCCCACACCAAGTTGTAGTCCTTCCATGTCTGAAAAAATTGCTTTTGACGGGGCTTATTCCGACTGAAATCTCACGTAATCGAGCCACGCATTCACATAAACCACCTGATTCTTCTCATCGACGTCGATTATCTGTTGAAGAGCGACCTAAATTTGTTGCGTGACGGAGGTGGAATAGGCTGAAGGGGACAACCTTCAAATGCACAGTGACGGGCTCCGAATGATTGGCGACAGGTCGTTCGAGATTATTGTAGTTCCGCATCAAATCCTCGTACAACCGGCGTTCCTGGAGGGATCCGAGCGCTGGCGCCGCGAAAAGAGCGCACGAAAGGAGGAAGGAGCAGACAGACATGCGGACATGAGACAGACGGCCTAAGGATGAACAGCGGCCAGCATTGATTGGAGATCTAAATGGAGTGATACGGGTTTCTGGGCAGGGAGAATATGTTGCAAAAACGGAGAAGAAGGAACACAAAACAAACGGAGAGGAGGAGAGGGAGGGAAGGGCCTCTGGAGAGTTGGCTGGTGACACCGACCAATTCATATTTGGCGCCCCGATGGAAAAGATGAGATGGGAAATGGCAGAGCAGACGGACGGCGGAGGTGACTGATGAACCCATGAATTATAGGGGACAACAAACAATCTGGGGCGCGAGGATTCAGAAGCAAGATTGATTGGAACGAGGGCAGCAACTACAGTATTTTAGGTCGAATGACGTGGAGAAAAGAATGAGTGCGACTAAAGATAGGTGTTGCTCGGTGCGTGAAACCCGATCCGCCCCGCCCAAAGTGACCCTTCGGTGTGAAAATCATTCAACTCTGGTCGGCTTTGCTCTCTTTTCGAACTCGAAAAGGGCACAATTAGAAAAGGAAGTGCAGAGGGATTCCCTAATTGCTCGAACTTTGTCGTAGTGCTCTGATAAGATGCTATGGGCGAAGGCACTTGTTGCTCGCCATCCTCTTCTCATTCGTTTTCTCAAAGAATGCACATAAATTGTGCACTCTCGGTCGGTGCTCTTCTCTTCATGGATGATATGATAAGTGACAGGTGCGGTGGGAGCGCAGTTGTCCTGCTGAAATTGGATAAGAGAAAGAGGGAGAGTGGCCATCGACACAGATATATATTAAAACTATAAAAACACATTTTATCGAGGTTGAGAGGGTGGCGACAGAAAATGAGGAGCTCCCGGACGCCGCGAAAGAGGCGAAGATTTATCACGGCTCTCCGGGGCGCAGTGTGTAACAAAGGGACCCCACTTTCGACCCACAATCCATGCGATCCGGTACCTTTTTCGCATTCGACTACAAGAAAAATGTAGATGGGTCATAAAGAAGTCATCATCATTTTCACCACCGTCTCCCTCTCTCTCTTTCTCTTTTTCTTCATAGCATCTTGTCATAAAGTATGTGGAAAGTGTAAACGAAAAAGAAACGGACGGCGGAAAGCCGGCTGAGAGCTCAATGAGTTGAGTCGAACGAAAAGCCGAGGAATGAGTGCGGTTCGAACGGAACATCAACTGCGCTCTATTAGACTTTTTTCTGATGGGTTGGATTTCGAAGAACTTTGCTCTAATTGTGAAAAACTAATTCAGCGAGTTCTAGGAACCGCTATCTAGGTGAAGCAGCGGGAAGAACACAGATGATTGATGAGATCACAAAAAGAACGAGACGAAGAATTTTCACACTTTATCTCTGATCACTTCAACTTTTTTGCGGCCGAATGACTGGCAAACGAAGAGGCATTGTGACAACAAGCGGACGTTTTGTTTTGACACATTTGGTCCCCGGTCGCCTCCCCTTCCATTCCCGCCCAGGTTGGGCTGCAGACTGGACTGGAAACCCGAGACATGGTCACGTACCGGATGAGCCTGGTAGTCCACTGAGGGGGCGACATTTGATTGTGGATGTTTGGCACCGATGTTTCGGTTCGTTGCTGCCGAGTTCGATGATCTAGTACCAAAAGTGGAAAAATTCAAAGGTCAAAGTTGCGGGACAATGAGGGAGAGGGCTGAAGCTGAAACTTTCTATTAAATTCCATGGCAAGACAATAGGTTTCCTAGATGGATTAACTATTTATGAGCACAGTGCAATGCGATCAAAAATGAGGAAACCCGAAGCCGAATGAGTATCTCGCCCAAAAACAAGAGGGTCTCTCTGGGTAAGGAGAGAAACTTCGAAACGGAAGCACACTTGGAAACAAGAAGAGCCCAGCTCATTTCTCGCAGCTCATTTTCCTTTTTCCCCCACCCGTTGTGGCGGTGGGCTCCGAAACATTGACGGTGGGAAAAACAAGCAGAAAACGGATTGGACTCGTCGACGAGCTCGACGAAAGAAGAAGAAGAAGAAGAAGAAGGGGGCGAAGAAGGAAGGCAAGGAAAGGCAAGGCGGGTTCGAATTTGGATGGGAGGCGGAGAGAAATTGAAGAAGGATGAAAGAGGAGGAGAAACATGTGTTCCCGAAAGGTTACTGTAGAAATGCATCTTCAAGAAGTAAAGCATCAGAAGGTCTTTGCTCATTTCCGAAACAACAATAAGATTGTTTACACTCTCTCGAAAAACGCCGAACCTCATCCGAAAGTCGGTTTCAAATGCGGTCACCCCCCTTTTCCTCGTCGTCGTCGTCGTGTTTTTAATGCGAACTCCATGGTCATAAAAGTGACCATAAAATCTATTACTCTTCGACTTCGGATGATGATGACGAGGCCACGACACGAAATCCTGGAGGAGCCGAACAGCCGAGCAGTGCTCCGCTGCCGAAGATTGACGACATCCTTTTTCAATTAGGATCCGTGCACACACCGATTTATCATCGAAACCCTATGGCCCATGAGGCTCGTTTTTTTCTGGCGGGGAGGCGGTATGCACTAATCAAATTTGAGCGAAATGTACACAGATTCGGAAGGTAGATTGAGTGGGAAGAAGCAGCGAGATGAGGTCAGCGGATGGATGAGAAGGGGGATTCAATTCGATTTGGGAATAGAGAGGGAGACGGACGGAAACCAATGGAATCTTTTCTGGGAAACACTGGACACACGTCCTTTGATCTGATAATCTGACGACGAATGGATCATCAAACATCTTCGAGAGAAAAGGAAAAAAGACGGGAAGAGTACGGTGATGACTCAAATGGATTCTACAGAAAACGTGGAACAAATACGAGTCGTTTGTATCCAAACGACCTCCTTGAAATCGTTTCGTGCACCCACAAACGATTCGTTGAGCGGTCCCATTAATTGGAGCGATTGTGGGAGCAGTCACCACCACCCACACATTTGGGAACAAGAAGAAGAAGAAGAAGAAGAAGGGTGTGAAAAATGAATCAGTTATATTTATTTAGTCAGGCAAAAAGATACGGAGCACGCCACGCAATGACTATCGAGACGACGACGATGAGAAACGAGAAGGCGAGGAGGCAGAGACGATCGACGACGATCGCCGCGAACCGCCACTCGAGAGCCACGCGACTGTCCTCATCGTTGTCGTCGTCGTGCTCGCGGATCATCTGGAATAGATGTTCGACGACCGACAAGGGGAAATCTTGGCTCACCTTGACATGATCATAGATTTTCTGTAGCACCCGTAGCCGCTCGATGCCTTTCTCGTCGGCCATCTTCTCCTGTTTTACTTGATAAATAAGCTCTTCGAAGTTCTCCTTGAGCATAATTCCCATAGAATGAATCTGAGTGAGCGGTCCGTCTGCGTACTCGAACGCAGTTCTGGCCATTGATTCCCTCCGATTTCTCTCCTTCCAACTATCCTTTAAAGTCTGGAAGTTGTTCTCTCTCGCCGGCATTTTCATCCTCAGAAGCCACGGAGACCACTCGAGAAGAATGAATCTCATCTGGAATTGGAATCGGATTCATTTGATTGAATGTGTTCCATGCTCTTCGGGTTATCTGATGATGCTCACCCAAAATCCCATTCGCTCGTGAACTTGCTGGTTTCTGAAGTGGAAGCTCTGCACGTAGACAGTAAAAGAAGTGGCGAGAACTGAAATGAAGTTGCAAGTGTGGAAGAAGACGCCGAGAAGAGGAACGGCTTCGGAAGTCTGCGGAGTCAGCTCACTCATGATGGTGAGGAAGATGCAAATGGCAAGGGAGACAGAGATCTGAAAAGAGAAGAAGGGAATGTGAAGGATGTGGCAGACAGACCTGAAGTCCAACTTTCTCGCACGTTTCAGGACTGACTGTGAACCCGAGAATGACGAGAATCATGGTTAGAAGGACGGGCGCAATCAGATTGAATGAATAATATCTGAACAGAATCCATCTGGGAACCGTAGGCTCGGTGTGGAACTCACAATGTTCTTCTTCTCAAATGAAGTGTGAAGGTGATATCCTCGTACTGCTCCGGACAACATTCGTACTGTTTTACAGTGATATTCGTGCGATGCGCAATGATAATCCATTCTCCGTTGGGAATAAACTCCGAAAAGTCGAAATCGCCCTTTTCCAACTGGATTTTATCTCGAGTGTACGTCCATGAACCGAACTGAAACCTCGTCATTTCTCCTTTACTTCTTTTTCTGTCTCACTTTGAAATAGCAGATTTGTTCATCGAACGGGAACCAATAAATGTCGAGTTTGCAGGAAACTTTGAAGATTCCAGGTGGCATCCAAGTGATGATTCCATTGTGGTAGTTCACCAGATTCACTTTGTACGAGGAATCGAATTCGGAATCCACGCTGCAAAATGATGTGTGAGCACTTGGCCATTTAAAGAGGAAGGCACCTATTATAAAGGAGGATGTCGGGAGTCCAGAGTGCATCCGGCGGGTGTCTCAGATCCGTCACGTTCTCGTAGGCCGTCGGTTCCCATCGTAAATTCTCATCTCGCCAGGAAAACTTAAGCCACGCGTTCACCTCCAGCTGTTCCTCCTTCTCCGACTGAAATTTGATGCTTTCAACAAGTTTATTCTCCATTATTTCGTACCAGATTGATAATCTGCTGCAGAGAGACCCCCAAAGTGACCATGACGGGCTTGGAGCTATCAAGAATCGGTCGCTCCTCACGGACGTAGCCCGACATGAGATCATTGATAAGTCGCACTTCGGCCGGAGAGCCATTTGATTGGGTGATTAGGAGGAATTGCAATAAAATGGCAATCATTACGGAGCCATCAGGACGACGTTTATCTGGAAATCCGGGAAGGGTGAGGAGACGGAGAGAAATGGAACGAGGCAAAGAATAATGGGAGAGGGAGGGACAACTGTTGCGATGATGGGGAGAATGAGAGGAAGAGACGACGGAGACGAGGAGCCGGGGTGCCAGGTTGGACGGACGGACGGACGGACGGAAGGACACAAAAAAAGAAATAAGTTTTGGTTCTGGTTGGAATCTCCGTTTGAAGCCTGATCAAATTACGCTCGAATGGGAAACAATCATCTGCGTGCGCGCCTTCCTTTCTAGCGCGGCAATGGCTCATAAACCCGGCGGAAGATGTGCTCTTTCCATGTGTGAAACTGCCACGCTTATGGCCAATGGTCTTTCAATCTTTCTCTTATTTTCCGACAGTTCCGCACGGGCAAATGCATTGGAAATGCAATGGAAACGAAAAAAGGATATTGCGGGCGGGGGGAGCAGGCGCGGGTAAGAAAGGGAAAACAAAAAAGTTTCCGGAGAGAACCGATTGACAAATCTCAAGGGGATCCCCCCCACCAGAATGGGTTTGTCTTCACTTGGCAAAGTACTTTGCGCGGCTCCTTCTATTGCTAATGGGTTCGTAATCACGTCACTGGGGACTCCGGATCCAACCAAACAGGTGCTTGCAGTTTATTCGAAAAAGAGTTTGGTGGGGATCTGCAAAGTGCTCATTTCAGCAACGTGTATCAATGCATTAATGTTTACATTCTCACCCACTTCCTCATCTCGAAATAGACTTGTTCAGAAATGATTAGCCGACGCCCCCGACATTCCATCCACTCGTCCGTCCGCTCATTTACTCATCACTTTCCCAGAGAGAGAGAGTAACCTTTCGCCGCCGCCACTTTGTCTCGCACTCCCACCGCCGACTTCTAAAAACCGTCTCAATTTCAAACAATTTCGTAAGCTGCTTTCCGTCCGAGACCACACTGATTTTGATACGTCAAAATCAACTGTGGCCGACGAGGGAACGCGAGACGCAGGACCGACTATCAATACGCGGTATCAAAGCGGCCGGCTCACAGGGAGGAGGGCTCGCGCAGGGATTTGTTTGCCGATACCCGACGGTTTTGCATCAGCAGGAGCAGCGGGGCTCATTGAGAAGAGGCGGAACCGGAAAACTGACGGAAAAAGGCAAGATCCGGAAAGATGAGTGACTTCATTGGAAAGCAGAAGATTTCGGGTTCACAACGCTTCAAATACGAACGGGGAGGGGAGGCGGGTTTATGTACAGCAAAAAAAACGGAGCAAATAGTATGGTGTGGGATACCATAAATTATTAAATAAAAAGAAAAGAAGATAACCTAGACGACGTACTAATCAAGGGGACACAAATTGAAAATGCTAACCGGGAGAGGGGAGAAGGAAAAGAACACCAATACATTCAGACAGAATCGGGGGGAATGAGTGGGAGAAAAGGGTGGATGTGAAAGGGTGAAAGGCGGGTATTGGGTACAGGAAATATTCTAAACAATCGGAGGATTATGCAACGCCCAGAGAGCCCGTCGATCGGCGACGCAATCGCAGCAAATCGTCGCTTTTCACATCGAGAGTCTCCGTCTCGCGGTCTCCGTTCACATTCTCCTTTTCATCGGATCGGTGCCACGCAGCAGTTCTGAAAACAAAATGGTTGGTGCTGATAGACGGCCGTTCAAACAAAATTCTCACCTATAAACTTTGGTGTGCACCAGATGTCCCATCTTGTCATAGACGAAGGTCTCCTCGAAGATCTGCCGGTACCAGTACTCCTCCGTCGTCTCCGGCGTCTTGTCTGGGAATCGTTCAGCGCGATTCTCATATAGATCCTTGGAGATCAGCTTATCCGAATGCTCCATCAGAATGTCTCCCAGATCTGTCTTTCCGAGAGCCTCGGCGAATCCCTCTTTGCTTCTCCAGAGAACCTCGTCCGGCAGCCATCCTTCAAAAGCACTTCTCAGAATATGCTTCTCCAATTTCTTCGGCATCAGTTTGTAAGTTGGTGGGAGACGGCACACAAGGTCAATGAACCGTTTGTCGAGGAACGGAACCCGAATCTCGAGGCCGTGGCACGAAGTGGACCGGTCGCAGCGGAGGACATCGTATTGATGAAGATGGTGCATGCGACGGAGGATCTCCTTGTGCAGATGGAGAGCATTCGGAGCCTTCTGCATGTAGGCGTAACTTCCGAACAGCTCATCCGCTCCTTCTCCGGAAAGAAGAACTTTCACATCGGATGACTTGGAAATGTGCTGGCAGAGGAGGTAATGAGCGATTCCGCAGCGGATGATCAGAGGATCGAAGGTCTCCAGAGCGTACACCACTTCTGAAATGACCCAAATGAAAGTGCTCTAGCACCTTTTTCTTCCAATGTAAATAAATTTCGAAGGTTAGGTCAACGGAAAGGTTGTGCTCACAAAGACTCTTACCGGGGATAATATCAATGCACTCCTGGGGAGTAATGACGAGAACTTCATGTGGAATCTTCAGGTAATCAGCCACTTTTCTCGCGTTCTCCAGATCCGGAGAGTCTTCGAATCCGACCGAAAAGGCAACCGGCTTCTGCTTCAAGAAGCGAGTGGCGATGGAGGCAATGAGTGAAGAGTCGAGGCCTCCGGAGAGCATGAAGCCAAAGTTTCGGTTGCCCATTAGTCTCTTTTCGACGGACTTGACGAGCACATCACGAACCAGGGTCTGTGTACATTCGATGCTCAGGAAGCGGTCGGCAACGCTGGGAACACTGTAGTATTGTTGTGCTTGAACTGGACGGGTTGGAGACGAAAGGCTGATTGTGGCACAGCATCCCGGTGGAAAGTATTCGACGCGCTCGCACAGCTCTTCGATACACTTCACTTCGGAGCCGATGAGAAGTGAACCTGAAAATGACGTAATCTTTGTTTGGATGGAAGAGAGTGTGTTGACTGGAATTTGATTACGAAAGAAGCGCGCCTCCGTCTTTGTTTGACTTCTGAGGGTAGATCAAATGGGAAGGAGACTTGACTGGACTGCGGAATGAGTGGAAGTGCTCGCTCACCGTTCGAATTGTAGCCATAGAAAAGGGGACGGACTCCGATCGGATCTCTTCCGATGTAGACGTTCTTCGCGTCGGCCATGATGAACGCGAACACGCCGTCCAGGGAAGCGCATGTTTCCTTGAGGTCTTCTGAAACAAACAACTTGATCTCTGCTGAATGTTTGCTCTTGCACGCAAAATGCAAAACACGTACTGTGCTTGATGAATGACGTAATGATGGCTGCGCAGTCGCTTCCGCCGTTCTTCAGTGTGCACGGACAGTCAATCTGCAGAGGCGATTCGGAATGAGTTCACCCAGAAACCAGATCAAAAGTTATTACCTTGAGAGACTGGTGATTGTAGATCTCTCCGTTGCAGACGACAGACAAACCGCCGCCGACAATCGGTTGTGCACTCGGAGTGTCTCCGGGCTATAAAGAACAGCTAAATGGGAGAATTGGATCGAGAAGAGACTGACCATAACGATAGCAAGACGATGGAAGCCGAGATGGACATTCGGCTGAACCTCCTCGAGTACGGTCAGGTCCGGACCACGGCCCACAATCTTCATGAAAGCATCCTGCTGCTGTGGGGTGACCTGCTCGCCTATAATGGCCCAAATGCCGCACATGACAGTAGGATGAAGAGGGAAAGGACGAAGTGAAGGGGAGAGAGTTCTCGGGAAGATCCGAGAAGAGAAGTTTGTCTGAAAGATGAGCCACACGTGAAATAGACAGACAGACGCGGCGCGGCGGTTAAATGAAGTGCACTGACGGCGGCGGAGCCAGATAGGCTTATAAGAGTGCGCGCGGAAAGGTGGAGTCTCTCGTCTCCCGGGCTGGGACTAGTTGGCCGGTGATAACCGAGTGGGTGAGCTTCCGACGCAGACGACGAGAGGCCCCCGGATAATGACCCGATTGATGGAGGTCATGGAACAGGCACGGAGCGCGGGAGCGCGCGAGAGCCGAGGCTCCACCCGCACGGGCTCGGTGGCACGCCGGCGACTCCGCCCTCCGACCTCTTACGGAAGCTCTCTCGGCGTGTGCAATCGGAGGCGGAAAAGAGACGAGAGCGAATGAATCTTCCCGGGAATGTGATCGAGAGACCGAGGGAACGTCGGAGACGCCGCCTGTTTTCTTGCTTTGGAAAAGAGAGCTTCTTCCTCCCTCTCGGTCTTGGGGGGTTGTTGCCAGCGGGCGCCGTCATATACCAGCTTGCGTACTCTTGCGTGTGTCCGAGACACCGCGGCTCCCGTCTGTGGATCCTTCCTCACTTTCCTCTTTTAGTCGCGCCGTCGCCATTGCAACATCACATCCCTTCCAGCACCCAGACACAAAGTGACGACGAAGACACACGATGATGCATAAAGATACAGGTTAGTGTGTTTGCACTTGACTTTTTGGCTCTCTCTCCTCTCACTCTGTGAATGTTTAATGAGATCATCGGGCGCGCGCAAAGCCACGCGATACGTGTGCTCTTCCGGAAAACCGGACAAAGTCAAACTTTCTGACAAGTTAAAAGGGGACTCTGTGCTCCCGATGTCAAAGGGACTCGGAGCACTCACGATTCCGAGATTTCGGGGACTGAACCCAGAAACGCCATGACCTGGCGATATAATAAGGGAGATAAAGCATGAGAAAGGGGTATTTGTTCGTGGCTCAGACTTCCAATGACCCCACTTGAACACAGTTCGCACCTTTCCGAAACGGTCTCGGAGCAGCAGCAGCAGCGGCTTACACCCGCATCGTCTATTCCATCCATTCTAGCGTTTTGTTTTGGCTTATGACCTCACCGGTATCCATGTGTTTGCTTGCTCCCAGAACCATCAAGATTAGTGACATTTGGCACTCTCTCTCTCTCTCTTTTTTATTTTTCTTCTCTGCAATATCCACAAAAATATTTGTTTTTTGTGCGTTCTTTCAAACAAATATCCACCCTCAACTGCCAGAATGTACCCAACGCTTTCCTCGTTTTCTGTGTAAATTTCATCAGAACTGAACAATTGGTCGGGGTGCGTTTCTTCTTCTTCTTCTTCTTCTTCAAGACACTATAGGTACCTCGTTAAATGGACTCATTTCGTCGCTCAGTTTAAAATGAGGTCCACATCTAAACGATGGACTTGATGACGACGATGAGAGGTGTATAGCTAGCACTTTCTCCTCGTTTCCATACTTTTGTGCCCAATTCGTTTCGTCATCGTTCATGTCCATGTTTCGCAATGTGATTGTCTTTGGAAAAACAATGCGAGACGGTGCGGAGCCGCTCGCGCCGAGCACACACCAGTCAAAAGGATGAGGGGGGAAAACGAGGGATGATGCACTTCCCGAAACCCGAATTCCGTATACGGCAGCAGCGGCGCCGCGCGGAATGGACGCGGCCACATGTGATTTTGGCCGCCGCGGGACGAGACGTCACTTCCTAAAATAGGAAAAAAGTGTGCGCGTCAGCGATGGCGTCTGAAGAAACTACCTACAAGCTTACGAAAAAACGGGCCTCATCAGGCCTTCAGACTTTTCCATGGTTTCGATGCAGCATTGTACGTGACTTCGACAGACGTCCAGCACAAAGAACACAAGAGTCTCTTCTCTCTTGCTTTTGCATCGAAACTATCAGTTACTTTGGCTATGTGTCTGTTTGCAGAGACGGCCCCCGTCGCTTCAGTTCTTTCAAGATCAACTGCGAACGTGTGCAAGCCACTGATCGCTGTACTTTCCCCTCCTTCTGTACGGAGGGGTCCATCCTCTACTTGTCCCGATAAACTGAACAAACATGTGTTGACGGAGAGATACACAGAATTGTAAGCGAAACGTGCGCGGGGTTCTTGAGCTGATGTACACGCGAGAGTGATACGGTGATTACACCCCGAAAAAGGGAAGAAAATGAGTATAAAAAGGGATGGACGGAAGCCTAAACTCTTCACTCTTATTCGGACTTCAACGACTCGAACAAATGGTGGTCATCACTAAAAACGTCGTGAAAATCAATTGCGACGATGTGGCCAAGTCTCCCGGTAAGTTGTCTTCGCAAGGCTCATCTCCAGATTAGCTTGCACATTGAGCTCAGCGTTCCGCAGATTGGTCGGTCTTCTGGATCTCCCTCCCCAACGAAACAGTTGATATCAGGTCTTCGTGTGAGCCGTCAAAAATACAGTGTGTGTGTGTGTGTGTGTGTGCATTGGGCATTGGCATTTCCGCAAAATATGCGCGAAAAACTTTTGACGCGTGTGGCGCCAAGGCTCCGGCCCGCACTGATCACTGGCACACTTTTCCAGTGCTCAATTCACTCCGTCGAACACTTTTATTCACTGAGTATTCCCACCTGAAGGAGCGAGAATCCACTTTAGGTTAGAAAAAATAAAAAAAGAGCGAGAGAGAGAGAGAGAGGTAGAAGGCAACGGTTTGGAGAGTCAAGATCTAAACTCAACTAGTAGCTAAAAGTGACGCACATTCCAGTAACTTTCTCAGCACCTCCGACAACTGTGTCTTTGATCTATCTAGAATCTGCAGACTGTTCTCGGCAGCTAAGATCAGTTGCGACGGAAGAAAAGGCGAGCAACTTGTTTCTGATGTAACCGAATCCTTGTTAACCTCAGCCCGATTCGAGGTTAACAAGCGCTTTCCCTCGCCGTTTTCCTTCCGCGCCCTCTCCATCCGCAATCGTTCCGCACGCGACAAACACAGTACGCCTGGGGGTGCACAAGTTGCTCAGGAAGAGAGACGCACAGAAAGTGTACTTTCTCTGCCCCTCTTTCCCACCCGTGCCCACCAGTAATCCGGAGCGCTTTTCTCGATGCCAATTTCCGGTTACCATCTACCTCTCCGGAGGGCTGGCAAACAACTGGCGTATAAAATGATAAGCGACCGTTGAGCATCGTTACTACTTTCCGCACCATTTCGATGCAAAAGTCTAAAGATTCGAGTTTCAGATCAGTTGCTGAGATCAATGTCATCGGTGCATCCGATCAGCGATGGACTTCCCTCTCAGCCACGGCCGCTCACTTACCGTTGGTTCCCCTCGTGGCGGTTCACGACATCCCTTATGCTTTGCTTTTGTTTTGGATGGTACGAATCGTTCTTTCTGAAAAACTTCCCCAACTATTCCTACTTTTCAGTGTACACCTGATGAACAGTAACATGGGAATGGCCATCGTCTGCATGGTCAACTCTTCAGTCACCTACGACAATGAAACATATCCTGAAAACGCGGCTCCCCTGCTCGACTGGTCCTCCGACGAACAAGGATACATCTTCTCGGCGTTCAACGCCGGACTCCTCGTGATGTTGTTCACCGGAGGAATGGCTGACAAGTTCAATGCCAAGTACATGATCCTCGTCAGTGTCGCCATCGCCTCTCTGGCCAACCTCACCCTTCCGCTCATGGCTCCACTCAGCGTCTACTGGGCCATCTTCAGTCGTTTCCTCGTTGGATTCGCAGATGCTCTCTTGCAACCTGCTATGAACTCACTCATCACTAGATGGTTCCCCACATCCGAAAGAAGTTATGCTCTTGGATTGGCCACTGGCGGAAGACAAATCGGTTCGTTTCCTTGCCTCCGTGATCTTCGAAAGTCATCTGTCTTTCAGGAACACTCATCATTATCCCGGCTGCCGGAGCCCTTTGCTCTCAAACCGAAATATTCGGTGGCTGGCCATCCATCTTCTATCTTTCTGGCGTGATTGGAATCGTCTTCATCTTCTCCTACATCTTCCTCGGCGCCGACAAACCATCAAAACAATCATGCATCACTGACAACGAACTGAAGTTCATCACAATCTCCAACCAAAGCGAAGATATCGGAAAGAAGAGAACCGAGAGAAAGGTGCCATGGAAGCATATCCTCTCTTCTGGAGCGGTTTGGGCTTCCGTCATTTCTCTGGTCTGCCACGAGTTCCCGCTGATGACCTTGATCATGTTCCTGCCTTCGTATCTCCATGATGTCCACCACTACCACTCCACCGAGAACGGTATCCTCTCTGCCCTCCCGACCGTCTCCCTCTGGTTCGCAAAAATCGGATCTTCCTATCTCAACACCTGGCTCCAAAAGAACACAGCCTGGAAGAAGGATACCATTTGCAAAGTGCTCAATTCGATTGGATCCATCGGACTCGGAGTCTTCCTCCTTGCCGCTACCTTCCTCGACAAGTCGCACGCGTGGATGGCCGTCCTGTTCCTGTGCCTCAGTATGGCGTCCGCTGGTCTCCACACCCCCGGATGCCAACTTGCACTTGTGTCCGTTGCTCCCGCTTACTCCGGAGCCGTCACTGGATTCACCTTCTTCTTCGTCGCAGTCTCCGGAATCATTCATCCGATTATCACCAAGATGATTGTCAAGGACCGAACGGCAGCCGAGTGGAACTTTGTCTTCTACATCTCCACAGTCATCGCCGTGTTCCCGATCATCATCTTCAATGTCTGGGGATCCACAGAGGTAACACAAAACTTGCTCTTCATTTTCACACAATACATTGTTCAGGTTCAATGGTGGGCCAAGAGCAAAGCGTCAATGCAGCAAGATCCTAACAACAAGAAACTCTCGAAGGCGTCGAAGGCCTCGTCTTCCCCGAGCGTCGACAGCATCGACATGGCCTGAAGCCGTTCTTCATCTTGCCGTTCCGCCCTTTTCTAGTCACTCTCAACACTTGTTGCAGGTCCCTGAACTTGTCCGATCTCAGCCCGTTCAGTCCCATTCGTTCATCCCCTTCCCCACGTTTAACCCTTCTATTCTTCCGTAATTATCTTCGTGTCTTCTGCGGGTTATCGGCTTGAGTTTCCCCCTTTTCTGTTGTCCTTTCATGGCGTTTTTATTCATAAAATATTATGTTAAGGTTAAATGCGTGGAATTTCGTACCCTTCTGATGGCAACATCAGGACATGCGCAATTGCGATCGAAGTGTTCTTGTAGTCGAATCCAACGTAGCTCACGTCTCTTTCCTCGTTTCTACGACGCTCTGAAGCGACTGTGATAAACAGACTCAGACAGATTCCAGCGGAAATGAGGCCGAATCTGAACTCATGTTTAATTGGTGCTTTGTATGAAAAGAGCGTTCTCACTCGACGTCCCCGCGATCATCAGAGAGGATTATTGGCGGTGATCGTTCACTGTTGGTAAATCTTCCGTGCGGAGTTTGTTAAGAAGTTGGGTACAAACAAATCAAGTTCTTTTTAAAAAACGTTTCCGCGGGTTACTGTAACTGCAACGATCTGGTTCTTTAATGAAGTAAACTTGGTGTGCTGTTCAATTTTTTCAAAGTACAGTAGTAACCAGGATTGGGCAAATAACCGGACTGTGCTTTTAGAAGGCCTGAACTTCTGATCCAGTTGCAATGCTCCGATCGGACCCAAACTTTGAAGTATCTTGGCTCTAACTTTTAGATCATTCACTCTCGGGATATGTGGATGGAAAGCCAAAAAGAAAGTAAAAACTTGTCGAGGAAACCTGCGTAGTTTGGGTCCAATCAGATTATCGAGTCTGGGTTAAAGGTTCAGGTTCTGAAAAGCCTTCAAAAAGCCTGAATCGGCTTAGTTAGTAACACAAGCAACCGGTATATACAGATTTATTGACTGTTGTCCGTAACCCATATCAAGCAATGTGATGATCTTCTTCTAATGGCCTATGTGCGTGATGGCTGTGTTTGGTGGAGTAGGCGTGCTTCCAGATTTCGGCAAGACACGCCGAACTGTGAAATCGGTAGAAGACGACGAGCGGCGAGGACATGTTCAGCAGCGCCGAGTAGACCGTCGTTATCTTGTGCGGGAACCCGAAGTTGGATTCGATCGCTAAAAAGTATAAGGATTTAAACATGGAAGTGAAAAGAGTCTCACTTTCGAAAGTATGGTAGATGAACAGGTTTATGTTGCAGACGACTAGAAAGGTGATTATCTGCTTTCCAGGCTGGAGGGCGATGTTTCTAGCTGATAGACTGCGTAGTCTGTAATCCATCGGTTCTCTTTTGCACTCTATGGCTTCTGAGCTCACCTGCACGCTACCAAAATGAACACACTTTGCACGATAACTTGTACAATCCGAGTGACAAAAGCAACGACAGTCAGACAAGTTGTTCCGTGCGCTTTTTCGATCTTCTGATTGACATACAAATCCAAGCCTGCAATAATTCACTCTTCCCCTCCTTCTTCCTGATCCTTTAGGTGGGTTACCTGTGCTGCAGTACACAATCTCTCCAGCCAGCCCGACGATCAAAAGTATCTCGTCAACTACTTGTCCGTGCGCATGTAATCTATACTGTAGTTTGCGCATTCTACAACAAAAACACACATGAGATCGGGCGGAAGAGCGAAAGAATAAGTCACAGAATATGTGTCTGTTCGAACAACCATGTATTCATGGAAGTAAGTTACGAAATGTTCTCTTCAGGGGGTGATACGAACCTGAAGAAAGCGGCAAACACGGCCAGAAGAGTGACACAGAAAATGACAGTCTCGGCGATTCCGATGACTTCGTCGGCCGTTTGTGGTTTGTTCGAATTGTTGAATATGTAGTGCATCGAGATGGAGACGAAAGAGCCGATGAGGAGAATGAGCGCGGCGAAGATTCCCACAGAAGTCGATCTGAAGAGTGTCCGGTTACTGTATGGCTCTGATGATTGTTCGCTCACTTGCAATCGAATCTGACATGTTTCTTCCGCGTCTCCTGCGGACACTCATCCCCTTCGTGCTTCCAGATTATGAAGTACACCGCGGCAGCGACGAGCGAGAATCTATAAATAGCAAAGAACGGAATGGTCATCACTTCCCCCCTCCCCTCCAAATCTAAAGATGATGATACTTCTCTATCTATTTGTTCTCATTGCAAATGTCACAAAAGTCACAAATAAGCACTAACTCGACAAGTGTAGTCAGCAGAAAGTTGGCCGCACTTCCCAATCTGTACAGAGATCGCAGCTGCTTCTCGTTGGCCCGGAAACTCGTCGGATCTGTGGTGAGCACTGAGGCGAGGGTGGTCGTGAGCAGTTCAGCGACGCCTTCCGCCACAGTCATATTCTTCTTCTTCCACTTCTCCTCGCTCTTCTGCAGCTTCTGCGTCTTCTTGTCAGTTTTGTAGATGGCTTTCGCGAGACACAGCGAGAACCACATCCAGAGATTGACGGCGATGCAGTGCATCATTCCGAAGCTCGCGACGAAATTATTCTTGGGCAGCGTGATTTTCGAGTTACAGCAGAGGAAATGCATTTGGAGATAGGTGAAAAGCAGGGCGAGAATGTACTTGACCACGTAGATGTTGTGTCGGTTCTCTGAGAAGAAGCAGAGGAAGATCTCGGAGCCCCAGAGCACACTTCCCAGCGTGCCGAACACTGAAACGATAGAAATGGATGATGTAGTTGAGGTGACAACTAACATAACGTTCCCAGTCTCAGGTACAGCGTACCGGCGCCTTCTCCAGTGAAAGCGGCTTCCGGACGGACCCAATACTTGACAGAATGCACACTCAGCACGTGAATCCTCTCAAGGTACAGGAGGATCGTGTTGAAGACGACCGGGTAGATAACGACTGTGTACAGGTAGATAAAATAGACGATCGCAATGGAGTACATGAGAACACAGAAGATCGTGTACTCGATGTGCATCGCTCCGGACTGCCACGTCGGAGAGATTTCAATGATGAACGCGACGATTGTGAGGATCAGGGCATACAAAGCGGTCAGCGATTTCAGGCAGAAAGTTCTGAAATGTGAGAACGGGTAGTTGGAATGAGAACAACTGACAGGTGCTAGTAAACTCACTGTGCTTTTTCGGTTTTCATCCATGGCGGAGAATTTTCGGGCAACGAGCTACTGCACTCGGACAGTATAGTCACATCGCTGGACGTGGATTCAATAGAAGTCTTGATTCGAAGTCTCTCTGAAGGCGACGAACATGAACACGGAAGAAATGAAGAAGCTCACCTTTGTCGGGCATTCCTAACTGTCAATATACCGGTAAGAGAGCGAATAAGTAGGAGTTAGTCGTCTCGGGGCGCAATGGTTTGGTAACATCGAGTACAAACCCCCAGTTCTTCTTTTTGTCTGCTCTTTCTCTGTTTATTTGAGCTGGAGTCTCTGAACAGTTTGTACCCGTGGGAGTGAATTTGAATCCGATCTGTCTGTGTGGGCGGAAACGTTTTAAATTGCGTTTTAATGATCGGAACTCTAGGAGTACTGTAGATGATGGAGCATAGAAATGTGTAAACGGACTCATGGAAAGTTAGGAATGAGAGTTGAGCGGAAATGGAATTTTGAAATCCGCAATACGGAAAACGGAAGACGGAAGAAAATTTTTCTCACGGAAGACGGCAGACGGGAAGACGAAACAAAAAAATCGTCAATGCAGAACCTTTTTCTCCGGTTTTTTTTTGAAAAAAATAACTAAACAACAAAAAATTTGGATCTGGGTCACTGCCTGTGGAAATTCGCGTTCTTCGGGGCTAGTAAATGGCTTCTGAAAAGCTATTATTCTTTTACGGTAAGAAGAAAAAATCCAGGAAGACGGAACAAAAAAACCACGGAAGACGGAAGACGGCAGACGGAATTCCGCTCAACACTGTTAGGAATAGTTTCGTTTTGTTCAGGAGCAGATAGAAAGTTCCAGTAATCTGTTCTAAAGTGTCTAAAAAAAGATGCCTCACTCTTCTGTTCACCCCCGCAACGTTTTCATCGTCGCCGTTTACACGTAGTTTAAACCGTCTGTGTGCACTTCTCCAGAAAGTTCAAAGACTCAACTAGTCTCTTTTTACCCATTCACATTTTGAACTGACAAACAAACAAATGGAATGAGCACACATTGTCGGCATTGCAGTGAGAAGTGCTTCTTGCTCATAAAACTCTTGTTTGGCTGGAAATGTAACTTTCTTTCACTATCAAAAATAGAGATCGAGTTCAAACACTGAACAAATATTGAAGATTCGAATTAGACATGATGTTGATAATCGGAAGCGGGGAAAGTGATGGCCGAATGATGCTGATGATTTTTCGTGGAATAAGTGTACTTCCATATCTCAGCCAAACACGCGGAGCTGTGAAATCGATAAAAGACGACGAGAGGGGAGGAGATATTGAGCAGTTCGAACGACTTGGTCTCCATCACATTCGGAAACCCGTAACTCGATTTCATCCCTTCGAAAGTGTGATAGAAGAAGAGAGTTATATTGACAATCACCAGAAATGTCAATGTCTGTTTTCCAGGTTGAGTCTGCGCATTGACGGCGGATAGACAACGGAGCCGAGAGGCGATTAGTATGTACATGGCCTGAGTGATAACTTGAACTATTCGGACAGTGAACACGGCCACTGGAAGGCTGGGCACGGTCGGTTGAGACGGCGGCTGTTTATGAACATATCGAAGCCGATGGAGCAGTAAATGAGCTCTCCGACGAGACCGATTATCAGTAGAATCTCGTCGATCACTTCGCCGTGCGCATGACGACGATACTGGAGGACACGCATTCTGAAGAACACATGTTTTTCAAGTTTTCAGTCGTAGAAGCCTACCTCCAAAATCCGAATACAGTTGCAATCAAAGCCACACAGCAGAGAATCAAATTGACGGTTCCGATGACCAAATCCGCATTCTGTTGCTTCTTCTTATTGCATAACATTGTATGGATTCCGATTGTGACGAATGCAGCGGCCATGATGCAGATACCGGCGAACAGACCGACTGTGGTGCTCCGGCAGTCCATTCTCAGCCTCTTCTTCTTTTTATCCGTTTTCAGTGCCTCTACATTCGTCTCTCCCATGTACTTCCAGATGATAAAACATACGGCCGCGCCGATTAGCGAATACTCGACGAGGCAAGTGAGCAGGAAACTGGAAATGTCCCCCAATCGAGACATCGATTGCATTCTGAGGTGAACGACGTCGTAGGAGGAATTTGGAGACGAATACGAAGATTGCGCAAAAGTGACGGGCTTCATCTTCTCGACCACAGCTTCCAGAAGGTGTTCGATGATTGTGGTGGCCTCGATGGTACCTTCTTCCTCTTCTTCTGAAGAAGATGATGACGATGAAGAGGAAAAAGTGACATTTTCATATTCGAGCATCTTCTTCTCCTTCTTCAGCCTCTTCACTTGCTGAAATCTCCAATTTCATATCCACATCCGACTCTCTTCACCTACCGCCTTCACCAAACACATTGAGAACCAAGTCCAAAGATTGACAGCCACACAGTGCATCATTCCGAAGCTCGTCAGGTAATTGGAGCGATGAAAAGTGATTTTGGAGTTGCAAACGATGAAATGCATTTGCAGAAATGTGAAAATGATGGCGGCGATGTGCTTGGAAGCGACGAACCGATGGTAACATTCTCCAGAGAGACAAAGGTAGATCTCACACCCCCAGAGCACGCTTCCGAGAGTTCCGAACACTGTGAATTAGAGAGTTCGTTTAGAAAAAAGAAGAGGAACACTTACAGAGAGCACCGAGACGGAGATAAAGAGTTCCGGCCCCTTCCCCATTGTGCGCCGACTCTGATATTAACCATCTCTGAAGAAACAGTACTAGTGATTTTTTGAATTTCACTTACATCTGGCCTCGGAACAAGTGACGTTTTCGTATTCAGCAGCAGAATTATAGTGTTAATGGTCTTTGGATAGATTACCACGAGGTATGTGTACAGAAAGAAAACGATGGCAATGAGATACATCAGGAGAGAGAATATCTGAGCGCATGGGAATATTAGAGACAGACCATTTGACGCGCTCACTCACCGTCTCAGCTAACCACATGTGTGCAGAACTCCACGCAGAAGACAGGGCAATGAGGCAGGAAACCAGAGTGAGAAGAAGGACATACATGCTGGTGAGCAGACCGAACAAGAAGTGCGTCGCCTTCGGATTGCGAATCCATTCTGGATCTTCTGATGGTGAGGGAAGATCCTCGGGCCTCGGATGCCCCATGGGAGTACATGAGGAACTCGGTACACTCACAATCGGCTCTTTTTCGCGAAGAGCCTCTGAGGAAGAGCAATGGTCGGATGGGAAAAAACGAATTTGTGACATGTTAAGGTTTGAACAGACACACACACAGACTATTTTAAGCTAGGAAGTCAGAGAAAGTATGACTTACCCATTCTTGCCAGCTCATTCTTACTCATCGTACGAACCACCATGTTTTCTCTCCCCTCCGCCCGTCTAGTGTGTATTTATACCCAAACTGGAGCTACAGTCGTTTCAGGAATCAAACGCTCAAGTATTGCCGTGTCGCCGTTTGGCTGTTTTCCATTTGTGGTGTTTGCAATAAACAAACATGACCGAGATTTTTTATAAAACTTCGAGTTTCAGTACGTTTTTTGATGGGTTTGTACTCAATTTTGAGCTCAGGAAAGCGCAGAGCCGATCGAGTGCAGCGGGATACTGTAGAACGAAGGCGCACGATTCGAATTGTCACAGGTGGTCTCGCCACGATGCTTGTTTTTCGCAATTTTCTCGTAAACAATTGGATGTTCCAGTCAAACCGTTTTTAAGAAAATTTCCCAAATTGTTTTACTCTTGAAACTTGTAAATATTTGTGTGCCGAAATTAGGACGAAATAAGGCATGCTGCCACTTTTGCTACAATCCAAAAGATAGAATAAGTTCAAGAATCAAATATTTGTTGAGCAAATTTGTTTGCAAACCGTCTGTTTATGAACTCTTCAGATCAAACCTTCAATTGACCACGTGTTTGTCCAGAAAAAGACATAAATCATAAACTTTTTTTTCAGATTTTCCTGCTTTAATGAAGCAATTGACGATTACTAGCGCCTCATCAAATGGAGATTAACCGAACTGACACGTGAGAAAATGCGCGAAACGAACAATGAGAAACACGTTTTAGGAGTGAAGACAATACTTCTGGATACTCGTCGGCAAAAACGTCGCCACAAACCTCTGATGACAATTTATTGTACGTCGCTGAAAAGAGAAAGGAAAACTTTGCGCTTTCAGAAAACTGTCAAGCGCGCACAAAACTCGGCGAAGATTTCAGTCAAAGAGCTCTTTTCGATTCGACTCCGACGCGTCTGATGAAGAAACGTATATGAAAGGAGAGGAACAGTCTGAATTCCGGCCGATAGTCACTCCAAACGACTGCGATCCGCACAAGGAATGGTATCACAAACTGCTGATGCTGAAGAGCGAGTTCGAAAGAGGCGAGAGAGGTCCGTTCCCGCCGTTCCCGCCGCCGCCTCTACCCTCTACAATGCTGGCCGCCAGCCAAGCAGTTGCGGTCAACCCGTTTGAAGCTGTAAAACGGGCGGCCTCTTACAAAACGGTATAATTCTGTGAAACCCTGTGAATATGCTCGTGTTTTTTCCAGGCAAAGTCTCCAAACATGGACCCTATAGACCGATCGCTGAATCGCTTCTGTCCGACCGACTTCCGTCCTCTCCCGCCTCCACACGTCTTTCTTGGAATGATCAAGACTCTGGCTCCCCATCAATATGTCGACCTGACTTATGCACTCGCAGGATCCGTTCTTCTCGAAATGGGCGTCAAAGTGCCGGATCGTTTTCCGCCGCTTCCGCCGAAGATCGAGCCGTTCCGTCCGGTAATGGACGTCGATTCGGTCATTCACGAAACGGAAATGTCGTCGCAATCGTCTTCAGGAGGAGAATATTCGGATGCTTCTGAAAAGACGAAAGAGCTCGACAGAGTTAAAAGAGAATCAAATCAGGCGAGGGTGAGCTAAGGATTAGTGAGATATGAGGTGACGAGTAATTTCAGAGAGAAGCGCGAAAGCTCGGAATAATAGCGAAACGGCTCTCTTTGACGAGTATGTCGCGAGTTTATCGGGAGAAGAGCAGCTATCCGAACGAAGAAACCTTCGCGAGGGATCATCATTACAAATCGTATGTGAGATCATTGGACTGACACCATATTTGATTCCAGGAAAACCCTCGCTGCGTTTATACCTCCTTCGATCACACGTGGAAGACGTCCCCCGCCGCTCATTCCGTCCGCCGTCATCCCGCCGCCTCCACCGATAGTCCCTCTTTCCAGAGGGTGAGTTAATTTTTTTAAAGATAATCTTTCAATATTAAACCCTTCTAGGCCAATCTTCGGATCCTCAATAATGCCTCCGCCGATGCCGCCGCCAATAATACTGTTTCCGTTCCCGATTCCTCATTTGCCTGAAACGCCGCCAACGTGTCATTCGAGAGCGCCGAAAATAACTCTGAAAATGAAGTCGCCAGTCGTCGAAACAAAAAAGACCATGTTGTTAGCCAAAAGTCGCTTCATTCAGTGAGGGAACGGCGACGAAACGTCTTCGTAAAACAGGACAAAAGAAGAAAACCTGTATTAATCTCAATATTTATCACACTAATTGATTTGATGATGTTCAAAATGTGTTAAAGTGAATACTTGTGAGAGCTCCGTTGAGAATGTGATTCTCTCGCTCGATGCGCGTAGAATACTGCGCCTGCGTAGTGCACAGATTGTCGTGTCTGGAGGAAAATGTTCTCGCCGCCGTGCGTAAACGCTCCTTCTGGCTCCGCAGTTTCGTGCAATGTTCTTCGAATGTTTCTGTATTTATATGCTTCCTGTTCTTTTCCTTTTCCTGTTCCCCTTGCGCTTTTTTTTCTTGGCTTTTTTTAAATTTCGATTTTTTTCTTTTTCCCGAACTGCACAATAAATCTGTAGTCTCCTCATTTGTAAGTCACTGGCTCTCTTTTTGATTTTGCTGTCCGAATTCGGCAATTGTACTTTTTGTCTTTTCTCACCGTGTTGGCTTTGTTGTCGATTCCGCAAAGTGATGACAAATGCATATTTCCGTCGATTCGTCTGTGAATCTCTCTTCCTCTGTGCCTCTATTTCTGTGATTCATTTTGTAAGTATCTAGCGCGTGTTCAATGCTCTTCTCTTTTTCAAAGGCAATTTTTTCAGATTTCAAAAAAATATCTGTCCATCTAATGGGGTTATTCAGGGTATGTTTTTTTCGTTTTTTTTACATCGCTGATTGACTTTAAAAAAACGAAACAAAACGTACACTGAATAACCCTATAATGATAACGTATTGCTGTGTTGTATGTCCAGTCGGCAAGTTCGGTCACTCCATATTTCAGTTTTTCATGTAATCATTCTCATTCATCGGTTCCCCACTTTCCAGTAGCCCGAATGTGGTACAAGTCCATCGCCCTTTGATCTCTGCGTTTCTGTCCTTTGACACGTCTCCATTCTCCCTTCTATCACTGTGGCGGAGGTTGAGAGTTGTTTTCTTCCGCTGTGCGCCCCAGCCGCGTCGTCTCGAACGCGCCACGCTCTTTCTCTCGTCCCTCTTCTCTCCGTATGCTCTATGCGGATGTTGTGAGTGTGTGTGCGCGCTCCGTGAGCGGTGTGAGCGTCCGGTTCCGATGCCACTCGGCCGTCGTCCCATCCATATTTTGGCCTAGCGCATACATCTCGCTTCTTGCAGACTGTCCTCATAAGCAGCCTGTCTTTGGGTTCAATGCCAGAGGACAACAAGAAGCAGGAGGAGAAGAAGAAAGAAGGAAGCAGTAGCAAAGAAGAGGAGCCCGCCAAACGAAAGAATTCGATCGTCGACTCGAGCACTGGCTCCTCCGCTTCGTCAACCACTTCCAGCAACTCTGGAAACACTTCGGACCATTCAGCAGCTGACGCCGAAGTTCCAGTGACATTTGGTACGTTATTTGCTCCTCGCGCACAATCCGCATTGTGAGAGGGAAGTGAGAAGGTAACAATTAGAAGCACGCCGAAACGAGCGAGGCAGATGGCAACCCATCGCTTCTGCGTCCTCATCAAATGCTCAATTTGTCATAGAAACGCGCACCATTTCCCGCTGCTCACCCATGATTTTCGTTTAGATTTTCGCGCTCGCTTTCTGAATGTAGTGTGTTGCCTTGTCGGCGCGTATCGCTAGTTGTATTCGAGTACTTCAAAATCATACCTGAACTTGTTGTTTCCAGAAAACGAGAAAGGGACAATGACAGTGGACAACGGACAAGGAGACACCAACATGAGCTCCAGCGGAAGTTCCGACGTCGATGCCGATCACTGTGTGGTGGATATTCGTGATCGCACTGAGGAAATGCTCAAGCTGATCGGTGATGGCGAGAAGAAAGTGGTGCAAGTTGTGGATAACGTGAACGTAGTGCCGATTTGCAACAACACGCATTTGATTACGATCGAAAACGGGAAGGAGAAAGAGAAGAGTCCTCCACTCGTGCCGTACACCGTTCCCGCTACGTTTACCACTGTGAAGAAGAAGGTTTCTGCTCCGCCACCGCTTCCTCCTTCGTCGTCGCAGGTAAAGAATATGCGCAAATTCACAGCAAAATTGCATAGATATATTTTTCAGTCGAGTTCAAATAATAAATCCTCGAAGAACAAATCGAGAAAGCTGACAAAGCGGGAGAAGAAAGAGCTGGAAAGAAGAGAGCTAGAAAAACAAGGACATCTTCTTCCGAGCAGCTACCCGGGACAGAAAGAACGATTGAGAAATCAGCCAATCCAGTACATCGACGGTGATCGGAATTTGCACGTGCATCACTTCGATGAATGGTCCGGAAACGATGTGCAGGACGGAGAGATGATCGCGCGGGGCGCAAACGCGGCAGCGCAGACTATGCTCGGCACCGAAGACAAAGTGAAAAAGCCGTACATTCGGCACGAAGAGGATCTGGGGCCGACGATGAGCTACACCGACTTGCACAGAAGCTCACAGATGAGATATCTCCGTCACGTGGGCACTTTGTAAGTGTAACGTGAATCCTGATCATTAAATACTGATGTTCATTGCAGGGGCACTTATACCAACCTTCCGCACAGTTTGAAGCTTCTCCATCGCATGGGTTACGGAGTCGCAGCTTCCGGAATGCCAGACGACGAACCTCTTATGCTAACGATAGGAGGAGCGAAACCGTTCATGGCGCACAAGTACGCGATGTACGTCATGTCCGAGGGGAAAATTACCAATTGGCGACAAGATTTCCTTGTGACTGCGGACGCTGACTATTCTACCCCGGATCTCGCTCATTTGGAGATCATTACCATTCTCAAAAACACCATTGACAAGGTAACCGAAAAGTGTTATTTTTCTTCACATGATTCTAAAAATTTCAGATGGCTGACAAAGCTCAAGAGCAGTTCTTGCAAAGCATCTTGAAGTCGTTGAGAGATCTTGATCTACGTGATTTTTTGCTTCGTCTCGGTGAAATGGAGCGCAATATCGTTCTTCTGGAGCAAGAGCAGCGACGGGACGGCACTATCCCCCAAGCCAATCAGCGCTTCGATAGTCTCGATCGTCGCGATCGCTACATCTACCTGGTTTCGCAGGTTCTCCTCTGGACGACGGCCAGCATAACGCCGTCTGAAGGAGCCTATGGGGATAATTCACGTTCTTGCTCTCTGATCATGTACTTGTCGACAACGTGCGATGACGAGAAGCCGTGCTACGAGCAGAATCACAGAAAGTGCATTTTGCTTCATTTCTTACTCAGCAAAGCTCAGGACAAATGTTTGAATCTGAGCCAGAAGTTCTACGGCGGCAACACGCCACTCCATTTTGCTGCGATGCGTGGTTCTCCGTGCCAAATAGACGTTCTACTACGCCACGGAGCCAGTCTCAATGAGCTCAACGACGAGTTCCGAGCGCCAATTGCTCTGGCGCTTCGCAGACATTGCACTCTGATTGCTCGTCAATTGATGTGGCACGGAGCGGATTTGGGAAGCGCGTTCCACCTCAAACACATTCAGCCGACGACGCAAGAGGAGACAGAGGTAAGTTCTTCGAGTCATTTCAAAAGCACACTTTGTATTTATGTTTACAGCATAAACATCGATCGGAATACCACGAACAACTTTCTCAAAACATACCATTCAAAGCTCGCGAGTTCATGGTGCAAAGAGTGCGTGCGCTCACCAACTCGTTCACTTCGTGGGTCGAAGCGATCCTCATTGAATCGGATCCGCGGCTGAATCTCGGCGTGGATTCCGTCCGCTCGAGCCTCCACCAGATACGGATCGGTCCAGACAGCAGCGACGCGCTCATGACTGTCCAAAAAATGAATGTTGTGAAGGTTTGTACAAAAACAAAAACAATATATAGATTTGCTCGAAGTGCTTACAGAAAACCTTCCGTATGGCAATCCAACGATCCGAATTTTCCGTGGAGCCAATTGTGAGTTAATACTCTTTATTTCATATCGAATCTTATTAATCTTCCAGGTTCTTTTCCTTCTTCCTTGCCAATACACGCGATTCGACACGACAATGCCAGCCAACAACCCACACATAGTCCGTGTTCCGATGCTGACTGACGCGAAATCCATCGCCATAGCAGTGGCCAACAAAGAAAAGGACAGGACGGCACAGGGAGGTGTGCGTGTGGAGTACAAAGAAGAAGTGAAGAGGGCGAGACCGATCAGAATACTTGCACAGCCCGTTTCGTAAGTTGCTCTCAGCGTCAGACCTTCCACAAGAGCATACACAATTCAGAGTTTTCCAATACGACGGACTTGCGGGATACAATCACGTTCTGGAGCCATTCTTCTCGATTGAGCACAACGGACTCGTCTACGCCTACAATCTACCCGAAAGTGTCATCAGTAGGTTGCCAGCCTCAAATGTAGTGTACTGGAATAAAATATTTCAGGAAATGAAAATTCTGAATACGTGCAAATAAAGGTTTCCCTTGTCATTCCGGAGGAGGAGGCGAAGCAGTTCGAGAACTGTTTCTTCATGGCGCAAGCAGTGCAAGTCGTCCGTCGGCAACCGTCGCCTTCAATCTACGAAACATCGACATCGGATCCAAGAGCCCAATCGATAATGCAACAGGTTGCTCAGCGAAAAGCCGAAAGGATAGCCGCCGAAGCTGAAAAGATGAACAATCAGGAGAAAGTGGACGCCCGAGTGCGCGGAATCGTGGCTGATGTGCATGCGGGAGTGGCTCAGAAAAAGAGAGAAAGGGAGATGGCTAATGCTGCTGCGAAGGCGGCCGCTGAAGCGAGAGCTGCCGCTGATGCGAAAGCTGCCGCCGACGCTAAGAAGGCTGTCGATGCGAAGAGAGCTGCGGTTGAGGCAAAGAGGGCAAAGGCTGCTGCTGCAAAAATTCTCGCTGCCGGGGCCGAAACAAGTGCCGCAATAGTGTCCGAAGCAGTGCGGTCCGTGCTCCCCGACAAGGGAAATGAGACAGCAGTCAAGGTCGATGAGACAGTGAAAGAAAAGGCGAAAAATCGAGAGAAGGAAAACTCGGAGAAACAGTCTAGGCGGTCTGACTTTCCGAACAAAGGCCAGCCACCAAAGCCTAAAACAGATTGATTGATGATTACGTGTCCATGACAGGTACGTTCAAATTTAGCGACTTGATTTTAATCCGCGGTTTGTTACAGATGCCAAAACGAATCGTCTTAAACATATCTTCAGGAGCAAGGCATGCTGTAGTTCATTATGAATATTATGAATATTACTTTTTTGTATCTTATTCTTTTCTATCCATTTTCTTCTGTAATATTGATTACCCGTGTATGACGAACCGCTGTATCATATCTTGACTCCTTCCACAATTTGCGGTGCCAATCCGATCCCAAGTTTCATTGCCTCATTCTCCATCCAATTTACCCCTATGGAGTTTTCATGTTTCTCATCGAAATTCGTGTGATTGATCCCCTCATCCCCCTCATCCTTTTCCCAGTTTCTTCCTGTGCTATCCGGGCCCTCCAATCTTTTCTATTACTTGCCCTTCTTTCTTACTAAATTATGAACATCGATCAGCTGCCAAAAACGACGTCAAGTTCTGTTAACAAAATCACCTAGGCTTTCGAGTTCTTTTGCTTTTTGCCATTTCCACAAACTTTTCGGGACTTGTCACATTATTCATTCCCACTATTCTTCCGATTGCTCGCCATCTGACTATGTTGTCGGAAATAGAAAAACAGGCAAACACCCACCCTCTGCTTCCGATAATTACTCGTTTCCTCTTCAAATTTTTTGAGACTGTTTATTCTGAAACTTAACATCGGTGACATCACCCACATCAACACTTTCACCCTTTCCTATCTCTTTTGTGTATCCGCTTATGTCGAGTATGTATTGGTTTTGAGACATTGTCCGGATATGTCACTTTTTGATCAATGAACCTTTCTCCGTCAGCACTAACTGCAAATCCCAAATATGTTCTGTGTAGTCAATAGATACCTAGACTGAAAAGTGAGAAAAAAAACTGACACTCGACTCAGATGGCGTCATCACTGAAAATCTTCGAGCTACTGGATGTGTTGGATAATTTGAAGCACCTGAAACGGACGGGATGGGTGAAGTGCGGCGTGCCGGAGCCGGAGACTGTTGCCTGCCACATGTATCGGATGGCAGTGCTCGCGATGGCTCTGGAAGGGCAGATCGAGGGGCTGGACACCGTGCGAACCGTCAAAATGGCGCTGGTGCACGACATCGGAGAGGCGATCGCCGGGGACATCACTCCGATCTGCGGCGTCTCGGATCAGGACAAATTCGATCTGGAGAAGAATGTTTAGACGGTGACGGATGAAGAAGAAACGGAAAGTAGGAATTCAGGCCGTCGACACGATAGCATCGTTCGTTCCGAACGTCGGAGACGAATGGGAAATGCTGTGGAGGGAGTACGAGGAGGCGGCGTCGCTGACCGCTCGGGTCGTCAAACATCTCGACAAATTTGACATGATTGTGCAGGCGGACAAGTACGAGAAAGTTCACGGTGAGCACGAAAACGAGGAACAAGCATCCGATCTGATTTCAGGAATCGATCTGCAGCAGTTCTTCACGAGCACAGTCGGAGTCCTCAAGATGGAGCCGTTCGCCACGTGGGATCGTGAGCTGAGGGACAAACGGAACAAACGGATAAATGAAAATTGATTGTTTATCAAATTTTTGAAAGGTTTTATATTGTTGAAGCTCAAATTTCATTTAGAAATAATGAAGAATTTGGAAGCTGCTTAATCAAACGTTTTGAGGAAGATTTGAGTATCGGAAGAACTCGTTTTACTCGCTTCGCTCTTCCTTATATTAGAAGTTCATTTTTTACTGTCTTCTTGGCCACTTCTTCCGTTTTCTCTTGTTTCCTCCCTTGTTTCCCAATTGCATTCTTCATTTCTGCATACACGCGAATCGGGAAATATCTCAGCTCGGCGGGTGTTCAGTGCTGAATGTCCAAAGTATCCCCAATGCCACGTAGCGTGGCACAACCTTTGTCCAGAATTCGAATTCTTCAGTGTAAAAGCCAGATTTCATGCCTGTTCAATGAAAATTGATTATATTTAGAACTTCTAAAAGAATTGTCAGCATTCCTGAAAAAAGATTGAGCAAGCTGTAAACTAAAAATAGCGCGTACTAAGAAGAGCTTTCCGATATGCTTTGATAATGAAAATATTGGGCAGCGGGTCGATAACCGGATAAAGAGCAATCGTGGCAGAAATGAAGCAGCTCGCGCAGCCAATGTCAACGTTGATCATCGGAAATGCGAAGAGAATGATAACGGGAACGTACATGAGAATGAGCGGGATCAAGGTCTGAATGCAGTTGTGGTGATTTGACTTCGAATGAATCACGGTTTTGGGGTAGTTCGGACCACGTTGCAAGTGTCCGATCAACTATAATTGCGTGTCGTCCAGTCCCGATTAGGCCCTAGAAACCCTTGAAGTCTTACTTGAATGACGAGGGCTTTGAACAACTGCTGCTGAAGACTCTTTGCGAATCTAGACGCTGATATCGAGACTAAAGCTCTAGATATTTTAAGATAACATTTGACACCAAAATAGACGACACACACCATCGATGAGCCCTGTTTACAGTTTTTTCGTGATAATAGTCAATACCATCTCACAATCATTAGGCCAATGTATGCCGTCGTTTGAAAATATTTCCAATTGGGGTGTGTTTTTCCGAACTCGTCTTCACTATAAAACAAAGCGAAAGTATACGATATATCCTCGATGCGATAGTCATATGCGGCAAGAATTGTGCCTCTGAATCAGATTTAGTTGCCACTTAAAGAATCTGTTTTTGCCTTAGAAATCGATCAGAATCTTCATCGTAATGATAAAACAGACCGCAAAGAGTGGCCCATATACCACCATAGCAAATGGGAATGAAAAATATAATGAGTACTTTGCTCCCCGAAAGGTACCTTTCGTAGAACTTGTTATCCACTGCCCCATAACGATAAATAAAGTGAACACCGAAACACGCGAGCGAGAAGCCGAAACATCCGCAGTAAACGGTCAAAAGAATGAAACTGCGTTCCCGGTCCAGAATAGAATGTCTAAAGTCACGGAAAGCGATAAGGGAAGAGCCGAAAGAGTGGATGATGGGCTCGGTGATAACATCCAAAATAGAGTAGAATATTGCAAAGACAGAAATGTAAATCATCAAGTACTTGTACGTTCCCAACGGTTTCGGAGAGTAGAACACAATTAGAAAGATGAATAAAGAGTTGGAGATCACCGAGAAGAAAGTGCTCACGCATTGCACGGTTCTAAGAAAGTTTTGCCAAGCCGTCAGGCGGATCATTTTGGGCGATTGTTGTTTGGAAAACGGACTGCTCGATGGAAAACGTATAGTGCCACGCAAACTCCTGTGAGAATTGAGAAATGAAAGCAATTCATTCAAAAACAAAATACAATATTCCAAAAAGTGAGGAATCCAATTAACCAGAAGATCAATTTGCACGCATTGTGACCGGTTTCGTATTCTGAACATCCTTCCACATTTCCATGTACGGCATCGGCTTCCGGAATCTGAGATCTCCAAATTGGGAGAAGGTGGAGTTCTTAGAGCTGAAAACAAACTGTATGAGAATGGATTTTATTATCGAACAGAAAAAGTTTAGACGATATGAATACGGCGGGAATTTTTAAGTATGCTAATTGAGTGGAATACACATTAATGCAAGCACGAACAGCCACGTGGCACAGATAGTGTTAGAAGTAACATATTGTGAATGGGCGAAGCCAATACTCCTCTCGTCGGAAAATGCTTGAATTGTGGCCACTACCTTCGCGGCCATTTCTTTCGGTTTATCCTGTTTCCATCCTTTCGTCCCAATCGCATTCTTCATTTCTGCAAACACGTGAACCGGGAAAACATCGCAGGTCGGCGGGTAATCAGTGCTGAAAGTGAAGTTGCCGCCGTTTCTGGAAAACTTAATGAATGAGTCTCCAAAGTGTCTCCAATAGCACTTGCCGTGGTACATCTTCTGTCCAAAATTCGAATTCCTCAGTGTAAAAACCACTTTTCATGCCTGGCATAGCAAAATGCTCATCGAAATCAATGTGAAAGTAGTTCATTCGGTCCGAATCCATCTTCTCCCATTTCAGATTCCCGGGCGGTTTGGGCTCTCCGTAGTTCACAAAATCAGCAACCATTCCAGTCAATATTCCCTCTATGCTCATATCTTTTTCCGTAAAATTTCTGGTCCGATGCACGCCCATGTAATACAACTGAACAGATGATATCTTTCCAATGTTTGGATTCTCAGAAACGTACGAAATCTTCAGAATGTATCGGCGATCGAGCTCCGGGAACATAGTCGTTGTAGGCAGGACCTGCTCCAGAATACGTGTACTTGTACAGGTAAACAGGTTGATCGACAGCGTGGTGTTTGGCCAGTTTGACCGTCGGAATGTGAAAGATAACATGATCCAGAAGGAACGGAGCTGCTTCTTCTGAGACCATTTTTAAGACCGTCACTTCTCTTTGTACAAGTCACTCACTTTTCCCATAGTATTCCATACATTTGTCCCTGAACCCGTAAGGTTTCTCATAAGTTCCCAGGAAAGCGAACATTTGACACATCGCTTCCAGTTCCGTCATATTGACCCCGCCATTTTCACCCAATGTATAACCAGTATACATGAGCTCATATGGAACCGTCCCGATCATCATCGGCTTCCTACTGTAGTTTCCCTGTTTCAGAAGAGTCCGAGGATTGTCCGGAAGAATCTAAACGTGTGATTATCAACGTTTGAAACCGATTCATTGCAACTTCTCCATCGATAGCAAAATCGGAAAAGTATTCCTCTTCAGTGTGGAACACTCTGTCTTGCGCCTCAAATAACTCTTCAGCTGATACATTCCGCAGACAATCGAAGACATTCACAACGTCTGAGAAGTCGATGTTGCATCCAACTCTCTTTGCAACTTTCGCAAATATCTGATAGTTAGCAACTGAAGCAAGACTCTCATATTTTCTATTTAAAAAAAGTAGGAAAACTGACGTTCAGAGTGCATTAGCAACGGCATGCTCATCACGATTCTCTGCTGGAATAAGTGGTCGTACTCCGGGTGGAATGCCAGAATGGTCAAGATGGTTGCTCCTCCGCTGTGTCCGAAAAGAGTTGTCTTGTTAGCGAGTCCTCCGAAGTTGGCCACTTCTCTTTTCGTCCATTCAAGAGCCGCCACCACATCTGTATTCACTCATTCTTTCTTTGTCTTCATTCGAATGTTCTCAAACCGTGTAGAATCAGATTCCTTTCGACGATTCCTCTTAAATCTCCGGGCACATTCGGAAGGCCAAACACTCCGAGACGGTACGGAACAGTCACTACCACAACGTTCCTTCCCTGACCCACAAAATTGTTCACAATTATATCGTTTTGATACGTGGCCGGACTCTCTTTTATCATTTGCCCGCCGTGCACAGCGACCATGACCGAACAGTTCTTCTGTGAAACAGCTGGAATTGGAAAAGGCGAAACCAGTGGTTGATTACATGTTCTAAGCAGTAATGACTTGTGAGCACGTTTATATAAAGACAGTCCTCAGAAGTCGGACCCCCTTCCGGCCGTTTATAGGTTTCTCTGAAAGCTGAGCCGAGAATCATCTACCAGAATTAGGAATAACGTACACTGGATCACTCATGCAAGCCGGCTTCATCTCCTTCGTCTCCAGAACTCCCTCCCATTTCGATGTGTATGCGACCGCTTTCCGGAACCGCAATTCACCCAACGGCTTCTCGACGTGAGGAATTCCGAGGAACACAACTCCCGTCTGATTCCCGAACACCGAATAACTGGCTGTCAGCTCGCGTCCTTCGATTAGACCATTTCTGAATCTGGCTTTGTAGTGGTGGGCCCAAGGGGTTTCAGTTCTCCCAAACATTACGTTATGTTGACTCGAAGGCTTTCGGCAAACACTTGCGCAACGAAAAGAAGAATAAGGAACAGGGAAGAGGGCATTCCCAATAATCAATAGAACTCCGAAAGCGATTCTAATGCGGAACAGCCTCGTGGCACTTGATTATTCATATCACTCACTGTTTTGGTTATTACATTCGTACCAAGCTTCACTTTCTACGAAGGAAACATTCCATTGGATGCTAACTGCTTGAGTTCTTTTAGTGTTGTGCTTCATATATTACGATGAGAAGACCGTCTTCCTCACTTTCACAGAAACAAAACTTTGTGAAGCGATCTCATGGCTTCTGCAAGTACCTCACAATCGTCTGCTTCATTGTCGTCATCGATATTTACACTATTTTGAAAGTTCGCAGTATAAATAGAAAGGTAACCTCTTCAATTCGGAGAACACGACAATAGCCTATTCCCAGATGCGAACGAGCATAAACATACGGACAACATCTCGCATTTCCTCTCGAGAATTCAATATTTTGAGCCAGACAGTCTTCCGAGGGACCATTTTTGCCGTCTTCGTTCTTCTTCCTCTTCGTTCCTACTTCGTTCTTCCATCTCATCTTCCCAACAAATGGTCTCTCGATGGGTATACATTTGAATATAATCACTTTGTTTTCAGAATGATAATGATGGTTTTCAAACCGGAATTCAAAAAATTCCTAGCAACTTGCGGAAAAGAAAATCAATGAATTTCACAATCGCTGTTGACCGCTTCAAATGTGTTTAGAAAGTGTCCATAAAATTTGATGGTGGCCGGTGGCGAGTTCAAAACTTCCGAGAAACTCTTTTCCAGGTGTGTGTAGACTAAACATATTCATTCCTGATCACAGTTTATTTTAATTCTAGTGTGTGGTTTGTCTGCCAACCTAATAACATATCGGAGATAATTGGATGGCAGAGCGAAACCCATTTTCCCACAATCCTCTACGAATCGGGCCGAATGCAAGAAGAGCACTTCCTCGGTCTTTTCACTCTCTTCGTAAGTGTTCCATTTTGAGTTTTGACCACTGCGGACCATTTTCCAGAGCGGATTCGTCGGCTTTGTCACCAACTGGTCCGTCGTCTTCTTCTTCCGAAGCGTTCCCTCTCTCCGCAGCTCCTTCGGCGTTCTTTCGGCTCACGCAGCACTTGTGTCCGCAGTCTACTGCTCGATCGCTCTTTTTTGGATCTCACCCATCATGCTCTTGTCTGTTATTTTACCTGATTTCATATGCAAATCATGATTTCAGAAACGTCGAATGGCTCCGGAACAACTCGTACTTGGCAGGATTCGTACTCTATTTGTGTTACGATCTCGAAACTGAAACTCATTTGCTCATTTGCATAAACCGGTTCTTCGCAGTCTCCTTCCCTCACACATATCCAGTTCTCTTCAGTATTACTTCCACATTCATTTTTCTAGCAATTTTATGGGTTGTATGCCTTCTCATCAGTATTATCGTATTCCCTTTGTGTAAGTTATCTTCTCGTGAGTCACAAGAATAGATGTACATTCAGCCGGATGCCAAATGTACTATGATGCTGAAATAATGACACTGATCTACACGAGAACGCCATCCTGCCAGAATCTTACGTTGATTGCCGACTTCGGACTGCACATGTGTGTTCTGACCGCTATGATTGTGTTAAACTCAATCACATTTTATCAATTTCGACGGAAAAATAGAGCGGTAAGTGTGTATTTGTCGATGAGTCACGCACTTTTCCAATAATTACAGATGTTCAACTCGCTGAACCACGCGTCATCACTTCGAAAAGCGAAATCAGAGCGTAACTTTCTTCGGCAGACATTTTACCAGGAAAGTGCGTACGTCGTCGCGCTGCTCACTTATTTCCTGCTCGGCACTGTGCTCGAAGCGAAATGGCTCCGCTTCGTCGTCATTCTGCTTCCCTGGTATTTCGTGCACGCTTACCAGGCAATGGTCACCATTCTCTGCAACCCGGAGCTCAAAAAGATATGCATCAGGAAGTGGAGACTCTGGTCAGTCACAATCAGAGAGCACGAAGGAAGCACACAAAAATGTGATTTCCGTTTCAGCTTCAATGCACCCGAGATGGCACCGAATGCACCCGCGAGGACAGGCGACGCTTGGAGGTCAACGACGTCGCGCATCTCCAAATTCTGATGCATTCTAGTTTTTAAGACGGAAAACACTGAACGGGCTCTTTCTCTTCTCTCCTCAATCACATTCTTGATTTTCTTTGCCGAATGAATTCGCTCTTATTCATTTCGCCAGACATTCAGAAATCACACCTTCAGACATTCGAATCAAATTTAATCGCAATGATTCAATCTAGATCCACTCCAGTCCAGCTCGACCCTCCCTCTGCAATTTTCATCCGCGAAGTCGACTCTCACCGTTGTTTGTCCGTCATCTGGATTTCTTTCTAATCAGAACACGCAGGCACAACTCGGAGTAACAAGGCCCTCTTCCGTTTTCTCTTTCTTTCTAAACTTATAGCATCACCTCACAGAATCGCTTTTAAGGCTCCGATTTCAAAAGAATGCACGAGCAGTTGATAGTCGCTTCAATCACATTCCTGGTGGGTCGTTTAGACATTTTATTAAAGATCATTGAGATGGATGCTTCAGATAACATTGTTCGGAACGGCGGCCAATCTACTAGTATTCCTGGCGGCTCGAAAAATGAGCTCTATGAATAGTTCTTTTGGAGTGATCACCAAGAATCAAGCAGTTTGTAACACAATTATGTGCCTCATATTCCTGTTATACGTGTGTCCGATGCAATTAAGGTTTCTGCTCATTCGCATGATATCATTCACATTTACCGACGGTTTCAGCGATGCCAAGGGCCTAGTGCAGTTCTCTCACTTTCTCGGTCTCGCCGCGATGACCGTCTACGAAGTGTCCAATCAGTCGCATCTGCTCATTGCTCTCAACCGATTCTGCGCCGTCTTTATGCGTTCCCACTACGAGAAGCTGTTCAGTGAATTCGGAACAAAAGTGCTGAGGAACATTATTTGGATAATATCAACAATCATGTGTGTCATCCTTTACGAAATCATCGGATGTCACTTCGAATACGACGATGTCTCGTGGTCGCTCGCCTTTGTTGCCACGCCCGAGTGCGCGAATCTCACTTGGTATTCCGATTTCACCTTCAACACTTCTCTCGTCGTTCTAACTCTTTTAATCAATCTCTTGACGGCCTACAAAGCGGGAAGGGACAGCCGAATGCTGATGAACGCGGCGGGGATGAAGATGTCGAAAAGGCAAAGACAACGGGAACTGAACTTTGTCAAGCAGACATTCTCCCAAGGAACCACAATATTCGCCGGACAGATCACTTACTACGTGATTGCTCCTCTCTTCACAGACCAGATTCTACTCTTTTTCATTGGCACGTTATGGGCGTACATGCATGCGGCCGAAGGGTAAAACATCTAATGAAACCTATAGAAACCCGAAAGGTTCATTTTTCAGTGGAATCATACTGGCGTCGAACGAGGAGATGCGAACGTTTGCATTCAAAAAAAGAAAAAGTTGGTCGGATTCTGACGGAGGTGTTCCTGTATTCTGAATGGTTTCAGAGTCCAACACGTCCGTCTTCGTTTCCAGCGTTTCCATCGGATGACCTCATCGCTTTCACCTAGCTCAAAATAAAGTTTTCAAATACTCAACTTTGTTATAGCTGTTCGATATTTGTTTTGCCGTTCTGAACTATTTATCTTTAGATTCCCATCCTCAATAAGTAGTCCTCAGGAATCGTACACTTTCTAGGAATACACACGAAGTAGAGCTTTACATGTTTTTGAGCAGGACCTTGTTCTTTTCTGTAATTTCTCATACGGTATTCCGGAAGCTTCAAGTTCCGATGGCGGAGAATGGCTAAGGATCTAATAGTAAGGAAAACATAATGAAAAACACGCAGCAGCAAAGAGTGATTCAAAATTTGCAAGAAAAACACACAGTGATTATTGGTTCTCGAATTTCGACTTTCGCATTATGAATTATGAGTTCTGATTCAATTCCCTTCCCTTTTTGTGTGTTTTCTTTCCGTGCTCGGTGAGAATTATTTGTCAGAATCTTAGTCAGCGGGAGTAGAAGGTGATGACGTTTTGCCTCATCCTGACCTCGAGCTTAGGACCACAACCAACGGGACCACAACCATCGGGACCACATCTACCAGGAGCACATCATCGGGGATCAAAAACGTCAACAACTGATCGGCCTGTCTATTTGTCCGGTTAGAAAGTGCATTTGTGCCGTGCTCCATCGGAATCCTCTGCAATTGGTCTTCTTTTTCTGCTCGACCCTGCGCCTCCGATCGCTCAGTCCTTCTTCCGCCTTTCTCATTGATTCCCTGGCGGTTCCCGATGCCTTTATCAGTATGATATTCTTTGGTTACGTTGGGACGATGATTGTATTGTGAGTTATCGCTGAAACGGTGCTTCATCTAATGTTAAATGTACAGTGACGTGGAGATAATGAAAGAGAACTCTTCTGTGGCCGGCTACCTTCTCATGGCCTTCTTCGATGCCGAGATGCAAGTGCAAACAATCATCTCCCTCAACCGATTCTTCACTGTTTTCACTCCGTTTCTGTACAGAAGCATATTCGAGCATGTCGCAGTCAACCGTGCAGTTCCTTATACCAATTTCAGTTTTCCCCATCACAAAGATCTACCTTACCTTCTTTCTGACTACCTTTCCCTGGGGATCACTTTCTACTGTTGACGGGTATTTGATTTGCAAAGTAAACGCGATATGACGAGTGCTTTCACTTTCAGACTGGCTGATCTGGTTTACAACTCTGAAATCCGTGCAGGACAGTAGTATGTTCATATTTATTGTCATTTAGGAAGTTAGAAATGCTTTATCTGTCAAAATGGAGATTTCCACAATAGAATATTATTTGCAAACACTGAACCAGCTTAACGCTTTTCCCAGGAGTCCTTCAGCTGATCAAAGTACTTGTTCGTCGCATCGCTGCTCCGCATCTCTATCCCGAATGTGTCCCTCAACGGAGGCAAACTCTTCTTTCGATGAGACTTCAAACAGCCCAGCCTCTGTTTGAATGCATTCTTCTGAACTCGCCACTTCTGACAGAAACAGGTCATGATTTGTGGAAGCGTGAAGCTGTACGCAAAGACACTCGCGTCGAGAATCAGTGAGCAGACGGCTTGTAGTTCTGGAGACACGTCGAAACTCGAGAAGAGCATGCTGAGAATGAGCACTGCGTTCATGAGACCCATGTACATAATAATGATGTTGAGCATCTGGAATTAAGCAAATTTTAGGGGGGAACAGAGATTGATTCCTACATGTAAAGAGTTGATATTCTCAGAGATCTGGAATCGTTTCGCCAGTGAGTATTGTCCTTTTCTCTGGCATCCGACGCATTGGATTTTGTGACACTCGTTAAACTTCCGTGTATTCCAGAAACGCAAAAAGCAATTCAACTGAAATCAAATTGGTCTTCTTTTATTCTTTATAGTCCGGGCCCACCGAAAGAGCAATGCCATTGATAGCAATCAGACCACATACCACAAAGCATGTGTACGCTTCTGAAAAACAAAGGCAAGAATGAATTAAATGAGCATCAACTCACTATTCTGAAGAATAAACGTTCCGCACAATCCGATGGCATTCAGTAGAAACACTAGTACGTAGGAGAGGTATCTTCTCTGATTCGTTTCGTAATCCTTTAGATGAAACGTGGCAAAACAACGTTCGATAATGAAAAACGGAAGAGAGCACATGGCAAACACAATACAGAACACGGAGCAGTTCATGGCCCAAAAGAAGATTGGATTGGAAGAAGGATCCGAGTCTGAATAATGCTTTCATTTCAGAGTTTTCAAGGTTTTTAGACACCATCGGAATGGCCGACAACCCATTGAACCCTGATCACGAGCATCGCGATGTTATCCACTAAATGAATGATGTACTGTGTCCCAGAGATCAAGTTGAAATTGAAATGAAACTGGGATGCGGAGAACAGAACCCAGATGTAAAACATGATATTAAGTGTACTGAAAAACGTGCATCTCTTCTTCCTCATTAATTTTCTTGACCTACTCGAACAGGTACATGAGAGTCTCTGCGTAGAGGAACGCAGTCAGCTCGCGAAAAAGATAATCAGTCGTTCGGAAGTGCGAAACGTTGTAATAGTGAATGAGCAACATTGCAGGGAATGAAGAGTGGCTGAATGACGAAAACAATCGGGAGAAATGAGAAAGCGAAGAAACGGGCGCCGTTTGTGAGTCTTTTTCCCATAAGATGATGCTGGATACGAGAGGGATGGATAGGTTCATTCAGGGGAAACAACGAAATGGAAACAAGTGGGAAGAAGGTTCATTGTAGTCAGTCGTCCTGAAACTTCATTCACTTTGGAAGCGACTTTTTTAAGACTTCTCTTATACTTTGTTTGATTCACAATATTGAGAAGAGGAGGCCTGACACTAAAAAACCTCAGCACCAAGTTCCTGTTATTTGTTGTCAGAACGTGCTACTCCTAATGATTTCCGAATAATTTCCTTCTATTACTCTGCGTGAGAAAACTTCCGCACTGAATCACAGTCACTCCAATCTCAAGCACAGACCTCAGATCGTGCGAGTCTCTCACACACAACCACGTAACGATCCGCTATGTTTTCTATTTCTGGCACTACTAGTAGCATTGAGTATGGTGCTGGTATCCTTCCTTGAATCAATATCCGATCAAGCCAACGCTGAAAGCAGACAGCTAATTGTTTTCATAAAGTTCGAACTAATGTAGATGTTATTTCCAACAGATCGCACAACTGGAAAAGACCAATGTGATGTAGCTAATTGACTATGTGTGATACATGTTTAATGGATGTACTGTAGTACCAGTACCGTACATCTGCCCTATTTGAAATTTTTGCGGATTGAGCGGAGCGGATAAATGAAAGTAAACTATGATTATTTATATGAAGATCGAATGAAAAAATACATTGAATGATTGACAAGAAATGCGTACCCACAATATCTAATCTAAATGTACATACATTACAACTTATCAGAAAGTAAGATCCTCTTAAAATCATCGTGCAATCGCACATTATACAACTCGCACATCTGAATTTCCTCCTCAAACTTTTTGTCGGCCTTTTCGATCAAGTTCAGATTCTCCACAGTGTCGAAGAACCGTCGTTCCGAGTGATTCTGATCCGTTTGATATCCTCTTAACTCCCGAAGCACAATGTTTCGGAGCTTTCGACAATGCTCAGCGCATTCCTCGCTCAAGTTCGTGTACGCTGAAATTAGGAATAAGATCAGGAAGATTAGAGACATTACCAAAGTCGAAAAGTACAAGAAGCAGTTGGGCAATGGACTCCATTTTGTCATTCTTTTGCTGATAGATGGGCAGGATGATCTTTCCGTAATAAAAGTGCCAGAAAGGTGCGAATATTCTGACTATCTCATCTCCGGATATTTTATTCTTTTCCGGCATTGATCCGCGGTAGAAGTTGGTGAGGAATTCGACGTTCTCCTGGCTGTTTTCGAGGTACTCCCACGGTTCTTTGAACCACCAAAAGTTGAACGGAGACGAGCACTCAATGAGGAAGAACTTGCACATGAAGTTGGACAAAAGGGACTCCTAAACGAATCAAAGTTACCGAAACTTCAAACGTGCCTACCTTATCAGGCACCATCAATGTTCTCAGAACAGGAAACAGTTCCTCGACTGCATCCCAGACAATCAGCGCATCATCTTTGGTTCGACACGAGATTTCGTAGAAAGTCATGTTCCTCGCATTCTCTCCGTACAATTCCCTTCTCTTCGCATTAATATTGCTCCATTTCAATACGGTTTCCTCAAGTTTCCAGCACTCTCGACTGACTACGCGACACTAAACAATCAGATTACTGAGAAATCAGCTGAAACTTAAGATTGGGTACATCTAAAAGAGAAGAAGAAGTTGACTGAATCCCAAGTTTCTTTACCAACTGATGATTCCTTTCTCTCGATGGTTGCACTTCTGAATTTCGGCTCTTCTCGAGCTTATTTGGCAACTTTTGTTATTCAACTCACTGTCTTTTTCGAGACCAGCAGCCTCACACTTCAACATTCGGCAGTGACGGCACGGATGGGAAGTCGTCGCGCGGGCGTCGCAAGTGCACAAGATGTACCGTTTCGGAGAGTGGACGAACCGACGGAAAAAGGCAGCGCAAGCTCTAAAAATGGAGAATCTCATCTGCTTGTGGGCATGGAAACCTGCACGAGAAACCTCCAAAATGAAACTCGGCTTTATCAGAACCACACACTTTACAGAGCATTCTGAAAATAAAGCAATCAGAGCTTGGCATTCTTTTGATCGATGAAAAAGGTGCAAAAAAGGGGGCGGCCGTTGAGAAAATAAGCAGCGGAACAGAAACTTTCCAGCGGCCAAAAAACCGAGTGAAGATCATAGAATCAGACGGACAAACAAGTTTATTTTGTTTCTCTCTCTCTCTCCCATTTCCCGATAACGCCCTCCTCATTTGCATTTGTTTGCCTGATTTGAAAAAATAGAGACCCAGATGAAAATATAATGTAACTTGGCACGTATTATACATATTTACAACTTTTTCACTTGAACGATCGCCTTGAAATCATCGCTCATGTGTACATTATTCAGTCCGCAAATGAGCACTTCCTCCTGGAATTTCTGCTCCGCTTTCTCGAGCAGCATGAGGGTGTCCAGAACGTCGATGAAGCGCATTTCCGAGCAGTTATTGTCGGTTTGATACCCTTTCAGTTCTCGCAGTATCACTTTTCGAATGCTTCGGCACACTCGGGCACAGTCCTCACTGATGTTCGTATAAGCTGAACGATGAACACTTTTAGTATTTCAAACAGACTCTTCCTGTTACCCTCATCGAAAAGCAGCAGAAGGAATAGGGCCATGAACTCTACTTTGTCGCATTTCTTTCGATAAATCGGATCCGCAATCTCCGCGTAATGAAAGTCCCAATAGGGTCCGAAAATGCGAACCAACTCCTTATTATCAATACGCTGCTCCTCTGACATCGACGATCCGTAGAAGTTGGCCATCATTTCATAGTAGGCGTCGGATCCGACAAAAATGGAAAAGAACTCGTAGTTGACGGAGTAATCGATCGAGGATTCCATCATCGTCCATCTCGGATAGAAATTGCTGATGATCGCCTGCTTATCAGATGGATCCAGCTCGACTATCGAAGGGAATACAATTTCACTGAAATTCCATAGGAGCGAAGTGTCCGATTTGGCAAGATGTGTGATCTGCGTGAAGTTCAACTTGAATATATTGTCTCCGAATAACATCTTCCGCTGTTTGTCCAGGTCGACCCAATTGGCTACGGTAGAAGAAATGTTCGAGCATGTACGAGGAATGATGTTGCACTGAAAAAGAAGTGATTCTGGTTTTATGATTCGAGAGAGGATGAATACTCACAGATAATAGAGAAAGGATAGTTGTGCTTCCAGGTCTGACCACCTTTTTATCGTTCCGTTCCCTCATTCCTTGAACTTCTGCAAGTAGGTGACGAAGAATGGTTTTCAAGATGTTCGAAAGATCTCACTGCACTTAATCATCCCGATCGCAAGGCATTTGATCATCCGACAATGCCTACATGGATGTGAATTCTCCGCCAATCTCCTTCTGGTGCACGTGCACGTGATGCTCAACTTCCGCGAGTGCACATACCTCCGGAAGAACGCCGCGCACGCCCTGAACAACACGAATTTCTTCGAGAACACCGCTTCACCAACCTACAGCAATTTCCTCCAAAGTGCGGCTCGGCTCCTTTTGCCCCGCACACCTGACACGTCATCTGAGGGCAAAAAGAGAGAGTGGGACAACGAAACGTTTTTGTTGAAGCTAGAGAAGTGTGCGCTGGCGAGAACCAGTGAAACAGAGAGAAAAGCGAGAGAAAGACGGAAACAGAATGCTTTATTCGCATGTCAAAAGTGTGAGAGCTGTTAGTACTTTTCCCACATTATCATGTTCCTCATATCCTCGTCTATTTCCACTTGATATATTCCGGCTAATTGCATTTCCTCTTGACACATGTGCTCGGCTCTCTGAATCTTCTAAATCATTTTTTGTCGTATGGAAAACCCAAATTACCTCAATCAAATTGATAGTGTCCAACGTTTCGAAGAATCTGCTGCCGGAGCTTTCGGTCTCCTCGAAAAAGGCGTTCAACTCTCGGCAGATGATCTTCCGCATTGCGTGGCAAACCTCGGCGAGAGATTCGCTCAAGTTGGTGTAGCCTGAAGTCAGAAACGAAAAGGTGTGCTTGATCTGTCGGCAAAGAGCGTGGAGGGATCGAACGACCGTATATCTCTGTCGGGCCTTTCCCGCCACACACACTGTCCCTCCCGATGGTGTCCCCGATCAGTAGGGGTGCACAGAGTGCAAACATTTAAAAGGCGGCAGATTCCACTCACCCGCATCCCATAACAAAAGTCCGAACAGAGCCATGTTCTCCAGATTTCCAAAACCGAGCTTTGCCACCGGCTGTATCACATGTTGAATGTGAAAGTTCCAGTATGGTTGGAAGATCCTGAACATGAGACAATTATATCGTCCTATCTTGTGACGTCTTCTGAATACCTCAGAACATCCGTCTCACTCAACGCGTCTTTCTGTTTCAAACAATCCAGATAGAACCTCTCGACCGACACCGCCGACGCTCCGGAAGGCGAGAAAAACTTCTGCTGGTCTTTGTTTTTGACACAGAACATTACCATTTCGAGAATACTCCACTTTGTGTAGAAGTTGTAAAACAGGATTTTCTGAAAACAAGGAACGGGCGGTAAACAATGGGACAAGGAATCGATCGAACCTTGTCGTGTCTGTTCAACTGATCGAATTCGGGAAACGTCATCTCGCACAGTTTCCATAGCAACTTGGCGTCCGTCTTCACTTCCAGCGAGAGTTCGTAGAAGTTCACTCCGCCTGCAGTGCTCTCCGCTTTCATTTTGAATATCGCATTCCGCGTCTTCTCCAAATTCTCGTAGTTCTTCGCGGCATTGCAAATTCTTTCCACGTTCCGTAACCTGATACCAATCTAAGGAAGCAAAGAGTTTGTTTTGATGAAAGTGGAAGGAAATAGACCTCGATTCGGGGTAGTTCCGGAGCAGAAGAGCCCTCCATAATCATAATTTTCCGTTTTCGGGATGGATTGTTGCTGTCGCGCGGTCCTTGAACTTCTGCAATTTGCAAAGACTGAAACGAAGTGTAGAAGTAGAGAACGTACTGCTCTGCTCCATTCCAACAGAAACGCACTTTTTCATTCGGCACAGACGGCATGAGTATTGACTTTCTGGAAACAAGAAGATGTAATTGGAGAAGCAAACGGAACTAGGCATCTCTAAAAGTCGAATAGTAAGTCATTATTTCTCCGATATCATCATTTCCCATTCACCTCTTTTGGCGAAACAATTGCACAAAATGGTCGCCTTCTTTGTATTCACGTAACGTCTGAAAAAAGCGGCACAGGCGCGGCACACAGTTGCTCCGAAGTGATATTGAGCGGTTGTCGCATCACAAACCATACAATTCGACATCTTGTTGTTTTTCTTATTGGGGGAACGCCTGAAAACAACTGTAGTCGGCCGAATGGGCAAAATTTGTGGGAGCGCGATGACACGACCGACCGACCGGTTGAGTTAATTCGAGTGTGACTGCATGTGTGGTGTCTGACCGATTCGTCTGTTTTCTTTTGAACTAACGGGCGAATAAAAAGTTATGATTCTGTTCTATTGATCATATTTGACGGTGACTGTCTTCAACTTTTGCCAAAGCTTTTGTACCGTAACTAAAAGTTTCTCAGAATTGAGTGCAAACGTGGAATTACGCTCGAATGGATGAATACACTTTCAAATTTTAACCTCAAAAGTTGACTGTATGGAATGGCATAGAATGTGCTGTCAGTGCCGCTAAAAGGTTTATGCGCATAAATAATTCTGGAATGGGTACTTTAACTTTTGTTGAAGTCTATTAAAGTCACATGAACGCGTAATTCGTTCACGTGACTGCCACGTCATAAGTAGATGAAGAAGTGGAGGAAAGATTGACGATCGGCGGCCAAGTACATCCCTTCGATCATTTACTTCTCCCCTTCTCCTCCTCCTCCAATTTCTCCCCTCCCATCACACTTCTCTCCTCCTCGTTTTCTCTCGCTCTCGCTTCGCATTCACTTCGACCATTCTTCAACTTCTCAAACAAAAGCTTACGTGCATGTTTTTGACTGAAAACTTTTTGAGATAACGAATAAGTGATGAGTTGATTGAAAACGGCGCAAAAGTGACCGAAATGTAGTCTGTATGTGACTTCAAATCGATATATTTCGACTAGAGAGAGAGACACACACACACACATGTTATCGGCCCGAAAGAAACACTCTTTTCTTATTTGCCCTTCGCTCCCCGTCTTTCCGTGAACATGAAACAGTCTCCGAACCGAACCATTCACCCGTACTTTATAGATGACTCGCCAGGCGTCCCCCCAAACCTGCCTCATCTGCGGCGACTCTGCCGACTCCCTTCACTTCGGTGCCCTCTCCTGCAGGTATCCCCTCTTTTCCCGTCTTCTTTTCTCTCACTCGATCCTTTTAGAGCCTGTGCCGCATTCTTCCGTCGCAAAGTGGCCGGCCGCAAGAACATCTACCGACGGTGCGATCGTCAGTGTAAAGTAGACACCGGAATGAGAAAACTGTGTGCGAGCTGCCGCTTCGATAAATGCCTGAAATCGGGAATGCGCGAGTCCGCAGTGCTCTCACGACTCGCCCAGAAGAACCAGAACTACAAGAAGCCCGTGAGCTCTCCAGAATGCGAACCGTCCACTTCGGAGCCGACCAGTGTGCTCGAAAGACTTCAGAGCGCCTACACAAATCTGGAAAGCGCACGGAAGAAGGCGTTCAAGATACAGGTACGGTCCAATTGATCGGTTGGTTAAACAAGTTGGCTATAGGATGGTCATATCCCGCAACTTTGCAACTACAGACAAATGAATGATGTCTTCTTTCTCGATATGAAATTAGTCATCGAGAACCTGGTCGATTTGTTCCAAAAAGATTCTAAAATCAGCAAAGAGCAGCAGGTAAACATATCTTTCCTATCACTATTCAAACTAGTTTCCAGAAACTCCTGCTCGTTCATTTTCTGGTGCCTTACATATTATTAGAGAGCGGGTACAAATCTTCAAGTAAGTCAGAACCAAGTGAGCTCATTCGACTGACAGTCCCTTACAGACAGTGAACTGTTCATTCTTCCCAGTGGAGACTACATTGATGAGAATAAAATCGAGGAATACTACCAGAATCCAGACGACCTGAGCGATGAGAGTGGGAAAGCGGCGGCCGAGTGAGTTGTCTGTCTAAAATGTGTCACTCAATTATCTTGCGCGTTTAGAGTCTTCAAACCGTACTGGAAACTTCACCGACAGACGTTGAAGTCGCATTTAGACGACGTGCAGTTGGATCTTCCCGAGTTTCTCTTCGTTTCCGCCTTGATATTCTGGGATTTCGGTGAGCATTTCCGCTGGAAAAGTGATGAGAACAAAGACTTCTTTAAGGGCTGCAAGACCAAACGGACGAGTGCATTGAAGTGTGCAAACGGATGAGGTCGACGATTATCGAGGAGCTGACGGACTACGAGAAGAACGTGCGCATCAACGACGATCATTCGTACCGCGTCGGACAAATCATCATTGTGCTTCAGGCGATACAGCGGACGCTGAACATGATCCACGAGACACGCGAGATCTCGCTCGTTTATAATCTGTACGAGAGGCATCACTCTATTTTTGAGGCCATGTGATTGACGTGCTGAATGAACTTTTTGCCAATGTTCAGGGCGAAAACAATCATCTTAATTGGCTCCTCAGGGAAAAGAAAAGACAAATACGACAATCTTTGAAATTGGAAATGGAGGAAAAACGAGTCGGAAAGTGAGAGTGAAAAAGGTTCATCTCAAATGGGAAACTTCTTCGTTTGCTCGAAAAGGGTTGTCGAACAGGAAAAAAGAATTCCTCATCAAAAACATCCTAATTAACTCATTCATGATACACTCACATTTCAATAGCTCTGAATCTGAATCTGAACCCCCTGTTGACATCCGTTTGTCCTTGAGGCCAGCACTTTTTGTTTTCTCTCCCGCTCTAAAACCAGTTTTGTTCTTTTTCACATTTCAAGAGCGCCATCAAGGCGTCAATTTGGGACGGAAATGAGGAAAAGGCGGAGAGAAAGAAGAAGAAGAAGAAGAAGAAGAGCATGTTTCTCTTTTCATTGACCTTTTGATATCCGTTGGGGGATCTGCGCAACATTTGAATTAGCCGGTCATCTTACGACTTGTTTCTCATCCGGAAGAGCCAGTGTCTCGGCAACTCATTTCAAATTCTGCGTGGCCAGAACTCGAAAAGCACTCGACTCGAGAAGCTTTTTCCACCCACGTGACTCTCTTGTTACTTTCTGCAATCGATTTGTAGTGAGAATCTCTTGCCGGAAAGCCGGTTCATCTGCTCTCAAACGTACTCTGCACCGAGAGAGTTCAACTTCTCCTCCTTCTTCCTTCCGTCCTTACTTGCTCATTTCTCTCCTATTGTCCTCTCCGCCTTGAATACCTTCCTCTCTTTTGAGCCTCCCCCCACACTCGCTCTAACTCCCCCGAGCCCGAGTCCCAGTCCCAGTCAGGCCACTAATTTAGCCAGTCATCCCTCGCTCCCCTCTCCGAATCATTCTTATCACACTCTTCGACTCCGTTTTTAGCTTCTCTCCCGAGCCATGGCAGAGCACATGTCGGACTGCGATGCGATGACTGAAATGGTCAGTTCTCCGTGGCTCCGACTCTCGCTCACTGTCAACCTCGCCATCACGATCGTCTCGTTCCCGGTGCTCCTGGGAGCCCTTTACTACATTAACACGCAGCGGCTGTTCCATCGGAATACGAGAATTCAGGTGCAAGTGCACATATTCGGATTGCTCATTCATTCGACTGGGAGGTAAGAGGACTGTGATTACAAGATGAGTCAAGTCTCACACTTTGTCTGTAAACGGAAGTGAGCGGAGAAGTTCTTGAAATAGTGTTAATCCTATCAACAAGATGTTTGATGTTTTCTTTTCATTTCAGAAGCGCCCTCCATTTGCTCGACCTCATTAACTACCTGAGCAACACTGGCTGCGACGCACTCCCCAACTTCTACCGATGTCTGATCACACGTGGCATCTACAACTTTGGCCTCGCACTGGCCGCAATGTGCTCCGCGAGCCTCGTCATCGAACGCTTCTTCGCGCTCCTCTACAGTTCGACGTACGAAATGTGCTCGAAAACGTTCGGAGTGCTCCTCGGGTTCGTTCAGCTCGTCCTCGCATTCGCCTTCCTCTTCAAACTCTATCTCAACGCGCCCTTCTCGCCCGACCCCGATCACGTGCTTTATTATTGCCAGACACTGGCTTCCGGCTACGGCTCCGTCTGGACAATCAACGCTCCGCTCTACGCCGTTGTGCTCGGCCAATGCGTGTGCCGGTTCGTCTTCTGGTATCTGGAAGTTGAGACGAAAGTGAGAATTAGTGAATGAATAAGAGAGGGTCGAAACGGAACTTATTCAGAAGACGAGAAGCACACAAAAGTTCCACACTCTAAGCACGCGGTATACTCTCGAGCAGGGAATTCGGTCGATCCAGGCGCTGAACATGTTCATCAACGTCAATTTCATCGTGTTCACGGTGCTCTCCTTCATCGAAACGATTCTCCACTTCAACATTTCGCGAATGCAACGGCCCACTTACTTTGCCCTCGTGGAAGTGATACATTTTCTGCCAACATACGGAATCATTCTTTCAATGTACATTTATTATTCACTGAAAAAGGTGAGCCTCTTTCGAACAGGGATATAATCCTACGGATGCGTATTCGATTCAGTTGGACAAAAAGATGAAGACATCATTGGCTCAAAGCATCCACGTGGACCCCAATGTCTATCATATCGAGTTCAGGCGACAAATCGGATGATAATCATTCTAGTGATTTATCGTTCTCCCCCCTGAGTGTATTATACGGTTTTTCTAGTCTTTTCTGTGTCACGTCATAGGTAATTTTTCGTCCAGTTCTTCAAATGAAACCATTCATATGAACATCATTATCACCATCAAAATAATTAGAATTAATGAGCAAGACGCGTTCGTGATTGTTTTGACCGAATTGCACAGGCTCGTCTCACAACAACACGTCTTTCCGTGCATCACATGGGGACTCGGTGGACAAACGACCTTCTGAAATGCATCGAACTTTTCTCAGAGGGACATATACCCGAAACTCACGCCATAATACTCCAAAGCTCTTCCGCACTCATTCCGATCGTCGCAACCGTACTTGGCCGCTCCGGCCTCATCTACGATCTTCACGCACTGTTTCTTTCCACAGCTCGTCCTCGAAATTGTCGTTTCTTTGAAGGAAGACGTTCCTGTACACGCATTTCGAGTACAGAAATGTAAAGACGATCAAAGTTACCGTGGTAGCATTCCAAGCACGTGGAAAAGTGAACAAATGCGAAAAGAATGCAGCAGATCAGAAGGAATTTCATGTTTCCACTGTCACGCTTATCACCAACGGTTCCCCCGTCAAAACACGTGTTGTAGTGATAAGTGTAAGAGCCAGAAAACATTGTTTTCAAGTATTGTGCACATCAAACTACAGTTCAACAACATCCACCGCCGATTGATCGCGAACAATCTGAATCCCACAGAACCAGTTCGCATTAGATGTGACCTCTTCATGAATATAAAACCGAATCAGCTCATTCAGTGTGATTTCACACTATTTCATTTTAAAATGTACAAACTTTTGATCGCCGGTGCCCTTTTGGCAGTTTCAGCCAATGCCGCTGCGAAATCTTTTCCGACAGGTTGTTTCTCATCTATTTCCGTCTCGAATATCCAGAAATTGCAGCGGAAGAAGCCAAGGCGGAGCTGGTAGCGGCGGGAGTTTCGGCCGAGGCGGCTGCCGGAATCGTCAGCATTGCCGAGCAGTACACGGGCAAATTCGAGCAGTCAAAGACAGACCGGGAAGCCGGAAAAGAGGTGTTCGCTCAGTTCCACACCGCAGTGGAGAAGTACATTGCGACGCGGCCATCTGACGATCAAGCCGCTTACAAAGATTTCGTCGATAAGAAAAAGGCCGAACGACAGGGAAATCATTCCACACCTAGCGTTTAATTTTACTCTGCGTGGAAAAATATAGAAGAAAAAAGGTACTTTATTATTTGCAAACATGGATTTTGAATATTTGTGGCCCTAAAGAGGGCCGTTGGGTTCGGTTGGTTGTCGTAGGGAACGAAGAGATAATCGAAATTATCCTCCGAAACCGTACAGGGTTCTTCCTTGGCGCTTCAAAGCGTAGACGACGTCCATGGCGGTGACGGTCTTTCTCTTGGCGTGCTCGCAGTAGGTGACAGCATCACGGATGACGTTCTCGAGGAACACCTTCAGGACTCCACGGGTTTCCTCATAGATGAGTCCGGAGATACGCTTGACTCCTCCTCTTCTGGCGAGACGGCGGATGGCTGGCTTCGTGATTCCTTGGATGTTGTCACGAAGGACCTTGCGATGGCGCTTGGCTCCTCCTTTTCCGAGGCCTTTTCCTCCCTTTCCACGTCCGGACATTGTTGCGGCAATTGATGAAGACTCACAAGTGAGATGAGAACGAAAGTGTTCTGTCAGCTTATATACCCTCCGCCCGCAATCTAAGGTGCAAGGGGCGGAGTCAACTTGAACCCCTCTGCGGGGACACCTCTTGGTTCCGCCTGCTGCGCGCATGTGTCCCCGCAGGGTGGTAGCGACGAGTACAAAATGAGGGCGTGACCTTCATTTGTTCACAGTCCAACCTACGTCGGATTTCAATCGATATGGCTCGTACCAAGCAAACCGCGCGCAAGTCGACAGGAGGAAAGGCTCCGAGAAAGCAGCTGGCCACGAAGGCCGCTCGCAAGTCGGCCCCAGCCGCCGGAGGAGTCAAGAAGCCCCACCGTTACCGCCCGGGAACCGTCGCTCTCCGTGAGATCAGACGTTACCAGAAGTCCACCGAGCTCCTCATTCGCAAGCTGCCATTCCAGCGTCTTGTCCGTGAGATCGCCCAGGACTTCAAGACGGATCTCCGCTTCCAGTCGTCCGCCGTCATGGCCCTCCAGGAGTCTGCTGAGGCTTACCTCGTTGGACTTTTCGAGGACACCAACTTGTGCGCCATTCACGCCAAGCGAGTCACCATCATGCCAAAGGACATCCAACTGGCCAGACGTATCCGAGGAGAACGTGCGTAGATTCCTAGTTCACTAGGTTTTGAGCCGTTTCGAATCACAACTCACCGAACCCAACGGCCCTCTTTAGGGCCACACATTTCAAAATCCACGATCTGGTTTCAATAAAACTTGTTTTCTTTGTTTTTTCTTATTCAGGTGCCTATAGGTGAATTCAGCGAGCTCATTGGGAGTCAACAATCGTGTTGCTGACTTGTACCGTTAAAAAAGTCAGCATTTTGTGAGGGCGAACTGCCGTCTTTGTCGTTTCAATTGCGTTATCACTGTTATCAGGGCGACCCGCGTTTAGAGCCTAAATTGGAATTTGTCGCTCTTTCAAAATTGACGTCAGACGAATCGTGCTTGAAAAGAGGTGTCTGGCAACAGAAAAAGTTCAACAGCTACATTCTCGGAACAAGAACAGAAGATATCTAACGAAATAATTCTTATTAATAACGGCCACAATTCTAAATTCTCGAAAAACGGCCCGGCTTTTCATATATGGTTTAGAAGGGATTGGCAAATGGGTTTGTTTGTGGAAGAGTTCCGCGCGGCGCCATCTTTGAAATCGGAGGAGCTTGGCCCTGAGCTGCCCTCATCTCGTTCAAGGTCGGCGACTTTCTCTGTTGAGCAGCAAACGGATTGAGGGCCGGAGTGGCTCCAGTCAGGAATGGATTGCCACCTAAACGTGAAATTTATGAACACTTGAAGAGGTATTTATTATTATTATTATTATACCTGTCTGGCTAGTAGTTGATCCTCCCAGCAAATTATCCAAGTTCACAAAATTAGAGTTCTCGCCCAAAAAATTTTCCGGAGTCTTTCTGGTTCCGTTCAACAAGCCCAAGTCAGTAGACAAAGAGTTGTCAGGTGCCAGCAACTGGAAAAGAACACTCATATAGCAAGGCTAAACTTATTTGCTCACGTCTCCGCCAAGAAGGGACATGGAAGTTCCATTCGGGGCAATAGCGCTCGTCTGAGCAGGGGTGTCCCAGGCCTCAAATGGATCCGAGTTGAGGAGGACTGTGCGGCCTCGGTCGCGGGTCTTCGTATTCCGCATCTGTAAGGGTTTCATTGTTTTTGACCGAGATGCCGAACTGATCAACTACCCAGGGATGCGTCCCCGTGGTGCTGACGACTGCGTCGACTTTCAGCTCCAACAGCGACCGGGTTGTTCTGTTTGAATTTGTTTCTTGTCAGGATGAAGCGCGTGCGTTCGTTCTTCAGACGTTCGTCATCGGATAGCAGCGAAGTGATTTGCTTCGCCTTCTCGCGAATATTCAGGCCCTGGTCTCGGTTATCCTCCACGTGTTGGAAGTCTTTCAGAGTTTCGATGATGAACACGTTTTCGCGGCATTACTGAGCGACCTGCAACGTAAAATTTGTTTGTACTATCTTTTGCAAATGTATGCTTCTCGATGTGTCGATTTCAACAACATGAGTCAGCTCTCTCACACTTTTCACAGATCCCGTTTCAAAATCAATAATCAATAAAAAACGGTCCCCACGGATCGTTGCTTGTCGCCTCACGAACTTTGACCTACGCGCCCGAAAAGTTGTACGCCACATTTTTGACTTGACGGCGAATCGTTGAAATCGACATCTTGGCGCAACCCCCTGCGGGGACACCTCCGTCACCATGCGCGCTCGCCGAATGAAAGCACCTTGGTGTGCGGCCGCTTGACTCCGCCCCCTCACCGCGGACAGTGTATGAAACGAAGCCAGGGCACGACCTCCTCAGATCGTTTCTACATCTACCAACAACCAATCGACACCATGTCTGGACGCGGAAAGGGAGGAAAAGCGAAGACCGGAGGAAAGGCCAAATCTCGCTCGTCGAGAGCCGGACTCCAATTCCCGGTCGGACGTCTCCATCGTCTTCTTCGCAAAGGAAACTACGCTCAACGTGTTGGAGCCGGAGCGCCTGTCTATTTGGCAGCTGTTCTCGAATATCTCGCCGCCGAAGTGCTCGAGTTGGCCGGAAACGCCGCCCGCGATAACAAGAAGACCCGTATCGCCCCAAGACATCTTCAACTCGCTGTCCGCAATGACGAGGAGCTCAACAAGCTGTTGGCTGGAGTGACCATCGCTCAAGGAGGAGTTCTTCCAAACATCCAGGCCGTTCTTCTGCCAAAGAAGACTGCCGGAGACAAGGAATAAGAACCCTTCTGAAAACTTACCGAACCCAACGGCCCTCTTTAGGGCCACAAGTCCTGGAATCCATTTTTCTTTCCGTTCAATAAAGTATTCGTTTGTTAAATAAAACAGTTTCAAATGAGTTGTTCATTTGTGATTTCAGAAATACCGAAAGTCATCTACATATTTCATGCGCTGGAGGAAGTGGAATTGTGGTGACCCTTGTGCTCGGCTTGCTTCTTTTCGAGGAAGGCGGCGTAGGCGGTCTGATCGGCAGAAGACTGGGTCTTGATGTACGTGTCGGACTCGGCCTTCACCTCCTCGTAAATCTTCTTGTGGGCGTCCTTGTCTCCCTTGGCGGCCTCGAATTGGCTCTTGTACTTCTCTCCAATGGCGATGAGCCCGGCGGCGGCTTCAGAAGAGACTCCGGCTGCGATCAACTCGGCCTGGATCTCATCGGCAGTCGGGTGAGCGAAGGCGGCAACGGCCAGGAGGGCGACGGTGACGAAAAGTTTGCACATGACGATGATAATTGGGGAAAGTCGGAAGTGACGATGATCTTTTGTCAGCCGACGCCGCCATTAAATATGGTTCAATCGGATTGATCGATGACAGATTCGGACTGGTTTACCGAAAAAGAATCAACGGCAATTTCGTGCGGAAAGTGCGAGATCGCACTCATCCGTGTAACCGGGAACATGAGTCGGGGGATCAATGAGTCACTGAAAACTTTAAATGTACAAAACTTTGGTTGAATATTTTGTCAATGTAATGGATGTGTGTGTGTGTGAATGGGGGCGGCGAATCGTCGCAAAACTCTGTGTGTGTAGTCCAATTTGATCAATCGGATGAGTGCCGATTTGTCCGTAAATCCCCGTTTGTGTTTTGTACCAACCCACTAATCACTGGTACGTGTCTCCCGATCGCGTATATAAGTGCCTCTCCGCTCGTATTCCCTCATTCCCATTTCAAAATGTGCAAACTCTTCGTCGCCGTCGCCCTCCTCGCCGTTGCCGTCTACGCGCAGCCAACCCCTCCAACCGGTAAGCACCACACATTTGCAACTACCTAAATCCATAATTTACTTGATTATTTCAGTGGAGCAGATGGAAGCCAAGCTCGTTGAGGCCGGAATTTCGAGCACGGCCGCCGCCGGACTCGTCGCCATCGGAGAGAAGTACAAGTCGCAGCTCGAAGCCGCCAAGGGAGACCACGAGGCCGGAAAGAAGGTGTTCGACGAGATCAAGGCCGAGACCGATACGTACATCAAGACACAGTCCTCTGCCGATCAGACCGCCTACGCCGCTTTCGTCGAGAAGGCCCGTGCCGAGCATGAAGCTCACAAGGCCTCCGCCACCGCCCCTAGCGCCTAAATACTGGTTCCCGTTTTGAATAAATGTCAAATTGAGACCTCACATATTTCTTTCTGTTTTCATTCAACAACTTTCCCCGAGAAGCAAGAAACCTCCGCTGGTTTCCACTTCATTTAGTGTCGAAGTTTATACAACCACAAACAAATATTGTCCAACTTACTGTCTTGAAGAGTTTGTTATTTCGATCTCTACGGCGAACATTTTCGAAATTTATTTGAATTTACCGCCTGTAAGGAATACGGAGCAACGTGGTCACTGTACCGGAATTCGTCAATGTGGCCTCGGGTTTCTAGTTCGTCTACGGTTGAGCACGGGATTCTAGCAGGTACATTAATGCAAACGCGCTCTACGTTTTTCAGTTGGCTGAAATTCAAACTTTTACTTTCTATGTACTTCTCGCTAGACTTCATGAAGAGCCTCCGTAGAAATAATAAATATGTAGTTGTTTTAGACGATTCATTTATTAAAAAACTTCAGTAAATTGACAAGTGACAATTGTAAAGCGGGAGTCTCCTCCAGAAATTAGTGAGTTGGGGTAGTGTGGTGAGCCTCGAACTCGGCCTTCTTCTTCTCGACGAAAGCGGCATAGGCGGTCTGATCGGAAGAGGACTGGGTCTTGATGTAGGCGTCGGTGTCGCTCTTGATCTTCTCGAAGATGCTCTTCGCGCTGTCCTTGTCTCCCTTGGCGGACTCAAGTTCGCTCTTGTACTTCTCTCCGATTTCCACGACTCCGGCAGCGGCGGTCGACGAAAGCCCGGCGGCGACGAGCTCCGCCTGCATCTCCTCGGCTGAAAGGCAACTAGTTCCGGTGCTCGAATGTGATTCTTTACTCACAGGTTGGTGGCGTTGGAGGATTGGCGTAGACGGCGACGGCGATGAGGGCGACGAGGGCGACGAAGAGCTTGCACATGATCTGGAATGATGGAAAGTTGAAAACAGCTGGCAAGGGGACTGCTGATGTTTTTTTCGCTGTTCTAATGCTCGCTTTTATACAGTCTGCGGCAGTAGGCATTTCGGTTCAGGGGCGGGTCCGTGACTGGTTTCTCATTTACTCGAATCGGCAGAAAAAAAATAGTGCGCGTCCCGAGGCGCGGTAATTATCCATGGCACAAAAACAGACAAACGGTTAGGTATTTTGATGTCTGTTTATCCGCCAGTTTTGGGATTTTGATAGATGACGTTTCAGATTTGCAGAAGTGGGAAGGCGTGGAAGAGGGTTCTGGCAACTGCGCGCTCTACCGCCTTTGGAGCTTCACCGCTAAGAAAAAGCGTTTTGAAGACTGCGGGACTCTTCCCGGATCTTCGGACCTCTTGTGTTCTCTCTGCAATCTATTCTAATGCAAGATTACTCCGATGTCTTCCAAATGACCTTGCCGGTCTCCTCCGCTGCCGTTCTTTTAAGAGTTCAGCATCACCGAACGTGTCGGCCACAGATCACCCTCAATAACCGAACCGGGAGCCACCGGGGGATCACCCTTTCCGCCGGCAGTTACTCGCTCGAACTGATCCGGTTTGGCCGTCATAACACATCCGAATTATCTCCGTCGTTGTTTTTATTTTTTATTTTTCATCATTTTTCGAAAGAGTTCTCATCGTCACCGATCGATTCCTGATCGACCAAACTGGGACTCGTTACGGGAAATTGTGAGTTGAATGGGATGAGGATAAAATGGGGATATGAAGGGGGAATTCTGGAAAAAAAGATGCTCATCAAGCTGCTCGTTCTTCTTATTTTCTTCCAATTGACTGTTTCACAAGAGGACATGTCTCGAGAAGACGTAAAGAAAGCCTTGGTCACTGAGGGAGTTTCAGTGTCAGGAGCTGCCTCAGTCTCTGATTTCTTGTTCAAGGTGATCTCCTTTGCTCTTATTTCACACACATTTCCTTCAGGATCGTCCGGAAGATTTGAACGCGGAGGAGCTGAGAATCGAGTTTCGGCAGTTTCTCGCTAGTTTGACACGAGAAGACCAGTCGGCCATCAAGAAATCATCATGAACGAGCTGGAGCATTTCTTCTCCGACGCGGATTCTTTTGAATCCATTTTCATAGTCTGACAAGCATAATTTCAACTAAATAAAACAATTTTCAACTCGGAGAGAGGGACTTGCATTCAGAATGATCCACAGCTCGGCTTCTTAAAAGTAGAATTCAAAGTTCAACTTCTACAGACTAAATGTTTCACGTGAAGCAGAAATCAGCAAATAATGAGGTTTCAAGTGTCTTTGAAAACGTTTTTTCTGGAAGACCACCGTATCCATGGACCGATCTGATCCTCGAGAATGTATCACTTGTTGTTGATCTTTCCGGAAAACCAGAACAGATAACCTATAAACTCGGAATGGCGGTTATCAATACATCGGAATCATCCCTTTTCAGTATAAATTCCCGGGCGGAAGTGTGAAATTCAACCGAATCCAAAATGTTCAAGTTCCTTACCCTCTTCGCTGTTCTGGCTGCTCTGGCCATTGCTCAACAGCCAAATCGTAAGAAGCACTCCCCTTAACTCTTCCATTCGATTCCTTTTCAGCCGAGCAAATGAAATCAGAATTGACTGCTGCTGGAGTTTCTGCTTCTGGAGTATCGACCATTTCTGCTTTCATGGAGAGCCACAAGCCAGGGAACGGTGCGAATCATGAGCAAGGAAAGTCGCAGTTTGACGCGATGCTCGCCACTTTGTCCGAATCGGATCGCAGCGCTTTCCAGAAGGTGATGGAGAGCAAGCACCCGAAAGGGGGTCCTAAACATTGATGCGATTTGTATTAGAGAATGAATAAATCATGGCGTTTTTGAAACAAATCAATATAGAACATGTGTGAGTAAATTTCAAATCGGTCATGACTGCCGCGCAACTGGTCTTCCTGCCGGCTCAGCGAATCGGGGTTCTGCGGGAGGGGCAGCGGAAAGAGCAGTGGGAGGGGTGGCGGTGGAAGTAGATGGTTCCGACGCTTTCGGCTCATCTTCTTCTTCCTCTTCTTTTTCCAGAGCTTCGTCCTGTGGCATTTCTTCGAACAGTTGATTCAGAAGCATCAGAGTGCGAGTCTTCTGGAAGTTCGTACTTCTCTCCTCTGGTTTCTCTTCCTCGTCTTCTTTCTGAAAATACAATGTTTTTGCAGGAACAGTGACATTATTCGAACCTTGTCCTCTTCCCTTTTTTTCACGTTCGATTTCCCTTTGAACTCCCAATAATACCCTTTCGCCGTGTTGTACCGAGAATAGTTGGTCACCTCCTGAAACGCATTGCGAAGTGGTTCAAGTGCTCCGAGCAGTCGGGACTGAATGAGGCTGAACATGTCGGGAGCCTGATGAACACTTCCATTGATCACGTAGAAATACGAGATGGGACTGACTGGAAAATGAAAATTTTTGATGATTTCGAGTGGCCCACTTACCGTTGGTGATGTTGTTGCGTCTCTGTTTGCAAATGATGAAGAGGGGCGGCTGTGAATACCAGAGCACGTACTGAATTCCCTGCATCGTCCGCAGACACTCTTCCACCGTCCGGTTCGTGATGTTCTGCATCCGAATCTGCTGATTGCACGAGTTCATTTCGTAGAAGGCGTTCGCCTGATTGCAGAAATAATCCAGAACATTGTCCTTGTTGATGAAGTTGGGCGGCCATTGTGGATTCCGGAAGGACACGTGCAGTGGATTCTCTCTCGGGGGTCCCATGCGGGGCATCATCTTGACTATCTGAAAAAGGCTTAGATAGGTGAAGTACCCGACAAATCCGACAAATAAGTATTGGTATTCATGGTACAAACCACATTTACAAGACTGGAAAATGGTTTTTTACAGAATAATTTATGTAAAACCACGGGAAAGAGACGATTGTATAAATAATGTGTGCGGATGGGAGAGGGTGAGAGACGACCGTATTCAGCGCTTCATCTTGGAGTCGAAGTTGAGGTAATCCGATGGGAAAATTGACTCGTCGCGGTTGAGCAGCATGTCGAAGTGAAGACGGGACGACTGGAAAACTCCGTCCGGTCCGCGGTTGATTTGCGCCGCCGAGTTAAGCTCACTGAAAAACAGAACCTATAAAGTTCAGAATCGACTAGACTTACAGCAGACGCTGCTCAGCCTGCGCGTTTCCGACGAGAAGCCGTTGCGCGTTCAAGTAGTTCTCAATCTTCGGATTCATTCTGGAACCCTCCATGAGCAACTCGTGGGCGACAACGTTGTTTGGCTGAAATTAACGGAATATTCGGCGTGTCTGTCAAAAACGGAGAAATACCATTTTCGGAGCGTCTGTGACTTTCTTCTCGACAGCTGGCATCTGCTTGAAGAGCTCCTGCTGCTCAGAAAAGCCGTCACGCAGCAAATCGTCCTCGCGAGCCTTCGACAGTTTCAGGAGAGCCATCTGTAACGAAAAATCCACAGTAAATAAGAGTTATGCGATAATTTGTTGAACGGGGACGATATCAGTAAAAACAGAGCAATTTTTAAAGTAAAAATCACTTCGAAAGGATGCGGAAAGACAGAGAAACAAGCAGTTTCGATGGAGTTTTCAAAAAATCATCATTTATTGGGGGTCAACTCTTTGCTGGCGTGTTTCACGATATCGAGAAACGCGCTAATGACGTCACGATTCCACATGACTCCGCTCCGCTTTTTTGGCTTCTAAACCGGTTTCCGCTTGATTTCTTCATCTTTCTTTGTCTCAAGAGTTACCCAAATAGTTTAGGTACTGAATAAAATCAATATATATAAATTACGAGTCGAAAGAAAATCAATAGCCAGCTTTGACACGTTACCCTCGTTGCTTTCCCTCCCACGGTGAATTCAATTCACATTTTTTGCAGAAACATGGGTGCTTTACTAGCAGCTCCAGCATGCGCAGCCTCGGTGAGTCTCGTTCCTCCTTCAGAATGTATCGAATGATCAATTTTCAGATGGCATGCTGCTTCGGAAGCGCCGCGTGCTCCCTGTGCTGCAATGTCTGCCCCACTACTAAAAGCTCGACGACAACTCGGATCATGTACGCGTTAATGCTCTTCGTGAGCACGTTCGTCTCATGTATAATGCTGCTGCCAGGAATTCAGAACAAATTAGCAGAGGTCAGTCACTGCAGCTGAAACTTATACGATTCCCGGAGTGTTTTTAGAACAAATGGTTTTGTGAAGGCTTGAACGAGTATGCAGGCATAAGTTGTGCACACGCCACTGGCTTCCAAGCAGTTTACCGTGTCTGTGCTGCCACCGCCTCATTCTTCTTGCTCTTTATGCTCATTATGATCGGGGTAAAGGACTCGAAAGACGGTCGTTCTTCGATTCAAAATGGCTTCTGGGCGTTCAAATACCTGCTCCTCATCGGTCTTTGCGTCGGATTCTTCTTCATTCGCAGTGAGAGCCTTGCCACTCGTAAGTGTCCAATCTTTAAAGCAATCACTGTCAGCACAAATTATATTTCAGCGCTCATGTATCTTGGATTAATTGGCGGATTCCTGTTCATCCTTATCCAGCTCATTCTGATCGTGGATTTCGCTCACGGAGTTGCAGATTCTTGGGTGGCAGCTTACGAAGAGGACGACTCTCGTTACTGTTATGCCGGTCTGCTCGGAATCACCTTTGGAGGATACGCCCTTTCCGTCGTTGCCGTCATCCTGATGATTGTCTTCTACACTACCGGAGAAGGATGCGGACTTCCTCGCTTCTTCATAATTTTCAACACCTTGCTCTGCATCGGTCTCACTGCTATTTCGCTATCGCCTGCTGTTCAGGAGCGGTCTCCTCGTTCCGGACTTATTCAGTCGGTCATGATCACTGGATACGTCGTTTATCTGACATGGGCCGCCCTGATCAACAACCCAGATAAGCAGTGTAATCCTTCGCTCATCAGCATCTTCACTGGAAACAGCACTGATCCATCGCACAAAGGAGGAGAACACTACGGAATTCCGTTGCCGGCCCAATCAATCGTCTCGCTGTTCCTCTGGTTCGCCTGCCTTCTTTACGCTTCGATTCGCAACTCATCGAACACTTCGCTGGGCAGAATCACCGGAGGAGGAGAATCCTCCAATGAGGCTATTCAACTAAGTTCGTCTATGAATGGTGGTTCGTGCATGATCATTTCCTTCCCGTTCTGTTATTGTCCAGTTTTCCATTTGTCTTTTGTCGTTTGTCCTTCTTCAGTATTTAATTCCAACAAAATTTTTGCTATTTTCAGCTGATGACACCGAGTCGCAGAGTTCCCGTCGCGTCTATGACAACGAGGAGGATGGTGTCGCTTACTCGTACAGCTTCTTCCACTTCATGTTCGCCCTTGCTTCTCTCTACGTAATGATGACTCTGACTTCGTGGTATAAGTGAGTATTTATCTTCGTATTAATTTTCCAAATGTGAAATTTCAGGCCTGACAATGATCTGTCTCATCTGAACTCGAACATGGCGTCGGTTTGGGTGAAGATCGTGTCCTCGTGGATCTGTGTCGCACTTTACTGCTGGACCCTGATAGCTCCACTCGTGTTCCCAGACAGAGAGTTCTAAACCCGCTCATCAAATGTTTGCTTATATCTTTGTTCCCCGTGCATCAGATTCTCGTCAATTTTACTTATTCAAAAAAATGTAAATATCGCGAATTTGCCATAGCTGTACATTGCTAAACGTTCCGTCTCCGACCGCAACCCTACTTCACTTCGTATATAATAAACCTTTTTCTTTAACTATCGTCAACCTCATGTTTCCGACTTACCTGTTTTAAACGGGATATTGTTATCTATTTGCTTATTGTCGTGTTATCTTCATTCTAATAAAATTCAGGTCGCCATGGATATCTCCAAGATGGACAAGTACGCTTCCCCAGTTCACTTCTCGAGCTTCCCGGTTCTGACCATCTTCCTCGGCGGACTTGGACTCCTCCTGCTCGCCGTCTTCACCATGATCCAGGTACAATATATTTCCTTACCGATTATCTTCTAATAATTTATTTTGCAGGTCACCTCAACTAAGTACAACCGCAACATTCTGAAGGAGGTGATCGTTGCTGCCCTCTCGTCGCTCTTCCTCGGCTTCGGATCGGTCTTTCTGCTCCTCTGGGTGGGAATTTACGTCTAAGCTCACACGAACGGAACGGAACAACTTTTTGGAATGGATGAATGTGATAATTTATATAGATCCAAATGTTTTTTACTTCAAACACTAATTTATTCTTATGGTTATAGCTTTTTGTTGAACACCGGGGGTCAAAATTCCGATCGTTTTATTTATTTGCCAAAGAATATAAAGTATCTACTGGGACCCGTTACTATAGAACAGAATGTGCGGATGGGATAGGAAAAAGGAAAAAAAACCCGATAAAAGAGAAAAGAGGTGATAATACTGAAACGGAAAGAAATGAGGAGAATAGATGGTAACGATTAGGAGGTTTCAGAAGTTTTGCAGAATTCCTGACACTCCAAACGATTGTTGAATTGATTTTGGTTTCCGCCGCACTTTTGAACTCCGAAAGGATAACACTCCTGGGTTGCCACGTCGAAGTAGTATCTGGTGAGAAGGTCCATTTCGGACGAGTTGGCAGAGGTGTCGCATAGGGCCGAATCTGCAAAAACGTTGAAATTTCTAGTCGGACTTATCAGTCTTATAATTTCGTGTACACTTAGAGTCGAATAGAATCCCTTCGCCCAGAGAGCCTTCCCGAGATCAGGTCTCATTCTGATCTTTGTCTGATCACAAGACAGTACCTGGAGGCAGATAACAAATGCTCGGATAAGTGACTGGCGAGGCGAAAACAGGCGGGTCCGGCCATCTCGATTTGGCCTCGGAAGCGGCGAAGAGAAGTAGAAGAAGCGAGATCAGGAGCATCTGGAAACGGATCATCAGTGAGGACAAGAAGAAGAAGAACATGGGAGAGACAGGGGATGAGCCGGTTGTGATTGCGGAAACAGAAAGAAGGGCAAATAATCAGGACGGGAGGAGGGAAGGGTGATTTCTGATATATGTCGCACAGGGGAGACTATGTTTTGTGCTTGTTTCCGGGCAAAAGAGCAACGATTGGGAAGTTGCGGGGAACGATTGGAATTCGATCGAAAGGCAACTGGTTCTACTGGTTAGCACACAGTTTCGCCTTCGAAATGTTTTGCTCCGCGCGACGGCGTAAATGTGTCAACACGAGAGCAAAGAATCATCTCTCAAGTTGTTTCGGGAATCGATTTTACCTGAACACGAGGAGGAGATGAGGTTAGTCAGTTGTGGAAGGACCGCCCGTCCATATATATAATTATCGTATTATTGTGTATTTTTCGGGGGCGACGACAACCGCACAAAAGTAGGTTAGGAGGCGGTAATTTGTGGAGAAGTACCGTTCGGCAGAAGAGGGAAACCGAGATGCAAACACATGTGTTTATCAGCGAGGAGAAGGTTTTTGAACATCAATGAAGCCAATCAAGACAAGATCTCGTCACGATGCGCGGTGTGACTTGAAAGAAGAAGAAGGAGAGAGAGAAAGGTACCTGATTGACTGCATTGTAATAATATTGCCATTAGTTAGAAGGCAAGAAATTGATAGCTATGACGAGGAGGAGGAGGAAGAGGTCGATTCCAGTTTCGAGAAAGAAAGGTTCGCGCTGACACACCGTACAAACAACCGAATACGTGGAAAACTTTTGAAACAAGCGCCCAACCGAGACAATGTCGTCTCGAGTTGAGTTCAAAGTTCCTCTGAACTTTCTCTTCTCAAACTGGTCGACTTCTTCCGGAAAGGCGGCAGTGACCCCGGAATGACGGAATGAGAATTGAAATGGGAAAGGTGTTTTTGAAGGCGAGAACAAGTTTTCGCGCCTTCTTTACCCCTCCCATTTTTGGCCGTGTTGAAAAATTGGGCTAATAAAAATGGCTTAGTTTGAGGGGAAGGCGTCCTTTCGATTACACCACACGTCCGTTACGTCTTGAAATCCGACAGACGACTAAAGTAGCTGGTTTTTTCGGTGCGGGCGCTTTCTTTTCGGTGATGGAAGTAGTGAATTTGAGCGAAGGGGAAGGGAGTCGAAAGGAGAGGAAGAGGCTAATCGAATTAGTCATCCATTATTCCGAATGGGGGGTACCAGGTCCCTTTTAGTGGGGGCGAAGACTGTAGAAATGGGAAAGAGTCACATCAAAAAGACATAAAAACAAGTGTTCTCGCGGATGAAAATCGCGGGAAAGTTGCAAAAAGGCGACACGGAGAGGCGGTCATCGGACGGGAGAAAGTGTCCGGTCCAGATCCACATGAACATCAATAATAATAACAATAATAGGCGCGCGCCTGGACGGAGGTGAAAGTACAAATTGGATGCGAAAAAAGGCGGACGGGCGGTCAAACACATGTTCGATTGAATGGCTCGTTGGCCGGATACCGTCCGTCCGCGCGGATGCCTCCGGTTATCTGATCCGAAAAGGACACGTCACAGAGGGCGATCCCACTGACTTTTCGCTTTGATTTCATTTCAATCTACTGAAAGAGAAGAAGAGGAGAAGCCCTTCTAATCTTCGGATGGATCGAAAAAAGGATTGAGAAGAACGAAGAAGAAGTAGAAGAAGGAAAAGGATAATGGGAATGTTTGGTTGGTTGGTTGACGAAGCGGATAATTGTCAACTGGTTGGTCAGCAAGGTTTCCTAATTGAAATTGTGGGCAAAAAAAAAACACTTATTCGCAGTGTCGGGAACTCGATCGGAAGTTGCACCCGGCCACCACCCGACTGTTTGCGCTTCGTATTCCGCGAGCTGGCCAGCTTTCTTCTCTCTTACCCCATCAAAGCAGCATTGTTATGTGTGTTTTCCTCAGCATTTGTTCATGTTCTTTACGGATTATCATTAGCCGCAGAGATTTTATGAGGGCGATAAGTGCTGGGACAAAAAGATCGCACTTTCCATGGCGCGTGGGTGAAAACCACGAATCCTAACCATGCAGCCAAGTTAGAAGTCCTAGTACCATGCTAAATCTTTTTGGGTGTAATCTACAAACTTAGTACTTTATTTTTCTAGATGACACTTTTTTGTACCACTTCTCCTAAGACATCAAGATCGTATTTGGTATACTTTCAAAAGAACAGAGTTCAAAAAGAGAAAAAGAGAGAGAGAGGTGAGAAGTGGTTTCACACGGATCGGCGGCCGAGTGAGCCCTCACTTGACACGGGAGAGCACGGTTTGATTGGCGAGAAGGAGCCGCAGCCGCCGCCGCCGCCGCCCCGGAGCGAATAAATACGGGGGGAACGAGGTACGTTTAGGTGCGTCTATACGGTCTGAACTCGGGGGTACAAAAGAGAGAAAGGGAGAATGAATCAATGGGTGATGACCAAGTGGGAGTATTATATGCATCCGGAAGAAGAAGAAGAAGAAGAAGGGAGTGGCCAGCACACGCACACTTCTCCCAACTGAAATACTCTAATTGTAGCCCGAAGGGACGGCGAAAAATCTGGAAAAACAAACAAAACGGGTAAGGAAGGAGGTGAGGAGTTTCGTCCTTCGCCTCGCTTATTACTGCAATTATAGACGGCAGGGCAGGGCAGGGCGGGTCGAGTTCGACATCAAATGGCAGCTCCCGGAGCCATTGTCCTCCCGGTTCCTTTTGTTCGCTTGCCCCCCGTTTCCCTGGGCGAAGGAATTTTTGAATAGAAGACTGAAATGGGCAACGTCGTGGAAACACAACGAGTAAATTGCATTTGGCACCGGAAAAGGGACACCGAGTGACCACTTTGGAATCAGTTTCAAACCACAAAAGTTTCGGGTTCGGAAGACGCAAAGTTTTCACGGCCCGGGCTTGTCTAGGCTTGGTCTTCCGGCCCAATATTCCGATCGAGCGGAACCAATGTTTGCAGGCTTCCTAGGCGTGGTTAGGAGTGGAAGCCTGGGATTTTCGGCTCCTTGCTCCTATTGTAAACTATGTTTATCTAATCGGCCTGTAATTTTGAAGGTGAATACTCCGAACCAAGACTGAAAATCGTAGGACCCGTTCGAAACACTGCAAATGGGCCAAAAGACTTCTGGCCCTTTGTTATTCGTGTTTCCAGATGCATTCCCCCATTCGCTTTTCTCTCCTTTCCAACCCAAATCTTTCTGTTTTATCACCCATTCCTTTTTTCTTCCATTTCATTGGAATTGGCGCAAAAGCTAAAAGAAATGAAAGATTTCGAAGGGCGGAGAGGCGACACATTCCCGCACGTGTTTACCCGTCAATCCTTCCCCATCTTGCTCCTTTTCCTTCTTCTTCTTCTTCTTCTACTTTTGCTCCTTCCCTTTCCCATCTGTGAGCTCTTCTTCTTCAGTTTGTTGCCACGTCACCATCCGCCGCCCGTTTTATCTTCGCTCTCGTAGCCAGTCAGAAACTCACTTACACACTGCTCACTCCATTATTATGATTGTCATTATTTGAGGGGATTTCTGCTCGTCTGCTCCGGCGGCTTCTTCTTCTCCTCCTCCTTCTACTTCTTCTCTTCCTTCTGCACACGGCTTTCCACTTTCACACGTGAGGACACTCCGACTAATGAAATTAGACGGCGACGGCGGCGAGGAAGGCCCCCAAGGTGACTGATGTCCTTATGATATTCCCGCTGGACGAGCGCGCGTCCCTTCTTAAAGTGTTCCCGTCGAAAGTGGTGGGATGTCACAGGTAAGCTGGCGAGGATGGAGTCATCGAGTTACGCGCATGGCTGCTTTCCGCTGAGCAGTCGGATTCTCGTCATAACAGCACGAATGACATGCAGATTAGCTACTTGTCAATGATCTTAGCTTCTCAAGATATCACACGTTTTGATTTAAAACTTGAACTATGTGGAATCTCATGTTTCTGGCAAGTTCCTAGACTAGAAAGTGCTCATAAATAGGCTTTGCTCGAATAGACAATTTCACGTCACTTCCGTCTGTCTAGCGCCATCTTGAGAACAAGAAAAAACAACAAGACGCGTCCTTTTTGTGTCTCAATGCGCTCATCAGGTAGGTCATAGAGCGGTCGTCTTTCTGAAAACAAACGAAGGTAATCATCGGAGGCGGCGGCTCACTCCCGTCTTCTTCTCATTAAATTTAACGACGCCGTCCTTTCGTCGTTTTTCTTTTTCCAGAGAAGCCATATTGTTTCCATATTGTTGTTTCTCCCGCTTTACCAAACGGCGTGAAAGCATTCTTTCGTGGCGTGCTGTCTAATTGGATTGTTTGGTTTTGAAACGAAACGGCTTGAGAGAAGAAGTGTCGGGTTCCGTGGCCGTCGGTTCGTGTGACGGCGCTGTACTCTGATGATGACGAGCCGTCGTCGCATACCAATTCGAGCCCGTGGTCCCTCTGCGTCAGTTCATAAAAGCCCAAAAACACTCCATAACAATGCCCGATCGTCCTTTCGCTCTTGTCCTTTTGCGTCCAATATTAGAGAGAAAAGGACATCAATTTCCATATATTTCCAATGAATAAATTGGCCTCTCGTTTAGATACCTCCTCCTTCTCACTTCCAAAATGGTGCGTCCGATCGTTCTGCTGCTCCTTCTCGTAGCTCTCGCTTCTGCCTCCTACTCCCGTTTCGGAAGCAATAAAGCGACGAAGTTAGTGGCTCATTTGAGTGACGTCATCACAAGGTTTTCTATTTCAGACTCGAAGAGAGTCACCCGAGCATCAACGACCAAATGATGCAAGGATCTCAGATCCGCTACTATGGTCGGTTCAGGTAAACAACACTCAATTTGAAACGGCAATCAATTCAATCGATTCTTTTGCAGAGACGGCTCGGACGACGTTCTGAATCGTTACTTCAATCGTCTGTAATCACTCGCATCCCCTCGAACCAATCAAAGAAACAAATCATTTGTGACGACGACCGACTCAAGCTGAAAATAATCTCATTTCCACCCCAACCCACTCCGCTTCATTTCATTTCTTTCTCTGTCCCCAATAAACGATGACACAAACTATATTTGTCGAAAACAGTCCGAAACTGTGACTGATAACGAGCAGTTGATAAGAGCGTTTCGAAGCGAGCGAGCTCGCCATTGGTCTTCCATTTCACTGTTTGCGAGATGACGGTCAACAGACCGCTTCTGCTTCTTTTATTCCTTCTCGTTTCGGTAAGTGTTCCCCCAGAGGTGGACCCTAGAAGTCAGCGATTAATCGGACGACAGTACATAGTACAAAGTAGAGAGTTGATCCTAAAGAGCGCCTAGCTCAAATCTGCGATCCAACAAACTTCTGGGACCAGACTATGCTCCCGACTTTTGGGATCAGAGTATAATCCCGGCCGGCTGAATGTTCAGTCCATGTGTCATATATTGACAATATGGGAGAAATGAGGTCTTGTCTGAGTATCAGAAGTGGAATTGCATCATTGTTGTTCGGCTGGCGGTGCTCTTCCGATTGTAGGCTAGACTAATTGGCTTGCCTTGACATTTCTTGGTAAATAGGATTCACTTGCTGGGCGAGTAGGCTTTAATCAGCTCACCCGAAGGATTTGTTTAGACAATCGGGAACATCAAGCATTAAGATACCCAAATACTTGCCATTCAAGGCCATACAACTTTGCTGCTAGTGGAGATAAAAACGACGTCATCTAATGAATTTCTCATTAAAACATGTATTGACCTCTTCTTGGTACCTCTGAAAATAGCTGACACTGTTCGGAATGGAGGCAGTGTTTAGCAGCCAAACACCGAACTCTTGATCTTGCCTTGATCTTCGCGACCTGTACCAGCCAGCCCATAAAACAAAATTCTTATCAATTGCGGTCTTATCAATTTAAATCCGATTTCAATGAAAGACAAGACATAAGCGTGTACTTTCAGGTTTCATTGGCCGGTAACCATCACCGTCATCATCACAGGTAACACACACTTTCGTGTTTACGACTTACACCTCATTCTGTTGTGATAACATGGAAGCATCTGGAAAAGAGGAAAGAGGGTACAAAGTACGTTTCAGACACCGAAGAGACAATGATCTGCACAATTGGCTGACGGCCGAACAGAAGGCGGCGCTGAAGGATGTTCCTCAGGGAACTGCCGAGTTCAAGAAGAAAGTGGGAGTGTACTACAACCAGTTGTCGGCTGAGAATAGGGCCGAATGGGACAAGTTCTACAAGACTCACTGCTTCGAGTGGACTGCCAAAGTGCAGAATGAGGCGGAAGAGACCGAGTTCCAGAAGAATCTGGCTGAAAACAATGCGGAGAAAGTGAAGGGGAGAGTGGGAGAGCTCAAAGGAAAACTGGGCGAGGACGCGAAGAAGAACGTCGAGATGTGGGAGGTATGAGAGAAAATGAAAAGAATGAAAAGCAGTTGAACGCTTTTAGGAGGACTGCTACAAACTGTTGAAGCCCAAGCGAATGAGAAGAGAAATCGAGCCAGCGTTCCAAGATTTCGTGAAATGGATGACTCCGGAGCAAATCGCAGACATCACAGCTCTGAAGACTTCTGGAAAGGATAGCGAGGTACAGGCCAAGGTCAAAGAGTTCTTTGGACAATTGCCCACTGACAGACAAGCCGCTCTGAGAGAGGAGTTCAAGGGAAAGTGCAGAACTTACTTCACTCCCCTCATGACGGCTGACGAGCTCGAGAAGATCAAGACACTGAAAGCCGATAAGGCGGCCGCCGGGGCATTAGTGAAGACTGTTGTCAGCAGACAAACTGGAGACATCAAAACTATCGCGGAGAAGATGCTCACGGTAAGGCGTGTACACCAGAGTTAAAAAAAATCAGGTAATATTTAGATTTGTGATGAAGTCTACAAAGAGACTGCCCGCGCGCGCAGAGCAATTGATGCTCAATTCCAAGACTTTGTGAAGTGGATGACCCCGGAGCAACTCGGAGAGATAACTGCTTTGAAGGCTGCTGGAAAGGAGCCGGCCGCATTGCACGCAAAGACCAAGGAGTTCTTCGGACAACTGCCCGCCGACAGACAGGCCGCTCTGACAGAGGAGTTCAAGGGAAAGTGTAGAACTTACTTCACTCCACTGATGACCGCTTCCGAACAGGAAAAGATCGGAACTCTGAAGGGAGACAAGCAGGCGGCCTCCGCTCTTATCAAGACTGTTGTCGACAGACAAGACGGAGAGGTTAAGTCTATTGCCGAGAAGATGTACGGAGTGAGTTTGATGGGCATGGAGAGCATGAAGAAATGGGAAAGTTTCAGATCTGCGGAGAAGTGTACAAGGAGTCGAGCCGCAGCCGAAGAGCAATCGAGCCTGCCTTCCAAGACTTCGTTAAATGGATGACTCCTGAGCAATTGGGAGACATTACAGCTCTGAAGTCTGCCGGAAAGGACAGTGAGGTGCACACGAAGGTCAAGGAGTTCTTTGCTCTTCTTCCCAAGGAGCAGCAAGCTTCGTTGAAGGAAGAGTTCAAGGGAAAGTGCAAGACATACTTCACGCCGCTCATGACTTCTGCTGAAATTGAGAAGATCGAGACGTTGAAGGCCGACAAAGAAGGAGCCGGAGCCCTTGTGAAGGCCGTCGTGGACCGCCAAACCGGAGAAGTCAAGACTATTGCCGAGAAGATGCTCGGAGTTCGTTGTGCTTTCCTTTCTTTCCTCAACTCACACTTTCCAGGTCTGCGGAGAGGTTTACAAAGAGTCGAGCAGAAAGCGCAGAGAGATCGAAGCCGCTTTCCAGGACTTTGTGAAATGGATGACTCCGGAGCAACTGGGAGAGATCACGTCCCTCAAGGCCGCCGGAAAGTCTGCCGCCGAGCTGCAGACAAAGACCAAGGAGTTCTTCGCTCTCCTTCCATCTGAGAAGCAGGCTTCTCTGAAAGAGGAGTTCAAGGGAAAGTGCAAAACCTATTTCACTCCTCTTATGACTTCTGCCGAACTCGAGAAGATCAAGACGTTGAAGGCCGACAAGGAAGCCGCCGGAGCTCTGATAAAGGAAGTTGTTGACAGACAAATCGGAGATGTGAAGGCCGTTTCGGAGAAAATGCTCGGAGTGAGACCACAATTATTTTCTTGTTTCACCTGTATTAACATTGTAGGTTTGCGGAGAAGTGTACAAGGATTCGAGCCGAAGACGCAGAGAAATCGAGTCAGCGTTCCAAGACTTTGTGAAATGGATGACCCCGGAGCAACTCGGAGAGATAACTGCTCTGAAGGCTGCTGGAAAGGAGCCGGCCGCATTGCACGCAAAGACCAAGGAGTTCTTCGGACAACTGCCCGCCGACAGACAAACCGCTCTGAGAGAGGAGTTTAAGGGAAAGTGCAAGACATACTTCTCGCCTCTGATGACCAGCGACGAGTCTGAAAAGATCAAGGGACTGGTCGGAACTGGAGACAAGGACGCAGCCAGATCTCTTATCAAGGGAGTCGTGGACCGGCAAACTGGCGAAGTAAAAAGTATTGCCGAGAAAATGTTCGGAGTGAGTCGACTGTTCTGAGTCCCTCAGCACGTCTTTAATGTTTCAGATCTGCGGAGAGGTGTTCAAGGAGTCAAAGTCGAAACGTGACGTGGCCGCGAAGATCGAGAAGCACTTGGGATGGCTTCAGCCAGCTGAGAAGGAAGAGATCCTCCAGATGACCAAGGACGGAAAGAGCAAGGAGGAGATCAAGAAGCGACTTCTCGAGATCGTCGATGCCAAGGAGAAGGACGCCGGCGAGAAGATGAAGGCGGTGAAGCTGTGCTACGCGTGGATGGACGAAGTGGCCACGAAGGAGGAGGTGGAGAGTCTGCACAAGCTGCACCACGTGGATCACGGAGCCTGCAAGAAGAAGGTGCGCGAGTTCATCGGAAGGTTGCCCGAGGAGAAGCAGCAGGCCGTCGAGGCTTCCCTACCGTTCTGTGAGAAGCTCTGGTACGGAGGTCACGGAGATCACGAAGGACACGAAGGACACGGGGATCATTCGGCACACCATCATCACAGAAGAAGACGTCATTTGGCGGTCGTCGAGAAGTACCTCACGTGGCTCGATGAGACTCAGAAGAACGATATCGAGCAGTTGGAGGCATCCGGGGCCGAGTTCAACGTCATCTCCGACAAGATCAAGGAGTACTTCGAGAAGCTTCCGGCCGAGCAGCAGACAACGATCAAGGATCAATTCCAGCATCAGTGCATGATCTGGGCGAAGGAGGTGTCGAAGCCGCTCGAGTGGGATGATATCAAAAAGTTCCACGCCGCGCAGGACTGGAAGGCTCTCAAGGGGAAGCTCGTGGAGCTCGAGGGGCGGCTCACTGAGAATCAGAAGCACACGATCGAGCACGTGAGAGGAGTGTGCTACAGACTGTGGGGAATCAAGGAGGTGGCCAGAAGACGTCGCGTCGTGCCGGTCTCCTTCGAGGACAGGATGATTTCGCAGCAGGTTGCCGCCCATCTCGCCAATTCTCTGTAACTAGAAAACGTTTATCTAATACACATATGAGAATGCCGATTTAATATTGTATAAAATAAATTCACTCAAAAAAAAAGACTAATTAGTCGAATTATTATTACACAGAAGGGAGCGAGTACGCTCAGAGAGTACTAAAATTGCAAAGAAAACCCGGGAAAAAGGCGAGATAAAACAGATGAATATATTAAAATGTACACATGGAATGGATGGATCGCGGGTCGTTGACAGTGACTAGAAGGTGCTTTGTGTCTGAAGACGGCCTATCATTAGAAAATTTGAGATCTGGAACTCACCCTTTTCTTTCCATACTCTTTGGGCCGCCACTGCAATGCATTCGGATTAATGCGCGTCTTCTTCTTCGCCTTTTCTATTCTCTCCTCGTAGACTCGCCGCTTGTCGTCGCTTATCACAATAACGTACTGTCCCTTGTAGTACTTGCACAGCTCGAGCTGCTGCAGAGTGGAGACGACGTCTTCCCTCTTGATCGAAGTGCTCATCGAAATGTCGTGCACGGTTATTTCCTCGCCCGGATGACGTCGTTTGAATGTGAACAGCTCTTTCATGATGGCCATAGACCAATAGGAACGGTAGGAAAGGAGGCCGAGATCGGAGAGCGGTTTTTCCGGCGAACCTGTCTTTTGCTCAATCTTCGAGAGCTCGTAGCTGAATTCTATGAGGAGACTTCCGTATCCTTTCTTCTGGAACGGCGGCAGAACCAGAATGCATGCCACGTTGTACTCCTCTGCGGATTCCTTCTCCTTCGAGAAGTACCCGACAATGTGATGGCCTTTCTCATCTTCCTCTGTGAGCACGTAGAACAGGAACGGATCGGTGTCGTAGTAGAGGGTCTTGTGATCCAAGAAGAGCTTGGCCAAGAGGCAGAGATTCTGCGCATAGCTCTTGTTCTTTCGGCCGTCAATTTCGAAGAAAGACAGTTTGTCGTAACTGTATATCTGATTTCCAGGTGGATGACAGAGAGCGCACTTCTCCTAAAAACAGTTATTCTGACACAAATTTTTAAGCAAAAAAGCATACCATATGTCGTTTCAAGCATGTTTTTGATTTCAGATACTTGAGGCAGAACTCGCAAATGTATATGCAGTCGAGACTTGTCAATTGCTGGGGATAGGGCGAGAAGTACCACGGTTGAATGCGCGACCGTCCCAGCTCGATGCATTCGATGTTCCTGATGCGTGTCATCGCGTCTTCGCTGTGACCCACCATCGACATGGATCCTCGCAGACTTGGCGTTCCGTTCGCAGCAGGCACCGGCTGCGACGACTCTCCGGGCTCCGTCTTGATGTCCTCCATTACCAACAATGGTATTTTGCGCTTCCGGCCGCTCTTCTTAGCTTCAACTTCGTTGGCGTCTCGACTAAAACAGTTTTGTATTGTATTCAGCCGCCGAACGAGCGAATGACTCACTTTTCATCTCTCAAGTGTGCTCCTTTCTTCCCTCCCTTTTGCGGCATTTTCAATGTGGAAACATTGAGTCGATCGAGGTCTGTCACCCATTCGTCAAGCCTTCTGTTGCAATCGACGTAGTGCACATAGAATTTCATGGACCCATTCAACTGCCGGCCTCTTTGTAGCACTTCGGCTTCTCCTGCAAAGGAAAAATACTATTTTCAATCAGAATAGAATAGGCGATGACTCACTCCATTCGTTCTGCGGCACCATTTTTACATGCAACCGGCACCCTTCGATCACTCTTTCTAGTATTCTCTGATCGGTTCTCGGTGCTTCGCAAAGATGCTCTTCCATTATTACTTCTTCTTTTGGCTCGGGCATGATTAAAATCTGAAATTCAAATTTATTTCATTGTGGAACCTTTTTTGGTTACGCCGTTGTTTTTTGAAGAGAAATGTCAGAATTTATGCATTCAAATTGCAAAGCTTATTTTTCTACATGTTCACAAATGTTTTTTTGCGACAAAATGAGCTGAAAATACTGCAAACATTGCGAAATAGGAGTTGAAAAAAACGAAAAAATGTGCGGACTAGAAAATCGATAGAGAAATTTAGTCCGCGGAGAGACGGCCGCCATTATTTTTCCGAAGGTCGCTACGGCGAATTTGAGAGAAAACAGGAGAGAACAGGGAAAACAGACAGGGAAAAAAGGTTTTTAAAAGAAAAATGAAAACACTTTTGAGTAGGAAACCTTTGAACTCGCCAGTGCCAGAGATCAACATGCTCACCAAACTACGAAAAGCACAAACAGATTCGATTCGAGTGCAAAATAGAGCAAAAATCATGTATCAAGGAAGTGATAAACGAGACAATGCGTGGAGGAAAGACGCAGAATAAGAAGGACGAACCGGATGAACACATCAAAACACCTGTTCGGTGGTGTTGATAAGCGAGCCTGCCTCTTGTCACTCGTCGTCTCCTGTCACTCTCCTCCTTTCCGATCACCTCCTCCGTCGTCGTCATAACATTCATTCGACCTTCTTCTTCCTTCATCGCCTTCTTTCTCTTCTCCTAACAGTAATTGATCGTTGTTTGTTTCAGGTTCGTCGTCCCTCGTGGAGACTGGCCTAGTCGGCTGCAGACAGACAAAATCATGTTCTCCCCTCTTTACTTGGCCATATTCTTGTCCCTGATCTCATTTTCCAGTCCTATCGGATCATTAATATCTGAAAAAGACTTTGTGGTGTTCCGTTCGAACCTTGTCGTTCGTCTCGACCAATGTACTTCCTGGAGGAACCGTCTACCGGCCAAAGTCTCTCGTACTTTGGACTATTTTTTGATGCACTCCAAGTTTAACGAATTCCGAGAAGCCGCAATCCATTTGGCGTCGGAAAGATTTCCAGAGAGTGTCGATTGTATCGACAAGTGCTCGGATGATATTGACAAGTTCCACGAGTATGTGAAATCGCGAGTTCCGACGATTAAAAGCAGTCTGGAGGACATTCTCGGCGACGAGCAAATCCATCAACTTTATCAACTTCTGGAGAAGACGCAACGAGCGGATTTAGTGGAGAAAGGGGTGAGACACTCTCTTTTTGAATTTATAAGAATACATGTACTACAGTTGCACCAGCACCTCCACGGAATGTCTGAAAAAAGGCGGCACGAGCTGCTCTCCGAGTTTTTCGCTTCGAAACCGGCGAGAGCGAAAAGATCCACTATCAATCGGGCGATCGCGAGGGAACCTGCTCCGTTGCCAGCAGAAATGGTGTCTTGGCAGACGCCACGTCATAAGAATGTCATTCTGAGGCAGAGAAAATCGAATGGATCCCAGTGGGATATAATGAACACGATCGGAGAGCAGTACTATCATCTGAGGAAGTCGGTCAGAGTGAAATTTGACAAGTTAGCCATACTTTTCTGAAAAGAAATCCACATTTTCTTTAGGAATTATACTGACTACTGCAGAGACAATATCCTTCCGATTATCGGAAACGACAGTTTTGCTCTGCTCGAAGACATGTATCAGGATAGTGAGCAGATTGAGCATATTTCAAACAAGTATCAGCAGATAATCGGGTACCTTAAAAGCGAAGAAGATCAGTTGACTGCAGGTCCCTTTTCCGTTATCATCCATTTCTCAAGTGTCCTCTATTTCAGAGCATTACGGCCAGTTTTGTCGTAAAATTTATCGTCTGGTTCCCATCGAACAGGCCGATCTCATGTCGTGGCTTAGTCCGGTCCAAAAGTTGAAAATCGCCGAAATGATTCAGGATGCAAATGTGAACGACTCGCAGGTGTACGAGAAGGTATTCATTGTGACGTCAGCCCTCCGATGTATCTTTTCTCAATTTGCCAGCTTTACGAGTTTTTCAATCAAGCAACTGGCGCCGCGAAAGACGATGCGGACGAGGTCATCACTCTTGGCTGTCGAAAGTTTATCGCCCATCATTTGGGAGACCAAGTGGCCGAGGTGAATGATTGAAATGCGGAGATGATGATGCACTCGACGGAGATGTCATTGCAGGACATTGAGGACTTGCGAGTGGCCGGAGGCACCGGAAGCAGCCATCATTCGGCCGCGCTTCTGTCTGTCAAGCATTACGAACTGGAAGCCGCCGGGGAACTGGCTCATCGCAAGAGAATCGAGTGAGACTGAGGGGAGGATGCAGAGGAAAGTGAGTTGTTCAGAGAGTCATTGTCGATCTGCAAACGAATCTACTTGGACTACGACGGAAGTTGCTACTGCAACGGAAGGGCAAAGTCGTGCAATCGGATGAACCACGCCTGCGAGAACTGCACGGGCGGCACACTTGGATTCCAATGCGAAAAGTGCCCGGAAGGCCGTCGTCTCGACAGAATGGGAAGGTGCTCAGATGGCCTGACACACGAGTGCTTCTGCAATAAACACTCGGTTGATTGCCTCGACGGAGTCTGCCTGAACTGCGAGAACCACTCGACCGGAGAGCACTGCGAACTGTGCGATGTTGGCTTTTACGGCGATCCGACGAAAGGAGAGAAGGGGTGCGTCAAATGCCCGTGCCCGTGAGTTACTTCCAAAGACTTCCACTACTCTAGAGTATGTTTTTAGGAAGAACGGAGAATGCTCCTACAACACAGTCACCAACACAATCGAGTGCAATGACTGTCCAAAAGGACACATTGGAGAGCGCTGCGAGGACAGTGAATCATCCTACCAGCCGTTCACAACGGAAGCTTCCACAGTCACTTTGTTGGACAATCAGTTATGAGTTTTTGTTTGTTTGTCCATGTAAATATCACGTCATGACAGCATTTGTACATTTACCAGTCAGTATCTCATTAAACATTCTTCATTCAAATATCGGTTCTCTGATCAAAGTGTACCAGTCGGTGGCTTCCGGCGAGAGTCTTCTGTAGAGACTTCCCAACAAGTCACTGCTTTTTTGCACTCCGGCCAACAGCAGCATGTTCCTCGCCCTTACCACAATCAGTTCATAAAGTAATTGACGACGGATTTGATCTGCAGAATCGGCAGTTCCTTGGGAAAGTCCGGAAAGTCCGGAGAAGAAGGAATTCGTAGAGTTACGAGCAATCAAAACATCTTTTCGTAAGATCTTGAGAGCCTCTCCGAGATGCGGGTGTTTCAGTATCTTCTGCAAATGAATGAATTGAAAATGGAACGGGAGAAACAGGTCATACTCGCTGCGGGAAGGCCGTTTTCCTAGCAGTGAGCATCTGTTCCTGGATTCTAGGGGCGGGAGAGCTTCTCACCTGCAAACAAGAGCTCCAGGAATCCGAACATACTTGGCAGGCCAGAGCCGTTTTATAGTCACTCTTGCCGGTGCTAATTAATTCAAAATGTGATACAATTGTTCTACGGTCGAACAACACAAACTTCATTTGCTAGGTGGATCTATGAGATCTTCAGAATGTAGTCACAATTACGAACAAAGTCATTTCTTCTCGAAGCGCGGTCCGTCAACCATTTTGTACCAGTCGTCGGTGTCCGTCGACAGAAATCTATAAAGGCCTCCCACTTGCAGCTCCTCTTCGAACACATCGATTCCTCTTTGAATGGACGGCAGCAGGAGCATGTTCTGCGCGAATCGGAAGCAAGAATCTTCGGAAGCGGAGCTCTTGCAGACGACATTGAGTTCCCGGAAGAGTTGCTGCCGAACTTCCTGGCAGTAATCCCTGCATTCATCCGACTGTCCATCGAGTCCGACGTCGAATAGACAGATCGCGGTGAGCAGGAGAAACTCGTGGATTGTCAGTTTCGCACTGATCACTGGGTCCACGAGAGTGTTGTGGAAATCAGTCCAGTAGGGGGTGAAGATTCTGAAGATAGTGGTCTAGAATCATAGCTTCCGAATGAAGACGTTACCTGGACACCTCATCCAAACTGCACCTGGGGGGAGTGCTCATGTGCCTCGTGTAGTATCTGCTCACTTCGTCCACAATATCTCCCGTCGGCAGGTGATACGTGTCCGGTTTTCCCAGCAAAACCGCCAAGAACGCTGGCTCGAAGACCGTCCATTTCAGGTAGAAATTCCGGAAAAGCAACTGTTGCTGTTCCGCATTCAATCGTTCAGAAAACTCGGGAAAAGTCTGATAAATCCAATTGGCCGCCAATTTCACATCTTTCCGGAAAATAGTCAAGGCTTCTGCGTGGTGCAGACTTCGAATAATCCTCCGTTTCGGTAAGGTAGTCTTTCTTAGTCTGAGCATTTCGGTAAAATGCTGATGCAGAGCCTTGAGGTGCATGCTTTGGTACTCGAAATTGGTAGAGCTCTGGAGCTCCGTCGGCAGACTGCTAACTTTCGAATAACAAAAGGGCACGATGTCCGTCGGTACAGTCTCTTCCTTCGCCTGAACCTTCTCGTTATCATGTCTGTCTCTTTTGTTTTGCACATCTGAAACCTCTTCATTCTGAATATCTCTTCTGGTTGTCTTACTAACGTGTCACTTGCATTCCCACCTCCAGACACTTTTTCATTCGACAAGCTTTGCACTGACGCACGTCTCGATTACCTTCAATGATATAAGTATGTAAAAGAAGAAAGAGAGAAAGAAAGAAGTCACGTACTTGTGATTTCACACGATTGTTTCCATTCACAGTTTACTGGAAAACGGGAAAGGACTCGACGACGGAAGAAGGCAGCGCATGCTCTGAACGTGAACTTCAGGGCACTTAGGGCATGTTTGATAGAAAATGAAGACATTTTTGAGGGCACAGATAAAGGTATTCATATTAAATGAAGACATTCTCATTGGGCAGACTTTTGATCGTGGGGTACTGTCGTTTCGGTCGTATTCATCAAAACACAAAGATCGAGAGATGAATCCGATTTCACTTGATTCGGAACGTGACTCACCTGCAGACATCCGCTCCGTAATGAGGTTCGGTCGACGGAGCGTCGCAAACCAGACATGAGTGTTCGTGATCCATTCGAGACTGAAATTGACTCCGAAACGGGAGAGAATAGTGCTATCATGAATCGATTATCGAGAGGGAAGGAGACACAGACGACGATGGTCTCGTGGTAGGTGCAAGTACTTCTATGACTTGCTATTTCAAACTTTCTGATTTAATTTTATTCATCAAAACACGAGAAAAGGCAAGAAGAGCGAGCTCAGAACAATTGTAAAATGGTTATCATAATTGCAACGATTCGTTGATGATCTGACACGCTTCGGTGTCCAAATTTTTGCATATCTCGAAGAATCCGCACATTTCCAGCTCCTCCTGATACTTTCCGAACGATTTTTGGACTGAAGCCAGAAGCATCATGATCTGGCCGAGCCGCAGACACGGATCTTCCACTTTCTTGATGTTCTTGTAGTAGAAATGGATTTCGGACACCAGCTTTTCACGCATCCCCCGACACACTTCGATTCCCTGATCGCTCAGTCCTTCTAGCCCTAAAGTGCACTTTTCTTTGAGCATATTAACAGAAAATACCCACCGGTGTCCCAGAGAATGAGTCCGGAGACGGCAAGGAACTCGAAAACATCGGGCTTCAGGAACCAGACGTCGTCGATCACGGTCCGTTTGTACTCGTTCCAATAGGGCGTGAAAAACTTGTCTGCCGTCTGTTCAGACAAGTTCTCAATGTCCAAATGACCCGTGTAGAATCTGCCGATGTCTTCTTCGTAATGATCTCCGTTCGGCAGCACCATCTCCTTTCTGCCAGTTGTCAGTCCGAGGAACGGAGGTTCTACCAGCATGTACTTGATGAAGAAGTTCAAGAACAGAAGCTTCTGCAAAACGGAACATCAGCAAAGTACAAGGAGAGAATGAGGGACCAACCTTTTCTATTTTGCCCACTTGTCCTATTTCTGGATAGGCTCCTTCCACGAAATTCGACACTAATCGCATGTCTTTCCTCAGAATCTCGATCAACTCGACCATATTCCGTGATTTCGGCGCTTCCTGATTCTGGAATTCCAGTTTGCGAACTCTTTCCAGGTTCTTGAAGTGTGCACTGAGACGGAGAAGACGTGGCATTTCCCGAGAACAACTTTGGACTTCATAGGTGAACGGACTCTGCAAACGGTTCAAACAGTTGATCGCCACGTCATTCTGCTTTGTTTCTCACCGCACTGTAACACGAACCGCCGTCCGAGTCTGCTTTATCTTCGCTGTACTTCTCGCGTGGCGGTTGAACCGCCGACGTTTTCATTCCTGCCGACACGCACTTTTCCATTCGACAGAAGCGACAAATCTTGGGATCTTCTGGAAATGATTCGGTTGGAAACGTGAAGTTGGAGATGGAACGGACTGAAGAAAATGCGGCAAGACTTGTCTTTTCTGCATTTGATCGCCGATTTCGGAGAGAGCACATAACGGCGGAAGAAGGCGGAACAAGCTCTGAAACTCAATTAGATTGCAATGGGATTACTGTCGGCGTCTGTTGTGTTTTAACCCGTTCTAACTAGATTTTGGTCTCTCTTATCACAGCAATCTGTTCATTGACCGCTGCTACAAACTACACCCGCAAGTGTCTTGTTTCGTGATCGCCTAGGAAAGTCACGTTTCGGATCTGATGTACCTGCAGATCTGTGACTTTGAACCAAAGTGACACTCGTTGGCAGGAGAACTGCAGACGTAGCACGGATTGGGCACCATCTGAATGAAAATGAATTGAAGTTTGAGGGCGAAGGAGGAGGGGCAGGAACGGAACAGAGAGTGGAAGAGAGAGAGAGAGAGAGAGAGGAAGAGGGAAGGAGAGAAACTACAAAATAGAGACGATTGATCGATAAAAAAGCACAGGAGAGAAGAGAGAGAGAGAGAGAGAGAGAGAGAGAGAGAGAGACACGTACACACGATCGGAGGGCCGCCGCCGAAATCAAAGTATGGACGATGGCGGAGAAGGAGAACACGTGAGGGCGTAAACAGAGACTGTCGGGGCGGATAGGCGCAGACGGAAGCACGAAATGATTGGGAAACGGGGAAGGGGGGGGGGCGACGTTATTAATACTACAATGTTTTGTGCTTTTTGTGATCTGACTCATCTGTGCACTCAGAGGAAGCAACGAAAGGTGATGGTTAGATGATGGAGGGATTTCTGCTGGCCGTGAAAGTGTTTCAGAACTTTTAGGTACTACCCGTGTGAAAACAAGGTCGGAAAGTGCATAGATCTGACTTTAAGAAGATCAACGGACTTCGGGATCCCGTCTAGACCTGCCGGCTGAATGCTAGAGCAATATCAATGTGAAAGGTTGTCCCATCACTTTTATAGCGACCTGCAGACTCGCCAGCCAATGAGTAAAAACAAACAGATAATCGAGATGGCACACTTGTAGTCAAATACGCTCGGAGCACACTGATTACAGTGATAGTCGACGATCTGCACGGGCAACTGCCACGTCACCGCCCCAAGAAACATTGCAGATTTTTGTAGTTTGTAGAGGACAAACGGGACAAACAATGGCGGCCGCAGCAGAAACAGCGTGTCGAAGGGCGAGTTCGGAGCGCGCGAGCGAATGTTGCCAAGACTGACTCAGCAGGCAGCTGCAGGTGGACGCTCGGAAAACACCTCGGACATGTCGGAAGCACGTGAACGCCCGAACTATACCAAACACGATTCTATGTTGTAGCCGCGGCCGGCGCGCTCGTTTGATTCGATTACCTCGAAGTGTCGAGGGTTGATGAATGAAATCCGACCTTGGTCGATGTGTATTCGCACAGAAAAATGCACATTGGTGAGAGAGAAACGATAAAAACGGAAGGGAACGTGGACAGAGAAAAGCCGTAGTGTTCGTGATTTGGCTTATCAAAAACACAAAGTCCACGGAGAGGGGCTTCGTCTCAACGAAAACATTGCAAGGGCGAGAATAACTTCTTGTCACTTCGGGCCGGTGCGGCTTCCGCATCTCTCGACAGGACGAACACATTCAAAGTGAGAAAGTGAACAGCCAAATTTAAAAGCGAACATTGGAATAAAAGGCTGAATAGAGATGTGCAAAACTTTCGTGAAATTTAACAGATTTTTGATGGCTGGCCAAGTCAAGCAAGTCTATGAGAGAAAACCAACGGCTTCATTTTGCCCTCTCAGTCATTTTTGGTCGGTTCACTATAGCATAACTGATTGAATTAGAGCATAAAGATCTTTGAGATCGGCTTTGAGCCAAACTTGAGAAGACAAGGTGGATGTTGTGGTATATCACTAACTAATATGCTGAGCGTCTAATCCGAATGCCGTTCAATTGACGGCGACGTCATCCTTCGCTTGATGCCTCTGCACATCGCCATCGCCTTTTAATCCGAGGCATTAGCTCTGATAACTATTTTTGATTTTCCGTGTAAGTGGTGTCTGGCTCCGGACGGATAATTTACGAGTCTGCGTGTCTCCCGTCGCACCGCAATTTCAATTTGTTCAATTAAGCAGTTGGAGGAAAAGGAGGGCGATCTCTCGGCTCGCAACCTTTTTCCGTACTTTTGATTGTGTGCTTTCCGTCCCCCTCTTTCCGCACAAAAATCTTTCATAGTCAGATCAGGACTCTCGCGTTTATCCATCCATCCGTGTCCCCAACCTAATCTTTTTTATAGCCCCGAGGCGCTCGGTTGGCTCAAATTCAATTTCGGGCAGAGCAGGCAAAGAGAAGAGAGAAGTGTTTCATTAGAAGTGTGAATGAACTGCTGCAGTGTCGACGCGACGAGCAGGCGACGACGGAGCGGCGGAGCGGCGGACCGACCAAATCGTTTCCGTTGTTGTCGTCTCGACGTTTCGTCACAACGTCCCCCGTCCGCTTCGTTGTCGTCGTCGTGATGAGCCCTTGCCACGCTTCATTTCCAACTCGTTTCCAGTTTTTCTTCCAAAAGCGCCTATTCTCCAGGGACCAGGTACAATAAAATGTGTCCTTGTGGGCCGGCTCCACCAGTACTCTCTTCTTTTGCAAAAGTGTCAAAATGATTCTAATCCTCGGGTCATTCGTCTTCCAGAACGCCGCCATCGCCGCGCCCTTCCGTTTTCACCAGCGCTCTCAGTTTTAGTATTTATGAGCTCCGCTGGGACCGGAAGGGTTAAATCTCTGAGTTCTTGCCCTTCTTTTTGGGGAGAAGAAAGTGATTAGAAGTTCATCGTATAATCCCTCGCTCTCAGGATCATCCCCCATTGAGATTCATAGTTCACTCATATCTTCTGTCAACTTATTTTACAACAATTTGTCAACTATCCGCTCTTTCCGTCGACCCCCGATCCATCATAATCTGCTTGTTGTTATCATCCTTCGCCTCTTCCCTTTCTTCTTCTCCTTCATATATTGTCCCAAAATCTGCGCTCATCAAAAATGAACAAGTTGTTCTTCAACCTTCTCATTTGCCTCAAAATCAAACGAAAAGCGGCTCCGGACACTTCTTCTTCTTCTTCTTCTCCTTCTCATCTGGAGTCTTCTTCACTCGTTAATTCACTAATGTGACATTTCACAGCACCTCTCTCACTCTCCTCTCCTATTTTCTAATGTAAATTAGGGAAGGTGGAGCAGCACGAGCCGACGCTCCTCTTCCTTGCTTTTACTGATTTACTGCTCTCCGGGACGACAAGCAGAAAAGACGATGTGTCGTGGAGGAACGAGCGCCGTCCAATCTTCTTCGTCTTACTATTGTTCGGCACGCGATTCTGTAAATGATGATGCCGTGATTCTCGAGTCGCGCGAGGTTTTTCTCATTGTCCGTCCGCAATGTGTTTCTCTCTCTGTATCTTTGTGATATTGGAATTCCGGGCGAGTACGTCCAGACTTGAAGTTGATTTTCAGAAGATCTCGCTCATTTTGCCCAAGTTGCTATTATTATTCATCTGATTGGACCATGTTGGTGGGAAGTTACTTTGGTGAAGTTTTGTGACTCTTCAGGGTTTAGACTTCACATTTCTCCGGGCTATAATGGTGTACTCGTATTTTAAGATTCCTAGAAGTCCTACCAAAAACGACAATAACTGCCCTGGTCGATTGAGAAACCATACTCGGCAAACCTCTGTAGCTTTCGCGCAAGGCTTACGCAAATGTTGGAAGTTTGGAGAATACGAACAGATTTCACTGAAGATCTCAACAAAAGTTGCGTAAAGTTCTGGTAAAAGGTGCAGGGAACCTTAAAGTTTTCCGAGATTGTCCTTACCTGATTTCCAGTCTTTATGCTTCTCCTACTCCTCTCCTTCTCCCCCTTTTTTCTCTCACCGCAACTAATCCCCTTCTCCGTTTTTCTCTCCGGAATACCAGAATTCTCGTGCGCTTGTGTGTGTGTGCCTGTTGTTTTCTAATTTGTGTGTTCGGGTGCCAATTGGTTTACCGCCCAGTTTGCCAGCTTCTCGTCACCTTTTCGGCAGCCTACTCTCTTTGTATTAAATGGTGCCTTTCACCGCTCTCCGCTTTTCTTCTTCTTCTTCTTCTTCCTCTTCTTCTTATTCTCCACCTTTCGCCCATTCGAGGTCATGCATTTCTGTGCTCCTTTTTCCGTTTACTTCTTTTGTTGCGACGACGTCAATTACTGGCAGACTTGTGCTGGCGTACACAATTCATTTCATTCGGATTCGTCGCTCTGAAGTTACCGTCACTTTCCGTCCTACCCCCGGCTGTTTGCCCGCATTTTCTCAATCAAGAAATTCTAATTAAATGATCGAAAAGCGATAAGGGTTCGTGGTCCCCAGCCCCTTCATTTACCCCTGTTTACTTTCGATGCTCACTTTACTTTTATGTTTTCGACACGTCTGTAAAATTGAGGTAAACTTTGACATTTAGTCTTGAAGCGGTTCTTATAGACTAGGTTCTTCCCTCCTGAATTCTAGAGGGTCATTGGAATAGGAGTGCCCAACATCCCAACGTATCTATGAACAATCATCAGCCATCCTGGCTTTATCAGGGTAACCGACAAATCAAATCAAGGGGAAGAGATTTCACGCTGAAGTTTGCTAGGCTACACACCGTCACTTTGCAGGAACTCGGATAGATCCCTAGTGCTCAAATGGTAGAGCCTGGTTTTCCGTTTTCCTCTACATATCCTGATATCATTTGTTTTTGAATTCAAAACCAGGAAAATCCGAACGGAAACGTTGCTCCAACCTTGCCCTCTTCTGAATCAATCGGAAATTGAATTCGCCGCAATTCGCCGTCACGAGATACCTTTCGACTGCTTCCTGTCACCCGAAACCAGCCCTCTTCCTCTAATTGCCACCTCATCGCCGTCCCCCCAGAATAGTCGTACTGTCCCAATTACATGTTTGGTCAAAAGCGTGCGGCTCTCTAAGAGATGCGCGACTCCTCACTTAGACGTGATTCCCGCCTCCCGCAATTACTATCACATATTCTGCCCCATGTCCTAATCGCGTTACTCACACTCCTTCGCGTCGAGCCGGCGTGTCTTCTTTGACTTTCTACCCATTTCCAGAGCATTTTTTACTCAAAGATTCCTTTTCTCAGTCAGTCTGTAAACAATTTTCCATTCTTTTTCTTCCAGCTGCTCACTATATAACTTCGAATTATAAATGTTCATTTTCAGATTTCAGATTGTTGTCTGGTCAGTTCAGCAGAAAGGCGTTTGACAACAAAAACCCACAAGTCAAGATCGAGTTGAGGATTACTGTAGAAGATGCGTTCGTTTGGACTCGGCCAACTCTCAATGGGTCTCCTGTTTCGACTTCTTCTTTTCTGGAATACTGTAGTGTCGTCGGCGCGTGAACGATCGAATACCGAGTACTGGAAGGATCAGCATCCGCAGCAGAGATGGAGGATTTACTGTGAGTTGAAGTTGGGCAAAGGGGCGAAGAGGATGGCAATTAAATGAAATATTCATGGGGATGACCAGACTGTTTCCGGGAAGACGGAGGCTCTGCAAAGACGGAATATCATCAGAAGGGACTGGGGTTGGTCAGTTCAACTTGATAGTTCACAGCTCGGCTCCTCATGATCGTGTGAACCTAATCCGATTCTCTCGAGTACCTTTCCCCTTTTTTCCGTTTCCCTTCAGTTTCACTCTCACAACTCTTCCATTTTTCCTCAATCTGTCATTCCTAGTCAGTCCGTTCCCCTTTCATAACGCCCCCGTCACCCTCTCCAAAACTGCTTTCGATCTCATGAATTTCCGATTGCTTCTCGAATTCGTGTGTGTGCGTTGAAAGGCGTTTTTCATAAACGCGTCTTGAAATTGGTCCCCGAGGCCAAATTTATTATCGGAAGCAAATGGGCGGCATGTTTTCCGGGCAGGAGCAGGAGGAGGAGGGAGAACTCTTTCCGATATTTTATTTATCACAGCGTACTGCTCACCAATCTGTGCTCGTCTCGCCGTTTCGTTTTCGTTTTCCGACTAAAAAGAGAGTCTAATGAAGATGGTGATGTCAATCAGGAACAACAAAAAACCAGAAAGCATGTTATCGAGAGAGAGAGAGGGAGTACACGAAGAGAAGGAGCGAGCTAATTTGTCGCTGTGATTAGCTTCACCGATGTGTGAAACAAAACATGGTGTTGTGTCAAATTGAATCGCAATTTCTGCTCCTGTCAGCCAAGAAGAAGAAGAAGAAGAAGAAGAAGAAGAAGAAGAAGAAGAAGAAGAAGAAGAAGAAGAAGAACCAGGATTATTCGATTATTCCGGTGTGTGGCGCTTCTGAAGTCTCCGCGTGACGTGGCAACGTGGAGATGATCCAGATGAGATGATAACCGAAAAGCTGGCGCGGTGAGTCAGTGCACAAGAAGACAAGAGGAGCACACTTCACGATGCTTCACCAAGTTTTTTGTTGAACGAAAAGAGAGGAGAGGATCTTGAAGAATTGAATTCAAGTATCGCCGAAAAACAGAGAAAGGATGGGGGATGGGGATGGGGCGAGCCTCTTGTGTTTCTTGCCCAAATATTTGTTGCGTCGTTGGCGCAGAAGGCGCCGTCGTCCGCCGTTGCATACGGCCCCATCATTTTGTCCTCGTGTGCATGTATGCAGCATCTCCTCGGGCCGCCCGTCCTTCTCTTCGTTTTCTCGCCTCGTCTACCTCGAAATTGGCATTGCGCGCGTTAGACCCCGCCTTGTCGACGGGAAGGCCCCGCCCCTCCCACGTCCCACGTCGGCGGCGCACCGGCTCAACCCACACAGGCACTCCTCGCGCTGGTCCTTGAAAGCGGAGCACCGGATCGAGCAGCAGGAAGTCGTCAGGATCGCCGTGTCTGCTGTCGGGATGCCCGATGACCTCCCAGTTCACCAAACTCTTCTCCTTTATTCTGGCCAATGTTCATGATCCGGCGGCTCCGGATGATGCAGGTGAGTCGGTTTTTCAAGTAAGATCATCTTGCTTATAAACTTTCGTAAAGGTCGGCGGGTTACTATATAACTCTCACATCGTCATCATGGCTTTTCTTGTTTTCAACTAGCGTCCAACTGCGTTAATAACGAGTTATTAAAAATGAGATTTCGTTCGGAGTAGGTTTGTAAATAAACACTGGACAGAAGGAGGAGGAAGAGAAAAAACAGACATTCATTGAGCCTTAGGCCTCGCGTGCCATCCGTTTATAAATCCAATCCGCTAATCTTCGTCTCGTTCGCTTCCCTATCAAGAGACCTCCTCTTTTCCGTATATAACTTCGTAATCGTAGTAGTCCTCACTTTCCGGAGCCCCCAAAGTGCTCCGCTTTCATTGCCAATCATCATCAGAATCAGTAGGATGAATGCATCAATCTCAAAGTTGTGACAAGTGTGTTCGCTTCTCCAAACGTCTTGTTTTCCAGTCTCCGCTGTTATTACACATTCTTCATAATCGACACTTGCTACTCTGAGTTTTCCATTCTTCCATTTTTCTTTTTAAGTGGTTCCAGTGAGCATTAACTGAAAAGAAGTCATTCGGAAAAAAGCAACATCTGACATCAACTAATCAGCTGAGCATATTCCCCTAAAAGATGCACTCTGTCGCTGTTCGTCTTCGTGGGCCGTTTGCATCAAAGATGAAGAATTAGTGGCGGCTGCTCGGAGCGACCGGAACTTTCAGCGGAACTCGGCGAACAAAGGCCCCGGCCGTCTGATGGCTCCTAGTTTTCCCTCCCCAACTTCTTCTAATTCTTTTCCATATCTTATCTGGTGCACCCTCTTAGCCGTCGTGCGCCCCAGAAAACCCATTCGGACGAGTCCAGATTGTCTTCTTCTGTGGCCAGTGCAGAAGCGAACAAAAAGACACGCAAAGATGCTTTCAAGACTTGTCACTCATCCATAGACCAGGCCGCCCTTCCTTCTATATCCCCCGGACCACTTCCATTCGTCTCAGAAATATTTTCCTGGCCATTCACTCACTTTTTCATTCCTCCTCCCGCTCTCAGTTTCTGTTGCATTCCATCGTCTCAGTTTGGCTTTTTCCAAAAATCAAGTTATCCGTCCGGATTGGTGCCCGCAGTCTGCCCGAATCTTGCTCTTTTTGCAAGTGGTACCGAGTCGGCGACTTCGTCTGATGGATGGCGGCCGATGTCCTGCAAATTGTCTCTTATCTCCTTGCTAATGTGTCGGATTTCAATTCGGGTAAGTTTTTGCTCAGTTTGTATTGTGGGACGGCTCCTGGGGACTATCCATCTTCGTAAAAGATCACGGGAGAAGCGGGTCTTTACGGAGAAGCTCTCCAAATTAAAGCTAACGTTGTTTTCCGAAGGGGTCGTTCTTAACATCAGAAAATAATAAGTTCATTTTTCTACGAAGTCTCGACCTTCCGATTAGCTTCATCTTCAGAGAGTTTGGGATAAAGATGACTTCACTTTGACGCTTTCCAAAGTTCAGACTGTAGCACTATAGCTCCGAGCCTCCCAGAGCAGCAAAACCCAGCTCCCTAAATTAACTGCTCCTCCGTTTTTCTTCCTGCTTTGCCCTTTTCTCTTGTCTCTTCTCCGTTCTTTACGAGTCTCTTATAATTCGATTAGCCCCACTCAGCCCGAAAAAGACCAAAACGGATTTCATGCTCCGTCAAATTTTGCTCATTACTCAACCAGAAGACGAATGAGCGTAGAGGGGACGGGGGGCAAAAGTTAATGAGCTCCGCTGCGGCGCCGTCCGTTTTTCCCACCGCCTCATTGCCCGAGCTTCGTCTTCTCATTCCGGATTGAAATTCAAATTGTGCGCGAGTCGCAGTTGTGTGGCTCACGATGGCGTGTGCTCTCGGAAACGTCCCAAAAACAAGTTTATCTGTCCATCTCTCCTTCTCCTCAATATTAGTTTTGGCGCCCGCGGCCGAGAGACGTCTCCGTCTCTGAGCGAGAGAGAAACAGAGAAGTCCCCGGAGGTTTCCGCGGAAACTTATTCGAGCACACCAGAAGGAGCACGGAGCACGAAAAAGAAGAAGAAGAAGAAGGCCTGTCATGATGAATATGCACCGGAAGCTTACAAAAATAATGACCTCTTTCTGCCGACTATACAATTTCCTGGTGTTCTTCCGCGCGAGCAGGAAATTAATTGCCACGTCACAGACACACCAAATCCGTGTTTCGCTATTTCTCCTCTCGCCAGCCCAAAGAATATACTTTTTTGTGTGAAAAGGTGGCCCCTGCAATTTTTTGTGCACTTCCTGCCCGCTTTCTGCAAAGATTCACTCTATTCAAGTGTATATCACGCTGTGATCTTTTCGACGTCGTCTTCTGAAGGAGAAGAAGAAGAAGAAGAAGAAGAAGATGTGGGGAAGAGGAGTCTCCTGACGATATATTGAATAACTTGTTCTCTTTCTGACGCGCAGCAGCCTCTCCTCCTTTCCTGACGGACGGGGCTTAACTCGTTTTGTCGTCGAAGGTACACGTCGCGTCGGTCATCTCTCCGGCTCCGCGTGCTCTTTTCGCGCAGAAATTTCGACCCGACGGTTATTCGATTTGATTGTTGTATGTGAGAAGACGGAGAATAAGAGAGAACGAAAGGGAGAAAGAAGAGTGAGTCACTGAAAAAAATTCTGAAAGGTTGTTCTGTAAGGACTACAAGTTCACCAGAATTGTCGATAGAACAGGACGTATTGTTGCTACACAAATCTGGAAATCGTGTTGAATTGTTTATTCACCGAGGCAATCATAGAGCATTTCATTTTTTCGGAAATTCACGTAATCCTCCGTTACCCATTACTCGCATTGATCGGTTTGGGTTTGACGATGTCGTAAATGCGGCAGTTTGCACTATCCTCTCCCATCCCAAGGCAATTGGGGCCGAGTGCGAAAAAAGCCATAAAGCTGCAATTTGGCCGTCTTCTGATCCGCTGCTCTCCGTCTCATTTTCGAAATTAAACGCCACGATTCCTCTTTGCGTTGGTCATAAATCTCGCGCGTTTCGCCCCGTTACCGAAGTGATGAATTGAGGGAGGGGAGGGACGAAAAAGTCGAATTAGAAAAGAAGCGGCCGAGAGCAATGAATTGTTGGGGAAAGAAGTGCGAAGTGGGTGCTCGAGAAGGGACGAGCACCACTTGAAGCCAACCGCATCGGCGGCCAGAAGCAAAAAAGAAAAGAAAGGTTTTCAGCACTTCGTCTACCATGTTACTCCTGCATGAGTCCCTATCTCGAGGACCATTACCCCTACATATCACATTTGTATCGAAAACCGCTCTCTTTCGACATTCATTGCGATAAACACAGGTGAGGAGGACCAAGAGCAATTAAAGATGTTAAACCGATATAGTTTCAGCCTAGATCAAAGTTACTTGTACTCGAAGAACTGTTCCGATATGTGCGTCACTCTTAGGATCAACGATGTCGTTGGAGGTATTACTGACTCGAAGAATGACCAAGAAAGTATTTTGATTGGTTTTCAGGGAGGCGGCGGCACGGCTACATGCGGGGGTGTTTGTCGGATCTGCACGGATACAATCACTCGTTGATCAGGACTCTGGCGGAGAGACAGGGTTGTCTGGGTGAGTGAAATGAATTGGAAAAATCAGACTTCTCAAAAAGGTTGAATTTCTAGGCGTTACGTTAAACTATGAAGTTGTTAGGTGCTCTCAATCAGTTTCTAAACATCTTTTTTCCAGACACGACGGCCCGTGAGCTGTTCCTGCCGACCGCTCAACGACAAGAACTGGAACCGTCACGTCTGTCGCTGTGCGCCTGCCACAGTAACCTGTGCAATCTGTCCGTGTCGCCGCCGCTCCTCCTCATCTTCCTCGCCGTCATTCTCCTCCTGTTTCTGATGCGTTGACGTCTTCTCTTTCACTTTCGATTCCCTCTTTCCCTTCGGAATATATCTTCAAACCGATCCACTTCCAACTCACGGGTTTCTCACCACGTTTTGCCTCTATTTCACTATTTTCGTATTCCGTGAATAAATTCTAGACGAATACTATGGTTTGGTTTTCGATCGGAAAGAAACGTGCAAAAAGGATGAAACGGTCACATTTCGACTTGGTTCAATGACTCGGAACATGCGCTTTATTTGCACTTTGATGCGTATCATGAATCACTAAAAAATATCAATGAGAACTTTGATCTTCAAATGGAATTTATTGAAAAGTACACAATTAAAACATGAACGAATTAGAAGTCATTGGCGAACGGAAGCGACGGTTGAGGCCACACTCGTCTCGCTCCGTTTCCATATTTTCGTGCGGATCTCGCAATTGTAAACGATCGTGAACAGGCCGTCGATCATTGCGATGAAGCACCAGCTGAGGAGCGACATGAAGAATGCCACGTACTTGTTCGAATTCATTTCCGGCACCATCAAGTACGAGGTGTAGCCGATCAGATAGCAGAAGCCTTGTCCGCACGTCTGCTTCAAAAAGTCCGTCTCCTTCTTCGTGTAGTTATCCGCTCGTTTGCCCGATCGGAACTGTCTTCGAATCTTCTGCACTTTCACCAAAGTGATAATATCAATGAGAAAATCGACGAACACCAGAATAAGGTTCTTCATAAAGTCGCCGTAAATAGCGTACCACGCACAAACCGGGACGGTGACGTCGTAGAATGACACCCACGTGATTGGATTGTACTCTAATCGACATCCAACTGAAATGCATCGAATATGTGACAGGCAGAATACAGTACAACTAACGAATGGGCATCACAAATGTGGTGAGAGCAAACGAAAAGACGGCCGCAACAATAGTGTACGCTCTCGTGGATTTTATACTGAAATGAATGAACAATGTGATAAAACAATATAAGATACAGTACCTGAATATGGTTTTATAAGAAATCGGAGTGAAGACGGCTGAGAAGCGGTTCATTGAAGTGACAAAGTGGGTGTAGATGGAAGTTTCGTAGAAAACAATCAGCACGTAGCCAGCGTAGTGCGAGTGAACGGTCAGGAACTCATTGGCTCTGAGCAAGTACGTTACATCTGAATGAGTCTTTATAAACTTACAATATAATCATGGGTGTGATGTAGAAGAAGTAGACGGTCAGATAGATGGCATCGCAGAGGGATTTCACGAAGGTGAGCAGCATGAATGGACTTTTGAGGGATTTGTCCCGGATGATGATCCACACGACAGTCCAGTTGAAGCACATTCCGAAGAGGGACACTGGGAACAAGATGATACCGATGAATTGGGGATCTTTCATTTTCTGGAATAATACAGTTTGCTTGTTTGGGATGATTTCCAAATTAAGCAAAGTAAAAACAGCTTCGGAAAGCCCTTTTCATTCAATTCGAGCCGGGAAAACAGGACATTAGGAGATGGCACGATAATTCTATATGCCGGAGAGCCCTCTCATTCTGGGAACCCGCCGGCGCTCACTAATCAGCTAGAAAGCCTTAAAGGAAAGTAAAGATCCGGGGTTTCCGTGAATCAGTGTTCCTTTCAGTGGCCCAGCCTCCTCTCCTTGTTTTTGTCGAAAAAAGCAAACTTCATTCACACACACGGACGGTGACTAATGAAATTAAGTCTCGGACTGAGATCAGTTCTCCACTGCTTGCTGCTGCTGCTGCTCGATTTTGGTGGCCGAAATGCGATAGCTCTTCTTTCTTCTGTGCAATTTTCGGCGGATTTCCGAATTGTAGATGAGGGTGATGACGCCCTCGGCGGCATGAACAAAGCACCATAAGAAGGTGGAGAGAAGGAACGAAACGTAGTCGGGCTGAAGAGATCGGGAGGGGAGGATGTAGCCGATCAGTTCGATGGACATGAACACGGTTTGGCCAAAGGTCTGAAGAGGTGAAACTGTTTGAAAAGAAACGAGACTGAATTAAGTACCTGTTTGAGAAAGTAAGACTCTTGAAGACGATATCCTTGAGAAGAACTCCGTTCCGCCTGTAATCAGAGATGGGCATTCGGTCCCAGGTTGCTGAACTCACTGCTTTTTTCATTCTGACTACTCGACAGAAAGTGATCACATGAAGAAGAACATCAACAATTGAGAATAGAAGATTCTTGCCGAACATGATGGTCCACGAGAATATGCTACACTTCCGGGTGTCTGTGATCAGAAACGTCCAGTGATTGTCGTCGTATTCGAGTTGGCAGTCGAGTGCGGTGACGAATGTGACCACGATTACGGTAGAGACAGCAGTCATGAGGAGGATCAGAACTTTTGTGGATCTCGGATTGAATATTGAGGTGTAGGAGAGAGGGAGGAAGACGGCGACGAATCGATTGAAACAGATGGTGACGTGGGTGTGAGCGGTGATGTCATAGGCCAGAAGGGTGATGGCTCCACAGACGGAAGAGTTTTCTTTCATTAAACGGATGTCACTGAAAAAGGTTGTTATTGTATACAAGAAGAGCAACTTACAAAACAACCATCGGAACGATAAAGAAGAGAGCAGCGGTTGCAGAGATCGCATGCCAAGCAGCGAGATTAGCAGTGAGGACGGCGAATGGACGGTGCAGAGTACGGTACCTGACGACGATGAATACTGTCAGCCAGTTGCAGACGAATCCGAATGTGGCCGGCTGAAAATTGCACAACTTTATTCTTCCAACTGATGAGCAAACTGACCGGAATGAGCGAAAGAGCAATAAGCTGTTGGCGGAGCATTCTCGGAAACTGAGCCAATTTGAAGAACGAAAATAATTCAGATCTCAGAGGAAAATTAATCAAAGAAAATGTTCCCAGCCTTCCGAGTGATAGTGTGCAAACGGGAAAGAAAGTCATAGACATAAACAAAGTTGCATTCTACTCAAGTTTAGGTTCAAAAGGAGGCTTATTTTAAGTGACACGTGAGACGCGCATCGACAACGTCCGCTTCCGACACAAGGCGGCGTGCCGTATTTCAGAATTATAGGCAAGAACGAACAATCTGAACCAGAATAATATGAAAACTTTTGTGTCGGAAACGATGTATACCCGTCCAAAGTGTGAAGACTGCACCACATATCCGTGCCCAAAAAGAATCCGAGTATCTTGTTGTCGACCAGCAGTGAGACGTAGAGAAAAAGTATGGAAAACACGAACATGTAGGTGCCCTGGCCGATCGTCTGCTTCAGAAAATCCATCTCTTTCCGTCTGTTCGCGATTGACACCTGGCCACGATTCATCTGAAAAATGCAAATAATGTGGCATAGGGAAAGGGAAGTAAACCTTTTTGCGAGCTGTGTGCACTTTCGCAATGGTGATCAAATTGAAAATCATTGCGAACGCAGTGGCCGCGATCATCTTGCGATCGCCGAGATTTGTAGCGAACCACGTGCAAATATCTTGATCCGAGTAGAAGAACATCCAATAGTCATTGTCATAATACAGCTGGCATCCCACTGGAGAGGAAAAACAAAGTGAATGTTTATGTCTGGCAACTTACGGATTTGGAAGAAAGTGAATATCAGGGCAAATGTGAGAGCAACGGTTAGGAAAACTATCAATTTTGTGGCTTTGGTTCTGAATTGAGTTCTTTGTGCATGCTCCAGAAGGGGGTTGTCTTTACCCAAAAATTGTTTTGTAAGTGATTGGAGTGAAGACAGCTAGCAGTCTGTTAAAGACGATCACAACGTGGATAGTGATCGAAAGATCGTAGGACAACGTCAAAACGAATCCGCAATGGTGGGAGTTCGCTTTCAAGAGTGTCATATTTCTGAGATGCTACGGTTTAGAGCATTGTGAATATTGTTAACCGACTTACAAAACAATCATGGGACTGGCATAAAACAAAAAAAGACCGCAGACAATTCCATCCGCGGCGGCCATCGTGGCAACGAGAACGGCAAAGGACTGGCTGAGAGACTTGGTGCGACATGCCACGACGAAAATGACCAAATTGAAGGCGAATCCTAGAAGAGCCACCTGAACACACAGTTGTAGGGAAAAGGGGAAAAGGAGGAGAACGGTACCGGAATGAGGGTGAGACCCACTAGTTGTTGGCTGTGCATTGCGAATAATGCGTTCCGCTCCGATTCGATTCTCTCACGACTGTGAACAAGAACTCGTGTTTTTGTGAAAATTAGTTCATTCTATTTACTCGACAGTTTTGTTTTCTCTCATAAACACTTCCTGGTATGATATTACAAGTATTTCAATGTTTCCAAAGCTACAATACTTTTGAGCTCTTCAACAACACATATTTACAAACATGTTTAAACGAAAATGAAAGTACATTTCGAGCACATTCAAATGTAGGTAACCCTAGAAATACGCATTGGTGCTCGCTTCCGACCCATTGCCGCGTTCCGTATTTCGGAATTGTAGGCTAGAACGAACAATCTGAAAGGGAATGTTAATATGAAACGAATCACTTTAAAAGTATTCGTACCCGTCGAGAGTGTGCAGACTGCACCAGATGTCCGATCCAATGATGAACCCGAGTATTTTGTTGCTGGTGAGAGATGATACGTACAGGAAGATGATAGAAAAGACGAATAGATAAGTGCCTTGGCCTATTGTCTGCTTCAGAAAGTCCAGCTCTTTTTTCCGGTAACCAACGGACATTTGACCGTGATTTACCTGAAACGCCACTCAAATGAATGTTTCTTCCACCAAACAATAAACCTTCTTTCGCGATCTGTGCAGTTTCACAATGATAATCGCATTGAGAACCATCGTGAGCACGGCAGACGCGAACATCTTTCGATCGCCCAGATTGGTCGCGTACCAGACGCATATTTTTGTGTACGAAAAGAAGAACATCCAGTACTCGGTGTCATAGTATAGTTGACATCCAACTGCGGGAAAGATTATGAAACGGTGACCACCAAATGTTCGGCAACTTACAAATTTGGAAGAAGGTGCCGATTATGGCGAATGTGAGAGCAGCGGTTAGGAAAACGATCAACTTTGTGGTTTGTGTTCTGAATTTTGCTCTTGTCTATGCCTTTTTTGTTTTCAGCCATTTACCCAAACACTTTTTTGTAGGTAATCGGAGTGAAAACTGCCAGAAATCGGTTGACGACAATCACAACGTGGATGTTGATGGAGAGATCGTAGGCCAGCATTAGTACGAACCCGCAGTGATGGGAGTTCTCCTTCAGAAGTGTTAGATTCCTGAGAGAGAGACGTTCGAGTGCGAAAATATTGTCGGCTCACTTACAAAACAATCATGGGACAGGCATAAAACAGAAAAAGGCCGCAGACAATTCCATCCGCGGCGGCCATCGTGGCAACGAGAACCGCAAAGGACTGGCTGAGAGACTTGGAACGGAATGCCACGATGAATATGGCCAAATTGAAGGCGAATCCTAGAAGAGCCACCTGAACACACAGTTGTAGGGAAAAGGGGAAAAGGAGGAGAACGGTACCGGAATGAGGGTGAGGCCTAAGAGCTGTTCTGTTTGCATCGGAGGAAAATATATAAATGTTGTGCCGATTCCATTCTTCGTTTCGATTATCTCACGAATGTGAATTGGGTCTCGTTTTTTCAGTGAAATCAGTTCAATTTATTTCCTTGCTATGTGTGTTTTCTCCCACCCACACACACTTCCTGGTAAATTATTTCCAGTTGCAGTTCTCAAGAGTTTGTCATTCGTTCCGCCATGGGAAAGTTACCGATTGGACTTTTGCTTTTTGCGCTGAATTAACTCTTTATCATGAAATCTAAGCTCAAAAATAGACTGAACGGAACATTTTTCGAGAGGTTTTTATGTGAGAGTGACTCGAGAGGCACGCTTCGACAATCCATCCTTCGGACCAATGACAACTTCCCGTATTTCGGAATTGTAGATGAGAACGAACAATCTGAAAGGGACAGGTAACAAACAAAACACTTTAAAAGTATTCGTACCCGTCGAGAGTGTGCAGACTGCACCAGATATCCGATCCGATGATGAAACCGAGTATTTTGTTGCTGGTGAGAGATGATACGTACAGGAAGATGATAGAAAAGACGAATAGGTAAGTGCCTTGGCCTATTGTCTGCTTCAGAAAGTTCATCTCTCTCTTCTTGTTGGCCACGGAAACTTGCCCATGATTCAACTGAAAAAAAATACTTTACACGAGAAGGTTCCTTTCAAAAACTGACCTTCTTCCGCGCAGTGTGCACTTTTGCAATGATCATCAGATTGAGCGCCATTGTGAGCACGGCAGACGCGAACATTTTCCGATCGCCCAGATTCGTTGCGTACCAAACGCATATTTTTTGATCCGAATAAAAGAACATCCAAAACTCTTGATCATAGTAGAGCTGACATCCAACTGGGGGAAAAGAGAAAGTGTTCAAATTCTTGGGCACTGGTACTTACAGATTTGGAAGAATACGAAAATTATAGCAACTGTCACAGACACCGTCACGAAAACGATCAATTTTGTGGTTTGTATTCTGGAACTGCTTTGCACTTGCGTCATTTTTCAATCTCTTTTTTTTACCCAAAAACTCTTTTATAAGTGATTGGAGTGAAAACTGCAAGAAATCGGTTGACGACAATCACAACATGTGTCGTGATGGAAATGTCGTAGGCCAACGCTAGAGCGAATCCACAATGATAGGAGTACTGCTTCAGAATTGTTATGTTCCTGAGACGTTCTCGATTGTCCATATTGAACTACATTATGATTCAACTTACAGTATAATCATAGGACATGCGTATAGAAGGAAAAGACCGCAAACGACACCATCTGCCGCGGCCATCGTGGACACGAGAATCGCGAACGACTCGCTGAGGGTCTTGATACGACAGGCCACGACGAAAATGACCAAATTGAAGATGAATCCCAAAGAGCCACCTGAATTGATATTGTCTGAGAAAAGAGTAAAACGATAGATATTCATACCGGAACGATAGTGAGACCCAAAAGTTGCTCGGTTTGCATCGCGGCTAACTAGTGAGCAAAATATAAACTTCGCGGATATTGCAATTGAATTATCTCACGGCACTATGAGTAAGAAGACGCTTTGGTAAAGTGAATTCAACCTTATTTTTTGTTTTCTCATTGGTGAACTTTTCCTGATAAGTTAATTATAGCTTGCAAAATTCAGCATTTGCGGCTTGCACGTGCCGCTGCTAACGAAGTGCTGTAATCAGATGACATTCCACGAAAGTATTCTGTCAACTTCAGAAATCCGCATCAAACTTGTCTCTCCAGGGACGAAAAGGTTCGAAAGTGAGAATTAAGTGCACGTGAATTCAGTGGAAGTCAAGTGCTGATGTCTCTTGGAATGGGAATTTTGCAGTGTGTAAGCATCTTTTCAGCCTGATTTTTCCATTTCTCAGTGTTCCTTTGTTGCCCATTTTATGTCCTTGTTCAGTGCATCCGTCATGAACTCTTGAACCCTCTCTGCCACGGCCTCCGGCACGAGAAAAGCGCAAGCAATTACGCGTGCTCTCTGCGTCGCCGGCAGCATTCTCCTTGTCTCGCACTCTCTCGCTTGCCTACTGTCGCTCGAGAAGCGAAATGAGAGTTGGTGTGGCGCTCGGAACGCCGCCGGAAGAATACTGATTTATCTTTCCGTTTTTCTTCATGAACGTGTTTATCATGAGCAAAACTTGCAAAGAGCAACAAAAAATTCTCAAAAAAATGCCGGCATCAGTACGAAATTTGCATTTTTCGTGTTGCGGTTGGTTATGCGTGCTACAAGTGAGAATCAAAATCATCTTCCGTTATTTCGTGATGAAAACGTTGCCCGAGGGTTTTTCATGACCACATCATCAAAAATTTAACGAAATTAATCGTGTAAGCCACATTGGGAGCACCGATTTCACACTTTGGTGGCCAACGAAGTTTCATCGGAGACTTCAGATGCGTGCTCTCGGAAGAGTACTGATTCATTTTTAACGCTTTCTACGGGAATATGTTGAATATGATCAGTACTTCGAAGCAGCAACAAAAAACTTGAAAAAATGTTCTGGAGTGTCCACGGAGACGGCTTCTAAAAGTGCTACAGTTTTCTGCTGACTTCAGATGCGTGCTATCGGAAGAGTACTGATTCATTTTTCCCGCTTTCTACGGGAATATGTTGAATATGATCAGTACTTCGAAGCAGCAACAAAAAACTTGAAAAAATGTTCTGGAGTGTCCACGGAGACGGCTTCTAAAAGTGCTACAGTTTTCTGCTGACTTCAGATGCGTGCTATCGGAAGAGTACTGATTCATTTTTCCCGCTTTCTACGGGAATATGTTGAATATGATCAGTACTTCGAAGCAGCAACAAAAAACTTGAAAAAATATTCTGGAGTGTCCACGGAGACGGCTTCTGAAAGAGCTACAGTTTTCTGCTGACTTCAGAAGCGTGCTGTTGGAGGAGGGGAAACTTTTTTTGACTGATTTCAGCTGTAAACTGTTGTTTACACTTCATCGAAACAAAGAGCAATGAATAATCGCAAGTTTTTCTTATTCTCCAGCTGTGAATTCCGAAGATGTGAGCACGACGTATTCTGGTGGACAAGTTAGTCAGAATCCACCAGTTTCTCACATTTTTTGATAGGAAATATTCACATACGGGTAAAACTTCGAATTAAACAATAGTCGAGTGAGAATGAATGTTGCCGCCGTTGGTGAGTCCGTGAGAGTCGGATCTGTCGTAATCTTGGCTCAAGTCGGCGTGCTTCAAACCGCCATATCTCTCTTCAAACTCATCCAATCTACTCGTTCGAAGTCGCAAAAGAAAGCTCATGAAATTTAGAAACTTTTGTGTGTGTGAATTTGTAAAAAGTGGTTTCTTGCTCACGTTATCCTGGAAAAACCTCAAAAAAGGCCACTTTTTCCACTGAAAACTTCAAAGTGATGCATCTGCCTTCAAACTGCATCAATTTACTTGATTAAAAAAGCAAAACGTAGGCCTCTCTAATGTCTACAACTTGCCAGAATCAGATTTTCGAAAAAAAATTTTCCTGATTTTTAAAGTGACTGCAAAGTTTTCTCTTCGTAGTTTGTTACATCCCATTCATTCGAATCACATCTATATTTGATATTTTTGTGTTCAATACTTGAATATAATTGTGTATTAACGAAAAGTGACGAAACAGTCAAGAAAATTTTCTTGTACCCGCTCCTAGACATGTCTTATACTCAAATTTTCGTAAAACTGGCTCTTTTCAACACACAGGAACTTTTTTGATTGGCTAATAAAAAGATTCCTAATTTTTGTCTTAGTCTGTTCAGATTTTTCGAGATTTTATTTTTTGTGGTAACCATGCCGCCGACAACTTTTTCGTGTTGAACAAGAAATTTTTTGATGGATAATGCAAGCGCGCTCTACGGTCATGCGTTAGAGATGAGAGACGGCTGAGTATGCGCGTTTCGCGATCCGGCTGGCACATTTCTCGTGCCGGAGGCCGTGCTGCTGCACATTCAGGTGGCCGAGGAACCGGTGGCCGTGGCCGAGTTCTCTGCGTCTCTCCCCTCTCACCGCCTCGCTGCCCGCTCTTTCCATTTGAATTGCGCGCGCGCGACCGCTCCGCGTTCGCCGTTCTTTTTTGGTCCCATTCACCGCCTTTTTCGATTCAAACTTCTTTTTTTCCAGCGCAATGTCGTCGAAAAGTGCAATTTCAAAAAAGAGGTGAGTGAAATGTTCGTGTTAACAATGGGAAACCATTATTTTTAAGTTCTTCAAAACGGAAGAGGGAAGATGATGACGGGGACGTTTCAATGACCGGAGACGACGAGGATAGCCGTGGAGCATCCGCCGTAAAAGTCGAGATTCCGAAAGGTAAGAAGAAAATTCAAAAGAATTGAGAGAATGGCATTTGTCCTTCTGAATATCGATTTTTGGTATACTGTATAAACGCCACTAGCTATTGCTAGGCGTTAAATATTTTCCAACGTGTTAATTTTAGGAAAAGAAAAAGAGCCGGAATTCGCAGCACCGAAAGGGCAAAAGCTGACCGATTTGGACGAGGAAGGACTGCAAGGCAAGGAGCACGAGGGAAACGTGATCGAGCAAACTCACTACATCGTCGTTCCCTCCTATGCGGCGTGGTTTGATTACAATTCGATCCATCAAATAGAGAAGCGCGCCCTACCGGAGTTCTTCAATGGCAAAAACAAGAGTAAAACCCCTGACGTGTACGTCGCGTACCGTAACTTCATGATCGACACTTACCGCTTGAATCCGTTCGAGTACGTTTCGGCCACCGCTTGCCGTCGCAATCTCGCCGGAGATGTCTGCTCCATCGTGCGTCTCCACTCGTTCCTCGAGCAATGGGGACTTCTCAACTATCAAGTTGACAGCGATACGAAACCGGCTCCTGTTGCCCCGCCACCGACCTCTCACTTCATGGTCCTCGCCGATACGCCGACTGGAATCCAGCCGATGAATCCTCCGCAACCTTCTAAAGATAGCGGAGAGGCTGGCGCCGTGGACGTCAAGGTGGATCTCGACTCTTTGGGCAATCCTGGACTCAAAACGGATCAGTATCAGAAACAAGCCCTTGCAATGAGAGTACGTGAATGGATTTGTATTATTCCTCAAATATTTTTGTTTTCAGACAAAGGGAGCCAATCCAGGACGTGACTGGACCGATCAGGAGACGTGTCTTCTTTTGGAAGCGTTGGAAATGTTCAAAGACGACTGGAATAAGGTATTCAACGCAAATGAGTTATAGTTTGACAAGCATGTTTTCCAGGTCTGCGATCATGTCGGTACTCGTACCCAGCAAGAATGTGTCCTCAAGTTCTTGCAACTTCCTATTCAAGATCCTTACCTCACTGAGGATTCTAAAGGACCGGGAGACGGAGGAGCTAAGGAGGTGCTCGGCCCGCTGGCTTTTCAGCCAGTCCCCTTCTCTCAAACAGGAAACCCTGTCATGTCAACGGTGGCGTTCCTCGCGTCGGTTGTCGATCCGCAGATAGCGGCCGCCGCAACGAAAGCTGCGATGGAAGAGTTCTCAAAAATGAAGGAGGAAATTCCGCCGCTTGTGTCCGAGGCTCACGAAAAGAACGTGGCAGCGATGGCCGAGAAAACTGGAACAGTTGACGGCAGCATAGGACTGCTCAAGTGTGGCATCGCCCCACAAGACCAACAGGAAAGCGAGGAGAAAATGGACACGGCCGAGAAGCAAGAGGAAGGTGAGAGCAGCTCATCTGGAATCCCAACGACCGCGCAAGCGAAGAGCGACATCGACAAGGGGGTACAGGCCGCCGCCGCGTCGTGTCTAGCCGCTGCCGCCGTCAAGGCCAAGCATTTGGCTCAGATCGAAGAACGCCGCATCAAGTCTCTCGTCGCGCAATTGGTCGAGACTCAGATGAAGAAACTGGAGATGAAGCTCCGACACTTTGATGAATTGGAACAGATTATGGACAAAGAGCGCGAGTCTCTGGAATATCAGCGCCATCAGTTGATTCTGGAGAGGCAAGCGTTCCACATGGATCAGCTGAAATATCTCGAGAACCGTGCGAAGCACGAGGCGCACACCAGAATGACAGCCGCCGGAAATCTACCAGCTGGGCTTCCACCAGGCTTCGAAGTGACCGGTCCGCCACAGCCGACTCCACAAGTACAAGTGAATTCTCAAGAAGGAGCCGAGAAGATGGATACAACTGAGAACCGTGCGCCGTCCGCTCAGCCGCCGGCAGCTCCCCAGGCTCCTCCAGCGGCTGTTGCTCCGCCACAGCAACATGCTCCGGCTCCTCAACCGTCTGCGGCTCCACCGGCAGCTCCGCATCAACCGCCTCCACAGCAACAACAACAACAACCGCCACAGCAGCCACAACAGCCGCCTGTGCAAGGATATCCGGGAGGTCCACCACCACAGCAGGGATATCCCACGCAGCAACAACAAGGATACCCATCTCAGCCGCGTTATCCACAGGGTCAGCAGGGTGGATACCCAGGATACCCACCACAAGGACACCCCGGATATCCAGGACAGCCAGGACCGGGAGGTCAGCCAGGATACTATGGAGGTCCGCCAGGCAGCCGCAGTACCCCCAACATCCAGGATCCGGATATCCGCCACAGCAGAGAGGACCGTACCAAGGACAGCAATACCCAGGACCACCAGGAGGAAGACCGCCATACGCGTACCCACAACAAGGTAATTGAAATCAGACCTTTCTCGAAAACCCTCCATTTCTTGCAGGACATCCCTACCCGGGACCACAGCAGTACGGCCAGATGATGCCCCAGGGACAGTATCCGCCACAAGGACCTCCGATGGGCCCACCGCATCCGCACGAGGAGACTGGAACGCCGCCGATGCATCACGGCCAAGGGGACGTGAAAACCGAATAACTATGTGCATGAACGCTCTGTTTTATCAAATGCTCCCTCCTAATATTTCTCGATCTGATGTTCCGCTATTATCCGTCTCGGTTCTGCTGGCAGCGATGGCCGTGAACAGGTCCCGTTTTAATATTCGTGAATTTGGCGGCCACGGTCATCGTAGCCAAAAGAAGATCCGGATAATATTTCCCAACATCAAAACGATCTCGCTAATTTATTCATTTAATGTGTGTTCCTCTGTAATTTGTGAAATTATCCATCATTATGCTATATTCATTGTATTTCGGAACGAATCGCTCATAAATCTGTCCAATATTTTGATCGGATGATATTCTTGTGATATGAACAGTTTCAATGTTTCTGCTAAAAATTACTTTTTTGTTCACTCTTCGGTTTGTTCACGTGCAGCTTTGCAGCCAAATGGACACGGATGAGACGGATTTGTTCGGCGAGGATGAAGAAGAGAACATGACTCCGGACGAAGCCGTCAAGCAGATGACGATGAGTTGGCAGAATGAGATCTGTGCTCCGTGCCTTTTGCCGACCAAGTACGACCTCGTCGACATCCTGCTCGATCAAATACAGGGCATGGAGGAGAGTCTCGCGAATCAGACGAACAAGGCACAATTGCGCATTTCTGTGCATCGAATGGATCTTCAGAGAATCAATTACGTCACTTCGGACTACATCAGATGCCGTCTCCGGAAAATAGAAGCGAATCCGAACGAAGCGATCGCACAACATGAGCATCGGAAGAGCGAAGATCTGCCCGACCTTCTCTCTGAAAACGAAATGAAATTTGCGAAGGAATACGCGAGGGCAGAAGCGGAATTGTTCGACAGAACCGTTCTGGGTAGTTTCCGCGTGCTGAAAGCTTTAATTTATCGATTAAATTACAGAGTCGCTGCCGGCCGCACTGAAGAAAATTTCGGTGCCCGAAATGCGATTGGATGACGAAATGGTCTATTGCAAAGTGCTCGAAAACGAGATTGGAAATATTTCGATTCCTGATTGGTCGGATCTCAACGCAGAAGTCATTTTGGAAATGGAAAAGGATTCGGTTCATCTCATTCCGTTTGTCTCTGTCAAGCAACAGGTCGAAGATGGAACAATTCAACTCTTGTGATTTTATTTAATTTTGATAATACTTGCTTTACTTTAATTTATTATTCTGGCGTGATACTCATTATTTGCGAAACACGAACTTTTCCCATTTTTTCAAGATCGAATTCAAATGATGTGCATTCAAAGGAGCATGCATCGTGGAGAGCAATGGGTCCCACCACGATTACAATATTTTTGAATTGAAATTTAAGACAATCAACCCGTCGTTCACTATTTTCACCCGTTTTTGTGCTGATTTTCAATTCCAGAAAAGAAACATGGATAATTTTGTTAACTGGGTCGATGCTCCGACAGAATCGCTCATTCCGTCGCCGATCAGCGACGAATCGAACAATCTTCTTCGCGATGAAGTTCTGCAAATCCATCAGTACGTGAACGACAAACTCGATGAGCAGATTACGAACGAAGCGGAAAGCGAAGACGAAAAAGGCAAAGAAGCGGAGCGAGCACTGAAGTTGATGGCTGATATAAGTGCAGAATCCTCGAGGTATTCAAATTTAGGGCATCGATCGCATTGTTCGCATTCATTTTCAGAGCGGAGGCGTGTCGCATAGACTTGATGGAGCTTCAGAAAGCCTGTAGGAACTACGATATGCGTCTGATTTCAATGAAGCGTCTGTCGGAGTAATGCAACTCGTTTTGAATGCAGGATTTTTCCAGAAAATTTCGCTATTTGTGAGATGTCGCCTGACAACCACGACACAGTGCTGGGCGATATGAAATTCGATTTGGCAAAGTTAGAAGATCGATTCACGACTCGCGAAAACGGTAAAATGCTTTATCTTTCTCTTCATCTCCAATATGGTTGGTTTTCAGAAGTCAAGAAATTGCAGCAAAACGCGTTCAGAAACCATACCGAAATGATGAAACAAGAGTTAAAAGTAAGAAGGAACATGTGACAAGGGCTAGAATATTCATTTTTCACAGAAAGTGAAAAATTCGATTCTCGAAGCGAAGAAGAGTCACGAAAAGTTGAGATCCCTGCAGGAAAGTGTTTTCAGAATGCAGACGGAGTACAGAGAAACTTCCATCCGGCAAAGTAGAAGAGAACTTGCTTATTTAGAAAATAATTACGAACATTTTCAGAAAATGAGAATGAATTAAACGACGCTCGGGGCAAAGCACTGGAAGCCAACAGGAAGAGATTGGAGCAGGTATCCATGTTTTTCAAAGATTTTTTCCTTGACCTACGATTTTTAGCTGAACGAGGAAAGCGTCGATCTTCGTGCCCAAATCGTACAGCTCGAATCAGCCAAGGCGACCATGCAGAGCGATGCGAACGAGGAAGAAATTAAACGTCTGAAGGCGCACACGAAGGAAACTCGTCGGGAAACTGCCGTCCTGCTCGCAAATATTGAAAACGTTACGCAAGAAACGAAGGAAAAAGAGAAACATGTGAAGAAGTTGAACAGTGTGAAAGTGGGAGATTCGAAGAAACGGTACGAGAAGAAATTGGCCAGTTTGGTGGCTCTTTTCCAAAAGAAATTCGAGGAGGAGAAGGAGAAGGCGAAGAAGGAAGACGCTCAGAGAGAGATGCACGAACTGAAAAATGCGATTGGAAAGGAAACGGTAGAGCTGGAGACCGCTAGAAACCGGCTGAACGAGCTGAAGCCAGATGGCATCAAAAATGCGGCTGAACTGAAAAACAAGGTGAGTTTGAAGCAGTAGAGGCGGCCTCCTCGAACGCAAATTTACAGCTGTCGGCGGCGGAAGCGAGTGTCAAGAAAATTGAGAAAAAGATCAAGGAGGCGAATAAAATGAATAATAAGCTGAAAACTGAGGTAGGTCACACATTCCTGCGCTAATATAAATATTCATTCCAGATCGAAATCCGAAGGCCGCCAGCATCAGCCGATATAACAGTCGAAATGGAGTCGGAGGTTCTCACTCAGTCGGCCTACAAAGAAACGCAGCGCCCCGTCGTCGAGTTCTCTCCGATTCAGCCGGTTCGACCAGTGCAACTTGTCTCGAGAGAACCTTCTCACGATGTGTTTATCAGCAATCCGATTGCGACAAGCACTCCTCTCCAGCCGGCGCAAGGAAAGGCTTCTCGTGCTAAGGCTGCAGCCCGGCAAGTTTCAACTTCGTATGTTTTGATTCCAAACGATAATCCCGAGTTTTCGCATTTTCAGGGTCGTTCGCACGCGCAGTGCTCGTAACCGTCTGGCGAAGACCGCAGCCGCGAAGAATGAGATGGTTCGTAAAAATAAAAAATAGAGCATGGATATTTAGAGATCATGTACCATTTTGATCATGTTTAATGTATTTGTTGAGTTTTTTAGTCTTGCAGTCCGACGTATTCCGGGTTTTCTTCTGACAGCAGTAAAGGTGATCAGATCGATAGAAAAGAGAAACCAAAAAAAAAGTTAAAATTTCAAGTCGAGTCCAGACGTTGATTTGCCGGCCAACACAATGCACGTGTTCCCATTATTACTTTTTCTGTTCAGCGCCTTTCGAATAGATTTCTGAATATCTGAATTGTAGTACAATGTGATAAACCTGAAAAGGATCCTGTTTTACCGAGAATTAATGCGAGAACGAACCCGTCAAAAGCATGAAGAGAGCACCAGAATAAGGTGGACAATATGAATGCTCGGGCCGGATCGTTCAACACTTCGGGAAAGAAAGTGTAGAGTGAGAGACCGAAAAAGATGGGAAGAGACTGACCGAATGACTGAAAGAGGTTAATTAACAGGCAACATCCGAGGGGAAACGTGTACCTGCTTCACAAAATCCACCTCTTTCTTGCTCAATTTTTTGGACGAACTGTCTTTTTGAAGCTAAAGATAATAATTGCTCAGTTCTTCCCCCCACTTCAGTCCCACCTTTCTCTTTCCGATTTTAATTTTAACGATCGTGGTCGTATCAATGAGCACATTCAATAAAGCCATTCCGCTCACTTTGGCGATGTCGTTCACGTTCATATAAAAGAGACAAACGGGCTGCTGCGAGTAGTCGAAGACCCAAAAGTCATCCAAATATCGCATCTGGCATCCGACTGAATGACATCATTCTGTCGGCTGACTCATTCATTAACTCACGAATTTTGAAAAATATTGTGATGATGATGAAAGAAACGGAAAATGAGAGCAAACAAATGCGATGTGTATTCTTCTTGCTGCAAATCGATGAGTCCGAATTGAAAATTTTAGCTTAAAATGATGGCCGGTTAGTCAGTCAGTGGTTTGTACTTTATCGGCCCAGTCTGCGCAAGTGCGCCATGGCAAAATCACAGGTATTGCGTGCGCACTCTCTTATGTCGTCTGTCTTTTTACTTTTTCGGAAAATACCTTTCATAAGTACGAACCTGAACACCTTTTTATATCTGAATGGCGTGAAAACTGCGATGAATCGATTGATTGCCATGATAAAGTGAATTTGCATTGAGGAATCGTAGACGATAAGGATAAAGTAGCCGACGTGAAACGAATGAGTTATCAGGAATCGGACATCGAAAACGATCATCGGAGAAATGAAAAAAAAGTAGATCAGCGCGTGCAAACCCTGGAATAGAGCCGAAGATTAATTAGTGAAAACAAGAAGGAACGACTTCAAATAGCGCCTGATTAGCAGTGAGAATTGTGAACGAATGCGTGAGATTTCGAGTCCTCCACGTGACGAGAACTATTGTCCAATTGCATAAAACACCGGTCAATGAGAACTGAAAGCAGAACGATAACTGGAAAACTATAATTGTTGAACTCACGGGGACCAATAGAAGACCTAGCATTTGTTGAGTTTGCATTTGAGAAAGCGCCAGTTACGAATTGAACAAAAGGGTCTGACTGGTTGCATGTTTTGTTCTCATGGCGCTGTCAAATCAGACTAATCAGATACCACGAACACAATGAAAACACAGCTGATTAGAAGTCGGGTTCCCTAGATTCGAGTGCTCGACTTTGCATCGAGAATCATCAGAGAGGAAACTCCCAATTGGGAGCCACTTCGTGAGAGTGATTTGCGGAGTTCCTCGTTGAAACAAAGAGCCAGTGCTCTGAAATGAAATTATATTCTGCAGAAAAAGTGTTGATTGGGACGACTAACCCGTCGAGAGCGTGTATTGCACACCAAAAAAATGTGCCCGTCAGGAATCTCAATGGCTTGCTGGGCACGAAAAAGGGGACGAGATAATAGCCGGGAATGCAAACCAACAAGAATAAGGCTTGAATGAATGACTGGAAAGGAGCACTTTCAGAAAATAACACGCTCAATCCAATTAGGGACTGGCCACAAGACCGAAACAAGGCTTTTCGAAGGCTTTTGAAGGCTTTTTGAGGGCACAACTTTTTCACCCATTTGAAATCATCCAATCGTGTCCAATCTTTGCAGATGACTAAGGCTTGGATTGAATTATATTGGGTGCACGTTTCAGACCGATCAGATTATCTGCTCCCAAGATGTGTGGATCAGAGACCGAAAAAGCTGCATTCTTACGAAGGTCGAAAGTTCAGCCTCCCCCCAGCCCTGAATAAAATCACCTGTTTCAAAAAAGCTATTTCCTTTTTCTGAAATGCACTCGATCTTTGACCTCTCCTCATTAATCTCCTCATTTTGCGAACTTTCGAAATGGTAATGAAGTCGACGATCACATTGAAAATGGCCATGAGGATAAGCTTCAAGCAGTCTCCGAAGATACCGTAACTCGTGCAAATGGGCAGGTCGGTGTACGCGAATCCCCACAGTTCACTGTCATAATAAATGTTACACGGCACTGAAAACGCGACTGAAAACATTTGAGAAACAAGAAAGAACGTACAGATTTGAAAGAATGAAATGAGTTCGATTAGCGCATAAAGGAGAGAGAGGTAGATGATGCGCTTGGTCCATTTCGAGCTGAAAACCGAGCATTCATTTGTGTTGTGAGATTGTGGGGTTCACCTGAATAAGCGTTTGTAAACGATCGGATGGAAGACGGCACAGAAGCGGTTGATGGTGATGAGAAGGTGCGATTGCATGGCCACATCGTAGCAGATCATGAGGAAGAAGCCGCAGTGATGGGAATGGGAAAGAAGGAACTGAGATTCTCTGGAAGTCTTCGGTTTGGAGAGGAGAGTTCGGATTCGGACGAACAGGGAAACCATCGGAAATACGTAGAAAAGGAACGTGGTCGAGTGGAGACCGTTGAATATTGCCTGATTCGCAGTGAGAAGCGAGAACGAATAGTTGAGCGAACGATTGTTTTGAATGGAAATCACGACGAGCCAATTGCAAATTGAGCCTATCAAAGCAATCTGAAAGTGCTCACTCCTAATAAGAATTGATTCGATAGAAAGTACCGGGACAAGGGTGAAGCCCATTAACTGTTGTGCTTCCATTCTGCAGAGAATGATCACAATGATGAATAGTGTGCCATGTGAATAGAAAACTTCCCGGAACTAGGCAAGGTTTTCAGAAAGAACAAAACCAATCAAAACAGAGCAAAGCGAGCATGGACCTTGCGGGATAACTTCCGCTGATTAGTCACCGTCTTGAGAGAGGGGGTCAGAACATCGGGAGCGTTGTTTTCAGTTTTCAATCCACTGTCTCTTCCAGAATCAATGCTCCCACTCCTAACGTGAAAGGTCTTGGAGACGAAGAAATCGCTCAATCGCTTTCCCCGCGGCCCGTCTCCTATTTTGACTCTTCTCTAGGACATAACGGTAGAGCGCAGATGCCACTCTCCGCGAGGCTACAATACACAATCGCTCCCCGCCACACGGCTCCTCTCCCAATTCCCCATCGGCTCAATTCCAATTACCTGCGCCCGGAACTCTCGCCATATTGTTATCGGTCTCTCTCTCTCTGTGTGTACGCCTTCCCATTCCAGCTATTCCTCCGTTCATCACTTATTTTGCCACCAAGATGCTCTTCATTCACTACGCGAACCTGACACACTTCAAACAAAACCGACAACACTTTTGGGAGGACATAAAGTTTTCCTGTTCATCGAAATCGTTCTCTATGTCATCGAGTAGGTCCTTTCCGGATTGGTTCTCTTCAAAGTTCGCATTCAGCCTTTTCAACATGCTCTTCAACTTCGTCGTGCTCATCCGTGCTCACCAGTTTCATTTCAACTTTTCCTGCATCCAGGCGGTCCTATTCGTCCTTCACTTTTTCGATAATGTCGCAGTGCTCGTACTCAAAATCTTAATGATAACTGAGATAGTGGACAGTTGGTTTCTCCGTATTTATCTCAATGTACTCCCTATTCAGATTCCGATCCAACTTCCAGCTTCCTGTTCTGGATCTCTATGAACATAACAATCTGCTTCACATTCTCAGGTTCATCAAGCCTCCTTCTTCTCTCTAATTTTCGCCCTATTCAGCCATGTGCACACTGTTCTTCCTGACCGTCGAGCGTTGTTGTGCCACACTTCTCATGCGTGATTACGAGCGTGAAAAGAGACGTTATATCTCCGTACTTCTCAATCTGCTCCTTCTCTCCTACGGCCTCATCTCCTGCTTTGTCATCAGAAACAAGGAACACACAATCTTTGTGATCTCGTTTCTTCTGGTAATCAACGGCATCGCACTTGTGGTGAGGGCTCCGAACGGAACACAGACAGTTCCTGAGTGCATGTATTTTGATTTGATGCTCCCGGTGCCAGACGGAGCAAGGTCACTGTAGTTGTGACCTTTCAAAGATCATATTGTTTTCAAGGATCTCTGTTCGTTGCAGATGCATTGTTTTCTTCGTTTCTGGAACAAACACATCTACACGGAACTGCACGATAGCGTGAGCGTAACGGCGTACTCGTTGGCAAAGAGATTCCAAGTCGCCGAGAACATCAAGTCTCTCCACGTACTCCCTCATTATCAAAACGATGTGCCCAATTTTCATACTTCCAGATGATGAACAATATCATCTTCTACATGGGTCTTATGAACGCCATCGTCGTCCTCAGTGTGCTCTTCTCGAGCTTCAACCTGACGCCTGAGCTGGAGCTCTTTCTCACTTTCTGCCTGGACACTTCCATCTTCGTCTACAGCTTCTGCTACCCCGTCATTATGTACCATTCGTGTGAGAGATGGAAGTCTGAAATGAAGTCGAGTCTCGAATGGATCGGCTTTCTGCATCGGTCCAACACTGCCAAAGTTGTTCCGATCCTAAGCACGTTTGGAGCGCGTCTGGAGCCGGCGAACACCATGGGCAGCCACTTTGATCACCTTCGCAACTCATGGGAGGCGATCCCACGAAAAAGTATAATATCTGTTGAGCGTTAAAGAAATGAAGAAGTGGAAGAAAGAATACAAAGCAGACAGAAAAAGATAAGAGGATAAGGGTGGATTGTACAATTTGACTGCACCTACAAATAATTGTGTATGAATACGTGCTTCCCTCGAGAGCTCGCTAGCTTTCCTTCTTTTTATGCCTCTTTTCAATCGACACATTCCACGTGGCTACTCTCGATTCTCGCAAGCCATGAAACTTCTCGTCTTCCTTCTCGCTCTTCCGTTCCTCCCGCGTGCTTCCGCATTCGACATCGGCTTCATCAGCCGCATTTTCCCGAATTCATTCACCCAGACCGAACCGTAAGTTAGCACCCATTCTCGTCTCCAAAAACTTCTGCTCCACAGCTTCTCCCTGGTGGCTAAAAAAGGTCCGAAATCGATCGAATTCGCACATTTCTTCCTTGACAAACTGCTTCTAAAAGGTTTGTGTCTACTATTATGAGCACTGCAATCTTTGCTCACTCAGGAAACTATTCTCACTCTCCGTCTCCGGATGGCGGCTTCCTCATACAATCCCCAGACAATCCGGTATCAGTCAACAACATTGATTACTATTGGGCCACCGTCCTCCATCCCATAATGAGAAACGCCTCGATCGGCTGCAAAATACCTTTACCATGGCTTGTAGACGTTTCAGAAACTATGGTTTGTACGTGGGTTCAACTAATTCAGACAACCTTCTTGGCAGCCTTCCTTCCATTTTCGTACTAGCAATGACGCAACGGAGCCAGAAGTCACTATGCGTAACTTTCTGACGATGGTACAACGACGTGATGAAGTACAATTCACGGTTCTCTCCAATTTCCAGGTACATTTACCCGGCGGCAGTTCCCCCTCTGAAATTGCCTGGTCGTGTACTCCCCTCACTCCTCAATGCTGCGGAGTCGGATGCTGCTCGAAGCCCGCGAAGAACATGAACGTGTCCCATCCGACTCATCAGATCTTCGTATACTTGTAATTCTCCAATCAAAACTCTCGGGATGCCATTCTTGCAGCTGCGTTGCCTTCCTCGTTCTCTGCATCTTCCTCCTTCTCGGCTCTCTCTTCTTGTTCGTCTTCAACGACTTCTGGTACCGCTACTTTTCGGGAGTGCCCTCAACTCCGAGACCGACAATAGAGAGCCACGAACTGAGTCAGTTGACTCCGTCCAACGGAAGATCTCTGTCCCGAAACCATCTTAATGTTTGAGCCTTCATACAAATTTCATCTCAATAATCGAATAAAGAGTTGTTAATCAAAAACGAAAACGAAATGAGAAGACGTTTATTATGAAGAGTGCTGGACGCCTGCGATCTGCGAAGTCTTTGCTCCTCTCGCCGTCGTCGTCGAGTACAAATCCTCGACGGTGTTTGTCGTTTTCCCTTTCAGAATCCCTAAAAGCATATGATGGATTGTTATTTGGCTTTTTAAGACGCACGTATAATTGTATTCCTGAAGTCGCGAATGATCAGAATCAGAATGAGTGGATCCAATCCGGGATAGAGGAAAGAGCAGAAGACGATGAAGTTGGCATTCGCATTCAGGTTTATGTCCAAGAACGGCGCGATGAACATGACGCCGGTGGGAATGTACATGAACAGCGAAGGGATCAGAGTCTGCAGCACCAGAGCCTTGAATAGCTGATTCTGAAGTTGACGGGTCCGATCGGAAGCTCCCCGATGCTCTCGGATAGTCCACCATGTCGAGAAGCCGCAGTAGAACACGACGACGAACGTCATCGACTGAAAAACGGTCGTGCAGTTGTTGTTGAAAATCCTTGAATCATACCATCACTAGGTAATGAACAAAGCATCCCAAAAGATTTTTAACGTAAACGTGTCTGACTCCATCTTGGTAGTAGTACTAAAAAGTCACCAGTCTGGCCATCAAGCTCAATCCTTTTTCTAGCTAAACTCACGTAGACATACGCAATATACGATACATTCTCTTTTGAGATTCCATTGTAATGAGTGCGCAGAACATTTCTGAAATATCGAAGAACGTGATAACAACGAAATCTTTCATACGTGACGGCGGTTTCGGTGTACTCGGTATCAGGGTAGAGGAAATAGGAGACACTTGCCCACGCGGTCACAGGAATGCTGCACCCGAGAGGCCAGATGAGCACGCGCGGAAACGCGAAGAAGCGGAGCAGATGCGGTCTGGAAGCGAACAAGAGTGAGTCAGCAGAATGGGGCACACCGACGTCATTCCACATCGGACCGAAAAAGCGGCGGTTCTTAGCACTGTCATGACTCACTTGCACGCGGCAAAGAAACGGTAGACGAAATGGACGGCGGAGACGACGAAACTGGTGGCGAAGCAGGCGCAGTAAAAGGCCGAATTGATCTTGCCGAGACGTGTGGAATAGTTTAGACACTTTCGAGAAATCAAGAAGAACGTCGTGTTCTCGATGTGCATTATCTACAGAATGGGCGCATTTGATAAAGGGAACTTGCTCTTTGGCGATTCGATCTTACCGGCCTCAAAATCGACTCGACAATAGCATAGAAGATTGAAAAGATGCAGAAGAAGATCATGAGATACTTGTAAGTGCCCAAGTTTCTGCCGCGAGTTCGAATGAGCCCCAGGAGCACAATGTTGACGGAGAAGGTAAGCGTGAAACCGACCATATCGGCCGTGTCCACGAGCGCAAGCCATAGTTGACCTGACATCTGAAGATCAGAGAAAAGAATGAGCTGCTGAAATGGGAAAGAGAGAGAGAGAGAGAGAGCAAGGGACGACGAAGCGAAGGGGAAGTAATAAGGGCGGCGTCATGGTCGAAGAATGCTTCTGAAATGTATGCGAACAAAATATGATCTCACATCAGATGTATGTTGAACAACTGATATCACGCTCCCGACTTTTCTAGAGAGAACCAACCACCTGATGGGAAGACGTTGTCTTCCCTAAATACGGGACATGTTTTGGAGTTGAAAAACGGGTATTGTGCACCGGAAATTAACGAAAACTACAACGAAAATACGACGACCAATAAAGAATGGACGATTTTTTCGTGTTGGCCGCGCCAAATATAAAGTGATCATTCTAGCCTTTCTTGTGAAAGTTAACTCGATTGTCTGTGTACCTGAAACGATCGTAAACCTTATGAAAAGTCGATTCATCGTGAAACCTAATTATGAGAAACAGAAAAGAGTCTTATTCATTTTTCTGTTTTCTATTCAGAGCTCCAGTTATCAGTTTAAATGCATAGATCAGCGACAGAACGATTGAGAGAACGACGGTGAGAACGATTGCGAGCACGTCAAGAAGGTAGAATTCAATGAAAGTCATCTGACGAGAGTAAGGATCCAGAGATGGAAGACGGCCGAATCTAAAAAAGATTGTTCTATTGGTAACAAGAGTTTCGTAAGTACCTGGCTGCGAATTCTGCATGCTTCAAAAACAACTCTTTCGGATGGAACGGCTGGAATTCCAAGTGATCAGCAAGCCGTTTCGCATTCAGTGCGTAACTAAAAACATTCAATCTCTCCAAGAGTTCATCACACCAATACCCATTACCTTTCATCGTACAGAATCTTTTGGAACACTTGCTCGATCTCAATCGGATCCGATAGTTTGTACTTTGTTATTTCGATCGACCCGTTGTGTCTTGCCAACATTTTTGCATTCCGCATCTGATCTGCGAATATTGGACACTGAAAATTGGAAAAATGAATGCTAAATCAATGTCTCGTCTACATTTCTTACCGTAATAGTCGGTTTTCCCAAATAACTGACCTCGTTGATACTTCCGAGCCCTCCGTGGGTCATAAACGCGGACAGACGCGCGTCGGCTGAAAATAGTGGACGGTTCGTTGAAAGCTCATAACTAACGTTCTCACCTAAAACTTCTCGCTGTGGAATCCACTTGGCAAAGTGAATATTCTGAATTCCCTTTGCGAAACTATCCACGTCATCTGCCTCATACTTCCAAATGAATGTCACTTGTGGGAACTTGCTCATGGCTTTTGCCATTGCAACTCTGAAGCCAACACACCAGTTTCACAGGTTATTGACACCATCACTCTCACTTTTTGTCCATCGGCATATCTTTCGAAAGAATGACGGATCCGAAAGAGATCAACATTGTCTTCTCCCTTTCATTGAGCACTTTATCCCACTGTTCCTCCACTTTTCCGCTTTTCAAGCTCTTCAAATCAACAGAAATTCCTCCGATTTGAATGTTTTTCGAGAGTGTCGGTCGTGTGAAGTCCAGATATGGATTCGAGTTCATGAAGAAGAAGGAGGAATGTGGCATCCTTTGCTGAAAATGTTTGTTTAGGTAAAAGTCGGCATCCCGCCCAATTACAGATGGATAAATCTTCTTTGTTGAGTCTTTATAATCTGAAAAATGATTTGGAACCAACGAGAAGATGTCAGTGGAGAGGCCGATCAGAGCATTCATGAATCTCTCGTATAAACTCATTCGGTCGGAGGACTGTGCCATCAGATCTGAATGGAGCGTCACTGACGTCTGATGCGCTCACTCACTTGGAATGAAACTCGGCGTCGTCGGTTCTCCCATCGCTGAAGCAGTCATCGAGTCGTACGAAATGGATCCTGCGATGGAGAATGTTTTGATTTCCAGATACTCCATTAATGCTGGAAGGATACCATTCGATTAGAGAATACAGAAGACAACTTACGGAATGCACAAGCGAACATACTTTCAAAAAGCATCACGTCAAACTTTCTTTTCTTGAGCTCATCCAAAATCGGAAGATTCACCGCGAGAACAGCGTGCTGTTCCTGGTTGACAGATTGGAAGAAGTCGGCAGTTTGAGGCACTTCGAACACGGAGAACTCTTGATTCCACCACCGTTTGTTGCCGGCGATCAGGTCTCCGATGGCCTTCAGTTTCGGGCTCGGCTGGAAAACGTTCGAAAGTGCACTCAAAACAACCTAATTTCAGTGAGACTCACATCCAAATGAACAACATCCTCTGTTAGTTTTGTGTATGTAAAGTTGCGGAATTCGGTGACAATAGTTGGAGTGAATAGCGTCTGAATGATTCGATCCGTTCACTTTTTCAGTTTTTTTTGCAGCCCAAGTCTTACCACATTATGCCCGGCCTCAGTGAGAATATCGGCAATCCTTCCCAGAAAAGTAGTATGACTGTGACCAAATAAGGGACAGAAAACTAGAAAGTTGTAGGAATACGCGGAACTGGCGAGAAGAAAAACCAAACATGTCAACTTCATGACGATGAAAAAACGAAAATGATAAGACAGTCACAACAGACTACTCTTTATTGACCCGTCATCAGAAAACCCCCGACAAAACAGACTGTGCGAATTGTAGTTGATTCAATTCGTTTTGTGTTTTACGGCCGAAAACGTGAATGGGAGACAACTGATCAGCAGCCTCGATAGTCGGTAAAGAACGAAAAGGACCAGTAGAACGGAAGCGACGACGATGGCTGCCACGTCAATAAGGAAGTACTCGACGAACGACATTTGGCGGGAATAAGGGTCCAGAGACGGAAGACGTCCGAATCTGAAAAGTTACGATTGGAAGCGATGAATCGAAACGGACACTTACTGAGCGGCAAACTCGGCATGTTTCAACAAGAGATCTTTGGGTTTCGTAGGCTGATTCGCCAGTTGATGGGCTAGATTTTCAGCTGCTTGTTTGTACCTAAACACTGTCACTTTATCACTTTGCCGTTTCTCCGTTTCCGTTTCACTCACTGAACATCAAACACAATCGTCCGCAGCGCTTCTTCGATTCTGTCCGGATCCGCCAGATCGTACTTGGACAACTCGATGGATCCGTTATGTCGAGATAACATTTTTGCATTTCTCATTTGGTCGGCGAAAATAGGACACTATAAATGTTCTTCTAACTTTTTTAAACTCTCTTTGAAAATGTTTTTACCAGAATGGTGGGCTTCCCAAGATAGCTGACTTCGTTTATACTTCCAAGACCAGCGTGTGTGAAGAATGCGGAGAGCCGAGAGTCGGCTGAAAACGGATTGATTTAAAACTTACAACGAACAGCCACAAACCAAGAAGAGCCGTTTGTGGAACCCATGTGGAGAAGTGAATGTTGGCGGTTCGTTCGGAAAAGCTCTCCGTGTCATCCGTCTCGTACTTCCAGATGAACGTCACCTCGGGAAACTTGCGCATAGCCCGTACCAATGACGATCTGAAACGGACGGCTTGTTCTGCATATTCCATTTCCTCACTCACTTGTATTTCATTGGCATGTCCTTGGAAAGCATCACCGATCCAAAAGAGACCAGCACAGTTTTGGGTCTCAAAGAGAGAATGCGATCCCATTCCTCGTTCACTTTCTGATTTTTCAAACGCTCCATGTCGACAGAGATCCCTCCGATTTGCACGTTTTTGGTGATCACTGGACGCGGGTAATCGATGAACGGATTCGAATTTGTGAAAATGAACGAGGATTGTGGCTCAACGGAAGCAATGTCGATGGGTTCGAAAGGAGCACGGAAGGAAGTGAACACTTGCATCGGGAGGAAGAAGTCGATGATGGGAGGAGTCACAGTGCTTACGAGTCTTTCGAATAGACTCATTCTATCAGTTGACTTCGAAAGGGGGACTGGAAATAATAAAATAAGAGAGTTCTGATCCATTCGGCCTTACGTGAGACGGCACTCGGCATCACTGGTTCACCGATTGATCTTGACAACTTTAAATCGTAAACAACTGAGATGGAAGGCAGGAATGTTTTGATTTCAAGGTAATCGAGAAGAGCTGGAAGGAGCTGCGTTAGCTCAACTTTGTTATTAATGCACTTACGATAGGAACACAACACAAAGCTCTCGAATATCATCGCATCAAACTTTCTTGCTTTGAGTTCATCGAGTAACTCCAAATTGTCTCTGAGCACATTCGCTTGCTCAGCGTACATATTATGGAAGAGTTGGAGAGCCGGGAGCATTTCGGAGATCGAGGAATCGTCCGTCCAGAATCTCGAAAAGTCCTTGTCTTCCATCGAAGCTCCGTACTCCTCCAGTTTCTTGCTTGGCTCCAAATGAATCACATCTTTCGTTGACTTTACGTACTGAACACGTGCAAACTTCTTAACGATGATCGGTGTGAAGAATGTCTGAATAAATGGAAATGCATTGAAGTGGAAGAATTTGTGATACCAACCACATTATGCCCGGCATCCGAAAGGGTGTCTGCGATTTTAGCGAAGTAAGTAGTGTGACTGTGCCCGAATAATGGACAGAATACGAGATAATTGAACGAAAAAACAGTTTGGATCAGGAGAAAAGTCACTAGAATCGGTCTCATTACTAATTCTTGTTATAAGTCTGCCTGGGCCGTGATTTATATACTATCATTTTATCGGCAAAGACCACAATCCGATCACAAATTGGTCACATACGGAGGCAAGTTCTGCGTCTACACGTGATCGTTCCCTGTAAGGCATTCTTTATGAAAGATATTTCTTCAGTTTTTCATCATCTCTTTATGATCTCTTTTGTCAGTTCAGCTACAATTGGCACACGGACAGTCCGTGGTTTGTAGCGGCGGCGATAGAACACGAATCCCCAATTGTTGATCGAATGGACAAGAAGAGAAACTAAACATCTGTAATCAAGTTTTTAGATCAAAAACTTCATTGTTTCTTCGAATACCTCGTCGCGAACTCTGCATGTTTCACCAGCAGTTCCTTGAAAGCATCTGTGATCCTGGAAGTGACAGCCAAATTAAACTTTGACTATTTAATTGAGCCATTGTGCGGAGCCAACATTTTTGCGTTTCTCATTTGATCGGCAAACAGAAGGCACTGAAAATTCAGACTGTTGACTAGTCATTTGAGTTCCGAATTCATCGACACTTCGAAGACCGGCGTGCGTCAGGAATGCGGAATTCATTGAATACGGAAAAGAAGTGAGTGCTCACCGAGAAGTGATATTTGAGGGACCCGTTTGGAAAAGTGAATGTCGTGCGTGTGCTCCGCAAACTCGTGAGGATCGTCCGTCTCGTACTTCCAAATGAACGTGACTTCGGGGAAGTTCTTCATCGCCTCTGCCATCGACTTCTTGTAGAGCAGATAACATGACTGATCTGAAAGAAACGAGCATTGCTTTTTATCAAGCATTCAACACTGTACACATATTTTTTCAGCGTCTCGAACGCCTCCGAATGCACTACATCCTCCGTAGTTCTTGTGTATTTAACGTGGGCGAAACATTTCAATCAATAATAGTGGGAGTGATGAATGTCTGTAAGTAGCGGGACAATAACAAGACATGTGTACTCTCTCACCACTTTGTGACCTCCGTCTGTCAGTGAATCGACGGTTTTTGCAGAGAACATAGTGTGACTATGACCGAACAAGGGACAGAAAGCGAGGAAGTTGAAAGAGGATACAGGGTGGAGCAGGGAAAGAAAAGAAGAGCAGTATTGAACATTGATAAGAAAATGGAAAAAGACAACGTGTTGTGAACTGTCTTTTGTTGATAAAGGCGACTATAAAGTACGTATTTGAAAGCTGATAAGAACGGAAAGTGTAATGGAAAAGTGAAGGTTCAATTGGTACTTTGTAGCAGACTCGATTCGAATGACTACGAGTAAAGATCTTTTATTGATAATTTAATAACCCGTACAAGATAAAACTGGTTAGGAGTTGTGACACATCAATTATTCGAGTTTTGCTTTTGTAATTGAGCTGGTCAACTTTAGGAGGACAAAGTAAAGAGTTGCTAAGATCAGGAGCCCGACGGCGGCAAACAAGGCGACGACATCAATCAAAAAGTACTCGACGAAGCTCATGTTTCTGATGTTGCAGTCCAGCCCCGGCTGCTCTCCGAATCTGAATCATTTAATTGTTAAAATACCTCCTCCGATAATTCACTCACTGAGCTGCGAACTCGGCGTGTCTGACCAGAAGTTCTTTCGGCTTCATCGGTTGGTTTTCGAGTCGCTTCGCCAGATTTTCGGCGTTCGCTTTGAAACTCTCGTCGTAAAGAATGTTGTGGAAGGCGGTTCGGAGAGCGCCGTATTTCGGAAGATCAAATTTGGATATTTCGATCGATCCGTTGTGTCGAGTCAGCATTTTCGCATTCCGAAGTTGATCAGCGAACAGGGGACACTACAGTAATGGAATGAATGAGGAAAAAAGAAGGGGAAAATGAAAACCCACCAATATAGCAGGTTTTCCTAGGTAGCTCAGTTCATTGACACTTCCGAGTCCGCCGTGAGTGAGAAAAGCGGACAGTCGTGAATCCGCTAGCAAAGCCTTCTGAGGCACCCATTTGCTGAACACAATGTTGTCTGCTCCGCCCGCAAAACCAGTGTCTTCTGACTCATACTTCCAAATGAACGTGACATTCGGAAGTGACGTCATCACTCGCACGAAATTCGCCCTACAATCGGAATGGAATAATCCGAGTGAGTCGTGAATGAATTCGTTCTCACTTGTAACTGTCGGGCATGTAAATCGAGTGGAACATGGAACCGAACGAGATCAGAATGGAATGAGGTCTTTTGTTCAGCACTGCGTTCCATTTCTAAACTTGTTTTCATTTCAATTTCCCACTTTGAGATTCAAAATGTCCAACCTCGTCCACTTTCTTGCTTCTCAATTCATTCACATCCACAGTGATCCCACCGATTTGCACAGTTTTTGTGATCATCGGACGCGGGAAGTCAATGTAGGGATTGGAGTTGATGAAAATGAATGGTGCACTGTGATAGACGGACTAAAAAGTGGTCATTGGACGGAATTCGAACATTTCCTTATACCTCAATCTCCATAATCTTTTTCGGATCCCGCAAAGTTGACCACTCGGGCCATTGAAGTATCCACTTGCCGAGAAAATAGGAAATCGTATTGGTGGCCCGCTCTTGGAAGTTCATCACATTCCCAAAGTTTGTGAAGTACCCTACAATGATTCAGTTGAACCGGAAAACGGACGATTGGAGTTATAGAATTGACCTGATAGATAGCTCGGATTGACGGGTTCTCCTAATAACTCCGCGATTCGGTTGTCGTGAGTAACCGAAGCGACCGGCAGGAAAACGGGAATTTCCAGGTAGTCTTGGATCGCTTTCCCCATGAACATGAATCCTTCGAAGACGATCACGTCGAACTTTGGACGCGTTTTTTGCATTTCATCAAGAACATGAACGTTTGCTCGAAGATCTGTAACACACAAAACGTTTCCCGATAAAATTCAGTTTGCACTGACTGTCCATGACTTTGTCGAAGATAGACATGAAGCCAGTGTAGCTGGGAATCGTCTCGAGCATGCTTCCTTCTTCGCTCCAGAATCTGGACAAGTCCCCGGACTCCATCTGATTCCCCAATCTATCAATCTCCTCTGTCGTCTGGAAATGTTTTGCGTTGGCCTCATTTTGCACCACCACTAACTGACCTCAATGTAAACAAGATCTTTGACGGATTTAGAGTACGAAACATTTCGAAAATTGGAAGTAACCTGGATGGAAAGGAGAGTCTGTAAAGGGGAAGAATAATATATTTCAGTACAAACCACCGATCACTCACCACATTATGACCGCTCTCCGCCAGTGAATCGGCGACTTTTCCCAGAAAAGTGCAGTGACTGTGGCCAAAGCTCGGGGAAACCACCAAGAAATTATAGGATTGGACTGGAGAACAAATGCTCAGAACGGCAGCCACCAATACCAGAATTGAAGCCATTTCTCGTTCTCTGCCACCGGAATCGGCTACCATTTTATAGTTGTGTTAATAGGCCGCCTACCATGGGCATGGGCACGGACACAACCGACAGGGTATAGTTTGTGGTGTGTCTCATTTAACGAAAGACATAATGCTAATCACTAATCACATTTTACTCTCAACGAACGATCGGCCCGTTTCAGCGTCAGGAATGCTCTTTTCGAAGCCTGATAAACAAGAGTAAATAGGAAGAAGACACAAAAAGAGATCACAAAAATGACATCAATCAGAAAGTTCTTTCAACTTTTTATTTCAATCAGAAAAAAAACCTACTTTTCAGCCGATCCACGATTGTCCACTTTCTTCACTCACGCCGGTCTGGGCAGTCTGAACGAACTGAGCTACCTGGGAAAAACCCGCAATTCTGGAACTTAGGCTTCATCTGCGACCACTCTTTCCCCTATATAATCTAGTTAATTTCAGTGCCCTCTGTTTGTCGATCGAATGCCAAAATGCTCTCTCGTCACAATGGATCCATGGAGATTTCCAAATTTGGACACCGTTTGGAGAATCAGCCCGTGAAACCACGTCAACTTCTCGTGAGCCATGCCGAGTTCGTAGCACAATTCGGCGAGATCTCGTCGTTGCATCCGACGACGCGGCGGCTGACTTTCATCGAATATTTTATGACTTTAAAGTTTTCTGGAGTTTATTTTACCTAAAAGCGCCGATTATGGAATCCACTTCGAGACTTCGAACATTGGACGCATTTTTGGCAACACTATGGTTTCTTTGATCGAGAACGGAAGGACGCCAGAATGATGTCATGGGTGAGTGAAGTGACGGGAAAAAAGAATAATTCTTGTGCTAGACTTCTTCAGCCTCCGATCATCCAGGACCATCCGCCACCAAGATCCGCGGCTCTTTTTGTGGTTCTCTCAGCTTTTTTGGGATGATGTTGCTCTTACCGTCACTGTTTGGAGGCTAGATAACACGTCATCAAGCGACCATTGCGGTCATGCATTACACGTGAATCCCATCATCGCTGAATGCGTTTCCGCCTCCCCCTTTCTTTCCTAAATACTGTCCTTGCAATCATAGACGTTACATTGGTTCATGGTTTTTCAATGAAAGTTCATCTTAACAAAGATCGTCTGGTTACTCTACATTAACACTACAACTGGTCGAAAACTACTCGGCGCTTCTGCTCACTTTCACTTTCTACTTGATGTGCTCTACTAGGAACTGAAGATCTATCTTGAATTTCGCAGACTCATGCTCTCCGTTCCACCAGTGGCTCAAGAACCTCTACTCCTGGAATCCATTGTGGCAATGTTCCGTATCCATGCTTTCCGTGATAGATATAAACTTGTTTTCAGATCTACTCAACTTCGAATCTCAAATCACAGCCGACAAGTACTTCAACTTACACAAAAGCGACTTTCCGTGCTTTTATCACCTCATAAATTTGTTGCTTTTGTTTGGTCCCTCCTTTTTCGGCATAGCGTTGAGATTCAGGAAGCGAAAGAATGGGAAGTTTCCGCGTACTTTATGCATGGCAACGATGATCCTTCGGCAGTCATCAGCAGAAGACCGACGTCTTCTCGGAACGGCCGAGTCTTCGATGACTGATTCCTGCCTCTAACACCTATTTTTCTGTGCTAATTGCTATTTTCGCATCATGCGCCGCCTGGTCTGATCGGAGGAAACGTGAGCTGTCACCGTCGGTTTCCCCCTTCCAGTTGCCCCCCACTCTGCACCCGTTTTCTGTCGTCGGAACTTTCCTTCTTTGCCCTTTTTCCGTGCCCCTCCAACTCTTTCCACCACTTATCCCCGCAAGTTTCTGAATAATTCACCGCCTGGCCCAAGCCGGGCTTTCACTCAAATTAGCATTCGTTTTATGGTTTTTAAGCCGGCGGCGCGGCTCCAAATTTATTTGATCCGGTAGTGGCGCAGAGAACCTCATTAAAGCAATGGAGACCACTTGACGTCCGATAATTGGCGGGTTCGTGGCTCCCCAAAAAGAGGATCGAAGGTCGTTTCTGAGGGGGAGGATGCTCTTGCTCTGCTCGTTACCACATCATAAACGAGATCGGCTCCCCCCCCCCAAGTGTCTTGCTCGTCTTTCTTTTCTGCTTTGCTACTAAACTAACATACCTCGAGGGAGCCAGAACACTCATTGGGCGGCCCGCAAGCAATACACCTAGGCGGAATTGAATTGAGACAGCCGCTTAGGCGCTTCTTCTTCTTCTTCTTCTTCCCCTTCCTCTCCTGGTCCCCAACTTCATTTGTCGTCCCGTGAGTCCTGTCTCGCGGATGAGTATGAGTGGTCCCCTCCCCCCCTTTCCTTCCGTTTTGCCGGCTCATTTTGCAGATAATAGAATAACAGACAAACCGAATTGAGGGCGGCTGGCTGGCGAAGAGAGGGTGGCGGAGGAGCGGAGCGGAAGAGACAAGGACCTTCCGAAAACACTTACGATCATCACTTGACACGTTCAGCATTATTTTATTTTTATTCCGCCATCTTCGCCAATCATTTTTCTGGAAAATGAGAGCAAATCGTTCAGAAACGGGCGTCGGCTAGATGAGTAATCGCCGCCGTGCCAGTTGACAATTTCGTCTGCTAATCTATTTTGATCTGCTGTTTTTGTAGCATGTGTTTGTGCAGGAACACGGACGAGTCTGATGTGATCACCTCGGAATTCATCTAGTTGAAGATCTGATCTTCTAACTGACATCTGATCTTCTAACTGACATTCTCTTGCTTCGAAAGTGCACGTCTCCAGGTTCCCATGTCCTTCGTGAGAATGTCTTGAACCAACACTCACTTCCTCCCCAAACGATAATGACGTTTTTCCGTTCATTTATACATCTCTTTCCTTCTCCCCGCAAAACCGAAATGTTTATGATCTCATATATCCTTCCAGTTTATAGTTCCGCTTCCAGATGGTCTGGAAAGCAGCAGGAGCACAAAAATATGTCACCACATAAACAATTCGCCGTCGTCATTCAAAATTTCGCTCCATCTGCATTTGACATTTCCTCTTCGAGCCCTTCTCTTGGGTTTTTCACGAGTTTCTATTCATGTCGCGCCGCCACGTCATTAAAAATTAGTCGAGATTCAATAGAGACGCATCTTCTTGTTTCCTACTTTTTTGGCACCCATGCCACGTCATGCATAAAATGCCCGTTTTCCGGTGAAGTCTTCAAGTCCTTCGCCCACTTCCGCAGTGGCTAATCTGGCATTCCGGTTGGTAATTTATCGTTGGCAGCAACTCTCTCTCTCTCTCTCCATGTTTTCTGATAACATTCCCATGAGTGTTCTGCTCCTCTTCATCTTGTCTTCGGAGCACTCCGCCCCTTCCGCTTCCTCTGCCTAACCCGATTATCGTTATGAAGATGATGTTCGACGACAGCCACCGGCGATTCTGATTCTGTTTGCTCACGGCGGGGGCTCTCCTTTTTTGCGGCTCTTCTCGATTCATTACACACCCCATCCATTTTCCAATTTCTACTACATCTTCGTCTACGCACGTCTTCTCCACCACTCTGCTCCTTCGCTCTGCCTCCTGGAGAAAAGAGGAGGAGGAGGAGGAGGACATCGTTTAGTATCTTTCGGGCATCTTCCAGTACCGCTGCCGCCACCGCCCGTCTCTCTTTTTCGGATGTTTTGTGATTGCTTCTAGATTTCTGAGCCCCAGCATCCCTGATGTGATTCATCGATGCGCCACGTCCTTCTAGCGACCCTATTCCTTACCGTCTTCCAAGTGCATCACGTCTCCGCTCAACTCAATTTTAAAGTAAGTCAAACAGATTACTGTAGCCGAAGAACAGAGTTCATGTTTTCGCAGAAAGTCCAAAACACTGACAACACGCGTCGGCAACAGCAAAGGAACCGAAAATCAGAGGCATTCGATCAGTACTCCCACTTAGCAGACACTGGAGAAGTCAATGAGCAGCTCAGGTATTACACTCACAGCTTCGAGCAAAAAGTGCGGGAGGCCGTTCGCGATGAGGAGTACATGCTCAAGAATCTGTGGTACGATCCGGAGTACGTCATCCACGACCTGTGTGAGCCGCACAAATCGGGCGGACAGACGGGCGAGTTGATATGGTCAGAGTCGGGAGATCGTCTTCTGAAAGTGATCGGGAACGGCGTCGTCGAGGACGGGTACAATATGTTCATGGCACCGGGGCAATCACACGGGAAACGGACGGATGTGCACGTGGCGGTGTACATCGAATCCATGTCTTCTTTCAAAGCACAATCTATGGACTTCGAGGTGGACATGTACTTGGCGATGGGATGGTTCGATCGGAGGCTCGCTCACAATTGCACACATCCGATACTGGTCACCAGCAAAGTAAATTGTTCGACTGTTCTGAAATACTTCTTCGTTTTTTAGTTCATCGCTGATCGAATCTGGTATCCGGATTTGTACTTTGTCAACTCGAAGTACGCGTACCTGCAAGAAGTGACCACTCCCAACCTGATGGTGGTCGTCTATCCGGACGGACTCATCTTCAAAACGATGCGGCTCGACGTTACTCTCTCCTGCATGATGGACTTGAAACTATTCCCTCTGGACTATCAGGAGTGCCCGCTGACCATCCAAAGCTGTGAGTTTTGTTCGTGTTCTTTTTCTTCCCATTCCGAATGTTCCAGTTGCCTACATCGAGCAGATCGTCAACTTAACGTGGCGGGATGATCCTCCGAACTTTCCGATTGGGTTCAACCCTGATATCAAACTGAACGACATGCAAATCACAAATAAACGATTCAAAAAGTGTGCGGGACCGTATCCAATGTTCAGAGGAGAGGCCATCTGGAGCTGTATCCAGGGGTTCATAGTGATGAAGAGACTCGTGCTCTTCCATATCATCCAAACCTACATTCCCACAGGTGAGCCCCTCCGCTCATTGATCTCTTCGAAACGAGCAAAAAACAGGCATGCTCGTCTCGATTTCGTGGATGTCGTTCTGGCTGGATCCGCGTGCCAGTCCCGCCCGTATCTCGCTCACAATCACCTCGTTACTCACTCTGACGACAATGAGCAACGGAGCCCGACAGGACCTGCCGCAGGTCTCCTACATAAAGGCACTGGACATCTGGCTGACATTCTCGCAAGCGCTCATCTTCCTCGTGCTTCTCGAGTACTCGTTCGTCTCGTATTACATGACGAAACGGACGACAAACTGTTCGCATCGAAGTCTGTTTTACGAGGAGAGAGTGCAGGAATGCAAGAGGGAGGAGAAGGTTCGAGAATGAATTAATATTCTCGAGATGTCATGTTTTTCCGCAGGCTCGCAAGTCGATCGTCAACAACAACAAGCCGTCGAACGCCGGCGTTTCCGAAGTATCCGATTTGAATAGGAACAAAAAGTCGCAGCAGTTCTCGTTGACCCACGGAATATCTGCGTGTCTCAACGAGTCGGCGGTAACACTTTCAGGCCCACAAATCATTCGAGCATAAATTAACAGGCGCTCATGTCGGTCACGCCCACGCCTCCTCGATTATTCACCAAGTTCGACACCAACAAGCCGTGTGCGCGGTGTTCCGAAAAGAACGAGCGGATAGCAGTCAAAATTGATGAATGTGAGCACGCTTCTCTTGCCGCCGACCGACCAAACAACACTTTCAGATAGCCGCTGGCTGTTCCCCACCGTCTTCTCGGTATTCTGTCTCTCCTATTGGCTCTACTTCACTTGGCGATCTTCCTCCTCGGACTCGGAAGGCTGACGGACCTGCAGAGTAGATAATCCATGAGTTATGTGTCACCGAAGCAATAATTCCTTTCTGTTTGACAAGAACTGCAATAAATATGATCATATTTGTTTTGATAATTTGCAAGATTTTGATGGTATTCCTATTAAATTGGATGACAATTATGCTCAACTGCCATTAATTTTTAGTACGCTTCAGTTTGAGCATTTAAATGCATTTTGCGGCCAAAATCGACGATGGACTAGTTTTCGCGGACTAGTAAACCCCAGCTTCTCAGCGACCGCGTTAACGAATTCGCAAATTGTCCGCCTTTTTTCTGCTTTCTACTCAGCCGTTTTCCTTGTTTAGCCCACTCAATTTGCAAAGAAAAATTATTAAAATCTTCAGAACATTGGTAAAAACCTCAAATGACCTCAATTATCAAGCTACAAGTCTTCTCCGGCGCAAAAGACGAAGGCCCCCTGTGCTATCTGCTGCAGGTGGACGGAGATTACATTTTACTCGACTGCGGATGGGACGAACGGTTCGATTTGAGATATTTTGAAGAGTTGAAACCTTTTATTCCGAAAGTGAGTCGGTTGACAATGTTCCCGTCAACTTTTTCCATTTCAGATCAGCGCAGTTCTCATCTCTCACCCAGATCCGTTACATCTCGGCGGATTACCCTATCTCGTAGCAAAATGCGGACTCACTGCGCCAGTTTATGCGACAGTCAGTCTCTCCGAAGCGCTGCCCACGTAAAAATGGTTGTTTCAGGTACCTGTCTACAAAATGGGTCAAATGTTCATCTACGACGTTGTGTACAGTCATTTAGACGTCGAAGACTTTGAATACTACTCTCTGGACGATGTGGATATGGCATTCGAGAAGGTGGAACAAGTGAAATATAACCAAACTGTCGTGCTGAAAGGAGACTCCGGAGTGCATTTCACCGCGTTGCCCGCAGGTCACATGCTCGGAGGATCCATCTGGCGGATTTGTCGAGTCACTGGAGAGGATATCATTTATTGTGTCGACTTCAATCACAAAAAGGAGCGCCACTTGAATGGATGCTCGTTTGACAGTAACCAATTTTCTTCGGACTTTGCCAGAGGATTGAAAGTTTACAGATTTTAACCGTCCTCACTTGCTCATCACCGGAGCCCATCACATTTCGCTGCCGCAGATGCGACGGAAAGATCGAGACGAACAGTTGGTGACGAGGATTCTGCGGACAGTTCGGCAGAAGGGAGACTGCTTGATTGTGATCGACACGGCCGGAAGAGTCCTCGAACTCGCGCATCTTCTGGATCAGTTGTGGTCGAAGTGAATTCACATCTATTGTATACTTTACAAAGCGTTATTTTCAGCGCGGACGCAGGTTTATCTACTTACAACCTCGTGATGATGTCCCATGTGGCTTCCTCAGTTGTCCAGTTCGCCAAATCGCAGCTCGAATGGATGAATGAAAAGCTGTTCAAGTACGATTCCAGCTCTGCGCGCTACAATCCGTTACCCTGAAGAACGTGACTCTCTGCCATTCACACCAAGAACTGATGCGAGTACGATCGCCGAAAGTGGTTCTGTGCAGTAGTCAGGACATGGAATCGGGCTTCTCGAGAGAGTTGTTTCTGGATTGGTGCGTCGACACCAGGAACGGAGTCATTCTGACCGGAAGACCTTCCGGGTATACTCTCGCCGCAAAGCTGGTCAATCTGGCCGAAAAGGCCAACGATGGAGTACTGAGCCAAAAGGATCGGTATCTGAGTCTGTTGGTGAAAAAGAGAGTGGCACTGGAAGGAGAGGAACTGTACGAATACAAAAGACGGAAAGCGGAGAGAGATGCGGAAGAGACGCGGTCCCGAATGGAACGAGCGAGAAGACAGGCTCAGGCGGCAGAAAGCGATGAAAGTGACGACGACGAGATGGCGGCTCCAATAGTCCCAAGGCACGCAGACAAGGATTTCCGGTCGTTCGATGGAACTGACAACGAAGCGCATTGCTTTGATATCATGGCCAAGTGGGACAATCAGCAAAAGTAAGTTATTGTATCCCAAAATCCGTACATGATTTGAAGTTTAAGGACATCGTTCTTCAAAACAACGAAGAAATCATTCCCAATGTTCCCTTATATCGAAGAAAAGGTGAAATGGGATGATTACGGAGAAGTCATCAAGCCGGAGGATTACACGGTCACTTCGAAGATTGACCTGCGAAAAGGACAGAATAAGGGCGAACTAGTGGTTGTGAAGAAGCGGGAAGAGGAAGAGGAAGTGTACAATCCGCTCGATCATGTTGAAGAAATGCCGACGAAATGCGTCGAGTTTAAGAACCGGGTGGAGGTGCTGTGTCGCATTGAGTTCATAGAATACGAAGGAATATCGGACGGAGAGTCAACGAAAAAGCTGCTTGCTGGTCTGCTGCCTCGTCAGATCATCATTGTGCACGGTTCGATGCAAGACACCCGAGACCTGTTCGCCTATTTCAAGGAGGCCGGAGTTGCGGAAGGAAAGATCGAAGCGCCGGCGACTGGACAACTCGTCGACGCTTCGGTCGAATCGTACATCTTCCAGGTGGCACTCAGCGATGCTCTGATGGCTGATATTCAGTTCAAGGAGGTGTCCGATGGAAACAGTCTCGCGTGGATCGACGCAATAGTCACGGAGAAAGATACCGTTGACGACTTGCTCATCAAGCGCGCCACCCGTCTCAATATCAACGGTTCACAGGAAGAAGAAGAAGAAGAAATGGAGAAAGACGTGCTGGAAATTGTCGACGAGCCGATGGACACGGATGCTCCTAGAGCGATTGAAAGCAATACTATTGCCGAGAAGGAGAGCGCTAAAATGCCGCCAGTAATCGGAGGTCCGAAAAAAAGAGTGCGCGGAAACATGGTGCTGGAGCCCGTTCGGAGTTTGAAGGGACCCATCCACGCGGTAAGAAACGACAGACTAGTCATCTTCCTACGTTATGATCAGCTTCAAAAAAACTACGATCGGTGCCATATTTTGTGTTTCCGGTCAATCGAAAGATCACTTTCTGTCTTGTCTATAAATAATCAGCTTCCCACCGACTTTCGAAAGTGTTGCCCGCTTATTACGCACTTGCTTTCTTCTTTACATCTTATTGGATTGCTGATAAGAGCACACAAGACTGTTCTTTGCTGCTTCTAGTCTAATTTTGTGTCACGGAAAAGGACAGCGACGATTTTGCACGCTGCTCTTTTTTCCCGTAAACCAATTCATTCAATTTACAGTCCGTCTTTGTTAACGATCCAAAACTGACCGATTTCAAGAACTACCTCGTCGACAAAGGATACAAAGCAGAGTTCGTCGGCGGAAATCTTCTTATCGACGGTAAGCGTACACTTGGCTCCGTGCCAACTATACACTTTTCTCTATTCAGGAACGTGCTCAATTCGTCGTCAGGAGACTGGCATGTTTAAAATGGACTGCGCAATCACCAAACAATATTACCTTATTCGCAAACTTTTCTACGATCAATTCGCTGTATTGTAACGATCTCTTACCAATAAATTCCATCATTTCCTTTCTTCCTGCTCTTTTACTCTGAATCAACTTCTTTTCAGACGCGAATGAACGACCGGTCGCCGTCTGCAACATTCCCTTTGTCCGTTTCCGCCGCCATTCTATTTCAGTCGTTTACGTGCTCTTTGCTCACCGGTCACCGCTTTTATGCATTCGTCTGAAATGGCCGCAGATGTCCTGGAAACGCGGCGACGAACGGAATGTGCAAACAAGTCATCTGGAGAGAGCAAAACGTCACTGCCGAGCAACTTTCCTTGTTTTGTCTTTTGGAGCATGTGATGGGTGTAAACAACGCCCACTCTCGTCCCGATTGTACTGTTTCCCTTTGTTTCGGTTTTTGAGCTGAATTGTGACGAGCATAAAGCATAAGTATTACTGTACTTTTTTCAAAAACGGTCGACGTGAAAACCAGAGAGCGACGGCGAAAAAGCGCAGAATTTACGTGAAGTGCGACCGGCAGACCGTACGCTAATCGAAGTGCTTCCTTTCATTTCCTATTCGCGTGCTTTCTCGGTATGTCCGTCCTTCCCAAACTTCTCGGCGATAAGACACAAAAAGACCAACCTCCTTTTATTCTCCACCTCTTTTTTTCGTCTGTGCTAAAGCGGCGCAAGATTGATAAAACTGAAAAGTCTATAAAACACTCGGACACCTCCCGATTCTCGCCATTCTCCAGACATGCTGGACATTCTCGTCGACGTCGTCACCTCAACGTTAGCCGACGGAGGAGTCAACCTCACCGATTTTAGGGTAAGTGGCTTTCCGGATTCCTCCTTCCACTTCTTATTCTTCGTTCTTCAGCATTGTTTCCTGTGGGCTTTGATCGTCGGAATATGTCTCGCTTTCCTGCTCGGATTCGGAATGGGCGCCAACGACGTCTCGAACGCGTTCGGAACTTCGGTCGGCTCGGGCGCTCTCACTCTCCTTCAGGCCTATCTTCTCGCGACGATATTTGAGACTCTCGGCTCGGTGTTGGTTGGATATAACGTGATAGACACGATGCGGAAGGGCGTCGTCGACGTGGCAGTCTACAACAATTCGGCCGGAGACTTCATGATCGGACAGGTTGCAACGCTGGGAGGATGTGCCACATGGCTCATGATCGCCACGTTCCTCCATCTTCCTGTTTCGACGACGCACGCCGTCGTGGGCGCCACTCTCGGATTCTCGATCGCCTGCAAAGGATTCCAGGGAATCCAGTGGATGATGGTCGTTAACATCGTCGCCTCGTGGTTCATTTCTCCGATCTTCGCCGGATGCATCTCACTTCTCCTCTATCTGCTCGTCGATCATGTCATTCTGAGAACGGTATACCCATCTCCTCCGTTCCCTTCCCTCTCCAATGTATTCGTTTCCAGAAGAACCCAATCGCCAACGGTCTCATGTGGCTTCCGATTTTCTATTTCGCGTGCATCACATTCAACATGTTCATGATCTCCTACCAAGGATCCAAAGTGCTCCATTTGTCGTCGGTCCCTCTCTGGGTCGCCCTTCTCATCAGTTTCGGCGCTGGAACCATTGCCGCTTTAGTCTGTCACTTCTTGATGGTCCCGAGGATTCGAAGATTCGTCACTTCAGCTGGGAAGGAAGCAGAAACAGAAGCAGAAACCCGTGGCTCGCAGACATCTTCTGTTGTGATCTCTGTCGTGGAAGATCCGGAGTTGGATAAAGTGACAATCAGAAGTGGAACGACGACTTCCACCTACAGCACGGTCTCTCCGCCATCTCCTCCGGCTCCCCAAGGAAGTCAGTTTCACGTTTGTTCATTTGAGTAACATTCACAATATCATTTCCAGAAGTCCGCAAATTCTTCACATGGCTACTGCCCGACAAGACTCGTAAGGAGAGTCCGGATACGCTGAAAATGTTTAGTTCGGTGCAGACTCTGACTGCCTGCTTTGCCGGTTTTGCTCACGGAGCCAACGACGTCTGGTAAGTACTGTAGCCGGAACCAAGAGACCATTTCTTATCACCTATCTTCCCTTTCATTCGCTTTTCGTAATTTATTTCCTCTTATCAGCCGCGTCGATCAAGAGCAGTACGGAATTCCGAACCGAACAGAACCGGAATGAAAGTGAATGTGTGCAGCCTAGAGAATAGAAAAATGAGCTTCATCTCCACTCTCATTTATTTTCAGCAATGCTATCGCGCCGCTCGTCGCGCTCATCGCCGTCTACCGTGATTTCGACGTGTATCAGAAGAAGGATACTCCGATCTATGTGCTGCTCTACGGAGTGCTCGCAATCTGCGTCGGCCTCTGGTGTCTCGGTCACAAGGTACTCTTGGGGAGGTATAAGCCGTTAATCGGCTTGCCTCACCAGTCGGCGATTCCGGAGAGTGACCGGTGAATTGCAGGTCATCCGAACCGTCGGCACGAAAATGAGCGAAGTGAATCCGGCGTCCGGCTTCTGCATTGAATTCGGAGCCGCCGTCACCGCGCTGCTCGCCTCTAAACTGGGACTTCCGATCTCCACGACGCACTGTCTAGTGGGCGCCGTCGTCACAGTCGGAAGTGTCAAATCCGGCAAATCGATCGACTGGAGCCTCTTCCGAAACGTCGCCTTCTCCTGGGCCATCACACTCCCGGTGGCCGGAGGATTCGCAGCCCTCTACATGTGGCTACTCCACTTCACCATTCCCACTCGCTACCGGTAATCTACTCACGACTCCCGATCTCAGTTCCATGTCAATTTGATCAATCATCAATCATTTCATTTACTTGCAACCCGTAGGTCTCAACTTCTTTGGAAGTAAAACAATGAAAACAATTAACTCGAGTATTAATGTAAAATAAACAATGTGTACATTTTGTTCGACCCGTTTCACAAGTCTTTTGCGTAGTCCGAGTTCCAGTCGCGATCGAAGACTGTTTGCAACCTGAAAGTGTCAATTTTGTAATTCCGGAAGATAAGAACGGAGAGGCAAACCTTTCGGTGGCTGCCGATTGTCGGACGACCATCGCTACGCCGGCCGTGCTGATGAAATAGTCTCCCGACCAATTCGAAGTGCCTGCAAAACTTTCTGATTTGTTGCCGAGCACCACGAGGTGGCGAAGCACTTTTAGATTCAAAAACCATACACGTGTTCTATGATTTTCGAGAGAAGAAATGTTGACAACTCACCGATATAAGCGATGTCTTCTGTGACCATGTACTTCGCGTGATTCACCCTCGTGAAAGGGATCTTTTTCTGCTCTTCATTCGCCGGAACGGTGAATATCCGCACCTCGATCTGTCCGTGCGCCGTCCCGTTATACCTCGGAAGTCCGTCGGTGATCGCTTCCAGACTTTTGAGGAACGGCAGCATCTCTTTCCGCGAGTGATCCCAGTGCGAAATGAGCAGTCGCACGTGCACTCCTCGAAAGGCGGCGTCCCGGAGAGCATCATCGATTTCCGACCAGAATCGGTTGCCTCCCTTCATGTAGAGCGTCGCCGGAATGTAGTCCATCACCGAAATGCACACTGATTCCTTCGCCGCACCGATGATCTTCTGAATTGCTGCCAGGTCGTGTTCTCGTCCTTTCGGATTGAACGGCGCCGGAGAACTCTGTAATCATTCGATTATTTCAAAGCTCTAAAAGAAGAGAAAACTCACCGAAATGAAATATTCCGCAGGCGCTCCATCCAAACTCAACTTGGCCATATTCGTGAAGTTGAAAGGAGTACGGTAGGAAATGGGCCATTTCTCCGGGACGACCGAGCTGTTCTCACCGAGTTTCCAATAGACTGCGAAGATTTTGTAGAGATCGGAGGCCACACACGGGCAGCTTTTTACAACAACGCCCACTTCCTTCACTTCGCTCAACGATTTCCAGTCCATATTCGCCGATCCAATGTACAGCGTAGAAATGTCGGAGAGAAGGAACTTGGTGTGAATGATTCCGGAGCCGATGAGCCGTGTCACATTGATCTGCCGAACTTCCGCGAGTCCCTCCCTTGCCAGATACGCCGACTCCTCGTTATCCGACAGATTCGACGCTCCGTCCTGTGCGATTCGGATCTTGACGCCTCGCTTGCCGGCTCGAATCAATGCCTCGTACACTTGCCGACCGTACTTCGCCGTTTCGTAGTTTGAGCTGTTGAGATTCCAATACATGACGGATATGTCCAGATATCTGAAATCAGAAAGAGATTATTTCGCGTGTTTTGAAGGAGGCAGCATCAAAATTCGTGTTCTCAGAATATATTTTTTACGCAGAAACTCACTGTTTTGTGTTCTCGATGATGTCAATCCACGCGGCGGCCGTGTGATTCATCGTCGCGAACGGCACACCCGTCGGGATGGATTCGACGAGGTACGACTTGCATTTGACCGTGCATCCGGTCGTCAATTTGATCGGCGAGGCGAGATCTTCTTCGTTGAACAACGGCAGAAAGACGAGAGCAATGATGAGAAGGGAGACGATGGAAATGGGAACGCAGGCGGGTTTGATGATTCGATTTCGGGACGATCTGCAATTAAATGAAACGAATTGTGATTTTCTAGGGATGAATGCATGAAAAGCAGGCAGATTGTGGTTAGGTGAGCGAGAAAGGAAAGCAGCGGTGTTTTGGGGTTCTTATTCATACGGATATTATTTGCTTGTTTGCACGAACGGGCGATTATCTCTGAACTGGTTGGAAGCGAGGTGCCCGGCCAAACGTACCCACACTTACAACACCTCTTTTTCGTCTCTTCCTCTTCGTCACCGCCGTCGCCGCCCTTCTCCACCTTCACCTCATTGATCCGCGTGTCGAACAGATCCATCTCGAAGTTGGTCATGTCGGCTCGTCCATCGTGCGTCTGCAAGAAGGCGTATTGGCCGTAATCGGAGCCGCATTAGAATCGAACCTCTCCGATGGGTATCATTGGAATGACTTCCGAATCAATTTAGAAATTATTCAGAAGCAACTGGGGGAAGCGGGGGAAACGCGCGACGACGGTGACTAGAGGTGGAAGAGTAAACAGGGTGCGAAGAGGATCGAATTGCGTCAGCTCGGTCGGTCGGTCGTCGTTGTCCGCCCGGCGCACGGCTTATCTCCTTCTCCCCTCCGTCGTTTCCCCCTTCTTTTTTTTCTTCTGCCGCGCGGCTTCGATATGTAATCGTCGCCTTTTAGAGCTCCGGAGAGCAGTGCGGGCTCTCTGGCTGCTGCTCTCTCTCTCTCTCGCGAGCAAGTAGTAGAAGATGAAGTAGAAGAAGGAGAAGGAGAAGGAGAAGGCGGCAGGAGGCAAACGCGAGCGAAAAATTAATCGATTCATGCATGCCTCAGTTTCAGACAAAATGGCGCCGCTCCGCGAAAATGAGAAGGTATTGGGATTTGCTTTACTGAGCTTGGCAAAAGACAAGGAAGAATGGAAGGACTGATCTGAGAGCTACGCTAAGCGTCCCAAGAACTGTCAAAGAAAGTCAGTGAGCTAATCAACTTGAAACCGAGACAATGACTCTGAGAACTCGAGAACTTCATTTTTCATAAGAGACGAAGAGCGACGGAGAATCTCAAAGATCTCCAGATCCCTTCTGAGATGACTCACTTCTCCAATGGGACGTCCGTTCAGCGTGATCGCCGTCATCGGAATATCAGAATTCGACGTCGTTTCTTGCGAACTTTCGAATAGCGAGTAGCGAAACAGAACTGAGATTGGCGCGTTGTTGTGCTGGTTCAGAAGGCTTTCGAGCCGGGCGACTGATTGACAACGCCGCCAACGCCGGAAATTGATGAATCTCGGCATCGAGATGAACGACGACGCCGCGGCGGACGAGTGGGACGGCGCAGATAATTATTGTTTTCGGAGGGGCGCGCACCGAGCAGAAAGCTCCTCTCGCTTCGCTTCTCGCGCCCTCTTCTCCACGAATCACGCGCGGGGCGGCGGAGGGCGCCTGGCAGACGACTACAAACGACGACGACACCGTCAATCAAATGTGCACTGGAGGGCTGACTGCTCCGGATGACCGACTCTTACCTCCATTCTCTCCGCTTCCGCCTCGGCGCTGTGTCGCTTTTCCCACGGCTTCACGTAATTATTACTGGCTACCATCGATTTGCCACCTCAACAAGATGCTTATTATTGTTTCCACTTGAGTCTACTCCGATACTGACTAGGGCTTTCCCATGAAATTGTGAACGAGACGAGCTCCCAATGCGGTATCTTTTATTTGATTCTGTTAACAGATGTGTAGTGACAATAGAGTGTGATGAATGAAAAACCTCCCGGGCAGCAATGCAAGATTTGGGGAAGAACAAGAGGAATAAAAACGTTAAGGGAGGTGACAAACAGTGCCAATTGCCACGAGAGGTAACGAAGATATATGGATCAAGTACTCATAAATATTTGCCCAGTGGGACTACTCATACGTTTCATCAGACCGACCGAAAACGCATCGATTGGAGCTGATTGCACGGATGAAGTGAGAACCGTTTACGGAAAATGGCAGCGAAAAACTAAAGCATTTCTGCCAGTTTCGCCGAGCACAATCCTCGTTACATTCATCGCGGCCAACTATCAGTTGCACTATTCCAAAACGAACAGTGAATGGCAGAAAAGGAGAAATCAACAGTTGGGAAGGAGAAATGCTGTCAGCATAGAGGAACGGAAGAAGGGCATCTTTCAAATAACAAATTGATTAGGAACGTTCAAAACTAACTTCCAGAGAACGAACGGAATTAGAGGAGAGGGCTATGATAATGGAACATAATACTATTCACAAGACAATTTTGGAAAAAAAACAGAAAAAGCATGAAATCATGGGAATAAACGGATAGAAATCCTAGTGTTTTGATGGATTAACAAAGAGCGTTTGGAGATAAAATGAATTTGAGATATTCGACGAGGACCAGTACATATGAGACTGCCTAAACCGTTTAGGCTTCGACCTCCTCGGCGGTGTCCATCGGCTCCTCGTCTTCTTCGTCCTCCTCATCGCCGGCCTCATTTCCACGTCTCGGCGGCACCGGTCCGCGCTTAGCTCTCTTCGGGATTACCTCGTCTTCGTCGCTCTTGTCGTCGTACACGACCTCATCGTCGTCCGAGTCGTCCGACTGGTCCTGTAAATGTAAATTGTTATAAACAACTTCTGTTCGAACAAGTACCTTGAGCTTTCTCTTCGTGGCTGCAGCACGAGTCGGTCTCGTAGAGACACGACCTCTGGGAGCGCCTCTGCCTCTGGCTCCACCCTTCTTTTTCTTTCCGAAATCAACGTCGTCGTCGTCGCTCGGAGCTCCATCGGAGTCCGACACATACTTCGTGGTAACCCTTCCACGGGCTCCCTTGCGTCCCTGAAAAGAACATTGTGAAAGAAAACTTGGGGATTAATCATACCTTGAAAAGTTTTCCTGGAATCTCATCGTCAACCTCGGCAAGCACAGTGCTGGTGTCGGAATTAGCGTAGTCGATTCTGGTCGAAGTAGAGCGGCGCGGTCTACTGGCAGCGATAGATTCGGCATCAAGTGGAGCTTTGGTTTTCGGCGTTCTCTTCGACGGAGTTCGGGTGGTCGTAGCAGCTGCGCCTCTTCCACGGCCGCGTCCTCTGCCGCGTCCTCTTCCAGTCGTAGCAGTGAGAGTAGGCGGTGGCGTAGAAGCAGAATCCTCGTCCTGTTCTTCGGCAGCTTCTGACGCAGCGACTTCGCTCGTCGGAGAAGCGACTTGCGCAGTCGAAGCAGCGGTCTCGGTGGCAGTAACAGCAGTTTCAGTGACCGGAGTCGGAGCCGGATCCTCTTCTTTCTTGGCTTCCTCGACAGCAGCAGTTTCTTCCTCCTTCTTCTCTTCAGTGACTGGGACTTTCTCTTTCTTCTCTTCGGCAACTGGGGCTTTCTCTGGCTTCTTCTCTTCAACGACTGGGGCTTCCTCTGCCTTCAATTCTTCAGCAACGGTCTCAGCTGGACCTTCCTCTTTTTTCTTCTCCTCGACTTGAGTCGGTTCGGATGAAGATTCGGTAATCTCATCTTTTTTCTCAACTGGAGCCTCCTCCTTAGTCTGAAAAAAAAGTCCTTCATGAATCGAGGCTACTGAACAAACAAAGTTTTTGGGAGCGCAAATAACTTGCCAATGCCATTTTTCGTTTCCCCCGCGCAACTAGGCTGCAGCTAGATTTTCAATAACGAATTTGTGAAGCAGTAGTATTAGTATCTTGGAAGAAAAACGTGAGCTCGAAAAAGATCGCCGAGATGTTGCTATGACAACTCATATGCATGCAACCGCTCGTAAATAAGACCTCTATAATTTAGTGCATATTGTCCTTTCCCGTATTCCAATTACGCGCAAGCCGGATAATAGATCTCAAGCCTACGCTCAGCTAATTAAAACGCGTGTATAGCACACACGGGGGCAAACTCTAAACATCGCGAAAGGGACTAACCTCTGGCACAGCTTCCGCAACTGGCTCCGCAGGAGCGGCTTCGGTGACTTCTTCCTTCTTATCTTCTTCTTTCGGATTCTCATCAGAAGCGGCTGGAGTCTCGGCAGATGGTTCCTCTTCTTTCTTTTCCTCTGGTTTTACCTCAGCGATTGGCTAAAAAATTTCGTTTTAAATTTTTTTTTAAAGAAAGAGTTTACCTCCTCGGTCTTCTCAGCTGGAACATCTCCGTTCGGTTTGACAGCAGCGTCGCTTCCATTCGAGTCAACAGTAGAATCAGCGATCGTTTCCTCCTTCTCCTCCGAAACGGCTTCGACCGGAGTCTTTTCGACTGGAGCAGTCTCCTGGTTCGGCACGTCGGCTACAGTCGGAGCTTCAGTTGACATAGCTGCAATATTGATATAATTTGATTTAACCCAAACATCGTCTATTAGATTTAGAAAGAAGAAACAGTCATGAATACTCTTCATGGGAAATTCCCGTTTTTTGAATTTTTCCTTTCAATATTTCACAAAATCGCCATTTTTGAAGAAACAATGAGAAATGATGTTGAAAAAGCACTCTAAAACACACAAAAAATTATTTCTCACTCAATTATTCGAAAATTTTCGACTATTTTGTTTACGCGGAAAAAGGTGATGTTTAAACATGTATATCCGTCTAATTTTGGAAATCAAAAAGTAAAAAACTGGTTTTAAACGGATAAATTTCAACAAAACACTTTTTGGAAAAATTTGATTTTACTTAACAAGTGAAATCGAGGTCAAATTGCGCAAGCGGCGCCGATAAACAGAGGAAAGGTGAGAAAATTTGAAATATGTTTTGGCGGGAGGTTCGGCAGTGACGACCGCAGCGCGTGAGGGACGCGTCGCGTGCCTGCATGGCGACTCAATGTGTGTGTGGGTGTGATACGCAGCCATTGCGGGTCTCGGCGGTTCAACGCTTTCCGAACGAAATCGTTCGATTTTGGACGCTCGGGGGTTTTGGACGCACTTTTCTTATCGATTGACCTCAATTGATGTTTATCTGTGTACTTTGAGCATAGAAACGCTTCGAATCTATCTCTATTTACCTTGTTTTACGCGAAAAATTTCGATAATCTCAAACTGAATGTGTACTCATCGTTCGTTTTTCAGATGGCTCCATTGTTTCCCGACTTCCGCAAAATAAGAAAGCGAGTGAAGCGATCGCTGAACTATGGGTCTAAGCAGCCGACATCTCTCAACTACCCATTATCTCGTGAGTTGCCCTTCAAGCACATGGAAATGTCGGATTTTAAAATTTTCAGAACTCGTCGTACATTACTTTGACAAGAAAAGCACATTTGACTATTTGGAACCAGACACGTCCGCCCTGATATCGAAGTGCGGATACGCGGATCCGTGCACTCTGGTAGTGGCTCTCGTTTATTTGGATCGGCTTCGAGTTAACAACAAGGAGTTTTTCGAGTCCACCGATCCCTCTTCTCTCTACATTCCCGCGCTCGTTCTTGCTTCCAAGTACATGCACGATGCCGATACGTACGACCGTGTCTCCAACTCCGAATGGGCAGAATCCCTGAATATGAGCCCGAATGACCTGAACACGAAAGAATGGGAGTTAATCACCAAACTTGACTGGAATGTGTCCGTGAAGAATGAAGAGTTCGAAAATTACCTGACATCGATGGAGAAATGGGTCGCTAAGTCGTTCATTGAGAAGAACGAGTTCACTACGTACAATGAATTGCTTCAATTGGTAAGATCAATGAACTACGAGTTTATCGTCTTCAACACGTGTTTTTTAAGGCTTCGATTGTACCGATAATCGACATTGTAAAGCAGCTTGTCGAAGTACTGAGCTCCGCGTCTCTTATCTACTGCCTCACTCTGGCCCTGATGTCGACCACCCTGTCGACCGTTTCCGAGCCGTCTACGTCGACCGACGTCGCTCCAAAGGACAACAATCAAACCTTCTCGCCAGTCTTTATCTCCTCACGTACTGTCATCGAGCCAAGTTCTGATTTCACCTTTGAGTTCGACGATAGTCGGTGGATTTTGGAAGAAGACGTCGATTTCGAGAAGGAGAATGCGACCGATTCTGCGACGGAGGCGTTGTGCCCGTTCAAGTCTGCACGACAAGCAATCGATCAGTTCCGAATCGTGTTCTCTCCATATCTATCGTGCTACCGACAAAGTTTTGAAATGTTCATAAAATAGTCAAATGCCATTTAACCATAATAATCAAAGTGCCTTGATAAGTGTGTAATAAGACCCCGTTTCGTTTTCATTTCCATGTATGCAGGTTGTAATCTGTTTTTGTTTTCCTCTTCTTTTTCTTTTTCTCGTTAATTTCTTTTCTAGCCTCTGGTCATCCGAATAAACACGCTATCACACCCCGCACTTGGTGAACTCTTGCCGCCCCGACAGTGTGCGCGTATGACTGAAAAGAGGGCGACTGTTATCGGACAGTCTTGTTAGTGTTAGTCTCTGCTAATTTGATTATGATGATAACCAGCGACGAGTTGAAAGTGAGCGGAAAAAGGGTTGGACAATTCGACATCGAGCACAGGGAGAGTTTGCTCGTGAAGTATTGATTTTGGACTGACTGCCATCTAATCGTGTTCTCACTTTTATTACCTCATTTCAAGTTTATGACATAAAAAAATGCATCTTCTGTAAGTATTGCCTACTTTTGAATTCAGAAGACGTGCCCGGCAGAATCCTTTCGCGCGCTTTTTGAATTCTTTAAGACTATGCAAACAACTGTTACTCATTACGAGTAAAGAGTTCAAAAAGTTTACAATATTTCTGCGGAAATACTTTTGCATAAATGTCAAAAGAACATGTTCTTTCCCGAACGAATTACTCACAAGGAAAGTCCTAGACCACACTAATTTGGAAAATTTTGAAAACAATTCTGAATATTCTAGAACATTTTCAAAACCTTTCCTGCTCTTCAGCAGTTCACTTTCCTTGTTTGATTCTCTAGTCTAGATTTATTTGTCTTACTTCAGAAGTGTAAGTACACCGACAACGTTTTTGTCAAAAGGATTCCGAGGAAATGTTAGAAACATGACAATGTCAACACACCATTTTACTATCATTCGGACTCTTGCAAACAGTTCTCTCTCTCTCTCTCTCTGCCACTTTTCCCCTTCCTCACAACTTCCATTTCCTTTAATCCTTCCGAACTCAGGTCGGACGCCGGATGCGTCGGACCGATGTCTTTCCAATATACCGCGCGACTTCTGCTCCTCCTGCCCTTTCTTTTCCCACTCTTCACGACAGATCAGTTTTGTGGTGAGTCTCTCTCTCTGACGCTTTCATCTCGATTCGATTCGTTTCCAGCCACCGACGGCAATGATACTCCGGTCATCACCGATCCGAACTACATGTGCAATGACGTGAACTTCTCGTCGATCTCGAATCCGCCGGTGCAAAACGCGTCACACGTACCCGTGCATCCCACCGTCTCCCTCACTTTCTCCTCTTTCCAGACAAACTACTGCGACGTCGTCTTTCTGCTCGATCTCGACGCGACGCTCACGACGGAGGAGAACTACACGCAGGTGATCCAGTTCATGAGCGACGCGACGACGACGTGCATGAACCGAGGAGTCGGATACGCAGTCTTTGCCTGGCCAATGTTCAACAATGTGAGTGCGTTTCGTTGAGTGGCCAAACGATTACGGTAGAATTCCACGTTGAATTGCATCAATTAACAGTGGGAAAAGAGTGTAAATGTAAACATTGTACGGTAGAGTGTGCGTCGTAACAATTCGTTTTCACGACGAATGGGGGACACTAGAGAAAAGAGCACGGGAAAAATAATCGAGGGGTTTGCAGACGCTTTCCTGTCAGACGGAAGAAACCGTGTGCTGCAGTGCGGCGCAGTGCAAAACGGCGTTCGGATTCATGAACTACCGTACGTACGTGGGGCAGTACGACACTCTCGATCCGATCCAGCCGGTCACCTCTCGCTTCAACTTCTCCTATACTCTGATTTACGACGTGAGCACTGACCACAATCAGCTGACAGAATCAGACTGATAATATTTTGCAGATGAAGCGCATAGCCAAACCGTCGATGGCTTGCCTTTACAACAACTATGTCCTCATCACAAACCGACTTTTCAACATTTCCGAACAGAAGGACATCATTGATGAGCTCGAGAAGGAGATGGGAATCGGGTGCATCACGTTCACGATCATCGCCGTGGGGAACCCCGCAATCGACACGGAAATGATGTACGACGTGTATCATTCGGTCACTCTCAACACTTACGCGGTGCCCAGTTTCAATTGTCTTGATATTCTCAAGGTAAGCTTAATTTGTCACTTCAAATGCCCCGTTCCTTCTCTTTTCAGAACTGCATAAAGCCATGCGGAACCGGATCTTCACAAGAATGCTACAATGTCACTCTTGACGTGTGCGCCACTCCGACCACTACAGAATCAACGTCTACCACGACGACGACGTCAACTCCGAAGCCGACGATGAACCCGGAATATATGAATGACTGGCAGATCACCTATCTTTTCGCCATCACCAACAAAACTACGCAGGATCAGTTCAACCGGCTGGTCAAGTACATTTCGGATCCGCTGAAGGAATGCGACGGACGTGCCATGATCATTCGGTTTCTGGCGAGGAACAATTCGGACTCGGACTGGATAACGGACATAAATCTTGCGACCACATACCTTCAGCAGTTGAATACGACGAAGTGCTCATTGGATCGGACAATCAAACGCTCCTTCCGGGCAACGACAACGTCACCTACGAACTCGTCTACACGGCGGTTTCGAATGCGCCGTGCTACAACGAAGACGGCACCGTCCATGTTCCTCGCGTCATTCTGCTCACCGATTACGTGTCCGATGTGTTCGTCGCCCAGTACAACACGACTCTCTTGCCGCTTCTCGAACTTTACGATTTTAGTATTATCGCGTTCACCGAGGAGGCGTACGACGGCTACAAGTCGAAGTTGGCCATGAAATCGTTTCAAATCACAAACGACGAAGGATATCAGGACACGAAAGAACTGAAAATGTGCCAGAAGCTAGGATCGAACGTCACCACAATCATGTTCATCATCATCGGAACGTGCTCCGGCGCCATGCTCATTTTGATTCTGCTCACCGTTTTGTACAGACAAAAGTACATGTGGATGAGGAAATTAAAGCGATTCAAGACGTCCCACGTCCCAGAAGTCGATGAAAATGACGTCATCGATCACTGGGAGTTGTCGTGGGATAAGTTAGTTGTGAAGAACGAAAAGCTCGGCCACGGAGCATACGGCCACGTGTTCAAGGGAAAGATCGTCGGAGTGCCGCCAGCCATCGAAAAGTACAATAGAGCGGAGGCGCTGGACTTTGCGGACTGTGACTGTGCGGTCAAGATGCTTCCGAAGTACGCGACGGAATCGGCGAAGCAAGAATTCAGGCACGAGATCGAGCTGATGAAAAGTCTCGGATTCAATGAGCATCTCGTCAACATGCTCGGCTGCATCACCGCTTCCGCCAAGTCCTGCCTTGTGCTCGAGTATTGCTCGAGCCGAGATCTTTTACGATATGTGAAACACAAAAAGTGTGACCTAGAGATTGTAAGTGACCACTTTCATTGTCCAACTTCATCTAATCCCCACTTTTTCCAGTCTCGAAGTGTGGACGACACGATCGACAGCCACAAAGAGTTCCTGAATTTTGCGTGGCAAATCACTCAAGGAATGCGATTTCTAGTCGACAAAAAGATAATCCATCGTGATCTGGCCGCTCGAAACATTCTGATCACGGAGCAGTGCGGAATGAAAAGTGCAAAAGTGAGCGACTTTGGCCTCGCCATTTCAAATGAACCGGCTGAGAATGGAGAGGTCACCGGATCGGACAGACTACCGATCAAGTGGCTGGCACTCGAATGTCTGGAAAAGGCAGAGTTCTCGCATAAAAGCGACGTCTGGTCATTCGGAATCGTCCTCTTCGAGATGTATTCCCTGGGAGAGGTGCCGTTCGCCGAAATCGAACCGACCGAGCTGATCGCTCACCTCAAATCGGGAGCCCGCCCGAAGACGCCGTTGTTGGCCACTGAAAAGGTGGAAGGGATAATGAGCACGTGTTGGGAGGAGAAGCCGATGAAGAGGCCCGAGTTCGACGAGCTTTCTTCCGTGTTCGCCACGGAATTGGAGCAGACGACCGAGGGGTACGGCTATTTGGAACTGATAAAGACAAAGGATTACCGAGTGGTTGCCGAGGCGATCCATCAGACAACCGATAAAGAGAAGGGAGGCACCGAAGAGGCCATTTGCATTGATGATCATCCGCCGTACGTGACACGCAACAGGTCGGTCACGTGGAGGAGCAAAGCGAACGGAGAAGCCAAGTTGGGCAGGGAGTACAGTTTGACGACACACGTCTGCGAAGGTTCGTTGGGAAAAACATAGAGAACAATATCAGTTGGGGGCATTTTCAGATGAAACATCAGTTCCGAACGGCACTCCGAAACTTCCGGCCGACGGTCCTGAGAAGGACAAAAAGGAGAAGAAGAAGTCGTATCTGAACATGCCGAGCATTCTTCCCTCCCTCAATTCCATCAATCCCTTCTCGAAAGAGAATGAATTCAAGAAGACGTTCAAGAAGAAATTCTACTCGAGAAGAGGTTCCGTTCCATATTAACTCGATTCCTCCTGCACACTATGTACTAATTCGCTCAGATTTCTCAAAATAATACCGGTGACCTAAAATAATTTGTACATATTACGTAATTGAAGAATAAATCTCGTTTCCCGTAACCAATATACGACGAATAAGTATACATTTTTTATTTTAAAAACGCGAAAGAGAAAACTTGACGGGAAAATAAAAGTAAATCACTAGTGGAAAAGACTTGAAATCACAGAAGAGATGAAGCAGACAAGTACACAATAAGTACAAGAAGAATAAATAACGACTAAGTCACTAATTAAAGAATCGAAGAAACCGTAGACAGAAGGGTATATTGCACGTATTGAGTTCACTTCTAGTTGAGCACTTTCAAGCATTTTCAGCACCAAACATGGTCAGCCTAATTCTGGGTTGCTGAAGGACCGGTTTGTTCTGAAAATGAGCATGTTTTGTGTGCCTTCAGGACTAAGCTACTTACAGTTGTCTCTTGAGCTTTAGCCAGCGAAATTTGATGGGCATGTCGAGAAGATTGGAGCAGAAGAGCACTCTCCAGCCTCGTCTTCAGCTCCTGATTCCATTCAATCACCTTTTTGAATTCTTTCGGCCACATCGACGCAGCGGCATTCAGCCTGCCGATCGCCATCTCGTGCAACTTCTTCTCCGTTGTGCCGACTTTGCGCCATTCCGTATGAGACGTTGCTCTCAGCAGACGGACAAGTAGTTGGACGAGAAGAGAGATCACATGGATCTTCTTTCCGTCTTTCGCGTTGATCGCGAGAACTTCGATCACTTTCACACATTCCTGAATGATTGCCAAATCCGATTCATTGATCGTCTCCGTCTGACTGTCTATTTTGGCCGTGCACTTTTTGATAACTGGCATGATTTCCTTGCCGAGATGCTTCACGAAGATGCCTCCGAAATTCCTTCTTCCGAATATCGAAGTGAGCGATTGCAACGTCTTCATCATCACTGCCACGTTCTCGCTTTGCAACTGCCGCTTCAACAAAACAATCAGCTTGCTGAACGATTCTTGATGTGCGAGAACGACGTCGACTGGAGCTGAAGTGGTGAAGACGACGGCGGCCAACATGATTATGCACTTGTCCAATTGCATTCTATCGTTGTCTGCAAGTTTTAAATTGGAAAGAAATTCGTAAAGAGGGAAAGTTGGCGCTATAACGAAGTAGAACTCGCACGGCATGGGACTGTTACGATTTGGTTACGAACTCGCAACGATTACGAACTCGCAACGTTAAAATATAACTGCGAGTTCCAAATCGTAACAGTTCCATTCCGTGCGAGTTCTACTTCGTTGTAGCACCGGAAAGTTTGGTACCTTCAGACATGTTGATAACCGAGTAGAATGCGTTTCTCATGATCGACTTCCAACTGTCGGCTGTCTCATCGTCCGGCACTTGACTGACAAGACTTCGAATCGACTGAATCGCTGCTGCGGCAATGGCGGAAAGATGCCCGGAACGGTCGGTCAATTGAATCGCTCCCTCGTCCAATCGTGCCGACTCTCTGACGAATCCGAGCAGGAGGTACATGATGACGGGTAGCACCGTGATTTAGATTGAGGAGAGCACAGGCTCGGGATCTGCACAAGAATCTGCATACTTTTGATGACGAGGTGGGTGCTCTCCGCGGGCAGACGGCCCACTTTCCGGAGGTGCAAAGCTGCGAGACTGCTCGTTTTGAGTTGAGCCGAGTTGATCTGTGGCATCTGCTTGAATATTGCGCACACTGCCAACTCCAGAGTCGCATAACTGATCGTCTTTACTCCGTCCGTGTTGACGATCTCGCCTTCGTTTCCTCCTTCTTCTCCGTCGAACAGAACATTCGGAATATTTCGTAGAGTGTCTTCACTTTCCAGATTTCCATTGGAAATGTCCCGAGATGCACAGATTCGCATCGCCAGCTGAGCGGCATCAAGAATCGATCCGACACATTCGATGCATTGTAATTGAGTGGACAGACAGTCCCGGGTGAGGACACTTCGGTGAAGAACGTAGAGAATCTCGATGACGGCGGGCACGTCGCTCATCAAATGCATCTGACACCACTCGCACGACAACAGTCGTGTCAACGACTTCACGGACATCTGGATGGTCTCGTCTTCTATCTGCCTCGTCCTGTTGCTCATTGACTCGACGGCGATTCCGATGAGAAGGTAGAAGCGGGAGATGCTTCCTTCGTCTCTCCAGACTGACGCCGTATCCGGTGAGAGCTCCAGTCCCGACGGCAGTTCGAAATTTTTCTTGCTGAGCCACGTGGAACAGGCTAGCAGAATGGGAGGCCAGCAGATCTGATAGTACTCGCGACACGCTTCCGCACTGTGAGCATTGAAGAAAGCACCCCCACGGCCCAAGAATTGCTCCGAGTAATGGCCGGGAAGAGCAAGGAGAGCCGCGTCGTTCAGAGTGGCTAACCAGTAAGCAATCAGGGAGTTCGTTTCCGGTTCGACGAGCGAAAGGAGAGATCCGCTGCCGTTGTATTCGTAGTGGTCCCTCGCCTCCTCGTTCTCACTCTTCATCCGATCCTGTTCGATTGCAGTCACGTAAACCTCAGCCCACGCCTTCAGAATCGAGAGTTTCTCAAGCGTCGCCGCACTTTCGCTGTACAGCTGCACGTTGATTGAGCCATGTTTAAGTTTGTTGAGTGATGAGACAAGCAATTGGTGGACACGCTTCAAGTCGTTCAAGTCCCTGGCGACTCCGCTTCCAATCCAAGTGCTGCATACTTGGCACGCTACTGACGTCACATTACTGGGGGTGTCATCTGTGAACGCCGGGCGGAGAGCGGCGCCCACTTGCGCCTGGAACTGTTCCAGAATCATGTGGCCTGGGAATTCGGGTTCCGGACAAGCCGAGAATCGATTGATGACCTCTTCCAGCGACTTGAGTCCCGCAATTCGGAGCGAGGAGTTGTCAGAAGTGGCAGCCATGAATGACATTCTAACGAGGTCGGACAAGTGGAGGACCAAGTAATCATTCTTCCCCGCCGATGTGATCTGCAGTTCCTTGGCGAGCGCCATGTCCAAATGGGCCCTTTCGGTGTCGCACACACTCATCAGCCGATTCACAATCTCCATGGTGAACACTTTCGTCGGCCATCTCGGTTGCACTTTTCCTTTGTCCTCTTCCATCATCGAACTCATTCCTGCCAGATTCGTGTCGTCGTCTCCTTCTTCGTCGTCGTCGTCATCAACATCTTCTTCTCCTCGCTCTTTCCGTTCGTCTTTCTTCCTGGCCACACTGTGATCACTGCTGGTTGCCAGAATCTCTTTGCACAACATCAGCCAGCTGTTCAGCAGCTCTCCACTGGTCCCTTGCACGAGTGATATCAATGTTTCTTGCAAGTGACATCTTAACTCTTTGTTCACTTCCGTATCCAACATTCCGAACAGAGCTCCTTCCAATCCGGATTCGGGCAGAGCGAATTTCCTCTTACTCGTGTCCACAATTCCCTGAGGGACGAGCACTTGCGCATGATTCCGAACCTCTTTCGATTCTCTCTGCACCAACTGCCGGAGACAACTGACCGCCTGCCTTCTGATCACCAAATGAGTGGAGCTGAGAAGCGAACAGACGTCCGTGACAAGTTGGGCCATGTGGACGTAGCGAGGGGCGAAGAGGTGCATCTGCTGCAATCCAGAAATGGCTTCCGATTGAACGAACGGATCCGAATGAGACAGTTGGATGGCGCATGCTGCCAACAGGGAGGTTCGGACACCGTCTATGACACCGGACAACTGAGTTCCGGCCCGACACAAGTAATCAGGGCGGTTAGGGATTTGCTGATTCCCTGGACAACATCGACGACAAAAGTTGGAGTGGTGATGAGCAGTTTGAGGCAGACACTCAGCACAGTCTCCACGAATCCACGAAACATTCCACTTCCAGTTTCAGCAATCAAGGCCATCGCCACCAACGCACATGTTTGCACTTTCGGCAGTTGATTATCCTGGGCGAGAGCAAGCACAACGGAAACTCCAGTGTTCAGATGTTGTCCGCTTCCAAGGGATCCCACGTGTCGATGAAGGCATCCGAGGGCGAGTACGTGGCCTGATCTGTTCACTTCGTCTTTGCAATTCTTCAGTTTGTCAAAGCAGTACTGAGCCATTGTGGCAACAAACTGTGCAGATCCGACGGCCTGTGAGAGCCGGGCGAGGGCTTCCGCTCCAACGAGACGAGTCATTGGGCACGTATTGGAAAGGGATGATGAGATGAGTTCGAACGACGCCTTTTGCAGTGCTTCGTTGTCCACGCGATGTGCTCGCTGTTCGCAAAGAGTTTTGTAAGCAAACAGTTTCGCAGTCAGCGCATTCACCAGAATCTAAAATAATCGAGTTCTCGTTTGACTCTAGAAAGTACAACTGACTGCCTGTTTCCTAGCCGCATTCTTGCAATTTTGGATCGTTTCCCAAAAGTGCTCGGTTATCTGTACTTTGTGCTTGTTCGCCACCAACGGAAACACTTTTCCATACGTGAGCAGTGCCGTGTTCAGACATGTCAGCGACTCCGACTCATTCTCCGGCCACGTGTCTCCGATTTGTGAAGCGGAAGCTCGGATGAGGTTCGAGAGATCTTCCTCGATGTTTCCGATTGACACTGACGACACTGGAGTTTGAAGCTGAAAACAAATTCGTTAGGACAAAATGGGTGAATGGCTTCAGATACCAGGTCCTCGACCATCGAGTAATCGGTGGCATCGTACAAAGGAGAGAGCAGGATTTTCTCGACTCCGGTGAACTGACTCATCGGCAACGAAGTGGTCAGAGTGCTTTGCGAGTTGTCAGACAGCGTGATGTCGGCGACGAGTTCACGGAGCAGTGCCACGTAGCTTCCCTCGAAGCTTTTCTGTGGGAGCAGCAGAAGGAGTCGATAGAGGCGTATGCGGACAACTGAGTTCGCCTGTCGCATGTCACTTCCGTAGCTCTTGATTAGATTTCCGACTCTGTAGAGTTGTTATTAGTATCTGAATGCAATTTCCTATCTTACTGTGACATCATAACAAGACTGCACTCGATCGGCACTTTCATCGCCTCCAACGCACTGTTCGTCGAGCACAGTTCCGGCTGCAGAGCCACCGCTTCCATCACGGACAGAGCTCCCGCTTGTGCGACCATTGCGCACTGCCACGAGAATGCGTCTCCTCGGCTGTTTTCAGTTTCCGCCTCCCGAGCACTTCGCGGGAACGCGGCTTTCCACAGGCGGATGACACGTGGCAAATGCTCCTTCATGACGGACGGTCCGAGATGGATAAGCGCGTTGATCAAATTCCATCCGGACTCCAGCTTAGCTATTGTCAGCTTCGGTTGTTGAGTGGCCGTTCGCAGCATTTCTTCAGCAAGATCAAGCACTTTCAGCGGTTTGGCATAAGGAATTCCAAGTTTCAAACTGTCGTTTGAAGCTGCCAAAAGAGCTGCGAGAGCCATGGAGAAGCCGCTGACGGCACGGGAAGAAGAGGACATTTGGTCCAATCTCGGAAGACATCGATCGATCAAAGGAGTCATCAGATTGGGGACCGCGATGGCGATGCATCGGAGACACCAGGCAGCCGCGTACCTTGCGGAGGCAAGCGGATGGGTGAGACACTTGAAGATGTGCTCCATTATTCCCGTGGCTTCGGTGAACAACGGCATAACAGAAGTGCCGATCTGCCTAACAAGCACGGATATCTCTTGGAGAATGACAATGACCGCATATCCACTGCCGTAGTCACTGCTGTCCACGGACGAGTCGAGATTGTCACCGGTGCCGATGCTGACGAGATCCACGTATTGAGAAAGCAGAACTCCGAGATGCTTGCACGCCAGCGTCTGCGCGTTCTCTCCGAGCAGCGAGCCGACCGTTTGACGGAGAATGAACGAAATGCAGCGGCGGATGATCAGTGCCTCGGTCACATGGGACGCATTTCTGAATGAAGTTAGGAGTGTATGGAACAGAAAATTGCAATCTTACTGTGTGTACGCCAAATGTCCACATTTCGAAGCCAAGTCAACTAGATGACAACAAACTGCGACGAGGTGCTTTTCGAGCCACGCGGATCCCATCTCTCGCACCATTTCGACGTAGCACTGAAGTATATTTGTAAGAATTACAGAATATTTATGAACAACTCACAATGCTGACACCGATTCTGATGTCGGAACGGCCCATCGTCGCGAACGTGGATGAGCTTCCTTTTAAGAATCCTCCGATACCTCCGCGAAGAAATCCGGAAGCCAGCAGGTTCAGAGTGTCTGTGACTGAAGCCGGACGAACTGGGACCATCTGATTCGATTTGGCCTCTGTAAAGAAAATATAAATTTTATGCGCAAAATTAGATTGCATACTGATAACAGCCCCTGGCGGAGGTTTCATGGAAGTCGACGTCAATTGAGCCATGAACTTGGCAACCGCACACCGCAATTCAAACGTGGATCCCTCGAGCACTTTGATGCACATTGTGCACGACGCCTCCAGTTCGGTCGTGTAGATTGGCGTGTGATATTGTACGAGAGCAGTGAGACACTCCAAAGTGGCGATCTTGACGTGCGGCGTCTTGCACATCGTTCTGTCCTGCAGGGCACTTTTCGCGATCGCATGAATCTTCTTGTGCGTCGCCGAATCGCCCGCTCCGAGAGCTTTCACCATACTCGTCAGTGTGTTCATTATGTGCGCTTGCGAGTGAGCAACTGCTGTTCCCATCCAATTCTTCACAATATGGAGTGTGTCCTCGATCGAACGCCCTGCCATCCGACCCATCGAATCATAAAGAGCGGAGAGACAGGCGAGAGCAGCGCTGGAAGAATGCGTTCATTCATTGTCAAATATATTCGAAACTTACAGTTTACTCTGCACTTGTCGTGGCGATTCATCTTTCACTTTGAGAGTATCATTGCACGAATTTAGAAGGCTATTGAGTGCGACAATGTCTCCGGTCAACGCGTAAACTCTTCCGATGCACCGTGCGATCAACTTCCGCGTCGGCGGACCGGTAACTGTGTGCAGCCGCGATTCGAGCTGTTGCTGCAGCTCCTTCTGTACATTCTTGAGGTCTTCCCGTTGAGTTATGGGCAAAATCCGATCGAGGTATCGGAGCCATTCGTATACAAAGACGGGGCGCTTCTGTTCGGGACACACCTCGAGTGCCTCTTCGTTTAATAGCAAACTATGGGTTTCATCCATGAAACTTTGTACCTGGAAGTAATTGATAACAAAAATAATCGAATGAGAAGAAAAAGTTCAAGTATTACGATTTGGTAGAGGATACCATAAGAAATGACATCAATGAAATGGCGAGTCTAAACAAGTTTATTAAGGAAAGGCAAGTATTATCACACAAATATCACAGAAAAGGCGGTTGAGGCAGTGGATGGTGAAGACGCGAGTCTGAAAAAAAGAAGAATGAGTATACAAACCTAGAGAGTGACTGCTCAAATTGGGCTCATCAGAGGCTCGGATTGGAAATTGCTTGAAGTTATCGACGGACTTTGGATTACACCTAATTATGTCAGATTTTGAGCGGCACTAGTTGTAAAAGGACAAGAAGTAGTGTGTGCGGATATGTGTCTTGTTTGACGATGACGAGAAGACCACGGAAAAAGTGTAACTCAATTTGGGAGCCATGCAACGGCTCAGAGAGCAGCCGATTGGAAGGAAAAGCCACTGGCTCGAATTTCGCAAGAAAAAGGAGAAGAAGAAGGGGAAGAAGATGAAGCGAGAAGCGGGTAGAAGTCGGGGGTCGCAGATGCGCGCGCACCAAGCCGTAATGGCCGAGAAGAGGCGGACGACGAAAGAGAAGCGGGGAGGAGGCGCGAGAAAAGAAAGTTTAAACGAATAGGCCCATGCATGGTGAATGCGAGCGGCGTCGCCCCCCGCCTACCAAATTCTTTAGAATACCAGTGATGGATATTCCCTCGAGAAGAAAAGTCGCTTTCTACTACTCTCTCTCTCCCACTCGTTTTTGCTTTTTGTTTGTTGCTCCATTCTGTCAGTCTCATCTCGATTGGCGCCGTTTCATTCGGGTGGAGAGGAAGTCCGGGAGCGGGCGAAACGAGCGGGGGCGAATGCATTCTGTGGTCGCAGTTAATCGAGTTTTGTGTGTTCAGAGCGCCCGCTGATTCATTCGGGAAGGTCTCTGGGGACCACTAAATCATAGGATTATAAATATTGCAGACAAAAATGGTCCAAATGAGTGAGCTTTCTCCGTTCAAAAAGTTTGGCTTCGCATCTGTTGCGAAAGCTTCAAATTTACGAGAAGCCTATTGATTGCGGGCATATACATATAACGAGAAGGCTGCCCATTTTCATTCATAAAAATAAACAAACGAGCTCCGCCGAAAAGGATTAGCCGATCGAATAATAGGGGGAGGCGAGCCGAATGAGGAGTCACTTACCCCTGATGAGTTTCATCGTCTTTGTCGGAGCATGTCGCGCTCAAAGTGCTCCGCGGTCATGCTTCCGGCCAATCGTTCGCAGTTTTCGTTGAATACCGAATAGGCGCTCATTTCGCCGCGACGCCGTCTGCCCGTGTTACAGTAGGTGAAGACGATGAGCGAGAAAATGAAGAAGACGGCGCCGAACTGCACCCTGCAACACGAAATTAAATTTGAATGGGTCCATTTCTTTAAGAAGATGGCGGGAGAGAAAGCATTCCACCCATTCATGGAACACAGACCAAAATTAGCACTCCGGAAGACAATCCTCCGCGAGCACTCGCTCTTTCTCGAGTGGTTCGCTCGGCAAACACATGTCATGTCGATATCTCGGTCCTCGTCCGTCCGCCAATTTTTCAACGGACACCGGAAGACGGACACGGGATAATTGCAGACGGACCGAATACTACTCACCAGGCTGCCAGAGCTTGGCCGGTCAGGTATACGACGATGAGAATCGGAGTGGAGACGACGGACGTCTCTACTGAAAATGGAAGGGGCCATATAGGTTGTGACGTGGCGATGCTTACCGTAATTTTCTGCAACAGGCTCTGACTTCGTCAAAAAGTCCCATTCTCGGCCCTTCGGTGGCTCCGCTTCCAATTTCTTCTCTTCTGATATCGGCTTGCTCTTCTCGGTTTCCTGGCGCTCTTTGAGTTTCGCTTCCTCCTTTTCTCTTCGGAATTCTTGAAGATTTCGAAGCGCGTCACTCATGCTGAAACATAAAAAATGAATTATTGCCAAGCTGTTAACTAGTGATTATTTAGATAAAACATTGGAGTGAACCAATTACAAAAGGATCTTTCTATACTCAATTTACCGCACTTGCCTCCTCGGTGTTTGCGTACTCGAGCCTAATTTCAGAAATTTCGGCATGAGTCTGCAAACACCGAGGGGCAATAGAACAAAAACGTTTCATAACTGTAATAACCAATAACACAACGAAAAAAAACATGAGTATCTACATAAGTACAAATATAAACAAAGATCTGGATGCAAGGTAGCTATTAGTGTTTTCTAAAATTCTTGAGCACGAGTTGTGGTCCTCGAACTTTCGTTTTCACGACTTCCGCTTTGTCAAACCGCGATTCGAACTGAAATACTCAAGTAATTTCTTCTTTTACCACCCACGTGTTTCCTTACAATTCGGAAATGTTTGTCAGAAGTGCGCTTATCCCAGTTTCCCGTGAACTCTTCCAGTTTCGGATGCGCCACAATCGCTTTGAACAGCGGCCGAGGGATGAGCATGTCGATTTCAAGGCTCTTCAGTTCGGGCAGACCGCTCAACAGCCTTCCAAAATTCTGAACAGTGTTGCAGGAGTGATTGCGAACAATCAGAAGCTTTTCGAGAGATCCAGAGAGACGCAAAACGATGAGATCAATGCAAGAAGGCGACAGTTTGCATTCGATCAGAGAGAGGCTTCTGAGTGTTGAGGGAAGAGAGGAGAGCAGCCGTTCCATCGGTTCCACGTGTTGTTGAAGAGTATCTCTGAAATGGGAATGGAAATTTTGGATTTTAATCAGCTTGGTTTGAAACTAACGTAATGTGTAGCTCTTTTAGGGAATGACACTTCGGCAGGACGTCTGCCAATCTCGAGAGGTTCTCGTCATTCATATTTGTCACCCGAATCACTTCCGCCTTCAGGAAAAGAGCAGTGCTCCTGTCGATGAGGTGCTTCAGGAACACGTCGCTGTCGTTGCGGATGTGGATGTTCAATGTCGGCTTGATTTTTGAGTGATTTGTTAGAACGGCTCCTTCTTCTTTCCATAACGACACGTGCATCACTTCCGATCTGGCGACCATAAAGTCGGTGAAATCGAACACGGGACCTTCGTCAATTTGACCGACCCGAAAAACGAGTTGGCACGTGTCTAACCTCACACCATCACGTATCATAAGCTCCATTATTTGTGCCATTAAACATGAGTACGGAGGCGACAATCCCGGCACGATGCAGCGAAAGTGCTTCAGTCTCGGTCCGATCAAAGACGTGATCTGCCTGATCTCTTCAGCAAAACATATGTGTCGCTCCATGGCAATCGTCAGTGACTCGATACGGTTATCGAGTGAAGTACTGCCCACGAGCACTTCTTCTAAAATGGATTCTGAAACCTTCCAAAGACCTATTATGATAGAACTTACGGGAAGGAATGGTAAAGGATGGGAAGAAGTATGACGAGTTCCGAAAGATGAATTGTTTCAAATTCGGAAACTGGCGAATGTGTTCAAGAGTCAGCTCGTCAATCAGTCGGTCGCTCAACTCAAACTCGCACACCTTCTTCAGAAGCCGCTTACGAACGCCAGCGAAAAAGATATCTGCAAATTGGTTCTGCCGTTTGATTTCTTCCTGATCTAACGAACCAGCTTCTGTCTTAAAAGTGCGTCTGCAGTAGTAGCGAACAAGTAAGTTCTCTTTCTCGGAGCAGTCATGGACAGTAAACTTCATCCAAGGACGCGAGTGGATGCCTCTTCTCGGCCCGACCTGCAAACAAGGGCTGGAGATTGTGATATTTATTATTTAAAAAATCACATACGTCAAGATACTGCATCAGATGAATTTTATACTTTTGTTGTCTCGTGATCGGCGTTTTCAAACACACAGCTCTCAGCCTCTTTGATACCAGTTCCAGCGAGTTTCGGTCTTTGAAGCTCTCCACATTTCCAACGATTTCTCTCATAATGACGTCGTTTATGTAGACTGCTTCGATAAGTCTATCCAGCTCCATTTCGCAAAGGTCTGAAGGAGGAATATATAATTGTACATATACGTGACCGGACGGGCGAGGGAGAGGGAGGGACAGACGGTCAGCGGACGACGCGAAACGTGAACAAACATTCGGGGAAATTGAAATCGGAACGAGATCGATAAGGTGCGCAAAAATAATCACTTTTTGTTTAGAATCCAGTTGGAAACAGCTTTTCGGGGTGGAAAGTGTGTTGCCGGCAGGCCGACAACTTGTTGGGTGTCAGCGAGTGCGCGCCGCCGCACGAATCGATTATTTCTGTTTGGCAACGTCGCGCGTGCAGCTCTTCTCACCCCGTTCTCCTTTCGATCCCGTTCCTTCAGAAACAATGTCCGAGCAGCAACGACGGCTGCCTGGCAACCCGTTCTTCCCGTCGAGAAGCGGATCACTTGAGAGTGCACCCGTGAGTTTCTATTTTTGAAAAACAAAAGGGAAACAGTGTTAAATGCAGGATTCGCCTCATTTGATCGATGCGCTCACTTCGCAGATTGACGAATTTACCATTCAAAGCATCATCGATACGCAGAGACAGAGGTATGATATTTCTCTTTTTATCTTGAAGTTATAGAAACTAAAAAAGCAAGCTTTCAGTTTGAAAAGGTTCGAAAAAACGAACGAAATGGTGATGAATTGTGCACAATTAGGAGACCGGCGGATCGAAAAGGCCAAGAAGGATTCGATCGGACACAAAGAGACAATTCTCCAGATGAAATCCGATCTTGAATTCATTTTTAAAAAGATTCGCACGTTCAAGACAGTTCTCGCCTCCAAGTACCCAGAGATTTATGCAGAAGGTAGGGTCATAAATATATTGAAGAGAGCCTCCAACTTTTTGCTTACAGTTTCTACGGAATTCGCGCCGAAAAAGGACGACGAAGATGAGTGATATCGTTTATTTTCGGACAAAAAATGATTATAACATGAACAACTAAAGAGACGGTTGAACAGTCGGATGAAATCAATAAATTAAGATCTCAGAGTCATAAGTGAAGATAAAGTTATTGGATCTTAGTTATTAGTAACTTCGGTTACTTCACAAAAAAGGAGAACAATAAATAGAATCTGTTAAAAGTGACGGGTTGAATGATTCAAAGAAGGGTGATATGATATGAATGGAGTTAAACAGACCAGTATGTAAGAATCACCCCCCTCAGGTTAAAAAGATCATGGTACAAATGGGTCTAGGACCTGCGGCGACGCTTGGCGTCACGACGATCATCGTCAGAGTCCGAGAAGTCGGTAGATTCAGAAGAGCTCGAGTGGCGGCGCTTTCGTCTTTCCTTCTTCTCCTTCTTGCTTTTCTTTTTCTTCTTTTTGTCGCTCTCATCCCGATCGCTATCATCGTCGGTTTCAGCGTGTCGACGCTTCTTCTTATCCTTTTTCTCCTTCTTCCTTTCCTTCTTCTCCAACTTCATCGCCTTCTTTCTCTCCTTCCTCTCTTTCTTTCTTCTCTTCTTGTCCTTCTTTCGCTGCTGCTCCAACGCCACCAGTGGAGTCTCATCGTCGCTTGATTCGGAAGACGTCGAACTCACTTCATACGCCTTCGTCGACACATTCGGACGCACTTCAATGTGATTGCGGCATTGGAAGTACAAATGTCCCGGATATCCGCACTTTTTGCAAGCTCCTGTCACTGTCGGCATGGAAATCGATGCTCCGGAAATGTCTGAAACCCGACTCAATTAGGTAATGTATACGTGGGCGGGCGAAGTGAAGAACCTACCGACGAACGCATTCGGATCGTAACGAGAGGGGAAAGCTGACTGGGCCAATGCGGCTAATGTGGGTTTTTTACCTGAAAATTTATCGATATGAAGCCTGAAAATGCAATTAAAAGTTACCTGAATCTGCGTCCTTCGAAGTCGGACTGCTTCTGTCCGACGTCGCCGAAGATCCGAACTTGCGGACAAACGGCATCGGAGTCGTGTTAGCGTTCGCCATCCTGAACAGCAAAACGATGAATGCGTCTGTGGGACGATGCGAATGAGGAATGAAGAAGACCGAGTAGGAGGGGGAATGTTAGGCGAAGATGGGATGAACCAAGTAGGTCGCGTTGCTAGGTGAAGATGGTGGAGAGCGGTTGGGATAGGTGAATAAAACTGAACGGATGTTCCTGGGTATGTCGTCAGATACCCGAGAAAACCGACAGACAGGCCACGAAGGGCTGTATTGAAACAAAAGGTTTATTTAGATAAAACAGATTTCAAACTGCTTTTCAAACATACGATCTCCTCTAAATTTCCGCGTTCTCTGTTCCTATTCAAATGGCATTAATGCATTACAAATTGGTTGAAGAGGGATGATTCCGCGGCTCCTCCCATCTGTTATGACGGCGAATCAATACAAGCGGCTCCTCTCTCTGTCTCCCTCCCGTCTCTGCAAAAGAAAGAAATATGCTCTCGACAAACTCTTCTCAAGCACACGCTGCCCGGCTCCTCGCCCATGATACGTACTCTCGGCGCTTCGTTTCGAAATTCACTTTACTTTCCCAGCATTTAGGAGGTCGTTACGAAAGGCACGCCGTCTGGCTCAGACAATAACGGCGCAATCACAATGCAGGTGAGTGATTTGTCCTGTCGCGGATATTTTCACCAACTTCTCTCGACTTTCAGGTTGAAAAACCCTACGACTATGCGGCCCTTATGATCCGTGTTTCCGCCGGATTCGTCATTTTCATCTCCCTTTCGCTGATCCTTCTGGTAGTCGGAAACTTGATATACACAAGTCTTACCGAACGAGTAAACCTCAATTCGAAAGTAAGCGTTTTGTTCAAAATTGAACGCATCTGATTTTGAAACATTTCAGAGAGCACGCTAAAAATTCCAATCAAAATGTCTTCTTGCCACTTTACCTACTGCTTCTACTCTGATAACTTATTGATTTTCGTTTAATAAAAGTCATCGTCTCCTTCTTCTGATAACTACTGTCGATCTAGCGCGCCGATAAAAAAGTGAAGGCCTGCGTCTCCACGTCGGGGCATCATCAGACTGCGAAAGGAAAACCTGACGGGAGATGTGGCGGTGGCCGTGAGAACGGAATAAACTAGATGAGAGTGGACACTTGCAAGACGGTCATCCGCGAGAGATTTGCTTCCTTCTCTCTTCGCGGTACCTTCCACGTGTTTCCCTCTTATTTCGTCCAACTTTCTTTACGCTGTTCCTTCGGACATATCAATTCTCGATTCAATTTCAGTAACTAGGCCGAAACAGCAGACGAAATGCTGAAATCCATCGCATTCTCAGCTTTTCTAGCCGTCTGCGTGGCGAGCAACGACAGATCTTGGACAACCGATGAGGGAGTCAAGATTGAGATTATCAAGAAGATCGGAGACTCGAAATGCAGGATCAAATCGGAGTCAGGAGATCAGTTGGAGCAATTCTACAAGCTATCAAACAAGGAAGGAAAAGTGATCGGCAGCAATTTCGGGCAGAAGCCGTACACGTTTACACTCGGAAAAGGAGAAGTTATCCACGGAATGGACGTCGCAATGGAGGGAATGTGCGTTGGAGAGCAGAGAAAAGTGATCATTCCGCCAGAGCAAGGATTCGATGAAGACGGAGACGAGGTCGAAGGAGTGAGTTGAAGACTTCTCTATTTTTTAGTTAAGCTCCTCCCGCGTTTTCAGAAAGGCGAGACTCTCTACTACTTCGTCGAGCTCAAGTCGATTTTCCGTCCGAAGCCCGGAGACAAATGGATCACCGACGAGGGAGTGCACATCCACGTGACTCACGAAGTGGAGGGCTGCACCGAGAAAGCAACTGCCGGAGACACTCTTCATCAGCAGTACACTCTCACCCTCGAGGACGGCTCTTTTATCGACTCGAGCTGGAGCCGTAACCGTCCGTTCATTTTCAAAATGGGATCGGGCCAAGTGATCAAGGGAATGGACATCGCCATGGAAGGCATGTGCGAGGGCGAGAAGCGGAAGGTCGTCATTCCACCGGAGCTGGCCTACGGAGAGAAGGGACGACCGCCAGCGATTCCGGGAGACGCTTTCCTCCACTTTGATTTGCATCTCGAGAAACTCGTCAGGCCAGGAAAGGAAGAGTTGTAGTCAGCCAATTGTTTGTTTAAATTATACGCAAAAGGTAATAAATGGTTAAAATATGAGAATGTTATACGAACAAACACAGCAAACACACGACAAATGGAAGACATAAAATAAACCGTTTTATTTCGAAAGCATACATTATTTGGCTCGTAAATTAAGAATTTAATAATTTCACAACTGACACCATTCTTTCTAAAAACTAGCGGAGAGATCAGACAGGAAGCAGCGGAATACAAGCTCATTTTCTGAAAAGCGACAGTTCAGTTGTAAAATGAACGTGGATCGCCTCTTCCTTGCGGAAGCTGAGGAGGGAATCCGTACTGTTGAGGAGGCGGAAGAGGTCGTGGCGGATAGCCATTGTCCCGTGGAGGTGAGAAGAATGATTGCGGCTGATTGTGAGGTCGTGGTGGGCCCATCGGAGGCGGACCCATCGGCGAGGGACCAAATTGATCCTGTATGGGAAGCTTTCCGAACGGCGTGTTTTGCGTTTTGTGCCAGGGAAGCGCATTGAAATCAATTCTGTAACTTATTTTATGATTTTCACAGTTCTCCCTATTGCGAAACGAACTCTCTTTCTTGGTGGAATCCTCCGCTGTTTCTCTGCGACGGAATTTCGTCCGACCAGATCCGATAATCCATCTGGGAGCGTCCCTGATTCGATTGGATTCCGTAGTACGGCTGCTGTTGCTGCTGCGGAGGCTGATTCCGCCAGTGCTCGGATGGCCGCGGCTCCCACGGCAGTGGCTTCGGTTTGAACTGATCCGGACGGCTTTTCGCCTTGTTCTTCTTCTTGTTTTTCGGACTAATGTTCTTCTGAGGGATGTTGTGAGTATTGTTAACATGTTGCTGCTGCTTCTGATTGGGCGTCGCATTCGGAACGATCGGCGGTTTCGCAGCAGCAGCCGCAGCTGGTTTCGAGGCGCTCGACACCACAATAGGCGGCTGAATTTTTTTGCTCATCTCCATTTTTTCCTTTTCTTTCGTATTGTCGTCAATCATTCCGAGCCCTGGGATTGTCGAATTGCTCGCCTCCTTGACACCGAGAGCGGGTGCAAACTCGGCTTGCGGCGGTTTGTCACTCAGTTTAGGGATCTTCTTCATGTTTGCAAGACTGCCTACACTCGATAGATTGGAGGAAACGAAAGAGGTCGAAGGGGAATTGACGATGGCCGGAGCTATCTTGTTCGGCACTGAAGGACTCTCAGCTATAGTCTGTTTCTGTTTCTTTGGTGTTGGAACCGGATCGGTTTCTGTAAAAATATGCTTTATCGACATTCCGGATTGTGAACTAACTCTTAGGCACTTCCGTTTCTTCGTTGCTTCGTTTTCTCGATTTCAGCGCTCGATTGATTTCTTCTGTGTACGATTTCGACACATAGCTCGTAGAGTTGGTGTCCATGGGACCCAAAAACTGCTCCGCCTGTGCTCTAGACAAAGCGTCAGCGAGTGATTTGGAGGATGGAGAACTTGATATGACCGGCTTTTCCCACGGAAGTGGTTGTTGTGACGGAGGCAATTTCACCTTATCTGGTTCTTTCTGCGGCGTTCTTCCCGGATTACCAAATGCGCTCCGAGCTTTCGGAATTTCTGGAGCAGGAGCATTCAATGCTTCCTTGGGAATCCACGACTCGAAGCCAGATGCGATCGGAAGCGCTGCTTTCTTCTCGACAATCTTCTGAACAAGAGGCTTTGCTGGAGCCCTAGAAGCGTTCATCGGAGAAGCCTGTGGAGGTGTGTCTACTATTTCGCCGTCTTCTGGAGGAGACACTCTGTCGACGTCGCTTGGAGTACACGCAACACTCTTCGGAGTCACTATGCTTTTCGGAGTCGCCATGATCTCTGCGACTTTCTCCGCCAGCTCTCTGTCTTTCTCTGAAATGATAATGCATTGGAAAGTTGTACGAAAAATGAATAAATGAATTACCTTTGACGGTTTGATTCAGTTTATTGACTTCCTTCTTGTACTTTTCCGCGTACGCCTTCCACGAATCCCGTTCGTATTTGATTGAATCACAATCTCTTCCGAGCTTCTGCGCCGCCGATTCGTACAGAGACGCCTTCTCGACCATCTGATTTCTTTCCGTGTCGGCTGCCGACGCTCTCGTCGTCTTCTCCGCCATTATTACCTCCATTCTTTTCATTGCTTCGCGAATATCATTGCATTTCACACATTTCTCCCATTTAGCAACAAAAAGTTTGTCATTCAGATTCTTGACGGCAGTCTCCGCCGTTTCGACAGCTTCATTCCGTTCTTTCTGGTAGACGTCTCGTGTTCGGTGGAAGAACGCGGCTCTTTCTCGCTCATAAGTCACCTCCTCCTCCAAATACTTGATCTTCGACTCAAGGCTCGCCTTTTCCAGTTGAAAGTCTTCGTACTTTCTGAGCATCATCCTTTTGTACTCTTCATATTTGTCCTTCTGCTTTTTTAACAGCGACGCGACTTCTGCCTCATGAGCTTTGAATTCTTCTTTGCGCTCCACAAGATCAGCTCGAATCTCTCGGAAAGAGTCAGAATACGTCAGCCGAGTCGTTCTTCCGAACTCTTTCAGTTTCCGGACTGCCAACTGGAACTTTTCCTCGCGTGCCCGGTAGTTGTTGATGATTTTTCCCTGCTCTTCAATCGTCCGCATCATCATCACGAACTGCTTCTTTAGAATCAAAGGCTGTCCTTCGAGCCGTGCGACGATCTGCTCGCTCAGTCCGTTCTTCATCGTTTCATCAAACAGATCTGCCATGTAAGTCGACTTCAACAGCATATCCGCATCTGTTTGCACCTCCGATTCGGAAGTGTCCGCAGCTTTCAAAGCTGGCTTCAGGGCAGGTCTTACAACGACTTCGGTCACCGAGCGAACTGTGGTTTTGACCGCGATTTTAGACGGCCGACCTCTCCCCTTGCTCTCAGTTTTCTTCTCCTTCGCCACTTCTTGCTCTTTTTTCTGTGCAGCTGATATTCTGGCTGAGGCTTTCGTAGGGCTGTTCTCCTGCTTTTTGGACGCCACGATTTCCTTGTTCTTGTTTTTGTATTTTCCGGCATTTGACCATCCGTGATGAACCTTCTTCTTCTTTCCGCCAATAGGTTTCCGGCCCCTCGGGTTGGCCGCCGCCTTCTTTTCATCAATCACCGACTTTTCCTGTTCCATTTCAATACCCTCGTCTCCTTCTTTCTCTTCAGAGTTTGCGGTGGTTGAACTGTCCGAGTGCGGAAGTTGTGCCTCTTGTTCGTCACTGTCCCTCCGCGATACTGTCATTCGCTTCTTTTCGGCGCACAAGTAATCCAATTTTTCGGATATGGTTAGTATTCTGCCGTCTAAAACAACATTTGTGAATAATTAAACATGAAAAATAGCAAACCTTCACTGCAGTACGAGTAAACTCCTCGTACTTTTTTCGAGCACATTCCGAAGAATAATTCGCAAGTTTCGCAGAAGTTTCTGTAGAGATCTTCCTGCTTTCCACTATTCGGAGTCTGAAGTTTGTTTTGTTGTTTTTCCAGTGAATAATAAGAGTATATAGTACTGTTCTCTGCCTGAAAAGTGCCAGTTTCGCTGGCCTCTGACACTTCTCGCACTGTACGTAGTCTCCCGACGTCGTCCGCGGTGCGGAGCAACTTGGGCCCTCATCGGTGATTTCAGAATACGTTCCTTCGAATGGCTGCAACATCACATAGCTATCTTGCAGCAAAACTGACTACTCACATCAATTTTATCATCAGACGCGGTTTTAATAAACTTGTCCTCTTGTGCATCTGTTGTTTCGCTCATTACCTTCAAAAAATCGATAAAATTATATTAATTTCACAAACAAACACGAATTTCAAATAATCCTTTAACGAGAAGCTCGGAAATTGCTCCGACCAAAAATTAAGACGCGACGCATCAATCTGCAAATTGATAGACTAGGTGGGCGTGGCTCAATACTTAAATTGCAACCCTGGCACGCTTGTTTAGCAATACCGCCGCGCGCTCTGTCGTATCGACTTTTTATTTTATTTTTCTCAAAATTCACGTTTTGATTCGTTCTCTCATTAATTTTTCAGTTTTACAGATGAGTAAAAGTGACAACAAAAGTAAACCACGTGGCAAGTATGAGCCCGACTGGGCTGACGAGCCGGAAGAAGAGAAGAAAACTCGAAAAGAGACGGCGAAAATGTTCGGACCACAAAAAGATCCAGAGTGGTGGGACATCAACACTTTTAGCAAGGTACATCGCTAAATGATTTAGTAAATTTAGTATTTTTGTTATCCAGGAAGACAATCCAAACGGCTTGCTTCAAGAATCGTCGTTCTCTTCTCTGTTCCCAAAATACCGCGAGAAATACATCAAGGAGAGTTGGCCGTTGATCGAGAAAGCTCTCGCCGAGCATCATCTAAACGCCGATCTGGATCTTTTGGAGGGAACAATGTGCGTGCGAACGACACGCAAAACTTGGGATCCGTACATTATCATGAAAGCGCGTGAGGTGATCAAGCTGTTGTCCCGCAGTGTTCCGTACGAGCAGGCGATCCGAGTTCTCGAGGACGAGATCTACTGCGAGATTATCAAAATCTCATCAATGGTTCGGAACAAGGAACGCTTCGTGAAGCGCCGAGCCCGATTGATTGGAAACGAAGGAGCGACGCTGAAGGCTCTGGAGCTGCTCACTCAGTGCTACGTTTGTGTCCAAGGAGGGACCGTTTGCGCTGTCGGACCGCTCAGTGGGCTCAAGCAGATCAAGTGAGCATCTTTTGAAATGAAACCTGCAAAAGTAATTGTTTCATTTTAGCCAAATCGTGACCGATTGCATGAAAAACATTCACCCAATTTACAACATCAAGACGATGATGATCAAGAGAGAACTGGCGAAAAACGACGAGCTGAAGGACTCAAACTGGGATCCGTACCTTCCGAAGTACAGAAAGAAGGTGCAATCGGCGACGACGACGAAGGACGCGAAGAAGAAGAAGGCGCAGAAGATGAAGCAGAAGGGAGAGTACACTCCGTTCCCGCCGGCTCCGGTCATGAGCAAGATTGACAAGCAGATTGAGAGTGGAGAATACTTCATTCGGGAGCACGAGAGGAAAATGAACAAAAGAAGGTTAGAACCAATTCAACGTCCACGAGGTTACAGACGTTTTCAGAGCAAAACTTGAAGCATCAGCGGTGAAGACTGTGGAGCGGCAGCAGCAGAAATTGAAGGTTTACCAAGCAAAGGAAGAGGCGCCACGTGAGAAGCAGACAAAAAAACGGCAGAACGATGCGCCGATTGATATAGAGAAGCTGAAGAAGAAGGCGAAACTCAACAAAGGAGCCAAGTAATTCAAATTTTTTGTTCAATTTTTGTTGTTACCATAATTACTATTGTTATTTTCTTTTTGTTGAAAGTGAATTCATTTATTCGTTATCATTCTTGTTTTATAGAAATCATGTTCCAAAGGTTTTTGAACTTCAAGCTAATTGGAAAAAAGGACGACGAAGACGAGTGATATCGTTTATTGTCGGTCAAAAAAGGATTATAAAATGGACAACTGAAGAAACGCTTAAAGTTATTCGATCTCAGTTATTAGTAACTTTGGTTACTTCAAAAAAAAGGAGAACAATAAATAGAATCTGTTAAAAGTGACGGGTTGAATGATTCAAAGAAGGGTGATATGATATGAATGGAGTTAAACAGACCAGTATGTAAGAATCACCCCCCTCAGGTTAAAAAGATCATGGTACAAATGGGTCTAGGACCTGCGGCGACGCTTGGCGTCACGACGATCATCGTCAGAGTCCGAGAAGTCGGTAGATTCAGAAGAGCTCGAGTGGCGGCGCTTTCGTCTTTCCTTCTTCTCCTTCTTGCTTTTCTTTTTCTTCTTTTTGTCGCTCTCATCCCGATCGCTATCATCGTCGGTTTCAGCGTGACGACGCTTCTTCTTCTCCTTCTTCTCCTTCTTCCTTTCCTTCTTCTCCAACTTCATCGCCTTCTTTCTTTCCTTCCTCTCCTTCTTTCTTCTCTTCTTGTCCTTCTTTCGCTGCTGCTCCAACGCCACCAGTGGAGTCTCATCATCGCTTGATTCGGAAGACGTCGAACTCACTTCATACGCCTTCGTCGACACATTCGGACGCACTTCAATGTGATTGCGGCATTGGAAGTACAAATGTCCCGGATATCCGCACTTTTTGCAAGCTCCTGTCACTGTCGGCATGGAAATCGATGCTCCGGAAATGTCTGAAACCCGACTCAATTAGGTAATGTATACGTGGGCGGGCGAAGTGAAGAACCTACCGACGAACGCATTCGGATCGTAACGAGAGGGGAAAGCTGACTGGGCCAATGCGGCTAATGTGGGTTTTTTACCTGAAAATTTATCGATATGAAGCCTGAAAATGCAATTAAAAGTTACCTGAATCTGCGTCCTTCGAAGTCGGACTGCTTCTGTCCGACGTCGCCGAAGATCCGAACTTGCGGACAAACGGCATCGGAGTCGTGTTAGCGTTCGCCATCCTGAACAGCAAAACGATGAATGCGTCTGTGGGACGATGCGAATGAGGAATGAAGAAGACGGAGTAGGAGGGGAAATGTTAGGCGAAGATGAGATGAACCAAGTAGGTCGCGTTGCTAGGTGAAGATGGTGGAGAGCGGTTGGGATAGGTGAAGAAAACTAAAGGATGTTCCTGGGAATGTCGTAAGATGTGAGAATAGACAAGCCGATCACGAAGGAGTGTATTGAGAAAAAATTTTGAAAGCCGTCTATCAATTCTTCACTGGTTTGAAATTTCATTTGTTCATTTCTCAGTTTTTGTAACGGGGTTTATAAAATAAGAATGAAAAAGTGAGAGAAGCTTATCATTTTGCACGTGAGAAATACGGAAAGGTTATCGATCTTCCGAAAGAGAGTTTCCCGGTCAGTTCCGCCAGTTCCGACCGGAGAGAAAGTCGAGTTGAATTCCACAGTTCCAGGAGCAGCAATGCAAAACGATTCGCTCAGGATTCTTGTGGGATCGAAGAAGAGAAGGAGTAGGAGGCGAATGGAAAAAGAGGTGAGGACGACGAGAAGAGAATGCTCCGGTCGAGACGGACGAGAGGAGCCCGACGGAAAGCATCGATGGTCTTAGAATTTGTGCGTCTAGTCCTGCAATCCCCGGGTTTCCGGGAGAAACACTCCCACCGGGTCGCCGTGTGAATCTGCCATTGCTTCCCATCATCATCATCATTATCATCAAATACAAATATTTTTCAATGTGTTCTGGTAGAGTGTGGACGGCACATTTGTGCACATTCAAGAAATATCTGAAATGTCGGGGAGAATTGGAAAAGAAGCGAAAGGTAAGTGAATAGAAAACTAGCTGCTCAACGCCGAATTTCCTTCGGTAAAGATCGTACAAGAGAGGCTCTTGTCGTACAGTGTGAGGACTATCAGCCGCCCTTTTCTTTTGAATGTGAGTTTTCAGTAGTTTCCGTAAAGAAGCAAAATTGACGTTTTCTCAACGTTTCTCAACGTTAAACGTTTTCTGTAAATCGCTTTGAATCAGAGTGACAGGATTCTAAAGCATTGATCAAGGGAGGAAGTGAGAAATAGCCCCCATCGACAAGTAGAAAAGACAATCTTTCAGACAAACTCGGCCCGACCAAAGAAAGCCGAGCACTGGACAGCTTCCCCAACCTACCCCGCCGACATCTTCTGAAGATTCTGCTTGAATGTCCTTTTAATCGAGATCTGTTCTCTATCTGTGCCCATAAAAGCAGGCAGATGAATGAGGACTTGTTCCTTTTCAACACTTTTCCCAGTTTACATGTGCTACAATGCGAAGGACACCCGTAAGTGGTGCGAAAACTGATTGAGTCTCCAGCAATTCTGAAACTTGAGTCTGGTATTAGATTCATAATAAAAAAAACAAGCAGATCATTTCACTCGAACATATAGAATGTTCCGTTTTGAACTCGAAAAGATCATCATAACCAGCGCATTTTTGGCCGTTGCTCCGACGAGCTTCTCAACTGTTCGATTCAACGTCTCCGCATTGTCTACTGCTTCTCCTTGCTCTTCTTTTTCTGCACTCCCGTCTTCCAATGGCTCAACCTTCTCCTTGTCGATCTCCACGAGAACCAGACTGTCATTGAGCATTTCCGAAGCGACATTGTCCAGGAATCTTCCGTAGTTGGGGAACGATTGTGCCAGTTTTGAGCGGATTCTGAAAAGATCTTTCGTTGACGAAAAATACCAAAAGTTCTAACTTTTTTGATGTTGATGGGTGTACATTGATTCCATTTCTGTCGAATGCGCACATAATCGACTTCATCTTGTCCTTCTTCAGATAGGTTTCTAAGGGCGACGTCGTCTTGTCAGAGTCCACTGGCAGAGACTCCTTCCAATCGAAGTCCCCTTCGATGCTCTCCGCCTCCTTCACACATCGCACGCACTTTGACGGACCGCTCACAAACCGACACCTGCAGTTCTGAACGGAGCACCCGACGACAGTTGGCTGCGAGCAATCCGAGCAGGGAACGGAGGAGACCGTCTCCTTCTGAATCCTCCGCCCGACCGACGCGTTGTTCGTCTTTGCGTATTCGGTGTACTGCCATCCGTAGCACGTGTTTCCGAACACGATTCCTTTCTCGAGCTTTAGCTGCGCCAATCGCATCGCCGCCCACGCATCTTCGTACGAGCAGTGGCCGAACGCCGACTGGATTTCTTCGCCCAAAAAGAGTTCGGTCAGGTTTTTGAGACTGTTCCGCAGTCCGCTGTTGTTGCTTGTGTAGTTGAGTGCATGTCCAACGTCCAAACAGTACGGATGCGTCATTTTCATCGCCTGCAAGTCGTGCTCCAAAGAGTGTCCAACCAAGATGGCGTCCGGAGGAAGAAGAGACTGAACGGCCTTCTGGACGTCTTCTAAAGTCGTCGTCACGCCTTCCATCATATCGGAAGTGATCCCTGAGTAACGGGTCACGTAGTCTGTTATCCGTCCTTCCGGCTTCACGAGAGTATCCAGGACAGTGTTCTCTTGCTCGTCAATTATTGAGATTCTCGTAAGAGCCCGATTCTGCACAGTCGTTTCACACATTTCACAGTCTAGAGAAAACAGTGGGGACGAATGAGTCAGTTTCCGGTATCTGAAAGCTTTTCGGGTGTATTCTTCTGCTTTTATCATCATCAAACCTCTGTTTCGTCGGCACGATTTCAGCTTCTCCCGGAAACGGATAACTCCGCATCGCCATTTGCTCGGTGGACAGTAGGAAATGTGATTTATCGTGCTTGCCGAGCTCATCGTACGTCTTCTGCATCTTCTCCGACTTTCTCCGAATCTGCTCTTTCAAAGTCAATCGCACATTCATAATGCAGTTCCAGAAAAGGTTCCGATCGCTGATATCCGTGTCCATTTCGATCCATCTTTTATCGAAAAACAGACTTGGAAACGTGAGGTTCGTTGTTTCCTGTATTCCGAAATTTGTAGTGAAGAGGTGGAATATTTTTCACTTACGAAAAAGTCGTCCTCGACATTGATGCGGATGACGAGTGTTTGGAGCAGGTTTCGATGGTGGGAGATGCTGACCCACTTGGGCTTTTGGAGCATCGAACCGAATGTGGCGAAGTGGATGAAACTGGCGAGGTCTGAAGCTTTGGATAAGCGATTGGATAGTTGCAATCAGGTCAAAAGTCCATTGAAAGGGTGCCTCATGAAAGAGTGCCTACGTTCGCAGTCAATGCGTTGCCCATCAGTAAGTCGGCTCAGACGGAGGTCCAGTTTCGGTTTGTTCGGCTCATCGCATCGGAATTTTCGGCTCCTCGTTGGGCTCAGAGCCACGCCCCCCTCAGTTCTCCGTCTTTTCGTTGCTCCTGAAGTTTGGGCTGTCAATTTTAACTTTTCTATTTCTCACTTTGAAAGTTATCCTCGGCCTGCTCGGGAGATCTAAATAAATTGGCAATTTCTGATTTTATACTCTCGCGGAGATCTCGATTTGCCATATTTAGTTGGAGCAGCGGGCACCGAGCCTTTCCGAGTCACCTGGAACTGAGAATAAAAGAAATTGGATTGATTAATTCTCAGAAAATAAGTTTTGGTTATTTTTGCATCCTTTCCTTTCAAAAACTGAGACAAGAGACTGTGATACATTTATTACAGGAAATGTACAATTGCGTACTTTAAATGCAGTACAATAGATTATTATGCACCGGTTTTTGGTTTCATTTTATGACAATTGGTACGGTGGAGGGAGCCTCGAGATGAACGACATGAAAGACTTCGTTGATCGAATTTTGAGTGCCGATCAATTTTATATAGACAACGGGGAGAGGGTCGAAAATCAGTTCCTGCCATCCGCGGCATTCCTCGTTCGTTTTGTCGACGACTGTAGTCCAGACTACCTGGTTTGTGGAGACGGTCACGTAGTACGAGTAGAAGCGGTCGTCGCAGTTCCAGAGAAGAATGCGCATCGAGGAGATGATGTATGGCTGGGCGAGTTGGACCATGATGTGTCCGCTGCCGATTTGATGGCAGGTGTACCCAGAGTCCCAGTCGTAGGTGGTGATGTCTCCGTTGATCAGAGCGTTGCGACAACGGGAAACACCCTCCAGGACTCGGGCGTGACGGAGAACAGTTGCAATGTTACGGTCCGGCACTGAATGGAATAGAATTAGATGAGAAACGAAGAAATGGAGAACACTGACCCATTATCTTTGTGACAGGATCCACCGGCATTGTCTCCGAAGAGTACATCGCCTCGATCCGACTGGCTTCCAGTCTCGTCGCCATCCGATCCGTGCACTTTATCAGAATGTACCGGACGACTGTGTCCTCGAAGAACACTCTCTGCATGCCGCGGCAGTCGTAATCCGAGTAATTGGCCACCAGTGTCCAGTGTCCGTCCGTACGATTCTCCATGCTCACGTGTATTTCGTACGAGAACCCGTGCACGTCGGTCTTCCAGTTCAATTCCATCAGAATTGTGTTGATGATGAAGGGCTTGCTGAGATCCACGTGGAAAACACTGACGTTCTCGTCGCTGGTATATCGGCGAGCATGTTCTCGGGAAAGAGGTTGCACGTTCGGGTACTGTGGAATTATATTCGTGTCGAGACCTGCAAGACATGCGATTCATATTAATCCGTGTTCACGTTTAAAATGTATGCCTGAAATGTCTGAAATTCACTCACTTTTGCATCCTCGGAACGCTATTTCCTGCGGTTTCTGAGCCTGAATCGCGATCGCATCCAACAAATCATCGGCCTTCACCAGTCCAGTCGGTCGTACAAAGTTCAGCAGTTCGTTTTGAGATATCAACGGAAGTCGGACCAACTCTAGCAGTAGCTTCAGAGCATCCTTCATTGTCGGATTGTGTTTGTACCACGTACGCACGGCATTGAAGATCTTCAGTTCGTTCGCACAGAACGAGTCTCTCGCCAGCAACTCTTTCAGACTATCTCCCGTTAGTCTGTTGAAGCTTGGATCGTCGAGCAGCTGATCGGCATACTTATCAGAATATTGCATGCAATACTCGATCAGGTCGCTGAGTTGGAAGAAATATGCGGCATTGAAAATACTGCACAAGTTCTCATTCCTAAGAATTTCTTTGAAATTTTCGCTGATCGCTGTCATCAACGGACCCAAATCGTATCGGTGGGCGAGACTGAGATACTCGAGCAGAATGTCCAGTTCCACTCCCGTAAAGTCAATTTTCGAAGTGTACATGTACTGGAGAATGGCTCGGAATGCGGTCGAATTCGTATCCTTCAGATTCACTTTCGGCTGATGACTCTCTTGGAATCCGTTGAAGAGCATTGCCCGAAAGAAACTGCTTCTGACGGCGAGAATAAGGCGATGAGCAGCGATTTCGGAGCCGTCATCGAAAACGAGAGTGACGTCGCTGTGCTCGGCAGAGGTGAACAACTCGCCGAGGCACAGCGAAAGTTCCTGGAGGTGCTGAACATCCGACTTGTTGCCTGGATAAGCTTTTTACAACTATTTGCTTTCTAATAAAAAACTCACTGCGATTGACAGCGTTGAAATTGTTGGAAATGGCGGCGGATTCCGTGCGCATCGTCTCGACGACTAAACGGTCGTCTTCGGGAATCGGCCGCCCGAACGCATGGTTGTCGCTCATTCCTGAAATCTTTATTTGCATTTATTTTTAACTTGTAATTGATTTCACCCACCTGAATCGCAGATTCACTTGATTAGCGCTAATCAATTTCAAAAGCGGAATTATAAAAGAGGGCGTGGTCCGTTTTGCAACCCTGGCACGCATTTTAGCAACCCTCCCGCGCGCAGTTCAATAAAATTTTTAAACATGCGCCATTTCGTCACCGATCTCGTCCTTGTCAATATTTTTCCAAGTTGTTTGTTGCTGATCTCAAAACCGAGAGAAATCAAGTCATGCGTGTGTCTTATTGATTTGCGGGTATTTCCTAACGTGTGCGTCATTTTCCCTGCCGTTTCCTGAAACACGCTCTGTTCCACTTCAACGAGCAACTTCATTTTTTGGCTAAATTTGAGTAATCGAGCAAAATGGACCGCAACTTTACTGAAACCGAGCTCGAGAATATTGTCAATCAAATGGGACAGCACGTGGAGACTCAAGCTCAGTTGCACAGACTAAAAAACGGTGAGTGTTCGAGAATTTTACTCAAAATTCAAGTCATTTTTGAATTCAGAGATTGATCGGTATCTGGATGAAGACCCGTACATATCAGAAGAAGACGATCATGACGTCATGAATGAGTCCCTATTTGCATCACTCGCAATCGATCCGGCTGCACAGTTTTTGCGAAGAGAGCGGCAGGTTCCTCATGAAAGCATTCAGTCACCTATTGTCTCCAGAAGTAAGTACGATTCATCAGTTTCGAATTTATCATCTATTTTAGGAAGGCGTGGAAAGTTCAACGAGTACGAGAACATCGAGTATCCGGATGACTTTGATGAGGAGAGCTCTCCGGACTTTCCTGAAGCGAAGTCGCTGATCAGTCAAGCGTATCAAAGCATCGGCCGCATTTACAACACCTGCCGGGGCGCCTCAAAAGTAAGTTCTTGCTCAAATAAATTTTAAATGCTGGCCAGCCTGAAATCTTCGGCACTGGAGGTTTTCAATCGTCTAAAATGGATTGCCCTTCGGAATAGCAAGAGCATTGCGCCTGTGACAAACGAAGAGAACAAACAAGAGCCGAGTGTTAACAATATTATAAGTTCAAACAACATTCAAATTCGTTTTTTTTTCAGGTTATAGAAAGTCTTTCTTCGGGAGAACGAGAATCTGAGTACGGCGAAGAAGAAGAAGAAGGGGAAGACATAGGAGATTCGGTTTCCGTGCCCGTCAGTGCTCGTACCGATCCGCGTGCCCCCTCCGTTCCGGCCAAGATCATCGTGGATCCGAGTGTCCGGCCGGTACTATCTCCGAAACCAGGACGGGCGCCCTACAAGTTCGATCCGGTCACCAGATACCATCTTTACAAGTGAGTGCTGTTTCGAAATCGCCCGTCTTCATGGTCACTTTTCAGAGAAGAATGGGATCGTCACCCGGCTCCTGGAGAAATGCGTCGTCTATCTCTGCGATGGAAAGTCCGTGAATACATGCTCCGCCACGATGTTCCTCGTCTGACTGCGAACCCGAGCGGTCAGGCTGAACACGATAAAGATTGGTCTCCGCGTCCATATTTGGATTAGATCTTTTTGTATCCTATCATCACATTCAAAACCAAATGAAGATCTCAATGTATCATCCGTGTCTTGTAAGCGTGTCCTCCCTAATGTACGGGGATTATATACTTTTTACATGCGCTCAATCTGATTTTTGTTTGTTTTATTTATTCAATATTGTATTCAGATGAGTATTCAAAAGATGAAAGACAAGTTCGTTCTCGCCCTGACCCAACACAACATTCCAGGCCTTCGTTGGGTCCTTGAAGGGTTCAACTTGTAAGTGTAGTACTACGGTATCGTTCTCCCGTGACCGACCTTCACAGTTTATTTCGGCTTTGATTGTTGTGATTGCCGAAGTGCAAGTACGCTGTTTACGCAACAAACCAAAGAACCGTGCACTTACCGAAACCAGATCACCTTCACGGCCCTCTTTTTCCTTTTGCAGCTACGATACGCAGCGAGTGAAGGAGGTGGGAGCGGATCGGGCAGCCGCCGAATGGATCGTTCGGTGCGGCGGCAAGATCAAGTTCGCTCAAATCGACGAGAGCTTCGACGACTACAACGCGCTCGTCAAACGCACAGCTCAGCTGGATCCTCGGCTCGCAGAGGACCGGGTGACTCTGGAGACGATCCGCGCCGAAGACGCCAGTGTCACTGGATTCGGGTGCCGTCACTTTGGTACAGTGATCAGATGATAGCGGGGAGGATACGGTAGAAGTCAATCACACATGACACTCCGCGCGCGGGAAAGTGCAAGGCTTCTTGCTTCTTTGGACGTTTAACAATATCCACTAGTCTAGTCTCTTTCGACAACTTTATGGATTCGCAGTCTGAATCCCAATCCCAATCTCCCTAGATCCTTTCATTTGATAACTTTTCCTTTTTTCGTGTCAGTCCGTTGACGTAGTCTGAACGCGTTGAATCTGCTTTGATCATCTACAAAATTGCAAAAACGTTGAAACACCTCTTGGAACAGGCAGAAATAGAAAATGCCAGAATCTATTGAATCATCGGATAGCAACGGATCTTTTGGATAGAGTCTAAATTTCCACTGGTTATTTCATTCTAAACTGATGATTTTTTAGAGAATCTTGTTGGAATCAAGCAGGTCTACTTCATCCGATGCAAGAATCTTCATGACTTTGGCCTGGAGTACATGGGACAGCACGTGGGCGGTCATCTGAAGACCCTTCACATCGAAGAGTGCCCTCGGATCACCGAGTTCGGGCTGGAGCATCTGAAAAAGTTTTCGGCTCTGGAAACGCTCATCCTGCGCAATCTGAAAAGTGTGCACGGGAAGGAGAAGGTGGAGCAGAAGCTTCGTGGAGCACTTCCGAAGACTGACATTCAACTTCACCTGTAGAAGTCATCGGCTCCCTGTTAAAATGTATGTAGAAAATGTTTCTAAAGAATAAAGCGAAAAGGTAGAAAAAGAACAACATCGATCAACAAACCATCATCATAATCAAGGGAGTGGGGGGAAGAACGCGAAGAATAACATTGCAACGGCATCGGTCGAGCGACCGAAAAAAAGACAACACAAACATAAAGGTGTAGGGTAACTGAATCTTCATGTAGTCTTTCTGATCGGAAGTACCGTACACAGGTGAACGGTCGGTCAAAATGCTCGGGGCACATTAACCATAAAGATACCAATAGTTCGAAACGATGTCTACAGTAACCGTGCCTCGGATTGTCACGTGGAACTAAAAGGGAATTCATCCGGCGGCCGAGAATGATGATCCTTATCACACTTTGTGTTTTCTTTGAAGATCTTGCGGAGAGATCAATATGTTTTGGGGGGGGTGAACTGGCGAGGACATCTGAACTTTGCTTTTCGGTGGCTGTTTGCTGCTGGTCGGGAGAAAGAGAGACCTCGACTGTAATTTCCCCTCCTTCTTCTTCGCCCCATTCATGCATTTTGTTTGTTGTCTTTTCCCTTTTCGTCCAACTCCTTCAGTCATATGAGGTGTCAATCTGACGTCATCTCAAACCTTGAAAGCAGCGAAAAACGAGAAGCAGCACAGTAGAGGTGCCAACTATTCTGTCTGAATCTGGGTCAACGTGTACTAGATACCAACACATCCCTTTCGTTTCGCGCCGCGATCCCATCAGGCCGAGAAATCGGATGAGGTAGGAGGAGGAGGAGGCGGCGAAGGCGGAGGCGCGCTTTGGGAATACTCAAGCGCGACGGTTTTCTTGATATGGCCTTGCCCGACGAAGAAGACCGACGTCCGTTTGATAAAAATCAGAGGGGGTATCGCCCGCATACACAGAGAGATACAACGAATACAGTGCCTACTCCTCCGTCATCATCATCGCAGCAGCCGAAGAAGAAGAAGAAGAAGAAGACGAAGACGAAGAAGAAGAAGATGGGGCGCGCATCGAGAGGGCCTCCGACTACTCACTCTCGGCCACTCGAAGAAGTCGTCGACGACGCCGCTGGTCCCCTTTTTTCTCTTTCTTTTTGTTGTCTTCTCGTGCACTGTTCTTTACACACACACACGGATGAACAGGTTTACCCTCTCGCCCACTTCGTCCTGAGACGCCCATTTTCCAACCAGGTATTGTTCGAAGACACAAAAGACGAAGAAGATGAAGATTGCAAAGAGAAGAGAATTGTCGCCGAAAGTCGCCGAAAAGATAATCAGTTGGACCGGGGGCGAGCCAAAGATCGGTAACGGTTCCGAGAGTCTCCACCCCTTTCTGCCGGTCATCCGTGCCCTCCCACACCCCTTTTCGAATCGGTTATTCTCTGAGACCGATGCACTTTTTCTTCTTCATCTTTCTCTCATGTGATCAACCCTTTCTCATCTATCTCTCCGTGTTTGTTGCAAAACGGTTTTGGAGGCCAACCGCCGCCCTGAAAGTGTTCATTCTAGACGTGGGCGACTTCCACCCAAACATTCTTCAAATTCTAAGCTTCTCTTGTCGATTTGTCTCCATCGTTCGTTACAAGTGCTACCCATCACTATCTATCTCCGCTTCGCTGACCCACTTCGCCCCGTCCGTTTTCACCCCCGGGTAGTAGTAGCACGGGCGTCCTCTTCTTCTTCTCTCTGCGTGTCATCTGCTTCGCCTTCACCCGTCTCTCCGTCCGTTCTACTTTAAATGTTTTCAGGATCTTGGGTTCCCGTCTCGAGAAATGGAACAACTGAAGTGCCACGTCAAACAGTACGCGTGGGGAAAGTACGGAGAAGAGAGCGAAGTGGCGCGGCTCTTTGCCGACGGTCACGAGCACTTCCAAATCGACGAGAAGACGCCGTACGCCGAGGTGAGTAACGTTTTGATCCGCCACAAACAAATCATTGTACCGTAGTTCAAACGAATTGTTTTGTCTCACAAAGAACTTGATTCCAACTGAAGTACCTAGTCCCAAACGGTTCCGCCTCTGAAAATGATCTTCGATGCCAGATAACATAAAGTGTGACTTTGCAGCTTTGGATGGGAACCCACCCCGATGGCCCTGCACAACTCAAAAAGTGCTCCACGAAGCTCTCGACGCACCTGGCCAAGAATCCGTCGCCGCTGACGAACAACAACTCGGCGAAGAACATCCACTTGCCGTTCATCATGAAAGTGATGTCAATCAGAACGACACTCTCCCTACAGGTCCATCCCACCAAAGTACGTTCGGACGCGACCAGAACGAAATAGAATGAGACTGAGACTTGATTTATAGGAGCAAGCTCACCGACTCCACGAACAGGATCCGCTCCACTATCCAGATAGGAATCACAAGCCGGAGCTCGCGTATGCTCTCACTCGATTTGAACTTCTTTGCGGATTCAGACCAGCCAGAGAGATCTTGTTGAACCTTCAGAGTGAGTGAACGCATCCCTTCAATTTCTCTATCGCCTTCTTTCAGCGTTCCCATCGTTCCGGATACTTTTCGGCGGTGAGACTCTTGCTAAAGCACTTGAAGACTGCATAAAAGTGCTGGGCAACGAGGACACGAACTCTTCAGAGTACGAAAAGTCGAGAAAGGCGCTGGAAGACTGCTTCAGATTCATGATGATCCCTGACCGAGCCGATGTTCATGTAATTCTTCGTTGAACTTTCTCACTATCGTTTCATGATTCCAGGATTTGGTTGCTCAATTGCTCGCCGAGCTCGACCAAGGACTTCGTGGATCCGTGGAAGAAGTGACTGTCGGCGTCGTCCGAAAAATGTCCGTCGACTTCCCGAATGACATTGGAATCTTCTCGCCACTCTTCCTCAATCACATGATCCTCGAGCCGGGACAATGCTGTTACTATGCGGCCGAAGAGCTGCACGCCTACCTGAGCGGAGAGTGCGTCGAGTGCGTCGGCTGCTCGAATAACACGATCCGTGCGGCCATGACTCCGAAATACATCGACAGAGACGCGTTGTGCAGTGTGCTCAACTACAAAATGACCGAGCAGAAGGAGTATTTGGTGCCGGAGACGAGATTGACCGGATGTGTGGACATGTTCGCGCCGGACTGCAAAGACTTCCAGCTGCACAGGATCCGAGTGGGGACCGAGGAGACGACGGAAAACTTGCTGCTGCCGACGCTCGATTGTGCCTCGATTCTGGTGGTTGTGAGCGGAAAGGGAACGATTGAGGAGGCGACGGCCGACAATCAGATCGTCGGCGAGTACGAAGTGAAGCGGGGAGACATCTTCTACATTCCACCAAAACAAACGATCCGGTAAGAGAACGTGAAAAGTTCAAACTTTCATCGAACAACTGTAGATTTGTGAATTGTTCGGAGCCGCTGGAGGCGTACAGAACGTTCAGTTACGAGATGGGTCCGGATCACGAGTCGCGGATCGTGTCGTCAGTTGCGAGCAGTGCGCCGACGACGACGACGATCAAGGAGAAAATGTTCAAACTGGACGCGGATCTGGAAGAAGCGCCCGCGGCAGTCATCTGATATTTCCCATTCAAAAAATAATGTTTTGAGCACTGATAATATGTACTGCGAACATGCGAGATATCATCCGTGTGCCGAATTACGGGGTAATGCCAACACTTTTAGCGGAAAGTACAGTATCTTTTGTAGATTCTCTAATAGTGTACCATCTTTTTCTTCTTCTTCTTCTTCTTCCTCTCCTCTTTTATTTTCCCTTCTCTGTTCTCATCTCTTCCATTCCTACGCTTCCTTCCTCCACCGTCCGTCGTTCCGATCTAAAATGCCATGCGATTCCGTCGCCGTTCGAGCCTCGATCTACTTCTAGTTTTCCGCTTTTTCTTCATTTCTTTCACCTTCTTCTTCTTCTTTTTTTTCTTCTTCTTCTGTTTTCCCAATTTTTCAAACACTGTCCCCCCCCCCAGTCTCTTTCCTCTTTTCTGTTCCAATTCTTTTCATGTTTATCCGTTCCACAATGTTTCGATGTTCGAAAATGAATAAAGCACCTGTACGAAAAGTGCAAAGTCCAATGTGATCACGAGAGTCTTTCTTTTTCGAAATGTGCAGCCGAAAACAGCACGTTTCCCACGATTCTGGGAAAATCAGCAGACAAGTGACAACTCATAACTTTTTCTTACAAACGCCCACTCCAATGCGCATTTCTGTGTTGAAAGTCATGTGCACTTTTACAGAAACAATCTTATTTTCCTATCTCTCAAAACCAATCCTTTATCAGTTATGTTCCACAAAACTCTAGCATTTATTTTTTTTTTACATCGCTGAATTGGATTTTTTGACGTAAGAAAACGAAAAAAACGGAAAACAATCATCTTTTTCACAGCCTGAATAACCCCATTAAAGTTTAATTAGATTATACTACTGTAGTAAAGTTCTCTGGCCAACGCTCAAAAGAGGCTTGTTCGATTCTCACTCAGAAAAAGTGACACAGACTCATTATTTATACGTTTTCCTCAAGTGCCCCACACCCAGGTTCCCAAAATGGAAGCTGTTAGATGAGAGTAGGAGAAAGCAGCTTACATTTTCGCACGTCCTTTTCGTGATTCTTGAAACGATCGCATTTCAGTAGCAGGTGGAAAGATAACGGATAACATGTGGGTAGCGAAAACCAACTAGACACGCCCGTTTTCAATGGTGGCGCCGCCAATGAGCCGCTCGTCCCCATCGCAATTTTCTACTTGGGATGCTCGATAATCAGTTGTGCCGGCAACTCGATCATGCTCATTCTGTTCGTCAAAGAGCGGTACGTCTCCTCATGTCCTTCCTTTTTGAGATGCGTGCTTTCAGACACTTCCACTCTCCCTGCCACTACATGATAACTCTCAGTTGTTGTGCAGACATGCTCCATCTGTGCGGTCACTTTGTATTCAATTTTCATATTTTCGCCAACAGTAACAATTGTGCGGGAATTGGAAAATGAGCTGGATAGTTTTCAGAAACGGATACACAAGAGAACTGCTATTGGATGCTGTTTCTGACAAGCATCGGCAAGTGCATGAGTAATCCGCTTATTTTGATGACCGGAATCGACAGGTTCATTGCCTGCAAGTCTCCGGTTATGTGAGTGAGATCGGAACAACGTTAGCTATCAAATCGATCATTACCAGATACCGTACTCTTCTGGAACGTCCGAACCTCTACATTTGTGGCCAACTCGTGTTTCCCGTCACGTATACCACTGTCATTATGATTTCTGGATTCATCCAGAGAGATCCCACAACGTAACGAATAGGTTTTCCCTCTTATTTCCACTCCAGGCAATCCATTCAGCCAGATAGTCTGCACAGTGCCTGTGGCTCTCGCCGGTACCGCCTTCTCCACGTTCAACACAAGCGGAATCTTCGTGAACTGCGCCATCGTCATCGTCTACTTTCTCACTTTCCTCAAACTTCGCAGCTACGCCGGTGCCACCCAGATGAAGGTGGTGTTCCGATCGATTCTGTGGACCGTCGTCTTCGTGATTCTCGGATGGACAAGTGTCACCGTCGCCAACCAGTTTGCCATCTTTTCCAACGATCCGCTCACCCGAAAACTGATCGCCATCTACGCCGGAATCGGAGTGAATCTCGCGTGTGCCAGCAATGTGTTTGTCTTCTATGCGATCAAGTATGTAATAGTTGTTGGCCGAACACTTTCATTTATTTCAGTACGGAATATCGTGAAGCGATCCGACGTCTTTTCGGATTATCCCGACTGCCTCCATCGAATCGGACAAGCGTCGGACACAAAAGTTCTACGAAAATAAACGTGGTGATTGCTACGACGTAGTTTATTATTAGAGTGTCTCACAATCAAATCAATGCGAGTTCCTTAATCAAAATGTTATCACTCGTTATCGAATCTTCCTTTCTCATCAGCTGCAGAGCTTCCCGAGGCGTCATTTGGATGACACCGTCCACGGAATAACAGCCGCCGGTCGCCCAAGATCTTCTGAAATCATTCATATTGTTATTCAATGAATCTTTTAGCTAACACAACTGACTTTTTGAGAATTGGAGCATTCGCATTGGAAATTGCGATTTGTTGCACCGAACTCGGCATGGAAGCCCTTCGTGAGTCAGTGATCAGAACGTTGTATGACCGTTTCTGTTTGGCCGGTCCGTAGTAATTGGAGGTCGAATATTTTTTCGTGTAATCCGGATTGTCCACGAGAAGATGCGAGGAGAAGCGTTCGGTGTTCAGGGAGCGGGTCTCCGATAGCTGACTGCCCCTTCGCTTTCCGCCGCAAACCAACGGTCCCATCATTGCGATCGCGGACGGGTAGAAGAAGACGACGGTGATCCAGTTGGTTAGGAGAAGGATTATGATGAGGAGGAGGACTTGGGGACGATGGAGGTAGAAGTAAAGGGTGAGAAGCGCCGAGACGGAGCACATGGAGGAGAGGGTCACTTGCGAGAAGAGCATGTCCACTGTGTCGAGCACTTTGGCGTTGTGGTTCTTCTTTCGCGACATGCTGTACATGTTGCAGAATCGGAGGGCTCCGTCCGCGGGGATAATGCTCAGAACGACGTGTTGGATGGGCGCGACACGAACACTTTCGAACGAGAACTCCTGCAAACAAAACAATGAATATATGATCATACGCTGAGCGGGGTCTCACTCGGAGAAACTCGAAAACGACCAAAGAGAACGAGAAGCCGATGAGCGAGATGACCGTGTTGATCTGCAGTTTGTTGATGGTGCAGAAGAAGACGGGCGGCACGATGAACAGGGAAAGGGTCAGGGTGATGGACTCGTAGCACCGGGAGAACGAGCACTCGACGGTTCCCTTGTCGATTGACACGTTCAGAAAGTTCACAAATCGAACGACGTTGAGGGTTCTGAACGGAACACTTTCTCTTTGTTTCTTTGTGCGCACTTACATGAATCCAATAATAACCACCAAGTAACTGAATACGAATGGAATTCTGACATGAGAAGAGAGAAGTCGTTGACCGATTTGGCACATTAGATGGGCAAAGTACACGAGTTTCTCCTCAACGAACGCTTGAATTCCACGTATGAAACTGAGTCGGACTGTTGGAATGCACTGAAAGAAGAGAATTCATTGATTCCCACCAACACGGAAACATTTTTGCAGAGCATAAGCTAAGCTCAGATGATCTAGCAGGAGATTAGAAGACGATTTAGAGAACGCGCTTGCAAATGAACGAAATCGTTTTCGAAATCGGATTGAAAAACTAAAGAGACTAACCCAATTATAAGTGTTCCGAATGAGCAGAACCGAAAGTATCACAGTCATCGTGCACATATTCTGAAGAAGACTGAGCAGACAGAGGGTCACCGAGGGAACGATCGTCTTGGCCGGCGAGACAATGATCGAGACGAGCGGGATGATGGAAGCGCACGTGGAAGTGGTGAGCAGCATCGGAAGCGACTTGTCGACGGTGGCTAGAAGCAGACGGACGATTGTGGAGGAGCACGGTCCTCTTCTGAAAATGGATGAGGATCAGCGGATCACAGTGGATTATTCATTTCGATACCTGTATTTGTCCCAGCACCTCCGCAAAAATATCGAGTTGGCGGTGGTGACGTGGAGAACGACAACGATGTAGGAGGGATCGGGGTTGAAGAAGTGGTTGAGACGGGATAAGAACGAGAGGATACAAATGGAGAGGAACGTCGAGATGGCAGTCGAGACGAGCACGGGGATGCTTCTGGAGAAGACGGTGAGGCAGGTGAGAGGGGCCACAAGGAAAGGGAGGAGGATCAGAGGATCTGGAATGGGGCAGTCGGGGGAGGATGGGATAGAATGGACTCACCTTGATAGAACTGTGGAGTGGATCTTGCGTTTGACATGGTTCCGTTGATCTGAGACTGAAAAGGTTTGGAATTCGATCATTATCATGGACTTTAGTGCGTCTACAGCTCAAGAACAATTTATTTTCGCAACTAGCCGGACACCTCATTCTGTCATAAAGTGTATGGCAGACTTTGCAACAGCGAATTCCAAGTAACTTACCAGAACTTCAATAGGAATCAGCTCGAATATCAAAGTCATCAGGAAGAAAGTGAAACTGGCAAGAGTCCAGAAGAAAAGTATCCAAATCGGTCGAAGCTGGAGAAAGTGCGAGATTCTGAAAATGAAAAGACTTAGAACAGGACTCGAAAGAACTCGAAACGTTACCTTTTGGCGACGAGCAGCATTTTGTGTTGGGTTGGCAGGCACGGACTGACAGACAGAGGTGAGAACGGGACTCCGCCCAGCCACAAGGCTTATCTGGGCTCTGAAAACTTTGAGATTTGCTCGAGGAGATGTAAGAGACGGAGAGAAGAGTGTGGGAGGGATGAGGCAAAGGGCATCCGAGTCTGAAGGCAGCGAATCTGTGGTCTCGAAAAATGAAGAGCGATTTATCTATTAACAAAGATGAGCTTTGTTCGTTTCTTTTTGCATCATTTCTTTTCTTTTATGTTCCGCGCATAATCTTGTTATGCACATCCCACTTTTTTTTTTGAATCTGTTGATTTTTGAACGGAGCGACAACGAAAACGAAAAACTTCCTGAAGAAGCTCAGTTTGGCGGCGGGAAGAAATCGGAACCTGATTAGTAATCGGAGAGCACGGAAATAATTAGATTGACAGCTTCTTCTTCTTCATCTTCTCATCTTCACCTCTGCTTGACGCACTCAACGGAAGGAAGAAGGGCGAATTACGCCATTCGTCGTCTCAAATTGTTTCGCGAAATGGATTAGGAGAGAGCGACTGACGCGCGCAACTGGGAGCTCGGTGTTCACAACAACTGGATTATCTATATCTAGCTAGAAAACAGGGAGAATTCGAGCCGGACACACGGGGCTAAAAGCTGAAAAGAGGCAGGAGAAGGAGGAGGAGGAGGAGGAAGAGGGCACTTGTCACATTCAATTCGGCGTCAGTTCTGGCTATTTTCGGCGGATTTCTAGGATCTTCGATGTGTTGCGCTTGTTTTGATGTGTCAGGAAGACTCAATTTCAGGCACAGAGAGGGGCACCTAATGCTCTTGGATCTTTTCCAAACAGGGCCGGTCACGACTATATTGACATCGGAAAGGCTGGGTTTTTGCATTGATCCACATATCTCCGGATCAGATGATCCGATTGGTCTGAAACTTGGACCCGAGATACCGAGATACAAGTCCAAAATGCGTGCAAAGTTTCAATCCGACGAGATTATTGAAACTCGGTCAAAAGTTTAGCATTCGCAGCATTACTAAATTACTAATATTCGTATAGAGTGTCTTCCGAGAAATTTTCAGCCCGATTGGATTATCTGATGTTGAGATTTTCGAGTAACATACTACGTTCCTATACCGTATCCTTTCCTAAAAACATAAAGTTTACGATAACAAACACTAGACAAATAATGAGAATAATATGAAATGACACATACATTATTATTTTGTGTCTGTGGGAGACTGAAAATAATCAGAATGATGACGTCGCCCGAGAAGACACACAAACCCACAATACATTTTTGATTCTTCGAACGAATTGCAAGTGCTCCGGGCACAGAAAGCCTTTCATAATCCGACCGAAATCTTTATGTTATTTAGAGCAGAAAAAAAAGAAAGAGAGAGAGAGAGAGAGAGAGAGAGAGAGAGAGGGACGGGGGCGCGGAGCACAAACAGAGCCGTTCCTCTTCTTCTTCTTCTTCATCTTCGGCCGTACTAAGAGGACGTCTTCTTAACGGAGCCGCCGCTTCTCGGAATCTGAAAAAAGGCGATTGGAACGGGGGAAGAAAAGTTCAGAGACCTGCCAGCGACTCGACGGCTTCTGCGACAGCTTCTGAATCGTGGAGACGCGGAGCCGTTTCGCTTTTAGCAGGGTATGACGAGGCGGCGATGAGCCGTTCGAGAGCCTGAAAGACTCACACATTCTGCGAGCTCCGACACTTGAACTTTCCTCCGTTTCCACTCAAAAATCTTTCTGTTCCTCTGAAAATTCTAAAAATTGACCTGCATGTGCGCGTTCTGCATCCGCATCATCTCATTCATCATCCGCACGTGGCCCTTCATCCACTGCTCAAACCCATCGTAGTACGTGATCTGTGATGACGTGGCATGCATGAGTGGTACGGACATACTTGATGAGAACAAAAAAGAAACAAAAAACACGTTTATTATTGTGAAGGGCAGGCGACGAAGTGTACAGGCGTGAGGTGGTTAGTCGTCGGCTTCTTCGCCCACCTTTGGGTCCGATGATCCTAGAAAGAAACAGGTACTCATTTCGTAATATCGCCACGTGACTCACCGAACGGCGACGGCATTCCAATGCCTCCCATTCCCATGCCTCCGAGTCCCATTCCCATGCTCTGCTGAATGCTGCTCATGATCTCGTTGTGCCGAGCCATTGCGTCCTGCAAAACAGAGAGAAAGACCCATGAGAAGTGATCCGTGTGTGTGTGTGTGTGTAAGTGTGTAAGTGTTAATGTGAGAGAGGTGGAAGTGAAGAAACCTTGTGCGCCTTCTCGATGCTGTTCCGGATCTTCTCGTTCACATCGTTAGCTGCGGCAGAATTCCAAAAACTCAACATTTCTATAACTATCAGACACTCAAAGCGGAGTTACCTCCGCCGCCGTCTTCTGAACTGCATTCTTCGCGGCGTTGCCGTTGGACGACGAATAGCTCTGAATGATTAGGTGACGTGGCAATTAGTGCACAGAACACAACAAGTTATCGAGTAGGATCTTATAGCTTACCTGAGATTGCACAGTGTCAGCTGACCCAAATGATTGGTGTCTGGAAATATGAAATATTGAACTGGTGAGAGTAAACTGTCACCTACTTGCTATAAGTCTGACTCCATGAATTGGATCCTGGACCGTTCGAGGCCACTACTTCTGCGTGCTCATGTCCGCCGGGGATTCTGAAACCCAGACATGCGGCGTGCCTCTGGGATCAATCCGAACTCACACACGATGATAGACCTTTTTGTAGTTGGCGGGATCCTGTCCCTGCGTCTCCTTCTCCTTCTGATAATCTGTTCCGGTCGGAAATGCGCCGTCCTTAATCTCGACGGCCGTCGTCGTCGTCGTCACTCCGAGCAACGCGATCGTCGCCAACACCACCATCAACCGATTCTTGTCCATATTTCTCTGTGAACGCCAGTGATGATGATGATGAAACAAACGGACGAACGATCGGAGGGAGTGTAACAAATGAATGGGCGCGGGGAGGTAAATAGAGAAAAAACGGAGAGTGGTAAACGGGTGATATAAATATCGGGACGGCGTGCAAATCGCAGCAGAAGCAGCAGAAAGCGACGCGCTGGATTCACCCCCGCACCCCTCCGTTTTATGGCCGAATCGAAGACCATCTAGTCATAAACGCACACAAAATCTGAAACAGAACCGAGCGAGCGGCGGACAGAAAGGCAAAGGAAAGAAGTGGAAGAAAGAAGGAGTGACGGACAAAAACAGGTTGTTCAAATTGAAGTGGGTGGTACTGAAAACGTATAAAGAAAACAAGAGATCGAATTTGAGGAATAGCACAAGACACACTGATGAATCACTTTATTTTTTCAAAGGATCATGAACTCTGTTCAAGTTTGTTTCGCCGACGCTTCCGCAACCAAGTGTTCCGGCTTCTCTGAAAGTAAACGAATCGCAAGTTCAACAGAAAAACGTCACATCTCAGTCAATAGTCGTTGCCAACAAAAGCGATTCATAACATTTGCTTTGAATACATTCTCCCACGGAAATGTGATCGGGCAAAGAAGAAAAAACAACTGACTGGTCATCGCCTCGACGAGCGGATAGAGATCGAGCCACCAGAGATGAAGCGGAATGCCGTGCTCGAAGCACACCTTCTTCTCGAGCCCTTGCACCGGAACGTATCTCAGACTGCTGCCTCTCAGCCCGATCACGCAGCAGTCCCTCTTGCCCATTCGGGCCGGACTGACGCATCCCTCAAAGGCGCGCACGCCCATCCGGATGCCCATCTGACGGTCGAAGCACGACGGATGTCCTCCCAGTTGACTGTATCCGAGGTTCGTGTAGCGCACTCCGTAGTTGTTGTTCATTTCTTTATCAAAGATCGACTTGACTTTCGAGGAACTGATCGTGTCACTGGCGCCTTCGGAACGGATCAGAAGATACTTTTCGAGCGTTCCCGAGTCCAATCGCTGCTTCGTTTCGGCGGCCAGCTTCCGCAGATCCTGCTTCGTCATTTCCATCTGGCGAATCAGAGCGAACTCGGATCCAGTGGAAAGAGCGGTCATCGAGGCGAGGAAGCCGGAACGAGAGCCCATCGTTTCGATGATCATCACTTTGTTCTTGCTTCCGATCGCATTCTGACGAATGTTGTCCACCTGGCGACAGATCTCATTCAGAGCGGTGTCAGCGCCAAGAGATGAGCACGTCTGAAAGTGAATAGGTAGGTAACTGGAGGGAATAAGAAAAGAGTCACCCCCGGACAATTGTTCGAGATGGTCGCCGGAACGACGACAATCGGAATGTTGAAGCACGAGTATTCGGTTCTCGTTTGCGTAAAAATCAGAGCTGATTGGAATGCCATGAATCCGCCGACAATGACCAAACCGTCCACATTGTAATTGTTGAGTCCTTCGGCGATTTTGTCCAGTTCGGAAGGCAACTGTCTCTTCGCGCCGAGCAGACTTCCTCCTGCCTGAGCCCATCCTTGCACGTTCTCCCACGTCAGCATCTTGACGTCGCCGTTCTTCAATCCATCCCATCCGTTTTTGATGCCGACCACTTGGATGCTCGAGTGGTTGGCCATTCGAGTGAACGAGTACGTGGCTGCATTCATTCCAGCACACGGCGATCCGATGTGGATTATCGCGAAACATTTGGAACGTTCGGGCATTTGAGACGTCAGGGGAACTGACACAAACTGAAAGAGGGGGATTGTGGAAGGTAGCGGGAGGAGGAGGCGACTAACATTGAGATATGACTGCTTGTCGAGGAATCCGACGCCGCGGAGTTGGCAGGCCTCTTCGGAGTTTCCGTTGCACGTCTCTTCCTTCGCAGATTCAGAATGACGGATGACACGGGACAGCTCATTCCTCTCGATGTTGTGGCCACGCAGACACATCACTTTCGCCACGTTCTTGAGTCCGATCATCGGATTTCCGTCGTCATCCTTCTCTCTCAACACTTCCCTGAAACAGATCCGAATGAGTTTCGTTCTTGCTATTTCCGCTCACTGGACAGCCTCATATCCCATTCGCAATCCGAGAAGTCTGTCGAGGAACGTCGGCGATCCCCCTCGCTGCAAGTGCCCGAGAGTGGCGATGCGTACTTCCAGCTGCAGACGAGTCTCCACTTCTTCCTTCACCTTTTTCCCGTCGATCTTCGAGCCCTTGCTGTTGACGACGCCTTCGCCGAGAATGATCACGTTCTGCCGTTTGCCAAACTGAAATCATTCTACGGTAAAGGTTGACGATGATATTCAACCACCTTTCTGACGGAATCAAGTTGATGACAAAGCTGTTCCGGCCAGTTGTCATCTGGCGGCAACTCGGGATAGAAGACGTAGTCGGCTTCGACGGCGATGGCAGCGGTGAGGGCCAGATATCCGCAGTGTCTGCCCATCACTTCGACCACAAACACTCTCTGATGGGACTGCGCAGTCATGACGAGTCCGTCGATGGATTCACAGATGCGATGGAGGGCAGTGTCGGAGCCGATCGACTTGTCCGAGTCGATGCAGTCATTGTCGATGGATCCGACGATCCCCGCGAGACGGAGCTCTCTTCCCTCGTTGGCCACTTCTTCGGTAATGTTCCCCTCCGCGAACAGCTCTTCTCCGATTCTCGCCCACTCGTCTTTCAACTTCTGCGCTCCCATCAACGAACCGTCGCCTCCGATCACAATCAAATGGAAGATCCTCTTCTCGAACAACGTCTTGCCGGCCTTCTTCCGTCCGTCCACAGTTCGGAACTCGTCACAGCGGGAAGTTCCGATCGTGCTCCCTCCGATGTGCGTGATGTTCGCCACGTGTCCCCACGTTGCCTGCTCGACCTTTCCAGTGATGAGTCCGGTGAATCCTTCCCTGATCAGATAACATCGGTGCCCGCGACGCAGCGTCTCTCTCACCACGGCTCTCACCGCCGAATTCATTCCTGAAGCGCATCTGAGAATAACAGAAGCCAATCGGAAACCGTACCTTGAGAATCTCCTCCACTCGTCAGCACTCCGACTCCGTGGCTCTTCGTTTTCATAGTTTTTTTCTCCATTGCTTTTCTGAGAACTTAACAGCTTACTCGAAATAATAACAAGTTTATTAGTGTCCTCATCAGAAGGCCGATTATAATCAGTGCAAAAAAAACATGGATCAGAACAAGTCGGTGTCACGCCGCTAAAGAAATGTTTGGTTTTCGAGGAGCTTCCTTCCTCATCGCCCTTTGGCGATTTCGGCGTCGGCGATTTCATTTCAAATTTGGCACGGAGATCTTGAACCTAGAAATCATAATATCAATAACTTTCTGCCCACAAAACCGTGACCCACAATATTAGACTTGTCCTTATTCTTCTCGACATCCTGCGCACTTCTCCCTCTTTTCATGGATCCGTGTCTCGATGCGAACGGACTTGCTCGCTCCGCCCACAAATGATCGTCCATTGATTCCGTCGTCGACAGGGCTGTTCCGGATGGTCCCAATGATTCTTCACTGCTTTTCGCAGTTTTTGCGGAGACGTGCTCCGAAGAGTCGGACGACTTGCGAAGAGTGATCGGGGCGGAGGTGGAGGCGTTCACGTCGTCCGAAATGGGTCGGGTGTACATGTGCTGTACACGTGCGAGCACTCCCGTCTGTATGCCGATGTCGGACATACGCAGACGGCGTTCTTCGTCTAGTTCTTGAACGTAAACCTGGAAATAACGATCATAATGAGCAATGGTGACTATAAAGGACAGTAAATAAAAAAGAAGAAGTAGAAGAAAGTTAGTGAAAGTTGAAAGTGAGTTTATCGTCATGCTTTAGAAGTGCGCCGACAGAAGAAGAAGTGCTGCTGAAACTGTGAAGTAGAAGTGGATTGATCCAAGGCAGTCGGAAGTGCTCTGTTCACCTGAAGCCAGTCGTCTTCCCCGACGCCTCCCGCACTTTGCTCGCACATCTCCGTCGTCGCTTGCACTGTAGACGTGCTCGTCTCCACTTTCGCTTCCACATTCTTTTCGTCTATTCTCTTCTTGAACTTGACCGTTTGAGTCTTCACATCCCATGATTCTGGAGTGCACTGCACAGCGAACTCGTCTGTGAGACTGTCACTTGACAGATTTGTAGGGAGTAGGTCTTCTCTGCTTCCTCCGATGACGTCGGGCTCACTGCCGTCTTCCGTCTGCGTCTCTCCATCCATAACTTCTTCATCTTCTTCTCCGATCACGAGAGTATAGTCGAAATCACTCCAGAGCGGACCGGAGTAGTGTTTTTCAGTGAATTCGTAGTCTTCGAAACTCTCTTCGTCCACTTGCACTTCCTTCTCTTCCGAGATTCCCGGTTCGGTCATTGTGAAACTATGCGATATGTCTATTCTAATCGGGGAAAGGTTGATGGACGATCTGTCCACCTCTACTTGACTCTCGTTGTCTATCTTCAGAACTGCGAGTTTCAGCTTGCCGGACTCTTCGCTCTCTTCCTCCTCCATCTCATCATTTTCCTGAACAAAGCCCGGGGGGATTGGATTGGAAATGGGATGAAATCACACAAATTAGTTCGTCTCTATGTCTGTTATCGTTTCAAAATACCTGACTCCTTCTGTTTCTAGTAGTCACAATTTCGGTTTGGCAAGATTTCGCATCGATTTCAATGGAATGTTGAGTCTGAGTGTGGAGTGAGATTGGCTTCGCTTGGACGTCCCTGTCCTCGAACGAGGCTGTCATCTGAAAGACGTTTGGCTGATCCCAGCTGTTATGATTTGGGAACGAACGTATTGAGTCTCTGTGTCTACTAGGTCGGTTTTCTCAGATTGTGTTCCGTTCTCGGCGACCGGAACATCTCCAACGAAGGCGACTTCGTCAGTCTGAGTGTACTGCAAATCGACGGAGGGCGAGTCTGTTTGAGATTCGCATGCCAGTGTTTCCTTCTGAAAAGATGTCAAGTTGAAGGGTGAAACTTCTTAACTTGCATCATCTGTTTGCATTTCGATACTACTCAAGTTGGCATATTCGGTTTGTGATTCAGAGGTGAAGACTTCCGCCTGAAATGAACATTCATCTGGAACTGATTGGTGCTCGAATCATACCGTTTCCGTTTGTATTTCAATGCTATCCACAGCAATGGTCTCCGTTTGTGAATCCGAAGTGCACGTCTCCCAATCCGTTTGCACTTCGACAGCTTCCACTGCTGTTGGGTCAGTTTGACATTCAACAGGAGCGCGTACAACTGGTAAAAGAACTTGAACTCCGGCTTCCGACCTTGATTGAGAATCTGTTTGGCAAAGGGAAGAAGACGTTTCGGGTTTTGAATGGTCTAGGGATTGTGACTTGTGGATCTCATCCGTCTGGCGCTCAACTGCCGTAGACTGTGCTATATCTTCTGTCTGAGAATCCATTTGCCGACTGATCGCAACTTCCGTCTGTGTTTCCATCTCAGCAGCAGCCTCGGAGAGAATAATTTCCGTTTGAGACTCTCCCTCGATCCGAGTGGATTCGTCGGTTTGCATAGTGTTCTCAGTATCTGAAAAATGGCTATTTGGCTTTGAAAACGGATAATGCGTACATTTCAAAATAAGCGTCTGCATCTCCGATTCATTCGTATCCAATTCTGTCTGACTGCAGCCTTCAGAAGTCTCTTGCACTTCCGCGAATCTCAAACTTTCTGTGGATGTTGCCAATGTTCGGCTCTCCAACTCCACAGTCTGACAGTCGGAATCTTTCAAGAACAACGGCATGTCCTCCGTGTGCTCTTTTTCTTCCATTCTTCCTCAACTTGCTCCTTCGTTTGAATTCCCTCTTCCCTTTTCGGTTTTTCTTCCAAATGGAATGAAGTGTGCATTGTCTGCACACCTGTCTCCGTCATAAAGAACACTTCGCTTTTCGACTTCTGCACTTTCGCTTCTTCCTTCTTTTCTTCTTCTTCTTCTTCTTCGCTCGACGTGCTTGCAGACTCGTACACCTTCTGAGGCAAGTGGAAAGTGCTGAAAATTCAATAATTTCCCGTTTTTTTCTCTATTATTGTAACCTGAACGTCGTCTGTGTTGTGCAGTTCTTCATGATCTCCAACATCTTCGGAGTGGCGTGCTCTTGCCTGTCCACCATTACCTTTTCTTCCGTCTGTGCCCCAGTATCGGTCGAGTACATTTCCAACTCTTCCAAACTCTCAATCTCTTCATCTTCAGAATCTAAATGCCCTTTCTCGGCTGACGTCGAATCGGAAGCGCTCGTTTTTGCCTCTTCCATGTTCTCAGAGGTAGGCGATAACGAGGATTGAGTAGATGGCGGAGGATGCGATAAAAGTGGCACTGCCTTCGGAACTTCCACAACCTTTCCGGTCTCGTCGACTCCCAGCGCAATCACCGACAGATCCAGACTGACTTCCGCCCACTTCTCTTCCGCCTCCTTGCCTGATTCGCTGGCTCTGCTCGACAGTTCCCAATCACTTTCAGACACATTCGTCACCCTGCTCATCTCACTTTCTCTCCTTCTCAGCTTCTGAACAGTCTCCCGAATGCCTTGCAGTTGCTCGTGATTGATGCTCGACAACTTCGTTTGGCACTTTCTGCTCCGTCCCTTCACATCATATTGAGATCCACTCTCGACAGTGAACACTTCGTACTGAGTCGCGCAATCCAGAAGAACAGGCGACGTTTGATTCCCGCTGTTCTTCAAGAATCTCAGCTCGTGTTCTCTTGTCTTCTTCGTTTTCAGCTTCTTCTTTCTCTTCCGCTTCTCTTTCTTTTCCTTCGCGATTTCCCCTGGCTTCACATGAATCACAGTATCCGTCGAGTCCATTGATGCGGACTTTAGCACTTTTCCTGGCGTCAGTTTTGCAAGTGCTGGAGCAGTCTCGGTTTTTACATGAGAGTTTTTCGCTTCACTCGTTCCAGATTCGTCGTCTGTGAATGGAGTAATCTGGATCGGTGGAGACTGCAGTCCAAGTGCCACCGTTCCCGGATCGGCAACTTCGAACGGAAGGACCGTTTCTTTGTACGTGCTCTCTTCCTCTTCTGACGACTCGAATTCGTCTTCATTCTCAGATTCACATCCACTTTCTTCATCCTCGCCGCTCGAATGTTCGCCAAACTCGGTTCCATGATAGATGGACGACACTTCTGGTTGTATTCCGATCGAAGTCAATCTGAGCAAAGAAGGTTTTCTTTCAGATGATCTCAACTCAACTCACATCACAATCTCGTACTGAGTGCCCACATCGGACATAATCTTCTCCGGTTCTTTTTTGCTCTTCTCTGCCTCCAAATCCACACTATAGTCCGTCTGAATTCCCTCATCGGAGCTCTCATTCTGTGTCTGTGAACCATAATCGTGAAACTTTCCCATTGTCGTTCCCGCTTGCACTTCCAATGAAACCTTCATAATAGGCGTGGCCATCTGAGCGATTCCAGTGGACTCTGAAGCTTTCCGAGACGGAGCTTGCAGAAAGTCGGCGGATTTGGATAATGGTGTCTGGGCAACTAGTCTCTGCTGCTCTTCCGCGAACAGTTCTTCCGCCTCAAATCGAATAGGATAATTCTGAAGCTGTTGAAAAGTACTTACAACTTCAATGTAGTCGTTGAAATCTTCTCTCGGAGCATTGGCAAACGCCGGCATTCCGGTCTCCGGGTTAATATTTGTCAGGACGGACGGCGGATCGATGCCTTTCTTGGAGCAATCCTCCTTGAACTTGTTCATCACTTTCGCGCCGTCTCCCTTACTAATCAAAGGCATAAAGTACTTTGCCTTTCCCTGGAATCCGGCCATCATCGCGGAAGCCGCATTCGGATCTCCGTTCTTCACGGCTTCCATGTAGTCTTTCAGCAGTTTCTGGAGCAGGGCCATGTACATGAGAGCGAGTTTCTCTTTGATGACATCGATGCAAACTGTGAGCATTGACAGTCCAACGATGACGACTCCGAACGTGGCAATCATGTACTCTGGATTGGCCGGCGTCACGTCTCCTAATCCGATCGTTGTCAGGGAAATGAAGCAGAAATAGAAGCTGGTGAAGAAAGTCCAGTCCTCGAAGAGACAGAACACTGCGGCGGAGAGCATAATCCAGGCGACGGTGGCGAAGAGAGTGGAGAACACGGGCGGATCCGGCTCCATCTCTTCCTCTTCCTCGTTCAGCACTGTATTCAGTTGATTCTCTTCTGATCTACTTATCTGAAATCGATTGAAACACTTAAGGGGATCTATATCAACTCACCGCTATACTGCTCACGGCGCCATGTTTCGTTATCTTCCATTCACTCATTTTCCTCGCTATCTTCGTGTATCTCAATCTTTTCTGTGTCTCATCTTGTCGGATAACAGCGAGACCCATCCGTACTCCTGACATTGCTCTTATATTTTATTAAAACCATGCAGCTACGTACCTGTATAAAGCAGAAGATCGCACACTCCGTTCGTAATGATTTTAATCCATTTGAGCAGAAAGTTGTTGAGCGAGGTGAGCATGACGAGCATGATGGGAATTCCGGCGAACGCGTAGACCATTGTGGCAATCTGACCGGCGCGCGTCTTGCAAGCAATGTTTCCGTAGCCTAGGATGGACTGTTTCTGTTAGAGAATCCACGATTGCTTGAGGCTACCGATTGTGGTGAATATGGTGCCCGCGTAGAGGAAGGACATCCAGAACGTCCAGACGGTGTCGATGACAGGCTCTTCCAGTCCCATATCGGCTTCGAACTTCAGAATGGCATGTTTCCACCGCTCTTCTCTGTCTTCTCGATTGTCGTAGTGAATTGCTCGTAGACTAAAAGCTTCCGGTCTAGATTCAAAGATTTCTAGATTTCAATTTACTCACTTTAAAATCATAACTTCCCTCGCGATTTTCCTCTGATGAAATCCATCTTCTTTCGTCTCCAAGTCAGTGGGAACCTGCAACAACAGAGTACGCTCATTTTCAGTGATTACAAAGTCGCTCGCTCACTTCTAAATACATGAATAAGTGGGCGCCTGCAAATGAGTAAAGGCCAATGATTATGAGCAGTTTGAACGTGGTCAGCAACTTTTTGATGGGTGTGAACACGAATGAACAATAGTATTTGCTGAAGGCAAGAATAGTCGGAAATGAAAGAATGCAATTAAGTACTCACACTTTTCGTTTCGAGCTTTTAGCGCTTTCTCGGAGCGATGCGACTAGAGATGTGGGTCTTTCCTCTTCGAAATTGTGCATGAGAGCGTGTCTGCAATCAAATATTGTAGTCTTCTTCAATTTTCAATTGTGCTCATCACTACGTACGTCGAAGAGTTGATTCCTGTCTCCACGTCATATTCCACGTCATCAGGAGGATCGATTTCAATTGCCTGGAAACAAGAGTCTCGTTGGATTGCTCCCTTCCCCGTTCCCCAGTACATTTCGACGCGTACCTGATGCTCCCGACTTTTTCTGAACGCGACGGTTGTGTTACTACTGCTATTTCGATTGAGTAAAAATGACATGGACCAGCATGGAATGGGCACACGAAATGCAGGAGAGATACGCGGCAGAAAAAGATTGATCGCAGAGGAGAGAGTGGCCGGATATTGTTTGACTATCCATTTCTTTTCTGCTGGCCATCTCTTGATCAAACAGTCACCAACACCTCTCCGAGTGATCCCTTTGATTTAATTGGCTTATATAATGTGGTGCGTAGGCGGCAGAAGCAGCATGGAGGCTCCGCGAACGCGATGAGCACGGAAGTTCAAGTGGGCAGCAAGCGCTTGACACTCAAGAATGAGTCAAAACACTCGACAACTTGGGAGAATTGTGGCGAGAAAGAAAGGAGCCTGGTATACTGTGTTCGTGTTGACATATTTGTTCTTTTCGTACTATAACCGTCCACACTTTGACGCAATGGGTGGTTAGTGCAAAGGTTGAAACGGCGAGGGCGAGAAAAAGATAATTTTGCAGAAAAGAGAAAACAGTCTGCAGAGATGAGTCAAGAGCTTACAATTGAACTGTACTTTAACAAACGGAAACTCACAAAGTTATCATTGGACATCAGAAAAGTTACTAGTCGTCAGAATCTATCAGCTCACAGCTCAGCAGATCTTCGAGGAGTCAACAGCTCGACTGGACAGCACCCAAGCCGACGGTAATAGTGAGCACGGAAGGCAGCAGCCAGGAGCCACACCTAATCAACGACGAGTCAAGAAAAATGTGCGGAAGAGTACGGCGGGAGCGGAGTGCGCAGACGTGTCGCGGCCAGTTGCTGGTCATGTCGAAGAGTACGGTGCGCCGGTGATTTCAAGTGATATTGTCAACATTTCGAGACGGAATGAGTGGAGACGCAGACACAGATGACTCGGATGATGACGGAAGAACTGTGATTTCATCGATGCAACTGTGTGATCCGTCAAAGTGCACGTGAACTGTGCCGGGAACTCGCCTTTGAATATCGTGGACCATGGCGTTAAGAAGGTTTTTTGAAGCATGGACTTTTGACAGTTTCCGATGACTCCCGAACTCAGCGAGCTTTTTAGACTTGGGTCCAAATTTAAGACCGATCGGATGACACAAAACCAAGAAAGGCGCACTTCACATCTACATATCCCCGGTGTCTGAAACTTGGATCCATGATTCTTCATTCAAAGATTTAAAAGTTCAGACGTCAAAAAGCCTTTGAATCTCAACGTTTTTTTATGAGAATTCATGAGTGTGAATACGCAACTAATTGTATTTTGATACTACAACCCGAACCAAAAACCGATTCGAAAGTTCCGAGTATTGGTTACGTTCCGCCTGCAAATCATATTGTGCAGTGGGCACACACATCTCTTTCAGAACGAGCTTGAAGTTTGTCGCCACATGATCATTCGACATCGCACTAAACAGATTACGAAGGAAGTCCGCCACCCCCAAAACAAAGTTTCCCTCTTTTCATTTCAGTCCATCGCAGTACGATGATGTCGTCGGCCTCCTTTTTTAGCTTGTTTATGTACCTAAACGCATCGATTCTTGAGCATCAAAGTATTTTAATTTCAATTTCAATTTCAATTCCAACACACCCATTTGCAGTGATTCTGCACGTAATGATGCCACTTGCTCCCGGCAGTCTCATAGCCTTTGTCGCTTTGGTTTTCTGTTTCAGTCGTTCCGTTTTTTCGCGCGTTCTCAGAACATTTAGAGGGAATTGAAAATAAAATAAAAGAAGCGAGTTTAATTGGCGACACGGAAGTGCCATAATAAGAGAGGTGGGAGGGGGGAGAAGTGCGAGGGTCGGAGAACGAGCAAAGGCGCGAGAAAAGGCGAGCACGTCGTCCATGATTGACAGGACGAGTTGTTATCCGAATTTACTCCAGTTTATTTTCGAACTCTTTCACATGCTATCCAATAACTCAAAGTAGTCAAACACACACACACACACACAGTTGAAAGTTAAGTTTATTTCGAGAACTTTCCAGTTTGCTGCTTTCACGCTTTCTAGATATTCAATCATCAGAGACTATCCGATGTGTAGCCGATGTGTAGATTTGAACATTTTCGGAAAAATGAAAAGGATTTTCCGTTGGTCTTTGCTTTTGGTCTATCCATGGATGTTCCGATCTGTAATCCCTTAAATTTATCATGTTTTCCGAATGTGTCCACAAACGTATTTCCACGCCATTTCCGACCCGATGTCATTCCCTTCGTGTTCCAAATTCCAGCCTAAGCCTATTTGGTTCAGAAATAAATTAGCCTTAAGGATACACAAATATAATGTCATCTTTCTGTTCCTTGTTCTCTTTTTTTGCTTGTTAGCATAGTCTCTAACTATAAACTCCAAAAGTTTAAATGAACATGTGATGACTCTGACTCTGACTCTTTTCGTGCTTTAATTGAAAGTGTTTCCTGTAATTTAGTACTCTAACTTTTGCATTTGTCATTCCGAAAGTTTCGAATTTCCCCCCTTCAAGTGCACGCGTCCAGAACACAGAAAAAAGAGGGGAAAAGAGGAGAAGGACCAAGATTAGGCCATTCGATGTCTCGTTATAACAACAAGCCATTTTATGGGTTATAGCCTCGTGATACATATTTCCCGTTCCTTTTCCGACGTCTCAGCTTGTGGATTCCAATTATGAAAAAAGGTACACTCCGGTTCCGTCGAGGAGTATTCTTTGAGCCTTCGTCTGAAATAAATTAGTGTAAAGGAGAAGAACTTTTTCTTCTTTTCTTTTTCTGAATGCATGCCGTTGTTGTTATGCTAGACTGCGTCTGCCCTTTGGTGTAGGGCAGTACTTTTTGAGTTCTATTTCAAAAATAGAACTTTCTGTAGGACCGTTTTTCTTTAGACTTCCTTGATTTCAATTCCAATTAACGTACTCCCTTTGAACTTACTCGACACAAACATATATATATCGAATTCAGTTACTGAGTTTCAATCTGTTTACATCCATTCCTCTCTCCGGAAAAGACTGCTGAAACCACCGGTTATTGCCGAACATCTATCTCTCTCTCTCTCTCTTTTGGATTTCCCCCTGCTCCTCAGCAATCCGATGCCTATTATGAATGTGTGGGAGTTTTGATTCGAATGAAATCACTCAATGTTTTCGCATCACAGACCAGACTTTTGACTTGACAATGAGTCTCTCTCTACAGATCTGTTTTGTTTTTCTCTAGTTCTGCACAATGAGTTCCTCGTCAAAATGCGAGGGTGGTCAAGTCAACACTCTTCTCAAAAAGATTGCGTTTAGAGTTCCCACGCTTCTGAGGCAACCGCTTATGACCTTCTTTCCACGAATTCACATCTGCAACTCACTCGTCTATCACTTTTGCGAATTCATAATGAGTGGGGGCACATCAAAAATTAGAAAGCACTTGGCGGATCGCACGTTTTGTGAGTCTCGATCCGTCCCGCTCTCACTTCTTCTTCTCCTTCCGATCGAGATTCTTTTCCACTTCCGTCACTCTCTAATCACCGTTTTTTTGTTCTTCTTCACATTTTCGCTTCACCGTTCACACCCTACAATTCGAGACACAAATCGCTCCTTCCTCTTCTTCTTCTTCTTCTTCGCTTGTTCTGAGTCACTCTCTTCTAAATTGTGCCTCTTCCTCGCCTCCTTCTGCTTCCCCGGATATATCAATTTATGACTCGAGTCGGTCTCAGCAAGAGCAAACGCTTCGAATTTCCTATTTTCCACTTTTTGTGCTCATCCGAATCATGTAGTATACGTCACCGAATCAGCCGTTGCTCTTCACTTTTTCCGGGAATTAATCCTTCAAGTTTCTCTCTCTCTCTTTTTTCTAGCAGAAAAGCATAAGTTCATTGACCTCCGCTCACTTGCAGCCGAAATGAGTGGAGAACCGTTCGAAGAGGTGACGTGCGGCTACACGGAAGAGGTCTCGATGGCCCGCTTCGTCTACATCTCGGTCGGCGGGATCGTCGCCTGCATCGGCTGCATCTGCAATCTCATCCTCCTTTATCTCTTCACTTTCCGCCAATTGGCCAATTCTCCGCCACAGCTCTATCCCGCCATTTGGCCTTTTTGGACACTCTTCTCTGCTTCTTCTTCCTCATGATTTTTGTGGTGGATGTTAACATGATCTACAATAAGAGCGAAGTGAGTGCCACTTTTCCATGTACTCAAATAGAGGAACACCCCAATATCGTTAATTCAAGACCATTTATCTCAACCGCAGCTAGAGACATCAACTGATAAAAGGTGCACAACCTGTGCGACTTTTGGATATCTCTAACGTTAGTTGAGATATATCGTCTTAACAAAACAGTACTAGAGTTTTCGCACCCTTTATCCTTCCGCTCTTAGCCTCTAATTCCGTTTCCAGTACCTCTTCCTGCTCTTCCATCGCTACATAATCATTACTTTCTGCACGGCGAAATTAGTCCAATTCCTAATACCCTACTTACTGATGCTCGGCACTCTTGAGCGGTACACGTGGATCGATAATAAGCAGTGAGTTCGAGTCGAATTCGTGCCAAACTTGAAGTTGTAAACCGAGAAGTAGCGGGCGGATGAATCATTGAAATACGAAGAGGGCAAACGTGGGAGACTTGTCTATTTTTTCAGCAGAAAGATGGCCATTTTGCAACCGAAATACCGTCCGTTCACTCTGGGAGGCCTTCTGCTCGGAGCCATCATGCTCAGAGTTCCGTCTGCGATGGCGCTGACTGTCACCGAGTTCCCGAGGTGTTCCGACTTTTTCCGCACTCTTGCAGTTGATGTGAAAGAGTGGGCTCAGGTGAGAAATAGTAAACAGAGCAGAAAAAATGTGTTCATTGACTAAGAACCATTATAATTCTAACCACCACCATTGTGGGTCTACACTATTTCGTTTTTGTCTTCCCGACGTTTGAGCGGATCCTATTCACGGCAATTAGTGGTGTCGGCGCTTGATTGACATCTCCAGAAGGGTTCTGGCATCGCGGACCTGAAACTTGGAATGGTTCTTGTGGTTTAGTTTCAAACGTTAGCTACCTCTTCCGGAGACATGGTGGCGAACCAGTCTCTCTTGACGCGCAACGGGCGGGCGACGTCATCTTCTTTCTCTTTTCCATCGATCATCATCTGAGCCTCGTCGAAGTCCACGACCTTATTCATAGTCTCTGCGGTCTGTAAGGGAATCACTGATTATCAGTTAGTTAGCTCTGCTCACCTCGAGAACCCAACGCCGGCTGCGGTGTCCTTCCGGCGCATGCTCGGTCTTCGGAAGGTTGGCGAACGTGGGCGAGGGGTACTGAAGCAGCGCGAGTAGGGGAGTGACCAGAAGGAGCAGGAACAGTAGACGAGAGAAACAGCCCATCTGGAACAAACCATAATTTCAGGAAAGCACAGTGTACATGGTGTACGATGTGTACGGAATCGCGTGTCTGCAGACGTTCTGTCCGTTTCTCTGCCTGATGGTTCTCAACTTGGTGATAGTGAACAAACTGGCTAAACTGGATGCTCAACAATGTCCGTCAAGCAAAGAAGTGAAAGTGAGTCCGACGAAGCGGAAGAGATCGAGAGTTCTATCGTCACTGAGAATTCACAAGTTACCTTCCACGGTCAGAAACGCTATCTATACAATGGTAAGTGAATGAAGAAATATGGAAAGTTTTTGATGTCATTATCTTTCAGGTGGCCATCGTGTCGACCTATCTGATCTCGAACTCTCTGCACATTCTCCTAACGCTACTGGAAGTGACAAAGGCGTCGGTGCTGGTCGAGTAAGTGACTGACTGACTGGTCTGGTCGCCCGGGGCCCATCGAGAGCAGCTGCCAGCCCTCTAATATTTATGTGTTTCATGCGTGGGGAGACTGAAATTCATGAGAAGCCAACTATTTTACACTGGGTAATAGGGGTAGAAAGTGCGGGCATGAACGGAGACGCAGACTTACTTTGTGTTCTGTGAGGACGAACAAAAGGTCGGTCGGACCGAGAGTTGAGGGGCCAGAGAAGAAGAGGATCCTCTCCGCTCGAGTAGACATCACATCAAGGATCAAAGTGTTTTCAGCGAGCACGATCCCTACAAAGCATCGCTTCTGTACACGCTGCTCGGCGACGCGGTCAGTCTCCTTTACATGGTCTCGTCGGCGATCCGAGTGCTAATCTACACCTACTGCAATCCGGCCATCCGACATCAGCTCTTCTCGTTTCTCGGAGTTCGGCAGTATCGTAAAGATTCGGATCAGTCGAAGATCATCGTCGCCGCTCCGCTACTTCTGGAGGGAAAACTCTCGAACAGTGTTTGATCAAATACTCACATTCCCTTTCGGTTTCATTTGCTTCCCAGTGCTTCATGATTCGTGTGCTTGTTTTTTAATCGACGGGTTATAAAGGTCCATGCTTCTTCGAGTTATTACACAAAGCAAAACATTCCTCAGTTCTTCTTCTTGTCTTTCTTCTTTTGTTCGGCGTCCTCTTCTTTCTGAAAGTGGAAAGATAGGTCTGTGATCAGTAAGAGTAAGATGAGTAAACCTTCTTTTTCTTCATATCGTCGTCCACGCCATCCCTCTTCTTCTTCTTCACATCTTTATTTTTCTTCTTGTCATCCTGATGCTCCGTTTTGCCTTCCTTATTTTTCTCATCCTTCTGAATTAGTAGGTCATAACTTTTTTCGCGTAAAGTCAGATACATTCTTCTTTTTTGTACGCTGAAAGTTTCCTACCTTCCCAGTCTAACCCATTTCCGGTCTCACCCCGTTCTTCTTATTCTCTTCCAACTTTTCCTCGATCTCTTCCACTTGCTTCATCTGAAACTTCCTGCGATATCATTTGATTTCTTCCCTCAAACTCACCGCTTTCTCCAGTCGTCTCTCGGCGAAATTGACCGAAAGTTATTGTTCCTGAAGAAGAGTGGAAATCGCGCTCTACCGTACTAAATGAAAAGTCGTGGCCGAGTTTTTTCGTAGTGTGCGGTAGAGCTCGTTTGCCAGAACTCTAGGGAGTCGGAATGAATAAACTCAGATTCTCAATCTCTGGTCTTTTCAGGGCGTTATCATGATTATTATTCGGTGTTTTTGCCTGACACACGTGTTACACCATAAATATTATCTTCTTGAGCACATTGCATTCCATTGAATTATGACCCTATTCTCCCTTTTCTCCGCTCAACTTTTTCTCCTAACCGCCGCATTGGACGTTCCCTCGGGAGATCTGGATCCCGTCAGAATCACTGAACTTTTCAATGATTTCGCAGACGAGTTGGCATCTTTCTCATTCCTAATTTTTCGTCTTCTATTTTCAGATTCGGTAAAGTTTACCCAACGCCTTCGGATCAGATGAACGCTTATTCTGCGTTCAGTGCAAACCTTTTGAAAATACAAGAGTTCGTCCTGATTTCAATGTTTCACAAAATCTCTGAATCCTTTTCAGACTGCGAAAAGAGTTTGATGGTAGGGAATTAGAGTTCGGAATCAACCAGTATTCCGACTTGAGTGACGCAGAATTCGCGCAGAAGGTGTCCAATCTGGAGCCGAGCTATCAGAGGGAATCTTTGGAAAAAAGCAAGAAAATCGGGAGTATACCGAGTTTTCTCGACTGGAGAACACGAAAGAATACAGTGGGAAAAGTGAGAAATCAAGGTGAGAGATGATGTCTGTCGGCTCATAATCTTATTACAATCTTCCAGGAATCAGTGGTTGCGGATGGGCGTTCGCAGTCGCCTCGGCCCTCCAATCAGCATACTCTCTCCGTTTCATAGAGTTGCTGCATCCGTCGGAGCACAGTTTGTGTGCATGTTCCCAGGCGAAGAGTCTAGAAGAGGGACTGCGATGGGTCAATGAATCCGGAGTTGCGTTGGAAGACACGTGGAATGGAACGTGCTCCAACTGGGAGAACAAAGTGAGTAATCTAAACCGAAGGCGTTGTGATCACTAATTTCAATGAACCACTTCAGATCTCACCTTACACCTTCTTCCCAGTATTTCCGAATTCTGAGCACGGAATACAGAGAGCTCTTGTTGAAAATGGTCCAATTATTGCTTCGTTCAGAGTAGGACTAGCTTTCCGCCATTACAAATCGGGTGTGTTCAACAGCACCGACTGTCGGAACACTGGAACATCCGTGAGATTTCAGCAGTTTTCACTCGAATCGAATCCAATTGTTTCGGTTTTCAGATCGGTTGGCACGCTGCAACAGTCGTTGGTTATGGGAGTTCGTTTGGAAAACCATACTGGACAGTCAAGAACTCGTGGGGAGAACATTTTGGAGAGAACGGATACGTAAGATTTGCGAGGGGAGAAAGTCTGTGTGATATCGAGACGGCGCCAGCTTTTGTAACTGAAATGTGAACACAATAAAACACAACGAAAGAAAAGAGAAACAAAAAACAAATACATTGGATGCAATAGAAAATAATACACGATTTGACGATTAAAAGATGCTGTGATTTGTATCCTTCGGTTTCAATCCGAAAATCTCATACGGGTCACTTTGTTTCGATTGCACTTGAGAATCGAACTCGAATTCGAAATCCGCCGTGGAGAAGTCTAAAACTTTAAGATTGTCTGAAGAGTTGAAGATTCTCTAACCAGGAGAACGTTGTAGTTTTGACATTTCTCTTCGCGACTCTGGACGTGGAACACCGGAAGCCAGCGGAATTTCCGACTTTTCATTGGCCATCACGTAATTTGCTCGCTTTATCTTGTAAAGTGGCGGTGGTTGAGAGAAAACTTCCGATCGATGTGGACGAGACGGTGTACTGAATGCGTCACATTCGACTGAAAACTTTACTGAAAGCGATTCCTGAAGAGTTGGACAAGAGACGGATGTCACTGGAACCTTGAAGCTCTGCTCTTCCGGACTGTGAAATGTTACTTGTTTGCATATTTTAGGTCTGAAAACTAGAAAAAGCAAGGAAGACGGTTTTCGGATTACTGCTGCTTCTGTCGAAGCGTCTCTTTGATAATGTCTTCTGGTGGCTGGAAAACGAAATTGGTGGAAACTGTCTTGACGGTCGTTGGTGCGACTCGCAGCTCATCGGAAAGGCCTTCCATCAGAGGGCGACTCTTTCTCAATTCGACCGGTTTGGCTTTGCGTCTCCGTTGCATTTCACTGATTATATCTATGGGATTGGTTGGATGATTACAGCTCAAAAAGCGTCTTCCGAACGTTGACGGCCGTTCAGGTGCTTTCATTGTACGAAGAATGTGTTCACGGATTCCTGAAACAAGATGAAAGTAAGAAAGCAAAACAGTAGTTCTTACTATTTCTGTCTTTTTCTCGAGTCAATATGCTCTGCTCGCTGCTTCCAGGATGTACTATTTTTAGGATGCTTTCAGTGGCGCCTTCGAGAACATCCTTGTCCAGACAACTCCGATTCAATTTTCTCCATTTGTTCACGTTCGGCGGATTCTGAGAAAATTCATGTTTTTTGTAACATTGAAACTTGAAAACGAACCGTACGGAAGCTTGATGAGAAGGGCGGCGTTTGAGCATCTGAAATGTAACAAAATAGGACGAATTCGACAATTTTTTGAAACTTACGATGCTGATTCGCAACTGGCGAAATGGGTGGAGCCCTAGAAGCCTTTAGCTGTTTATTCATGCTTTAAAAAGCTGAAAAATTTGCGGAAAATCTTTTTTCCTGTTGGCCACACCCCTTTTTGCAAAAACATCGAGTGTGCGGAGTTCACTGCAACGCTTCCGCACGGTCGGTTTGCGCCACACCAAAAAACATTTGTTTTCGCTTTTTTCTGAAAATTCCGAAACGATGAACAAAGCGCTCGTGAATCTCCCGCTGCCGATCGATGAAGATGTGCACAACGAGTTCCGAATGCACACAAAACTTCAGCTTACCGAGGTCTTACCGGAAACTAGGAAATTGAGATAAAACACAATTTTTAGTTGGGAAGATTTCAAAGCAAACAGGACAAAGACGGATCTATTCGTCGGACTCTGCAGCCGATTAGCAAGTAAGAAAATAATGAATGAATATAAGTAAACTTCGAAAATTTCAGAACAATCTGCGCTTTTCTCAACACGGATGGCGGACGTCTCTTCCTGGGAGTCGATGACAGCAAAATGATCAAAGGGGTCGCGATGAGTAAGAACATGGTATATAATTTATTTTAATGAAACTCTCAAACCGATTGTTGTCAGATCTATCATTTCTTTGGCTCTCTACGACACATGTGCGAGAAGTTCAAGCCGTTCAATCCGATTTCTCGCATCAAAGTGTCAATTCTCGAGGTGGTGCCAACGGTCGATGTGATGCAAGTGAAACTGAAAAAAGTGGATCTGGACAAGCCCGACCCGACGGATTTCCCCAAAATGGCCAGTCACAGTGTTGGAGGCACATTCGTAAGGTGAACTTATAGAACCAGAGCAAACTTTGAACATTTCAGTGTGACTGCTTCAACGAAGTCAATCAGGCCCCCACAAAGCAATATCTGCTGATTGTACAGGTGGCTGCCCCAGAAGCCGATTCTCCGACTGTACTTTTTCAAAACGAAGAAGGACTCGCTTATAGGTCATTTTCAGTCCCTTCTTCTTCACGGAAGCAATAATTTTCAGGCGTCGTTTGGCGTCGAACAAGTGCATCTACTTGGACGACCTTCGCCGGATGATGGACGAGCGGAACCGGGTGTTCGTCGACCTTCACGATGAAGTTCGTCACGAGATCGACCGATTCATTAAATTCGAGTGACCTTTTCAGTTTGTTGACAAATGAACTTTATTCAAAAGTTGTGCGAAAATAAAAAAATCTGAACAAAATCTTGAACAAGGAAGGAAAGTCAGAGTGGAAAAAGGAAAACCGGGATTTTCTTCTGATAAAGACAAGAAATAAGAAAGGAGGAGGCACGAATATGTATAATTTTCTTGAAATTCGGAAGGGAAACGGTAGTATCTACTCGGTTTGGACTAACTTTACAATTTGGAATCTAGCGAATTAGGGACTAATTGAAGAAAATGCCGAGGAGAACGGAAAGTCGGCGCAGAAAAGCAGTGTTATTAGGGATGAGAAGGAAATTTGGGTAGTTTTAGAATAGGGAAGAAAAAGTATATAATTAGTTGCACTTATATAAATTTAGAAGGGGGGAAGAGGATAAAACGGAAAAGAAAGGCAAAATGTACACAGCTAGTTGACGGGGGTGAAAGAAATGGTGTGAGAATAGAAAGAATGTTGGGGGAGGAAGGAATAAATTAGAAGAATGAACTGTTGGACTGTACGACACAAAACGCTAGCGATGAATGCTGAATGGGAAGACGATGTACAAATAGAAATAGGCGAAAGAGAGAGAGAGAGAGGAAAGGGCATGCAGATTTCACAAATCAAATAAGTTAGATCTACTCGATTATTGTACAATTTGATGAGGGATTATCCTTGGGACAAGGCACTCCACGTCTTGAAAGCGCATAAGTTACATAGGTACAATTTTTGGAGAGGAAGAGATGAATGAACGGGAAGGACATCGGGTTGTGTGTGTATGTGTGTTTGGGGCGTCAACTAGCGGCGGGGTACGTACATTTTGACAATGAATCTAGTCTATACATTGAAATGAAAACGTAACAAGAAACAGTTATTAGTAGGAGTATTAAAGAACCTTTCTAGAAATCCCTGAAAATGGACGGTTCTCTCAATTGGCTGCTCTCAATCCGATCCGATCATTGCGGATTGCTGAGCTGCGCGAAAACGGGCAGACGGCCGGGAGTGCTCACTGTCGTCGCAGCCGGAGCCGCCTCTTCTGTCGACCATTTCGAGGTGAAGCCTGGAAAGGAAAGCATGAACGGGCGACAAGGAACCGGATTCGGATACCTGGGAAGGTGGTGGAGAGCGAGTCTTCGATGTTCCACTGACAGATATCATTCAGCAGGCTGCTGAATTGTGTGTCATTTCTGGAATTGATAAAGTAAATGAATGATTGAACGGCAGGAGCGGGGAGCCAACTGACATGCTCGATTGATCGTAGGAGAGGAAGCGATTCGTCTGGACGCGAGGAGCGGCTGCCTTTTGCTGCTGAACTTTGTGCGGTGACGCAGACAGGAATCCGGCCGAGAATGGACCATTATCATCGAGATCGAGTCCTGGCGAGAAGCTGCCGTTCGGCGATTCGCTGCCGGAATCGTTCGAACTGCACGCCGGCGACTCTCCGGCACTTCCGTACCCTCCGTTCGGCAGTGAATAGACACGTTGGAGCACGTTGTTCGGCACTCCGCCGCTCTGTTTCAGGCTCAAATTGTGGTACTGCGAAGCGTAGAGCGAAGGCGTCGTTTGCTGAGAAACGGGCGTGCTGACGGGCGTTTGGTAATGACTCGGAACACTTGGGGGCTCACTGAAAAAAGATAGCATTGTTGTAATTTCAGGTAAAGATAAACTCACTTGTGAATGAAATGGCATCTGGGTCCATACGGACAGTATCCGCTCTGATGGAACGACTGGCACGCCTCCGTTTTGTACTTGGGATGCCGCGGGACCGGGCGTTTCTCGACCTCACCGTGCGCGTACTGGCATCTCTCGCCGTAGTTGCATCGTCCGTGATCCATCCACGATCGACATAACTCCGTCTTGTAGAGCTTCGGATTCTTGGGCGGCGGCACGTTTCCACTTCCGTTCGGCGTTCCCAACGGAGTGTGCTGCCCCGTCGAGAACGGCGAGCTGAGACTGTGGCCGACGGACATCTGCTGTGCTCCTGAAAGCGAGGGAATGAGATGAGATGCGAATCAGTAGGATGAAGAATGGGCGGCACGGTGGGAGCAGTGCTCCAAATTCGATTTGGTTCTTTCCGGTGTGGAACAAACTACTTGTTTTTCGGGATGGAGCGCGGCGAGCGGGCAAAAAGAGGAGCACGAGTACTTGTTCATTCGGACGCGGAGGAAGAGGAGAAGGAGGAGTAGGAAATTTGAAAACCTCTTTTCTTTCTCTTGTCGCGTGATCTAGGGACCCAATTATTTGGGGCGGACTTTGGAGAGAGTATGATACCATCTAATTAGCCATGCAGAGAGAAGCGAATAAAATGAAAATGGGCGAATTCGGATGGAGCCGAGGAGGGGGGCCTCTTTTCCTTATAAATTTTGTTTATGACGCGGCAAGCTATGGGAGGCAAAAAAAGTTTGCTACGACCGAAAACGACGCCAAAACTTTTTCTTCTTCTTCTTCAGTGTCCCGTCGCTTCATACCACTTGTTTATGAACAGCGAGCGCTCCCGACATCATAATACATGTAGGAGAGGGGACAACAAGTGACACCATTAATAAAAATATACATAACAAAGTGGTGAGCCGAGGAAGGAGCAAAAGATGCTCCGGAAGGAGAAGTGCGAGAAGGGGCTCGTTGAACTTTTCTTCTTATAGTACATGCTTTCAAAGCGCATAAAAGACATCGACATGAATGTGTATCTTATGCATATTTAGTGCTAATAGGGTGGTGAACAATGCGCGGAGAGGTCGCGTGTCTCTTTCCGAAAGTTCATAGGACAAGTACAAGGGATTAGGAAGTGCGCGGGGCGGCAGCGGCAGTATGGAAAGTACATTGGTCGGCAGGCAGGGAACTAGAAGGACCATAAATCGGTTGTCAATCAGTTGGCAGCCACGTTAATCATTCGAGGGCACCTGCCGAAATGAAACGGCAGTTAAAAGGGAGCGCGACGTAAAGTCGAAGTAATCCGCTTCGGGGGGCAAATCCTAAAGTCGCTCAAGAATTATCAACGCGACGTCACATGACTGTCGCGTTTTTCGGGACCCGCGCGATATAAGTGGAAGAAATAGAGGGCGGCTCGCTCCGAGCAATGGAAAATTCGCGAGCCAAATTGACAAGTGCGAATTGCAACTCAACTACAAAATGTGGCGAGCGGCGGCGCGAAGCTGTGAGCGGTATTTGGTAGTTTGCTTTTTTTAAGGATTGATCTAAAACGTAAAGGTGGGTGCCAAGCCAATAGTCACTTTGAATGAATTATCTATTCGAGAAAGTAAAGAAAAGGTGTGGGAAGAGGAGATTGAGGAAAGAGAGAGAGAGAAAAACAACAACAAAATGAGGGGTCCACGTACCTAGCGGCGTTCCGGGTGCTCCGAGCGGATTTGCAAAATCGGACGGCGAGCTGCCGAAGAGGGAACTCGTCGTGAATGAAGTCGGCCGCTGGATGGCCGACGATTGCTGCCTGCAAAAGAAAGGGACTTACACACACGACTCTTCTATAAATATGAAATTCGGATAAAGCTCCTTAGGCAAAAAGTGACGTGAGAGATAATCGGAATGATTGAGAATACATGAAACACTTTTTAAATTTTTTAAAAATGCAAAAATTACCTATCCATCGGTTTGGCGGACTGCCCCGTCAACTGAGCCAACGCGGCGGCAAAGTCAGTTTGGCTGTTCTGCACGCCGAATGGCTCCAGAAAAGACTCGATGTTGGCGGCGGTGGCGGTGGGCGATGATTGCGTGGACGGCGTCGATGTGTTCAGACCGAATCCGTTGTTGACGCCCACACCGTTGTCCGCACTGTACAGACTCTGAAATTACGCAAGATTGCACAGAGAACAATAAATTACTTTGGAAGTTTGAATTTGAAAGTTTGAAGCGAAAGCGAAAGACAGGAATTCGATTCGATTGAATTCATCTCCTCCATCTGATAACACACTTTTAGTTTTCTTATCGCGGAAACAAAAAGACGCACAAAACCAGCTGACAGCGGAAATTGTTTCTTTTTTAAATTATCAGAGAAATCGAGAAAGTTGGTCGACGAGCCCGGCGGAGCCCATTATTCTTGATTAATATGGACCCGGCGGAAGGAAGCCGAGGGGGCAGCAAATGTTGCCATTTCGAGTGCTGCGTCTCTTCGTCCTGAGCGCTCTCTCGTCTGCGCTTCGAAACTGCACAGCTGAGATTTTACGATGCACTTTTTCTCCCTCATCTGAGAAGCCTGTGGGCCCCATGTCTTCTCGAAAACTTTTCATTTCGATAAAAGTGTCTAAAACCGTGAAACGAGACAGAGCGCAAACGGAGAGGTGTTCTTCGTTTGTTTCATCGCTTTGTTTTGGCGTCGTCGTAGGGGAGGCGAAAATAAAAGGGAAAACAGCACACTTTGAACAGCAGATGGGAGAGCACCACAATCCTGGAGCATGTTTTTGTTGTTTTAGGAGCACTGAGAAGTGTTCCACCAATAGCAGCAGCCAAACAACGTGTGGATCGCATTACCAAACTAGAAAAGAGGCAGACTGGAAGACGCTGCTGGCAAACGACGGAAAAGCTCAGAAACATTAGGGAAGAGTCGTCCCGAGGACCGAGAGCACCTTCTTCTTCTTCTTCTTCCGCATAACAGCTGACTCTTCGCACTGCAGCTTCCATCTGCTCCGCGGAGCTCGAGGGAGAATTTACAAATTTCAACGAGGGCCCTCTATTATTATTATACAGCAGGTCGTCGTCGTCCGCCACGGTCTATCAGGTTTCATTGTCGACGCTTTTTTGATCGTTTCTGATTTCTCTCATGTGACAAAGAAGTGGAGGGCGCCGAGAGCGACGATAACGTAATCAGCTGCCTTCCCTTTCAAGAACAACGAGACACACGGTCAATCCGCCGCTCTGATAACGGACTGCCGCGGCAAATTGGAAGTTGGTTTCGACGAGTAAGAAAGAAAAGAGACCCAAAGTACTCTAACGAAAAAGACGGACAGAGAGAGAAAGAAAGAAAGAAAGAGAGTAACTTTTTGACGTCACACGTAGGAGGTGGCTGCTCCTGCTCTTGCTGTTGCCATCGGAACACACAAAACTACTGGAAGGGTTGCGCAAGCAGTTCCGAGAACGACGCACTGTTCAAACAACTTGAAACAATCGGACGAAATGCGCGAAACGAGCACAGGCAGAAAAGAAACCGATAGGTTTGGGAGAAGAGCAGGAAAAGTGGGCTCCTGAGCTCTCGGGAAGATGGGTCCCACGCAGATTAGGTCTTACGGTCGCCGCTCCGAGCGGAAACGGCCCGAGTTTGTCATGGGTCCACACTCCTCCAATGGCAAACAACCGACACATTTTTGGTCTTCTACTATTGTTGTTGTTGTTCTTTTCACTGTTACCAACACAGCGAAATCACTCACACTTTTCCTTTTCATCTCCGCTTTTTTTCTTCTCACAAACGCACACACACACACAGACGGAAGAGTCTCTGCCAGACAAAAATAAATTCAAACACAATAAGAAACATATCGAAAAAGTTGCGAGTTTCAAATTTCTCTCCTCCCCCCACTCGCTCAGCTGTCAATGAGCCGAAACTAAATATAGTGAGCAGGAGCGGTTTGTAAGCATTCAACCACTTCGTCGTCTTCTGTTGAAATCGAGCCCGCCTGAATAAGCGGGTCCGTTTTGTGTGTGTGGCGCGTCGAATTTCACTCCAATTCCTCATTACAGCCAATCGCGGACCGCACTTCCAGTTCTAGATCGTTTCAGTCGAATGGATAAGCCAAGAGATGCCAATCAATACTGATACTGACATCGATCAAAAGTCTCTCTCGTCGAGGCGCCCATCTGTTTTTGTTTTCGAAAGCACATTGACAGCCCAAAAAACCACGTCCCGCTAGTTCCCGATCGGCGGCCAGGAGCGACGGGACCCAGGTGTCACAGGAGGCACCGAAAACAGTTGTTCGTCGTGCGGGCGGCATCTCTCGGGCCCTTCGATGTTGTGTCGTGATTCTTGGGGAGACGCTGTACACTCCTCCCAAAGGTCATAACCTCCACTCTATAACAGGTTCTGCCCCCGTGTTATTACCATCTTCAAAGATTTGCATCGATCTCGCGTCGTCGTCGGCGGCGCCCGCTTAAGAAGCGATGGGAGTAGGAATAAGAGTGCGCGGGGGTGAAAACCCAATCAAAAACTTTCATCTGCTTTCCCTTTCGCTTTCGATTGCGCAACGCTGCCCCGACGATTGCGCGACGCGTTGCCCCGACCGTTCACGGCCAGGAAAACCGGTCTCGGGTACTGTCAGTCTCTCTCTTCCTTTCGCCCGTGTGCCATCATCATCATCGACGGCGTCTGACTGACTCTGACTCAGACGAGCGAGAACCAAATGAGGGCCAATTCGTTCGGTGGAGGAAGAGGAAGAGGAAGAGGAAGGAACACGACGACTAGAACGGGATGCTGCCGATGGAACCATGACCAAGGAGCGATGTAAACGCCCGGACCCACTTTCACTCCTTTTTGCGTGTGTTTCTTTGGAATCACTCTGATAAACTCAACTGAACTTCTGTACTGTGTTAGGAAGAGAGAAGGCGAAACTAACCCACCTTTAGGAATGATATATGGTAGTTGTCTAAAGACATGATGATGTCGGGAAAGGGAATATGGAAGCAAGGATGGGGTGGGCGCACACAAAGTACAGTACACCTCCTCTTGCTTGTGCGGGGGGTTCAGAGGTGACGAGACGACGACATCCCCAAGAAAAGAAGTAGGAAGAATTGGTAGGAAAGGGCGGGCACTTCTCTCTCACGCGGGAGGAGTCGAATCAAAAAATGAGAAGGGAGAGAGAGAGAGAGAGAGAGTGGGAAAGTAGGTGGGGCGGGAGACAGAGAGATAGAGAGACATAGAGAGAGGCACACGCCGAAAACTTTCAAGTCAAAGTCAAACATACAACACAGATGCTTTTTGTTGTCTTCTCTCCATCTCTATCTCTCTCGCTTCACCACCCCATCACCACGACCTGAAGATTACGGTAGACGCAGAGACGACAGCGCGATTCTCGCAAAACACATGGGCGGCATCGGTGTGCCCCGGGTTGATACAGTGTGGTAATTACATGAGGCGCGTGAGAAAAAATGCGAGACGGGCGCCCGCCGGAGAAGCGAAAGAGCAGCGGAAACGAAGAGCGACGAGAGCCGGCGAGCAACTCATTTGTTCCCGGGAAGCCCAGGTGGTGATGAAGAAAACGGAGAGGAGAGAAGAAGAAAAAGATGTCAGAAGCACATACTAACACACGCACATTGCACAGAACAGCTGGTCGTATGATCAGCCGGAGCGGAGAGAGCATTGGCGTCAGAGAGAGAGCCGACGGCGAGAGACCGTCTACGTGAGACGCACGCCAGACTGATTGGATTCAGGATGATCAGAAGCCAGACTTCTGAAGGGGTGATTCCTGCTGCACTCTGATCACTTCCAACACACACTCATTCTTCGCATTCCCACCGATTCGCATCACTTTCGCTGCTGCTGCTACCACCATCGGGTTGACCCTCGCGCCGACCTTGAATCTCTGCGATTCTCGAATTTCCAACCACGGCGGCGTCGTCGTCAGCTGACCGACCAACAGCGTCGTCTACAGTACTACCTGCCCTGACTGGCATCTAACCTTTTGTGTATGTGTGTGCGTGCCTTCTTTCTCTGTTTGTGTGTATGACTAGAAAGTGAAAGGCTGAAAAAACAGGCATCAACAAAGGCAACGACCACCTCTACTTTGTGGACTACTATTTCAGAAACGAGAAGGAAGAGGGGGCGTACAGACAAGAAAACTGCAGAAAAAGTGTGATCCAAGTGGAAAAAGTGCACATGGGGATGGCCGGTGCACCACTGCGACGAAATGCTTCGGGGCGTCTGACCAGTCTCTTCCTTCCGCGCGGAAGACCGCGCAGGACGCGTCCGGAAAACGAGGAGGCGAGTCGCAATGGCAAGAAGCACTAGACAAAGTGTAGTGACTCGTCTGCTCGGGCAAAAGCTCCGCCGATGTCAATCGATCGGCGCCAAGCAGCCATTGTGGTGTCGATCAATTGATCAGCAAAGTGTGTTTCCGCGCATGTTCTGGACTCTGATCTACTCGCTCCGCGCATGTTAGTCCGAGGGCCGAGGAGAGGCGAATCCTTGAGATGATTGCGAACATTAAGCATCGAAACGAAACTGTTCGGAGGGGGGGAACTTGAAAAGTTTGGGCTGTCTGTTTCAGTGGACGCGAGAGCACGGTAATCCGGTAATTAGGCGCTTGTTGACTAACAAATGGCGGTCTTGCTCAGAGCAAAGACTGCCGAGTGTGTTGATCTACCGATCAGGCTCAAGTTTAGGCACTGCATAACGTGTTTTTGAACTTTTCATGCGAAAACCATCTATTCTTCCGGTTGGCTGACCTCATTTTACAGTAAGCAGTTTCTGAGAAATGGTGAATGGGATTCGTTTTGAAATGCCATCGGACAAAAATCAGAATGGAAAAGGTATACAATAGGGCAAAAACCATCATTTCCTCTGAAACATTCACTGGATCCAAGAGTAATGCAATAGAGATATTTCAGACGAAATATTCTTCAAATATTCAGAAATGTTCAATTCGTGATCGTCAAGAAAATGTGCCGACTTGCTCCCCGAACAACCACATGTTTTCGCATGATCTTCCGTTCTGATCTGTCCCAACTATTTTTCGCGCGCTCTCTCTCGCTCTCGCTCTCGCTCTCTCTCTCTCTCGGCTTCTGCTTCCAAATGCTCTGCCATTCGGCAGTTTATTTGCGCGGTACACAGTTGGCAACGGCGCCAGACGACCTGCGACTTTCTCCCCTGGATCGGCGGGGAGTGTGCGCGCATCTTGTTGCCACAGAGAAAGAGAGAGTGTCGATAAATATTTACTCTCTCATTTTTTTCTTCACGCCGTATGCCCCCTAGTGTTTGAGAAGGTTTCAGTTTGGAAAATGGGGATCAAAGTGGAAAAGGCAGGCGAGAAATGGAATCATGGACAAAACTCGCGGGGGGGGCACGCTTCAACGACTCTTTGCGAAATTAGAGGCGTCGCGCACTTATTATACACTCTGGCATATGTGTGAATGTGTGTGTATGCATATTTAGTGCAACAACTGGTACGGACTGGACAATCCAATTAGTTCATTTTCGGATCGAATCGAAAACTTTGTTCGAACGCTCTCCACAATCGGGGGTTGAGTCCGCGAGCCATAGGTTTACAGTAGCTGTATGATGGATGTGTTGTTTTTGAGATCATTCCTTCAAATCCATTCATCATTAGCTATAAAACCGTCCGATCCGACAGACAAAAGAAGCAAGTTGGCGCAAAGTGCATTTGTCGGCGTCCTCTCTCGCGACCATTTATCAAAAACCGTTTGGCACTTCCCCGTCCTCCCCTTCGCCTCCTTCTCCTCCTCTCATCAGCCACATCTCAATTTTTCATCGCAGTGGATCCCCTCTTTGTTTCAAAAGTGTGTAACAAATGGAAGTCGGGGCGGCGACGTGCACCCATGTGGTGCCACATGATTCGCCGACGGATTGCCGCATTATGCGGTGCGATCACGGCACGTGCAACACTGGGCGCGACGAGGACAAAGACGGGCCCGCGGAGGACGGGCGGTCCGACAATAAAAATAACAACAACTGGCCATTAGGCAAAGGAGTAGGAGGAGGTCTTCAAGACGAGGACGACGACGACAACGGCAGTATTCCGGTGGACGAAGGTGACATTTTGAAATGGAATGGAATGGCGACTGGAATCGGTTAGTCAATTGACCCAGAGGAAGAAGTAAACAAAGAAATCCAAGGGGGACAGAAAGAAATTAGAATTTCAAAGATATTTTATGTCCACTACGTTCACACATGTTGCGGGTCGAACGAGTCGAAAAGGGGAGAGCGCGTGAATGTGAAATGTATATAGAAATATAGAAATTCAGACTTGGATTTTCACGGTCCGAAAGATTCTGGAGAAGACGGGAGGAATGAGGGAGAAGAAAACTCACGGAGAACAGCAGACCGGGCCGGTCGATGTAGTTGCTCGCGAAGGCGTTCGGCGGAGATCCCGAAGTGATACTGAAAGCTCCGAATGCTCATTGGGTCTTTTCCTCTCCGTGGTCCTTCTCACCTGTTGTTAGTCGAGGAGTTGGTGAGCGCCGACGAGAGACCCGAGTCAAAGAACGTAGTGTGCGTGCTCGACAAGCTGCCAAACTCGAACATTTGGGATAGAATCTGCAACTGGTTGGCGTATTTTATTTCAAAAGAAGCAAAGGTTCACATACATATTCGGCAGCCGGTAGAACAGGACGCGGCACACTTTCGGTCTGTGATCAATCAGCTCGTGGCAGTTTCTGAAACAACGAATTGTTTGAAAAAAAAATTTTCAGACCAAACGATGTAAGGAGAGGGTCGCAAAACTGAAAAAAACCGCGCTTTACCACAATTCACGTTAAAGGGGTAGTAAATTATTTTGCGCACATTTTTGCAAATTTTGCGTGCGTTTGGGACCACTCAAACGGCCATTTCCGAGAGGATTTTCTCTTTCCGGTCGGATTCTGCGTCGATTCATGTAAAAATATTGATATTTTTAAAAATAAGTTTTGGGTTGCCGCAGAGCCGTTTGAGTGACCCAAAACCACTCTTAATCTGCGCAAATTAATTTACTTTTGAACGTTTCAGGGTCTTTCACGTGTGATTGCGATGAAGCGCGATTGACACATTTTCTGCAGATACAAACGACAAAAGAGAAAATGCGAATCAAACGACTAATCCGAGAGAGAACATAAAAATGGTGATGCTTCGACTGAAAGGGGCGACCTTTCTCGTTCGACAGGCTCTAAAAGGACACAATGGAAACGGGTTCTTTTGCAAAGGCACACGGTGTAAACCAGAGAGACACTTCCGATGGCAAGCGGAAGGAAGGACGCGGAAAGACGCAGAAGGAAAGAGCCGTCGTGGCTACCAGTTGGCGGAGAACTGTACGAGTGCGAGTGAACGGCTGCCGACCGACTGAAGCAAGACGTTTCCGCGCGGAAGGCGGCAGCGCCGAAAAAATGTGCGTGCGCGGAAGAGGAGGGCAAGCCGACCGATAAGTGAAATCATCGATGGCATCGAAAGTGAACTTTCACGTAGCGCCTAACGTTTGCCCCTCTGCCCTGGCGGCTGCTGTCTGCAAGAGGAGAGGGCACGATTGCGCAAAAAGGGGGCGGAGCTCGCGTGGCGGTGCGTGAAAGAAAGAACCTGATTGGTGGCGGTGGCTGGGGTGGTAGTACATGCGAGGAGTGTACTACGAGAGGAGCGAGTGAGTCAAGAATGAACACCTTCGAGACTAGGGGGAGGAGGAGGAAGCAAGGACTGGTTGATTCGCTTTTTCTCTCTTTCTCGATCTCGAGGTTAACACATTAAAATGAGAGTAAGCGGTTAGTAATGGTCGACGATGCTGAACAAGAATCAGCAGATGCTGAAAGGGAAGAAGGAGAGGAAGAAGGCGTTGGGGGAGAGGTTACACACCGTCTTCATCGAAACGAAACAAAAGACCTAATTAAACCCAAACACTGTCCTTCTTTCCCTTCATTCTTCTCACTTTCAGAAGGGGTCTGTCTTTTCGTCCCAGCTCCTCTACCAGTTTTTCTCGGCTCTTTTTGTGCCGTTTGTGCGTGTGTGCTCACAGAATGGGCTGCCCGGCAGAAAAAGCACCGAAAAAACGGCTACGCGTCTCGGGTTTTTCCGCGTTTCTTTCCGCCGCCTCGCACGTTCATCAAGCGAAAGAGCTCGAAACGATACTGTAAGAGTTGGTTGATAAACATTCAAATTGGAATTTAGAAGACGTTCTGCAGAATTTTATTATGACACGGTTTATTTATCGCAAAAACTGGGCCTTTGCACTGAGAAAATGAACGTTATCGCATCGAGACCTGCTGATAATCCGTTTGGCTTCAAATTCAAAAGTGATTATTAGAAGGTCTGTTTTCTGCCCACATTTCCTGTCCGTATCATTGTCGTATTCCAGTTATTGGTTGGTAATCAAAGCGTCTGTTCTGATTCCAGACGGGTCGCCCTCTGATCCGCGTGTCACCTCGCTCCTGCTCTCTTTCCGCATACAAATCGACTCGGAGGCAAGAACTTTTGCTCGCTGCCGCGCGGCGCCACAGACACCTACACAAACAAGAGTTATGCTCTCCGTCTTTTTTCACTTGTGACTCAATCTGTGCTCTTCCTCACTCTCCGATACGGCGAGAGTTGCACTTTTAAAAAGATAGAGCCTTGTTGACTTGGAATCATCGAGATTATCGAGTGGGCGGAAGTAGGAAAGATCAACTGAGATGGGATACATACTGTTAACCGATTGGAAAAGTGAATAATATAAATATGAAGACCAAACGAGATGAAACAGAAGATCGGAATGTGAAATTAATCGCTGTCTTCCTCGCTGCTCGACGTGGCTTCTTTTCTTTTCGCCGGCTCGTCGTCAGAGGATTCCTCGGAACTGCTCTCCGCCCTCTTCTTCTCCTCCTTTCCAGAATCCGAATCACTGCTTTCTGCTGCTTTTTTAGCTGAAAAATGATGATCTTCAAGAATATTCTGTGTTTTCCTTGCCTAGTCTCTCCAGCTCCTTCCTCTCCCACTCTTCCTGCTTTCTGCTCTTTGGCTGGGCAAAAAGCGCACGGTATCTTTTGTCGAGCTCTTCGCTTTCCGGTTGGTTGAACGGGCGATATGTTATTGTCAGTTTAGACTTCTTGCTAAGATGCATGTTCCGCTTTCTTAGCATCTTGACATTACTGTCGATCTCGTTGTACTGGAACCGTCCATTTCTGTAGAACAGAACGAAAACGTCGCGATCTCTCGGCGGGACTGCTTCCGATTTCCACGTGTACTCGCGATTCAGCATGAATTCGTACTTTGTGTCCGCATCGTACGGCCGCTCCATTTCGAGGTCCTCCATCATGTGCGTCAAGCATTCCATCGTTGGCACAAACAAAGCGGCGAACTTTTCGTTTCCAAACTCCATTCCACGTATGACACTCGCCTCTTGTGCCTGTCTCTTCGCGTTTCCATGAACATCGTTGGTGATCGTTTCTCCGTCCCATTGAACGTGAGCAAACTTGTATTTCCAGTGAGAGAAGTCGGGGAAGATGTAGCACTCTTCCACGGCCTTGACTCCCTTCTTTGCGTAGTGCTCTTTTACCGGCTTCCGGACCTGAAAGAAACCAATGAGAAGAACGAATCGCTACAGAATACTTACATCTTCGAAGGTCTTGTTGATTGCGTCGATCTGACTCTGCTTGTCACGATACATGTCCTCGACTTGCTGGTTCTTTTTGAGGTTGTATCCGAGTTTAGTTTCTTGCCTGTCTGCCGTGACTCCGAATCGATTGAATTCGGTTGAAATGTACTCGGTTTTTCTCATCCAAGGGACGAGTTTTGAGTGTTGTGCTGATCTCTTCTGGATTATTTTTGAAACATTCTCGTCTTCCAAAAGATTTGTGTCTTTTTCATCGAATGCCTGAGACAATTACTGATGAACACTCTTCTAAGAAAGCGAACTCACCATTTCTACTGGGTCTTGGTCGTATTTTCGTAAATCGATCAAATCGACAGTCAAGCCCATGTCGTCATCACAGATAACCGCATGCTTGTAGTCCTTCTCAATGTTCGATTCTTTGTATTCGACAAATCTGGAAAAAAAACAATTTTTGGCGATAATAATCAATTCGGTCATCGATTGTACCTGCTCAGCGGAACAAACGGGCAAGGCATGAACTTGGCATCAAATGGAACATCCGGCACGTTGTTTGTAAATCTGGATTTGAGCATGAAGTCCACTTTCCGTCTGAAAACGATTTTGCATTTTTAATTTCTCTTTTCAGTTGATTACTTACGGAGGTTCTATGCGTTTTGCACCTGCCGGGTTCTCTGACATGTTCGCTTAAGCTGAAAACTCATTTTTATCATTGAATCGGTTAAAAACTATAATGAGAAAATCAAATTTGAAAAAATCGGGGCGAGCTATGCGTCAACACCAATAGCGCGTCAACATTCGGAAAGCGCACAACGCGTGCAAAGCGCGGTATTCAAATATACTGCATTGTTGAAAAGGCAAGCAATTTTCAGGTCATCGTTCTTTTTTTGTACAAACTGAGGGCCTAATAACTTGCGTGGTCTAATACGTGGACGAATAACTTGCCCCAAGAATGAACAGAAAATATCATAACTTTCTCTCAAGCGAGCAATGAAAACTCATGCGAAGACGCTGCCTCCGTTCAAAATTCACGAAGGAACGGTCAAGCAGGACTTCGAAAAGCTTCACAAAGACGGAAGATCTCTGCTGGAATCGGACGAAAAGTACCTTGTTTTCTGCGGACTCGCAGAATTCACAGACCGAGCGTGTGTCCACGTGGATTTGAAAAATCCAACTAAGAATGTGAGCTCATTCCTTGCAATTCGAAGATCGCGAAACTTTCAGGCAATCCTGTTCAATATTCGCAAGCCGGAAGCCCCCGGATTCTTCGTGCGACCGCACGTCGGAATGGTGGAACCGTCGAAGAAAGTGACGCTGTACTTTACATTCAAAGGAACGTGCTCGCGTCTTCCGTCCGACTACTGCTGGATCTACTCGGTCTACCAAATCTCGATCGATCAAAAGTCGCTGGAGTTTATCAAACTCGATGAGTTCGGCTCGACAAACCTGAGAGCCGTGTGGAATGAGCAGGGAAGAGGCGACATCGCGAACATTCTGCATCTGTCGAGCCGGTTTGACATAACGGCGAAGCCAAAGTTCACGTGCAAGAACCATAAAAATAAGGCGAGAAGGATTCAGTTAAACGAAATCGGAGAAGTTTGTGAGTGAAGCGAGAAAGTCTGGAATGGGTCTGAAAAGGTGAATTGCAGTGGACACGGGAACGATCGAGGAATCGGGGACTCCGGCAGCTCGCTCCGCATCCAAGAGAACTCCGCAGAGCACGATCTCAGAGCTTCCGAAGACTGCACAGTAGCACTTTTTTCTAAATCTCAGAATCATCCTTATTAAGAAAAGTCTTGAGGAGTCTGTCCATTTGTTTATTTATTTATTTACAGAAAATTAGAAAGCGACGGTGCGCGAATCAGAACAAGGATACCAAAAACTTCAAGTTTGTCTAAAAACTTTAAAAAAACGAGTTTTATTGTTTTGTAAATTTAAATATTGTTCAAGAGACAATTCCGTCATTAATGTGATAATATTGTAGAAGTGCGAGAGAGGTGAAGAGGATGATTGCGAAGAAGGGCAAACTGATGGTGAAAACCACGTCTCCGAGAGGCAGATCCTGAAGTTAGACCATTTGTTTCTGTGCGGAAGAAGCCACAGTTACCACAGTCTCGTGCATTCCCTTCTTCGCTTTTTCCATGAAACTTTCCGTGCTTCTGAGTTCGTATTCCAACTCGACGCTGCTTCCGAAGAAGACGTCCCAGAGCCACGAACTGTACATGTCGACTGCGTTGTGCGCACAGCACAGTGTTCCCGCATACACGCCTTTCTCATGTCCGTGAGTGCACCTGGAGAGTCCTTCGCTCTTACACAAGTCCACGAAAAAGGCGTCGTCGACTTCGAACATCTTCTTGACTTCGTCGTTGATGCATCCGGCGGAGAAGAGGAACGAGTACTGGTCGTTGCGGGTGATTTCGGTGAGGCGAATCGCGTGGAAGCACATGCGCAGTCCGTCGCCGCACGTCTCGTACCCGACGTCCCGCACTTCTTTGTAGCGCGTTCTCGAGATCATCGGACATTGAACCTGAACAAATTCCGCATTTTCCGTCTCGTTTTTTGTTTTTCACTCCATTCGAAACGACACCTCCAACCGTCAGAACAAGATGCAATAGAATTGAAACGATCATTACGGTAAACGAGAAAATGATCAAGAATCGTTCGTTTATCGCGACCAAGCGGCCACGTTTCTCCACAGGCGATAAGGAAATTATTGATTTCTGCCCGTATTTCCGACCGAAATGTCTCCGAAATCAGTGGTGGTAACTGGATCCAATCGGGGAATCGGATTCGGGTTGATCCAGCAGTTTCTGAAGGATCCGCAGGTGGAATGTGTGATTGCCACGGCAAGAGACGTCGAGAAAGCATCGGCAAGTTCGGTTGACTTGCTGTTCGTAATATGTGAATCATTTCAGGCACTCAAAGCTATCAGCGATCCACGTCTTCACATTCTGCAACTGACTCTTGATTCCGATGATTCCATCGCTTCCTTCGCCGAAAACGTTTCCCAAATTGTCGGCAAAAACGGACTGACTCTACTCGTGAACAATGCCGCCGTCATGCTTCCGTACGTGACAAAACAAGAGCCGAACCGTCAGATCGTGAACGATCTCTTCCAAACGAACGCAATCGGCCCGATGATTCTGACGCAGAGGCTCGTTCCGTTGATCGTCAGAGCTGCTGCGGAAAGACGGAACGGAGACAGTGTGTCCATTTCAAGAGGCGCCGTCATCAACATTGCCTCCGAGTTCCTCGGTTCCATTTCGCAGAACACTACCGGCTCCGGGGAGTACAAAGCGCTCGCCTACCGGATGACCAAGTGTGCCGTGAATCAGTTTACAAAGACTCTTGCTGTTGACCTGAAGGACGATCACGTGCTGGCCGCGGGAATCTGTCCTGGAATGGTTCAGACGGATATGAGCGGAGGAAAGGGACAATTGACTGTGAGTTGGTTCTATTCGATCCTTTATTCGAATTCTCTGCCTTCCAGATCGAAGAATCTGCTTCTCAGCTGGTCGCTGCCTTCCATAAACTTGACGGATCTCATACTGGAGGATTTTTCCGCAGAGACCTATCCGCTATCCCATTTTGAACATTATGCTTAAAGTGTCATTTTATACGTTTTTCTCATTTAGTTTTCAGTTGAACCAGTTAGATTTTTCTAGGGGTTTTCCATTTGTCAGCATCTGGATCTCTGTGGGTCTCATCATTCGGTGACCACAAACCCACTAGACCGTCTGCTCTCTGCGTCTTCCCTTCTCCTCCGATCGGTTGCATTTCTCTCCTTCACAAACAACGCTCTCTCTATCTGTCTAAGAGAGTTAAAGGGGGTTCTGAGTGCCAAAAAACGCGAGACGCGTTGAAACAAGACGGTCAGAGAAATAGTATAGAGAAACGAGAGAATGCGAGAGAAACGAGAGGGAGAGAGATTGGTCTGATATCCGGGGATCCCACTTCCTTCCGTATTCGAACCCTGGTCTCAAAAACGAAATAGTCCGAACATAACCAAAACACCATGATAGTGGACAGAGGAGCAGGCTCCAAGTCCTAATTCCATAATCCCATTTTTTGTTTCAAATCTCGAATTACAGACTTTTCCACTTTTAATGAAGCCGCACCACTTGTCAGGGCTCTCTCAGACCTTACCAGATAAGAGAATCTTTTGATGCCGAATCTTGTTCCTACTAAACGTAAAAATAAACGTAAAATCCCAGCCCTGATCCCAAATCATTGGCAAATCGAGACGAAAGCGCGTTCTTGGACTTATGATTTTTCTTCAGTCTTCGCAGCTTTTCGCCACAGCGCGATTTTCTTTTCTATTATTTTTTACTTTTTCTGTTTGCAAAAATTTCCTCTATTCTTTTTCGAAAAGCGGAGCTTGTCATATCAGGAAAACAATTTTTAGGCCCAAAAACAAAATTTTTCTGATTTTCTTCAACTTCTTTCCTCCATTCGAAAACGTTTGTATTTAAATGTATTGAATGCAGAGCTGGGCAATTGGCGGGCTTTACGGGCTTTTCGTTGGCCGGCCCTTGATCTGGACTTTTGAACCACTTGCAATATTCCGATCGGACCCAAACTTTGCAGGCTTCTTGGACATGGGTTGAAGCATATTAGGCTTAAGCCCGGGCTTCCGGCCAATTTCGGCCAATGATCCACATATCTCGGGACCAAATAATCCGATCGGGCTGAAACTTGGCCCCAATATGCTTCAACCCATGTCCAAGAAGCCTGCAAAGTTTGGGTCCGATGGGAATATTGCAAGTGGTTCAAAAGTCCAGATCAAGGGTCGGCCAACAAAAAGCCCGTGCCGGCCAATTGCTCAGCCCTGATTGAATGTGATCAGTCTCTTATAATTGATAACGGACAAAGAATTCTGAATTTTTTCGAAAAGCATTCTCTGATTGCATCACATTGTTAACAACTCCTAACTACTCGTTCGCTGTATATGTTCTACACTTTTCCTTTCTTTTTTCAAACTATGTTTTACAGATTCTCCAGTTCTTCATTATCTCCGACAACTACGAACTTCAACTGACTCTACAGGACAGGCACGGAAAAAAACGACAAAGTCCGGAGAACAATGATAATTGTTTTGTTAACTTTTCATTAAATAAATTATTATTTAGCACATACATTATTTTCTGGGTTACTATCGACCAATTTCAGCAGAAAAAGCCCAGAGGGGAGGGAGGGGCCTACATTTTTCGAAAACAGCGGATGTGCGAACGATTGACAATCAGTGGACCGCTCCTTCGGCCACGAGTGGTACCTCTTTGAGCGATTGGTATAGCCACTGATTGTTAATCCTTCGGCCATCGCGGTTTACCTGTGTATTCAACGTGATCTGGTCGTATACAGGTGAAACGCGGTTGATCAATTATACAATTGAGCCAATTGTAGACAAATTATCAACAAATCGCGAACGGGATGAGAAGCAGATTGGCGCAAAACACAGTGTATAATAGAGAAATCGCGCTTGTTCGCGATTGATGTATAATTAATGAATTATTGACAAGTTCGCGAACGAGGGTGCACAATCGACAAATCGGCGAACGGGCTGGTCACTCTGAGTTTTGCTTTTGCATTCAAACATTTGTGATTTTTTCATATTTTTCGTTGGTTTTTTTATTGCAATTTCGCATGCTTTTTATGTAATTAAACCAAAGTAGAGCATACAGGTTTCGCATTTCAATTCGTTATGGTTCATTGCCACGACTAATACTTCCAGAAACAGACAGCCGCAGGTGAGAAAATGGATTTTTGATTCAATTGCATCAGAAAAAAGATTTCAGATAATGCGAACGAATTTAGAAAAAGAGAATAACTGGAAGTTATTAATGCCGACCAAGATTTAAAAAAGTGATTCGAGTGTGCCGGGCGCAGAGTTCGAACAGTGTCAGACGGCCTATTCCTCGCAAAAACGAACAACGTGGTCGTTGGACGGTGAGATTCAGAAGGATACAAAGAAAATCAATCATTCAATTTCAGTCAATGTTCGACTTCGAATAGTGTGTGGGAAGAAAACGATGACGTTTCGAAAAGGAAAGAAAAGATGAACGCATTCAGCATGAGGACGGAGTCGCAGAAGTAATCGCCGACTGTTACGTGATTTTCTACTTAATTCTTTTTTTTTCGATTTTTTCTTTCACTTCTTCTTTTGTCTCTAACATTGCATTCTGTTATTTTGTTACTTTTTTCGTTTAATAAAATTATCTCGTCTCAAGTGCGATTTGTGAAAAATTGGCTTGTTATACAATGGGCGATTTGCGCAGGATTTGTCAATTATACAATGCCCGTTCGCGATTTGTCAGTTATTAATCAACAATTCGCTTCATCGCGTGTACCTGGAGAAAAAATCTGGGATAAATCGCGAACTAATTCCACACTTTTCGCGATTCACCTGTGCATATCACGTTGAATACACGCCATCCCGTCCGATCTGGCAAGTTAAGCAACGTTGAGTCCAGTTAGTACTTGGATCGGAGACGGCCTGGGAATCCTGGATGTTGTAAGCTTTTGCCTTTTTCATCTCAATTTATAAATAATATTGTTCTTTCTGTCGTTTTCCACATATTCAGGTGTTATCTTGGTCATTGAGGCCTTTATTCGTTCACTCAGGCCCTTATTTATCCATTTAGGGCCTTATTCGTTCACTCCGGCCCTTATTTATCCATTAAGGCCCTTATTCGTTCATTCCGGCTCTTATTTATCCATTTAGAGCCTTATTCGTTCACTCCGGCCCTTATTTATCCATTTAGGGCCTTATTCGTTCACTCAGGCCCTTATTTAGCCATTGAGGGCCTTATTCGTTCACTCAGGCCCTTATTTATCCATTTAGGGCCTTATCCGTTCACTCAGGCCCTTTTTTATCCATTTAGGGCCTTATTCGTTCACTCCGGCCCTTATTTATCCATTTAGGGCCTTATTCGTTCACTCAGGCCCTTATTTATCCATTGAGGCCTAAATGCGGGAGCCAAAATATTACGTTCTAATAGAGGCCGTTTTGACTCAAATACGACTAAATGATGACAATCAGCTAACTGCTGAATTGTCATCATTTCTTGCGCTGAGCATAACTGCATTAATACGCATCCCATTTTTTTAGGAATTAGTTTTTTTTGTCTCCCCTAAAGGAGACTTTCCAAAATTAGAAAGCTGACGCTAAATTTCTTTAGGCCAGATTCAATGGCGGCGAGCCTGGGGTGCACCGGTGGCAAGAACCTTCGTCGAAGGACCACTACGTACATTGGGAGTGAATAGGGATAGGGGGCCATCATGAAGTTGCCCTGAGGGCGATCAACTGTTCCGGCAGGTCAAGCGCCGAGAAACACCTCAATCCAGAGGGATCCACCCGCTGCGCCACTGATTTGTGTGGCCGCATGACAGTGGTCTGGAGATCGGCTATCTCAACGCCAGCCCAACTTCCACCTCTCTCTCCTAACCCAGGGTTCCTCTTGACCAGCGCTGTCGGATAAAAAGATCTACTAGCAACTGGCCGAGTTACCCGCCTGGTGCCTCGCGGCCTTCCCGTCTGTCCTCGTCTGTAAACAGACTCCAGAATGGGGAACCTGTCTAGATTCAATGTTTAGATCTGAATTGTGACTTCTTCTCACTTTCATGCTTGATTTGGGGCATTCGAGATCGAATTCATCACAACCTTCACCAATGGGGACTCTCTGAACCTAGACAGTTTGGTTGGCGACTTGCCTTGGCGCCGGAGCGCCCGTACAGCTTTTGCGGACTAGTGGAGGCTGAAATCTCCGTCGTAAGTTCGCGTTCTTTTTCTCTTTGACCTATGGTATCCGGGGAGTCAAAGTCCCCATCATGGATCCATATCACTTCCAGATATTGCAGGTCTTCTCCCTTCTCATGATGTTTCTGTTTAGAAAAATCGCATTTTCTTTCATTTTCCGCTCAACGTGTCAAAATTGACTGAAATCCTTGATAATCTTTTGGATGAGGCTATTCGCAACAATATCATACTATTTAAGCTTGGTTTGGAGCATATAGTGGTGATATTATCACAATCTTCATCCTCGGGACCGTCGAGCTCTTTGCGGACTGTTGGGGTCTGGAATCACCCGTTCCGCTTTTCCTTGTCATATTCCGTTCGGAATTCATATTTCTTTATCTTCACTTCGACCTCTAGCATGTTACATATAGTTGCCAGGACTTTTGGCACGGGGCCAACCCGACCATGTCAGATGGCTGGCGGGACGCAAGCATCTTCTGCTCGTATTGCCTTCCAGCCATTACCCTCGGGTTTTTCGCCTCCGAACTTAAATGGAACATGTTTATATTCGTTTCCGAATATATGATTCCAGTAGCAGTTCTTACTGTACTCCATCACTAGAGCGCAAATCTCCGGGATGACTCGGTTCACAGTGCTTTTCGCGATTCCGAGCTCCACTAGGCTTTTGGACGTGGGGGACCACCAGGTTCCCATAGTTCCAACTATAATAGGGAGTACTTTGAGGGTCTTTCCACACTTTTTCAGGTAGCTGAACCCCTTCTCGTACTTGTCAACCTTTTCATTCCATCCTCTTTCCATGGCTTCGATTCCATTTTCATACGGGATCTTGACATCTGCCATGATCACATGCTTTTTGTCGGGGGACCACAGGCAAATGTCCGGCCTCAGAAGCGTTGGTCCCGGGATGATCTGGTCAATGCTCATCTTCCACTCGCTCTTCGAACCTTTTTCGATGAGCTTTTTCACCTTGAACAGAACCGCATCGTGTCTCTCGGTGATGAGCTTCGGAAGTCCAAATTTGCACGTCTGGAGTATGTGCCATTGGCTCTCATTTTCGTAGCCGCATCTGCGGCACTCTTTGGTGACCGCATTTGCAAATGAGTTGTAATTGCACGTCAACAGGTTTAGCCTGGCTCGATGGATCCACTTTTTGGCTGCAAAGCTCACTTTTCCACCGGTTCTTACAAATCTGTTGCTCTGGGGGTGCTGTTGGATCACTCTGCACACCGCGCTTTTTACTGGTTTCACTACATTGAATTTGTACAGGAGCCCTGCATTTACTTCACTTTTCAGATAAAGATGAAGCTTTTTCATGTGCTCTTCCGTGTACACATTCACTTTTGAGTCGCGAGTGGCCTGAACACTGATCGCCAGCTTGCCATTTTGCTCGATAACTCTGAACTCGTGCAGTGGAGCGTCCTTGTTTTTGCAGAGATTCCTGCAGACTTCCCTTATCCGACTGAAAGAGTTGTAGCCGAAGGCTTTCCGGTCAACTTTCATGTCGTCACTTAAGTACCTGGCAATTTGAGCTACCGTAATCTTGTTGATTCCGGTCTCAGTCTCTGCCGCCTCTCTCAGATAATCCGTGTACAACCTTTTGATGTACTGATCGTCTGACCATAATCTTTTCATTGTTGAGACCAGAAAAGCTATCAACGCTGATATCTTTGGACATTGTACTCCTAGTCCTCCCTTACTGATCGGGAGCTGGACATACTCTCTTGGTGATCCTCGTATTGGTATACCATGGAACATTTTCACTGCTCTCATAGTGACCGTCGAGAACTCGCTCAATTCTTGTAGCTTTGGCATCGAGTTGCCGTGAAAGTAGGTGAGTTTCGGAAGGACGAATGATTTGACGCAGTCCAACTTTTGGTGCTGCTCCAAATCACTCAGAGTCACCTTTTCTAGCTCTTTTGACACTGAGATCAGAAGATTCAATGCTGTGGTTCTCGATTCGAGTCCGGTCTGAACTCCAAGGTACTTGTAAGTATCTGCCTGACTCAGGTTCCGAATCGCTTGGTCTTTCAGAAGGATATCAAATTGTTTGTTCACCTTCCCTTTTTCAATGATCAGACTGGCACACTTGGACGGTTTGAAGATGAGGTTCAACGGTGTGCAGTCCTGATCCATCTTGAGCAACTCTCTCTGGAGCTGCTCTCTGGATTCCGCCAGGATTGCCATGTCGTCCGCAAACGCCAGCACTTTCACATTGGTTCCTAGACACTGGTGGCCGGCTGCCGTCGCCAGATGCTTTCTTATAATACTTTCCAGACACATATTGAAGAGTGTTGGAGAGATCGGATCTCCCTGTTTTACGCCCGATTTGATCAGAATCGGCTCACTTTTCTCATATCTGCTCTTCACTCGGATAGATGCACCATTGTACATATCCATCACTATCTTCACCACTTCCTCTGGGAACCCATAGGCCACAAGCGTGTACTCGATGAGCTCATGAGGCACCGAGCCAAAGGCATTTGTCAGGTCGAGCCATGCAACTGACAAGTCTCTCCTTTTGCCCTTTGCCACATCAATGGCCGTTCGTAGGATGGCAATACTTTCTGCGCATCCTTCTCTTTCCTGGAAACCTCTCTGGCATTTGCTCATCACCCCTTCAACCGCTCGGATCCTCCTGTTCCACAAGCTTGAGTACAGCTTATAGACCGTTGGCATCAGGCTGATGGGTCTCCAGTTGTCCGCTCTCATTTCCTCCCCACCTTTGTACAAAAGGATAGTTTCGGCCTCTTTCCAGTGTGTTGGGATCTTCTGGTGCCACTTGCACTCGTTGTACAACTGTGTCAGCAGCTTCAGGTCCGGATCAAACCATTTCAGATGGTGGTACCGGAGCCCATCGACGCCTGGAGCCGTGTCTTTTGTTTTGTTTAACGCTTCTTTTACTTCCTTTGCGCTGAACTTTTCTCCGATCCAATCTCCGATGTGCAACTTTGGGAGCTTCCAGCACTTTTCTTCGAGTACCTCCCTTGGGACATTGGTCTCCGAAGTGGTACCCTTGAAGTGCTCTTCGAGCTTTTCCATCGGAATTTCACATTGCTTTGACGTGTTTCCCACAATTCTATTGTAGGCCCTTGATCTGTTCTGAAAGTACAGGTCCCTCATTGGGGTGATATCCACTTTCGGAGCATCCCCACTTTTCCTTCTCTTTTCTCGTAATCTTTTCTTAGTCTCCGTCTGTGTGCACATGTCACCCTCTTCTCTTTCCGGCGGCGGACATCGTTTGCGGATGTGCTCAATATCCTCGGATTTTCCATCGGAAGCCTTCTGGATTGCCGCCGTGAGCACATCCGATATCCACTCCAGTCTCTGGAAACTTCTTCCATCTAGGAGGTAGGACTGAAACTCTTTCTCAAACCATTCTCTCACTTGGACCACCAACTTGTCAGGAACCCCCTCTGGAACTTTCCTTTTCGGTGGTCTCGGCATCTTTTTCTCTTGTTTCTTTCGGACGGTGTCTGGAGGAGGCTCCAGCTCCAGTTCCATCAACTTTTGGATGGTCCCACGATCGGCCAACCCCTGTGATTTCTCAAACTCAACCTCTTCTTTCTCCAGCTTTACCAACAGCTTTGTGATCTGGGGGCCGATTGCCGTTCCAAATCGTTCCTCTTCAGTGTCCAACTTGGTGGGACCACTCGCAGTGTCCGAGATGACCATGAGCCCGCTTGGTTGCTCGGCCAATGGCCCGGGGAGCGAAAGTTCCATCTGGTTTGTGATGGTCGCTCCCATTCCACTGGCTTCTGCCTCCTCACCCTGCTCATCTGCCACGTCAGACACCCTCTGGTCCTGTTCTTTTAACATGATGAAACCGTCTAGCCTTCCATAATCTGACCCTGGACGGTTCATAGAAGACCATTTCTTTGTATCCTTGGCCCTTTCCAACTCATCACGAGTTTCTGACTCATTTTCAGAGACGCCGATTGGCTTGTTCCGATGCTCAACCGGCGGGACCGGAAGTGAATTTTCCATCTGATTTGGGATGGTCCTTTCTGGTCCAGCTGTTCTCACATCTTCACTTCGCCCGTCGGCCATTCTTTCAGTACACTCTGCATGTGTTGGCGTGTTCGGAACGGTCAATTCTTTCCCGCTTTTGTCTTTTTGCGAGTAGTTGGGCAGTTCAGGGAGGTTCCACTTAATTTTGCCCAGAGGCTTTTTCAGTGAATTTGGAGGTGGAAAGTCCATCTGATTTGGGATGGTCCCCTCCAGTACACTATTTTCATCCTCCGCGCTCCGTTTCATGTTCTCCTCTTTCCTGCTCTCCTGCTCACTGTATTCCATTGACTCCTTTTCCCAATCCTCAGCTTTGGATTTGTCCAGGGCAAAGTATCTTTCGGAATACAACTCATACCCCTCTTTCCGGAGCATCTCTTTCACTTTCCCTCGGAAAGTCTTCACATCATCCTCTGAGTACCAGTATTCACTTTCCATGATTGACTTTGCAATCAGGCATACGTGTACTCCACAGTTCACGTAGTCCTTCTGGAGAGGAACCGGCACATCAAAGTGCATTCTCTTTTTGTTCGTCTTTTCTATGAAACTCTTCACTTTGCCTGTGGGCTCATGACCCAGGGAATTTGCATACCAGAGTCTCTCCTTGTCCATGACCACTAGGATCCAGTGGTTTCCCTCGCAGATCGGAAAGAAGTATTTTGCCGACCCAAGCATCATCCCTGTGATGTAGTTTGGACCATGTTGTGCTTCAGCCCAGAGGACCGGATCTATGATCTGGTACTCACGTGTCTTTGCCACCAACGCGGTCATGTAGTACATAATGACGTCATCGGCGAGCCAGGCTTCCTGGGTGGTCTCATGCTCCAGGCACCACGCGTTGAAGCGTCTGGGACGTGCTACAGTGACGGTTGTGTTCAGACTCTCGTCACTATCCAACGTTATCATCGGTACTTTCATTTCCTTGCTTTTCTCTTTTTCTTGGCCGCGGGATCCTGAGTTCCCACTCTTTTTGTCTTTCACGACGACTTTCTGCGATTCTTCCAGCGCATCCGAGGCATTTTCCGCCTTTTCAGGTGGTTTCCCGAAGGGAATGCTCCTTCTGCTCTGGATTGACAGCCGAGAGCTCCGGCTCGTCGTCTCCCTCGCGGCTTTCACTCTTTGAGCGGCTGTTAGCTCAACTTTCGGGCTATCCTGAGCCTCTTTGCACACTTTCGGACTGTCCTCGGCCTTCAGGGCCGCTGCCAGACTTCTTCTAGCCGACCGTCTTGCGTCGTTCTGCTCAAAGATGGATGCCAATTTGGGCTTTGGTATCGCCGTTTTTGGCTCTTTTTCTTTCTCAGTTTCTTTCTTTTTGACAGATTCTTTCAGGGCACTCAAGTGTTTGCTCACTGAGCGCGTCTGGATCTTCTGCTCCAACTTCATGATCTTTTCCGGGGTCTTCAGAACATTTTCACTGTTTTTAGTAACCTTCGGGTCTTTCTTTCTGGCCGCAATTCCAGGAACGGATTCATTCATCCTGTCTGCGATCTTTTTGCCTGTGCCTTTGGACGAGGCTATTCTCGGTTTTGCAACCATTTTGTGCACGCTGAGGGCGTGCTCTCTGACCCACCTAGTGGCTTTTGTGCTGTCCTTCGGAGCCTTTTCCGAGCACAAAGAACATTGGTAGGACCATCTCACTTTTAGACCATGCTTTTGCTCTATATGTTTTGTCATGTATTTGAGATCATCTGCCCCAAAGCCGACCAATGAGGCCGTGATACACCCACTCATGCAGCATTCGTACCGGCCGTTGAAGGGGTACAGGATCCGTACGAGAATTGTTTTGGCATCCTCATGCTTCTCAATCACCATCTTCTTGTATTCTTTGCATGCGGGGACGATGCTCTCTTCACTCATTTTCACATCTTTTTGCTCTTTTTCTTCACCCTCCGCATCATTTTTACCCCCACCGACCAGAGGTACCATGCTTCGGAAGGGCCGTGGGTACGACGAGCCTGAAGCCTCCGCCTCGCTCTCATTCCCCACGTCTTCATCATCATTTGCCCCATGAGCGTGGCTTTTAAGTTCATTTTCATCTAGAAATTTAGGTTTTCGCTGAAGGTCTCGCCAAACGCTCAGGTGTTTGGTTTTCAGCTCATTTTCTGGACAAATCTGGTTCTTTTGTCTTTCAGTATTCTCTTTAACTTTGCTTTCTTTCCTTTCCCTCATATTTTCATTCAGGACATCGCGGTTTCCACCTTCCGAGGCCGAGAAAAAACCCCGCGGCCGATCGATGCCGGCAGGGCGAGAGAGCGGAGAAATAGACGACACGCGTGTTGCGCCTTCTCCGCCGTTCTTCTTCTGTTGCGCATTTCTTTTTAGCTTTTTCCACACGCTTTTTTCAGAGCTCGTCTGGAAGCCGATCCTCGCCGTATTCATTGCATGCTTTTCCTGGAATTCAGAGCTGTCTGACGTGTTTTCCGGGGAAGACTCGGTCCTCCGCCCCCATGTGCGGAAGAATTCAGAGTTTTCGCGTCCCGCCAGTGCTTTCACTCCATTGCCAGGCTCATATAATTCGTGGTCATTAACACTAAGTGTTTCGTTCTTTTTCTTCCAGAGTATTGAGTAACCGTACGCAATTTTCCTCGAGAAGTTGCGAAACCCAGAAAAACGATCAAAACTTCGGATTTCTTCGAAAAGTCTGTCAAATTTTTCACGCTTTCCGGGACACATGGGTCTTTCTTTCTCTTTTTGTTTCAGGTAACCATCGTAGCACTTTTTCACCAGCAGGAAACACTCGGATCGCCGGTTTTGGCAAGAGGGACGGTCCACTGGCAATGGGCGCCATGGACCGCCACAGATGGGCCGCGGAGCAGCCCGATTCGATTTTTCCCCACAGGTGTACACGAGGCTCGTCTGAATCATATTCTTTTTCATATTCCCATCATTTTCCGCGAAAATGACAGGTCTTTTCCGTGAGTTTTTGCTCGTTTTATCGATTTTCCTCCCACGATTCTGAAGAATAGCAGGAGACTCACATTTCTTTTTCTTTACTTGGACAGAGTCAAAGTTCTTTTCATAAAACACCTGAAATTTCCAGAATTTGACCACTCTTTTATCAGGCTTTTCGTCTCTTTCGGCCGCCATCGCCGGCGACCAATCGATACTCATGGCATTCGTCCGAACAGGGGGCTTTTCCCTAAAGAAAGCTCCGTGAACGTCTGAAAATCTCTTAGTCCTTTGTTTTCCGTCGGTAAACCGCCGGAATCTCATCACAATCATGCGTTCCCCACCGGAAGGTCGGTGAAAATCTTTTGGTGTCATCTCTGCCAACAAGTAACCACGGATTCCCATAGCATTCTTGGCCGCATAATTCGTGTACATTTTTGTGAATCTGGATGGACACACAAATCTCTTTTTCCGGGCGTCTGAGCGCGGTGATCGATCGATCGGCGGCCGTTGGCAAAAATCAATATTTCGCAACGCACCGCTTATTGACTGATCGTCACCGCACCGGGACACTCGGGGGTTTCTATCAGAAGAAGGGCAGCATCCGAAGAGCTGCTTCATACTGATTCTCTTAATTGCCTGTTGCTCACGGCCTGGCATGGACCGGGTCGCCACAAAAAGCGTCCGAAACCGAATTTCAGACCGAATTTTGTGGCATGGACACATAAATCTCTTTTTCCGGGCGTCTGAGCGCGGTGATCGATCGATCGGCGGCCGTTGGCAAAAATCAATATTTCGCAACGCACCGCTCATTGACTGATCGTCACCGCACCGGGACACTCGGGGGTCTCTATCAGAAGAAGGGCAGCATCCGGAGAGCTGTTTCATACTGATTCTCTTAATTGCCTGTTGCTCACGGCCTGGCATGGACCGGGTCGCCACAAAAAGCGTCCGAAACCGAATTTCAGACCGAATTTTGTGGCTATCACGTACGCACGGATTCATAGGAACCTGTATCGGCCCAGGGACAGGCACATCTAGCTTCATTCCGTGATCTCTGCACTCCACGAATGTATCTGGTGACGACCGTCGCAAACCGTGCTTTGCGACTATCAAGCCAGCCAGATACGGAAGAACAGAGCAGGGAACGGGGCTGTAGACGACATCGAACAAGGAGTTAGTTATTTGACATGAAGTTATTTGACATGAAATACGAATATGGCCGGTCAAAAGGACCGAATAATTTGTATTTACATGAAGGGACAGGGTGGCATTGCCAGGGGGTGATGCTCCGAGAGCTGGTTTGTGCTCTGAAGACATCCGGTTAACAGGAAACCACCCAGTGGGAGGCGGGACAAAAATGTTAGTTGACGACGACGTTTACAGAATACGCCAAGAGTGGGTTGCAGCGACGAAAATTCGCCGGGCGAGCCTGGGGCGCAACAGTGGTAATTACCCGCCGAACGGGGCCACCAATTGCTTGGGAGTTTATAGTAGGGAAGGGCCATTATGTACTTGCTCTCAGAGCCTTGAGTAGATATTGCCGAGTCAGGATATGGTCACACAATTTCAGATTGACCCACCCGCATAGCCCACTGGTTTAAGTGGTTGCAAGGCAGTGGTCATCCATTGTGATTAAGCCATTTCCAGCCCATTTGAGTTTTTATCTCCAACGAACCCAGGGTTCCTCATGTTGTGTCAGCGCCGTTGGATCCGAAGATCGCTAGCATCTGACTGAGTTACCCGCCTGTAGCCTCACGGCCATCCCATTCGCATTGGAATGAGGAATCTGATCAATCAGCTCTTTTTTTGTTCCTTCCCGTTCGACCCTTTCTTTTACCCTACGTACTCGGTTAGGAAGTACTAAAGAGAAAAAGGCGAGGCTGAACTTTGGGAACAAGCTTCATGAAACAGTAATACCAACCTGGCACCTTTGTGCGTTTAGATCGGTCTTCCCGTCTGTTCTAGACTGTGTTCTTTGCACAGTCTCAAGAGGGGGGATCGGCACCCAACTATTTTGTCTAGTTAGATGCCTTTTTGTGACTCTTGTGTTTATGATCCTGTCATCACACCTTTTAAGAGTCAGCTGCCATCTTTGTGGCTATGGTCTGTTCCTTTTTGGGAATCAGGTGGTAATTTGAAAGAAATTTATTGCGATTTCTCCTGGAAATTCACAATATCGATCAATTTGGATTGGTTTTTCAGGTTACTCATTCCATTAATCAGTCTCGTTTTCAGTCCTATCCATGTCCATTCAGAGCCAGGTCTTTTGGCATGTTGACTTCGAACCCGGCTACGTCCCCGGAAGGGTCGGAGCATGTTTTGCTCTTTCCTTTTTCCAGGAGTTGCCTTTTGGTTTCTCGTCTCCGAATTTGAGTGGAATTTCAGTGTAGGAGTCTCCGAAGATGTGGTTCCAATAAGCGTTCTTGCTGTATTCTAATACTGTAGAACACAATTCAGGAATCACTTTACGGATCACTGCATCCTCTATTCCCAACTTTTTTTCAGACTGTCAGTTGTGGGCTTCCACCAACTTCCGAGAGATCCAACTATTATTGGTAGGACAGTAAGCTTTTTGCCCTGAGCCTTGAGATTGCTGAAACCGTCAGAGTACTTCTGAACCTTTTTGTCCCAGCTTCTTTTCATGGCTTCCACACCATGCTCATATGGGCAGGCTACATCGGCCATGATGATTTCTTTTTCCATCTGGACTTCTCATGTAGATGTCTGGTCGAAGTCTGGTGAATCCTGGTATTTCCTGATCTATTTTTCAGTTTCCAGTCTTTCTTTGAACCAGCTTCGATGAGTTTTTTTCACTTTCATGAGCACTGCATCATGTCTTTCAGTGATTTTTTTCGGGAGTCCGAAAGTGCAACTTTGTAGGATGTGCCACTGAGTTTCATTCTCATAATGACATCTTCTGCATTCTTTTTGACTTTGTGTTGTCGTACGTGTTATAGTTGCACGACAACAAGTTGAGGCGAGCTCTGTGCACAAATTTGTGTGCTGCTCGACTCACTTTGCCACCTTTTTCTGACAAAGCTGTTGCACTGAGGATACTGCTGGATGACTCGGACTACCTCACTCTTCACAACTTTCTCGGTCGTGAATCTGTGAGAGAGAGCGTCATTCACTTCTCCTTTTAGCAGTTGTTGGAGTTTCTTTACATTCTCTTTGGTAAAGATTCTCTCGTTGCCTTTCTCGATTGCTTGTACGGAGATTGCCAATTCACCTTCGAACTCAACAATTTTTCACCTTATGCAAAGGAGCGGACTTGATTTTTCCACAGACTGTTGCATACTTCGCGTAGTCTTGTGAAACAACTGAAACCGAACGCCTTTTTTTATCGATTGGTATCTCGTTGCTGAGATAGGCCGCCAGGTCGCCTAGGGTGACCTGATCTTTGCCCGTTTCGATTCGGGTCACTTCCTCCAGATATTCCCGGTACAGTCTTTGGATGTACTGGTCTGAGGACCACAACTTTTTCATTGTGGACACTAAGAAAGTGATTTCTGCGGTTATTCTTGGACACGCAACGCCGAGTCCCCCTTTACTAGTTGGTATTTGGATATACTCTAGCGGGGATCCTCGGACTGGGATTGAGTGCATAACCTTTACTGCCCTCATCGTCATGTTGGCAAATTGACCCAACTCTGTCATCTTTGGTACCGAATTGGCGTACATATATGTCAATTTCGGTAGCACAAAGGCTTTTACACAGTCGAGTTTCTGTGGTGGAGTTAGGTCGCTTGTGTTTACCTTCTCCAGCTCTTTGGTGACTTTGGTCAGCAATTCGAGCTCTGATATTCTAGTCTCGACTCCTGTTTGGACCCCCAGGTATTTGTAGGTGTCTTTTGGAGCGAGATTTCGAATGGGTTCACCCTTCAGCATTATTTGTGCTTCAGGTCGTACCTTGCCCTTCTCAATTATCAAACTAGCGCATTTGCTCGGTTTGAATATGAGTTTGAGTGGGGTACAGTCATCATCCATTCTCTCCAACTCTTCCTGGAGTTGTTTCTTGGAATCAGACAATATGGCCATGTCGTCCGCAAATGCCAGTATTTTGACCTTTGTCTTGAGACACTTGTGGCCTGAGGACGTATCCAGGTGTTTTCTGATGACACCTTCTAGACACATGTTGAAAAGCGTTGGTGAAATGGGATCTCCTTGTTTCACCCCAGAATTCAGCTTGATCTGGTTACTCTTTTTCATTTTTTTACTCTTTACTCGGATGGATGCCCCATTGTATATGTCTTTTTATGACGTGGACGATTTCTTCTGGGAATCCATACTTTTTCCAGAGTGTGCTCGATGAGCTCATGTGGCACTGAACCGAACGCATTGGTAAGGTCGAGCCAGGCGACTGACAGGTTCTTTTTTCCTGCCCTTCGCCACATCAATCGCGGTTCTAAGGATTCCAATGCTTTCATTGCAACCCTCCCGCTCTTGGAATCCCCTTTGACACTTGCTCATGACACCCTTCACTGACCGGATTCTTCGGTTCCACAAACTCGAATATAGTTTGTAGATGGTTGGCATGAGACTGATTGGTCTCCAGTTCTCGGGCTTAGATTCGTCTCCTCCTTTGTATAGAAGGATCGTTTCTGCCTCTTTCCAATGTGATGGAATCTTCCGATGCTCCTTGCATTCATTGTACAGGGGCGTCAGAATTCTGTGATCAGGATCGAACCATTCTAGATGATGGTATCTCAGTCCGTCAACTCCAGGAGCAGTGTCTTTGGTTTTCTTAAGAGCAACTGCCAATTCCTGTTCAGTGAATGGGTCTACAATCCACTGTCCCACTTTTTATCTTTGGGATTTTGGAACTTTTTTTGATTCCAGAACCTCTTTTTGTTACATTTGTGACAGAGGTGGTTTTCTTGAAGAACTGTTCAAGTTGACTGATCGGGATCTCGCATTGCTTCGATTCTTTGCCGATCAGTTGGTTAAAGGTCTTCGTCCGGTTTTTGCCAGTACGAGTCCCTTTGAGAGACTGGTGGCCCTTTGCGGCTGTCACCATCTCCAGTCGGGTTGCTGTTACCCTTCTTGGGAATCCTTTTTGGATCCGTTTGCGTTGCCATCTCACCCTCTTCCACTTCCAAGGGTGGGCATCTTTTCACAATCTTCTCGATTGCCTGGGTGTCCCCAACAGAGGCCTTTTGTATGGCGGCTGTCAGGACGTCGGTGATCCACTCCAATCTTTGGAAGCTTCTACCGTCTTGAATGTACGATTGGAACTCTTTTTGGAACCATTCTCGTACCTTCACGACCAGTTCCTCTGGTTTTCCAGTTGGCACTTTGCGTGCTTTACCCATCTGTTTAGTGGGTTTCTCCTTTGGTTTGACCACTTTTTGGAGCAACTTTTTTTGTAGAAGATGTGGAGGGCATTCGAGTTTTTAGGTCCATCAGTTTTTGGGATGGAAACTCTATCCACTTCTTCCGGTTGACCAACATGTGGAATATCCATTGGGGATTCAACTGACACCTCAGAAGTGTCCACTTTTTTTCTGGACTTTCTGGTTTTTCGTGGTTTCATCTGTTTGGTGGAAATCACGGTATTGTTCAGAGTACAGGTCATATCCGTTTGCTCTGAGCATCTTTTTTTCACATCTTTTTCGGAACGATTGGACCTCTTTTTTTCGGTATACCAATAGTCGTCATTTAGACATGATTTTTGCCATCAGGCATACATGAACACCGCAGTTTATGCCATCTGTCTGGCAGGGATTTGGAGTGTCGAACTTTTTTTCCGTTCAGTCCCCAATTCCTCAATAAACTGTTGAACTTTTCCTTCGGGTTCACGTAGGAAGCTGTTTGCGTACCAGATTCCAGTTAAGCTTATCACCAAAAGGATCCAGTGGTTATTTTCGCAAACTGGGAAAAAGTAGGTTTTCGTGCTCCAAAGTTTTTGCTTTATGAGCATGATTCCTTCTCTTTTGTACATTTCCCACATAATTGGATCCAAAGTTTCATACTTTGTGCTTTTTGCGCAAAGATGCTTCAGATACCAGAATATGATGTCGTCACTTAACCATGCCTCCTTTGAGGTTTCATGGTCCAGGCACCATGTGTTGAACCTTCTCGAGACTATTTCATCATCATCATCGATGACAAAAGTTCTGTTCAGGTCTTCTTCTTCTTCCAGCGCTTCCGATTCAATGGGGTTTTCCATTGTCGTCACTACTGGATCAGGAATGGTTTCTTTTTCCAATTCCTTTGTTTGTGGCTCCCTTTTTTTGGAGATTTTTTCCCACTGCTGACAAACTCATCCTTTTCTGAGTAGAAAGGCGAGCCTGCTTTGAGCTTTGCTCTCGAGCCGCTTTTATTCTCTCAATTCCGGTCAACATTTTCAGGTCGCAGTCCGCTCCGATAGAGCTGTTTCTGGAACTTGATGTTGTCTCCGTTTTCAGAACATTCGCTAGGCTTTTCCGAGCACTTTTCTTTTCAGCTTTTTCAAGGATAGGAGCAAGTTTTGGTTTCTTGCCAACTTCCTCTCTTTCTTTCTTTGTTACCGATTCTTTCAGAGCACTGAGGGACTTTGCCACTCCTCTCGTTTGAATCTTGCTTTCCAACTCTGTAATCTTTTCAGGAGTCGAAAACTCTATCACCTTGGACTCGGTCTTTCTGGACGTTGTCTTCCTAGGAGGTGCTAAAGATGGTGCTGAATCATTCAGTGCACTGGCCGCTCGAGATCTAGTACCGCTTCCGATACTAAATTTCTTTTTCGGCTTCTTTGTTATGGACTTTTTTTCCAGATGCGTTTTTCATCCATCTGGACGGGTATGCAAGATTTTTCATTGGGGGTCTCCCCGCAGATCGTACAAATGTAAGTCCACTTGACCTTTTTTGACAGCATGGACCTTTTTCCAAATGTCTAGTCAAGTATTTCAATTCTTCCGCTCCAAGTCCTGCTTGGGAACGGGTTTCACATCCCCGGTGGTAACAACAAACCAGTTTATCTGTTGGATATTGTAGTTGACACACGACGGTTTGGGAGTCGCTTGTCTTTTTTTCAATAATACCATCGTGTAAACGTTTGGATCGTTCCTTACTCTTTCTCTCATTGCGCCACCTCTAATTCTATGGTCAGAGATGGTCTTCCACGAGACCTGGGAGTCGGCCTGGTCCTTTGCCAGATTATCGATTTCTGAGGGGTCAGACGAGAGAATCGATTGAGTTGCGGGAGTTTTACCTACAACTATACAATTTCCCCAGACTTTCCACTTCACAGAGGATCTTTGGAAGGCTTTCCTTTTTTTGAGATTGCCGGTGCTTCCGTCATTTGACTTCAATTCTCCACTTTTTTTGGGGCGGAGCTTCTGTCATTTGACTTCGGCGGCAGATAATATTCGTTTATGCGAATACTAAATGCACTTTTTTTAGACCATTATAGGCGGGGCTCATCCTGTGAGCAATTCCATTATGGGCTGGGCTCATCCTGTGAGCAATTCCATTATGGGCAGGGGCTCATCCTGTGAGCAATTCTGTTATGAGAATTGGGGTTTCCACCGTTATGGGCGGAGCTCATCCTGTGAGCAATTCCATTATGGGCGGGGCTCATCCTGTGAGCCATTCCATTATGGGCGGGGCTCATCCTGTGAGCAATTCTGTTATGAGAATTGGGGTTTCCACCGTTATGGGCGGAGCTCATCCTGTGAGCAATTCCGTTAAGGGAATCAAGGGTTTGGAACAACATGTGCTCCGGGGAAGTACACTGGGACCTACGGGCGGCAGAGGAGCGAATAATGCTGTTTTGGAGCAATTCGGTCGTACCTAGCTCGGTCATAGTGTGAATATGGCGGGGGGGGAATAGATCCAGAAGGCAGGGTGGTTTAATCCCAAGATGAACTGACTCAAAACTTGGGTAATTAAACCCTTCGTCGTCATTGTTCGCGAAGATGTCATCGACATAGAGTAACGACGATTTCGCTTACGACCATATCACGTTGAATACACGCCATCCCGTCCGATCTGGCAAGTTAAGCAACGTTGAGTCCAGTTAGTACTTGGATCGGAGACGGCCTGGGAATCCTGGATGTTGTAAGCTTTTGCCTTTTTCATCTCAATTTATAAATAATATTGTTCTTTCTGTCGTTTTCCACATATTCAGGTGTTATCTTGGTCATTGAGGCCTTTATTCGTTCACTCAGGCCCTTATTTATCCATTGAGGCCCTTATTCGTTCACTCCGGCCCTTATTTATCCATTTAGGGCCTTATTCGTTCACTCAGGCCCTTATTTATCCATTGAGGCCTAAATGCGGGAGCCAAAATATTACGTTCTAATAGAGGCCGTTTTGACTCAAATACGACTAAATGATGACAATCAGCTAACTGCTGAATTGTCATCATTTCTTGCGCTGAGCATAACTGCATTAATACGCATCCCATTTCTTTAGGTATTAGTTTTTTTTGTCTCCCCTAAAGGAGACTTTCCAAAATTAGAAAGCTGACGCTAAATTTCTTTAGGCCACAATCAAGCTGGGCGAGCCTGGGGCGCAACAGTGGTAATTACCCGCCGAACGGGGCCACCAATTGCTTTGGGAGTTTATAGTAGGGAAGGGCCATTATGTACTTGCTCTCAGAGCCTTGAGTATATGTTGCCGAGTCAGGATATGGTCACACAACTTCTGATTTACCCACCCGCATAACCCACTGGTTTCGGTGGTTGCAGGGCAGTGGTCATCCATTGTGATTAAGCCATTTCCAGCCCATTTGAGTTTTAACTCCAATGAACCCAGGGTTCCTCATATTGTGTCAGCGCCGTTGGATCCGAAGATCGCTAGCATCTGACTGAGTTACCCGCCTGTAGCCTCACGGCCATCCCATTCACATTGGAATGAGGAATCTGATCAATCAGCTCTTTCTGTTCTTCCCGTTCGACCATTCCTTCACTCCACGTACTCGGTTAGAAAGTACTAGAGAGAAAAAGGCGAGGCTGAACTTTGAGAACAAGCTTCATGAAACAGTGATACCAACCTGGCACCTTTGTGCGTTTGGATCGGTCTTCCCGTCTGTCCTAGACTGTGTTCTTTCCACAGTCTCAAGAGGGGGGATCGGCACCTAACTATTTTGTCTAGTTAGATGCCTTTTTGTGACTCTTGTGTTTATGATCCTGTCATCACACCTTTTAAGAGTCCACTGCCATCTTTGTGGCTTATTTGCCATTTATTTTGGCTGAATGTCTACATAAAGGAGATCTTTTTTCCCTTATTGTGACTCAGGGGGTAAATTGAAAGAAATTATTGTGCTTTCTCCTGGAAATTCACAATATCGATCAATTTGAATCAATTTTGAGATTACTTATTCCATTTATCAGTCTCGTTTACAGTCTTATCCATGTCCATTCAGAGCCATGTCTTTTGGCATGTTGACTTCGAACCCGGCTACGTCCCCGGAATGGTCGGAGCATGTTTCGGTCGATCCTTTTTCCAGGAGTTGCCTTTTGGTTTCTCATCACCAAATTTCAGCGGGATTTCCGTGTAGGAGTCTCCGAAGATGTGGTTCCAATAAGCGTTCTTGCTGTATTCTAGTACTGTAGAACACAATTCAGGAATCACTTTCTTGATCACTGTATCCTCTATTCCCAGCTTTTTCAGACTGTCGGTTGTTGGTTTCCACCAACTTCCGAGAGATCCAACTATTATTGGTAGGACAGTAAGCTTTTTGTCCTGAGCCTTGAGATTGCTGAAACCGTCAGAGTACTTCTGAACCTTTTTGTCCCAGCTTCTTTTCATGGCTTCCACACCATGCTCATACGGGCAGGCTACATCGGCCATGATGATTTCTTTTCCATCTGGACTTCTCATGTAGATGTCTGGTCGAAGTCTGGTGAATCCTGGTATTTCCTGATCTATTTTCAGTTTCCAGTCTTTCTTTGAACCAGCTTCGATGAGTTTTTTCACTTTCATGAGCACTGCGTCATGTCTTTCAGTGATTTTTTTCGGGAGTCCGAAAGTGCAACTTTGTAGGATGTGCCACTGAGTTTCATTCTCATAATGACATCTTCTGCATTCTTTGGACTTTGTGTTGTCGTACGTGTTATAATTGCACGACAACAAGTTGAGGCGAGCCCTGTGCACAAATTTGTGTGCTGCTTGACTCACTTTGCCACCTTTTCTGACAAAGCTGTTGCACTGAGGATACTGCTGGATGACTCGAACTACCTCACTCTTCACAACCTTGTCGGTCGTGAATCTGTGGGAGAGAGCGTCATTCACTTCTCCTTTTAGCAGTTGTTGGAGTTTCTTTACATGTTCTTTGGTAAAGATTCTCTCCTTGCCTTTCTCGATTGCTTGTACGGAGATTGCCAAGTCCCCCTTGAACTCGACAATTTTCACCTTATGCAGAGGAGCGGACTTTATTTTCCACAAACTATTGCACACTTCGCGTAGTCTTGTGAAACAACTGAAACCGAACGCCTTTATATCTATTGGTATCTCGTTGCTGAGATAGGCTGCCATGTCACCTAGGGTAACTTGATCTTTGCCCGTTTCGATTCGGGTCACTTCTTCCAGATATTCCCGGTACAATCTTTGGATGTACTGGTCTGAGGACCACAGTTTTTTCATTGTGGACACTAAGAAAGTGATTTCTGCGGTTATTCTTGGACACGCAACGCCGAGTCCACCTTTACTAGTTGGTATTTGGATATACTCTAGCGGGGATCCTCGTACTGGGATTGAGTGCATAACCTTTACTGCCCTCATGGTCATGTTGGCAAATTGGCCCAACTCTGTCATCTTTGGTACCGAATTGGCGTACATATACGTCAATTTTGGTAGCACAAAAGCTTTGACACAGTCGAGTTTCTGTGGTGGAGTCAGGTCGCTTGTGTTTACCTTCTCCAGCTCTTTTGTGACTTTGGTCAGCAATTCGAGCTCTGATATTCTAGTCTCAACTCCTGTTTGGACCCCCAGGTATTTGTAAGTGCCTTTTGGAGAGAGATTTCGAATGGATTCACCCTTTAGCATTATTTGTGCTTCGGGTCGTACCTTGCCCTTCTCAATTATCAAACTAGCGCATTTGCTAGGTTTGAATATGAGTTTGAGTGGGGTACAATCGTCATCCATTCTTGCCAACTCCTCTTGGAGTTGTTTCTTGGAATCAGACAGTATGGCCATGTCATCCGCAAATGCTAATATTTTGACTTTTGTCTTGAGACATTTGTGGCCTAAGGATGTATCCAGGTGTTTTCTGATGACACCTTCTAGACACATGTTGAAAAGCGTTGGTGAAATAGGATCTCCTTGTTTCACCCCAGAATTCAGCTTGATCTGGTTACTCTTTTCGTTTTTACTCTTTACTCGGATGGATGCCCCATTGTACATGTCTTTTATGACGTGGACAATTTCTTCTGGGAACCCATACTTTTTCAGAGTGTGCTCAATGAGTTCGTGTGGCACTGAACCGAACGCATTGGTAAGGTCGAGCCAGGCGACTGACAGGTTCTTTTTCCTGCCCTTCGCCACATCAATCGCGGTTCTTAGGATTCCAATGCTTTCATTGCAGCCCTCCCGCTCTTGGAATCCCCTTTGACACTTGCTCATGACACCCTTCACTGACCGGATTCTTCGGTTCCACAAACTGGAATATAGTTTGTAGATGGTTGGCATGAGACTGAGGGCGAGCCTGGGGCGCAACAGTGGTAATTACCCGCCGAACGGGGCCACCAATTGCTTGGGAGTTTATAGTAGGGAAGGGCCATTATGTACTTGCTCTCAGAGCCTTGAGTAGATATTGCCGAGTCAGGATATGGTCACACAATTTCAGATTGACCCACCCGCATAGCCCACTGGTTTAAGTGGTTGCAAGGCAGTGGTCATCCATTGTGATTAAGCCATTTCCAGCCCATTTGAGTTTTATCTCCAACGAACCCAGGGTTCCTCATGTTGTGTCAGCGCCGTTGGATCCGAAGATCGCTAGCATCTGACTGAGTTACCCGCCTGTAGCCTCACGGCCATCCCATTCGCATTGGAATGAGGAATCTGATCAATCAGCTCTTTTTTTGTTCCTTCCCGTTCGACCCTTTCTTTACCCTACGTACTCGGTTAGGAAGTACTAAAGAGAAAAAGGCGAGGCTGAACTTTGGGAACAAGCTTCATGAAACAGTAATACCAACCTGGCACCTTTGTGCGTTTAGATCGGTCTTCCCTGTCTGTTCTAGACTGTGTTCTTTGCACAGTCTCAAGAGGGGGATCGGCACCCAACTATTTTGTCTAGTTAGATGCCTTTTTGTGACTCTTGTGTTTATGATCCTGTCATCACACCTTTTAAGGGTCAGCTGCCATCTTTGTGGCTATGGTCTGTTCCTTTTTGGGAATCAGGTGGTAATTTGAAAGAAATTTATTGCGATTTCTCCTGGAAATTCACAATATCGATCAATTTGGAGTGGTTTTCCAGGTTGCTGTTTCCTGGTTGGGTACTTCCTGGTGATATGATCCTGTCATCACACCTTTTAAGGGTCAGCTGCCATCTTTGTGGCTTATTTGCCACTTATTTTGGCTGAATGTCTACATAAAGGAGATCTTTGTTCCCTTATTGTGACTCAGGGGGTAAATTGAAAGAAATTATTGTGCTTTCTCCTGGAAATTCACAATATCGATCAATTTGAATCAATTTTGAGATCACTCATTCCATTAATCAGTCTCGTTTTCAGTCCTATCCATGTCCATTCAGAGCCAGGTCTTTTGGCATGTTGACTTCGAACCCGGCTACGTCCCCGGAAGGGTCGGAGCATGTTTTGCTCTTTCCTTTTTCCAGGAGTTGCCTTTTGGTTTCTCGTCTCCGAATTTGAGTGGAATTTCAGTGTAGGAGTCTCCGAAGATGTGGTTCCAATAAGCGTTCTTGCTGTATTCTAATACTGTAGAACACAATTCAGGAATCACTTTACGGATCACTGCATCCTCTATTCCCAACTTTTTTTCAGACTGTCAGTTGTGGGCTTCCACCAACTTCCGAGAGATCCAACTATTATTGGTAGGACAGTAAGCTTTTTTTGCCCTGAGCCTTGAGATTGCTGAAACCGTCAGAGTACTTCTGAACCTTTTTGTCCCAGCTTCTTTTTCATGGCTTCCACACCATGCTCATATGGGCAGGCTACATCGGCCATGATGATTTCTTTTTCCATCTGGACTTCTCATGTAGATGTCTGGTCGAAGTCTGGTGAATCCTGGTATTTCCTGATCTATTTTTCAGTTTCCAGTCTTTCTTTGAACCAGCTTCGATGAGTTTTTTTCACTTTCATGAGCACTGCGTCATGTCTTTCAGTGATTTTTTTCGGGAGTCCGAAAGTGCAACTTTGTAGGATGTGCCACTGAGTTTCATTCTCATAATGACATCTTCTGCATTCTTTTTGACTTTGTGTTGTCGTACGTGTTATAGTTGCACGACAACAAGTTGAGGCGAGCTCTGTGCACAAATTTGTGTGCTGCTCGACTCACTTTGCCACCTTTTTCTGACAAAGCTGTTGCACTGAGGATACTGCTGGATGACTCGGACTACCTCACTCTTCACAACTTTCTCGGTCGTGAATCTGTGAGAGAGAGCGTCATTCACTTCTCCTTTTAGCAGTTGTTGGAGTTTCTTTACATTCTCTTTGGTAAAGATTCTCTCGTTGCCTTTCTCGATTGCTTGTACGGAGATTGCCAATTCACCTTCGAACTCAACAATTTTTCACCTTATGCAAAGGAGCGGACTTGATTTTTCCACAGACTGTTGCATACTTCGCGTAGTCTTGTGAAACAACTGAAACCGAACGCCTTTTTTTATCGATTGGTATCTCGTTGCTGAGATAGGCCGCCAGGTCGCCTAGGGTGACCTGATCTTTGCCCGTTTCGATTCGGGTCACTTCCTCCAGATATTCCCGGTACAGTCTTTGGATGTACTGGTCTGAGGACCACAACTTTTTCATTGTGGACACTAAGAAAGTGATTTCTGCGGTTATTCTTGGACACGCAACGCCGAGTCCCCCTTTACTAGTTGGTATTTGGATATACTCTAGCGGGGATCCTCGGACTGGGATTGAGTGCATAACCTTTACTGCCCTCATCGTCATGTTGGCAAATTGACCCAACTCTGTCATCTTTGGTACCGAATTGGCGTACATATATGTCAATTTCGGTAGCACAAAGGCTTTTACACAGTCGAGTTTCTGTGGTGGAGTTAGGTCGCTTGGTATCCATTTAGGGCCTTATTCGTTCACTCCGGCCCTTATTTATCCATTTAGGGCCTTATTCGTTCACTCAGGCCCTTATTTATCCATTGAGGCCTAAATGCGGGAGCCAAAATATTACGTTCTAATAGAGGCCGTTTTGACTCAAATACGACTAAATGATGACAATCAGCTAACTGCTGAATTGTCATCATTTCTTGCGCTGAGCATAACTGCATTAATACGCATCCCATTTCTTTAGGTATTAGTTTTTTTTGTCTCCCCTAAAGGAGACTTTCCAAAATTAGAAAGCTGACGCTAAATTTCTTTAGGCCAGATTCAAGGGCGAGCCTGGGGCGCAACAGTGGTAATTACCCGCCGAACGGGGCCACCAATTGCTTGGGAGTTTATAGTAGGGAAGGGCCATTATGTACTTGCTCTCAGAGCCTTGAGTAGATATTGCCGAGTCAGGATATGGTCACACAATTTCAGATTGACCCACCCGCATAGCCCACTGGTTTAAGTGGTTGCAAGGCAGTGGTCATCCATTGTGATTAAGCCATTTCCAGCCCATTTGAGTTTTATCTCCAACGAACCCAGGGTTCCTCATGTTGTGTCAGCGCCGTTGGATCCGAAGATCGCTAGCATCTGACTGAGTTACCCGCCTGTAGCCTCACGGCCATCCCATTCGCATTGGAATGAGGAATCTGATCAATCAGCTCTTTTTGTTCCTTCCCGTTCGACCCTTTCTTTTACCCTACGTACTCGGTTAGGAAGTACTAAAGAGAAAAAAAGGCGAGGCTGAACTTTGGGAACAAGCTTCATGAAACAGTAATACCAACCTGGCACCTTTGTGCGTTTAGATCGGTCTTCCCTGTCTGTTCTAGACTGTGTTCTTTGCACAGTCTCAAGAGGGGGGATCGGCACCCAACTATTTTGTCTAGTTAGATGCCTTTTTGTGACTCTTGTGTTTATGATCCTGTCATCACACCTTTTAAGAGTCAGCTGCCATCTTTGTGGCTATGGTCTGTTCCTTTTTGGGAATCAGGTGGTAATTTGAAAGAAATTTATTGCGATTTCTCCTGGAAATTCACAATATCGATCAATTTGGATTGGTTTTTCAGGTTACTCATTCCATTAATCAGTCTCGTTTTCAGTCCTATCCATGTCCATTCAGAGCCAGGTCTTTTGGCATGTTGACTTCGAACCCGGCTACGTCCCCGGAAGGGTCGGAGCATGTTTTGCTCTTTCCTTTTTCCAGGAGTTGCCTTTTTGGTTTCTCGTCTCCGAATTTGAGTGGAATTTCAGTGTAGGAGTCTCCGAAGATGTGGTTCCAATAAGCGTTCTTGCTGTATTCTAATACTGTAGAACACAATTCAGGAATCACTTTACGGATCACTGCATCCTCTATTCCCAACTTTTTTTCAGACTGTCAGTTGTGGGCTTCCACCAACTTCCGAGAGATCCAACTATTATTGGTAGGACAGTAAGCTTTTTTTGCCCTGAGCCTTGAGATTGCTGAAACCGTCAGAGTACTTCTGAACCTTTTTTTGTCCCAGCTTCTTTTCATGGCTTCCACACCATGCTCATATGGGCAGGCTACATCGGCCATGATGATTTCTTTTTCCATCTGGACTTCTCATGTAGATGTCTGGTCGAAGTCTGGTGAATCCTGGTATTTCCTGATCTATTTTTCAGTTTCCAGTCTTTCTTTGAACCAGCTTCGATGAGTTTTTTTCACTTTCATGAGCACTGCATCATGTCTTTCAGTGATTTTTTTCGGGAGTCCGAAAGTGCAACTTTGTAGGATGTGCCACTGAGTTTCATTCTCATAATGACATCTTCTGCATTCTTTTTGACTTTGTGTTGTCGTACGTGTTATAGTTGCACGACAACAAGTTGAGGCGAGCTCTGTGCACAAATTTGTGTGCTGCTCGACTCACTTTTGCCACCTTTTCTGACAAAGCTGTTGCACTGAGGATACTGCTGGATGACTCGGACTACCTCACTCTTCACAACTTTCTCGGTCGTGAATCTGTGAGAGAGAGCGTCATTCACTTCTCCTTTTAGCAGTTGTTGGAGTTTCTTTACATTCTCTTTGGTAAAGATTCTCTCGTTGCCTTTCTCGATTGCTTGTACGGAGATTGCCAATTCACCTTCGAACTCAACAATTTTTCACCTTATGCAAAGGAGCGGACTTGATTTTTCCACAGACTGTTGCATACTTCGCGTAGTCTTGTGAAACAACTGAAACCGAACGCCTTTTTTTATCGATTGGTATCTCGTTGCTGAGATAGGCCGCCAGGTCGCCTAGGGTGACCTGATCTTTGCCCGTTTCGATTCGGGTCACTTCCTCCAGATATTCCCGGTACAGTCTTTGGATGTACTGGTCTGAGGACCACAACTTTTTCATTGTGGACACTAAGAAAGTGATTTCTGCGGTTATTCTTGGACACGCAACGCCGAGTCCCCCTTTACTAGTTGGTATTTGGATATACTCTAGCGGGGATCCTCGGACTGGGATTGAGTGCATAACCTTTACTGCCCTCATCGTCATGTTGGCAAATTGACCCAACTCTGTCATCTTTGGTACCGAATTGGCGTACATATATGTCAATTTCGGTAGCACAAAGGCTTTTACACAGTCGAGTTTCTGTGGTGGAGTTAGGTCGCTTGTGTTTACCTTCTCCAGCTCTTTGGTGACTTTGGTCAGCAATTCGAGCTCTGATATTCTAGTCTCGACTCCTGTTTGGACCCCCAGGTATTTGTAGGTGTCTTTTTGGAGCGAGATTTCGAATGGGTTCACCCTTCAGCATTATTTGTGCTTCAGGTCGTACCTTGCCCTTCTCAATTATCAAACTAGCGCATTTGCTCGGTTTGAATATGAGTTTGAGTGGGGTACAGTCATCATCCATTCTCTCCAACTCTTCCTGGAGTTGTTTCTTGAATCAGACAATATGGCCATGTCGTCCGCAAATGCCAGTATTTTGACCTTTGTCTTGAGACACTTGTGGCCTGAGGACGTATCCAGGTGTTTTCTGATGACACCTTCTAGACACATGTTGAAAAAGCGTTGGTGAAATGGGATCTCCTTGTTTCACCCCCAGAATTCAGCTTGATCTGGTTACTCTTTTTCATTTTTTTACTCTTTACTCGGATGGATGCCCCATTGTATATGTCTTTTATGACGTGGACGATTTCTTCTGGGAATCCATACTTTTTCCAGAGTGTGCTCGATGAGCTCATGTGGCACTGAACCGAACGCATTGGTAAGGTCGAGCCAGGCGACTGACAGGTTCTTTTTTTCCTGCCCTTCGCCACATCAATCGCGGTTCTAAGGATTCCAATGCTTTCATTGCAACCCTCCCGCTCTTGGAATCCCCTTTGACACTTGCTCATGACACCCTTCACTGACCGGATTCTTCGGTTCCACAAACTCGAATATAGTTTGTAGATGGTTGGCATGAGACTGATTGGTCTCCAGTTCTCGGGCTTAGATTCGTCTCCTCCTTTGTATAGAAGGATCGTTTCTGCCTCTTTCCAATGTGATGGAATCTTCCGATGCTCCTTGCATTCATTGTACAGGGGCGTCAGAATTCTGTGATCAGGATCGAACCATTCTAGATGATGGTATCTCAGTCCGTCAACTCCAGGAGCAGTGTCTTTGGTTTTCTTAAGAGCAACTGCCAATTCCTGTTCAGTGAATGGGTCTACAATCCACTGTCCCACTTTTTATCTTTGGGATTTTTGGAACTTTTTTTGATTCCAGAACCTCTTTTTGTTACATTTGTGACAGAGGTGGTTTTTCTTGAAGAACTGTTCAAGTTGACTGATCGGGATCTCGCATTGCTTCGATTCTTTGCCGATCAGTTGGTTAAAGGTCTTCGTCCGGTTTTTGCCAGTACGAGTCCCTTTGAGAGACTGGTGGCCCTTTTGCGGCTGTCACCATCTCCAGTCGGGTTGCTGTTACCCTTCTTGGGAATCCTTTTTTTGGATCCGTTTGCGTTGCCATCTCACCCTCTTCCACTTCCAAGGGTGGGCATCTTTTTCACAATCTTCTCGATTGCCTGGGTGTCCCCAACAGAGGCCTTTTTGTATGGCGGCTGTCAGGACGTCGGTGATCCACTCCAATCTTTGGAAGCTTCTACCGTCTTGAATGTACGATTGGAACTCTTTTTGGAACCATTCTCGTACTTTCACGACCAGTTCCTCTGGTTTTTCCAGTTGGCACTTTGCGTGCTTTACCCATCTGTTTAGTGGGTTTCTCCTTTGGTTTGACCACTTTTGGAGCAACTTTTTTTGTAGAAGATGTGGAGGGCATTCGAGTTTTAGGTCCATCAGTTTTGGGATGGAAACTCTATCCACTTCTTCCGGTTGACCAACATGTGGAATATCCATTGGGGATTCAACTGACACCTCAGAAGTGTCCACTTTTTTTCTGGACTTTCTGGTTTTTTTCGTGGTTTCATCTGTTTGGTGGAAATCACGGTATTGTTCAGAGTACAGGTCATATCCGTTTGCTCTGAGCATCTTTTTTTCACATCTTTTTCGGAACGATTGGACCTCTTTTTTTCGGTATACCAATAGTCGTCATTTAGACATGATTTTTGCCATCAGGCATACATGAACACCGCAGTTTATGCCATCTGTCTGGCAGGGATTTGGAGTGTCGAACTTTTTTTCCGTTCAGTCCCCAATTCCTCAATAAACTGTTGAACTTTTTCCTTCGGGTTCACGTAGGAAGCTGTTTGCGTACCAGATTCCAGTTAAGCTTATCACCAAAAGGATCCAGTGGTTATTTTCGCAAACTGGGAAAAAGTAGGTTTTCGTGCTCCAAAGTTTTTGCTTTATGAGCATGATTCCTTCTCTTTTGTACATTTCCCACATAATTGGATCCAAAGTTTCATACTTTGTGCTTTTTGCGCAAAGATGCTTCAGATACCAGAATATGATGTCGTCACTTAACCATGCCTCCTTTGAGGTTTCATGGTCCAGGCACCATGTGTTGAACCTTCTCGAGACTATTTCATCATCATCATCGATGACAAAAGTTCTGTTCAGGTCTTCTTCTTCTTCCAGCGCTTCCGATTCAATGGGGTTTTCCATTGTCGTCACTACTGGATCAGGAATGGTTTCTTTTTCCAATTCCTTTGTTTGTGGCTCCCTTTTTGGAGATTTTCCCACTGCTGACAAACTCATCCTTTTCTGAGTAGAAAGGCGAGCCTGCTTTGAGCTTTGCTCTCGAGCCGCTTTTATTCTCTCAATTCCGGTC